GGGCGGGGTGGTTCGTCCAAAAACAAGGCGACTGGGCGCTAGGTAAGGTAGGTAGCTGTTGTTAATTCGACGTTAGAGCCAGACAGGCTAGGAACTTAGGACCGGGTACTCGGGAAGGGCGAGGGAGGAACCTTATCGGCACCTCGACGGAGGAACCTTATTCCGTGCGACGGAGTGGCTTCCACGGACTGTGCTGGCGCTCCTCCAAAACAATGTTGAAACTACCCAAGTTATCTGTCTGCTACAGTTCTTGTGGGTGCCAATGGCGCCGCCGGTGCACTGCTTTTTAATCGAGCGTCTGCCTTTGCCATAAGGTAGGTATCTTGCAGCTTCTCGTCATTTTCTGGCCCGGTACCTTAACATTTCCACAGCTCTCACACCCCGAATACTTACCTCCTTCTCAGCTGCAGAACAGCGCCGTAACCTACATTTCCAAAACTTCAAAATCCGCGAGTAAGCATGGCTCTGTCGTCTGTTATGAAAGACTCGGCGAAGGCGGCGCCACTGAACGATACCGACACTGGTGCTGGTGCTGGCGCCGCGAAGCATGGGATGAGAACAAACGCTTCTGCACCTCCGACTGTGGGAACTACATCGGACCCTCCTATACCCGAACCATACACAGCCGCCGACGCCGACATGTCAAGATCAACCACTGCGAAGGACTCTGACAGCGTTGACCACACTGCTGAATTCGATGGTGATCTGAACACAAACGACACAATACCCTCGCAGGTTGTGTTGAAGAAGATCGAGGGCCTAGTTGTATTGGACAAAGATGGGAAAGCCATTCCATTCAAGGATCTATATAATGGCCCTAATGTGGCAAGACGCATCTTGGTGATATTCATACGGCACTTCTTCTGCGGAGTAAGTCACTCTCCCAATCCCCGAGTCCGATAACTCGGCAGGGCGCGCTACTGACACCAACCGCCCTATTGCTCTAGAACTGTCAGGAGTTCATTCGCAGTCTGGCTGCCTCTATAACGCCGGCCGATCTCCTCCAGCTGCCTACTCCCACCTTCGTCGTAATTGTGGGATGTGGCTCACCATCCCTGATACCCATGTGGCAAGACCAAACGTCGTGCCCTTTTCCGGTATATGCGGACCCCACCAAGAAGCTCTACGACGAGCTCGGCATGATCCGGACGTTGAACCTTGGCACGCGGCCTGAATACCAACGGAAAGCGCTCATGAGTCTCGTGACCGGAAGTTTCGTACAGGGCCTGAAAATGTTAAAGGGGGGAAAGGCTTTCCAAGGCGGCGCCTTTCATCAAGTAGGCGGAGAATTCATGTTCGAACCTATCAACATGGCAACACCCATTTGCAGCCCGGATGTTGCGAACGAGGATGACGAGAGCAAGAAGCTAGGAGAAGAACGCAGTTACGTCGAGGAGAAGAGGGTTACCTGGTGTCACCGGATGCGAAATACACGGGACCATGCTGAAATCCCAGAGCTGCGAGAGGTGCTTGGTCTGGATGGGGCAGGACTCCCTGGGGGGGATTCCAAGAGATGGGGCAAGGCCCTTCGAGCGCGGAAGGGAACTGGACTCAGTTCTCAATCGAGCCTCAGTGATCATGCGAGTCAGCACCGTCGAAATTTAACATCCGATAGTTAAAGGATGGACGTCGGGTTTTTGAACAGCATTTCAAGCGTTTCATTAAGAGCTAGCCTTATGCGATATTTGCGATTCAGAATATAGTTGATGTCCTAAATGACTGCCTTGCCTTGACAAGAAGCTAGATAATGATCTATGCCGGAGAGAGGGATTGAGGAATAGAGGGACTTGCTAGATCGTCTGCACTCGACAGCGAGCTCTTGATTTCCAACTTGGCTTTGCACATGCAAACTAGGAAACTAGGAGCGATTGCCGTTGCGAAAAAGTATTTCATCCTAGTTCGTCACCAACTTCCTTAGATTTACCCCTTCGGCAACCATTGTTTTCGTTACGTTGGGTTGCGTATTGGCACTGAAAGCTTCTCTTTCTTGCATCAAATAAAGCTTCTTGTCCCTGGGCCTGTTCTTTACAGCACCCTAGGCCCTTCCTCCCCAATACCACCAGAAGACATCGCCAAAGCTCTATTCCTCGGAGTGGCTTTTGTTGAACAGGGGTTAGATAATTATCATTGAACACTCGATACATGCCTTTCCGAAACGTTACAGCGTGGAAATACCAGAATCTTCCCATCTCCTAGACCTATGTCATAATAGGTGCTTGATAAATGATACCATTCTGCTTCACTTCCGCCTCCTAGATCTCCAAATACTCTTTAAACAAGTCGTTTAGCTTAGCGGTAGATTTAGAATCCTGAAGGCCATCAACAGCCTTGGGTGGCAATAGGGTAGCAGATACATCTCAACTAGTTGCGAGCATAACCACTCGCGATTAATCACTGTTTAGATATTCCATTGTTCGTCGACGAAGCTGTTGCTTCAGTGTAGATCAGTAGCTGTAAAGAAGCATGTACTATTACGATACTTAGACGGATAAAGCTATGCATAGCCGCCGGTAGAGCTGTAAAGGCTGCAAATTGGTTTTCGCCGTTATCCTGGGGCGTTTAGTTGATATAGGGCCTTACTACCTTACAAACTTGGAAGGTCGGGGATGTAAAGCTCCACAGAACTCATGCTCTCTGTCTTGGGATCCTTGCGGGTATGCCCTTATATCACAACATCTGAAAATAAAGGTTAGGTGACCGATTTGACAGTATAACGACACCCCCGGACTTCAGACTCATCGACCCTATCTGCGGAAGCCGGGTATTATTTAGAGATATGAAGATACGAGCCTTACCCAGAGAATAGATAGCGTAAATATCTTAATTTCGGTTAGATATTTACACGACTTGAATATCTCAAATTCTAGTAAGATATTCATACAGCTTGAATACCTCAATTCTGGTGAGATATTCGCGTGACTTGAATACCTCAATTCTAATTCTAGTAAGATATTTATACGATATCATATTTATATCTAGGTAATAGCCGTTAGGCCTTATAATACTGGCGAAAAGAGATTTACACCAAAGTCGCCCAAGAATGCGATATACACACAGCCTCTAACGTCACCTGACCTGTGTTTTTAAGGGCACAACTTCGGCAGAACTAGGCGACGTTTTTCAGTATGATATTAGATATTAGATATTAGACTACTATGAAAATGCCGAGTGCGGTAAGAATTATCATGGTGATAAGCGTCACATGATAGATAAGAGGTTCGCCTTTAGCTTCGCGGAGGATTATATAACTTGATTTGAATGGGTTCTGCAGCCTAGCCCAGGTGCCTTCACAGCTGTAGTTATTTTATATTGCCCTTACAATTAAGTACACTGGTGGTACATAGTAAGTGAACCGCTAACAGACGACTCGAGGAGACTTATATTACTTAGGTACCTAGGTACCTCGTTTATGGTCACATGGAGAAGCATGAGGTCACGAGGTGAGATGGTGCCAGCGGAAACGGGCTTGACCTTACGTAATACACGCTTGTCAACAGTCGAAGCAAGCTATCGACAACACTCAAATGTGCAATTGATCCTCAGCAATAGATCGATTGCCCATCATGACTGTCGTCGAAGCCGTGAAATCCGCCGTTGGGCTGGGAGACGCATCCTCCAGTTGTACGTACTCTAGCAATTACAATCACGCATCGCTAACCTCTTGTCTTCTAGCCACACAAGCAACGCGAGAAGCGATGAGCGAAGCCAAACTTCCCATTGCGTACCGTGACAGCTGTGCCGGTCTCCTGATCCCCCTCAATCGATGTCGATATGAAGAATATTATCTGCCCTGGAAGTGCGAGGTATGCCTGAAGACATCTGCATCTAAGTCTGAGTAGCTGGACAGACCGCTGTGGCTAGCCATCGGTATTTAGAGCGTTAGACTAATCATTTTGGATGCCGCAGACCGAGAGACACAGCTACGAGAAATGCCAATATGAGGCATTCAAGAAACGGGTTGCGAAAATGGACGAGTTGCGGGCGGCCAAGGGGGGAGCAAGGAGTAATTGAGTGGCGGCTTTCTGTACATTTGGAACGAATAAAAGAAGTTTACATACAGGACTTCCTAGAAGTTTGTGCTAGCAAGCCAGATTTGTGATGGTTTTAGGCCATTTCAATAGGCAAATGATCAACACGTCAATACGGTGGCTAGTTCAACGCCATATCTATCTAGAGCCCACCTTAGGGGATACGGCCTGGAAAAGCAATAATTTATCGGGAGTTCGATTCCTGGGCCCCAGAAAGTGGCGAGTTCGAGCGAAACACTGCATCCTGTTCAAGAATAGCTGAGAGCTTCGCGAGATTTGGCCGTGCTCAAAACTTTGACCGATGAACTTAATCCGCCCATTCTCACTGCGCGGTCAAATTCTATACTAGGTCTGAAAAGGTAGATTTCTTCATGGTTATTCTGGCAGCTACTAACAAGATGCCCAATATATGACAAGCTGATGCCACGCTCTTTTGTTGCAAACCTATTTCCGGGCTCTCGTGGGCCCTGGTGTCATTCTTCCCATATATCCATAACTACCCCTCCGACATATCAGATAACAAACCCAAATCTAAAATCTATACTCAGATGTCGCACACTACATCACAGCAATCATTATCCTTCCCTACCCAACCCCCTGGCCCCCCAGCCACCAAGTCCCATACCCGAAGTCCTCCTGCCACTGGCAATGGATTGTGGCGCCGGACATCGAACTACATTCCACCAGCCCATAAAGTCGTCTCCAGTGGTCGACCATTTCCTCGCCGCTCACATTACTTCTACCACATGAGTTTTATCTGAAAGCATTACGAATGCGCTGCTAGATCTGCCCTCTGCGCTTGGCAAGCATCATAAATTATCTTAGTGTTTCGCATGTAGTCTTTATTGGTTCTGTATATCGATGCAATCTGTAATCGGGGGTAAAGTGAAGAACTGCTGAAAGAATGACACTAGGTGACATTATTAATTGATAGGGCGAGGGCTGGAACGCAAGGCTCTGGAATTCTAGGGAAAGAAACTTGGAATTAAGTGAAGGGCCACCGGGGTGTATAAGCTCATGTGCTGGACTTCTGGGGACACCAATAGGCATACAACCCATTTTTCTTTTCTTTCACGGTGGATAATCAGAGCAGACTTTCGGCATGAGCTGAGTTGGCTCTAAGCTCCCCTCATATAATGGCCCTGGATGTGACGGACGGAAAACTGCGTTTATTGAACCCCAAATCTGTCTGATATTTCATTGACTAAACTAGCCATTATCACCATCGATACCCTCGCCATCCTCGCTTGGAAAGCGTTAAGATTATTTTTGCTGGATTCATGAGAGGAGCCCTTGTAGGACTTAGTGACATATTGTCTTTGGCGGCTGCAGCGCTTCTAGGTATCATTTTCATGTGAATTTCTGACAAATCACTAGGTTTATATATGACTGTCCATTGTGGTAACTCTAAGATGCCCCGTTCATAGTCGGGTGCCCGGTAATGCATAAAGCAGACCCTTAAGCAAACCAATACCCGCCTTAACACCATCCAACACATACACATACTTTGCATCTTCGCCCAACTCCCCCCTTAGAGCCTCATCCACAATGGCGTCTAGACCCGCCATCCCAGCGCAGCCAAGACAGATAACCTTGACATCCCTATCCCTCACGAGCCTCTTCGTAGCCTCGACCATCATCTTCTTCACCAGCTCCGGAGGGGCAGTATGCAGATCGTTAGCATTCAAACCGGTAGTCACTACGCCCTTAAATCTCATGGAGTTCTTCACGTCGTCCAAACCGAGAAACTCCTTCACACCATCTGAGAGGGCCTTCTCCCAATACTCCCCTGTGCTCACAATCCCAAACTTTGACGGTGCTTGCTTTGGATCCTGCGGTAATAGAGACAGGGACACGGAGATACTGGCTTCGAATATACTGGTCACGTGTACGCCAGTCGCAACTTTGGCCCTGAGCATGCTAACAAGCGGATGAACACTGTAACATGCGACGAGATATGCGCTATATTGCGGGAGTCTGGGCTCAAGATCCCTCAGACAAACATTGGCGCTCTCTAGAGCATCAGCGTCGTTGTTGATGCTTGGTGGCCCGGATGGGGCGGTGTATGTGTGGACTACGATCGAGGTTGTCGCCGTTGCCGTCGTGGTTCCATGGCGATCTATGTCGTGGATCAATTGATCCAGTGCGTCTGTCATGGACCTCGAGGAATTGGGATTGATAACGAGGATGTTCGGTGCGTCCATTTTGATAGACTCCGATGTATTTCGGGCATGCTGGAAGGAAAATGTTAAAATAGCATTTTATTATTATTACGACTACGAAGCACGGAGTACGTCAGGTACCTACAGTAAGGTGAGGTAGGTAAGGTAAGGTTGAGTACCTACTGAGCATTCGGCAACCTTGGAGGGGAACAGCAGTATTAATAGACCTATGTAGGTTCCTCCTTACCTTAGGTACCTACGGTGACCGCCTCCTCCTCCCACCAGACAGACTGACAGACAGGCGAGGCAAGCCTCCTGAGCCTCCCCCCACATCCATCCGTCAACGTCTCTCTCAACCTCAATCCAGCCCCCCCCCGCAACCCCCCTTTACACTGCAAACATGGCGGAACCTCCAATAGGTATCTATAGCTATACTTCGCCCGGCATGTCTCGTTAACATTGTCCACTAACCACGCTTCCGCAGTCCTTGACGGAGGAACTGGCTTCCTCAAAGTCGGCTATGCCGCGCAGGTATGTGCTCCCGCCTTTGAGCGGCTCGCGCAGCTTGGAGACCTTGGAACTGATCTCACCGCACGGCTCCTATAGAACTTCCCCGAATTCCAATACCCCTCCATCGTCGGCCGACCAATCCTACGATCCGAAGAGAAAGGCAACGATGGCCTGGTCATCAAAGACATCATGTGCGGTGACGAGGCCGCGGCCGCACGAACCATGCTGCAAGTCTCATATCCGATGGAGAATGGCATCGTGAAGAAGTGGGACGACATGCAGCACCTGTGGGATTATACATTCTACGAGAAGATGAAGGTGGATACCACAGGCCGCAAGATCCTGCTTACGGAGCCGCCGATGAACCCCCTGAAGAATAGAGAGCAAATGTGCGAGGTTATGTTTGAGAGGTATCAGTTTGGGGGTGTTTATGTGGCGATTCAGGCAGTTCTTGCTTTGTATGCACAAGGTAATGATCCAAATTCATGACGGTCTACGGGAGGATATTTTGGATTTGGGAGACGGCTGATACGAGTTCACTTAGGTCTCAGCTCTGGAGTCGTGGTTGATTCTGGAGACGGTGTAACGCACATCGTCCCCGTCTACGAGTCCGTTGTTCTCAACCACCTTACAAGGCGCCTGGACGTTGCCGGCCGAGACGTCACACGCAACCTGATTGCGCTGTTGCTCCGGCGCGGGTATGCACTGAACCGTACCGCTGATTTCGAGACGGTGCGCCAGATCAAAGAGAAGCTCTGCTACGTGTCGTACGATTTGGAGCTAGATCAGAGATTGAGCGAGGATACGACCGTGCTAGTAGAGAGCTATACATTGCCTGATGGGCGCGTCATCCGTGTTGGGAGTGAGCGCTTCGAGGCACCAGAGTGCTTATTCCAACCCCACCTTGTCGACGTCGAGCAACCGGGCATTGCCGAATTCCTATTCAACACCATCCAAGCCGCCGATGTCGATGTGCGCTCTTCCCTTTTTAAAGCCATCGTGCTTTCCGGCGGGAGCAGCATGTATCCAGGCCTACCCTCCCGATTAGAAAAGGAGCTGAAACAATTGTGGTTGACCAAGGTGTTGGGTGGGAACCCAGAACGGTTGAGTAAGTTCAAGGTGAGGATTGAGGACCCACCTCGGAGGAGACATATGGTTTTCTTGGGAGGTGCGGTGCTGGCGAATATTATGGCGGATAAGGAGAATATGTGGATTACAAAAGCAGAATGGGAGGAGCAAGGAACCAGGTGTCTAGAAAAGCTAGGACCGAGGTAGGAGAGACATGTAGCTCGAGGCAGAACATTCATTCTTTTAATAGGCTATGCGTCTACTGTTCACTTGATCGTGCTAATAGATTCGAGTCAACTAATCCCTTTCGTGGCAGCGAGTAACCCTACCATTGAATGAATTGACCTTTGGCAATACTGTCCTCACACCCTTCCTCGAAATTATAATTTTCTAAATAGCAGCAGAAGCGAGGGGATAAATATGCAGAACGAAACCCGTAAGCAAACCGTAAGTATAGCCTCTATCTATCGTTATACCCCGCTGACAGTGTTTCCTGATCATAGATTCTCCAGACTAGCTGTGACCCTCCACTGGCCCTCCGAAGGCCACTGCCGTGGAGGCCAAGCAAACTATCTCGAGCTCCATAACTTAAATTCCGTGCAAATCGGCGGTGCCTATTCAGCTTCCAAGCTCTGTTGAATATCTAGTTGGGGGCTTCTCGCGAGTACCCTCGTGGCCACCTTGAACTGTCTTCAGCCGTGCCTCTATTTCAGTCCTTCTCCCGATATCCCTGCCTGGCGGGGCTTGCGGATAGCCTTGAAAAGCACACGAACGCTTTCCCTAGACAGGTTCTGTAAGTTTTCTGAGGTATGTACTTCTTAGCATCCGTACCGCTGAATTGGTGCATATAATCAATAAGCGCTAAGCTGCCAGTTCGATTTGGGAAATCTATCTTTCGAGGGCAAGCCGGAACTTGACAGCGCTGAGTGATACCTCGATCGGCATCATGGCGTTTAGCTTTGTGGCTAGCCAAGGCCTATGGGACGGGGTCTAAAGCCATTTTCTATCTGTATAGCCAAGGTCACACTATCGTCGTTGAAAAAGGCCCTTTATTGTGCTTATTTCTTGTGGGGCCTGTCTTGAACTCCCTGTCGCAGTTGAGATTTCGCCATTTGAAGATTGTTGGCTTAGCTGGATTATTTTGGAAGATCATGCCTTTCCCGGCGTGCTTCTTCATCTTTCTATTGCTCTGAATTTTTGCAGTCACATCACTGGCCCTCTTCGGGGCAAAAGGAAAATGAAGTGTGATAGAGCATCTAATGTTGCTAAGAACATAGGTCAAGAATCCAAGAGAACCTAAGGCCTAGATAGAGTCGCTTTGGTGGGAGTTGAGTCAGAATATATATATGTTAATTTGCATGAGCTGTCCTTTCACCATTTCCGTGTTCTTCGCGTCCTGTAAGACTTTTGATGTACTAGACATGCATCCAGTGGTGCAAAAGTTGGCCTTCCACTCTTCAGCTATTAAACTGCATAAAAACCTGCCTACAAGCTCCCGGCAGGGATTGGAATTCAAGCTATGCTCACGGCTCTAGATAGGGGGAGGCATTATAATCCCTTCAAACCCTCCTGACGCATTTTTAAAGCATTAAAACAGAAATGGGATATTGTATTCCGGACACAAACGTTGATAATATATAACCTAGCCGCTCCCCTTAAACCAAAAGCAATAAAGCGCCTGCGACCTAATCAACCCTCCTCGTCCTCCCCCAAACCTCATCCACATCTTTCTTCCACCTTGTCTCGGGGACCCTCCACCCAACAAATAGAAAGCTCAAGGCAGCCAGTGCCGAAAATACAAAGTAGGCCCATCCCTCCCCACCAAGCGTATTATTTAACCAGGAATTGAGGATGGGGAAGAACTGCGCTACGATAAATGTAGCGACGTAGTTTGCCGCCAAACACCAACTCTGCGTTGCTCCCACGGCTTCCTGGCCCACAAGCTCAGACGCCATCATGAAAGGGACGGGGCCGAGACCAGTAGCAAAGAAAGCGACGAAGAAAAGCACTGAGATGGCGGACATAATCTTGATTTCCCAGCGGAGGGAGAGAGCGAGGAGGAGGGACATTGAGCCCATGCCAGTGATGGAGAGAAGTAAGCAGGCTTTACGGCCTATTTTGTCTGCTAGTGGGGCGCACGCAACGGTTGTGATTAGATTGACAAGGGAGATCATGATGGTGAGGCCGCGGGAGGAGAGGGGTACCACGCCATGGAGTAGGGAAACGGAGTACATCATTATGCTGTTGATCCCACAAAACTGTTGCGCGAACATAATGCCTATTACGGCTATGATGGCGGGACGGTAGAGGGGGTTACGCAGCACCCCGAAGAAGCCTACATGAATCACGGCCTTGTGAGAGTCTTTGCTGTTGGTGGAGCCTCGACGAGATGTACGGTCGGGATCTGCAAGGAGCGCCTCCTCTTCTGCCACTGCCTTGTCGACATCCCATGCCTCGATCTCTTCCGCAATCGAGTTTCCCTGCCCACGGATGCGCTGTAGTGTTTGAATAGCCCGCTGAACGTCCCCGTTTGCTGCCAGCCAAGCTGGGCTTTCCGGGACCAGGAGGAGACCGAGGCCGTGCAAGAGGCCGATTCCCGCTCCAACACCGAGGATAATTCTCCACAATGAGCCCTGGCTCAAGAAATAACCCAGCGTCTGGGTGAGCAAAATCCCGATATTGATCGTAACCTGCGTCATAGAGCCAAACAGACCCCGTTCCCGGGGCGGGGCCACCTCCGAGATGTATAAGGGCACAACAACGGTTGATGCGCCGGCTCCCACACCAGATAGGAACCTCCCGATATACATGATGGGGACGGTGCCAGCGAGGGTCTCTAGACTTGCTCCCACAATAAAGAAGACACTAGTGGCACGCATAGCCAGCAATCTACCATGGCTGGTAGAGAAAGGCCCCGAGACCAAGGCTCCAAGCAGACCGCCTAGGACGAACATCGAGGTGAGAGAAGCGAATTCAGCCTCACTCATTGGGAAACATTGCGGGAGCTTGTAGTTTGAATCGGCTTCGGCGGCAGATTTGGCGGCGCAGGTAATCACACCTTTGGGGGCGTTGAGTTCAGACTACCCAAGCAATATAGTCAGCGTGTCTGTCTGAGTGTCTGAAATCGGCGTTCGAGCCGTGCTGGGGCTGCGGCTGGATAATATTTACCAGATGAAAACCGAACTGTAGCGGGCCCAGAGTTGATACAAAAATGAGGAAGACCAAGTAGGCCGTCGCATCTCGAACGCATTGCCTCAAGCCAGCGGAAGCCATAGGGGAATTGGTACAGTATCGAAGAAGGTAATAAGTTGATATGGCCAGACCTGAAGCACAAAGGTCGGAGCGTCAACTCATGCCGGGGGGTTGGGTCGGCTTTGTACTTCGTCGGCGCGAGATGCTACGTACAGCAGCAGGAATAATGTAACCCTTAGATACGGATACTACTGTGTACCTAGGTAGGTAGGTAGTATGTTCTGTAGGTAGGTAAGGCTGGTACCTGAAACCTGGGTACTCGTACTGTAACTTGGGTACGTAGGTACGTAGGGACTTATTAGCACATAGGTCGTAGGTCATACGTATTCCCGTCAACCACAACCACAACCGCACTCAGCAGCTCTCCGCTCTCCGCCCTCCTCACGTGACCATATTTCGTGCGGAGTACCCAGGCCCCCGCCCCGCCCCGCCCGCCCGCTCAGGCTGTAACCCCGACTTCGCCCTTCCTCCTCCGCCCTCCGCCCTCCGTCCTACCGCTACCTGAGGTACGTACATCCCTTACGTACCTGACCAACCAACCCAGCTATTAATACTAGGGAAGTATCCCTTAGGCTCACCTCACCTCACATCACGGGTGTTAGCATCGGCAAACGAATGTCCAGTATTGACATGAGCCTGACCTCGAATCCACCGTCCTCCGGGGCAGCTCCCTCCTCGGCCTCTGCCTCAGCCTCAGCCTCTGCCTCCCTCTCTGCAGCTGCCTCAGCCTCAGCCTCTGCTTCAGCCTCGGCCCCGGGCCCGACCTCGCGGATCCAAACCCAATCGTTAAAGAGGAGCGTGCAGCAGGCATTTGATGGTAGATCTACCCCCATCCTCATCCCCTACTCTTCTCTTATTTTCTCTCTCTTCACTCTCTTCACTCTTTCCCCTCCTCCTTCTCCCCCTTTTCTCTCTTCTCTTCTGTCGTATCTGGTGTCATTTCCGCCTTTTCCATCTCGTTCTGCTCGAATTTCTCCTCATGATTCCCTAACTGCTTGTCTCCGTCCCGGTCCTGCCGATCTGACCCTGCGGTCGCCCCCCGCGCTGGAACTACTCCACTCGATATGTTCCCCCCGAGGCGTCCTGCATTTCGTTTGTTGGTTCTCCCTGCTGTACCAACCCCAGTGCTGATGTTTGCCCAGATCCAACAGACAGAGGAATAGCACCGAATGTCGGCTACCAGAGCAAGGTTCGAGTCATCGACCGCTACAAGGTCATCGGCTTTATTAGCAGTGGAACCTATGGCCGAGTCTACAAGGCCGTCGGCCGTCAAAACCAGACGGGCGAGTTTGCAATCAAGAAGTTCAAGCCCGGTAAGAATAGCATGCTGTAGCCGATGAGCCTGGATATAGAAAGGCTGATGAGATGAGAGCCAGACAAGGAGGGCGAACAGATCCAATATACGGGGATATCGCAGTCAGCAGTTCGGGAAATGGCCCTCTGTTCGGAACTCAGCCATCCAAATGTTATCAAGCTGATCGAGATCATCCTGGAGGACAAGTGCATCTTCATGGTGTTCGAGTATGCGGAGCATGATTTGCTCCAGATCGTCCACCACCACACGCAGCCCACAAGGCATCCGATCCCGCCACCGACCGTCAAGAGTATCATGTTTCAGCTTCTGAACGGCTGTCAATATCTACATAGCAACTGGGTGCTCCACCGAGACTTAAAGCCTGCAAATATCATGGTTACGTCTAGCGGCGAAGTCAAAATCGGAGATCTTGGGCTTGCACGGCTCTTCAATAAACCGCTGCATTCGCTATTTAGCGGTGACAAGGTAGTCGTCACGATATGGTACCGTGCCCCGGAGCTGCTCCTTGGGTCGAGGCATTACACACCAGCCATCGACATGTGGGCTATAGGATGCATCTTTGCAGAGCTGCTCTCACTGCGGCCTATCTTCAAAGGCGAGGAGGCAAAGATGGATTCCAAGAAGACCGTACCCTTTCAGCGGAACCAGATGCAAAAGATCGTCGAGATCATGGGGTTGCCCAGGAAAGAGCAATGGCCACACCTGGTCAATATGCCAGAATACGCGCAGCTGCAAACATTACCTACAAGCTCTCATAACAAGTCTGGGGGGTCAAATCTCGAGAAATGGTATTACAGTACCATTAATTCTCACTCGGCAACCTCTGTGATGTCTTCCAATTCTTCACTGGGGGCCGAGGGATACAAGCTCTTGAGTGGATTATTGGAGTACGACCCCGAGAAGCGGTTAACCGCACAGCAAGCTCTGCAGCACCCATTTTTCAGCACGGGCGACAAGGTATCAGCGAATTGCTTCGAGGGCATGAAGATGGAGTATCCGCATCGGAGAGTGAGTCAGGACGACAATGATATTCGCACGAGCAGCTTGCCAGGCACCAAAAGAAGCGGACTGCCGGATGATTCTAGGCCCATGAAGAGGATGAAGGAATGAGGGTCCTTGGTATGATGTCTGCGGTATCGTTGTGCTCTGTAGTCGTTCTGTCTGTCCCGCACAATTAGGATCCGCCGCTCAGGATGTCCCCTAAAACCTGCCATTTTCTCGCACAGCGTCACGAAGTACGGGGTTGCCATACACGGATACTCCCAGAGTCTCGAAACCCGTCCATCCGCGTCTAGAACCCCAAGTACGGAGCAGATGCACGGCTAACGACACTGTAAATAGCGGTGTGATGGTAACCTGCCGCTGGCCGAGTTGGCTGGCGCGCTGGCCGCTCTGTGGCGCAAAGTGAGGGTTCGCCACACTCATACGCGACAAATGAAAATGCAAAACCATGTCGGGGGGGTCTCGAACACGCCAAGGATCCATCTACCAGGACCTTGACGGTTCCTTGGTTAGCTACGTCATGCAATTGAGACATTCGAATTGAAATATGAAGTGGATATAAATCCGGATTCCTCACAAATGAACATATATATACGGCATATAATAAATAGTATTCATGTATACTTTTGCTCCCATCCTCATCGTCATTGAGAATATATCATTGATTATCCATTGATAACCCCAAAAAGAACCAAAGAGGGCCACAGATCACATACTATACTCTGTACTACCTACTACATACCACCACAGTGATAGCAGTCGCAAGCATATCCCAACGCAGCACAACAACCCCACATCCCCTCAAATCACCAAGAAGAACAAAAAATGCCATTCTTTTACAGCAAACGTTTCGGAGGCCGACGAGCGGGCGGTACTATCATCGCGGATAGACATGGCCCCCATCGACCTATTTTCCGGTTCCGATGTTGTGGGTTGAATTGCTTCCGTTAAGCTAAAATAACCAAGCGAGGGTGAAATTGTGGAGGGGGAGCATGGAGGAGGCCATCGGTAGACAGGATTCAGTGCGTAGCACAATGCGTTCAATGTTGACTTGGAGAACTTGTAGCGGAACTTGTGACTCTGCGGAGGGAAATAAACAGGGGCGAGGGGAAACTATTCTATCTGCATAAGTACCTGACTTAAATAGGTGCTTACCGTGGCAAACCTATTAAGTTGTTCGATGGGCATAGCCAGTATCTGTACTTTCTCGTTTAATCACCTTATAGTAAAGTGATAGTCTTTAACTTCCCTTCGCTCTGCTAAATACGTAGGGAATAAAGACAGGTAGATTATAAAACAGAGATAGAAGGGCTAAAGGTACAGTACAGTTCCATCACCTGGCGAGAGCCACAAGATTTCCTTGAGCAACAAGCAGTTTGTTTCCACTATAAGTACAAGCTCCACTAGTCGATAACATACACAATTTTGCAGGGCCTATCTCCTGATTTAGAATTTAACAATGCTGTCAATATTTTATAGAGCGTAGCCCTTTGGAATAGGTACGGTAGCTTCTCGTATATATCCTTACACATATATTTCTGTCTTTAGATTATCGAAAGTGGTCCTTTAAATGCGTTTCCACGTACGAGTCTCCTAAGTTCATAAAGCGGAAGTGCCCACTGATACAACTACAACAAGCCCGACGAAGAATAGGTCGAATTCAAAAAATATTAAGTTGTCAGAGGATGTACAAGTTTTCAAAAAAAAAAAGGGCGACACTATATTCTTTGGATGACCTACCCTTTTCCAGACTCGTCACATTCTTCAGGACTTAAATGGTTCATCTCATCTTCAGCTGACACCTTGCCCCCAAAAGCAGAATAAAAACAAGAGGAAATATGGTATCACCGCCCTATAGTAGTGAAAAGCAAAAATAACGCGCGCGCTCATCATCAAAATGTACGAGTACGAGTACAAATATAGCAAAGCGATGGACATTGTTCGGTGCAGCGGGGGAGTGTGGGTTTCATGCCCTGTTCATAGCGTAGCCCGGTGTTTTGCCTGGCCTTGTTCCTTGATAAGATCCGCCTTTCCGTCGCTGGCGTGATACCCTGAGTGAAGTTGGGTTGTGCGGGGCTTGGGGAGGATTGCGTAGGATTATTTCTTGCCTGCAGTATTGGGGGGAGATTTGACGTTGTTGGAGAGCCATGCCTAAGGGATATTGCGGTTAATGGTGGGATATGGATTAATAGGCAAACATCTGAACGTACCAATCCTTCTAGTAGCCCTTCACCAGTTGTAGCACAACTGGGCACGACAAACCAGATCTTGTCTTTCAGTTGGTTGAGCTTCAGGGCGTCTGTTACTTCTTGTGGTTTCATAGCTGCCATACTTGTCAATATCTAGTTGCACAGGTGAAGTTGCTAGGGAAAGGGGGTCATACCGCCAGGAATATCTTGTTTGTTGGCAAATACAAGAAGAAGTGACTCTTTCATTTCCCTATCATTGATAATCCGATGTAATTCCGATCTCGCCTCGTCTATACGTGCCTTGTCGCTCGAGTCGATTACAAAAATAAGGCCTTGGGTACCTGTTTATTCCCAAAATCAGCATGTACTCACTCCATTCACGCATGAAGCTCCCTGACGGCACCTCGAATCTAACAATAATCTTTTGGCGCGTCTCCTTCCGCAAAGGTATGAATATTCCTCGATACATACCACTAAAATAATGCCTCCAGAGCGGTCGAATTTTATCCTGTCCACCAACATCCCAAACATTAAACTTCACGTTCTTATATGTGACCGTCTCCACGTTAAACCCGACTGTGGGAATAGTCGTAACATCTTGATTCAACTTCAGCTTGTAGAGGATTGTTGTCTTGCCCGCCGCATCCAAACCCAGCATCAGCAACCGCATTTCTTTCGATCCGAAGATCTTGCCCATCATTTTTGAGATCTGCCCGCCCATATTTGCTCCGTCGTCAGGGAGATATGCGTTGTCTCGTCCCTTTAGGTGGGGAAGGGATTATGCGCTGTGGGGTTCTCGCGCTAGAGTGGTCAGAGGCAGACGAAGATATTCCACGAAGCGTCAGTGGATGGGCGTCAACGAGGTTCCTCAGGTCTCGTACAGATCCAATATGTGAGGCTGAGACCTCGGTCGATTGCGAGAACGCACGTCAGGAGAAGTTGCTTGTATATGCGGTGCGGGGATATTGCTGCGCCAGCTGCAAGAAATTGCGTACTTTACTTTGACGTTTGGACAATCGTAGTGAAGTGGTCGCAATGTTAGATGTGGTGGTCTTGTTCCTGTGAGCGCGGTTGTTTCAGGGGCACCGCGTTTAATTGCTGCTCTAGCCCGCCAGATCATGTGACTACATCTTTGTGCCGATTCCTTGACGTAAAGGTACCCAGTACATAAAGAAGTGAAAAGTGTAGTTTTGGAGATCCGTCCAACTGGAAGGTTGTGTAATAGAAATCAATGGGTGCGTCAAGCTGTTACCTGGAAACTATAAGTAGTATCTACTAATAATCTGACATTTCTTGGATTATATATACATAGGTAGGTATGTAATAGAGATATGGTACGAGACGTGTCGTTTCCCACGATATCATCGCCGGCAGTGTCCTTTGTAGCAGAACCTCTTCTCAAAGAGTCTAGGAGTATTCCCTCGTAGTACTCCGTACACCGCGCCCTGCCCTGTCCCAGAACGCCTGCTAAATATCCTGACATGCCTTTCCAAGCTACATCCGTGGCGAGACGAAGGTATTGCTCTAACCTTTATGATCCAGCACGAGACGGCGATCGACCATCTTTTCTTGCTCCCCTTCGATTTCTTCCTCGAATAGCAATTCAACTTTAGACCCACCTTCTAGCATGCGCTTCACATCAGCCCGATAAAACGTAGAAGTGGTCGGATAAAGCGCGAGAACACGTTTTCCAACCTCATAGTCCTCTAATTTGGAACCGGGAGGAGGTATTGGTACCATTTGCGACGCAGAGGACTTGTAAACGGTATCAAGGGTTTTATCGTCAGGATAAGGATCCCGGACCTCATATCTTCGACTCTTGCCCTCCCCAATGACGCGCGTAACGATCCCTTGGATCCAGTCAAGTTCTTCGCCAGATTTCCGTTTGAATGCAACCTCATCCCCAATCGCGTAGACGATTTTGGGCTTGCTTGTGTTTCGCTCGACAGGTTCAACAGGACCATCCGCCCTGACGGCCACATCTAGGTTTCTGGGAGGCTGGCTACTGGTCCTCCCGCCAGCACCGGCTTTCCGAATCCGATTTTCAGCTGGCGACGGGCCGGGGGAGTCGGATGGTCCATCGAATTCCATAGCAGATCTCGAGTGGGAGTCACGGGAGGTGGAGCCCCTTGCCGTGGTTGACTCCTCCTTCTCCTCGTTGCTTCTAACAACTGCCATAAGTATGCCTATGTTTTGTAAGAGGCCATTAGAACTATCCGAGCCTATATAGGCCTTTTGGTTATCTGCAATCCGAACTTGTTCTCGGTACATGGAACTCAATTCATCCAATTCTTCTGTTGAGGGCTCTTTTGTAAATTAGCATGAGGGACGGCATCCGGCAGAGATCGAAAATTGCACGAATTACCTACCCTTTCCCGCCACTTGCCTTTCCTTAATCTTGGCTTCCTTCGCAAAGATTTGTTGCTTAAGCTCCTCTGCTCTCTTCTCATTCTGTATAACCTTGTCCATGTCAGACAAACAATCTCTCCAGATTGCAACTTCCTCCCCAGTCTCATGCATACCTCCACGGGCGCCACCCCGCGGTGCTCGGATTCTCTGGGTGGACATTCTTTCGAGCGAGCGACTTGATTTCTTGGGCCGTGAAGGGTTGCTTCGAACGTTCTAGGGGGTGTGGCTGTGGGTGTGGGTGGTGCCAAAGAGTAGCCTAGTGATCGAGCCGGGCGATGGACAATAATTTCTAGAAATTGATACGTGTATAAGGGCAGCTGCTGCGAATGCTGGTTGGTGCTGCTATTCGTTGGCCACCTCAATCGCTGGCAGCAAACACTCTCGTTTCAGCTATCGCCTCAATGATAGTAGATGGTGAGTCCTCCGGACTATCTACGCACTCATATTTATGTTAGCAAGCAAGAATACGTAGGTACTCTACCGAACCATGATGAGAAGAGTGGTTGGTGTGCGGTGGGGCATACCTCGCACTGTCATCGTTTTCGATGCGCACTTGCTCCTTACTGGCCATCTACCTTGCCTGCAACTGTAAGAATATACAAACCGGGTATTATGTTACGCAGCTTTGAGTCCAAGTAATCTGTGCTTGCTGAGGAAGAAGGTGAACCGACACGATGGCGGAGAAGGTAAATACTGTACCTATTATGCAGTAAGAGCTACATCGAGCGGCGATTGAAGTTCACGGCACTTCGTACCTCCGTGCTCCGTGCTCCGTATGATTTATTACCCTACAGTATGTAGCGGTGTTGAGCGGTGACGTTGAGCTGGGCAAACCCACTTATTAAGTGCTGTCCCTCACTTGTCTGTTTTCTACGCAGCACAAGAACACAACACACAATCGAACAGCAGCAACTGCAACTACAACTACAACTACAACTCAGCAGAGCCTAGGTTACACTTCTAGATATCCCGCCTTCAATCCTCTCAGCGGTACTAATCCGTAGCTTGGAGTCGTTTGCGTCTCATTCTGCTCGCCGCCATGCAAGTCCCTTTGATTCGGCTCCAATGCGGAGTCAACAGCTACGACTGGGGGAAGCTGGGCAAAGATTCAGCGGCTGCTGTATTTGCTGCTGCGACACCTGCCGAGGATTTCTCAATCCAGGAAGACAAGCCGTATGCAGAGGTATTTATTCGCACTATTCAGAATCATAACATCCACACACGGCTCATCGCAATAGCTATGGATGGGCACCCATCCTTCGAACCCCTCGAAAGACCTCGCCACCAAACGGACCCTTCTTGATCTTGTACAAGACAATGAAGCCCTCATGTCCTCGGAAATCAGCCATAAATTTGGGAACAAGCTGCCTTTCCTCCTCAAGGTCTTATCGATCGGCAAGGCCCTCAGCATACAAGCCCATCCGAACAAGCAACTTGCCGAACAGTTGCATAAAAAAGATAGCAAGAACTATCCAGATGACAACCATAAGCCAGAGATGACGATTGCCATCTCGCCTTTTGATGGACTCTGTGGATTTAGGCCCCTTGCAGAAATATCACATTTCTTGTCGACGGTGCCAGCGCTGAAGAAGCTCGTGGGGGAGGCGGAAGCGGAGGTATTCCAAAGCTCCATCAAAGGACAAGAAACATCAGACAAGAAGGAAGACGAGGAAATTAACAAGAAGGCTTTGCGAAGGGTCTTTACTTCCCTGATGAAATCGAGAAATGAAGATGTCGAGCTAGCAAGCAAAGATCTGATTATATCTGCACGGGAGGAGGGTTCAAATTTCGCAGGAGGCGGTGGACCCTCGAACACTGGGAAGGAACTTGCAGACTTGGTAGTACGAGTCAATAAGCAGTTCCCAGGCGATATTGGAATCTTTGTACTCTTTTTCCTCAACTACGTCAAGCTTGAAGTTGGAGAGGCTATGTTCTTGAAGGCTGACGATATCCATGCATATCTAAGCGGCGATATCATCGAGTGCATGGCTTCCTCCGACAACGTTGTTCGGGCGGGATTCACACCTAAGTTTAAGGATGTTGATACCTTGGTTTCGATGTTGACGTATTCGTATGCTCCGATTGAGGAGCAGAAAATGCACCCGGTCGATTACCCCTATGTTACTCTTAACCGCGAGGCATACTCGTCGGGCTCGACTGCTGCCCTCTACGATCCACCTATCGAGGAGTTTAGTGTTGTGAAGACGGACCTGAAGAAGAAAGGCGCGAAAGCGACGTTCGAGCAGCTTGCAGGGCCCAGCATCTTTATCTGCACATCAGGCAATGGCAAAATCAATGTGGGTCCAAAGGTGGAAGAGGTGAAGCCCGGATATGTCTATTTCGTAGGTGCGACTGCAGAGGTGGTTTTGGAGAGTGAAGATGAAGATTTCACTACGTTCAAGGCTTTCTGTGAATTGCATGACAAGGAGGGTATCGATGGATCGCACCTATGAGGAATAGTATTGGAAATATGATGATAGAGCCATCTCTTGGGTTACTCTTCCGTTGTAGAAACCCTTTCCCCGCTAGCTTGCGTCGTGATAGTATTGAACAGAACTCGGATTTCTCTAAATCCAACGAAAGCAATGACCGACCAAGCTATCATATGCCAAAACAGTCTGAATTATCCGGAGCTTTGGGGGGGTTTATTTCAGCGACAAGCTCGAGATTATCTTTATAAACACGTTACACCTATCCTAACGATGCATTCATGCGCCTTCATATACAGTCTCTAAACACCAAGCCACCAATCTATCCACCGTCCATTTCTAGAACCACCAATAAAGGAAGGTCGCAGCTTTCTCTAAGGGGTTTCTCCCTCTTTAGTACTTGAATTGGTTTTGGCCTCAGCAGCCTCCAACGCACCCGGCTCCAACAGATCCACGCCTAGCCTTTGTGCTTCCTGGACCTCCCTCTGCGGCCCAACAAACCACTTCCTAGCGCTCAACAACCAAACGCCCAAACTCCCCACAGCAATGATTCCGACCGCAACCACAGTATAATTCAGCGTCTGAGTCCCGACCGGGTTGACCGTCGGCAGGCAGAAGATAATAGTGATAAATCCTATCCAAGCTACGGCTATAAATGCTACAGGTCGCGAGAAAACGCCAAGGTTAAAGGGTCCTTTGCGCGCATTGAAGGAAGTGGAGTAGATAAGCCCTATGAGGATGGGGATTCCGTATGAGATGTAGAGACCGATTGTAGCGATAGAAGTAGCGGCGGCGAAGGCGACAGAACTACCGAGGGAGGGGAGGGAGAGGCAGAAGGAGAGGAAGGCGGCTAGCCAGACGGTGCGAATGGGGGACTTAAAGCGGTCGTCTACTTTGTGAAAGAATTGAGGCTGTGTAGGTCTGTTATTAATTCCCTCTCCACTCTGGCATTGGGGGATATTAAAGGAGGGACAGGCACCAATGGGGGCTAGGATAAGAGACTTACGATTCCACCATCACGGGCAAATGCGAACATCATCCTCGAGTTCGACGTCATTGAGAAGAGCCCACAGTGCCATACACAAACCATAATGACACACATCAACACTACCGCACCGTCATCGCCGCAGATATCAACGAAGATTTGTAGCACGGGTTGTCCAAAGGAGCTCTCCACCGTATTTTTCAAGTCTTGAATGGAGAACAAGAAGGACATGAGGACGAAGAACCCAAAGAGGGAGGAGAATCCCACCGAGCTGATGACCCCTATTGGGGCTGACCAGGAAGCTTTCCTCGTTTCCTCGGACAAATGGGCAGAGGCATCGAAGCCAGTTAGTGTATACTGGCTCATGAGCGCACCGCAACATGCTACGTAGGCGGGAGATGCGCGGATACTCCATCCATCAGCTCCGTCTGCTCCCGTGAGGTCGTTGAAACTCGCAAAGACGAATTTGGCACTCTGGTGCGTGGGAGCCTTTGCTAGGACGGCTATTGCAAGACTTGTCACGCCGACAGAGTGGAGGAAGATGGAAGTATTATTGAGATACCGCAACACGCGGACGCCGAATGTATTTACCACCCCGTGGGAGATGAGGACGGCGGCATAGATACCAACTGTTTTGCCGGCGGTAGGGACATAGGCCGATTTGACAGTAGCGGTGGTGGAGATGAGCCCTGCGCAGCCGAATGAAATACCTGTTGTGACAGCAACTTGACCCAGAAGATTGAACCTTTTTTGATCGTTAATTAAGCCCCGGGTATTGAAAGACGAGAAACTGAGATATGGAATCGGGTTCCAATACGAACCAGCCTGTGATCCACGACGCAAATGCGGAGTGCTTTGCTGGCGCAAGCATTGCCGCCCAGTAATATGGCCCGCCAGCTGTAGGAATAGCAGACACAATCTCTGCCATGCCGAGCGCAACAAACATGGTAAACATGGATACGATAATCCATCCTACGGACATGACTGATGATCGATTAGCCCCTATTCCTATAACTGACGTCAAGGTGTTGGGGGGTAGAACGTACCTCCTGGACCACCAGTTGTGAGGCCGTACTGGAAGAGCGTCGTTATACCCGTAATTACTGACTGCGTTTCTGATCAGCATAGCTCTGTAATGTTTACCTCCTCTTCTTCAATGCCAAAGAAGAACTAGGTTAAGTCAGACATACGATAATAGAAAATGAAATGCCAAAATTGTGCATCAACCCCCAATCTCGGCGTAGTTCTTGCTTGTACCCAAACTCGGCCAGCACCTCCTCATCATTTTCATTGACAGTCGAGTGCCGCCGCTCAAGAGCATTCTGAGGATCCGTCATGGCCGTGATGCCCGTGGTGCCTATGTTTATCTTGGTCGTCGCCAAATAGCAGCAATTTCTCAGTTCCTGAAAGCAAATGCAAATGGCTAGTGCAAGATAGACAATACAGAACGAGTAGAAGTTCAGAAAAGCGTCATGGTGGAATTCTGGGAATCTACGAGGAGCAAAGACCCTGGGGGGGGCATGCCGTGGCCAGGGCACCTTGCCATACTACCTACCTAGGGTCTGTACCAGCCTTGATCATCGTTATCGCACTACGACGTACATACCAAGGCACACGAGCACTACTCGAGAAAACCCCGTTACTTGATCCTTTAGAGGTAGGGAGAGTGTAAGCCGAGGGCGATCGACCTGCCTGTTCGTGTGACCCCGCCCCCACCTCCGATCGCCTCCTATCACGGCCGCGATAACAACTGAGATAATGGATAATGTCAGAGAGCGAGTACTGATAAACATAGAGATACCTGGTAGGTAGGCAAATAATACCGAGAGCGCCAGCGTCGGCTGTACATGTACATAAGCACCAGCACCAGCTCTAGCGCTAACTCTAGCTCTTACGGCCCTACGGAGTATAGAAGGTACCTAGGTACCTATACCTTACTAAGTACCTAGGTAGGTACTCTCCGTAGACCGCTCGACTTGTACTCAGCCGTTAGACAAAGCAAAAGATATGCGATAGTTAGGCTGGCAAGTGCCTAGTTTTAGTGCTGTCAGCACCAGGGGTTCGGCTGGTTAAGGCGATAGATACTTAGTCCATGTGGCTTCCACTAGGTACTGCATGTACAGTGCGTGGCTTCGTTTAAATTCTCTGAGGAAACCCACGCAGGATGGTATCTTATATGCCGTATGATATGTACAATAACATGCCCCGGCTTTTTTGATGCAGTTCCAATATCCTTTTCAGTGCCTGGAAATGCATGTACCCAAACCGCCCCATCCCCCAAATACGCCTTATTAAAAATGACGCTAGGATTTTACATCTCTTGATTCCTGGCGCCGCGTCTTCATATCTGCGTACTCTGCAGGCTCTCGGAGACCTCTTCCATTTGCAACATGTGCCCCATCTTCTCAATCTACAAGATGGTTAGCACTGAGCGTGGTTTCTTCTTCTGCCTTTCAGATATAATTACCTTCGTCTTTAAATATCCACCCACCTCCTGGCTGCGAATCCCACCAGTCTTGCCTCTCCAAGCAAGCGGGATCATCGGTACCCTCTCCCTAACAACAATTTCCCGATTCGGCCCCTCTACAGCTCGCACTTTATCGGGGTTATTTGTAAGGAGTTGGATGTCCACCTGGCCCAAATCCCTGAGCATTGCAGTTGCAAGGCCATAACTCCTCGCATCAGCCGGATGCCTGAGTAATAGATTCGCTTCGACTGTATCTGAGCCCAGATCTTGCAGATTATATGCCTTGAGCTTTTCGCCCAGGCCGATACCACGTCCCTCCTGCCGGAGGTAGATGATGACTCCGCCACCTGACCCAGGCAAAGACATCAATCGGGCGGCTTCATCGAGCTGTTCCCCGCAGTCGCATCGCGCCGACCAGACTGTTTCGCCGGTGTAGCATTCCGAGTGTATCCTCACTAGCACGGGCTCTTCTGCCTTTTGCGCGATAACTTTGCCACTTGGGCTTTCCCCATCCTCGTTTTCTGGAGCTCGTGAACTTGTTCGTCCAGGGTATAATCTACCAGTATAGGCCCCCCGAATCAATCTATCCATGTCCGTTTCGCCCTCTCTCGGACGGTCTAAGCTCGTACTCCGAATGCCATTCCCAAAAACAATTGCTAAATGCTCCTTGCTATCCTCACTATTTTGGTAGAGGTGTAGAAACATTTCCGTTCCGCCAATTGTTGTGGGTATCCGGGCTCTCACCACGCAGTTTACCTCGGGCAGCTCCTCGAGGAGCTTAGGCTTTTTCTGTCCACATCCGCCATTGGGCACAGTGCTATCTACCACGATGGGCTGCGGTATACGCTGGGTAGATGCCCCGGGTGTCGAGGGTGGGGTAAATGCGGGAGATACGAGTCCCGGGAGGGATGTATCTGTTTCTAATTCTGATTGAAATTGGGAAGTGGCGGTCGTCGATTTGAGCGGGGAGGCCATCGTGGTGTGTGACTGTGTTGAGCTAAGGGAGTTGAGATCGAGTTCGGAGATGGCGCGCGAGACGGGAATCGGTCGGGGAGAGTAGAAAGGCGGAAGTTGGAGTTGGGAGACTGTGTCGGATTCGTCATGGTCATGGTCATGGTCATGGTCCTGTGGATGTGGATGTGGATGTGGATGTGGCTGCGCATGTGGATTCCATGACGAGGGATGAGATGGTGAGTCGAGTTTGGGCATTGTTGTTTGGCTTTATGGATAATTGGGCGGCATGAGTAGGTTGTTGAGGTGAGTTGTGGACCATGGGCTATGTTGTAGGTAGGTAGAGATCGTCCTAAGTTGTTGCGTTGTCGGTTCGTCGGGTTGTATAATCAGGATGGCGGCGATGGGAGTTTTGACGGCCGAGGTCGATCAACCCATTGGATGACGGAGCACACGGCGGCGACCTTAGGTAATCACCAACCCAGGCCCCACGTAATGCTGTCTAAGCAGCGTATAATTCTTATAATTATTCTTATAATTGGTGTGGAGTGTAGGTACCTTAGGTACCTAGGCTTGTAAGTACTTCGTATTCTACATTCTATGGAACAAAGATAAGTACCTGGGTACATATTTCTATTATAATACAGGGAGTGCATCGCAGCAATAAAGTTGACGTGGGAGAGAGTCGCCTGGAAAGGGGACAGCTAAGTACGTACCGCAGCTGTTTCGCACTCAGTCTCCTAGCCTCTAGCTTCTGGCCATAACGAAGCACTTTGCACATTATAAAGGTTCACTAAGAAAGCAGCCAGTAACCATCCAGAGTTAAAAGATATAACTATTAACCCACCCCCCATAAGGCTTGATGATAACCCGGTCGAACAACACTCTGCAGCTAGTACGAGTAAACAAAGCAGAGAACTGTCCCGTCGCATACCAATTACTGCCCACATCACTGAACATAACTGACTAGGGACAACGGCGCCTTTCCAGGGGATCTTGAAGTCTTAGGTCCTGAGGTCTTGGATCTTGAAGTCGTGCTTTGGGATGAACCACCTGGAACACCTCTGGCGCTTGCGAAGTAGACGCCTGCGGTTAGCGCTGATCATGTGATTCAATCCGAGTTTATCCGCCCAGACGCGACTTCCCAAGACCGGCGACGCGTCGACCTCTTCTCATCGTTCTTTCTGCACAATCACTGTCAAAAGCCGGAAACCTCGTCTTCCTATCAACCACAAGTCCCGGATTTGTCCCAGCTACCCCATTTGATGCGTTCGATGCGTTCGACGCGCCTTCCCCAACCACGACGCGGCTGAGTGTTCCATGCCCAAGTTTTGCTAGTCGGAAATTGCCGGTAGTCAACCCCAACCAGAGAATCCCCTCCCCCGGGGACTACTTCCAGGTTCCAGAAAGACGTCAAGATGGTTAAACCTACTGTGCCCGGTGTCTACTCTGCGACATACAGCAATGTATGAGCTCTTTCTTACCCCCTTGAACCGCCGACGACCTCGAGTCTAACCTATTCTAGATTCCCGTCTACGAGTATCAGTTTGGAGAAGGACTGAAGGAGCATGGTAAGGCTGCAGAGCCTTCCTTGGACAAAGTCCCCGGAGAATATCTACTAACTTCGGACTTCAGTTATGCGCCGTCGCCATGACGATTGGATTAACGCAACGCATATCCTCAAAGCAGCCGGGTTCGACAAGCCTGCAAGGACAAGAATTTTAGAACGGGAGGTTCAAAAGGAGAATCACGAAAAGGTCCAGGGCGGATATGGCAAATATCAAGGTCCGCTAAGTTCAGTTGAAGGGTGTACGGGGAAATGTGCTGACTTGTGCAGGGACATGGGTATCACTTGAGCAAGGAGAAGCTCTGGCTCAGCGAAACAATGTGTATGAGAAGCTTCGCCCAATCTTCGAGTTTACCCCCGGCAACATTAGCCCACCTCCAGCCCCAAAGCACACCACAAATAAACCTAAGGCCCCTAAGAAACCCGCGGTTCCGAAATGGGGAAGCAGTGCGTCGGCCCTTGCGTTTGCTTTGAGACGTTACAGCTAACGAAATAGAACCAGTGGCTCCGGCGCGTGTCGTAGAAGACGACTATGACAATATCAGTGCGCAGCTCAATGATGATGAGAGTGTGGCCGACGATACTACGGTGGCTTCGGCTTCGTTCATGGCAGAAGACGATCGTTATGACATTTCCCAGGCATCAACAGGACATCGGAAGCGTAAGCGCGAAGAGCAGGCCCAAAATGCGCTTGATCAAGCTCATCTCAGCTACGCCGATGAACTCCTGGACTATTTCATGACATCAAACCTCGCTATGTCTGCCCCAAGACCGGAACCGCCGCTGAACTTCCAGCCCGACTGGATTATTGATCAGGATGGACATAGCGCTCTACATTGGGCTGCTGCAATGGGTGATGTAGATGTCGTGAGACAGCTGAAGAGGTTTGGCGCGAACTTGGCTGCGAAGAATGCTAGAGCTGAGACACCGCTGATGCGGGCCGTTCTCTTCACTAACTGCAAAGACAAGCAAACTATGCCGCAGGTCGTTCATGAGCTGCTCGGAACTATCGAGGCTACTGACTTCTGCCAAGCTACGGTTCTCCACCATGCTGCCGCATCCACTGTTAGCTTGACCAAGCATAGGGCTGCCCGTTACTACTTAGATGTCATTCTCAATAAGATGCAGGAAATGTTTGAGCCTGAACATATACAGCTGATCATTGACGCTAGGGACGTTGATGGCAACACTGCTATCCATATTGCTGCTAAGCATGGCGCTCGGAAATGCATTAGAGCGCTGATGGGACGCGGTGCCCGGACGGACATTATAAACAATGACAGAATCACAGCGGAGATTTTGATACAGGAAGTAAATGAGAAGCACCTGCGCGAGCTTCACCAAGGATCGTCGTCACCTTATGCTCCTGTAAACCCGCCTTCTCAAATACTTGCCACGAGGGATTCTGCCGACAATAACTCCGCAGATGGATATGAATCTCCTCCACACAACACCCGGAAGTCCAAAGCCCAACCACACTATTCGGAGGCTGCTATGTCTGTTGAAAAGAAAGTCTACCCGCTTATACAAGAGAAGTTCGGGGAGTTGGCAAAGTCATTTGACGAGGAGTTGAAAGAAAAGGACACCTCTGAGCAGGAAGCTCTACGAATTGTGAACACTGTCCATACAGAGCTCAATGAAATCCGTGAACGAATTCTTGATACGGGCATGGCGGCAGATGACCCGCACACTCAAAATGAAGTGAATTCACAGCTAGCCCCTGCCGAGCAGAATATCACGTCTTTAATTGAGCAGCAACAGCAGTTGCAGTTACTGAGCCGGGCCAATCACGAAGAAAACAAAAGCAATGGGCATGTAATGCCAATCGAGGATGACCTTACTGAGAGACTTACGTTGGCAAAGATGCTGGGTGAAGAGCAAGGCAGGAGGCAGACGCTGGTAGCCCTATACAGGGACGCCCTGGCTGTAGCCGGTGATGTTGGTGAAATGGGCGAAGTCTACCGCAAGGTGATTGCCGACAGTGTCGATGTGAAGTACACCGAGATCGATGATGAGATCGATAACATACTAGAGGCTATGCAAGAAGAAGAACTATGCATGAGGGGCGAAATCGTCATGGGTAGTGAGGTTTAACTTGTTCAACTACTATAGTTCTGTTGACGATGCAGGTTGTTTGGTTGATGGAGACCGTGGAACTGCTCCTTATTTCGGGGTTTTCTTCCTGACTTGGAGTTGGGAGACACTGGCATGTCGGCATACTGTATTATCCCGGGTTATAAAACGTGGCGTTGGGGAAAGAGGCTTGGCTGGTGCGAGGCATCCGTCTCCTTTGGAAGCTTGCTATTACTGGGTTACCTGGCGTTCGGCGTTGTTAGCTTGGTGATATTAACATTTACAGTCCCAGCAGGGCACCCGGAGACTTTGATTTTATGCATACTATGCACAATACAATCATAATTGACACAGTTATCCACTACCCTCCCAGTGGAAAAATGGACTTATTTCCGCCAATATCCTCGAATTTTAGAGGAGGTTACATTTTCCATATTAAATCGTGCAGCCTATCCTCGAAACCAATACACAACATCTTACCAATAGTACGATACAACCCCACCATTTTGGATAATATTGTTGGCAACTGCCACTTCCATTTTCGAGCATGCTTATTTCTCCTCAACTTTGGACAAAACTCCAACCGAGAGTATATTGAAATTTGGATTTCCCTCCGACTTCAATCTTGACCAAACTATTCCACAGACATGTCGAGGGGGAAGTTAACTTGCACGTCGTTTTATTCTTGGCATTAGTTGTCCCATATGTTTTGCCGCTAAATGGTTATAGCCTACTTATGAATTTGACGTTTTAGACATTCGCTCGTTGCTTTTCCCATAACAGTGACCCCGTCCTGTACGTCAGTAAGGGTTTCTTGACATCGTACGAGAACCAGTCATCCAGATAGATCTATCATTAAAACATATCACTTCAATGTCGACTTTGTAAGCAAGATTGGGTTAGCCTCGTTGCTTTACTGAAGTTGAACTCATACGACAATTCAGCTTAAATGCCACAGACTTACCCTATTTTGACGACATCTATCACGGAGGTGAACCACTCCTCGTGACATTTTGGACAACCTATCGTCGGTGACGGAGAGAGCCGAAGGCGGTCAGTGCCATAATTTTCCACGGCACATCACTCAGCATATAAGGAAGTCATACAGTGCCGATCGTGTTCGGATTTTAGTCGCCAAGGTCAGAGTCTAATCGTTCTTAAATAACTAGGCTTATGGGTAGTTTTCTTGAGGTCTGTAGCTTAATCTGAACCTTCTTGTTCTGAAAGCTCGGGGTTTGCACCACGGAAGGGGTTTTAGTACAGTAGCGCATTGGGGCTCTTGATGAGATATGCATATTTCTAGGGGGCTCAACATTGTTCATTATTCGCTGCGACTCGAGGCTGGGTAGGGAATGCGATGGCTTCTCTGGCACTCGCAGATTGATTAGACAGACATATATTCATAATACAATTAAGTAAAATTGACCTAGAAAATTAGGCTTTTAGAAGACAGGCTATGGGCACTCTCCGGCGTTGAAAGCTATACAACATATGCCTGAACTATTTTAAGTTGTAACTTGACTAACATAGCTGTTTAATAACAACGAACGTGTATATAGTATATATCTTTTGCTTACGAGGGAAATTTAGCTTTGCCTGTGACCACCAGATAGCTAGTATAATTTACTATATCTACAAACTATTTATAAAAAGCAAATGATTGTTTAAATACAGAAAATAAATGCAATAGCAAATATTCACCTAGGAGCAAATCCTTATGATTAATGACATAATACTATGTGCTCTTGCTAGAATCTGAACCAAACCCAATATTTGAGTTGTTCTTCCCCTATTTACCTCCGATCATCGGCCTAGAGTTTTGTGACAATCCTCCATAGTGAAGTATTGAGGCATCGTATTCTTGACGAATTGGGAGCGCTGCCCGCGTACCTGTGCCGTAGGCTTAAATTTGGGGGCCAAGCTGTGATGCGGCGGGAGCTGAAACTTTCGGATCGCTTTAATAGCCACTTCATTTAACATCCCCTCAAGACATCCTCATCTTCTCTCATCTGCTGAACTTTGACGGACCAGATCTTACGCCATACGCTGAGCTATAATAAAGCGCGATACGGCCGCAATGGTACTGAAGCGCAATGTTCGCGGCGGAAAGCCGTCGGACTACCCACGATGGCCATTCCACGGCTTGCGAAGCGCGCAACTGATCTCCTCGATGGTAGTTAGCGGGATAATGGGTTATTTTATGTACTATCTCCGTAAATCCCCCCGCTTTATATGTCTCTCAGATCGGACAACGTGAACTAACTTGCCTATGCTAGGCATGGGGAACATCGCAATCCCCTGGACGTTCATCCTCCTCCTCACCATCTCAGTAGCGACGCTCATCTCCCTCCTCGTCACAATCGTCCTCTATAACTTCACGTTTCTCTCTCCCCGCTTTAATCTCATACTCAATGGCGGGATAGCTTTCTTTTGGGCACTGGGCTTCAGTATGCTGTCGTGGTCTATTAGCACTTCAAATGTGTTGGGAAAGGCCTGTACTCGGGATGTTTGGGACGGGGATGCCGCGGCAAGCGTGTGTCGGGACTATAAGGCATTATGGGCCATGACTCTAGTTGGGACGTAGGTCTACCTTTTGAGAATTGTTCCTTTCCCCCTTCATCTATGCCCCGTGGGCCCCACCCAACTCATGCTGACATGTTACTCCACCGTAGCGTCTCCACGGCACTAGCCCTCGCCCTCGATTTCCACACGTGGAAGAAATCCACACACCGGGGCACCTATGTCCTCCCCGAAGATGACAAGTGCGCGCAGAAACTGAATGATCTGAAGAGTGTGCAAGCGACAAACGGTGATTATGAAGTGCCAAAGGACCAGGCGAGTGTAACTGAGGACACCGAGACGCCCACGCGATGGCATCAAGAGGCGGATATAGGGTATCATAACAGGTATGGAGCGGAGGAGACGCATGGCCCGTTGGAGGCGGAAGAGAGGAACCGTCTAGGGCATCGTTGAAAATTCCTCGGTAAATAAGGAGATAGCGTACAAAGGGAATTGAGGAATGTGTGTCTTGGGCTATAAGGGAAAATATGCTATGTATTATAATGCTCGTTTGAGAAGGTTTTATTCCTGTGGGGTTGTCGAAGATACATTGCATATATCATGTTATACCTTAGTAACTCTCCATAGGACTCCTACTGCCTCATATTGTTCTTAGGCCTAGTTTTGTAGCCACTAGGCTTACCTGCCTTGACCTACGCACGAGCTCTATTGAATGAGTATATAGTAACACAGCAGCGATGGGTAGGAAATGTTACTAGTATCCACCACCAGTACCGTTTAAGCCTTAATAAAGACGCGAGGATGTCACACCATGGCGGACGGAAGGTACTGGGGGAGTTAGGATACGCCCCGCTCAAAGTTCAAGACGACATGATTACCAGTCAGTGTTTTATTCAGGAGGCATATCTGTTAGTCGGCTGCCTCGGTTTTGGCCGGCGCAGGTTCAACAGGATTTCATGTCCCTTCATATTTGATCCCCAGAAAATAAGGTAAGGTTGATTCTGGCAATGGCTGCTTGAGTGCACTCTCGTTAGCGTTTTTGGGTTGGGAAGGATATAACAGTTAGATTGGGTATATTTGAGAAAGTGGCCCGGAGACTAGTAGTGTGTCATACGATTACGCACTGCGTATGTTGTTTCGGAGTGGTTTACTTTCCTCACGATAGCATACGTTTGGGAGGTTCCTCATACAAATAATGGGCATTTTGATAATCCCGGTATAGGAATGCTTTGAAGTCGCAGGGTTTAGTAGGACTCATCGATTTGAGGCGACCCCTGTATTCCCGACAAAGGGAGAACGAGAACAGGACATCAGGACTCCCGGTCTGACCAATTCTGGATATGGCTTAGAAGGAAAGGTAAATCTGGGGAGTGGGGACTTGGGGAGAGGCACCGTTAGCAACTTGGCTTGAGCTTCTGCTCAGAGTCAGACCACCTCTACTACAGTGCACTTGCATCACCCGATGAGTGGTGGCCAGTCTGGCGGTGACCGAGAATTATGGAGTCATGTTGAACCCGCAAATCATGCAGCAATATCGTTGTTCTGCACTTGCAGATATAATGAAAGCCGATGGCGGATATTTCCAGTTGAGGCTGAATACGTTGAATCATGATTCAAGACTTGGGACGACAGGTTCAACATTTTGATACGAGGTGCTACAGCACTTGGATGCTCTATTAACTTGTCATTGATGACCACGACTACAAGAACCATGGATGAGATGCAATGTCATCAGAGAGACTCAAGAATATCTGGGAGCTTCGTGGGACGTATGGTCACTTTGCCAGCCAAGGATAGACAGAACATCGCAGCCTGAGCCAAGAACCATCGCGGAGAATTCAGACTCGGTTGGAAAGCAAAGTTCTGCCTAGTCGGCTTGACTCTTGAGCTTGAAATAGATGCGTCTTTTTTTGGCGGAAACATATCGGGGCTACCCTGGCGCCTTTGCGATCTATGGGATTAGCACTTCCTACTAAGTTCCTAGGCAGAGATCATTTTAAAGCTCTTAGCACTGCTAAGGCTAGTCCCTGGCGCAGGCGAGGGGGCGCACCGCATTGTTGAAGTTGAGCCCGCTGAGCCTTGGACTGGACGTCATGCACAGGGATGGCTGCGATGGCTGCAGGATCTTGAGACCCAAATCGAGGATCCCATGTGCTATTCGGCTTGCGCCGAGAGTGACCGGTAATGTAAATAATATAAGTAGGGTTGGGGTCGAGGAACCAGCGAGGATGGATGGGCTACATGGTTTGCAAACCTGCATGAAAAGAGGGTGGGAGGAGGAGGAGGCGGAGGAAGAGGAGCAAGAGGAGGAAGAACCCAGGAAGAACCCAGGAGAGGCGGTGTCCGTCTAAGCGCCTGAACCGCGGCCAGCAACGGGTCAGCGACTACGAATACTATACTATACGTAGTACTAGAGTGGCAATACAATACAGTCGGTAGCACAGCCTGTGCAGTATCAATACAACAAACGTCTGGAAAGTAAGTAAATAAGGTAGGGACCTAGGTATAAAGTAGAGAGAGAGAGAGAGTAGGGCCCCGAAGGGGCGGGCACGGTGGTTGAACTTAAGAGTAACAATTTCATAATAGTACTGGTAATGGTTATTAAAACAAACAGTAATAGTAACAGCAATAGCCGTAATAACAATAAAACAATTATCATCTCGGACTACTCATGCTACGTAACGGCGCAAATTAAAGGTCTCGGGGACGCCCTGATTGGCCGCCTCGGGCAACGTTTACACCCAGCCGATACCAGTAGTTGGTTGTTGTCCTCTTGTTGGCCTCCTGCACCTCCTGTTCCACCTCCACCTCCATCTCTTATCTCTTGTGTATCTCAATCTGCCGTTCGCGCTTCCACGTCCCATCCTTTGGCAGGCTAAGCGCGCAACCCTGGATACGCAAATCGGCAAAACCGAACATCGCCAGCAATCTGACGGCCCTCTCTCTCCCAGAGGAGTGTCACTATGTGGTAACCTAGTTCTATCCTTGAGTGGGCTCTAGCACTGTGCCGCCAGGACTTGGGAGCAGTCGAGGCCCCGCGCTGATGATGATCATTTCAGATGTCCATGGTGGGGTATTCCGGATATCCCCCCCTTGGCTCAATTACCGTACACCGGGTGGTACCAGTATCCGGTCGATACCTCTGTCTGGTCAAAGTGCTGCTCTGCTCTGCATAGTACTTCGTCCGGTAGCTAGGACCTAGGGTCCCAGTAGTCTGCCCAGCTGCCTGGAACCCCGCGACGGCGAGGTTGACACTACTCCATGCACATCTGTGGCATCTGTGGCCGGGCTGGCCTGAGTCCTGCTGTGGCGGCATTAATATTGGCAGGCCAGGTCAGGCCAGCGTGCGACCAGAAAAGCCCTCAAAAGCTTGCATGCACGTCTACCTAGAGTCCCAGGGGCCCTCGACATACGGACTTCTGCGGTTGTTTGTTTCTGCGGCGCATACTCATACTCTATCATCTCTCAGGAGCACAAGGTGCCACTGAACTCTGGAGCAGCTGCGCTCTGCTCGCTCGTACCCGCGTTCTTGGTTGCTGCTGGCCGTGGCGATGCCCAGCGGCATCGACAGGCCCGCAGATCCATCCCATTATGCGACGGAGTATTTGCGATTGCTGTTCCAGTGCACCGTCGAGGCGTGGGCTGGGCGTGGGCGTGGCTCGAGATCCTGAAACCTTCTAAGTGGCTTGCGGCGCTGCTGAAATCGCACTCTTTGATCGGCGTATACGCAAGGATGTTTACGGCTTTTAGGTTGTCCCCTGGTGGCATTGGACAAGCAGCAAGGCGCCCGCTATTGCCGCACCACGGACCCCAAGGGGTCCCCTCCTCGCATCTCCCTTCCCCCTACGAAGTCCAGTAGACCTCCTTGGTACTCTACTGTGCCAGACTGCCAGTGCTTTGTACGTGCTTGTGCGGAGGCATCATCTGGTGCAATCTTGCCATGTGCCGATTGACGATTGACAGGGTGCCTGTGCCGCAGCCTTTCCCTACCCGTCATCGCCTTCCAGCCATTCGGCACCGACCTTTTGTGTTTATATATACGCTTCTGCACCACGGTCTTATATACCGTCATTGCAGTCGTGTCTTTTGTACCACAATTCCCGGAGACTAGACAATCGCCACCATGAAGCCCAAGTCCAGCAATCGGTTCAGAGTCTGTGGAACACCGTCCAAGACCGGATGTATTACTTGCAAGTAAGTCCATCAAATGAACCCTCCGTAAATATTCGGTGCGTGCTCGCGGTGGCTAATACCATGTCGTAGAATCCGGCGTGTTAAATGCGGGGAAGAGAAACCCTTCTGCAAAAGATGCACTTCTACGGGCCGTAACTGCGATGGATATGCCCCGCCGAAAGCCCCTGATTCCTCCTCGCGAAGATCTACTCCTAGGTCGATCTCCAAAAGCCCCAGATATATCTCTGGCAGCCCCGAGGCCGGCCCTATGGAGCAGCGTCTGCTCTATTTCTTTCGGACGTTTACCGCGCCCAAATTATCTGGATACTTTTCTGCAGACTTCTGGGAGCGGAGAGTGTTCCAAGCTAGCAATGTGGAGCCATCTATCCAACATGCTGTCACTGCCATTGCCGCTATACATCAAGACTTCGTGGGCTGGCATCAAAACAAAGTCTTAGATCCCTCCATCCAGGCATTCGCCTTCCGACTCTATACCCAGGCCATCAGCCGCCTGCATCAGTTAATGTCTACGCAGTCGTTGCAATTGGACATGACATTGATTGCCTGTATCTGCTTTATCACGTTTGACTGTCTACTTGGAAACCAGTAAGGCTTTTGGACCCCCCAGCATTATGTTATACCTAGAGTATGCAGCTCTTTGAATCCTTTCTAACAAGTCAATAGCGAGTCTGCCATCATTCACCTTCGAGCGGGACTTACCATCCTAGAAGATATCAAGTTAAGGAAGAGCCCTTGCGCGCATGAATGGGAGAGGGAGTTTGCTCCACTGTTACTGTCTCTGGGAACGCAGGCTGCTTCATTTGCGAATCTAACGCAAGAAACTGATCGGTCATCTTTGTGGATGGCCTTGCGAAATGCTGGAATCTCGAATCCTTCCTACAACTTCCAGACTCTTGATGAAGCGCGACACTCCTTGGATTCTCTGGCAGCTGATATTACAGTTGATCGAGGCTCGAGTTCAAAGTGGGCAAATGAGCAGGAACTTCCCAGCCCAATAGGGCCGGACAATTTAATGCAAATGGCGTCAATAATTGCTTGGACAGAAGGTCTTGACAAGTTTTTGTCGGAGCCGGTTCCCGAGGGCTCAGCAACAGCGAACAAAATTCGACTCGGCGCCTCTCTACTCAAGTGTCACTCCCTTGTGTACTCTATCGTTATCGAATCACCTGGGTTAAGTGAGGGCAAATTTCACGAAGTCCTTCGTCACTGCGAGTATCTTGTGAACGCGAGATCAAGCTCCCCATTCCCCAACGAGGACCTGAGCTTCACAGCGGATATGGGACTAATCGCACCGTTATTTTTCACTATTTTACAAGCTCCGAACCCGACCATTCAACAACGAGCAATAGACCTTCTATCGCGAGCCTCGGGACGAGAAGGCATGTGGGACGCCAATGATGCACTTCGGATAGTAGGAGATGTCATAGGGGCCCCTAGTCAGAATATCGGTCTCGCCATAAAGCCATTTTTGACCAGTCCAACAGTCCCTCCAAGCGACGCGCGAATGCGGAATATTATGTCGGATCGAATGATATGGCCTTTCGGGGAGCGGTGCGAATATTCATCTCCCCACATGATGCCGTCGATGAAGTCGGAACCGGCATTCTCGTCGCCATATTTAGAACCAAATTCTGCCGTTTTCCCATCCCCGCAGACGACGCCTCAGTTTGTCATGCAGGGCAGCTCGACATTTGCATGTTGCACCCAAGCTTCGCAAGTTCCAGTGGCCGCGTCGGCTCCTCAGGTGTTGCAGCAACCGCTACCCAGCTTTGATTGGGTATCTTTTCCTTGACCTCATTACGACCGCGTTTTTGTAGCAGCGATACAATTATATGTACCATTAATGCCTATAGACGGAATTGGCGGGAGGATTCGGCGTTAGGACGGGACATTTAGACTTGATATCCATTTTGCTGGTGCACCACCACCGCCTGCGCTGGCTAATCTTTCTGCCGCCTAGTTAGTCTATCAAGTTGAGACTCTAAACATATATAAATCCAATTCCAAATGGCCAATTTCATACGCCATGCATGGCCTGGTACCATAGTGCCTCACCTCCTAATGTTGGTATCTTAGTTGTTCATCCAACTCGCATCCCGACTCCACCAGTAACGCCGCTACCCCATTCGCGTCGTCTCGCACATGGGTAGCTTTTACCGGGCTGGTCGAACAGTAGTTTTCCCATAGGGATTGCTTGGTACACAATGTGTCAAGGTGGATGACATAAGTCTGGGCAGCACCACCGCCCTGGGTGGTCACGGTTCACTCAGTCAGCCTTGTCATAGAACGGAACATTATTGACTGGCACGAACGGCCCGAAAGATTCCTGTTTTGGCGAAGCCCAAGACTTAAGCACAGTCCGCTATCCGACCCCGACCGCCACTCGGATAGTGGCCCTGCAAAAGGCCCGTCGACGGCCGGTCCGCCTACCCAATCGGGCCGGAGCACGGGCTTCCCGTTTCAGTATTCAATGCGAAGCTCCTGCTCCGTAGGTATTACTGGCACTGCTGTACTACATAGGTACGGGTTCGGGCCTTCGCAAAGTGGCAATACCTTAGGGCTGATATAGGGCACCGTTCCCCCAAGTTGTGATTTGATACCACCTGGTGCCAGCAATCTCCCATCTGTACGGTACATACTATCCGAAGTACAGTCTGAAGTATGGTATGTACGAAGTAGTAAGCAGTGTTACTACTCCGGCTCCACCCACATGGCCCATGGGCCATACCAGGCCGCAGACGTCAGGGTGCAAGGCCCAACGGTGCTACATTTATTGATGATGCATTATAGTATATCCAGCATCCTGCACCTGCATTGTTGTGCCGTCAAGTCGCCACTACGAAGTATACCCGGTGTTTCTCCCGGATGGGAAATGGCGCGGTTCACGGGCAGCGCCGCCCAGGGGTTGGAGGCACGCCGTGCGGCTTACGATCGAGGGATTCGAAAGAAAAGCTTCTAGAAGGGTGAAAGAAGGTTTCTCGGAGGATTCTTGAAGGCTTCTAGAAGGATTATCGAAGGCTAGGATTCTTCCTGCTAGCTGAATTGGATTGCGGCGTCGTGTAGGATTAGGGGTCTCATCGCTTATTCCGACGACCATTACCAATACGGTAAGACCTGTACCAAATACGGAAAGGTGCCCAGCCCCAAGGAACAAATCCCAGCGCCACGGAACAGACCGCTAGTCCCATGCTGCAGTACCAGGGTGCCTGACGAAGGGTGGCGGGCGATCCGGTACGACGTACTGGGTACTTCGGACAGGGCCTACAAGGCTACAGCGCCCAAGATACAGGGATACAGGAGAATTCCATCTGCATCGGTATTGGCATCTGCATGGCACCAAGAACAGAAATGTTCCAGAAGGATTATCGAAATATTCCATCGCAGGCTACACCCCTGCTGTACGCTGGTACCTGGTCCGTGGGCGGTCGGGTACGCCGGTTCGCCGGTTCGCCGATCTGCCGCTGTGTCGTGATGGACGCCTGGGGCCTCTTAAATCCTTCAGAATGGAGGGAAGGGTGTTTGACAACTTTCTTCTTTTCATGCGCCCATTCATTCATGCCTTCGTTTCTGCGCATTAGGCGGCGCCGGCCCTTTTGTTTTTCACCTCTCGTTTCATCCTGGCTTCTCTTGTGTTCGTTGTCCTCAATCCTTATTTAGCCCTATTGGTCCTTTGCGAGATGTGTACTTCTTGGCTTTGCATACTGGGGTGCTGCCAGCTTTGACGCGGTCAAGGCACGGCCAAGGCATCATTTGTTTCTAACCTGGTCTCTTGGGAATTGGAAGTTCCAGGTTCCTCGATCGAGCATCTCATGGGAAGTTGGCCACGGCGACCCCGCAGGAATCAAAGGTAGGACCTATCTAGCCACCACATACCTATGCAACGGCGATGGCGTCTTTGTTTAGCTTCACAAGGCCACAGGTCTCAGGCTGTATCATAGCCAAACGGAAGTTTCTGTTTGGAGGGGAATGGCATGTTCGGGCATTCTCTCAGCCATCTTCTCTCTCTCCCCCCTCCACGCTCTTCCGCTTGTTGCAGCTGCGAACTCACGGAGGTTCCAAATTGTCTGGTATCCTAGTAAGGAGTTGGTAAAAGCTAGCTAGCCCACTGTACCACGAGGCACAGATTGGAGTTTTGCTGGCTGAAAGTTCGTTGAATGTTTGAGGCAGAGGGTAAATGTGTCAAGGATTTTGGAGGCCTTGAAAACGATGGAACGAGTTGATTAATTCTAGTAATAGAAGTGGAGGAGAAGGCCTCATTATATACAGGTAAAAGTGGGTTATGTTTGCCACAGTGGGTATACTTCTGAAAACTCTGTAAAAGCCCTTATATTCGGTAGTGCCGAACCGCAACAAAATGTTAGTGAAAGGTTGTTGCCACAGGTCTTTTATGGGTGAAGAGCATTATTTCCTACATTTAGATTCTTACTACAACAGTTTGATGCAGAGGATAACAACTGTACTAACTATGCAACCCTCAGTATTCAGAGAGTTTACATAGATATCTCGAGATAACTATACGCTAATTGCTAAGGTAATAGAGGGTAGTATGGCTCACTGGCAAACTTCTTAAGCTATCAAGTTTGGCTATCTAAGAAGGAACAGTTTTTAGATTTATTTCTTCTACCCTAGCCCCATCGTTTAACAGGGTTTGTACCATTTGTTATCTGTTATGAATTAGTGACGGAGGCGTTACAAGCTAGGTCTTGAATTTTATTGGAGTCCGGTCTCCTTGTGTTGTATATTGATGTGGACTTTCAAGTATCCTTGTAAATCCGGGGTTGTGGTCCGACTTGTAGTCAATAAATTTCCGCTTACATAGCCTGCAAGCACTATTATATTCTCATTTTCAGGGCCGCACAGAAGAACAAAATTCTCTAGAAACCTATGAATGGAAGGATTCTCCACCATCTGAACAACGTCATATATTTTGTCGACCATAACATTCATAAGTTATTGATCAGTTCTTATACTTTTCAAACTCTATCGTGACAAAAATGAAGCCGATAAAGAAATGGGAGAGAGGAATGCGACAATTGACACATGGGGCGTAACGACCGAAGGAAGAAAAGGGGGTCCATCACACGGCAGAGACCAGTAAATCTGCGAAGCCCGAGCTAGATTTCACACCATCAGCAACAGAGGCGACCGCTCAATTCTGTGTTCTCAATATTTGACTAGTTCTGATGGTGTCATGGCCTTCGACAAAGGCATTTAAGTTACGAAGGCTTCAAGGTTGCCCTGAACTGGGATACCTTTCCCGATGAGTCTGCAATATGTAATGGTCATATTTGCGATGTCTTGGTAGAAATATCATACATGGTCTCAAGACTATCTTAGCGATAATGCACTATATAGGATAGTAACATCTCTGGGTTGGCAATACCATTTCTTTTGCTGATCCTGTGTATGTATGATGCATCCCGTGATGCTGGAGAAGAAACATTGAGAAGAAATACAGACACACTATGAACAAGTTACTAGTGTTTAGCTCCCAGCTACATCGGATCGGATTTAACAACAGCTGCATTAAGATCACGATCTTCTCCTCGGTATCCAAGCCCTTTATCGGCAGCCTTGCTTACGGTAATTATCCGAACTACAATGCAAATCTATCTTGTACTAACGACTGTAAAAGGGGAGGTAATAATGACTGCTACTCAACTTCAGTTAGACTACAGCAGGGAAGGGAGCTTAGAAGCTGCATAAGCTACATAACTATCAATGGCGGGATATAGTGTTATAGCTTAAGTATACTATGACTAGAAATAATATACCCTGAGCGCAAGCTGGCCTTCCACTCTGAGTATGTGGGAGCTATCAGGCATTGAAGTGACTAAATTTACCTGATTGGGGGTATTTGAGCAGTAAATCACAAAGTGGAGTACGGGTGCAATATGAATGTCTCCACAGCCAATTCAGAATTTGATATCACTGCTCGTTCTGGAGTATCTAGTCCTTCTATATGGCAAATAGAAGTATATACAATAACTCTCAGAAGTCACAGATAGAGATATAGTCACTTCCCTTATTTGGCTACATTATACACTGCACTAGCTTTTCCTGCCATTCCTCAAGTCGACTGATAAACAGCCACGTAAGCCGCCTTCATTCCAGCATTGAGAATTAAATACATGCTCTGCACGGCCATAGTATTCTAAGCCTCGCGATCGCCTAGATATAACCCTTTAACGACGTGAAACGGCTAGCTATCCTTATACCAGGTAATACTCTGGGTGCCCTAATCTTGGTCCGATCCGATAGATCAATAATATGGCACCGTATATGAAAAGCACTATAATAAAAAGTGACTCTGGAGGAAAACCCTATTGGTTCTTGGCCCTCCGGGTAGTGCAACGTGCTGTAACCTAGGGCATCACCGTTGACATTCTAGAATGTGTCGATCTCCCCGGATGCTGGCCATGATGTGCCGGGCCGCAAGCTCTGTCCTAGTGACTAGAATACTGGCCAGATCCCATGTAGTGGGGCGCTTGGGACGAGCTTGGACGATGAGTTTGTCTCCAGGAGTAGCAGCAAACGTAGCTTGGGATTCTAACTTGCATGAGGTACATTTTCACGTGCTGACGTCTTTTCGTGGGGCGAGGAGAAGGGTCTCACTGCCTGAGTGGCCGCAATTGCTTGCTGATGTCGTGTAAGTTTCTTGCTCCCCGTTGAACACGGCCCCAGTGTAGATATTCCATTTTGATGTTTCCAGGCCTGGGACATCGAAGTGATCAAACCAGATAACGTTGAAACCCGGGATACGTTGTTGTATGGCCGAGATAAGACCGGCAACGGAGGAGAGAACAACGAGGACAGTAAGCATTGGGGACGTAATGCAGCACTCGTAACAGAAAAAGGATACCTTTGTAGGACAGGCTGGCAGGACCTGAAGCGGAGAATCAAGCAGACCTGGGGAGAAGCTGAAAGAGAGAAGCTCCATAAGCTTGGAAAGGCATGACCGCATGCTTATCTTATACTATTAGCTGGTACTTATAGCTGGGGAAATGTGCAGACCAACAATTTCAGATCGACAATAGAGCATAAAACTCAAAACAAGAGGTAAACCACATCATCACTAAACTTCCAACCATAACCCTCGAATAGATCATATTTCCAATGAAACCCGCTCCCATAAACTTCATAGTTTTATATTTCCTTTAGCAAAGTGAAAATAATCTACTTAATGGCGCAGGCATTAGACTAACCAAACTAGCGAAAGCGCCTACGAGATCTGCAAGGGGATATGCAACCCTGTAGGTAGAAAATACTTGGAAAGTTGACCCGAGAGCACACCACCTCACGAGGTTTGCTAACAACAGCACTTATCCAAGTAGGACTTGAAACAGCTCAACCATAGGCGCAAAAGGAGCTTGCGCAATGTAACCACCCGATTGGCTCCGTGATGTCGGAGTAACTTGGTCACAATCTTGGAGTTCGAGGAACAGTAAAGCTCGTTTCAGGGCAATTATAGCTCGGTTGCTAGCATACACTTCGAGAGTATCCCCTTTCTCCCTTTTCCTTTACTCGAACAAAATCCCCTTATAAGGCGATGGGTAGATCGGGAGACAGAATATATCCTCCATTAAATTAGTGACTATAGTGCCAATTAGATTAATTGTCACTAACCTAGACCTCAATAATAAGCCATACCTTAGTGTAACACAGGGTGTACCGTGCGTAAGCTCTGGACCGGGGAGGCGAGCAATAAAACAGGGGCAAATACTAATAAACCTCCATTATACACCCACTAGTTTTGTCCCTCACTTTAATACATCAGATAGCCCAGGATGCACCACTCAGCTAGGAGTGGCACGCACCGCCTCGAGAGCAATACACTCGGTTTAAGTGTGAAGCTCTCGGACTGTGTTTGATTGCCGGGTAGACATAAAGCAACAAACCGCCAATAAAACATCAAGGAAAGGGAATCCTTGCATTGCCACCTACAAATCTCAACAGCTGTATACATTGTAGGTTTTAGTGGGTAAGACACACTAAACAGCTACACAAACTCAATTGATTTGATGGCCATATGTAACTATGCATCAAGTATAACATTATACGCAGCTGCTATAATGGTTCCGTAGTTCCACTTTTAAAGAAGGATTAAATACCTGATTAACCAGCGACTCAGACTTCACAACCCACCTCTAAGTAGGGCCGTTCAGTGAAACTTGAATGAGGCGGTAGCCTGGCGGTCGGCCTGTTTATTATGGTATCTTTCAGGTACTTTCAATGGCGGGCGGGAAGGATATCCCTGGAGAGGCAGATAGGCCGGAGAATCCACATCCGCCTAGGACCACGATTGTTCCGAACGACTTTCGGGCTGCAAGCGTAGGTGGAGAAGCCACGTTTCTCGTAACGTGATGGGATACTCTGTTGTTGACAGTATGTCCTCACAAACAAGGGGTTTTCTATGTCAGCCTGCACGTGGACTGGCTCCAACTGCAAGTGCAAGGTAGTTTGAGGTTCGAGCTGTTTGCTCAGTCGCTAGGTGCGAGTTCTTGTGGATTCGTATCTGGTGGCAAGGCTCATGTAGTCAGAGATCCTAGTTGGAGGGCGGTACCTAAGTATGGATATTTAAAGAAGTATACTATGAGAAAGCTCGGAATATACCTGTTAGATTTCTATCAACTAAATCAGTAAAATAGCTGACGATGGGTGAGGTTCTCTCTAGACGTGAAAAGAGATTCGTATATTTCTATTAATACCCATGTGTCCAGACATATGCATCGCGTAGACATAACATCATATCTTTGTATTTTGCTTTTCGATTGTCTCCTCAACAAGCAGCCTCTCCATGCCACCTACTGATTCGTCATAAATGCCATTCTATCCCATGCATAACCTCCTATCTTTTTTCTCTCTCTCGATAGCCAGTCAACAAATGCAGCACGCGTTACCCAAGGCAAGCACTCTAAAGTCTATTAAATTGATACTTCGTTGTCAGCATTCCCAAGCCAGCATTATACCATGCGACTAGCCCGCAAGATTAGACGTGGAAGCTGAAGAATCAGAACCATCCGGCGCGAGACTTCCCTCAATCCGGCGCTTCGCCTCTGCCCTCTCGGATTCTGAGATGTCTTCTTCTTTCTTCCGCATATCAGGCGTATGCTGTCCTTGTGTAGGGTGATGCCCGATGGACATGCCGACTCGAATCTGCCATTATCAGCATGTATTATATAGGAGTAGTCGGGAAACTTACCAAAGTCTCCAACGCCCCGTTCGAATTATCCACTAAATCATCATCAAAGCGCATAACGCCTTCTTCGAACAGGACGAGAATGGTACTGCCTCCGAACTTGAAATAGCCAAGTTCCTCTGCTCTCTTGACATGGTCGCCAGCCTTGCGAGTGATGACCGTGCTACCTACCATCATGGCACCCACGCAGATTACCATAACCCTTCCATGGGCGACCGAGTCAATCGGTACAACCACTCGAAGATTTTCGCCATAGACGTCGAGCGCAGACCGGATGGCCATAGGGTTGACGGTGTAATATTCTCCCTCAATTGGCTTGGGAGTGCCCATCACGCCATCGACGGGGATGTGGAAACGGTGATAATCTTGAGGAGCGAGACGGAAGATTCCCAATGCACCATTAGTATAACGCTTGGCGTCTTCCGGGTAAGCGTTCCCAAGTAGCCGTTCGACAGAGAATTCTCTGCCCTTGACCCAGATTTTAGTCGCTTCATCCATTCTATTGAAAACGACGGATCGGCAATCGGCCGGTGAAACTATAATTTTTGGGTTGTCCGGAGCAGAGCAAGGCCTCGCACCGGGCTTCAGTGCTCTGTAGAAGAATTCATTGAAATTCTTAAACTGGTCGGTCGAGAGAAGGACCTCGCTCATATCTAGCTGATGGAAATTAATAAATTTCCCAATCTCAGCCTTGGAAGCGGGGTCGTCGTATTTGACGCCCTGCTTGAAGCTCAGGCCCCGAAGCAGTTTCCGAACTGATGTTACGTCAGCGACCATTCTAATATACGCCGAAAATCAATTGTATATAAATTTCGAAAAGACATACTTCTCTTTTTCTCCATGTCTCTAGATTTCAGTCCTTTGTATAGCAACCGAATTCCCAGCCTGACATACACACTCATGCGTTCTTCATTAATCTGACCAGTGATGCGGTCTTGGACAAGAATGTTGGCAGAATTGGCCCCGAGCTTGTAACCACCATAAGAAATTTTTGTGATCACTTTAGAATACCATTTTCTCTGAGCCTGACTTGATGTTACAAACCCAGCCATAACGATATTATTGACTTGACGCCAATCTTGACTTGCGCATGTTGCGATATGGGTGATGATATCGGTATCAGAGCGTTTGTTAAGACGCGGTTGGTGGCAGATTGGGCATTCACGGACTTCGACGACATGTTCTTCGCCCTTGTCGTTGAGATCATCTCGGTCCAAGAATTCCCCTTCCTCACCCGGGGTGCTCAGATCTTCAACATTCTGGGCGTCAGGTTGCTCAATCACTACAGTGGTCTCGCAGGTTGGGTTGGAGTCAGTTGTGCTGATATCAGACGTGGTTGGGGTTTTCCCGGCTGTGCCACCGAGGTGCGGAGTAATGTGGCTTCGGATTTTATCCCCAATCGTCTGCGGCTTGGATCTCTCAAGAAGCTGGTCTTCCAAACAGATCACAGCTTCGTCAAAGCTCAAGTCACCATTCCCTTCATCCCCGTTTGCGGAGTGATGTCCAAAGCGTTTAAAGAACCCATCAATTGTAGACTCCTTGAGAGTCGAGCCGAGGGTGTCCAGCATCGTAGTGAGCTCAACTTTGCTGATACGGCCACTCTCATCAGTGTCGTATTGTTTAAGCATTGACCTCCAGAATTGTTGACGAAGAGCTGGATATGGAACATATTTGGCCTTGATATATAGAGCTGGGCTGTGCTTCTCCTCCCATTTCTCGGCATTCTTTAATTTTAACTGGATTGTAAACGGATGCAAATTAGGATCGCCTCGGCTATTGAGCCCTTCTTCATCATCAACAGCATTGGATGGTGGGGAATTTTCCCCTTGCTGAAGATCGGTAGGAACTGATGTTGGCGCCAACGACTGTGTTGGCGTAGCCGCACCAGAGCTGCTACCGCTTACCATAAGACTGGAGCTGGACTTGGTTACTGGTACTGTCGGTCGGGTCAACTTATTTAAACTCTGTGATGACGCCGATCGCGACATTGGCAGTTTGAATCGAGATCTGTTCTGCTTTTCTAGGGGACCACTAGCGTCTGGAGGGTCCAGGGCATAGAGGCCAGTTTCGGGATCAGCCACTGGGGCGGTATCAGTGATCTCCTTCAGAGGGAGGACTGTGGAAGCAATAAAGTCATTTCCTGATAACTTGTCCCTATCAATCACGGTAAAGGACAGCGAGTATGCCTGTTCGTGTTTCAGGACTTGGAAAATCATCTTCTCGTTGAAAACGGGGTTGAGGTTGTGCCGAATAACCCGGGTGCGGTATGTCTTCTTGCCTAGGGAAGCAACAACAAACGGGTCCATATCAAATGATGTCCTGGTCATATTCCGTTCTGGCGGGAGATCCGTAATTTTCCCGATCTCAAGGAACACGATGCCGACGACTTCGCTCTCGCTATTGAACTCATAGGCACTCGCTTGCTTCTTCTTTCGCAATCTGCGAAGGCGTAGCTTGCGCCTCTTCTTTTCGATGTTCTCGGGTTTTGTGGGATCGTCGGTCTCATCGCTAGGCTCTTCGTCCTCGTCAAAATATTCCCCATCTTCGTCATCATTCGTACTCGTCAGCCTTGTCGGGGTACCGACATCGGAAAGTGCGACGCCTGCCAGGGTACGGAACTTGTCCAGGACCTGAGAGGGAGAAGCGGCAAGATTCGTCGAGTCGAATAGACTGAATTGAAGTTGGACCTCTCCAGATACGTTGCTATCTTTCTTCCCACCTGGCCTCTTGCTTCGAAGCCGATACCACGTAGGCTCGACTTCGGTCACCTCCCCGGAGAAGACCTCTTCCAGAGCGAGATCAAACTCGCCAAGATAGTCTTTCCCAAACCTATCCTTATCCCAGCAGACACAGTCGAGAAGTAGACAATTGGCGCCGGAGACAGGGAATTGGACGGTGACATTCCATTCTGGATTTAGGGTCTTGGGTACGGGTTGAGTTGCATTCTTTGAATCGCCAAGTGTAAGGACGAGATACTGCAATTCCAAGAGTCATTATTTTATTTCTCGCCTCGAAATTGGGGGTTGAGAATGGCAGTCATTGCTCACCGGATCCGAAGTGCCGCTCCTGTCCTTCGCCGCAAGATCGCGGGCCTGTAGGTTTTATCAGCAAAGCAATTGGGATGGGATGCAAGAGCTGGTCTTGGTTCACGAAGGAGCCTCCTTTACCTTCAGCGCCACGACCTTCAAGGTCAATCCATTGGCCCTGGGAGCTTCCGCATTGGCGTCCGGGCCTCCCGATGCGGACGGAACCTTCTTCATGCTGGGGATCGGGCTGGTGCTTCGACTGTTGTTCGTGCTATGGCTCGTGTATGATTTAAGACGGTTGGGCAAGATGTTGCGCACCATGGTGCAGTGTTCTCTGGTCGAGCGCCGCCGCAAAGATACGGGTTGCTGTCGTTGCTGGGCGGAGGGGCGGGCAGGGTGTGATTGCGGTGCGATGCGATGCGAGCGGGAGGGTGAGTGGGTGAGCGGGTGAGTAGTGGAATTGGGAGGGAGGTGTCCTGGCTCAGCTTAAGAGCAACGGGGCATTGGCATTCATTGGCAGGGCGACCTGGGCCAGCGTGTCGCTGGAGGGAAGAGAGCGGTGTGTATATGGTTGCTGTTGGCGCTGTTGATGGGCGCCTGGCGTTGGATTGGGCCGATCTGGGGGCGACGGTGTGAGAGGAGAGGAGTGGGAAGGGAGGCGGATAAAGAGCACAAAAACAACTTCAGGTGCGTGTGCTTGTGCTTGTGAGAGAGTGAGAATACAATACGAGATACAGCAGGTATAGTACAGTACGTCAGCTTCTTATTATACCGCAGTACCTAGGTACATGTACAGTACAGTTACAGTTACAGTTACAGTTACAGTATAGTATTAGTATTACTCTGCATACGTCCTTGGGGGCGGAGTATATAATTAGCACCAGAACCACCACACATCCACACTACTCCGTACGTCGTCCTGACAGGTTTCTGTCAGTATTCTTTATTATTTTGTGCTAGGAACTTAGTACGAAGTAGCACAAAGTAGTGAGAGTCGGGCTGCGATTCGACGCGGGGTGGTGGAGCGGGTAATCTTCGGCACCCCTAAAAGTGGGAGACGGAAGTACGGGCGGGTATCGAATATAATATTGATTAATATACGGAGTGGAGAGATGGGATGGGATGGCAGATATAACCGCGGAATGATTGACTGTGAGGCCAGGAGATTCAGCGAACGAGCATGTGGGGGTTTATGTTGACTTGATGACCGGGGACGCGCAAGTCTGGAATGTATGATGGGGTGCGCCATTTTGCGCGCGACCCTGTGCAACTAAGGCCCACACAGGATAAACTCCTTTCCAAAGCTATGGGATGGCAGGTCGGTATTGCTTGTATCTCCACATCCCAGAAGACTTCAAGATATTCAAAATATGGGCAGTGTTAAGCCGTTTCTATGTCACCTAACCGACATCGTTTCGAATCCGAACTCCTTCCCAACGCCAAGTTCGTGCCGTTTCTGGAATCTATGCCGCAACCTTCGCAGAGTACTTAGTCGCGGCCTTGTCGAATAATCCGCTCTTTTCTTCGAGGTCTTGGAGGAAATGATGTTCCTGTGTAACTGCGGACAAGGTGCTGTAAACAGACGAGCTGGTCAGCAACAAGCTATGACTGCTAGGGAGATATCAGAGCAACAGACCTTCTCAGCTCCTGGGAATCCTTGCCTGCGATCACATTAAGGACAATGTTATTAACCATAGCATCCGCGTCTTTGGGATCCTTAGCTAGCGCTTGCTGTAAAGCTGCCTCTGCTTCCTCTAATCGACCAAGATGGATCTCCGCTACGGCTTGTGATACTAGGCTTTGGGTTGACGATGTGGCAGGAGCTTGCGCAAGCTCCTCGAAAACGTAGAATGCTTGCTGGTACTTTTCTCCCCCCTGTAATCCTGTGTAAGCTAGGTACGAATATTTGGGATATCCTTCATGAAACCCACCACTCTCATTCCTACCCAGGATTCCGCTAGGTTTACAAGTAGGCTATCCTGGGCCCACCTTCGAGCTGCTTGTACCTCCTTGATAGCTAGATCATTGCGGTTTTGTTGAAGGTGGATTTGTACGATTAGAGCAACTGCCTCAACTGGTATCGGTTAGCTCAAGTCCTGATGAAATAATCAGTTCCCAGGAGGACATACGACTTCCTTGATGCTGTGCAAGCAAAGCTAAGGCCTCCTCGCTTTTCCCCGAAGCTTGCAGCACCGTCCCTGCTACAACCTGGACAGCAGCGTTGTCTGCCGACTCAGCGGCCAGCTGTTCCGCAACCTTCAATCCTTTTGCTTCATTTCCCGCGGCAAACTCAGCCAGCGCACCAACTGCAACCAGCTCCGGCTCCGACTCTCCCTGGACATCTGAAATGACATCCTCTGCGTGTCCGAGGGCTATCTGGGCGCGAAGGGAAAATATGCGGGCCGGAAGGGCATTCTTGGGGGACAGGCCGCTGATGTCGAAATCAATCACTTGCTGCCATTGGCCCTGATAGAAGTGGTTGGCCAAGTTGAGCAGCTCACCCTCGACAGAAAATGGGTCCATGACGTGCTGAGTATTGTAATTGTATGAGCGGGGATAGTGGCGCTGTACGGGGCGGTCCAGAATACATACGAAGTATAACCATGTACTCCAATACTGTCGAAATACGTGTTTGGAGACGGTGGTTGCGGCAGATTCTCGGAAGTATGGTGGTGGGCGTGCTAAAAATAAGCAGCGGCGCAACTTTGGGGCTACTGAACTCCAGCCTTTAAGCTGCTCAAGATCATCAGATTCGTTTAGTATAAAAACGACCTTCCGTACATCGTATCCGTCAAATCAGCGCTTTAATATCCATCAGATTAAATGCTTCTCTCTCTCGCCTTCCTTCGCAACGAATCAGCGATCCGAGATCATGTCTTCATTTTCCACCACCGACTGATTCGTCTGCTACCAAGCTTGAACTTCCGGAAGCCTCGCACAAAGTGCTCTTCTTCGTGTTCCACATAAGTATAAGGCCAGGCATGGAAGATCTCGTCATCGTTGACTCTAAGCTGGCCCCTCACATTGTCCCAGAAAGCTCTGGCTTGCAGCTCACCCCTATATTTAGAACCACCCATACCAATCGCCTTGACGCGCACCTCTTCATACAGTCTATTGAAGAGAAGCTCAGCTAGAAGTTCATCGCCATCGCCGTCGTCCAGACATCTCATCAAGGGTCTGTGGTTGAAGAATTGTTTCCATCTTTCAAGCCTCTCTTCCCCGGTCTCTTCATCCTCCCGTGGACAGTCTGTGTTGATCCGAGAGGCATCATCCGTTTGGTTGCTAAACAAGCTCTGGCTGTATTGACTGCTGCTCCGTTTTGGCCTCAGACTTTGAGTTTCCACATTCTCCATATTTTCATCCCTATGAATCTCAATGTCACCATCGCCGTCGCCGTCCATAGTTGGGATGCCGCTCAATGTATCGGATTCTTTCTGCGAGGTATTATGACCATAAACATTTGCTATAGTTGACCCTCCTGCCAAAATTTGTTTTCCCTGTAGATCATCGCTCCAGGACTTAATCATGGTTGCCAGAGGGCACTGTGGGCTTTGACGGCTACAAAGCTAAAATATCTGAAAGCTCGTTTGTTATATGCTAGCGCTGCCAGCGATAGTGCAGTTATCCATTATTTTATTTGTGTTAGGATGATTAACTTGCGAGGAGTCTATTCAGCCCTAAACCCAGGTATGACACCCCTATTCACACCCCGTGCTGTTACTATACTCTCGTGATTCGCCTTGTTGGTGAATTGATGTGTGATTGAAACATACCAGAGCTTGGTATTTGCCTATCACTCTCTACTCTAACGGGCAATTCTCTTGTGTCAGTGATTTGGTGTATGGAGTGTTAATTTTACTCCAACGGTATTCCAAGCCATCGTCGAACGAACAACTGCCCCTTGCTCCACTCCCACCGACCATCTCAAGGCACCATGTCCGACATAGCAGCTATGGAGAATGCCAAACAAGCCTGCCCAGAGCTTCAAAGCCTTCCCCAAGGTTGGAGCTTCAATCTCGATAATGCAAACCGGGTGTACTTTATAAAGGCCCAAGAAACCACCTACAACCACCCAGCTCTAGGGGGGTTACCGAAACCGTGGATCCTCATGCTTATCTATGGAGAAGAATTTCGGTCCTTCCGATATTACAACAGAGAAACTAAGGAACAAACAAGCAGAGATCCTCGGTACATGGACCAGACTTTGCAGTATCAATCAAAAGCAGCTCCAAGAGAGCTGTGGATAGCGGCGTCATCCCAGAGGAATAACAATATCGACCTGGCTACCATGCAACGGTCACCGATTGAGAACCATGATATCCGCGATAAGTATGAGAGGATACATACTATTGATCCCGGGGATGGCACGGTTGGTGGTATGAATGGCGGGGTTTATGTAGTCCGCATCAAGAATATACCGAACAAACTCTACATCGAGAAAAGGTTTAAATCGGAAGGTGTTTCGTTCGGAAAGAAAGAGATCAAAATGCTTCGGCAGGTGAAACATTCAGCTCTCACTTCGTACTCGGCCGCTTTTCTTATCGAGACATCTACATTGAAAGACGCATCAGTGTATATCGAGTTTTGCGATCGAGGATCTTTAAAGGACCTTATTGGTGATTACTTCAAGCGTGGAAACATCAATCCAAAGCCTCGACCACCCGAGCCGTTTGTATGGCATGTATTTGGCGGCCTTTTGGATGCTTTGGCATATCTTCAGACGGGAAGCAGCCTTCTGCATAGGCGAAACGTTCTCATGGATAAAAGTTGGACTCCAATTATCCACCGCGATTTCAAGCCAGACAACGTTCTTCTCCGGTCAAGAGCCACTGTAGGGTCTACAAAGTATTTCTACTGCGTCTTGAGTGACTTTGGTCTTGCATGTGAGGACCGCCCCTATTGGCATCCCGATGCTGATCATCATCAAAAAACCGGGGGAATCCTAGGCACTTATATTTACTTTGCGCCAGAACTCTGTTATGAGTCATATCCAAGAACCTCACTAGAGAAGACCACCTTCCCAAATGGCTATCGACACAGTGGCAAGTCGGATATATGGGCTCTTGGAGTGTGCATTTACAATCTGTGTGCCTGTCGAGATGAGGCGGGCACCGACCACCTTGACGGTGCCTCCAGGCCTCCACTAGTTTCTTGGAATGAATGGGGTGGTGGGCAAATATGTCGAAGGAATCGATATCCACTTCCAGTTCCTCCGGTTTATTCGCCAGAGCTGCGTGAGGCCATCTTGCGAGCAACGGAATGGTACCCCGATAGACGTCCAGATGCTGCCACGCTCTTGAGGAGGTTCGAAGAGCTCCAGGAAGCATCAGGGTGCACGTACCAGGGAGGCGCACATGCCCTTCCAGATTGGGCTACTCGTAAACATGAGTATTTCTCTAAAGCAGAGCAGTTATCGAAGGGTAGGGGTCGTTGATAGGGCGGGATATTGGGTAAGGTATGGTTAGTTGCTAGTACGTGGTCGTTGGAGGAAGTGGAGGGAGGGCAAGGATGCTTTTAGAACAGGAATTATATCTCCTCCTTCAAATGGTTTTGAGAGCTCCTTTTCTTTCCGCATCCTCATCGTACCTAGGCTTGGAACCCTCACTGGCAATTTCATATCAGTGTGTGGATAAGACATAGGAATAGTGACCCCCTGGCACATAAGCAGATCTATCCTCGTAAATGCCGTAGTGAGTCAACTTGCTCAGAAGCATTCCTCTAATAAGTCTGTAAGTTAGGCATAGACCCTACTGAGGTTTCCCTGCACCCACGCTCCCTCCCTGTACGATACACACACTACCAAGCATATATTGTCATGTCCGTACAGGAGAATCTCTTGTTTTGCGATGATGTCTCTCTTAACTCAACAATCGGCCGGTTGGCCCATGTGTTAGCATATTTTTACCAATACCCCGATCGACCAAGATTATGCGTCTCCTCTTGTTTCTTCTTTTGTAACCAAACCCCTAGATTTACATTATTTTTCCTAAAGTGAAATCCCAAGTTAGTGCCCCTATTCTTGACTAACCAGGTGATGCCTTAATGGAAGACGCTATTAGTACTAGCAGATTTTGTACTCTCTTCTCGCATCCTAGGCAGCTACAGTGGAGGTTGATTATTCTACCTATGTATGCTTCCTTTACTACTCCTTCCAATCTCTCATCCTCAAATCCTTTATCACGAACCATCCATTAACCCCATTAGCAGTGACACAGAGTCGCATACCCTTCATCATACAGGAATCCCGTTCTTACTACTCAATGCAACGCGAGGTGAATTTGTGGACAAAATTTGTGAATTGGAAGTCAATACTAGCGAGACTAATACCATGGTTTAACTTGCGCGGTTCTAGAGTGGTCCTCCTTAGCATATGATTTATTTGGACTTCTCCCGTTTCCCAGACCTCTAATTTTTGAGCTTAGCACTGCGATGCTGTATCAGGCTAGCGGCTCAGTTTGCAGATTGGTGGTTTGTATTGTTGACAATACCAGCCAGAGTCATCAGAGGACTTTTAGTACAGTTTTTTACACAACACAAGGCCACTAACAGAATTGGCTTTTAGGCTTTTGGGGAAGAGGAAGTGTGATCAACGTTTTTAGGGATTGTGTGGTGGTTAAGAGTAGAATGACTTTTGATATGCCTGAGATTTTATGTGACTTAGTTATAGAGCATCACTACAGGCGATAACTTCGTTTTTTGGGTCTGCTAACGGATTTGTTGGTGATCTTTTGTGAATACTAAAGTGTGGACTGTGTGGGGCAGATATATGCTCAAGTATGCCACCTTAGTGTGGCACCCTGGGAACCAGATCAGCCATATGACTGTCCCCTTTATAGCACTCTTGGTAATTAGGTGGCTAGTAAAATTCATTCGGTTGTCAAAGGGGGAAGAAACTGGATTCTCGAGCAGCTTCCGGAATTTGAATGGTGGCACTAGAAAACACTTGGCAGCAAGATATCTCTTAGTAGTTCCCAAGCGAATGTTTATTTCCCCAATGTGTATACAATGAGTTTGAAAAGGGTATATACGCTACGCAGCATCTCATGGCATCCTTTAACACCTAACCTCAAGCCGAGAAAATCGCTAGGACAATTATACATTACACCCATTTGCTTCGTAGGCCTGGCTGCAACGAACGTAGAGTAGCGCCTCAAATAAACCCCCATATCCAGCTCCAATATCATGGCTCATCACCTTCCACACTCGCAATGAAGTCAGACCGCCCATTGTCACCTCAAACCATCCACTCATCTGCCCTCCACTTAATTCAATCACACCTCAGTTGCGGCCACTGGCGCAGTGGTATCTGCCGCAGCAGTATCAGCAGGAGCAACCGGGTGGGCCTTCTCTCTTTCAGGATAGGTACCACCCTGGGCAACACGCCCATACTGTGTGAAATAGAGGTTCAAGTTGCGGTAATCCCATCGCGTAGCCAGGAATAGAATAGCCAAGCTGGTTAGCGGGACCAGTGCAACATCTAGAATACCCCAGAAGATCCAACCATCTGAGACACTAATGCGGTTTCCGCCATCATCGAGACCCCAAGCGATGGCGTACAGCATCCATACGAATACAACCCAGCCTGTGACGCCGAGATACTGTCCTGAGACTTCGATACGGCGAGCGGTGATGCTGCCGGTGTGTAGAAGCGACACGCCGAGCAAGAGGTAGGCGAAGATTCCAAAGACGTAGAAGCCCCATTTGTAGTGTGACGCTACTAGGGCGCCGCTGAGCCAGGATGCGATCCATGTCCACATCAAGGCGACGTTATAGATTATCGTAGCCCAGCTGACGCCGGAGATGAGGCCGAGGGCAATGACGAGAGGTGTCCAACCCAGGATCCTATTGGTCAAGAGTTGGCATACATGCGTATCACACAAAACGTATTGGACAAGGGATCACTGTGCAGTTAAACGTACCAGAATATATATTTAGCGTAGGAGATTTGTCTGGTTCCGGGGTACCTGGAATTGTCATTCGAGACTCGGATGGGAACATTCCCAAGATCGGACGCGGCGGCGAAGTAGGCAATTGACCCAACTAGAAGAGATATGGTGAAGAGATAGTGGAACACCTTTTCGCCCGCGCGAGCAACATATGCCCAACCGGCGACGATAAGAACACCCACACAGTAGCAGGCCGTTACAGCCCAGAGCCAGTCTGAGCTACTGGTGGTCAGATGGGTGTCTCCCACGGGAGGGTTAGCCACGAGGGCGTGATTAGTGCGCGGGAAGAGGACGCTCATTTTGAGGATGGGCTGAGTTCCGGATTTGTTGGGCTAGTGTGCTTCCTGTGTGAGAGGAAGGTTAAACTAGGAGTGTGGGACTTAATATAACAGTTATAAAATAAAGAATGAGCACGCGAAAACCGGTGGATTGACTGGAAACTATATACCTACGGCCTTTCTGCGCTGACGACAGTCAGAAGACCCAGAATGGGTTGGCTCACATTCAGCACGGAGCCCTCGGAATTCCATAATCTTCCAGACCACCTTGATCTCGATGATTGGGCATGTCTGAACGGCAATTGGAGAGTCACGATATCTCTTTGCAACATGTGATGGCTTGGTTCAGGAAAGTGATAGGCTAGATAAGCCGCCCGCCACTTGGCTCTGACAAATGCTTGACCATTCCATATCCCGCAAGCTGTACTGTGACAGTCTCACCACTTTTGCATCTCGGAAGAAGCGGAGAAAACTGATGGATAGTGGTGGTGACATAACCCGGAATGATCGGAATACAAATGAATGCTGTCAATGCAACGCCAAAGCACTGGCGATCAGTATCATGAATGTGCTGCATTCGATTCGCAGAGCGTGTACGAAGTACTGCACCATGTACTGCACCGAGCACGGAGAACCAAGGCCGCATCAACTGCCACACATAATCCATTTACAGTACCTACTTAGGTACGGGGTAGGTAGGCTCTTAGGGGTGTGTGTGCCAGTAACACTGTAGACTCTGGGGTATTCTGCGGGCGACTGGTCGCGACCCGGAAGTTAAAGATGAATCTATAGGACGATGCCGAATGCCGAGCATTCGGGATTGTTACTGGAAAGCACATAGTGCCCAGTGCTTGTGGCGTTTGCTGATGGGATTCCATTGTTCAGAATGTTAGGTGACGTCGGTTCTAAAACACAACATGCGGAGTACGAAGCGAGATCATTAATAATCAGTTCTACTACGTACAGTGTACTAACCACACATTGCCTACCTACGCACTTCATACGGAGTATAAACGAATACCCAAAAGCGAATAACGAGCCTCGTAGTGCTGCCTAAAGCTTAACGACCTGACATGCCCTATGCCCTATACATTACGCACCTTATGTAGTACTCTATGTGGAGTACTTCGATCTATCTATCTACCTAGCAAGTACCGAGCTCCCCGGCACCTAGGTCGGTAAGCATTTGCCCTCGTCCAGTAGTGGTTAGCGTCAGTGCCCTTGCCATGACCCCAGGGGCCCGTGCCGCGGAGCCCACTTCCCGCCAACCAAACCCCCGGTCTCCCCCGCCACAAATATTTCCCCACCTGCCGGAATCCAAATGCCGATCGGGAATACTCCGTGCCCTCTGCTCAGTGACTTCGTCTAGAGTAGAACAGCGGGTTTCTGATGTTGACGTCCTGAAAATCCAGGCCAGGCCACATATCCCAATTGATGCCACGGGCGTGCGAGTTGCAGCAGCGCGGTTATGGGGATCATATCCTTACTCTGTACCTACTTACATGGCAGTTTCCTCTTCGCGGGGTTATTGAACACGGCATTAATAGCCCCCCGAATTCGAAGCAAATAGGAATAAAATCCCCCCTATTATGTCACACTGGCTGCATCGAAGACTGAAGTGCAATTGTCTCACTGTCTCACTGTCTCACACATAGGGGCGTTTAAGTTTTTAGCAGCCGGCTTCGTTCTCTGACTTTGCGTAGCAGGTGAGGCCATTGTGGAACTGGGTTTGTTTGGAAATCTGCACCTATAGTCCTACTAGTATCCAAAACCTATTCATCCTCGTCACACAGGCTTACACCGAGGTACTTTGTATGTAGTAATCACGCTGCCATGCTTGCTTTAGGTCGCTCTCCCTCCACCAATACCAACGAATAGTCCAACGTGTTAAAAGGTGGCGGTGTTGTGACGTGTAAGTTGTTACCTAATACCTTGGCTCTCCCGAACACCAGATCTTGTAAAACATGCGAGAGGAATAAAACTTATAAAAGCTTTAGTCAGTAGTGGTTCAATGCGCATTGCAGAAACGCCCACCAACCCTTGTAATAGCGGTATCGCTTCCAAACGGTTTTTTAGCTCAGAATTTCGTTCTGCATCGACAGCTAGGTAATTAAGCCACGCAGCAGCCTACAATCTCAAAGTTATGTACAGGTGGCCCTCTAGGCCTCGTCAAAATCAGATTTGTTTGCTGTTAGAGATATCTCGGTCGTGGCCTTCCTCGTTTCCAGAGTCAAAGCCAAATCCAGCGCTATTGACTGACCACAACGTCAGGTATCGTCTTTTATTCAACGCTTAATTTATCATGCACGCGATGGGCCTAGTTCCAGCATTTAAGCATTGGCCCTGAAAAGCAGCATCCCTTTCCTAACAGACACTGAGATTTTGCAACCGTCTGGACCTAGCAGGGACGATCTGGGTCATTTGCTTGAGCTTGCTTAAGTTACTTTCGGGTTCAAAAACGCAATCGAGGCTTTCGAGTCACGGCTCCCGCTCCAACGCGACGAACCAAAGACAACAAGAGTTCGCACTCGGTGCTACTAAAACATGTCGAACAATAAATAGCTTGTCTTTAAGAGTGTGAGAGAGTCTCCGAATTCCTTCAAATGCGGTGAGAAAGCGAACTTGTTCTGGTAGCGAGTCACAGGAAAATTTAAGCAGTTGGTTAAGTACATATCTGATAAGTGTCAGGTGGCACTTTATGCTGAATCAACTTGACAGGCGCGTAAACTTTTGTACCTGTTCGGGCTGCAGCCTGATTGAGCAGGCCTATAAGTGTTCCGTTACCTTTTGCATACTGTTTCTTTGATCAAAAGCACCAGCTTCAAAGCTTGAGCCTTGGGCTGTAAACTCCCTATTTGCCTACAGCGGAAGGGGAGACCGCCACTTGGCCCTAGATTGCTGATTCTAAAGGATTTCTACCATGAAGTGGCTTCCCAATTGAACACCTCTAGCTCTCTATTAAAAGGGCTTGAGGGCTGCCGCTCGGAGTTTCAACCCGATTATCAGTCCCCAGGCACCTAGCCAATTAGCGGATCTTGCTGCTAATTGTCACTTATTAAGCCAGCCCTTAGAGGCGGGCTCTTCTACCTAATCATTTAGCACGGCCCTTAATGGTGTAAAAGCAAAAGCAACTTGCGTGCTGCGTCAGCGCTTAAGGAAGAGTCTGGGAGTGTAAAATCTCCAAACAACTATGTGCCACCCAGAAAGTTCGCCAGCTGGCTCCATAGGACTTTCCAATTAACTTGCTTGGCCCCAGGAAGGATATCCCTTAAACCCAATGGTTATTAGATTGGCAGGCTACCAAGACGAAGGGTACCAATTGAGCGACTAGTCGGAAAGGGCATGTGGTGACTTTTATCCAGTGAGGTTCACAAGGTATATCATATATCTCTATGCTAGACCATGTAAGGCTAATAACCATCAAAAATCTGTGATAATGAGAGTGCTTTGAGCGAAGCAGGAAGCACCGGACAGTCAGCTGTACCACCAGCAATTTTTCGGAACATCGTGTCCGCGACGACTTCAAAATCTACGATATTAAAGGCCCAATACATGCTGGAGCGAGGTAACATTCAGCATACCACTGGTTCGGGCTTCTTATCTCTGTGAGACGCGAGCTCAAGATGGTATTTTGAATATAGTGCTATTAGGTCCCCATGTTTACACGTACTTCAAAATATGTTTACGAACTTGTGGGGAAATGAACCCAGATGTTCCTTGGTCGCGTCTCTCTACTTGACCATATCCAACGCCCTTCTGATATTAAACAAGAGGGTAGGTACTGAGGTTACTGCCGTGTTACAAGTCATTACCGCCTCTTGCAATCTTTGAACCAAATCTATGAACACTAGGCAAAGCCAACAGAAACGTAAATCCCAAACTTAAGCAAGCCAACGGCACTGCCGCAGCAAAGTACCATTTAATAGTTTCTTGCAACTTCCCAATATCCTCTTGCATGCTGAATAGTGTTGCGATAAAACTAAGTGGGATGAAGAAAGTTGCCAGCCATGTTAACCGTGCGACATTTTTATTATCCGCTTGTGAGCGCCGCGAGTCAGCAATCGAGATGATAGCCGTGACGACGGAGGTAAGGCGGTCGATACGTTGTTGGTATTCCTCCATGTATAGGAGAATTCGAGCAAAGTCGTCACGCAACGCATTAATCGGGCCGGGTCCGGTGCGGTTTGAGTCGTTAACTGGGCATTGGCAAGACCTGGATGAGGTGCTGCTGGCGGAATCACCGCCGCTGGCGGTGACAGCAATGGGATCATTACTATTATTATTGCTCATGCGATTCATGCCCAAGCTAGTTGCACTGCTGGTCAGGCCAGTTGGGTGGCAAGGGAATTGGAACACCCGCTGAAGTGTCTCGGTCAACATCTCACGGTATAAAGGTACGAGTCTCCTCCACACGTGCAACTTTTTTAGGGCAATATCGATGTCGCTTCCCTTGTTCAGGAAATGTTCCGGGAAAGAGATTTCCCACTCAATCTGGCCAAGGCGAGTGCGAATATATTCAGACATCTGGAGCCATTCAGAGCTGACAATGTAAAGCAGAGCTTGGATTGGTATGTGGACGTCTGAGTCGTCTGATGCTGGATCGGCGGTTGGTTGGGACTGAAAAGCAACTGGCTTCTGAGCCCAATCTATCACATCACTATAAAGAGAACCGCGTGGAGGCCCACGAGGTGGGCATTTTTCGTGCATACTAGGGGTTTCTTCCCAGTTTCGATAACCGTACCAAAGTGGGAACCCTTCTTTGGCTGTTGGGTCGACTAGTAATACGCCTGGGATTAAGATATATTAGCATGGCAAGTCGCTCAGAGAACCGGCGCCGTTGGTATGAACTTCAAGGGAGGTGGGGATGCACTCACCAACAGGTCCCCCCTGATGACCATCTGTGCTCCCTAACCAAAACGATGCCCTCGTTCTTGTCAACCCTACAATCGCATCTTTTTCATCCCACAGCGCCTTATTATTAAGGTCATCTTCGGGCCGTCTCAATACGTTAAATGACTTATACTCTTCGACCACTTGCTTGAAAGATTCCGCTGTCTTGAAATATCTCGCTGTGGTGAAACGAAGCTGAAGCCATCGCTGCCGTTTGGTCACGATATTAAGCCGCGGGGGATCTACCCATCGATCGCGAGTATTATACCAAGTATAGTCAAAAATTTGTTCCCGGAAAAAGGCGGGCTCGATATCTAAATGTGCACCTAGAAGCTCAATTACGTCTCGTGAGAGGTCCTCGACGATAAAAACGCGAAATTTCCGCTTGCTATCTTTGTCCGTTACGGTTTGCTCGTTTAGCGCGGTTTCTAGAGCCTCGGGGGTTTTGTAGCTCTGTGGGACTACTTTGCCAGAGACAAGATAATCTAACCTTGTCACATTCGTCCGCGATGCACGTTCGTTGCGCTTTTGCTCATTTGTTTTTATATCCTTCCATCGCATCGGCGAGGTGGTAACCTCCATAAAATCGGCCAACAGTCTCAGGGACGGCCATGTCGATGAAAGAGACTTGACATGTGCAAGGTATGGTCTCTTTGTCGAGGAACTACGGAACCGCGGTTAATAACTCAACAGATGGCTGAGTCAAATCCCAAAGACGTAGTAGAATGAACAGAGAGGTATTCGGTCCAATATTGCGCAAGCTTGAGAACACTCTACATACCTGGGAATTTCCCAATCAATCTTTTCCTTGCTATATATATCGCCGGTCGCGTATGCATCTTCCCTTAGTTTGGGATCGTAATATGCATACTTCTTGACGTCTTTTCTAGCACCTGTTGGAGACATTTAGGCGACGATGTCTGGGCAGTCTGTGTGCCGGAAGATTCTTGGGGGGCAGAGGAAACGTCAAAACTGCAATCGTGCAACCGAGGAAGGACAAATTAACAAGCGGAAGTCCGGTTTCACATACTGTATGCTGGCCCATTTCAGCCGCACCGTATCATGGGCTTCCGCCGGAGTGGTGCAAATGCAAGGTATGCAGCAATAGCCGGCGAGCTGAAAAGCTTGATCGGGCGCTCAGTGATCTGCAAGCCACTATCACGCGTTGCGGGTCCATGGTTGGTGGGACCGTGGAAAGCGCTTCTGTGTGGACTAGGCGGGTACTGTACTGTACCAAAGTGCCTGCGTACGAATTAACTTAATAAAACTAATACCTTTTTAGAGTGCACTTATATTTTATACCAGTACGAAGTATTGGCGTTAATAACTACCCTACCTACCTACCTTAGGTGGTTCCTTTTTAAAAGCAAACAGGTGATTTTTACCCCTTTCTTCCCAACCCTAGGCGCTCGAGCCACTACCCCTTAATGCACTCCGTTCAATCGGAGTCTCTGACGAATCTAGCAAAATATATAACATTCTAAGAATACAGCGATAACGCTAGCTTTTGGACCATACCATACTCATTCGCCAAAAACCCAACGCCTGGATAAGGCAACGAAGACCATTCTCTGTAAAAGAGCTACAGTCAGCAGTTAAACCAGCGCAAAAGTCTTCGGCTCTTTCTCCCACCACTTATACTTTCTTGGATTATCACTATACATCCAGCCGTCTAAATAACATTGGCTCATAACCCTATACTCTCTTGACTAATGGCTCTTCCTCCTGAACACGCATGGAGCTTTTCTTCCCTGCAAAAGTACCACAACATCGCCCTCCTAAAAATCCAAGTATCCTAGATTCCCAGCCCAATATTGAGATGCTGTATGAGAAATGGCGACTTACCCTCGCGATGCTTTCTTTGTCCCGCATATACCGCCATAAAACCGCATCTTCGGTATTTTGGCGTTGAAAGGGTTTGCCGCTTCTAAACGGTAGTCTCGTAGGAGCTCGGAGATGGAATTCTGGGCTTTGGATATGGTCTTTTGGTGTTAGTCTTCTCAGTTGGTTGCGTCAGGACGAAGGATCCATCGGTGAGAAGATCTCGGAGAGCTGTCGCGGGTATATTTGGGTATTTCCGCCGGGGATAGATTGTTGGATCGTGATCATTCCATTGGGCCGCCCCTCGAGATATCAGTGCGTTACTTGAGCGAGGAAGTTCAGAGTTTACGAAGTCCGCCAAACCGTCTAGTTTTAAGCACTGCTGTATTGTGGACTTAAAGTATGTATTATCTTGGCAGTGGTGCTCGGCGATTTTGTAAATGCTGGAGAGGATATGACCCTTGACAATGAGCACGCCTGGGTTGTTTAGGTCGCCATCAACCCACTCGTGTTGCCTTTCTCGGCAGGCATTGAAGTTATGAAGGCACCGCTGGGCATAGGATAGGAGCACCACTGCTAAATATTCTGTTGGACCAGTCCGGAACCCAAGAAGGGAGATCTGCTGAGTGGATATTCGCAAGGCTGGGTAGCTTTGGAGACTTTCCAGGTACATCATATTGTAATATATCCAAGGATTTTCTGCTCATTATCATAGAGGAAGCCAATGTCGTATATGCTGCTTTGGGGAGATCCCATAGTCCGCTTTGATTTTATACCGACTTGATAGGCCATCGAATGCCAGGAAATAGTACCCCCGGTCTACAGGATTCGTAATTTCCAGATACTTTCGGGGCCACCAGAGAATATGAAGAAAGACTAACGAGCCAGGAGATCGGTATAGATTGGGCCCATACTGTTGCAATCATACCATACTCCACGAAATGGCCCAAAGCCTTTGCACCTCTTAATATTTTGGCACTAAACTCTACCTTTCTCTATCCTTGTGAGGTAATAATCGGCGAGCACCATCTATGCAGAACTGTTGAAACGAACGCACATTCTACCACAATAGACCTCCGCTTCTGCTGCAACCATTGCTTCTTGGTACACCCAAGCCCTTCTAAACCAAGCCCGGTCTAAGAAACGCACTACAGCTTCACGCCGTAGCACTGTTTCCCGACTAAGCATGGCAGGAGCTAGATGAACCAAGACCCTTGCTGCAATTTGATCCTTCAGGCGCATATAGGAGATGCCACCGAAGCCCGAATCCCATGTGATATTTTCCCGCAAATCTCATGAATAAGTGAAGTATTAGCATCATCGTCACCTAGCTACATAGCCGTGTTCTCAGCTGCTGCATAGATTTCCCCCATCAATTGCACCCCTACACTCTTCTCGTTGTCATCATTTTGTGCAATGCACACCTGATCGGCCCAGATTGAACGAATTTCAGCTGAATGTCGAAGCCGGAGGTGCGCACCCAAATGATTGGGTCACCATAAATTCCTTCCAAGTTTCAAGCCCTCGTTTAACTAGGATCGGGCGATCTTGAGCATTATGTCCCCAAGCCTAAGATAACGCCCAGTACTTCAGAGTGCGCCTTAGAGAAGTTTACACTAGTTCATATCGTAGCTAGCCGTTATTTTTGCCGGGGAAAAGCTTTCAACACTCGGATTAGTGGACCCCCCACGCTTGCAAATGTCTAGCAGCTGGCCGCGAAAATGGTAAATATTGAAGCCATGGGTATTTGGTAGCCAAATGCCTGCAATTTGTAGAAAATCGTCAATCCATATTATTAGCTGTCACCCGTCAATAATACTGCGATGAAGAATTGCGAAGATAAGGTCGTCGAGGCGGAGTTGCTGAGAATCCGGGAGCTAAAGAACGGCTTACAGTAATTGTGGCTGTCGTGGGCGAAACTTCGTCCCTGTAAAAGAGGTAAATCGGATATCAGCTGAAATTGTCCGCCCAATAAAACTCTTGTACCATTTCAGTATAAACAAAGCTACAGACCCCTTTACTCTTCCGTATAAAACGCTGTTAAGTATAAGATCAAAACCATTACTCTCCGTACTACTTGGAAGTAATACAAATTACTTCCAAATTACTTTGCACCAACTAGAATGGCCAATCCCGGTCTCAAAGCCTTACTTTAAACCTCATTCTAAGTCGTTCTCCATATCTATAAAATAGTAATGGCACCGGCGCGAACACCAAAGCTAAACACCCAAACAAAGTATTCCCCCAGCCGTAGCCCAAGCGGCCATACAGGTGGGGAGCAGCCAGAGGCAACAACGTGCCGCAGAGAGATCTAAGTAGGGTGTTTGCTGCGAGTGCTGAAGAAGCGGCTTCAGCTCCAAATGCATCCACAAGGTATATTTGTGCTGGCAGCTATAGGTTCATAGGTCAGAGATAAAGGAGCTCAGAACGGTCAAGCAGGGAAGCATATATGGAACGAGGCTCACCATGACAAATAATGCGCCAATGCCAATGAAGCTTGTACCAATGATTGGAGCCATCCAGTGAACGTTTGTCTCCACAGTCCATCCATACACAAAGAAGCCAATGGGAAGGACAGGGGCGAAGTACACCATCAGAGGTAATCGATCCTCTGGAGTCATCCGTCCATTATGTCCTGCTGCCCCTTTGGCCTTCAAAATCTTGTCGCTCAGAATTCCAAACATAATGAGGCCAGTGAGCATACCAGTTCCCTGCCCAAGAAAAGCCAGTCCAGAAGTCCCAATTGTAAAGTGGTATTGTTTTATAAATACCGTGGAATATGTACTGAGGCATAAAAATAATAGACCGAAGATGAGAGCGACGTAGATCGATAACAGAAGCACAACTGGTGAAAATAGTAGTAGCTTCACAGGACGCGCCAATCCATTTGTAAGATGGACCAGTGGCGATAGTTGCTCATGGCCTTTTACAAGAAGTGCTGGATTGCCGGTCGTTTTGCGAAGTAGTGCAGCTTTGCGTTCCAGTAAGGTTCTCGCGTATGTTTCACGCATGAAAATCATGGCAACTACAAGCCATATTACAGCCTAGTCAAATGTCAGCCAAGCTTAATGTAATCATCAACGTTTGAAATACTCACAGCAATTGCTACAATCCAGTATGTCCATCTCCAACCCAAGCTTTGTGAAACAAAGCCCCCTGCAACAGGTCCAACTACCGGTCCAAGAATTGGCCCGATTGCCATCATGGCCATGGACATACCCCTCTGCTCGACTGGGATAACATCTGCAACGGTCCCACCACTGATAGTTAATGGCGACGAGCCTGCACAGCCCGCAAGGAAACGAAAAACAAGAAACGAGGTGATATCTTCACTCCATGCGCAAGCCAAAATGAACGCAATATAAGCTGCGACAGAAACATGGTAAACATACAGTCGGCCGTAAAGTTCAGAGAAGGGCGAAATGACCAAGGGGCCAAGAGCGAGGCCGAGGAGGAAGATACTGACGGTCAATGTTCCAATAGTTGAGCTTGTCTGGTGGAAATCTGCCATCAATCTACCTGCTCCAGGTGCAAACATGGTCGATGAGACATTCCTATTTTACAAATTAGTCCGGCTTCTGGAATTCTCGAGAAGGGAAGAGTAGATTCTTGGGTACGGACACTAGGAAGATGATAATGCTGACCCATGCAACATGGCCTAGCCTCTTCCACCTTGGCCAATTCATAGGGTTTTCAGGGTCAAAAGGTCCATGCCAGCCGACATAGTCGTCTACTTCGAAAGGATAAAATAGGGCATCATCTGAGGCTGGAAGCATGGCGATCGCTGTATCAGCTTCTCTCCCGAGAACACGTTCGAGGGAGCCATTAAATGTGGGAAATCCAAAATCCAGGACTCATCGATGGCTCTCTCTTTTGACTCCGGAACTAAGTTAGGTTGCGAATTCTGCCGCGAAATTAGCATAAAAACTCCGACTTATATCTTACAGCATTACCGAAGAGTACATAATAAATACTTGAGGCGTCCACGCAACAAACTCGAACTCTCCATTGGTTTACAGTCCTCTGCTGCCCTTGGTTTAATGCCATTATAAAGCATGCGCCAGCCTGCAACTCTATTTCCGACTTCCGGACTCCCCTTGCCCGGCTGTCAGCAAGCCTATAATTCGCGGGAAGGAAAATGATAACTCCATGTCACATAAGCCATCCTGCTATTTACACGCTTTATGGTAACACATGGACAGGCATCATGATACACTTCCGATGCCCCCCGTTTTCTCAGGTGTTCAGCCCGTTTTGTTTCTCCTTCAGCTATTTCTATTATTGGCACTCTATTCTACCTCGCGATTGTATGTTTCCGCTAGAAGCGGAATAGAGCCCAATAGTATGATTTCAAGGAGACGGATCACTTCGGCCTCCTAAACATATAATGACGACTCCGCTCCCATCGAATTGATCCGCGTGAGCCTAGTAACTCTTTTATGATCTACCAGGTAATCAGCCTTAAAGCAGCAACACATCACTACATTATCTCGTCCTCATCATCCGTATCACCATCATTATCATACGCATTATCACCATGTCCATGACCGCGTGCACCCACATCGCCATCAGCGTCGCCCTTGAGGATGCAGGCGAAGCCACTCGCGCTCTCGCTCTAGCCAGGGCACTACGTGAATGGTGCCCGGCTAATCATGAAGTAAAGATCCAGTTCATATCTTGTGGGAGCCGCTTTGAGGGTATGGTCGAGGAGTCTGGTTTCCTCGTTGTACCTTGCCAACCACGTGTGAGGGGCCAGAGCATCGCCGAGGACCTGCAGTGGGAACTCCCCGAACTCGTGGGGTCAGAAGCAATTGCTCGGGGCCTCATTGAGGGACAGTTGGAAGCCCTGCAAGGATTGAAGCCGAAACCCGACGCAGTGCTTCACGGAATGTGGCCATTTGCTAGTCTTGCAGCCCGTATGCTCCATATACCGACTATTTGCTTTCTTCCGCTGCCCCTGCACCCAGCATGCGTTAGCGGGGGTCTCCTGTGTGACCTCCCGGACCCGATACCAGGGCTGACACGCCTACCCCGTTCTGTGAGGAAGAAGATAGCTGGAATGGGAGGTTTTCTGATGCCCAGGGCGCCTATTTTCCATCAGCAGCGCCTTGGCGCCGCCGCAGCTGCTTGTGGTTGGCATAACAGGGGCGCGTTAAGCTTGTTCGACGCTGTCAAAGCCGATATCACCCTCGTCACAGACCTTCCGGCTTTCTATACCAGCTTGCCTTTGCCGAAAAACTTCACCGTCACCGGCCCATTATTCGCCCGCAACATGGACGCCGCGTACAGCGGCCGAAGCTCCGAGCTCGATCCAGATATTGTTGCCGCGCTCCAGAGTAATGGTCGTCCAGCGATTCTTCTTACCATGGCCAGTTCCGGCACGAGTGAGCTTCTATTTGAAGCGATCCGCGGGGTTGTCCCGTCTCGTGGAGACGTACCAAGCAATAGTCCTGCCTCAACTAAGGTAGATGATTGGAATGTAGTCATCCTAGCCTCGCCCGCGATATGCCGCCTAGAGGAGGCCCGCGCCATAGCAGGCGATGACCCGCGGGTTCTGGTGACCGACAGGTTTATCCCAGCGCCCACCGCAAACGCGTTGGCAGATGTAGTTGTCTCCCACGGCGGCCAGGGCACTGTGCAAACTGCCATGGCGGCAGGGACCCCAATTGTCGGTGTTGGCGTGATGATGGAGCAGCAGATCAACCTCGACCACGTAATGGATGCCGGGGCTGGTATTCGCATCCAAAGACACGCTTGGCGGTCCTCGATCATTCGGCAGGCAGTCCGCAGTGTCCTGGCAGACCCAAGCTACAAGATCCGCGCAGAGGCGTTTTCAGAATCCATGCGGGGCATAGATGGATCTCGTATAGCGGCTGAGCGTATGTGGGAGTTCTTGGACAAACTTCCCCCAGGGTCACCATCAAGGGTCAGCGTTGCGAAGGAAAGGGCCATTGAGTGGAATACCGAGATGGCTGAGATCCCAATCAAATCCTAGAAGAATCAGTGGAGTGGTGGCTAGATTTGCTTAAACATCGCGGAATAATCATATAGCGTAAGAGGCGACAGATGTCGATTTGCTTGTAGGTGCTTTGGAAGGTGTAGGCTTTGTGATTTACGAGCACGAGGGGACATGATTCACGCCAGAAAACGCCAGCGGGGCCCGAGATGGTGCGCCTTAGCAGAAGAGATGGTGATGATATCCAGGTGTATATAAAGTGAATTTGACATCGTAAGTGCGAGATCTTCCTCACGTATGAGCAATACTTCCGCAACCAAAAGTTGGCAATGTGATGGCCGGACTATAGCTCGTATAACGGCGGAGCTAAGCCCTAGGAGTTAGTTGGTAAAATACCGTAATGCTTCATACGACTTGTGAGATAGTAGTAAGATCATCTAACGTACCTAGGTAGATAAGAAGGTGCCTTGTAACATAAGTAGGCCTCTCTAACCGTTGCACCCCAAGTGTATATTCCCTAGCAGTTAGTTACTAACCCGGTAATCCATGCATCCAACTATCCCTACTGTTTGGTGGCCGCCTTTAGACCTTACCTCTCGTTCAGAGCGCGGTATGGCGTAGTAGTCCGCACCCGCATATAGACAATCGAGCTTTAGTTGATATTGAGCGCCTAGAATTGAGATGGGCTCCTGAAGTGCGTTGTACATCTCGAGGGTCATAACTGCCCTAGATTGAGATCTTATGATTTTCTGTGTGATGTTTTTGGACGCGGTTCGGTATGAGCGGCTTTGTATTTGCGGTGTAACGTTAAATCGAGGGATATTGCAATTCTTGGAATGGTGCAAAAGGTCTCCACGCTACTTTCAAAGCGCTATTGCGGACATAGTCGCTGCTATACTTTGAAATTGGGTGGTATTGTGGAGGTTTGCTCCTGTATGTACGATGATCGCGCGGGTAATTGTAATCCTGACACCGGCCAAGCCGTCCTCATGATCTGTTGAGAAACACCTCCGATGTACTGTACAATCGATTGGCCACTCATCGTGCTCTGGATGCATAATAATAGGTTTGTTACTAAATGTTGTTTATGAATGGAATTGCGGGCGGACATACCTTGCTTAAATATCCTCATCTGCTAAAACGCTGAGAGGGAGGTTATGATAAAGCCTCCTATCCCAGTTGGATATTTTCGCTCTGGAGCTGCGATGATCTTAACTCGGTTGGCCTGCGGAGCCAATGCAACCATATCCATCTGCATACGATCGGACGTCCTTGGAAGCATTGTACTTCCACCGCACTACTTCTGTCAGCCCCATGTCTTGTAACTAGTAGCGCGAGCACCTACAAAAATGATATTCTAGTACAGCTCTTTCCTGAGGTCGATGTCACACTTCATGATCGAGTTGTAGGCTGTCATGTGGATCCCGCTATCTTCAATACCCAAATACATGCTGGAAAGTGCTTCGGGAGCACGAAAGCGCTCAGTACCGATAGTTATCATTAGCCCACCAGGGAGCTCGTAAGACCTCTCGAATACATCTGGCTACTCAGCTGTATCTCATACACAATATCTAGGGCCACATAACAAATCTTGGCCTTTATATCTGCGTCAATCTCCTGTTCAATAACGAGACCCGTCGTACGACCAGAAGCGTATAAGGAGAGGGTCGCTTGGATAGAGACATAGGAGGCTGGAACATTAAATGTCTCAAACATAATTTGAGTCATTTTCTCGCGGTTGGATTTGGATTAACAGGAGTTTCGGTGAGTAAGGCCGGGTGTTCTTCCAGTGCAGCGCGGAGTCCATTGTACAAGGTGTGATGATATACCTTCTCCATATTGTCCCACTTAGTCGACACACCGTGCTCGATAGGGTGTTGGATTGTTAGTATCCCACGCCACGACTGCGCCTCGTCGCCGATGTACGACTGCTTTCCACTCATTGCGATCATAATACTACACCGACTTAGCATACGCAGCTAACAATTGAGGGGGAAAGGTGCTATCCAAGGTGGCTTGGCCGCCGACGATGCTGGCTATAGACTGTGTATTAGCCAAGCAAAGACAATTTCAAATGTGGGGATTAAGGATTGGCTGGGCAAGTGGCATAGTCATTGATCGTTGGCTTTCAAGAAGACTTGCGGAAGACAGCCCTTGGAACGCCATCTACAGCAATTCCAGCTTTCGTTGCCCGATCTAAATAAGTACAAGCCAAGTCCCAGACGAGAGATATTAGATCAACCGTAACCGTTATGAATGACAAGCGCAGCGACCTCTATTTATTAGGCAATCTTGTGAGCATTGCTTATAAGATCTTGGCGGAGGTCTAATCGTCGTCCATACCAGCTGCAACTGCTAATGGTTCAGGGGCTACTGCAAGCAACTCCTATTAGCACTTCAAGTACCACAGGAGGCTGCTTTCCGAGGCCGCTCAGGACATGCCTTCGTAGCGAAAAGATGTTGCCGCTGCTTGACTTGCATCGCTGGTTTCAGTATGTGCCACCGAAGGCGCACGCACTATTGCCACGTTGCTATCGAAACTAGGATCGCTTTCTCGGATTATATCTGCACTTAAACTTGCCATAGACATATTGCTAGTAGGCGGATCCTGGCCAAGTGAGCCATCGTAGCCGAATGGTACACGTGCCGCCGCAGTGTCAAAGTTATATTCGCTTGAAGCTCGCGACGATGGAGATCTAACCCCACTACTCTACTGAGATGTGGGAGTCGCAGCAGTGTCAACATCGGAATATCTCATTCTTTTCGGAGTCGATTCTCTAGGTAAGATGGTGAAGCCATCAGTAGGTAGGTCGTACGGGATCCTGTCACGACGGTCCCATGATCGATGGTCGGTCATATTCCAATACTCCCTTCTGTTTGGGTTGAGCAGGACGGGTACAGGTATGGGTATGTAGACTGAAGAATGTAGAAGTTATTTCAGCTGTGAGCTGATTGCGGCGGAGGCTGACTTGTACTGTCGAGATAGGCTAGCTGGGTAGCAAATGGTGGGCAATGGCTCGACGAATTATACTTACGAAATATGGCAAGTAGCTGGAGTCCTAACCTTGTAACACCTCTCCGGACTTTCATAGGAGGCCATTACGGTCCATGAGTTTTATGGAGCAGGGACATCAAAGCCACTCAGCCTCAACCAAAAACCATAATAGTTCAGCACTATCGAAAACCTGGCAGCCTCTAGACGCGTCCAGACTGGTGGCTTATTGTAATCGATATAGGTATAAGGGGTATGTGTAGTTGTAGTTGCAGTTACAGCGTTACCATATGCCAAACGTACATTAAGGGATATATGGGCTGGTGAGGCTACATGCAGAACAACTGTTGCGGATGTGTATGCGATGTATGTCCATTGTGATTGCGCTTCCAGGTTGTACTAAAGTCTAAGGTACACCAGTAGCACGTGACATTAATCATTTCTGGTCAGAGAGTAAACGACTAATTTCAAGCTTCTGATTATATCTAGCTTATTACAACACACTACCATCTCCAAGATGTTTCAATACCCAGGTATGTGGAGTAGCCCGCGAAGACTCAAACCAAGATGTTAGTCGGCCCCCCTAATTACCAAGTCGAGAATCGAGTCTCGAATGGTGAAGGCGCGAGTAACTTCATTAGTACCCCGTACAAATTAAACGTCTATTATTTCCATTGTTCCCTTTGTGACGACCACAGCACTATCTTTACTGCTTCAGGCTACAACCTCAAACCTTCACCATTACGAAACACCAAACCAAATGTATCCCCTAGGGCAGGGCCCGCGACAAGGCCAGCAGCGACTCCACGCTTGTGCAGAATTTTCTACCCTTCTCGCTCGTGTTCTCGCCGTCTGAATGAATATATATGCCTCGATGAATGTGCGGTGTTCCACTGCGGAATTATCTCGGGTAGTGCTGCGTTACCATCGTTTTCGGCATGCGCTCCCTTATTAGCGTTGAAAGCTCACAAAAGAATGCTACGGGGCACCAGCAATGTCCAACCTATATACAACCCAATATATATAAACCTATATATTCAATCTCTTGTCGCCGTGTTTAGTTTCGATACATGAAAGGGAAGGAATTGGTCAAATGATGCTGAAATGTCCTTCGTTTCTTGTTGTTCGAGTGATTATACTGGCTAATCTGAGCACCGAGCAATACTCTTTTACTATGGTCAGCAATATATCATTCATCATTCATGCTACCTACGCCTTCCTGTGCTCTGTCTCAGCCCTTTTATAATATTTCACTAGCATGAAGCATTTTTATTGTCCAGTTCTCAATTCCTGCTGTCCTCCTTTTATTCCCGCCCGTTCATCAAGTCATCAACATCATACTTTCATTCCATGCTCCTCCTTCCATCCACCGACCAAACCACACCCATTCCATCTAAATCCGCTATTTGTATGGATAAAGCCCCTATTCCAACCTCCTCCTACTCCACTCAACACAGACATCCGCCGTTGCGCCATCCAAAAAATCATTCATGACAATAACCAGCTGTCCATCGGCCAGCCGCCCGCCATTTTCCTTGATCCACGGCAGCGTCTTGGAATCACAAATCGGCTTGGTCGCCAACAAACAGCTACTACTAGCATCGGCTGCAAGAACACTGTACGCCACCACATCCGGAATATTAGTAGCAGTAGCCTGGCATTGGATATTTGTGAACGGCTTCCCGGCTTGCACGTCAGGATTTATGTTGTTTAATTGGGCGACTATGGTATCCCCGTTTACGGTGGCATTTCCTTCGTCCGTGTAAGTGCTAAAGGAATCGCTGTTTACAAACAGGATGAGGCGTTTGTGCTGGGCTCTCAGGTCCGAGATACTTAGGTTACGCATATCGTCTAGTGAGCCTGCGGATAGAGAGCCATTGGATACCGCGAGGGCTTCGTTCAGATAGTTCGCCATGTCTTCGTTGCTAGGATGAGCACAATCGGCCGGGACGCCATCCCAGCGGAGCTGCACTACGACTATTTCATCGGGATGCTGCATCAGGAATTCCACCGTGTCATGCAGAAATTGCTTGTATGACATGCCCGGGATGGCGGAGTGCGAGAAGTACAGCTCGTCTGGGATGGGCTGGTGCCCTCGAATCGCAGTGTGCAGGTATGCAGGACGGAACTCGAAATAGCGGGCACCTATGCTGAGAATGGCCTGGAGTGTATCTTTCTGCGTGATGGCAAGGCCGGCGATGATGTTCGGTGCTAAGGCTTTGACAGCTGAGTGGGTCATCATGCCAGCGACTTTAGCAAACACCGAGTTGATGGATTTCATGACATCGATGAGGGCACTGCTCTGGAGGACGGCGCCTGCGTTTTGCATGTTGTTCATGCCGATATCATGAGCGGCGGGGAGGAAGAATTTGGAGAATGGCTTGGAGGCTTGAGGTGAGCCTTGGGGGGCGACTTGTGCCATCCAGGCCGAGTAGTTGGGAGCGACAGCCACCCAGCACTGATCGCTCTTTGGAAGATCTGCGATGCCTGCTCCAGAATCGTAGAATCCGTAGCTCACGATCACATCGTTGGAAATGCGCGATTGCTGATCGTCCATCGACTTCAGACTTCCAGCGCCGAGGTTCCCATTCACGGCGTTGATCTCGACATGTTCGTACGCGATCTGATTCCCATTCTGCGTCACCTTGAATGCGAATGTGCCGGTAAAATTGAAATGGCCCTGGATGTTCTTCGAATCTATCTCCAGGTGGTCGCTGCTAAAGACTCGCAGCTGATCCTTCGTGATCGCCTCGCCCGGGACGGAGAATTCGATCTGGCAGCCGGGAACGGCGATGTATGAGTAGCACTGGATACCTTTACTCGGCATGTTGGCTATTCGCAAAACCTGAGGATTTGCTCAAGTGTTGTGGTGGACGGGATGTAAGGGGACTCAGAACAGGAATGAGGGGCACGAATGAAGCTCTCAGAGTCCAAGACGAACAGTGGGGGGACAGGATCAATGAGGCGTTACTTACAGTAACGACCTAGCTACGGTATTCTTAATATGTGGCACCTAAGGTACTTTGCACATGCATGCACTGAACAATCGGACGTAACTTCAAGAATACTGTAGCCTTATTGGCAATGTCTCACAACCCAACTCTGAGTACGAAGGATAACGAGCCTAGGTTAGAATTCGTCGCGTCGGTAAACCACCCGGGGCTCCAACGTTTAAGCTATAATCGGTATAGGTCTTTACGGAGTACGAGTACTATGCCTTACAAGTACCAGCTCCTTCGTATCGATCAACTCAAGCAAACATCCATCCAAAAGCTACGCGCCTGCAGTCTCATGCCTCGCCGCGCACTTCAGAACCCTTCAGCAGACGGAATTGCATCCTTACTTTACGGCAGTGTTCCTGTACTTGAGTACAACAGGGAAAATAATGGCCTTCAGAAAAGTTCTGCGGGAGTAGAAAGACCTGCCATGGTCGGACATAGTAGATACTTGTTCGATACTCTTCTGCGACTATGTCGATAAGACTACAAAAGCTAATAAGAGCCATTAGATCAACGTAACGTCCGATCTCCACGAAGACCAGGGTCGTGATTGTCTGACTCGGTCAAAGAAACACGGAGTCTGACAAACCTACTCTCTCCCTTCTCAATCAATGGTGTCTGATCGTTTTGTTTTACTGCTTGCTGTGTTAGACGGTTCGGGGGTATATGGGCGCTGCAAGAAGTACCTCGTGCTATTAATGGCAAAATGCTCTGTAGTTCGAGCGAAGTTCACATGGATTATGCGAGTCCTTGCTGCAATATATATTGCTTTCAAGCGGTGCCCGTACAGTAAAGCTACCCCAGGCCTAGTGTAGTCCATGTTCATGTCCCTGATGTACCTGCGAGGCTAAACCGCTCCTGGGAAGTTGGGCCTTCTCATTTCCGGTTTTTACCTTTCAATTCTGCTAGATGGCGGTCGAGCGGCCATACGAGTATAATCTCGCAGAGGTGCCGCCAGATAACACAAGCTCCAGAGATAATAGCTCTACACGCCTAGCGGAATTCCCTTTGGATTGTTCGCCATAGTGTACCGTGTGGTACCTTAGGTAGCCTAGAAGCCACCCGCAAGCCCCTGATCTCTGGCGTCTCTTGAAGGCTACTTGTAGCGACAGAAAAACATTATGGCGACGAATTAGCTTAGTCGGATTAATTATCATGGTGTCGAGTTTGGATTTAGCTATAGGTACAGCATCTGCGACGGCCATGATGCCGAGACGAGATCGGTAGTATTTCCGTGATCTATTCACACTACTAGGTTCTCAACCTAGTAACAAACCCGGTGCTTCGAGCGCATATGATGATATACTCTACCAAGAGAATTGGGATTTGAGATGCATATTCCGCAACAACTCTTTCCCCAGGTTGTGAATGACGCCAGTCTTCCCGGAGACTTCTGCATGAGCTCGACGCAGGACAAGCATTCAACCTACTCTTATACTAGTGTAAGTCAAATCTTTCAGGCCCCGACGTACACAAAGCATGCCACTGAAAATTTCGTGATCGCGACTACAATGTGCCGCAAGTTCCCTAGCAATCGTTGGATCGCAGCTCATCCTAGTCCTGCACAAGTAGCCAGGCTCTTGATTGCTATTTAGCAACTGGCGCCAGTAACCCTCTTTGAGCTTCAAAGGGGGTGTTGGGGTACTTGCGAGCGATTCTATAGACGGAGGGCCCATAGACCCCGTAGTAAGAGCTACGAGTCTCACGGGTAATAGTACATTATACAACGTTAGTCTTGGCAATGGTATGCCCCATCCGGACAAGAACGACATTGATAATCTAACATATTTCGACATCCCAGACATTTGGATCGCCAGTATTCTTGCCAATACCTCATCCATGATAGTGGAAATATATGCCTGTAAGAGCAGCCCCGCCCAGATAGCTTAGACTAACTTCAAAGGAGTGTATTTAAACCCAGTGCCGTACAAGGAAATAAATAGACCACTAGAAATAGGTCTTCCAGTCCATATTCAAAGCATTGGGCAATCACATTCAACTCAAAAGCCATTAATTCTATATCAACAACTATAGCAGACTGCTTCACAACCTGAATCCAGAAATGCCGCGAAGCAGTTACAGGACAAGCTGGCCTCCAGTGGTACCTGAACAATCTCTACCCACCGACGGCACACAGCCTCCTACTGTCCCGAGCCATCGCTGATGGTCTAGCACGCATCGGAAGTGCATATCGTCTAACGGCGATTGAAAATCCTCGAGCAACAGCCTGTCTCAACAAGTGGTGCTCAGCTAGTCTTCTCGATGTTGGTGTTCACAGGGTATAGAACACATCTCTATTTTATGCCTAGCCATATTTTATCCAGATTCTATAATGTTTTTCGAGATATCACCAATGTTCTACCTTACAACTGGATGATACAACTCGGCCTACTCTTAAATCCATCTCCCAAGCATGGTGACGCTGATGCATATGCAAGAAGATCTCGTTTCCGGTGTGGTTATGGTTGGGGATTCCGTGACTTACGATAATTATTGCTGCAACTGACTTTATACTTCAAGTCATGGTTGCAGTCGCGCACGTCATACAACTATACACAACGGAAATACTCTCATGTTGATTCATCAGCAAAGGTTCTTGATTTTGGGCTAGAGTCTGAGCCAACCCCAGCTATCATTCATGCCCTCAAGCTTCTATTTCATCGGAGCCTTCGCCAAATCATAGAAACCTCATCTTGCAACGCCCTTGACACGCGTCATTCTACCAATCACAGGCCACCCCTAACAACCTAGCCAGTCTCTCCAGCCACTCCCTATCAACCTCATCAAACCCGCCCTCCAACTTACAATCCACATCGATAATGCCCACTACTTTTCCGTGGACCAAAATAGGCACAACAATCTCGCTCTTACTATCCCCATCACACGATATATGCCCCGGGAAGTCGTCTACATTGTGCACTAACTGGGTGGTTTCTGTTGAGGCGGCAGTGCCACAGACGCCGCGACCGAAGGCGATAATTTGGCAGGCTACTTTGCCTTGGAACGGGCCGAGGATTAGTTGGGAAGGGCGTGAATGGTCGAGGACGTAGAATCCTGTTGCAAGAAGATAAAAAGGCCAGTTAGATTAGTCAGGGCATTTGGTTGAGCGGGAGGGACGTTATGAGTAAAGGGGATGTGACGAACCTGCCCAATTCACTTCTGAACAAGGAGATGGAAGGGATTTATAAGCGTGCCAGAGTAGTGAAGCTGCATTTGCGAGATTGCTGTATGTCATATTGGTATCAGCAATTTACCTACCTACGGTACCTATAGGTAAAGCGGAGGGAGGTTTCGCGCACGTGACATAAAAAGGTGAGTGGGCAAGGACGTTATCACTCACCAAACCTTCAATCATTTCGCATCAGTGATTATTCAAAATAAAATACTATAGATTGTGATGACTGACCCAGTTTCTTTGGCCCTCAAATAACGCCTCCGCTTGCTCTAGTACTTGTTTGTAGGCCTCCTCTTTTGTGATATTCGGCGCAAAGTTGGAGGAATCCGCGTGGACCTTACGCAATTGTTAGTCTTTCGAGTGAGGCTTGATGGTGGTTTGGTTTTGAAATACCATTGTGGTAGCAGTGGATCAACTAAACCCTTCGTTCTCTTTGGTATGCTTGGTATATTTGAAGGGATGGATTGCAGATTAGATTAGCACGAATCCGTAAACTTACTGTAAGTCGCGATGTCACATGATTCCAGATCCACTAAATGGCGGGGCCGAGACCCACCAATCAGGGACCTACCTTACCTACTAGGTACCTTGGGTACTTTGTACGAAGTAGAACAAGGTAAGGTAACTTGGCATCTTATCTATAGGTGGGTGGGTAAGGTAGGTACTGTACCTACCTAAGGTAAGTAGTTATAGGTATCTACGAATTAGATAGAAAAGTCTTTTGGGCGATTCATAGAATCGGGTTTGAGATAGGAAATTGGGATATATTATATTTATTTTGGCTTTCATTTCGATCATTATAAAACGGAAGCAATTCTCTATCAATATCTCTGTTTGCTATGCTTTTTCCCATTTTTCCCGCCACCCATTGAATCCGGCTCTGCAGGGATACCAGCCCCCAAACTGGTTGCTCCCAAACCCTTCGGTCCCAGTAAACGCTTTATAGTTGGATCCCTGTCTCGTCCACGATACGATCCTTCCTCCGTTGCCAGGAGAATATGCTCTGCGTCTTCGTCCAACATCGTCCCTTCAATGCTCAAAAACCCCCTTTCCTTGTCCCTATCATGGCTCATATCAACATCCTTAACCCTGAACTTCACGACACCCTCGATCTTCGTACCGCTCCCATCAACATAATAACCCGCCCAGTCAGAATATTTCTCGCTCACTTCTTCAGTGTGCTCCCCATTCTCCATGTCTTCCACACCAACCCACTTCCAATCTTCCGGCAAGCGTTTACGCTCGATACTCGCATTAAACATATTCCAACATACGATCCCAATATGCCCCTCATTCTGAAAATTGACATATCCCTCCAGCCAGATACCGTTCTCGGGCTTAAATAGCAGAAATTCGGCGGTAACCCACGCCCAACAAACCGGGTATTCGTCGAAAGTCTCTAGCGCGACGACTTTAGAGCCATCGTCGCCAAATTCGTGGGGAGAAAAACGCACGTTATTGTAGGAGAGGAGGACGCCGCCGAGCGGTGGATAGTAGCTTAAAAGGAGAGGCGATAGGTGCTCAGCGCATAGGCCTTCGAGAGGGAATTTTTGGGAGACGGGTGCCAATGGGAGGTATAATGTGGAAGTCTGGAGGTGAAATGGCGAGCCAGGACAGGACTTTTCTGTATAAGTGGCCGAGGATTGCGATACCATATTGCCAGACTCGGGCTTCTTTGACTTTGACTTATGCTCCTTCTCTGCGTGCGAGGACTTGTGTTTCTTCGCCTTGGACTTCGACTTAATGCCGTCTTCCTTGGGTTCTCTCTTCCGCTTCTTCTCGTCATGCGAGGCTCTATCCTTATTTTTCTTGGTCTGGGTCTCGGCGCCCATTGAGAGCGAGGGCGAGGGCGAGGGTGCCATCGGGGTTATGGGATTCTCAATTGACATTGCTGCTGGGCGTGGGTGGATAATCAGCGGCTTTCGCACGCATCAGAAAGTGAAATTTTGGTTTTGTCGGGCTGCACGGCTACTACCCCAGGAGCCCTGTCCGCCCCCCTGCTAGTGCGAGTGCGGCGACGAAGGGGACACATCAGCCTTGAACGCTTGAATTGCGCCTTGAGCGAGCCGTTCGTGGGGCAAAGACTTGGACTTACACTTACACTGACACTTACGAGTACTCGAGCATAAGTATTTGCGGCGCATTATTCGACCACCAGGCACCCATTTATTAACTTCCATTATTGTCTCCCTTTCCACTCCTTGTATCCATTCGTGCTTCATGGCCTATTCTACCCTGATCCCAATAGCCTGAGCGAGCACATCAGAGCAGCCATCGCCATGTCGAACAACCTACTCTCGCTGGCCGGCTGGACATTTCTCCCAAACGTATGTAAATATATCCCCCCTCTACGACCACTTCTTATAGCGCCTCAAACACCAGCTAACAGAATCTGCCATCCCATATAGCTAGTGACAGGCTGGTTACAATCAGTTTACTACGGTATAACGATTCGCGCTGGCGACCCCAAACCACAACCAGGCTCCCCGCGATACAATCTCCACCGACGACGTATCCACATCCTCGTCGTATCCTTCTACCTTCTATACACAATCTACGAAGCAGACTGGGAAATCCGCCGTGCATCCGATTTCTACCAAGACCTGGGCATCCCCCATAATGCCAGCGAAAGGGACGTCAAATCGCGCTTCCGCCGCCTGGCAGCCACATACCACCCCGACAAAGTATCATCCTCTTCCCCCGTCGCCGAAAATTACTTCGTGCATCTCAAGCTCGCACAAGACACCCTCTTGAACCCCGCGAAACGATTCGCATATGAGCGCTTTGGACCCGGCATAGAATCATGGCAACGCTGCAGCAGCATCCGGGACTTCGTCATACAAGGGCTACAAACCATACTCCCCTACTACGGCTTCGCAGCAATATTCATGTACCTCCTTGGTCTGCTGGGATACCTGGACTGGGGCAAATACTGGCGGTGGCTAACACTTATTGTGCTGTGTGTCTTCGAACTACATGCGATCTCGCGCCCATATTTCCCATCGGTCGCCGAAAACTTAATAAACCCCTTTCTGGCGACATTTACAACCCATCCACCCTATCTACCCTTCCAACTCATACAGCTCGCCCGAAAAATGAGCATCACCCTCTACATAGCGTTCTCGCAAATTGGACCGCTCCTCCAGCCGCCTTCACCCATCCCCGCAAACGCAACCCCAGAAGCAGCGTTAAGGTCCCAGCTCGATCGCTTGGAAGCTACGTCCAAGGCGGCGGATGTGGATGCCTCAAGACTGATGGGCATGGAGATGAGTCCTTTTGTGGGGGATCAGCAGGCGCTGAAGGATGTGAAGGGGAAGGTGAAGGAGTGGCTTGTGCAAAACACTATTCGGGCGGATCCGGAGGTTAGAGATGCGCTAGGTAATTTGCTGAAGAGGAGGAGGGTGGATGCTCCTGCGGGGGCGAGGGGAAATAGATAGATATGGATAATTTTGTGTTGTGTATATTCTGAAGAGTTTGTACGTGAATGATACCTTATAGAAGTAGTTTAATGTGCTGTTCTATGTGATGAGCCTGCCTGCCTGCCTCCCTGCTATATTTTTCCTCACGGCTAAGCACGCGGCCATGGGTCTGTTTCCCTTTGAAGCTGCTGGCGCTTTGTCCGAAGTGGTCTATACTACGATTATTTCGACGCAGCTGGTAGATCGATATCATAACTCCTTCCAAGCCTTATTAACATACCTCTGTTCTCTCTGGCATTACATGTATGTTTTATAGCAAGGGATAGTATAAGGTAGGTGTTTGGATGTTTTGTTCATGTTTATTAGCTGCTGTAGGGCAATTTCTCATGCCAACCTAGTAGTCACGCCCACAGCTTGTTGCAGACTGCAATCTCGAAAATGCAACCCCGGGGTATGTAACAGCACCTTTCCTACCGAAAACCTTGCCAAAGTAACATCAAAAGCAAAGCAACTCGCCAAATACGCCAAAGCAATGTCTGCGGCAATCCAAAACTCCAACACCAGTTGCCGGCTTTGCGCCATCCTGTCAGCCCAAGGCAGCCGGTCCCGCCTTCCATCAATTTCCGTCGTAGTTCTCCAGAAACTGATATATGCCGATTCAGTGTGTAGAAATGGCTGCCCATGCTGATTTAGAAACGAGTTTTAGCTCATTCTGTGAGCAAAATCGCTGGCAATAAGAATCCCGGGGAATAATTATAATCAGTCATCATCTAGCTGAATCACCTCCACCATTTTGTTTTTATTCTGCTGCATTGCGATAGCAGAAATATCTCTCTTTTTGACCCTTTCGTCTTCGGACGAGTCATCGTCAGGTTCATCCGTCGCTTTTCGCTTGCCTTGTGGTTCTGGTTTTGATCTCCATCTCCCGTCTGGTGAAATCAAAATAGCTTTCACATCCAATTCATTCCGCACTGTTAAATCTGCTCTCACCGACATTAGAAACTCATCAACCCGTAGACTATAGGGACGGGCATCCTTTCCGCACAATGGACATTTCCATACATCTGCCATGCAGGGCTGCTGTGGTCGCTTAGGTGTGCCAGAGCGAGTCATGAGGAAGGTTTCAAGGTCGAAGCACTCATGGTGCAAACAACTACTACCTCGGACTGGGATTTCGAAAACCCGGGCAGTGAATGGATCCGCAAGGCCGAGTACTAGGTCGCTGTCCACGATCGCTAAGTCCTCGTCGATATCTTTTGGGGCAAGGCTCGTCTTAATAGCATCTAGAGTTTGTGAATACGGTATCCGTTGTTGCCGGAGACACATATCCATGATCTGTCCGTGCTGGAGGAGCTCAACTCGTTCGATGGCGACGAAGATAGAGCCTTTCATGCTTTTTGTCCATAGAGGAATAGCTACTGCGATGTGATTTGCGGCACCATCTCCAGAAGCCAAAACATGTTGCGTAATGTCAATGGGCAGGTCCTTTCCATGGTGGGTTTTGCGCCTTATCTCCAACGGTGCTTGGTTTAGTGATAAAAAACAACTTTCAGGCCATGAAGTATCGCTTACTATCCAGTCTGCGACCGAAATTAGAGGTATATCTAACTTCGGCTGGATACAGCGCATTCGATACTGAAGCGATCCTCGTTTGAGCTCCCGCATCGACAGCTTCCCGCTCCCAGTGAAGACGTCCCTCGGAATTAGAGCAAGCTCGTCCGCCGATAACTTAAAGTCGAACTCCGTTAGCCGGCTGTCTTCGAGGATTTTGGTGGGTCCGAAACTGAGGTCCTTCACGGTTTGATAAAATCTCCGTGACGGGTCATCTTGAGCCTTCTCCAAATAAGAAATGTCAGGGACAGCAAGAATTGGGCTCCGAAGATGAGCTTGGTGTAAAGCAAACACACTCGGGTTTGCTGGATACGTTGCCTGTACCGCCGGCAGTGGGGGAAGTAGTGGGCGATCGAGGTGGTGCTTTGGCTTTTGGCGAGTACTACTGGTGACCTGCCCTGCCATAAGACCTGGAGGACCTGGCATTGCTGGGCGAGGCCACGGGGCAACTTCAGTGGCTCGTCGATCATTACTGGGGAGAGTAGTCGTTCTGGAGTTGATAGCCTGTTGATAGACAACCGCAGGGGCTGTGCCACGTCTCTCTGGAGTCGGGTTCGAGAACTGAACTTGCTGTATCTGGTGTTGCGGATACTGGTGTTGCGGATACTGCGGTCCCACTCCAACCTGCTCGTTCTGCTGTTGTTGCTGTTGCTGTTGCAACCTGTGCAGGTGTTGCCGGGCTTGCCGTGCGGCATTCTGCTGCTGCTGCTGCTGTTGGAGGACAAACAGTTGTTGCATCTGTTCCATTCTTGGATCGGAATTTTGGATTTGAGAGTAACGAATAGGTCCGTTGGAATTAGAAGGAATGATGCTGGTTGCGTCCCGGGCAATTTCCACTTGGCCATCGTTCCTACTCAAATCTGGGTGAAATAACTGAACAGGAGACTGTACAGAGAGTCCTTGCACGGGTGATGGGCTTGACAAATCCGTATAAGCGTGCTGGCCCAATATACCGGGTGCAAATCCAGAAATGGGAATAATTGAAGGATCATTTGTAGTGGTGCCGCCTGTTTGAGGAACCTGCGGCACTGAGTCCCAATGTGCGTTAAGGCTAGGATTTGGGTTATTCTGCGACCACGGGCCGATAGCTGGCGTTTGGGCACCTAGCGAGGTAGCTGATGTGGGAGACTGGACACAAGCGCTACTATGAACGGGCGTTGGAATCCGAGTAACAAGAGGGCTCCTACCAGTTGCCGTTGGATGGCCCTGCTGATGGAACTTATGGCCAACAAGTTTACGATATTCGTTCCCAATTAGGAAATTTCGATCCGATTGCTCGTTTGCCTTTGGTGGGTTTGAAGTATGGCATCGAGCACGGAGAGCATCCCATTCCCGGCGGTCTCTTTTGAAAACCTCCACAATCTTCACTCCGAGCACACCGTCGTCGAGTGCTAGGTTGCGCTGGGCAGCTGTAAACATTATGTCCTGTAAGATCGGAGATAAGACTCCCAGGCGAGACACTAATTCATCAACCAGTGGTGGGTAGCCGCGATTGGCACAAGCTGCTGCCAACGACCTCCACTCTGCAGGTAATGTTCTGAGAAAAATGCCCACATATACGACGTTCCGGCGATAAGGTTCCGAGGCTTTCATTAACATTTCTATGGGACCCGGGAACTGTGCAAACCACTTTTTATGATTAGGTGCCAATCCATCATTCTCACGAATGAGACTACCAAGTGTCTTGAATGAAGTCAATAAAATCTTGGAACTTGGAAAGTCTGGAATGGACGTGACCCGAGTAGGGCCAGGCAGGTCCCAGGTGCAAAATATTTGATGTAGCGCGATGTAGAAGTAGTCTTCTTTACAACAAGCGTCCTGCAGGAGTTGAAATCGTGGCCTTTCCAAACCATTATTGAGATTCTCTCTGCCACCAACAGATTCGATATGTTGCTCTATTCGACCTTTCAGCGGTCTCAGTGACGGGAGGGCGGGGTCAGTTGTTCGCTGATGTTCGTGTAGAGTAGATGAATGTATCGGTGGGCTCGAAGAAGCTTGGGAAATAGGCAAGACAGTCGAAGGGGAGGGTCGAGAGAAAGCTTGCCACCCTTGGGACATGATATTGGATCCGTCTAGACTCGTAGGTTGATGACCACCTTGCTGCGCTTGACTATTGGGTAATGCTTGGCCTGCTTGCCTGTCCGGCGGTGGAGAGGGAGAACATTCAGAGGTAAGCGGAGAGGGAGAAAGAATTTGACGTTCCGGCCGAGAGCCTCCTATCTCTACTTCTGGTGGAGACCACGCATTGTGTGGCCCGTCTGTATGATCTAATATTGAGGAAGGGATCGCCGCGTTGGCGGTCGTAACGCTTGAAGTTGGCGAGGCAATTATGGGAGGGCCCTTTTGGCCCCGAGCCTGATATTGGGGATCCAGCTGAAGTTGGGGCTGAGGTTGAGGTTGAGGCTCGGCTTCTTGTTGTCGCTGAGCTTGCTGCTGAGGTTGTCGTGACGGTGAATGCGGCGATGAAACTGCAGCTTGAAGGCTACTCGCAGTGCCAGACGGGGATCCAACCCCCACAGATCTATTAATCGCAACCGCACGCGAGTTTTCATGGGCAGATGTTTGCCTCTGATTATGATTATTGGAAGCCAGGCCACTCGCGAGGGCGCCAGAGAGCGCTGGGCTGGACTCGTCACTCGGAGCTGGCGACGGTAACACTCCCGACCCTGGCCTACGTGGCGGGTTAGCACATATGTCTTAGTTGACTTTTTGATGGGCAATCTGAAGCTCACCTCTGCGCCGAAGGGCCCTGATACGATTCGGGCTTGGATGGACCGGGGCGCGGACTGGGGCGGACTGGGGTTCCCGCTGCCACCATCCACGACTTCTGTCGAGCTCCTCCAAAAACCGCGTTCAAGGTGGCATTCGAGGAGACCACATCGCGCTCGGAGAGCACCGCGTTGCGAATTCGATCCTTATCTGGGGGTCTGCGCATGATCTAGGCAGGTCATGGAGGGTGCATCGGAGTCGATTTCGTATAGGTGGGCCTCCCGATTAGACTTTTTTCGAGCTGCAGTCAGCGATGTGCTTCCAGCGAGGGGAGGGCATTTGCGATGGAAGTGTACCATGAGGGGGGACGCTCGCAGCGAGGTGATTGATGGGCAGCGGTGGGCGGAGAACTGGACTTCTTATTCAAGATGCGAGTTTCAAGTTGCAGTTGGCGGGCGGGGACGCTGGCTGCCACCGCCGTGGATAGGTTGTTACGGTATGTGTATCGTCGAAAATCGAATTGTCTCTTCGGCGCAGATAGCGGAGGAGGGCGAGGACGAGGAGGGAGGATGTTGGGAATGACGATGAGGGTGGCGATGGCGATGGTGATGGCGATGGCGAAATGGCGATGGGTGAACAGGAACGAAGTATGCCGAAACTTTCTTGATGATAAGTCAAGCACGTTAACATCCACACGGGAGTCTAGCCACACGCCACTCCCGATATAATTGTACGGATTGGGTGCGGGATGGAGGATCTGGTTGGCGTTGGTGTTGGTGTTGGTGTTGGCATTGGGGCTAGGGAAAAGAGAAGGATACTTCTGCGGGGCATAAGAACCGGAATATAAAGACGAGTAGGTGTACGAAGTAGGTGTACAGTAGGTGTAGAAATGGGATGTTCTCCGTACGAAGTATAGATATGAGACTAAACAAATATAAAAACACAATTGCTTCTGCATCCAAGCGCTTAAAGATGTACAAATACGGAGTACAACGGGCCAAGTACCTAGGTAAGTAGATAGAGTAGGGACCAGGTATGTACATGTACATGAACCTAGGTAGGTAGTTATTAGCTACCACAGACAGGTAATGAATGATAGGCGCACTTTCGGAGTCAATAGAACAATCCGTTCCCTGCAAACGTTCACAATCTGATATTGATCAGTAGTACATGTATGATACGTAGGGGGTACCTTACTTCGCATACCTACCGACCGGTACCTAAGGTATATACTAGGTATCCAGGGGGGGCTTGCATCAGACCACAGCCTCACCTTGGCCTAGGTGCAAAGACCAAAGACCAAAGACCTTGTAATCCTAGGTACATGTAGCTTGTAGCGTAAGGAGTATGTAATGTACGTACCTTAGTGTACAATAATAAGAATAGTTCGAGTTCGAGTTCGAGTTCCAAGGTTGTCTGCTCCAGTTACTATCATTCTATTCTCCGTACCGTACCGCCCGTCCCTAACGTACCTAAGGTACAGGTATCAACATCAACGTCAACATCAACGTCAACATCAACAGCAAGTTATCAACACCGCTCTTCTCGTACCTTGAACCACCACCTTGCCACGCAGCCCGTACACTGTAGCCGCCCTTCTACCCTTCTGCGCTTCTGCCCTTCAACGCTCCCAGGAACTATCATCATTCGCTCCCCCTTGCCCCCCAAATCCCATTTACCCTCTGCTGGAGGACAACTGCCGCTACACGGGCACGGCCATTGGCTGCCCCAATACCTCCGTGGTCTTGGTTACCTCTCTCTGCCTTACCTACGTAGTACTCTGTTACGGTCCGTAGGCCTGCTCCGCTGGCGCCCAACACCAACAACAAAAAGTCGCCTTTCACCATCCGCTGTCTTTTGCGGGCGCGCGTGCGATCGTGTCCTCCATCCGCCATCCGCCATCCGCCATCCTCCATCCGCCAGCTTCCAGACCCCCACCGCGAACCACCAATCGATCCGCTCTACCGACGTCGTTGCTCGAGCAAAGTCTACCTACTATCGGCACCTGTTTTGCTATCCAGTTTGGTCCGCCCGACAATCGCTCCAGTCCGTCGCATTTGTGCAGATGTTTCCGTGCTAGACTGAGCCGTCCGGGTGACGTTGACGTCCCGCCAGAAGGATAGGAGCATTGTAGTAGAAGAAAGTAGACGGAGGCGAGGGCGCCGGCGGCGAAGATGGCATCCCAACCGTCGACCGAGCCAGACCAGATATTGTTGGTCATTCGTAAGTATACTGAAAACACCTATCGGGGAATGTGTGGAATGCAGTCGGTTGCGTTTGAATGTCTTTCAAAACGAAACCGTTCTGATTGCGGCGGTGTTTCGCATCGCATTACAGCAACGCATCGCCCACAAGTCAAAATTGAATATATCGCTAATTTTCATCTAACCCAGACGATTTCGCTGCTCGAGGCTCTGATGAATTGAGCTTGTCAAAGGGAGACCGGGTGAAATTAATCGAGCGCGACGATGATTTCGGGGATGGATGGTATCTGGGAGAACATCTGGTGAATGGGAGTCGCGGTCTATTTCCTGCAGGTAGCGCAACCTCATCCCTCATCCTCCTTATGCCCTGTCACATTTCTTGACTGACGCCGAGCCGCCGTAGTCTACACTAGAATCACTCCTACAGAGCTCCCTGCTCACCAGCCTACCTCGACCACTCCTCCATCCCTAATCCCTCCAAACCCACCGGATACGGTGAAAGAACAGGCTACAGAGCCTAAAGAACCTATAGAACCTACCGAGCTGCCCGCGATGTTCACCCCAGAGAGCCCAATTGTCAAGGACATCAGAATGTCCGAGCCAAATCTCCATCTAGAGAAGGTCAAAGATGAAGTGCCAGAAGCTACTCGCCATGTGAGCACATCAGAAATCCCGGACTCGCCTACTATCACCTCACCTTTGGCACCGCCAACGGCAGAAGTGTCTAAGGATCCTGATACAATACTTCCACCCGCCGTCTCGACGACTGTCGCCCCTATACACCCCCAACCAAGGAGCGTTACAGCAGCAGCGAAAATCCATGCCCATGGCCAAGATAGTCCTGTTATGAACGAGACGCTGAGTGTTATCGATGAGCACATCACGGACATGAATTCACCCCACCATAGCCTTGTACCAGCTGAAAGACACAGGGCAAATGACTCTGCCAGCGAATACAGCAGCAATCTCGACCAGCGACTCTCATATATCAATGGAGAAGAAACAGATGAGGAGGAGGAGGGGATCCATACCCAAGAGGAGGTGGTAACCTGGACACCGGACCAAGTTGCAGAATACCTCTTTACCGCGGGTGTTGAACCGAAGCATTGTGAGATATTCCGGGATCAAGAAATAACAGGCGATGTTCTCCTTGGAATGGATCAAACTTCGGTGTTTCTCAAAGAGTTTGATCTAGGTTCCGTTGGCCGAAGGCTAAAGACCTGGCAGAAAATCAAAGCACTTCAAGATGAGATTAGTTCTGGGGCCTCAACGAGGCGCAATACTGCATCGTATGGCAGTGAAGTTGGTTCAGATGATGCTGGACGTAACCGGACTCGCAGCGTTAACTCAGCGTCAATGGCACCCAAGTTATCAGGGCCAGGGTCGCGGCAGAGTTCACGTATATCCCAAAGCCGAATATCACGAAACGATTCCGTCCAAGGCATATCTCCTGTGTCTCCAATAACAAATGATGGCTCGCGCGTACCTGGAGAAATGCGCCCTTCTGCTGCGTCTATCCGGGACCTTCATCATTCACGACAAAACTCGGCAACCGACTTCAGCGCCTCACTTATGGGTGCTGTAGCAAACATCTCGCCCAAGCCACAAGATACAGCCCACAAGAAACAACCATCCTTCGACAGGAACTGGACAATGGGTGCCGCTGCGTCTCCTTCGCTAGCCAATCGCCCACTGTCTTCTTCTGGGCTCCGTCCCATCGTAAGTGGCCCCATCGACCAATCACCGAGTGCCAACCGCGCTACAGCTTTCGATATACTTGATCGAGGGTATTTCTCAGGTGGGGAAGCAGATGCACGGCAGAGGAATGTCCTGCGAAAGCGAGGCAGTACTGCCGCTGGTCACTCTCGAAATTCGAGCTACACAGATGACACCAGAGTGCGTAGCGCTACAGCACACTCGCGGCATTCAAGATTCGGCAGTGTGGATTCCGTTCGCGATTCTGCACCTCCATCTGCGTCTCAAAAGTATTATGGCCTTTCGGTCAACGGCCGCCGCAGAACGCCTTCAGAGAGTTCCATTAATACACCTCCTCGGCCCCCACCACCTCCCAAGGATGTCCACTCGCCAACTGTGACTAAGTTACAAGGTCTTCCTTTCGAAAACACAGCCGCTCCCAAACCCCTTGCGGCTCAAAATCGCGGGCCCACCGACTGGCTTTCGCACGTCAGACCGGCGACAAATCGTCATTTCGGACTCAGAGCGATTTCAGATGCAGTGACTGGAAACGAGAAGTCCCGAGTCGCATCGCCTACAGGTGGGGCGCCGTCGCCTATAAAGGAATCACCGTTGCAGTCACCCTCTCGAACAGGCTCCAGCACACCGTCTGCTGGCCCGAGTTTCGAGCTGGATTCCCCTACTGCGAAGACCTCGAGCCCGTCCACAACTCCTGGAAGCGGGCGGGCTGCTAGGAAGAAGTCCAAAAAGGAGACGAGCGCATACACCCGTGGTTTAGAGAAGAAGACTCCCCAGGAACAAATGATTGGCGCTGATTATAGTGGATGGATGAAGAAAAAGAGTACCAATCTGATGACGACATGGAAGCCGCGACTCTTCGTTTTGAAAGGACGCCGACTCTCATATTACTATTCCGAGGACGACACAGAGGAGAAAGGATTGATCGATATCTCGTTCCACCGTGTCTTGCCTGCAGATAATGATCGGTTAACTGGTCTTCATGCAACTCTCACGGGCGCGACAAATAGCCCAACCAGCCCCGCTGGAGCTCATACCCCAACAATTGCATCGACAGAGGCAGCAGCTGAACCTGAATCAACATTAAGCAAAAGCAGTAACGATTCAATGTTCATATTCAAGCTCGTCCCTCCACGATCGGGTCTGTCTCGCGCTGTAACATTCACCAAACCCACAGTCCACTACTTCGCCGTCCCCAACATCAAGCAAGGCCGACTCTGGATGGCTGCTCTTATGAAAGCCACAATTGACCGTGATGACTCAAAAGCCATCACAACAACATACCAACAAAAAACTATCTCGCTGGCCAAAGCTCGCGCAATGCGTCATCGCCCACCAGCACTCATGAACCTTGATGAACATGTCGATGAAGAAGTTCTCCAAACTCCCGCCAGTGATAAGAATGGCCTGAATATCCGGGGCATTATCTTTGGCGAAGAACCGGGTCATGAGGATGACAGTGGTGTTTCTGGTGTCAATGATACTCAACAGAAACCTGATAGTGCGAAGGTCGCTGGTGTTTGTGATCGTGATCATGCCGTTAATGGTTCTTCAAAGAACTCCCTAGAGGCAAATGTTCCGGAACCTTTGACAGCATGATATTTCGGGACACATCGATCCAACAGATAAGCTTACATTCACTGTGGATATATTTTCCGACCAGACACGGCACTCTTTTTTCATTATCTTATTATCTAATTTTCCCCAAGTAACGAGCAAACAATCGGACTCTACACACTTTAAATAGTGGCGTTAGTGGCGTTTCTTGTGGTATGTGGGCCTGCTGGACTAGGCCGTTGATCTTACATGGCTGGATGGAATGCGATGCTTAATGAGGGACGGGGACTGGGAATTATTTACATGAGCGTACCTTGAGTGGTTGGATGTGATGGAAGTGTCCTTCTTTGTAGTATAGAAATGAGAGCGAGGAAGACGAGGAAGGGGACACTTCTTGCTGAATCAAATGACAATCAAATCCTTTGCAGTATGCTCATGTGCCATATCTCATGTGGCTATCTTTGTATTTCGTGATTATTGTAGTCCAGTTCGAGCGACACTGAATGGGGCGTAAGGTGGAGATAACAGCCTGTGGAAGCCATGACTGGCTTGCTTGTGCTAGCCCTAGGTGTACTTATTCGCAAGATTTCTGGGGGGGGTGAGGGAAACGGGGGGATAAAGCAAGCCGAGATGCTTTCCCTCGTCTTGGTCTTGCGTAAACCTCTCGATTTGTGATAGAAATGTAGTAGGGGAGGTATAAGATATATTATTTCATTATCGCACTCGTGCCGTGAACCTAATTTGCACAGTCAAAGTATATAAATATCATAATCATACAACAGCACCAAATCCTCCACCGCCTGCCGCTCCATTGCCACCCCCACTAGGTGGCTTCCCCCCACCCTTCTCATCCATCCCTGGCGCATTCACATCTGTCACACCGCTATACTCCCTCCTCGGCCCATCCGTCGGCGTGATGTCCTCGGCCATAGCATCTTCATAGCTTGGAGGCGCGTCATCGACAACTGCTGCGGCAGGAGTGCCCAGTTGAGGAGGGTATAAGGGGTCTGCAGCAGGGGCAGAGACTGGTGTAGGGGTTTGGGCGGTAGGACGAGCGGGGACTGGAGGTCGTTGCTGGGCCATGGCGTCGAGGAGGGCAGCGGGGGGTGAGATGCCAGAGTGGACTTCTACTTGGAACCGAAGGGGGAGGGTTATTATTTGCGGCTAGGGAGTGTCCGTTAGTACCTGTGCCTATTTATCATATTTCCAAGCGAAGAGAAAACGGAGGTCAGAAGAACAAAACGTATCTGTTAAGTTACTTACCTGGATCTCGCCAATTACTCCATATCCCAACCCTGCCCGTATCTCAAGTTCGTATTTCCGAGCCAAGTTGCAGGTTTGAAACGAAGGAGCTACAGTATTAGGAAGCGGTATTCGATCCCATAAGTTATTGTCAACCGTTATCTCCTTCAGGGGCGGGTCACTCGGTGACCCGATAGGAATCGAGAGCCCATTCGCACTCATCAGTGACCATGTACTCGTCTCTGTCCGGGAGACATCTAACGCCCTTACCTCAGTATATCCATGTAAATGGACTTGTAGCGATACCAAGAACACATTCTCCGCGCTTTGGTTTGTCTTCTTTACTATAAGCCGTAGGGGTATGGGTTCATTGCAGGTTAAAATGGCGGGACTGGGAAGCCGCGCATCAATCTCTCCCGTTGGCGCCGTGTCCGATAATGGTTTTGGGCTCTTCCTGAACATAGACGATTTCTTCCCATACGATGCCAAACCAGTCTGGAAGCCAAACGGCCTTCGAGCATATACTTCGTTCGTGGTAGGGGGTGGCCTTGGGGGCTCAATGGGGAGAAACCGGAAGCCGACTGCTGACCTTCTGTTTTCCTTAAATATCCCTGGTCGTTGCACCGTAACCTTCACATAATATCTGATTTCTGCTTCCCCCGGAAACCCGGTCAATGAAGGCGGTAATGTCTTCCTGACATGCCGGTACTGCATTTGCTGAAATCCCGATAATCCAAGCCCGCCAAACCCAGCCATCTGCTGCTGTTGGGGGTCCCCACAGCCGTTATTAAAAGGGATCTTGAATCGAAATGGATATTCATGCTTTCCGGCTCGCAGAGTAAATGCTGATCCCATATTCTGCCCATTTGCTGGATGGGGCTCGGGGAACACTTGGCTAATCTTGTACAGTATCTTGTGGTTCTCGATCACGACAGGCTGCCGGTTGTCGGGGGGGCGTATCGGTCGCCTTAATTGCGTTCTGCTCTCGCCTTCCAACTTGGCTACAATGGCAGATACGGCGTCATCGCTAGTGAGACTAAGGATGATTCTGCCGCTGATGAAGTCGAGGTTCGTGTAGAAGGCGTGGGGTTTGTCGAATTGGATCCGGACCGACATTTTTATTTTGGGCGGAAGGCAATAAATGCCCGTATGCTGGTGATGGTGCTGCTGTAAGCGTGTCGATCATGAATGACGGCTGAAAGTGAAGTACGAGAACACGGCATACAATGATTGATACCGAGACGACGTCTGGCACTTGGTATGGAGCACAAGATAGATTATATGTTGTTCGGCGGGGTTGGATGCGTGACGATGCTGGCTGGGATGATGTGTGTGTACTCGTGCTGTCTCAGGGAGGCTCAGCCTCGTCGATGGTGGCTGGAGGGGCTACGCAAGCCTTTCGGTCTGGTATTGATACAAGGGCATCGCATTGGATAACGAGGAGTCTGGAGTTTGGGAGGCTGAGAGGCGTCGTGGCAGTGGCACAGCAAAGTTGGGGGCGGTGCGGTACTGATACTTGTGTCGCGGTAGATGTGCAGGTACAAGTGCAGGTACAGGTACATGTACAATCACGAGTAGATAGGAGATAGGAGATAGGAGAAGCCTTCCAAGGACAAGTATAGCACTACTCTGTACAAACGGTAATGAAGTTGTACTTGTATGTGCAAATCTCGAGCTGCTTTCAGTTACCCCTATGGCGGTACCTATCTACTAGGTAGGTAGGTGCTCATGGATTCAACACCACAACACAACTGCCTTTGGAGCTAACTTATAATTCTTCACGGATCGAAGCTTTGATTAATCCAATCCAAGGTCCAAGTAACTTGAAGGGCGGGATATTAGTATACCTTACGCTACGTCATGGTGGTTTAGTTTAGGTGGTAATACTAGTCAGCTAGCACGTACTTGGTTGGGAAATCTCGGGAAGTTCTCTGGACCTCGGTGTCGCTTGTTTTATATATTTATTAGGGCGAAACGAGACGTCAATGCTTGAATGCCGACATAGTTCTCACTGTTTTCTGGGGGTTCCTTCGTATTTAAATACCAGTATAATATATATTTTACGGCACGAAGCACTGAGCTAGGGAGAGCTTGCCAAAGCATCGTCTTATTTGCCATCTACTGTGCTGATAATAAAACCAAATATCTCCAGCACATAGCATAGCTCCGGCCCCACGGTCCTGGGTAGGCCCGCATTCAAATTAATTGGAACTTCGGCGATACGGTCCTGCTTCCTACATTCCCCGCTCTTGCCGGAGATAGGGCATTATTCTAGTCTGGCTACAACTGCTGCAGGAAGACCCGCACCATCGAAGTCAGAATAAGTAAAACACGGATACGGTAGCAAAGCTGCCACTTGTATGTGTCGAGTCTCGAGGAGTGGGGGTGACCATTCTGGTAACATCGATGCTATGTCGACAACTATAAAGGAGTCTGCCTCGGCAGCAACAGACCGCATATTATCTCTCACAGCTCAATTGAAAGGCTCCTCGAACCCCGCGGATCACCAACAGAAAGCAAAAATGGCGGTACCATACAAGTTCCAAGGATGGATGGGGCTCGACAAGGATTGCGCGGACGGCAAGATGGTTTGGCAAGAGTACGAGCCAAAGACCTGGACCGAAGATGATGTGGATATCAAGATCCAATATTGTGGCATCTGCGGATCGGATATTCATACCTTGAGGTCTGGATGGGGTCCCAGTCTCTATCCTTGCTGTGTCGGTCATGAAATCGCTGGAACTGCGGTGAAGGTTGGGGAAAATGTCAAACATATCAAGGTTGGAGACCGGGTGGGTGTCGGGGCACAATCAGGCGCATGTCTAGATTGTGAGGACTGTATTGAGGGTAGAGAGAACTACTGTACCAAAATGGTAGGGACATACAGCGGGAAGTACCCTGACGGATCGAAGTCATATGGTGGCTATGCGGATTATTGTCGTGCACCAGCCCATTTCGCTGTGAAGATTCCAGATGGCTTGAAACTTGCCGAAGCAGCCCCAATGTTATGCGGGGGAGTGACTGTATGGAATCCCCTAGTGAATAACGGTGCAGGGCCTGGAAAGAGGATTGGTGTTGTTGGTCTGGGAGGTCTTGGCCATTTCGCTGTGCTCTGGGCAAAGGCATTGGGTTGTGATGAAGTTGTTGTGATCTCCCGAACGAACGGCAAGAAGGTCGATGCCGTAAGAATGGGGGCAACAAAATATATTGCCACCGAGGAGGATGAGGGATGGCATAAAAAGAACGCTCGCAGTCTGGATCTCATCGTCTCCACTGTTTCAAGCCCCAAGATGCCCTTGGCCCGATATCTCCAGCTCCTGCGGCCAAATGGGCAATTCATCCAGGTAAGTGCATTATACTCCGAAGATGCAAGCCAGAACTATGTGGAATCCGATGCTGACTTAGTTTAGGTTGGAGCCCCAGAGGACAATATCCCAGCATTTAATGCATTCTCGCTCATCGCAAAGGGATGCAAGATGGGAGGTTCTTGCATTGGCACTCCAGCTGATATTACCGAGATGTTAAACTTTGCTGTAGAGAAAAACATCCATCCAATTATCCAGGAGAGGCCTCTGAGCAACGCAAACCAGGCAATCGTTGAAATGGATCAAGGCCATGCAAGGTACCGCTATGTGCTTGTAAATGAGAAGCATGTGGAGGAGGCAAGGGCATAGACTTACCTTCATGATCTAGTAGACTCCTAGATCATACGTTGGGGGGTTAAATCATGTGGAGCTAGAAGACCAGTAGAATTAAACAATTTCTTTGATAACTAAAATGCAGCGGCTAACCTTTGTCAAAATCTCTCTTGACGCTTTTAGAAATGCGCTTTAGAAATACGCCTCTGCGAGCTTCTCAATCAATCGTCATTCGCTGCGAGAAATACCAGCCGAGTTTACAGCCCACACTTTCTAGTATTTTCCTTGATGATAAAGGAATCTTTTTGCTCACCACCAGAAATACAATACAGAAGTTTGTTTCTCCAGATACCTTTATATAGAGTTGCGGCCGCATTGGATCTAACCCTTGTAGGCTAGCGCGATACTAGGGACTCGCGATCGTAAAGAAAGCTGTCGCGCGCGCAAGATCCCCTACAGCACCTTTTCCTCCACAGCATTCAACGACTCCTCCCGACGTCTGCCAACAAACGCAGCAGAATCTATCGTTGGCAGTCCTTCTAACATTGATGCTTTTTATATCACTCTACTGAAGTCTTTAAAGCCTCTGGGCGACGCGCGCCTCTGGAGCGCTGAAGGTGATAACCTCTGTAAAGCATCACCTCAGCTTTCGCCACAAACATTTCGCAGCCTCCTTGCGCCTCCTTGCGACTATAACCCCCGGGTATTTGGATTCTGCGAGCTATACAACCTGACAGCTACGCAATATGGCGGATTACGAAGAAGGCTACGAGTATGATGACTATGGCGAGGAGGATGCTGGGATCACGGCCGAGGACTGCTGGGCTGTCATTTCATCGTTCTTCGACGCCAAAGGCTTGGTATCGCAGCAGTTGGATTCATTCGATAACTTCGTGGTTCACACGATGCAAGAGCTTGTAGAGGAGAACTCCCAGCTCACCCTTGACCAGAATAACCCACCCTCCTCAGATGACCACCCGATCGCCCTTCGCCGCTACGAGATCAAGTTCGGCACCCTAATGTTTACATCGCCAGCAATGACCGAAGGTGACGGAAGCACATCCGTCATGTTCCCACAAGAAGCGCGGCTGCGAAACCTCACTTATTCGAGTCCCATATACTTGCAAATGACCAAGAAAGTCTCGGTGGCTGTTGAGCGACCGGTTCCCCTAAACGAACTTGACGAAGAACAAGAGGTCGAAATGGCTAGGACTGGGGAACATCCGACAAGACTTATTTGGGAGAATGAGGACGGTGATCCGGATTCTGGGAAGGAACCGGAACCTGATAACGTGTATATTGGGAAACTGCCGATCATGCTTAAATCCAAGTACTGCATCCTGAAGGAATCCGATGAGGAGGCGCTTTATGGATTGAATGAGTGCCCGTATGACCAGGGCGGATACTTTATTATCAATGGGAGTGAGAAGGTTCTGATTGCGCAGGAGCGGAGCGCTGCCAATATCGTGCAGGTTTTCAAAAAGCCGCCTCCGAGCCCAACGCCCTTTGTGGCGGAAATTCGAAGTGCTCTCGAGAAGGGCTCCCGCCTCATTTCTTCTATGACCATCAAGCTCTTCGCTAAGGGCGATGGCCAAAGAGGTGGGTTTGGGCAAACGATCAAATCAACACTTCCCTATATCAAGTCCGACATTCCGATTGCTATTGTCTTTCGGGCACTTGGTGTTGTGTCTGATGAGGACATTTTGAACCATATTTGCTACGACCGGAATGACTCGCAAATGCTGGAAATGTTGAAACCTTGTATAGAAGAAGCCTTCGTGATCCAGGATCGGGAGGTTGCTTTGGATTACATTGGTAAGCGTGGAAGTGGCACGGCATTAACTCGGGACAAGCGTGTGAAGCATGCTCGAGAGATCCTACAGAAAGAGTTATTACCGCATATCTCACAAACGGAAGGAAGCGAAACTCGAAAGGCCTTCTTCTTGGGCTATATGGTACATAGGATGTTGCAATGCGCACTTGGGCGACGCGAGACTGACGATCGAGATCATTTCGGCAAAAAACGATTAGATCTCGCTGGGCCGCTTCTTGCTAAGCTATTCCGAGGCCTTTTCCGGAGGTTGACCGGGGACGTCTACAAGTACCTCCAACGCTGTGTGGAGAACAACCGCGAATTTAATCTTACACTTGGGGTTAAATCCACCACGATCACAAATGGTCTCAAGTATTCCTTGGCGACTGGTAATTGGGGTGATCAGAAAAAGGCCGCCAGCTCCACTGCTGGTGTGTCTCAAGTACTCAACAGGTATACTTTTGCTTCCACTCTCTCGCATTTGCGAAGAACCAATACCCCAATTGGCCGCGACGGAAAAATTGCCAAGCCTCGACAATTGCACAATACCCATTGGGGGTTGGTATGTCCTGCTGAGACTCCTGAAGGACAGGCATGCGGTTTGGTCAAAAACCTGGCTCTCATGTGTTACGTCAGTGTCGGCACCCGTAGCGAAGAGGCGATTGTTGATTTCATGATTTCACAAAACATGGAGGTCTTGGAAGAATACGAGCCCTTGCGGGCCCCCAACGCCACGAAGGTTTTCGTCAATGGTGTCTGGGTTGGCGTGCATCGGGAGCCTGCTCATCTCGTATCCGCAGTCCAGACATTGCGACGCAAATCCAAAATCTCACCCGAGGTCTCGCTGATTCGAGATATCCGAGACAGAGAATTCAAGATCTTCACAGACGCAGGCCGAGTTTGTAGGCCACTATTCGTTATTGATAATAGCGTCGACAGCACAAACAAAGGCAACTTGGTTTTGAATAAGGACCACATTAAGCGGTTAGAGGAAGACCAATATATTCCCATGCATCCTAATCTGGATGACGAGCAAAAGGAAGCATTGGGGTACTTTGGATTCCACGGCCTAATCAAGGCGGGCGTGGTAGAATATTTAGATGCAGAGGAAGAAGAAACTGTAATGATCGTAATGACTCCTGAAGACTTGGACATCTCTCGGCAGCTCCAGGCTGGATACCAAATCGGACCAGATGAAAGCGGCGACTTAAACAAGCGTGTGAAGGCCCCAATGAATCCTACCGCACACATATGGACTCATTGCGAGATTCATCCAAGTATGATTTTGGGGATTTGCGCAAGCATCATCCCTTTCCCCGATCACAACCAGGTAAGAATTAAATCCACATGACCCTCTCAAGATCTCTCACTAACCGAAATCTAGTCTCCTCGTAATACATACCAATCCGCTATGGGTAAGCAAGCTATGGGAATCTTCCTAACCAATTTTGATGTACGCATGGACACTATGGCAAACATTCTTTACTATCCCCAGAAACCACTTGCCACGACGCGATCTATGGAGTTCCTAAAATTCAGAGAACTCCCGGCTGGTCAAAATGCCATAGTCGCCATTGCTTGTTATTCGGGATATAACCAAGAAGATTCCGTCATTATGAACCAGAGCAGTATTGACCGGGGCCTTTTCCGAAGTCTCTTCTATCGAGCATATACAGACCAAGAGAAGCGGATCGGCATGAATGTCGTCGAACAATTTGAGAAACCGTTCCGGTCGGACACACTGAAGCTAAAGCATGGTACATACGACAAGCTTGACGGCGATGGCCTTATTGCGCCAGGTGTCCGTGTCTCAGGAGACGACATGATAATTGGGAAGACGGCACCCATGGCTCCCGATGCTGAAGAACTTGGGCAGCGTACCAAAGCTCACACCAAGCGCGATGCTTCCACGGCGCTCCGAAGCACCGAGAATGGCATTGTTGATCAGGTACTTCTTACAACAAATGCTGAGGGTCTGCGTTTTGTCAAAGTACGGGTGCGAACAACCAAGATCCCTCAAATCGGTGATAAATTTGCTTCTCGTCACGGACAGAAGGGTACGATTGGTATCACCTACAGACAAGAAGACATGCCTTTCACTCGACAGGGCATCGTCCCAGATCTAATTATCAATCCGCATGCTATTCCCTCCCGTATGACTATTGCTCATTTGATCGAATGTCAACTAAGCAAAGTTTCAACCCTTCGCGGCCTTGAAGGTGACGCTACACCTTTCACCGATGTCACGGTCGACTCTGTATCGAAGCTCCTCCGCGACCATGGATACCAGTCACGTGGTTTCGAGATAATGTACCATGGCCACACCGGAAGAAAGATGATGGCACAAGTCTTCCTTGGTCCAACGTACTACCAGCGCTTGCGCCATATGGTCGATGACAAGATCCATGCTCGAGCCAGAGGTCCTGTTCAAATTTTAACTAGACAACCAGTCGAAGGTCGTGCGAGAGATGGTGGTTTACGTTTCGGAGAGATGGAGCGTGATTGTATGATCTCGCATGGGGCTGCTGCATTTTTGAAGGAAAGGTTATTCGAGGTCTCAGATGCGTTCAGAGTGCACGTTTGCGACATCTGTGGGCTCATGACTCCAATCGCGTTAGTAATCCTGTTCCAACACATTCACTAAAGCAGTACACTAACCATGCTACAGAAAACTCTCCACACAAAGCTTTGAGTGCCGACCTTGCAAGAATAAGACGAGGATCTCACAGGTCCATATCCCATATGCTGCCAAACTACTTTTCCAAGAGTTGTCATCCATGAATATCGCGGCGAGGATGTTCACCGAGAGGTCTGGAATCTCGGTCCGCTAGACAGCTAAAGTTGAGGAGTGTAAGAAATGGTGCGGGAGGGTGTTTCGTGGCATACATAGGCGTTTTCGGAAGGGACAGACTGCAGCGACAAAACATGGGTGCGTGAAGCTATTTGCATTTGGGTCGCAACTCGTTGAGGATGCAGGCAAGCCGGGCTGCAAGATATCCAAACACGTTTTCTCGTGTTCCTTGTACAATTTACGGTAGAAATGTTGGAATACAGATCAAATTAGATCAGATGGAACTGAAAACGGAGCGTGCAAATTCCATTCTAGATCCCTGTGATGCCGTACCCTGATCCCTTCCATTCCCTCTAGAGTTGAGATGGCAATTGTAATACTGTTCGTTCCAAAACGCCTTTCCCATGTTCCGCTCAATGCCGCCGGTTCCTAGATGTCTATTTCTACAAGGATTCGAGCATGTCATATAGTACAGCAACTCCTGAAGTCTCTCTCTTGGTCAATCCTACTTGGAGACACGTCGTCACCGCGGCCTATCCAACACCGGCGAACCACCATCATGCACACTCTGCACCTTCTTATACTCCTCTTCCAACGCCTTCTGCATGTCGAAATCAAGCTGGCGCTCCCGCTTTAGCTGCTGCTGCTCCATGTCCCGAACGACGCCTGCGTGCATGGCCTAGAGGTTTGGGTGTTCGAATTAGCTCTCTGTGGTGATAGGGAGGGGAAGATGGATCAGAGGAGGAGCGGAAAACCAAAATCGCTTGCTTACAGCTTTCTCTGCTTTTTGCGCATAGTGTACGAAATAGACGGTGCTGATCGCAAAGAGAGATGTAGCGCCGAGAGTGAGTTTTGCTGCGCGTGACATTTTGAAATCTTCAGTCTTGTTCTCAGTTCACTAGAGCTTTTGAATTGAGGTTTTAGTTATCGTATCATGGTAGAAGTAAAGTAGGAATACATCGAGGGGTGTGAAGGCAAAAAGTCGAGATGGGGGAGGGGGGAAGGAAGTGAAGTTCGAAGCGAGCAGGGATGCCGAAGCTCTACGTGCTTGGCTCTTTGACGTCCGAACCGACTGAAGGCTGCAGCGAACACCAAGCTTCCATATCCAGCAACAACAGCAGAACGACCAGGCAAGATTATTTTCCAATAACAGCCATCCATCGATATCTCCCGCCTATATTACTGTCACCGGCAGGTCGCGGATCCTTTGAGGTGGAGCTAAGCCGTGGGTCGGTTGATTGATTGCCAAGATGGTATACATGCTCCCCTGCACGTTGGACCTTGAGAATGGGCTGGAGCTGATATGTTTGTGTGGTTATAGTCTGCACAGAATTCGGCGGGTATTCAGACGTTGCTTGATGTATGTTTTCCTCCTGTGGGTAGGGGTAGGATGCCCAGAATCGGTCGTGGCGGCGGATGAGGGGAATACAACGGTTGCATGAAGTCCATGCTGATACGCTACAGGCCGAGAGAGAAGCTCAAAAGATTGTTCAGCGAGGCAAGTAACCACTCCTGGGGTTTCCGTTGAAGGTTTGCTAATATTTGGTGGCTATAGCTAGAGAATGTAAGCTACCAATATCTCAACCATGCCTTCAGTTGCAGGACGTTGGTTAGTACGACGATAGTTAGCTGACAAGCCTGCGGGGTATAGACCGCACAAAGCGGGTAAAGGAGGCAAGAGACGAGGCCAAGAAAGAGATCGAGGCGTATAGGAAACAGAAGGATAATGAGTTCAGGAAGTTCGAGTCCGAGGTATGCACCCTCTCCCATCATATGCTTCCGCACCACTACAATCTTGCATGCTAGGGTGAGTGCTAATGGTAACATTTCCTATAGCATACGAGCGGCAACAAGAAGGCCGAAGAAGATGCGGATAAGGATGCCGAGATGAAAATAAAAGATATCAAGACAGCAGGAAAGAAAGGACGAGATCAAGTTATCAAAGACCTGCTGCAAGCTGTCTTTGACATTAAGCCTGTGGCCCCGGAGCGCATTGAGGTGCCGAAATAAGATGCTGGATTATCTGCGAATGGGAATTGACATGATGGGGATTATTGCTGTGCCAAGGGCTATGCCATAGAGTGCCGCTGCCGAAATTTTAGGTTTGGCTTGTCATTATAAGAGGATTTGGCAGGTTTGTGCCCAGGGGTGTATAGAGTAGGTTTGCTATGCCGTAAGATACTTTCTCACCAACTATCGAAAGATATTGAGGTTATCCCTTCCTCCCTCGCAGTTACCATGCCTGTGCCCCCCGTAAGGATTTATCTCCCTTGCCTCTATAATAGCCAAGATAGGATAGAGTGGGTAGGTTTGAAATCAAGCATGGAAGTAACGATAAATCGATTGATATCTCTCCCTAGGTGATTAAGTAGGTAGCTTAATCCCAAGCTACCTACCTCAGGTATCCTTCAGTGTTAAATCATTTAGACGTTTATCATATTAAAATTATTTGAGTCAAGCATGCTTAGTATCAGACGAATCTGAAGACTTGAGGTATCGAATCTCTTGCTGTGAGTTATAATTGGTTGGGAGCGGTTCTTGTGTTGCTTACAGGGATGTCTTCACGACGTCAGCGTCACTATCGCGAAATCCATTCCCAATCATTTCTTCGTCCACCTCCATCGCAACTGCTTCTACCATGGTATCACTCGATCAAGTCCGACTAAAATCTCGATGTATACCGCATAGAGATGACAATTCTGGTCGCTCGTGTGTCGCGCACGAGATCCATTCCTCCTATCCTTCGGAGAGCCCTCCCTCGCCGTGAGACGGCTCTCGACTCTCGATGCAACCCATTTTCCACCTGCGTGCCTAGAAAGAGAGCTGGGTCATACCAGACTCAAGTTAAAAAGAGTTCTAGTAGTGATCCCAGAATAGAAGATGCTGGAAGGGCGATTGAGGACGATTATGCTTTGATTAGAGAGAAATATGGTATGTACCACCTCGGCGCCCCCACTGTATACGAAGTGAATTGCAAATCTGATGATTAGTAGCTACGCCCAAAAATCCCATAGTCCTCGCACATGGTCTCTTCGGCTTCGACGAGTTTCGATTGGCAGGAAGCCTCCTTCCTGGCGTCCAATATTGGCGTGGAATCACACAGGCAATGCGCGCAAATGGCATCGAAGTTATCACCACCTGTGTCCCAGCATCCGCCAGCATCGAGGAACGCGCTGCGAAACTCGGCGAAGACATAGCCGCTAAAGCCAACGGAAAAAGCGTCAACATCATAGCGCACAGCATGGGCGGCCTCGACGCACGATATATGGTCTCTCGTTTGCAGCCAGACAACGTCGATGTCCTCTCGTTGACTACGATTGCCACGCCACACCGTGGGTCTGCATTTGCAGATTACTGCTTTGAAGAGATTGGCCCGCATTATCTACCTCGTATATACAACTTCTTTAATCATTGGGGTATTTCTACGGGTGCCTTCAGCCAGTTGACACGGAAATATATGTGTGAGGAATTCAATACAAAGGTTCTAGATGCTGCAGGCGTAAGATACTTCTCTTACGGTGCAACATCCAATCCCCATCTTTTTAGTGTATTCAAGCACCCGCATTCTATTTTAGCTAAGCTAGAGGGTCCGAATGACGGATTGGTTAGCGTGGCGAGTGCGAAGTGGGGCACGTATAAAGGCACTCTGGTCGGCGTTAGCCATTTGGATCTTATTAATTGGACGAACAGACTACGGTGGTTTGCTTCCAGGGTTGCTGGGATTGATAGGAAGTGAGTTACACTACGATTTGCATTATTGTCTTTGCTAATAGGGTATAGGTTCAACGCTATCGCATTCTATCTGGACATTGCGGATATGCTAGCCAAGGAGGGACTCTAAAAATTAGCAATGAACCATCCGTAGGAGTGAGGGCTTTGTGTATATTTGGGTTGCACTTCATTGCAGACGCCTCACTTACCATGGTGAGGCTGCCATGACACTGTATAATATGTATTGGTAGTGCGTTCTAGACTTGGACATGGTGTTACAGGGTTTGCCACAGTGTTGGAGGAAGGCCAGGTACAACTATGGAATTCCGCCACCACTTCACGTCGCATTGGGGAACAGTTAAGGCCAACAGGATCACCGAAGGCGAGAGGAAAGAATAGGTGGCAAGATATGTGCCACCAGAACAGCTTTACATATCTACCAAGGACTCCAACGACTGACTGACTTTTCCGGACCAACTTTGCATCAACTCTAAGCAGCCTAGTGTTGGCTTTAATACATTCTGGCAATGCTAATTGCACCATCTTTGAAAGTGATTTTGCGCTGGGCCAAAAATTTCTCGCTCTTGCCCAATGTCAATTCTTCGCCCTGTAATACCTGTAGGAAGTCTAGAAAGCGATTCTTGCACATTCTTTCCCCTCCTCGAATGCTCCGCCCCAGGGACTACGGTTCTCTATTAGCCAAGAAGGAGGAGGGGCATTGGGGAATTGACGTGGTGCAGCGTAACAGAATTCACAATCTGCAGTGCCCCTATATGGATATTTTGGCATCTACTAGCATGTCTCAATGGCCGGCCGTCAAGAAATGGCTTACAAGAACATTACAGCCCGCAGATTCGGCAAATCGTCTCGTCGGTATTTTGATAGTTTATAGACAACGGGATGATCCCGTATGTCGAAGCGGATCCAAAAACAGTGGTTGAAACCGCCTTCGAGTCATCGCACGACCCGGCATCGTTCTCCATTCTTAAAGCTCAACACATTGGAGCGTCAATTGTTGTCAAGCGTCACGATCGTATAATATATAATGCAAGCTTCTACTGCCATTCCGCCTACAGGGGATCTGTTCGATTCTAGTGCTGTGTGCTAGATCATCTTCACTTAATGCAAATTATTCTACGCTGATACATGTGGGGGTTTGGGGAAGAAAATAGTCTATACCTACATACGTACTTAGGTTACTCTCTAACCTCTATCCTTTACAGAGCAACATGATTCTAGCCATCATTGAGTATCTCCATCATTGAGTATCTCCAGCCACCAAGGTGCTGCTTGCCCAACAGTCTCACCGGCGTTGAGCATGTCGAGTGTCTCAAATGGAGCTCTACAATATGGGCAGCTGGAAAAGTTCGTTTCACTCATCCACTTCCGGATGCATTTCTGGCCGAATACATGTCCACACCGTGTTTTGCACGGGTGATCACGAGGGATATCATCAGCCTTATCATCAGGCTTGTTACCAGCCTTACAATCCGGTACCACATCCTGGCCTGGGAAGTCAAAGTCGTCGTGTTCTGGTAACAGACAGTATACTTCGTAGCAAATATTACACTGTTGGTCTTGTATGGCCAAAGATGAGGTGGTTACCTTTGACAAAAGCATATCTTGCCTTTGCTTTACCATTTCTGCCGGAATAACCGTAGCCTCAACCCCAGCAATCCAATGGGCTGTTATTGCACTTCTGATTAGGCCAATAACTACGTATTCGAAGGTGATTGACCCCTCGTTAGGGTCCATTGTCCCAATATATCCATGGTACCGAAGTATATGATATTTCACTAACTGCGAATACGATCGTATGGCGGCGTCAACATTCATCGTTGTGACCGGCCCTTCGAAAACGGTACTACCGACTATGGGTGCCCAGTTTTCCTGGAATCGCGCAAACATTGCTCTAGCTGAGTTCCGTAACTCTTCATCTTGGGCAAATGCCGCGAGTACCTGCCATTGTCTCGGGTCGTCTCTAATTCTGCGGGTATACCAGCATTCTTGACAGAATAGGGTTGTAGGCATAGCGATTATCTCGATATTAGCGCAACCCTCCACAAGACACGGTATCTGTTTATAGTATCTAAGGAATGGCGAGCACTGACAGCTATGATAATACTTTCTGCACATTTTGTTGTTTTTGGCTTGAGATTGTGTGCTTGAAAGCTATGATCAAGAGGTCTTGTTAATTCTTTTAATACCATATATTACTATCTTGTTTATGTTTTGTTCCAGGGTTCAAAGCTCATTGTGTAACAAAAGTTAATGATCAGTAAAGTGCTTTGTCATCTCCTTTATTGCGACTGTTTGGTGACTTTACTGTACTGTATAGACCTACTTGTTCTCTTTCATTTCCTTGCAACAGCCTTCTTTCCTTGGCAAAAGAGACCATCATAGTGCCTATTCCTAAGAACAAATTCTCGCTTTAGAGAACAACTCGGTATTCTAGCTTTTACTTATTCTGTATGTAAGGGGAATCATCAATATGGCAAGGTTTCCTTTGTTGTTCGCATTCTATACATATCTACTATCATTGCCCCAAAACAACCTAAAGCCATAATTTACAATGGACTCACACCACTGCTTGACATCCCGACCTCCACAGACACAGTCTAGCTTTTGGGGAAGTATCCCAAAACAGGGTTAGCTTGTGAGAAACATAATAGTTCACGCCTATAGTACTTCTCGGTTACGCCGTACTCGGAATATGCTTGCAGCGTGAAGTATCTAAGTGACTTCTGAACAGTACCGAATATGCCTCTGGGCATAAGCTTGGGAAACGGACAAGCGAAGAACGTTGGGGTTTCCAGAAAAGGCTCGTGTTTTTGTGGTACACTACAGATTACAGGTGGTAAAGCTTATCGGCGATGGGTGGGTGATGTTTGATTAGTAGTAGGTTGGGTTGAAAATATGGACTTGGTGCTAGTATATCGTGGAGAATGCAGGGTGTATACTACCTGAAGCAGGTTCATTCGCTGATAGTTGTTCCTACTACGGGGGAAAGATAAATGAGCAGGAAGCAAATGGCGCTATTAATGAGTTAGTAATAATGGTTAGGGTGCAAGAGGTAAAAATGCTCTTTTATCTCTATTTTCTTCGCACTGTTGGATATTCCTAATGGATGAGAGGAACTGGGTGACCTCGTGTACGTTGATGAGGAATCATTGGGGGGCCATTTCCAAACCTTTTGATCTTCACTTAAATTACATAGGTAGGTATGCTGCACGTTTTCTACTCCGCTGCCATCGTATGGTATGGTTTGCTACTAGCCCTTTAATCCGTCTTCCTCGTTCCGCATGGTCACCCCATATATAATGCTATTTCGCCCAAGGTCTAAATCTCCCATGGAGAAGTTTAGCTCCTGACAGGTCAAAATTTACCTAACCCTAAAGAAGTATTAGAAATGATTGTTTGGCATATCCGGGGATTGTGTAAATCTGGGGTGAACACTTGGTAGATCAGTTTCAAACCTGACGTGCAAATCCAAGCTATTTCGATTATGATTAAAGAGACGACGGGTAGATATGCTGATTAGTTCCCGGTACTTGAAGCGGTAAATAAATTTTTGATGGCAGTCCATAGTGAGCATTCTACTCAAGTCGGCAGGGTGGGCTCGCGCTATACGCGGAGGCTTCGTAGAAAACACTTTAATTCATCTGACAAACAATACCGGTACAACAGAAAGCAATGCACTCCGATAAAATAAAAAATGAACACTTGTGCTGCAATGCATTTTCCAGCGTTGGGGATTATATCGAGATCGTAGCATTCTCGGGATACCATGTTTCCTCTTCCTCGCCTTAATCTGAACCATATATTTGGGTATAGAAATATATATATCATATGCACGAGACATAGGTTGGGAGTATACAGACAATTAATTACAACTGACAAATTAAAAATGAGGATGGTTTACAAGAAAGAGAGAAACATCCACGTCCATCTTCTCTCTAACCAACTCTTTTAACTTGGAGGTAGTGCAAGACATACGCAAAGCACCATTCAACACTATATGAATCATCAAAATTTTAAAAAGGCTTCTAATAATAAACACAAGGCTCTAGACGACTAACATCTCTATATATCTTGAATGTAGAGAGTGATCATAAAATATAATTTATAACGCATTTAAGGCATTTATATTACTTTATAACTACCTAGGCAGACCCCAAACTGTGTGGGCTTCCTTGATATCTCAAATGTAGCATCCGATTATCGCGGAATAGGGCCACAATCTACTATATACCCGGTGTCATTCACAAAAACCCTTAGTGGCGTAATTTTTAAACGCACCGCCGTTCTTAAAACCCGACAACCAGATGACCCAAGCCTCTCGAAACACAACTCAACATCGCCTTGTTCCCCTCTCTATGCTCACATAGCGGAACGCCCCTATGCTCCACCGTCCCCTCGCAAACACTAACTTGACAAGTTCCACAATTTCCCACCTCACAACTGCTCTCCACACTCCAGCCCTCCCTCCTCAATACCTCCAACAGGCTCTCGTCAGGCCCGACATCCATTATCTTATCTTCATGCCCGCGAACCTGCACGGTAAATGGATCGCCGCCCCTCTCGGCTTGGAACGCTTCATAATGGATCTCGTCGTCGCCGATATTGTGTGCAGCAGCTGCGCGCTGTACGGCGTCGATCATGCGGGGAGGTCCACAGACATATATATATGAATTCCAAATGCGGTTTTGGAGGATTGCGCTGATATCCATACGCTGCCCCTGGCTCTGATCATACACCACTACCTTGCTACCCATTTCCTCGATGAGAGGTCGGAACGGGATATCAGACGCAGAGCGAACGGCGTAGTGCAGTACATAATTGAAATTAATCTTGGTATATATAGCGGTTTGCGCGAGGAAGGCAGTTATGCCAATGCCGCCCGCGATGAAGATATGATTTGAGGCTTGCTCGCGGATGGGAACGCTTTTTGTGACCTTGCCGCAGAGGATCGTGGCGCCTTCTTGTAGACTTGAGTGCATGTATTCCGAGCCGCCGCGGCTGGAGCCTGTAGCGGCGAGAGCGACACCGAGTTGGATGCGGTGCGTGGTGCCGTTAACGATGGAGTATGAGCGGATGAGGCCGTTGGGAAGCTTGACACGAACAAAACTGCCTGGGTCGAGATCGTTACCTGGGCTGCTTCCCTTGACGGCGGCTTCGAGGAGGAAGGAGACGATACGCGGTGTCTGTCTTTTCTTCTCGATGACGACGAATTCTTGCCATACCTCGGGCACCTTTGTTGCACCCTCGTGTTGCGCTTTGGCAGCGGCAAGTAAACGCCTGAACGCCTTTTTGCACTCATTCCCAAACTCATCGATTTGAACTAACTGTTCCAACATAGGCATATTCTGCTTATCCCGATGCAAGTACTCCTGCACCCGCTCGATAGTCCACGAGGGATGTTTCCTCTCGACGAGGATAATATCATCACCAACACCCATCCACCCCTCCTTCAACACGCGGTAATACCACCCCGTGCGACTCTTCTTCCACGTCTGCGGCGCAAAACCCTTCAACCCAAATCGATGGTTCAGTTTAAAGCATGGTTGTCTCGGTAGACTAACCTGTAATACCACATCTCCAATACTGATGACATCTCCGATACATACATTCCGCTCATTCATGTTGTCACTCACGAGATTCTCTCCGAAGCCACCGATGTCGAAACTGCCATTGCTGTCAGGGAGTTCGGAGCGCCAGAGGGGGTAATGACCTGGATAATATTGATGGACGGCTTTATCCAAACCGCCATGGAAGGTTAAGTCGTGCTCGTCGCTTTCGAGGCCGGTGAAGCTGCAGAAGACGCGGGACGCGCGGGGCTGCTTATAGATTCCCGTTAAGATGGATAAGTTGTGCATTTTCTGCATTTTGCTCGTGCGGAGCTGGAGAAGCTTGTCTCGTTGGAATGGGTTATCAAGATCCATTGGCGGAGAAGTTGCCATGGTCGGTGGTGGATGTATGTCCCCCATCCTGGCGTGTCCTAGCAATAAATGAAGATGATGAGCTAAGGTGCTGACAATGTTTTGGCCGATACTGATATAGCAGATGAAGATATCAGACCAAATTCTATCGTCCGAATATAGATACCTAAGGTAGGTAGACATAGATAGCAATCTAAATAAATAGCGTCACCAACCGAACCCAAGGTATCTAGTAGGTACCTAGTACAAGGTAGAGATTAAGTAGGAAAGGGCTCAGGAAAATTCGTATGCATGACCAATCCAGACTAAGAATTAGCCGCTAGGCGCGGGGGACGTAATGAAGAAGGAATACGAACATGGGAGCGCGGCCGTCGATGCAACTTATAGTCAGCCACTGCCCCTGACCATGCACGTGGTGATAATCAATACTGCATGTCAGAAACACTTGCAACACTCATATGGTCCTGAGCACGGGAGGGGTTGAACATAAAATCGTACTCCATTGCAATAATCCGTCTCCATAGCGATACTCGCCCACACACGATGATAAGTACACAGGATTCCGCCAATTCCCTGACACCACAAACAATATCAACCAAGGATAATAAACAGGCGAAGAAGCTGTTGACATTGACATATAGTGACCCGGACTCCATTCCCCATGTTTGTCGCTGAGGCCCGGCGCACTGCGAGCACCAGGACAACTGCAGGTATTAGGCACGACCGTCGCAGACAATCCGAAAACATAAAACATAAAGACACTTGAAACAGCCAGTGCGAATTTCCCATATCCAATAATCGCGTAGGCTGGCATCGAGTGTATGTGGTGATATAAAAAAAAAAAAGGAAAATGGGAATTTTTTGAAACAGGGGTAAAGTAGACTCTTTCTAATCGTTTGAAAAAACCGTACTCTTTTTGCATGGAAAATGAAGACGCCGAAAACTGTGAGGCGATGTGATCCGCTGAAACGCCAGGAGGTATGCTCGAGAAACGCCGGAAATTTGATTTTGGCACTGGGGTGGCCCCTTCTGAATTACTCCGCACCAATCTGGCCGCCGTCCTCTAGTGGGAAGTTGTCAAAATTGAAGTTGTTGACATCATCAGTGTCCTGGTGCAGGAAGGAGTCGAAGTCGAAGTCTTGGAGGACATCCATGCTACCAGTCCCCGGATCGGCAAAGGCACCCAGCGGAGGGTAGTCACCGTACTGGAATGGGTTAGTAAGATTGGCGTGAAGAGATAGAGGCTTGGACTTACAGTAGGCTCCCCAATATAGTTGTTCACCAGAGGATCGGGTTGTTGCGCGGCCGCAGCACCTGCATTCGCAGCTGGAACGCTAGTCTGACCATTCGTGACGGGTTGGACGGCGCCATTCTGGCCGTTAAAGCTCTTCGGGTGGACAGGAGTAATCGGGGTCTGGGGGGTCGGCGTCGGGCCATCGGTTGGGGCATCGGCCGATGGCGTAGCACCAGCATTGAGGGTCGCGGCAGATCCCTTCTTTGTAGGGCGCTGTCATAAAACGTCAACATCTCCAAAAAGAACGCAAATAACGCAATGGGGCATACCTTTTTATTATCCTTGGCGTCATTCTTCTTCTTTGGATTCGCCTTGTTAGCTTGTTGTGGGGTGGGTGGCGCCGCGGTGCCTTGCTGGGGGGAGGACGGCTGGGTTCGACCATTCGTCGTTGCACCGGCTGCAGGCGCAGAAGGAGGAGGCATAGCTCCCGGCCGCGGGGTTCCCATGTTCTGCTGGGGCGCCCCCGGCCCGGGCTGTGGTACCATCTGCCCGTTAGGCCCGGCTTGCCAGTTCTGACCAGCTTGTTGCTGCTGTTGCTGCTGTTGCGCTTGTTGTTGCTGCTGCTGCTGCTGTCGAGCCATGGCCATCTGCTGCTGCTGGGCCGTCATCGGGTTGTTGAATCCGCCACCGGGGTGCGAGCTTGGGGGCTGCATCCTATTAGGCATGGCCCCGCCAACCATGTTCTGATCCATCCCATTCATCTGGTAGAATTTCGAATTCATATTGTTAGGATCCATTGGGCCACCTGGCAGGTTGAAATTCATCCCGCTCGGAGACCCTCGCGATTGCCCTTCCGGAAGGGGGGATGGCATGCCGGCCGGGTTCATATGAGGTGTTCCACGCTTCATCTGCTCGCTCGGGTTGGGTGAATTTGCAGAGCGGGCGCCTTGTGGGGAGGTCCCCTGGAATGGCTGGCCATTGGGTCCCATGGCCTGCGCGCCAGGGCCACCAGGGCCATCAGGGCGGGGGATAGTAGACATGCTATCCTGCTCCTGGCGGGCCATCATGAGCCTCTTCTTGTTCTGCTGTTCGAGTAGCATAAGCTGCATTTGGTAGTCTTGCAACGCGTGGTTCCCACTGCCATTTGCTTGGTTGCCCGGGCCGCCTCGCATTCCGTTCGGGCCCATCTCGCCGGGGTTGTAGTAGTTGGCGATGTTCCCACCGTCCTGACCCTGGGCCATCATCGGTGAGCCTTGATTCTGGGGCCCTCCTTGGTTCGGCATCGGCTTCACCGACATCTGGCCCGCCTGCTGTTGTGCCAATCCCGCCTGGTATCCGGCGAGCGACCTCGCCTGAGCGTTGGTATTCGCGCCCCCTGGGACCTGGAACTGCTGAGCTGTCAGATTATCTGGTTCGATGCCATTGGTAAGCTGCATATGAGCGGCTTGAATAGCATTGCTGGGGCCAGTATTTCCCACCTGTTGGGGTATGCCTTGTGTTTGTCCTCTCCCATTCGGCATTTGTTGCGGGTTAAAAGGGGCACCGTCGAGGCGGGGTCGTTTCGAGGGAGAAGGCGCGTTTTCTGCTGACCCGGGGGATTGCGGGCGTTGGGTATCCCCACCCGACGGATCGCGCTGCATCTGATTTTGATTCTGCTTCTGTTGCGCCAGCATTTGGGGCGTTCTGCCGAACTCAGTTTAGGGGGAAATGCCATGCAATTGGGAGGTGGGTGTGAAAACTTACGCGTTTCTGTTGTTGTGAATCGCTTTCTGCCGTAGCTCGTTCTGCTGATGCATACTCATGCCATTTGGCTGGTTCCTCATCATCAACTGGTAATTTGGGGTCATCATCTCATTTGTCATCCCGTTCCTCATCCCACGCAGCATCCCCTGCTGCTGTTCCTGTCTCATGCGGGATTGGGTCTGGCAGAAGGTTAGCGATCGGGGTCAGAAATATTACAGCAAATTCGATGGTTACGGACCTGCGTATGATTGACATATTGAAGAACGGCGCGGCCCTCTCCTTTGCCGCGTTGCGCATTGAACATATCCCAGAAGAGACACCACCACTCGTAGAGGAAACAGCTCTCGGGGCACTCCTTTGGCAAGTTTGGCAACGGGAGGTCGTCGGGTCGTTTTGAATCGATGTCGTCCTTGGAATCGCCATCGCCGCCATCGTCGCCGCCAAGATTGCCATCGCCATCGCGACGGCGGCCGGGGCTCTCCTTCAGCACATTCATAGGCTGGTCGCTATTGAGCAGCGACCTCGCGCAATCGAACATGCCATTCCGCAGGAAGTACTCGTAGATGTAGGTGTTGAGTTGCGACCGCTGGTTATCATTCACGGGCATCGGTTGTCGAGCGCCGGCGGCGGCGCTGTTGTTCATCATGGGCATGCCACCGCCGCCGCCGCCGACAGGACCGCCGACGGCGTTCATGCCTCCCATATTTACGCTGTTCATGGCTGCGTCGCGGATGGCGGTCGCGAAGAGATGTTTCTATGTGCCCAGTGTCAGTGTGCCGGCGTTGCGCGGAAGGCGGTTGGAAGCACCGTCAGCCACCGCACCTCTGACGCGGAGCAGTCGAAGCCGAAGGGGTCGCAACAGTTCGATGGACCGCAGCGACAGGACACCGGGGGGGAGGACAACAGGCGGGCGGCAGTACCGCGATGAAGTTATATGGCGAAGAAGGCGATGCGCCAGGATTTCCAAAATTGGGGCGATGGGCGAAGAGATGGGGGATATGGGGGCGGAGGGGAGGGGAGGAAGGATGGCGAGTTGAGCGTGTAACTGTTGTGTCTGTGTCTGGCGGGCGATTTTTGCGGACGTAGAAAAAGCGAATGGCGATAGGACGGGGGACGGGGGGGACGGGGGGGGAGAGAGAGAGAGAGAGCGAGAGAGCGAGAGAGCGAAGAGGCGGCGGGCGGCGCGTGAGGTGAGGTGAGTTGAGGTGAGTAGTGAGGGCCGCAAGCGAGAGAGGGCGAGAGAGGGCGAGAGAGAGAGAGAGAGAGGGTGAGGGAGAGGGAGAGGGAGAGGGAGAGAGCGCGACAATAATAGTTGAGACGGAGATGGCGAGGAGAGAGGGAGAGAGTGAGGCAAAGACGCAACGAACGCAAAGACGAGCGTCGGAGCCGGAGAGCGCTGGCGGAGAGGGCGAGGGCGAGGGCGAGGGGGAACTCGAAGGCCGACCAGTCTGTCTGCAAAAAGTGATGGCGGAAGTGTCAAGTGTGAAGTGTGAAGTGTCGTGTCGTGGCGGTGGTGGGTTATCTCGCGCCCAAAAAGAGGGTGGCGGTGGAAGTATGAAGTACTGGCCGAGAGATACTCGAGTGATACTCGAGTGTGAATCGCGTAGTAGTGAATAGTGAAATAATAGTGACCAGAAGAAGAAATAAGATCAGATCAGATCAACAACCACTACTGTACTGTACGTACTGTCACTGTTCTGGACTGTGCTTCTTCACTGCTTTCACCTGGTCAGGTTCAGGTGCTGCATCCACCGAAGAACCACTGGAGAGACCACGCAGCGAGCAGACCGCGTCCAGTAGATCTGAGCACGCAGCGCGGCGTGAATTAATGCGGCGTGCGACGGGGACTTCTGGCCACCGGCAAGGCTGGAGACGGAGATGTTATGTTACGTTATATAGATATTATTTGGGCGGTCGGATCTGGATCCGGATAACTTGGCAGAGATACGACTATCGATATATATATATATAGAGCTGTCTCTTATACACATCTAGATGTGTATAAGAGACTATATATATAGAGAGAGAGACAGAGAGAGAGAGAGTTTTGGTTATAGATATATAGACATAAGTCGGCGTCGACGGGCGATGGACGGCGGAGGCAGCAAAGCCCGATAGATACCTCTTCCGTCCGGTCGGGAGAGTGGTGGACAGATCAGATCGCAGATGGATGGATGGATGGATGGATATTGGATCCCTCGGTCTGTCGGTCTCCAACTGGAACCCGTGAAAGAGAGAATGAAATCCCCGGTAACCGCGGGCCACCAGGAAACCAGGCGAGGATGGGAATATAGATATGGGTATGGATCCGGATTATATATTCTCATATATAATCAGAGGTACAGTAATCTTTCTCTCCCCATTCTATTCTATCTCGTCGTGATCCCGTGCTTTGTCTACAGCGAGGGACCGAGAGCCAGCCCGGAGCACGGCCTGCGTACAACGTGTCCTGGTCTAGCCGGGTGCGGTCTAGCGCCCCGCCGCCCTATTCTACTCTATTTCCTCTGTTTTACAGTATTCTGTTTGCTCTGTTCTACCCCGAGCCTGAGAGTACAGCGGAACTTCCGACACCAAAGATAGCAGGATCCAGTTACCAGTTTGTTTTTTACCACCGAGCTGTTGTCGACAACCGCTGACCGACTTAACCCACACGGAGTATCGAGGTGGCTTCCTGATATTACCGTATGTGCATGTACTTCGTAGATAGAATGGCACCGGTACCTATTCACCCGCAAAAAAGGCGACTGTCGCCCGTTCGACGACATCGACCCATCGAACGTCGAATCCCGGATGCCCCACGCCACGGAGATGGATGGCTTGATGTGGATGGCTTGTAGTTACCACAATCGCCAGTCCGTGAAGAAGTATCTATCTGTAAGTACCTACCTGAGCACTTCGTAGTGGGAATCTGGGGATGCGCCCTCGGTATGAAACTTCAGATCACGTGATCGTATCACAGCAACAGGCAAAGTACTCCGTACGGTAACTTCGACTAAGGAGATAAGGAGATAAGGGATCAGGGGATCAGGGGTTAAGGGGTTAAGGGGTTTATCAGCAAGCATCGCAGTCGTAGGGACGCCACTACTTGGGCTTTCCTTCGTGCACTCTGCCTCGATCCTACAGTAGCCTCATACTCAACTCAACCACTTGCTTGTTTTTCTTCATTATAAACTTGCAGGCCCCACATACTCCGATAATAGCCGGCCAACTCTCTCTCAAACCCCCTTTTATCAAGAGAGCACCAGTCCCTTTACTATCATCCACTATCTTCCATCTCAACCCACACCAAAAGCTTCGCCTGCCCAGCCCTGAACCGCCTCGCAAACCTAGCAGTCCCCGGGCGAGGCTCACCAGCAGACCCAAACGCCGCATCCCACCATATGTCAAATACCTTCGTAAAAGCCGTGTCCGCTCCAAACACCCGGCGCTAAAAACTATTGCCAACTCGCTCAGATACCCGTGGCAAACGCCCCAGAGATTAGTGCCAGTGACGAATTCCTTATTCTTGAATAGTGCGCTCTCCTTTGGCTGAATAACAAGCGGTTCAAAGTGCTGCAGTAGCTCGAGGAGATGGCCGGGCCATTTTGGCGCCCAGAGCGTCGAGATACTAGGCAGCCCTTAAACCCGAGTTTGAATGCTTTGAGGTAGTTGTGCTGTATTTTGTACATGCCGGCGATTTTCATGTTGATGGGTGGTAGTGGTTGAAGTTATTCCGGCCAGTGGTCCCTCGGAAAAGCTTGCTTCATGATGCTGTGAGTGTTGGCTCCAATGTTCCCGTGTCGACTTCGCCTGAAGCATTGGCCCTGAGGAATATGTCGGTGATGCACTTTACCAATGTTGATTTGGCTTCTTCCACAATCTGCACTCGAGATAAGCCCCCTAAAGCCGAGCCTTTACGAGTTGCTAGCTCTGATTTAAACCAGCTGCCTAGATGAGGTTGTTAGAGGTGGTGTAATTTTGACATGGCTCCCATCTTGCGAAGAAGGTTTCCTTTCTGAGCACATTCTGGCGCAATAGAACGTCCATATCCACGTTTGTGTAGCACTAGGCGATCTCCTCATCTACGTAGATCAACTTCAGCGAGAACACTCTCAGCTCATTGCTTCCGTAGAAGATAGATGCGTTGGGATCGCAAGAGCAGTTCGTCAGCGAAGCCACAATGTCGAGAGTGCTTCCGATTGCGCTATCTTCGGCCACGTGAATGCTGATGCAGTTCGCAAGCAGCTATTGTTAGTCTTCATAAAACTTGAGCTGTTGCTGCAGAGTAGGATTAACATGCCTAGGTACCCCACAGTAGAGTGCCTGGACATCAACAAACGCATCTTCAATTTTGTGTTGTCCATGGCGCCCAAGGATGCCCCCATGATCAAGTCGCGGTTTTCCGAGGCGAGATGTCCCTTTTCGTGAGGTTGGAGCATCGTTACAGCCTTCCATTGTGCTAGGCTTAAGAGCCCATTTTCATTTTTGCCGAGAATTCGATGCAGCGCTCGAGTTCTGGGAGCTATGGTTGGATGCTCCTTCAATATCTTGCATTCGAACTTGTGATAGCCTTTCTAAGCCTTTCTCTGGCGCCTCATGATGTGGTTAGCTGACCAGTCTTCCATCGGAGAGCAAGACCATAATTGCAGCCTCCCACCTTTGAGCAATACCCACAAGTCCGACATCCACCGTATAGCTTTACATTAGACATTTGATCCTCCGCTTTGCGGAAATGGCCACTTGGATGAACACGTTTTCTACTGTCCGTAAAGTAGTAATCATAGACGAAGCCGGGCATTTCATCCTCGACACAATTAGCCAGAGGTTCTGATACGAGGATCTCTTCTCCGGCTGCCATATCCTTTGCGGCAAAGAGACTAGTTCTTGATATTGTCGAGGCGAGAATTTGTAATGGCAGTTTGGCTGTTACTCCCTTTAAGATACATGCACAAAGTCCCTGGTCTTGGTACTCATTGTACCCCGATTTTTTGGTGGAGGAAAGGGGGCCTGGATCGCATATAGGGGTATTCCCGGAGCGGGAATTGCGCCATGTTAAGAGGTTGAGGTTCGTGAGGGGTAATGAGTGGTGGCTAATGAGTGGCTAGCAATATTACACAGATTCCAGGTTTTGAATCGTACCGCCCATGCGTGATTGGAATAGGAGCCAGGTGCCATATTGGAAGCGGCGCTATTAGAAGGGCCATGAGGGGGGGAGGACATAACCACCTAGCACACAAAGACAAAACACTGGAATTACGCAACGTTGAGAACAAAATTGGACATGGTACTTACACGCCCAATGGGTTACTTGATAAATTCCATCCATATATGTGCTTCATCCTGATGAAGCACAGCCATTGATATCCCCAATCAACTGATGTAAACGCCTTAGACGCCAACCAATGCACACCTTCTATTCATCATCAGCCGGCATCTCATCATCAATATACCGAATCAATGATATCCTCATCTCAGTGGCGTCATTTCCTCTTAATACATCGCTAATGAAGTGCGCCTCAACCTGCATCTGTACCATTTCTAAAGCGCCTCTTAGAACCCCGCAGAAGATGTTGGAATACCACAGCTCGTCCTGTGCCCTTCCATCATCAGGCAGTTCAACAAAATCCGCCAAGGGATTCTCTTCGAATATCAGCGAAAATTGTTTGCTGTCGGTGGTCCAGTTTGTGATAGTCGGTGTGATATTGAGGAAGATCTTGAATCCAACCTGTGTGGTTTAGCATTGAGGCTCAAGTGGGCGAACTGGGCAGGACAACCTTCGCAATCATTTCTGCCGTCTCCCTGAAATTTGAACACCTCCTCATAGTATTCGACTTTGCGAGAAAATCCTCGATCAGCCGCAAACCGATGTTGTAGCCCATCTTGTCGAGTTGCTTGTTGACCTCCACGTAATCGCTCTCGTAGTCTTTGCATAATTGGGCCACGATAGTACCATATGTGAGAGTCACCAGCTCCGCGTTAACTTTATCTACTCGGCCTCTTTTTCTAATAAGTCTCCGGCCAGAGGTGGACTGGATCTAGCGGACTTACTTCCATACCCTGAGGAACCGTTAGCTTTTGCGAAGACTTGGTATATTCTGCAAGATGACTTACTCTTCCCCTATCCGACCAGCTTTTGTAGAAGCCATAATCTAATTACCGGCTCGTCGGCTCCTTAATTTGACGTTTGCCAACTGATGTGCCGCTATGTTGGAGCAGAGGAAGGCTGGCATCGTCGAGCTGTTGTTGGTGATCGGTGAAGCGGCCGCACGCTAGCGAGCTGTCGCGACGTTCAAAGCATGGCGAATTATTTTTCAACTTCAACGAGGCTACGATTCTCGATCCAACTTCCACGGCACGGGCAAACTTAATTCGCAATCATGTCAGCAGAAAAGCGCCCCGCGGGGGATGACTTTAACTCATCCCAGATGGTCGTGAAGAGGCCGAATCTGGGAAAGGACAGTAAGGCTGTAGCTGTGGTCAATGGATCCGCAGCCAATGGCGCGCTCATCCAGGCGGTACGTACGGATGTGGACGATGCAGGAGCGCCATACTAAAGCTTCGTTGAAAGCCATTTGACTGATAATGATGAATTAGGTACCGCGGACGAGTTCGTTGCAGGCTCCAGTGATGGAACTCACGGGTCATTCTGGAGAGGTTTTCTGCGCCAAGTTCGATCCCAATGGTAATTATATTGCTTCGGGTTCGATGGACAGATCAATCAGTAGGTGAACTCCTTTATTTTACTTGGGGGAAATTAATCTGACGCGCAATAGTGCTTTGGAGGACTTATGGATCCTGTGAGAACTACGGAATCTTGCATGGCCACAAAGGCGCAGTCCTCGATTTGCACTGGTCGCGGGATTCACGGGTGTTATTTTCCGCTTCTGCAGATATGCATCTTGCAAGTTGGGATCTTGAGACGGGCACGAGGATACGAAGGCATGTGGGCCACGAGGAGGTGGTGAATACAATGGATATCAGCAAACGAGGCGAAGAACTACTCATTAGCGGCTCCGATGATGGATATATCGGGATATGGGATCCTCGAACGAAGGCTGCGGTCGACTTTATTGAGACGGAATTTCCTGTCACAGCTGTTGCGTTGGCTGAGGCCGGAAACGAGATATACTCAGGCGGGATCGACAATGATATCAAGGTGTGGGATATGAGGCGGAAGGCTGTGGTTTACTCTATGCTTGGCCATACGGATACGATTTCCTCCCTTCGAATCTCCCCCGATTCCCAGTCGTTGCTATCGAATTCCATGGATTCGACCGTACAGACTTGGGACATCAGGCCGTTTGCACCCACCGAGCGGCATATCCGAACCTTCGACGGAGCTCCAGCGGGCCTGGAGAAGAATCTCATCTCGGCCAGTTGGGATTCTGATGGAAAAAAGATTGCTGCTGGTGCGGGAGACGGGACTGCTGTGATATGGAACAGTGAGACTGGCAAGATGTTATACAAACTGCCCGGACACAAGGGCACTGTGAACTGCGCGGAATTCTCGCCCTCTTCAGATCCTATCAGTAAGTATTGGGAATTTTCAAATCGACATGGAATAATCAGCTAACATGTCATAGTCCTCTCCGGCTCTTCGGATCGCAATCTACTGCTAGGGGAGCTAAAGTGAGACGCCTCGGAATTATTGGGACACTTTCGAGTGTCACCGCTTCTGCGCGCAATACAGACTCTCAAGTTAGGGAGAAGACTTGTAGAAATTATGGAGCAATGTCGATTAAAATCAACGGCCGACAGGGAATTGGGTGACGTTAATCTGGAAGGAGTCGCGGCGTTCTATATGCGTCTCAGGATCCAATGCATTCAGAAACATCACGGTCATGTGTGGGTGCACATTCAAGAGCATAAACTTGCTTACCTTGTAGGAGTAAGATGGATAGGCCGAGTCTATATACCCTGATACAGTTCGTATGCCGTTACGGATAAATTAGCCAAAATCTTTTAACGCAAAAGGCGAGCATCTGATAGCCCCATAAACGGGTCACTCCGGTGCTAATATACCTCATACTTTCGCTACTCGCTCCTGTGCACGTACTGTAGTATATATGTCTTTTTCTTTTGCGATGTTCCTATTCCCCAACGACCTATATGCCTGTGTACCTTACATATATATACCTTGGAAGTACATCCTAAGATTATTCTTTGGGCATAATTCAGCCTTGGGCCTATTTTATTTCGTTTACACTTTCCCCCGTAAGCGTCGCCTATCTATCCATGCTGGCGAGACACCCGCGCTAAGCTGCATAACGGGGGCTTTGGGGCTTCAGGCGATCGGCACGACGGGATTCATTTAGAGTTGAGTCGGCATCCATGCAGGCTACACAAAGTTTTTCGATTTATGGTGCTACTGCTCCGAAGCACAGAGTAGATACGGTAGTACGAAGGTAAGTATAGACAATGTCTTCTAGGCCCGTCGGGCATCCTGAGCCGCTTACTTCGCAACGGTTAGGATTGGGATGCGCTGTGACCTTATTAATAGTGCTACTACTTTGTTGTGCCAATTGTCCCCAATCCCGAGGCCCCAAACTTCACAAGCTCAGACGGAGGGAGAATCTGTGGCGCAACTAGTAGTACTGTACTCTCTGGTGCAGCGACAAGGGGCTTTGGCAACCAAGTGATTTGGTGACAGGCGACGCTGCCATCATCATGAAACAACGTCTGAGCTCGCCTTTTTCCCACCGTAAGGGGTCGCGAAACTGCATCAAACCCGATCTGTCACAAGTTATGCTCCTTGGTGCGGCTATTACTGGTTACAGGCTGCTGGTCAAAGCTGAGTGGCCTTGACCGTGACGAGGCCGTGGCTTTGGTTGGGTTGATGGCCGATGTTTGGTGGCCGTTGCAACTTGCAGTTCGCAGCTTGCATCCAGCCTCCAGTCCTCTCCCCTTCCATGAGCACCAACTAGCAGCGGGTGGTACCTTTCATGTGCCAACACACGTCTCGGTCACTGTCACTCCCTCCAGATCTGCGCTGTCTGTCTGCTCGTCTGCGTGTTTGCATTGTTGACCAGCGAGTCTCGTCCAATTCCTTTTCACCTACGGAGTACCGTCTTTTATTCAGTGTGTCGAATCCAGAGCGAACCTTCGAAACTCATCCGTCCCTGAGCGAGCCTCGGCCGGTGGTTTCGAGCCTTCTATTCTCCAGTCGTTCTCTTAGACCTCATTGTTTCCTATCTTGTTCTCGCCCAGTACATCGACTGGACCTCTCACAAAACCGTCATTCATTCTACAAATTATTTTAACGTCCCACTAAAGGAGACCACAAGCTCCTGACCTCTCGTTCGGCCGGCCACTCTCGACCTGCGCAGACCTATCTTACCGATTCCGGTATCGACCTCGAACTCGACTTGTTATTCGATCCCTATGCAGGGAACTCACAACACCCCTTGGTCGTGTTGACTGGCCTAGGTTCACGCGAAGGTCAATATTTTGGTGGACGTGTTGGCGGTCGCTGGCATAACAATCGGGCACCCCTACAACGACAATAATTTCACAGTGCAAGTCTGGAGTTTGGAAAAGCTGGTGCTCTTCTGAATGATATTAATTGAACTTTCAAACCGCAATGCCTTCCCACAACCAGGACAACCTCATGCGTCTCTCATCAAGAGAGTCGTCACAGCCAGCTCCATCTAGGATACAAAATATTCGAACAGGAGTCAGTCAGTTGTTTACGGGACGGTCGAGAGTTGGGGGGCCCAGGAGTCAAACCCCCCAGAGTCCCAAAACCCCGCGCTTAGCACTTGGCCTGGACAACTTTTCCTCAACAAGGCTTGTAATTCCATATCTTACTCGGTCAAATACAGTGTCTTCGCTGCCATACCACTCGCCGGTAAGACCCGACCACAATGGCCAACCTCCTGCAACTTCTAGGCCGAGCACCTCAACCTCTCGCCGACAGCGAACACAACGACCTCTCAATTCGACAACACTGCCTCGGGTACGCCGGCCAGCACGCAGACTTGTCGGGGTAGACCCCGCAGAGCAGCGTTTGGCAGAATTGGCACAATCTCGCAGGACACAGAGGAGGGCTAAGGCCCGAAAATCAGAAAGAAGATGTGCGCCGAAAATCAAAAACAGAACCATCCGGGCAAAGATTCTGAGCTGCTTCATATCCGGACTCGTACGTTCCTATCTCAAAAGCAAAACCTTCTACATACTGCATCCTAACAAATGAATAGTTCCTGACATTCGTACTCACAATCTACCTTGGACTAGCTTTGTCAAATCGGAATGAAAGCCAGGAATTTCACGTCTTATTAATCCTCGTTATTCTAATAACCACAATCTTCTTCTGCCATTCCTTAGTCCGACTATGCATGATGATCATGAACCCTCCCGCCGACGACGATCACCAGAATCAGAACCTACCAGGAATGGTCGGACCCGGAGGTTTTGCCAACCCAACAGTCCCGATCCAAGTTTCTCTCGCACGTGATGAGGAAGCAGCCGGTATCGAGAGTGAAGCGACCAAATTCCCACCTCCCGCTTATGGGTTATGGCGAGAATCAGTAGTATGTAGATATCATTCTCGTACAGGAAGTATAGGTTGCTGACTTTATGTAGCGGATGGATCCAAATCAGATTTTCTGGCAACGCAATGAGGTTGCAACTGCCCGACAAAACCCTTCTAGACACGGGGAAGAGCGCCCACCGACGGCCAATAGACCGCCTTCGTACATTTCTGATGATGGGGTTGATTATGTAGTGGAAGCGGCGCCGAGATCAACCGCTCCCACTACAGATGTTCCGTTACTTCCACATCCTTCGGAACGAGGCCGGATTGGGCCTATGTCGTCAAGTTAAGCCACGAACGGCAGTCTCGGAGATCGGCTAGATATAAGGCTGGATATTTGTTTGGGGTGTAGCAGGCGACCTGGGTTCAATATTGGCTTTTGCTTTTGGGAGTTAGGGCGAATATGAGATATATCCATGCGATGAAGCGCAGGGACATTTATAACGGCGTAATACTATGATCTATGTTATACCTACCTTGGTGCCTATGTATATAGAGCCTAGTGAAGCACTGGCATGGCTTCCAGAATACAGAATCCAGAAATTTGCTTATTGGATTGAGCGGACTAAAGTGCCTCGGTTGTTTGTACCGCATCCGAATCCGAGTTAAGGATGTACCCCAAAGGGCACTCGACAAAGAAAGAAAGCTCAAGGGGATGCGCGATAATATAGTACGAAGAAGTACGTAGAAGACCTGGTATTCGCGAACGACCCCAGTGATCCCGCTCTACGTCTGCCGCTCCTCTCCGTCTTTCTGTTTCCCCCCTTTCCTCGGCTTCCGCCCCGCTGTCCCCTCCGCCCTCTCCGCCCCCGACTCCGCCAATTCCGCCGCTGGATTTTCGGCGCTAAACCACATCCGCCCTAAGCCCGCCAGTCTAGCCGGTCGACTTTTCTTGGGTTCCCGTTCCACTCACTGCCGCTGCTGCCACTGCGCATTATTTGCCTTCAACAACAATCCACATCCACCGTTTTGCAGTCTAGTCCGCGCCGTTGTCTACGGAGGGTCGAAGGAAGTCGAGAGACGTTGCTGTTGTGAAGGAAGAAGGATAGCAGAAACCAAGCCAGAAACCAGAAACCAGTCTTTTGGAGCAAGGAACTTGTTCAGTAAGTCGGCCTCCCTCGTCGCGCTGTTCACAGAGCTTTCATTGCGTCCCGTTCCGAGCGCTGCGCTGCGCTGCAGGCGCCCTTCAGAGTGAATGGAATCCAGCAGACAAAGCAGAGGTTGCCACCTCAGCACTGCTCCTTGGCCGTGCGACAACACCACAACTCCCACGAGCGCCGACGTCTATAGGGTGCAAAAGCAGACTCCTGCTCGCATCACGACAGCCCCTCGAGTCGTACAAGATTCATGCATCCTGCAGCCTACTCCGATGCTTGTCATGCAACCCCAATCTTGTTGATCCTGGGTCGACAAAACCAACTTCATCTCAGCTTCGCTGCTGCCGCCGAACATGCCAGCCAGCATGGTCGAGGAATGGCTGCGATCTGGTCGAATCGAGGCGCCCCCTCACCGGTGCAAGAAGATCGTCCGGGAATGGGCAACTGAGGACGGCGCATTTGTGACGTGCTGTGCTGACGATGGAACCCAACAGACACATCTATTAATCGCCATGTCTTCACTTTCGCGTCGCGCTTGCTACAAGTGCGGTAATGTTGGCCACTATGCTGAAGTCTGCTCCTCCGCTGAGCGTCTTTGTTATAACTGTACGTAGCCGCTTACCTGCATATCCTTCCGCGGAGAGCTAACAAGTTTTTCTAGGCAAACAGCCAGGTGAGATTTAGCCCCTCGACGGCCAGTTGTTACTATCTCTCTAACCTACGACAGGGCATGAATCAAATGGATGCCCACTACCCAGAACTACCGAGGCAAAGCAATGCTATCACTGCCAGGGCTTGGGACATGTTCAGGCCGACTGCCCAACCCTACGTCTGAGTGGAGCCGGAACTAGTGGCCGCTGCTACAACTGCGGCCAGCCAGGACATTTGGCTGTATGTTATTATGAAAATAATATTTTCTTGGATGGATGCTGATGGTCTTTAGCGTTCCTGCCCAGCCCCGGCTGGTCAAGGACCTGTTGCGGGTGTTGGTCGCGGAGTTGGCGGTCCTCGTGGAGGGTATGGGGGAGGTTTTGCTCCTCGCGGTGGCTTTGCCGGTGGGCCTCGTCCCGCCACCTGCTACAAGTGTGGAGGACCAAACCACTTTGCTCGTGATTGCCAGGCCCAAGCTATGAAGTGCTATGCTTGTGGGAAGCTTGGACATATCTCTCGGTGGGTTGTTGATTTGCCTCGTGGAACTTCAAAGCTGACTCTCCATCCAGTGACTGCACCGCCCCCAACGGCGGGCCTTTGAACACCGCTGGAAAGACATGCTACCAATGCGGCGAGGCAGGCCACATTTCCAGAGACTGTAAGTGTTGTCATTTTCAAATGCTACCAGGAGCCCCTACTCTTTCGTGGCCGGTGCTCAGAAACCGAAACACTAACCTTTTCCCAGGTCCACAAAAGGCAACGAATGGTGATATTACTAACAACGAGGCCATCGACCTTGTTGTGGCTGCTGTAGCCGCTCCGGTTGCTCCGGTTGCCCCCGTCGCATAGATCCCTCCCGGGATCGTCACTTGACGGTAGGCCTCGATGAACTGCCGATCAGGTTGTGTAACTGGTCATCGATTTTCGTTTTATCGGTATTGGACAAAGTCATTCAACTCATCTACCACTCGTTTTGCATATGGGCTCGGCATGCGAAAAAGATCAACGTTTTCAACATTCACGGATTGCTTTTCTCGGCGCCTGGTCTTCCCATGTTTTCTGACACGAAAACCCCAAAAGCTTTTGCACAATATTCATCTCTTACCTTACGAACTGGTAACCCGGTAGAATACCCTTTTACAACCTTTACGTAGCATCCTAATTCTATGGTCCTCGGGTGGAGGTGTCTTGTCCTGGGCTGATGGGCAATGGGCACCCTTGGAATCAATCACATGGAGAGGCCGGAGGCGAAGGAAGGGATGGAGGTAGAAAGGAGAAGTGGACGGGCGAAGAAAAGATAAATGGATGGAGTAGTGGGGGAAAGACCGTCGATAGCATCGTGATATACACGAATCGAAGCTTTGAGTCTAAGTAATGAAGTTTCCAGAGAACTGCATCTGTTTGCTACCTACCTACCTAGGTACCTAGTAAGGTTAAGGTACTAAGTGCCTAGGATGCGGAAGAGGTTGCCTACGCATCGCACTCTATTCCCCCCTGTGACAGCTGTTGCCAAGCCAAGTGTCTTCAACGCTATAAGTTACAAGGTAATCTCATGTTGTTTGTTAAAAGAGTAGATATCCGGAGTCATGTTTGTACTTGTCCAATCTCCCGTGTTGAAGTTCCAACAGATGGTGTTGGCTTCCTGGATTATCTAAGCTAGCCGAATGCAGCACCCTCGAGTTACCCTGCCTGGGTCTCTCTTCATCCTCGCTCCTCAATCTTCAAACCCTCCCTGGAATCAACAAATTATATTCTGCACCTCAAACCATCACGCAAATGCCCGTTCCCCTTATCGAGGTCTAGCCCGCTATACGATTCATCCCGACAGTTGCCCTGGGTAGCCTTGTGACCTACGCTCTGCTTCGTTCATCTATAGGGGAGCCAGGGCTACGTATCCTGTGGCGTCTTAACAGTATATCTAACTTGTAATTCTATCTATCCAAGCTGTATAAGAGGGGGTAACGCCTTCAAGTCGGACGATCAGCTGTGCTTTTGTCATCTAACTGACACACGAGGTCCACAATATTTAGTCTTTGCTATCTTATCAACCTACAGCACTGACAACTTCGAGGATTTCACCGAGATTTGCGCATACGTCACAGGGAAGCTGTGAAGATGGGTGCGGCTTCAATTTGTGTTGCTGAGGAGGAGGTCTGTTGCTGCATACGCCCTTTTCATGGCACGACTGATGATGGCTAGACTGGTATCATGGAGATTGACGAAATTCAGGCTCACGGTGAGTCATTCTGATCCCTCCTGGTTAAAATTTCAATGGCATTGATTATACCAGGCATTGGAGCTACTGATATTGCCAAGTTGAAGGCCAACAATATCCACACCGTCGCGGTAAGTTATTAGTCTATGTTAGCATCTCTCATATGATTGGGCGCAATTGACTATTATTGGCATTTCCAGAGCTTGATCGCATGCACCACCAAGAGACTTCTCAAGATAAAGGGGTTCTCAGATATCAAGGTTGAGAAGATCAAGGAAGCGGCGAAGAAGATGGCTGTAAGTCAACGAAAAAAAGAGTGATATGGAACACTTTTAATGCCATACAGCCGACCGCTACTGGATTCATCACTGCTGCTGAGCTTGGTCAGGCGAGAAAGCGCTGCATTAGAATCTCAACTGGCAGCAAGCAACTGGATGCTTGCTTAAATGGGTATGTTTAGACTGGTATGCACTGGTACGACATCATCATTGACACCGAATAGTGGCTTTCAAACTATGAGCATTAGTGAAGTTTATGGGGAATTTAGTAAGTTAGAGTATTCGTTATGGCTCCTTAGGTCAGGACTGACTGCTTTCAAGGATGCGGCAAGACACAGCTTGCGCACACCATGTCTGTTATTGCTCAGCTTCCCATAGTAAGTTTTAGATAAGTAACCAAGAAATAATTACTGATAGACTTATAGGAGATGGGTGGAGCGGAAGGCAAGGTCGCATACATTGGTAAACTTAATTATTCCCTATTACCGTTTCATCCTAATCTTTCAAAGACACCGAAGGCACGTTCCGCCCCGAGAGAATCATGGAAATTGCGGAGCGCTTTGGTGGTGAGGTTCCTAGGTTTCCGTTTCCGTTTCCAGGTGCTAATGCAACAGTAGTCGACCCCGATCAAGCCTGCGAGAATATCGCTTACGCTCGTGCTCAAAACAGCGAAGTAGATCTCCTTTTGCTTCCCCTCATCCGGTTCTGACCCTGGCAGATGCAAACCGAATTGTTGGAGGGCCTCGCCTCAAATTTTACAACCAACGAATTCCGCCTGCTTGTAATCGATAGCGTTATGTCTCTATACCGCACCGATTACTCTGGACGTGGCGAGCTCTCAGAGCGCCAGCAAGCTCTGGGTGCATTCCTTCGCCGTGCTACACAGATGGCAGAGGAGTTTAATCTTGTTGTCTTGATGGTATGTTACTGTCTGCTTTCCACATAGTTCGGATTATAACAACATTTAGACAAACCAAGTCCAGTCTGATCCGGGTGCAAGTGCTCTTTTCGCGGGTGCGGATGGCCGTAAACCTGTCGGTGGCCATGTTCTTGCCCACGCTTCCACAACTAGACTCCTCCTTCGCAAGGGGCGTGGTGAGGAACGGGTGGCTAAAATTGTTGATTCGCCTGGTAAGACTTCAGCGCCCCGGGATAGTCATGAATGGTGCTAATGATTAAGTAGACTGTCCCGAACGTGAAGCAACGTATATTATTACCACGGGTGGCATTAATGACCCCGAAAAGGCTTAATCGCTTGACTTGCCTCGAGCTATCTCCATTGATCGAACAACATAACTTCTCTCTTCGCAAAACTGAACCATACATACGAAACCACAATCAACTCTCTGAGCTAACTTATACATACTTCTCAATATACGACAACCAGAACCGCGATATACCTGAACATATTCCGAGCTTGGAGCCTTGCTGGTGGAAGGAAAAGCATAAGATACCCATTTGGCTATTGCTAGTTCTCCCTTAAATATAAAACAATTTGCAACACGAACTTGCTGGAACTATTATGCTGCTATGCACCGGACTATACTGAACCAAGGCAAAAAGAGCACGGCATAAATTTAGACAAGCGCTCCCATGCTAACGTGAGACTTGGGGTGCCCATGAGAAGTCGGTACTTTCTAAAATACCTGTTAGATAGGTACCTCCTTATAGCTAGAGGCAGATTTTGACCATCCTAAGAAGATATCGGGTTAATATCATAGTGGAATCAGCATTCCCGCAGTTCTAGAGTAGTAGTTTTAGTTTTGGGGGGCTGGGCATCCCAGGGACCTCCTGATAGCGAAAAGGGGTTCGCTAAACGGGTCAGCCTGATACGCGAGGTGAGGCGATAAGGGCGAGTCCAAGAATTTCTTCGTAACCAAACTTTCAAGCCATCGACAATGCTCACCTTCGAACCTTGTTCAACGTCCTAACGTTTTCGCTCCTTCCACACGTTGGATGCTCAAGATATCTACGCAACCGGAATTATGATTTCGACAATAAAAGACTACACTATCCTCCCTCTTATCCTTCCCCAAACCCCCTCCTTTCCCGTCCAAGCGACACACACCCTCTACCTGCGACCTCACGCGCCGAAAATACCCACCGAGGCCGACGAACGCAGTCTCTTCCTCGTCAACATACCGATAGACACAACGCCAACACATCTCCGGGCCGTTTTTGCAAGCGTACTTGGGGGGGCAGGACGAGTTGAGGATGTGTTTATTGAAGGGGAGAAGGGAGTGCAACAATCTTCTACTCTAGCAATTGCACCGCCCAACGCAGGAGGGAGTAGGAAGCGCAAGCGTGGGAACGATGAGGACGATGCGGATGCGTCGGAGTATCCATTACCTGACCTCTGGGACAGAACACTTCATCGCAGTGGCAGCACGGCCGTTGTGGTTTTAGTGGACAACAAGAGTGTGGAGGCTGTGCTTAAAAGCATTCGGAAACTTCATAAATCGGGGAAGCAGGGAAGGTTTCCTGTTTGGGGCGCGGGCTTAGAAGATAAATTGGCTGCTCTGGGAAGTGCGCGGTATGAGGCCCATCATGCCTTGAGGTATCCGGACCCAACATCACTACAGGCGAATGTCGATGCCTTTATGACGGCGTTTAACGCGAGGGAGGAGAGCAAGAGGAGAGAGGATGCTAGGAAGAGGAGTGGCCCTGATGAGGAAGGATTTGTTACGGTGACGAGGGGAGGGCGTGCGGGACCGGCGAGGAGAGGCGAGGCAGAGGAGAAAAGAAAGGAGATGGAGGAACGGGAGGAGAAAAAGAGAAGGGAGATGGAGACCGGGGGTTTCTATAGGTTTCAAGTTAGGGAACGGAGGAAGAAGGAGCAGGGGGAACTGGTTAGGAGGTTTGAGGAGGATAAAAGGAGAGTGGAGAAGCTAAGGGAGGGAAAGGGAAAGAGGGGGTTAAGGCCTGAGAGTTGATTCGCCTCTTCTCTGTCTGTGTTTCGAGATACGAGTTGATGATTATGAACGCTTGGCCTCCCACCTATAACTGGGGATGAAGGTTCGTCTTATAGTTCTATTCTCAACCACCCTCTCATGCCTTCTGCCTGCTTTAACATGATGACTCCGCGGGGCCATAGTAGCGGTTTTTCACCAGCAAGCCGATCCCTGCTGTGGAGAATTGCGATGCCTACAAAAACCGCTATAACAAATCTTCTCAACTTGTCTGAAATGCCACACTCGCTGATCTTGAGTTGCTTGCTTTATGACTTTCAACCCTGTGCTTGCAATTTTGCTGACAGGTTTATCCTAGATGTTTCCGGCGTAGGAGAGGCTGGTCCAGCGTCTTTGACCTGGACTAAGGTTGTCGCCGTGGTGGTTATCATATTTTGCAAGATAGATACCCATAAAGCTACGTGTGGAACAATACCAATGCTATTTAGTGCTACAACGCTGAACAGTGGTAGGTGCACGGAATCGGTATTATGAAGGGCCCAAACACTATGCACCAAGGCACTGTTGTGCATCCTTTTGTACCGCATAGTTGTACTTTAATGAGAAACGACGACTCCATCATATTGAGATGCTATTATTATGAGAATTCATCCACTCCGAGTAGCAATCGCTAAATCTTAAGCACACCTACCGTTTTCTGCATTTTATTGCGTAACACATCTATCCTAAGCCAACACAAACCCAGATCAACAACCTCGGCCCTGTACCCAGAATTTCTCAAGACGCGAACCACCTCGTAAACCACTCAATAGCTTGGCTCTCAGCTTTGTCGGCACACTTTAATTGAAACTCATCCTTAGGGTCTACCCTTATAGCAAACCCATGTTTTGCTCCTGGCATAACATTAACCTCGTGATCGCCCTTGTTTTTGACCTCCAGAATCTCCTTCATCGTCACGATCTGACGTGCCGACATCGCCATATCCACATTGCCAACTGCAACACTGACAGGGATCTTGACAGCCTCGATATCAGTGGGGACTTTCAGGAATGATGGGTGGGCTGTGAAGGCGCAATCGATCAATGGCTCAATTATACCTGAGGAGGAGGGGTGCTGGCTTGAGTGCCGCTGGATACGAGAAGAGGGCTTGTCGGCTGCGAGGAGGAAGGCGTGCTTGCCGCCCCAGCAGAAACCTGCAACGCCGATTTTGAGGTTGGGGGTTTGGAATGGCGGGGCGGAGGTGCGAAGGGAGCTGAAGAAAGAGATAACACGAGGATGGCACACCGAGACCCGGTTTTTGATTAAGAAGTCAATTGTGGTGAAGATTGCTCGGAGGATCCATATGGGCTTGTAGACTAAGGTTGTGAGCCAGGAGCCGGGCTTGGCGATTCGTTCCATAGCGCCCATTGATCCCGGATCCATATCATTGCCTATCGGATTTAGAGTCAAGAAATGTTCACCGTGAGGGATACAGCAGATAATAGTAGGGGACTTGCCGTTCATAAAATCAGGTACATACACAAGGAAGCCTCCTTTCTTTGCATATATATCGGCTAGCAGTCGACAGTTGGAGATTTTCCATCCAAAAGCATCGCATATTATGACGACCAATCCTTTGGGGGTTGTACCTGCTTCAGGCTCTGCAACATAGGTTGGAAAGCCGTGAATTGTTTTCTCGGAACCTGTAGGTGTTTCTGTGTGGATGGTGCCGCTGAGGCAATCGCGGCATGCCATGATGGCCGCAGGCGATTTGGGTCTCAGAGAATGAAGATCATGGACTGAAGTTGGAAACCTGGGGGACGAGCTATCTATATTACCGTATATAGCTCTCTTCAATTTTGGTATTAGATTAAACAAAGGACGGTTACTTCCTACAGCCGACGTATTTTGACGTTGAATCAGGCTGTGCCTGTTTACCTCTGTTGGACCGAATTGCATGTGCGGTGCAGGGACGGGTCTTGGCCGGGCCGGGCCCTGGGGTCTAACCAGCTCAGGCATGCAAGGCTCCGGAATGTCGTCTGTGCACAGAGCTGGCGAGGCTGCGGAAGTATGGATTAAACCGTGCTGGTCTCCTATACTCGTAAGGTTGCCGTGTTGAGATAAGAAGAAAAAATTTACTTGAGTTTAGTGTTGAAATGACCGTTTCAAACCCGCTAAAGTCTCCCAAAAACTCCCCCTTTTGGGGGCTAGGGGGTCAGGAATAATTAGGTTTATATTTGGCGGTTAAAAGGGGCATCCACCAACGTGATGACAAACAACTAGAACTTGAAATAAATAGCGAAGAAAACAGCTCACCACAAGTTGTCAATTTCAACGGGGAGGTTTGGTAGAGTTGACAACTTCAGCTTCAACCTTAATTCATGATTTTTGCCCCGAGACTCCTCGCACGTGCCAAGTGAGCAGCGCACTCGTCGCTATATCCGCCTTGAATGTCAAATACGTTGATACGTAACAGCTATTGGTTGGGTTAGGTGGTATTGTAATCAGTAGAGTTGGAGTTGGGATTGTTGAGGTGGTAGTCGGGTGCGGTATTCACTAGCGAAAGCTGAACAACAGGAAGCATAATAGGGAATATATAATATGGAATAGATAATAGGAAGCACAATAGTGAATAGACAATAGGAAGATGACCACAAGAGAATTGTGCCCTCAGCATTATCCCATGGACTCGGCAGATAATAAACTTTTCTCTGCCCTCTCTTCCTTCGTCTCTTCCTTCGACTCAGTTTTCCTCTCCCGTCGTTCCAAAAAGCCCTGGTAGTTGCAAGCATTCCATTCCACCGCTATAAACTCTCAAAGCAACGAATATATTATAGAAGAAGATATGGCAGGTGACATACCACAGCCAGGTACCCAAAAGCCAAAGGTTAACAACAGTATCCCTTCCATCCTGGGCCATAGCTCCCCAGACAACATGGCCGCTGTTCCGTTTGCGCCTGCTCCTGCGAGCCTAGGAAATAGGAAGAGGAAGGCGGATGAATATCCAGCTGGGGAGAGCGGGACGCAGAGTTACGATCCGCATTATCCCCAGTATAGTCCAAGGAAACGCTCGTCGGGCCCCATTGTTCCTGAACCCCTTATCCTCGATCCTCCTGCCTCCTCTCCAGCACTTTCTGCACCTCAGCTGTCGCTTCCAGATATACCAGAAGTCATCACTAACGAGGTAACTCCACTTCCAATATCAACCGGTAAAGTTACAGAACGAACTGATACATTGATAGTCCCTTGATGCTCTTCTTGCTTCTCTTCTGCCTCCACTACTCCCTCCTGCACCTTCTTCGATGCTTTCTGTACCTCAGTTACCGCTTCTAGATATTCCATTGGGGGGGTTTCCCTCTTTCGTCGAGCCCGAAGAAGACATCACTAATAAGGTAAGTACTTCTAATGTCAACGAGTAAAGTTACACTGCGAACTAATATATTGACAGACCGTTGATGCTCTTCTTGCTTCTCCTCTGCCTCCTGTTCCTTCTCTGGCGCTTCCTTCATCTCAGCTGCCGCTTTCAGATATACCACTGGGGGGATTTTCCTCATTCGTCGAGCCGCAAGTAGACAGCACTGATGAGGTAGGTACACTCCTAACGGGTAAACACACAACGGGCTGATATATTAATGGTCTCTTAAGTTTCATCTGCCCCCCCTACTCCCTCCTCTTCCCCCGTCGCCTCTTCTTCGTCCTGTTCCTTCCGACCTATCCGTGCCTCAGCCTCTGTTGCCATGCCTACCTTTGGGGGCCTTCGAATCTTCCCTTCAGTCACAAGAGGAGGAGGTTCCTCTGAAAGTCATTACGTCTGTCCTCCACTTAGGAGAGGAGGCGGATCCTTTGGAGGGCTGTGTAGCTCCCGCCCAGCTACCAGAGGAGGCTGCTTCAGCAGGGGAATCCACATCTTTCATCCAGCCACATGAGGGGGAAGTTTATGTGGAAAGTTTCGAAGTCTTCCCCCAGCCACAAGAGGAGGAGGAGGTTCCTTCAACTGTAAGTAGTTCCACTCTCCAACGGCAAATTTTACAACGGCTAATACCTTTGTAGCCCCCTACACCTGAATATCCGCAGGGACAACCAGACGCTGCTACTGGAGCCTTTACAGCAGTTTTTAGGGTAAGTGAAAGCTGGGCCATCACTTACTGGTCTTGCCTGACTAAGCTTTTTACAACAGTCGGTCGTAGACCCAGCGATTATCGTGGCGCAGATCGAAGATATTGTGAGGAGGACAACAGCCGCATTCGCAGGCTGGTTGACATACCACAAAAATTGTCACAGCGTAGAAGTCTTCAAGGCTGGAAGACTAGCAGAGGGGGGGATGGAGTGGATCTTTGACTGTGAACTGTACTTGGAAGATGAGTTTGTGATGGATACTCGATGCGACTGTATGTGTTAACCTTCGCTTTCATCAATAATGCACTTGCTGACTAACCGCTACAGTCTCCGCCAACTCTAAAATTTGAGTTTTAGCTACAGCAGATGAAGAGTAAGAAGACCATATTGAATAGTTGAAGCTTAAAATATTAGTACTGTTTGTGTAGTTCAGGTAAGTAGTCAGGTTAAGGATGTTCCTTTGGGCTTACCGCCCCGCTTCGGCTGGTCCTCGCTTACTCACCAACTCGCTACTCCGTAGTTTCCTCCGCTCCGCGTCACTTTCGCGTTGCTCTTATCGTCTTTCGCCGTCCTTGATACCCTCGAAGGGTTTTCTCTTTTCGACCGAAACACCACATATTTGCGCCCACAATGAGGCTGAGATTGACGGTCAAGCGTCATGGTCTCCCGGACACGCCTGTTATTTGGCACGTCGACACAAGATCGACACCAACGGTTTTCCAACTTCTCGAGCAAGTGAATGAGACCATTCCCATCGAATCATGCGATCAATGGGGTTTAGAAGATTATGCGGTAGAATTGAAAGGCAGCAATGGAACGAATTTCGAGTGCCTGCATTTTCAGGAGGTGGGCAAGGTTATGAAAGAAGATGACGAGGTTATGTGAGGACATTTGGAGCAACTCTCTGCACGACATATACACTGATGCAGCATTGCAGCATTCGCCCGCTTCTTTCGCGGGATTTGAAGATACGTCGAATATCGGGGCGACATCAGATATCGGCTGATGGTAAACACTTGGTGGATGGGCTTGCCTTTGGAAGACCGCTGTTACGAGTCTCAGCTGGGCGACCAGATATCTTGATTCCTCCGAGGAAGCGTCCAAGATTGATGATTACCGAGGATAGCGAAGATGATGAAGGCTCTATAGGGCTTAACAAAAGTGGGGAATCTGATAATGGCACTCGAGAGTTAGTTCTCCACGCGGATTTTGACGACGATGACTCTGAGGATGATGATGACTTCGCTCCTGGAGAATTCGAGGGCTCAGAGGAAGAAGAGGAAGAAGAGGAAGAAGAGGAAGAAGAGGAAGAAGAGGAAGAAGAGTTTACTCCTGTAGACGATGAATCTCTAGCTGGAGAGCTCGAGGAGGACGACGGAAGGGATATTAGTGGAGAACAAACACGATCGACGCAAAAAGAAGCAATCACAAAGTCTCTTCCTAATCCGGACGAAGTCGCGATGAACGTCGACATCAACAACGGCCCGATTGTTGATGAATCTGATAGATCAAAGATTCGTAAGTTGCACGCAGCTTTTCCTAAAGCATCCCTGGGCCTCTGCAAACATGTCTTTCGGGGTGCAAATGGAGATATGGGCGCCTCCTGGGAAGCTTTGAATCACGGGTTCCGAGCAGCCGTACCCAAGAGTGCGATAAGTGGAGTTTCACTAGGGGAATCGAGTTTTCCAATACTCAAGACACGTCCAAAGTCAAAAACGAAGTTTGTCCCTGGCGATGCCGATAGCATGGATGTTACCATGGATGAGCATCTAGATCCTGTGGTTAGCTACTACGACCAGAATGGCTTGCCAGCAGGCTCGATTGCGTCTGGAACAGCTCTATCTGTAATGGCAGAATCTGCAAAGTACTCGCCCAGTCAGCAGCCCGCAGAATCAAGGGGGCCGACTTTAGTACGGAGTAAAAAGAGCCTTGGATTTGCTGCTGGCCAGACTTCATCAATGGGCCTTACTTCAACCCCACTTCTAGATCGAGACTCCCTTGGGGGCGAAGACAGCTCAACTGGCGACTCCAGCGAAGATGAAAGTGAGGAAACCACGAGTACGAGTGGGAGCAGCGACTCATCCAGTAGTGGATCCTCCGGCAGTGACAGCAGCAGTGAATCTTCAGGTAGCGACAGTAATAATGAATCTCCGAGCGATGGTGACGAACCAGAGGAAGTTTCGAGCAGATCAACTCGAGTTACTCTACATGCCACTGAGCGCCCACTACCCACCTCGGATAACGTCAGCAAAACTGTCGAAGCTCGTCCCACTGTACTGCCATGTCACGGGAAAAAATCAACCCAGACGAGGAATGCGCGCCGCAGGAAATGGAACGCCTTGAATAAACGTTTGGCTACTGGGATTTCGGGGTCGGCAAACACGTCTTTCGAGGTGAAGGAAGTAGATGGAAGGCGAAACGAAGAAATTGAGCGGCGAAGAGAAGAGTTACTGGCTGCCTTAGCTTCCGGCGGTATTGAAGTCGGTCGGTCACCGCCGAGGAAGGCTCTGGAGGCCCCAAATGTCGAAGCCCAGTCGTCCCAGGCTGAGATACCACCGGTGGAAGCATCTAGCGAACTCCATCTCGCTTCGAAAGCGCCTGTGGGCATTGCTACTGCTCCCGAAGCACGGCATCCCACTCCGACTTTAGCAATGACTGCAAATCAGATTAATATGGACGTTGATGGAGCGCCCCAGACGGAAGTTGAAATACCTGAGGTTGCACCAACTCCAACCAACACACCCCCAATCAAGACGCCATCATCGAGACGGACGAAGTTGGATCTTGGTGCTGGAAGAAGACTGCTCTTCGGTGCTTTGGGAATGAAGAATCCGAAGACAAAAAAAGATGAGGAGAAAGCTCGAAATGACTTGATGAAAAACGTCAAGCCTCTTACCGTTACAAGGGTTGAAGAGCAGCCAGTTCCTGTCCATGGTGAAGCTGAAGACGAAGACTCGGAAGCATGGAGAGACAAAATTATATATCGAGCCGTGGAGTGCTGTCGTGATGGAATTGATTTGAGCGAGCCGCCATTTCCTTTCCAGCAGCGATGGGACCCCCAGCAACAGAGCTCTTGGTCACATGCTGGTAATCGAGGCGGCAAACGAAAGAAACACCAGAGAGATCAGCCTCAATATTATGACGATGAATCTTTATATTACAATGATCAAGCTCGCGAGTACGATGACTCTTTTTCATCGAAGAACCAAAAACGCCGCAAAAATAGGCACAATTATGCCGAAGACCAGGAGTATTTTAACCCGTTATATGACACAAGTCATCACGAAGATTCCACGAACCTACCGTACGACGAGTCCACCAAGATGGAATCCGTGCAAAATGATGATGTGAATGGAGAGGTCAGCCAGCAGCTGTTGAATGATATTCAGGATTCATCCCCTGCTGTTTGCCAAGAACCCGATGATCTGATTCCCCTTCCAGATGATATTTTGTCCCTTCCAGATCTCCAGGATGGGCATGCCAAAGTTGGAATGATAATTGCCTTCAAGCAAATCATCATGTCTGTAGAAACGAACTGGCAACCGCAAATATCGCGTTATCGGACCGCCATTGTCACCAATGTTTCAGAGAATCGCCTGCTTGATTTAATGCTTGCAAAGAGGGACCGACTGCAGTCGGATAAAATGTACGATGAGGAGACTGGCAATAGAATATATGGCAAATTCGATATGCCTGTTGATGACGAAGACGATGAGGAAGACGATGGGAGACTGAGTCTTTCGTTTGATTTGCTTGTCGAGCCTAAAGTTATTCTGAACGCTCTGATGGACACGAGCCAAGACTTTGCGATGGAAGAAGCATCCCAACAAGGAAATCAATTAACGAATCAAGATGCTGCGATTAAAAATGCATCTCAGCAAACTCATCCCCGCACAAAAGAATCCATCATACTAAGTCATGGACATCCTAGCTATGATGGATCTGGTAGTGGCGAACGTGGTCATGACGAACCTACACAAGCTCAGCTTTCTCATGTTACGGAAACGCAGCTGAGTTCAGATGCCGTACATACATACACCCTTCCGCAGAATGAGCAAACTGCCACAGGAAGCGAGATCGCAGCCCAATGGCCAAATAGTCTAGAGCAATCCGAGGAAATTGTGGCCGAGAGAGTTGAGCAAACTGAAGTAGAGTACGGTGCTACTGGGGCTAGGACTACGGGATTTATTACTCCTTTAATGGATGTAAACACTGATTCAATCGACGTGGCTCTGTCAGTGGATGGCGTCTCCGAAGATAATAGAAAGGAAATCTCACACATGATAAGGGAGGCTGGATTTCGATCGTCAATTCCATCATCTGTTGTGAGAGATATCCGTCCTAATGGCGTGGAAAGTCCGGGCGATACTGCTGTCTTCGAGAAGCTGTTGACAGACATGACAGAAATTGAGAATGATGCAGCTTATTCTCCTAAATTTACCGGACTTGGAAGTTCACCAACGATGAGGCAACATCGATTAGAGTCTCCTGAGGCATCCCGGCCAGATGCCTCGACATCTCTAGAACGATCCAAGCGAGACGCCCCAAAATCGCCACTGTACTCCTTACAGCTGCCATCAGAAGCATACGAGCCACTGCAGTCGAGCTGGCAAACCGTCGACTCGGGTGAAGATGAGGATGGAAACTCTGATGAAGACTCCCCATCCTTATCCTCCAATGAAGATGAAGGTGAAGAGGACGAGGACAACGACGTAGTTGAGAGCGAGATTGGGGCAATTCTAAAACTGGCTAGGCCGCAACAAGAAGCCACAAAGACGATGGAATGGCCGGATGACCAGGTGTCAAATCCTTCAGTTGGGGATTCGACGGGAGTAGCGAATGAGCCGGTCAAGACTAAATCGGTCAAGGCCCCAAGGGTTCCAGTATCCAAAGCGCAAGCAATATGGGAGCAACTTCAGCCGCAAAGTAACAAACCGTCTACTAGTCTTAGTGACAGCCCCAGACCTCTCTCGGTAGAACTGTGTGCTGTTGAAGATAGGCAATCCAGCGCTAGTGTTTACTATCCGAAATTATCAAGTGGATCATCATTCACAAGTCAGGTTGCGGATCATGGTCGGCAACCAGATTTCAATTTCGATGACAGCGCAGCTACAAACCCCAATACCCTCAAGGTGCCTGGTCTTGACGAAGTACAAGGCTCTGCGACTGACGCGGAACCAGAGCTCTCAAATCGAGGACGCGGCGACGTCAGTCACAAAGTCAACCATGCAAACGATAATATGGAACCAGCACTTCCAGCCCAGAAATCCGGCAATCCACGGCTAGCATCACGTACAAATTCTAGTAAGCCTTCCGAAGACCCTTCGGATGACGACTTCCCTACCTTGGAAGATATATGTTCTCAACCTCTTCCGAAAAAGGAAAAGTCGCCACCAGCAAGGACCTCCGGGGGTAAAAAGGAGAAGGGCGCCCCGTCACTCGATATCGACTTGTCGGAGAACTCTGATCAGTCTACACCAAAAGCATCTCAGAAACAGAATCAGCGTTTTGGTGCCCAACAATCTCGCCGTCATGTGCCTCAGCGCCGCGTTTCTCCATCACAAGCCACTGTTGCACGAGCTTCCCAGCCCCAAACGTCTCAAGGCCAGTTTGTCTTGCCTCAAGGCTCGCAAGTTATGGACTTGACACTGTCGACTGATGAGGAATCGGAGCCTTCCCAGGGTAGTGGGTCAGAAGATGTTCAACCTAGGCGGTTTAAGAGGTATGGTCTGGATGATGACGATCAGGATTATGATGGTGGGGAATGGGTTCCTCCGAAGGCGAGCTCCTTGCGCGGAATGGAGACGCGCAGGCGAACTAGTGTTGGTGTGAAGGAGTCTTCCCAGTCTTCTCTTCACAAGAATAAGAGGAAGACTAGCACGAGATTTTAATGGTTGTCGGAGTTAATGGTAGTATTTGCATTCAGATACCATAAGGCGTTGAGAGGGACCCGAGGAATGGGAGTTGGCCTTACTTTACCAACACTGTAGTTACCCGTGGCGAGAATCGAAGTATATTTGACGTGAAGCCAGATTTAAGAGTGAGATTTCATTTGATTTGATTTCATTTGAGATGATAAAACCAGCTCTTGAGCTCCTTGCTTTCCTCCAGAGCTTATTTCGTTCACCAGGCTGAGTCGCCTTGTCTAGTACCTAGGTACCTTCGGTGTTTCTTGCCTAGTCACGTGCCATACCCCTCCAGATTCTCGTTCTCCATCTCACACACCGCTCCTTGAGAACTATTTACTATTTCTTACTTATTACATCCCGCTCCTCCCTTGCCTCAAACCACGACTTCTTTCTCCCTCCTGCTGCTATCTACCCTCCCGATGTCGCCGGATGAGGTTATCTTAATTTAGAAATATGTGTGGCTCGCATGTTTTCTCGCCGTGTTTCATATCTGCGTGGGGAGGCTTTAGCTGATTCGGTCTTGCTGCACAGCTCCATTATGACTCAAAGATAATTATGTTTCGTGTTCGGATGTTCTCTCTTTATCTCATGATCCGCAAGCATCCATATCGAGAGCTGTTTCTCGAGTATTAGTTGCGGGTGTAGGAGTGAACGCAAGGCACGGGCTAGGCTCATCCCTTTCCTTAGGGATGAGAACCGTCCTTTCTTTCGTATTAGCCTCTAGTAGGGTCTTCCATCCCTCCTGTTCTTTGGTTTTGCTGTTCAATTTCTTTGTTCCGGTCTTTCCTGTTTTCCACTTCTTCTCCACCCTCCATTTCCTATAAGAAAGAAAGCAAGTGCGATAGACATAGTCTGACATACACATTCATCACTCGATAATAGCACTGTCACCGTCACCAATCACAATCCTGCACGTGCATTGCATTGCGCATCAGATCACGCTCTTCGCCAATTTCCATCAGACGCCGCCGGACAAGGCAATTTACCATCTCTCCTTATTCTCCTCGAGGACCGTGGGACTTAAGTGAACGAACGAGTACAATGAAATTCTCCCGAATTTCCCTCTTATTCGTATTTGTAGTCCTATCTGCCGCTTGGCCAAACACCCCGCGTACATCCTTATCAGCACCCCTACTCGTCTCTGCTCTATCGCCAGATTCTGCCTCTCCTACCTTCCCTCCGCCCATACCAATCGCACCCTCGACCCAAGCATTGTCAACATCAATAGCGTCAATATCTACTCATTCATTTCCGTCACCAACGAGCCCTTCCATACTATTAGCTTTATCAACGGAAGTCTCGCTAGAAGATCCACCGATAATCACCCCCGCACCGCCAACACTTGTTGCCGGAAAGGCAGGCGAAGCGATTCAGGTGAAATGGCACCTCACGACGTACTATACGTGTATTACGAGGGGTGGAAATGAAAACTGCGGGTGGCATGAACCCGTCTTGCCCGGGGGCGATGAGATTGCTGGAGCGAGGGGTATGAGCGTGGTTTGGAATTTTCGGCGGATGGGCTTCATGGCGGGAGCTGTAGGGATCGTTATGGGAGGAGGGCTGTGGTGAGTTTCCGGGGTCGTTAGGAGGAAATCGGGGCAGTGGGAGGAAGGGAAACGAAGCCAAGTGAATTGTGGAATTGGGAGAGAAGGGCAAATTTAATCATGAGGTGGTGGATAGTCGATGAGATGCTGGCCTGCGAGGTGTATCAAAAAAGCATGATAGCCATTCATTGGGTTCGGATTGGAGTTTCTGGGGCTTTGGGATTGAGTGCGGGTTAAGGCTAAGGCTTGCTTCTGAGCTGAGGTACGAATGAGTGGACATAGAGGGGTATAATTTATGGCCGAAATGAGATTGCTCTTCTTACATAGGTACTTATCGGGATGCTGGGAATTCCGGCTTGCTTACTTGCAAACAATATAACCAAAGAAATCAGTAGATTGAGGTAATAAATAAACCATTCATGAGACTCCCATCAACAGTTCTGAGCTTTCTCAACGTTTCATAATATGACACAATTTAATAGGCACCTGATCTGAATAAAATGGGCCTTGCTGCAACGCTGGCTCCATAATCTCAAATCCTAACTCCTCAATAATATACCCATTATTCCTGCACTTTTCTACAAACGACTCGAACGTTTTCGGGTTTCTGACAATAGCAGAAATAATGATCTTCACATCGGGAAACAGCTCAGAAAGGTCCATAATAGTAGCCACCAAGGCAGGAATTCCGCTTTCATAATACGCTAAGTCCGCTCCGAGAACTAAATCGATTTTGCGTCCCCTGTTCCACTCAGCCTGCTCGGCGCCCACAAGAGCCTGACCCCACTTGAGATCCCTCGCTGAAATAGCTGTTTCTCGCAAGCCGTTGAGGTAGATATTCGTCTCGAGGCTCTCGACTACATCTTCCGAACCATCTGTTGCGAGGACATAAGAGGCGTGGAGATGCTTCGCGCAGAGGATAGAGAGCCACCCCGTCCCCGCGCCTAGTTCCAGGATGGATTTCCCTTCCACGAGGCCCTTTGTATTGCAAAGGTAGTTGCCTAGATGGAGGGCCGCATCCCAGGTTCGGAGACCGGTGGTGCCTGAGCCGGCAATGATGCTCTGCGATTCTAAGAGGGTGATGGTGGGAGTGCTCTCAGCGAAGTTAGAGAGATAAGAGAGAGTGTATGTCACGTGTGCCTTCTGTTGCGCGGATGTAGCTTCTGAGGGCAGAGAAGATGCAAGAAGAGACGCGAGGTAGTTTACGAGATCATCAGAAACGCCCTGAAGGTTGGAAGAGAGTCAGAATGTAAAAATAACAAATTGGCCATCCGTCCGTTACCGAGCAAACGCATGGCTGAAAATCAGAGGGAAGGGGCATACTTCGTCTTCCCAATTTTGGATAGATTGCTCTATTCTTTTGACGAGCTCTTTCAATACTCTGGCTTGGTATCTTCGGGGCGGCGGATGCTGGACGGCTATGGCGCCCTCGTTGGCAAGCCTGGCACACAAGGCTTGCTGGAAGGCATCATCTCGAAGGTATTGGGCAGCCGGGTAATCAAGGTCGGTTTGGACCTGTAGATATTGGCGGCAGAATCGATCGAGACTTTGCCCGGCACCGCTTGGTAGTTGTTTTTCCATCCCTACTGACGCTCATCAAGGAGGTCATGTTGTGATGGGTGTATGAAGGAAGCAGTGTCTGGACCTGGTAAGGGTGAGCGTGAGCGTGAGCGTGAGTGTGAATGAATGAAGGACGAGACAAAGATACCAAGTACGAGTACCTATCCGAAGGTAGATAGGTTACCTAATGATGCTTGAGCCTAAGGCAGAAGCTTATGTAACCAGGCACCACTGCACTCCGACTTTCAGGGCTTTCGCCCTCTCTCGCTTATCCATCCTGGTCTAGCGCGTTCTCGATAGCGACGAGTTCGAAATTTCGCACATCTCCTCGAGAACCCGACAGCGACTTTCGACCTCGACCTCCATCGACACTTCAAGATTCCCGGATCGATCACCGCAAACATGGCGGACCGTGAGCAACCTGTTACCTTGCGAACGCGCAAGTTCATTCGCAATCCTCTCCTCGGCCGCAAGCAGATGGTCGTGTAAGTTCTGCCCAGTCCAGAAGCCCCTCGAATGCGGCGCGACATGCTGTCTTGGTTGGCAGTTGGAATGGAAGTCTAATGAGATGGCAGTGATATCCTCCACCCAAACCGTGCGAACATCTCCAAGGATGACCTCCGGGGCAAGCTCGCCGAAATGTACAAGGCCAGCAGGGACCAGGTCAACGTTTTCGGTCTCCAGACGCAGTTCGGTGGTGGAAAGACAACTGGTTTCGCCCTGGTCTACGACTCGCCCGAGGCCTTGAAGAAGTTTGAGCCACACTACAGACTGGTTCGTGTTGGGATGGCAACGAAGATTGAGAAGGCGAGCAGACAGCAACGTATGTTCATTACTAGTTTCTCGTTTGATGATGTAGGCACCGTAGGGGTAATGTTACTGACTGATGGATTGTAGGCAAGCAACGCAAGAACAGACAAAAAACTCTACGAGGTACGGCGAAGGTCAAGGGTGCCAAGAAGAAGAAGAACGACGATTAGATACTGCGTCTTCTCTTGTGCATGGGAGATGGAGGCAATTGGTGTTGCGGGATGGGCCTGTCTTTGTATGTTTCTGCGCATTTGCCCTCCATAGGTTTGCAGAGGGTTTACATTGGAGCATGATGGCACGATTGCGATGAAACCTTTCGCCGATACACTACAATACAGCTGTCTACTTTCACACCTCCGAATTCGATTTGCTTGGATATTGGGTGACTTTTCGACAAGAATGCAATGACGGATGGAGCTCGAGACTATTCCTTCGTCAACCCGAGGATTCGGTGGATAGCCTGGGGCCCTATAGGCTATTCCATCTACCATTTGGGGAAAGGCTTCAACGCATCCAACACGGCAGGCGCTATTGCAATTGGTCTCTGGGAGGAATCTTCTATCCTTTTGAAAGTAGAGCTACGAAGTCCTCATCCACCAGCCTATATCACCATTTCCCGCTCTTTCCATACGCTCCCCATTCAGTTCCATATCACCCAATCCCCATTCCTCTTGTCTCGTCTCATCCTTTCTCCTGGATCAAGATGGTTCGCTACGCGCTTATTCCCTTCCTGCCTGTTTTCCCGAGTGCAGCAAACAAAGCACCCCAAATAGAAGTGCGGTATCGAATGGAGCAAATATCTCTTAGTTATAATATTAGATTCTCCCGTCCACCATACGGCTAATAACAGACAGTTCATAGCCAAACCCAGCCTTCCAGCCAGCATTCGAGATTGGATGTACCCTGCGTATACTCTAGCTCCCCCTCCATAAACAGATTAAAGCCTTCTTCCCACTCTTAAGAACGATACTCATCCACCTACCCAGCCCACCCCATCCACCAACCAAATAGCCGTCGAATATTAATTAGGCCCGTTCGAATCCACGCTCAACTTCAACGACCAAAAGACAAAGATATTAAGTTATTATCTCATAGACATGAACACAGGAGCATTCACAACGAGATATTGCATGGTTCGTACAATACAGGCCCTGTTCTCATTTTCCTCCCACCAAAACATGCGATGGAACGCCAGCCTTTCCACAATCCTTCTTTTTTGAACAAACACAAGCAACACTACCCCGGTTATTGTTGCTGTCTCTGATCCGTAAACCCCGTTCTGATTTTTCGAGTAAGTAAAGACTGAAATGCCAAGCTAGGTAAACGATGGCGTATCCCACGCGGGATCCAGAATTCGAACAAATGATACCAGTAGCCAAGGAAACAAAAAGAAATATATCTTTCAACTTTAGTCAAGACATCTCTCTACCTGAGATAAATGTAGGATTTTCTTGAGCTCAAAGCATGCGTAAAAGCATCTTGCACTCATGTGGCGGAAATACTAGGTGAGACGCGACGAGGGGGAACAGGGAGAGACGAGGTAGAAGTAGCAGCGGGCGGAGCGGGATAGCTTGGTTGGTGGTGGTAGGGGATGTACGCATGTCCGTTTGCCAAGTTGTTATTTGATAGTGTCTGCAAGGGCCTATCGGATGTGGTATTATTCTGGCTGCTCACTGAACCTCTCTTGTCACTGCTGCTCGGGCCGTAGGACAACTCCGAAGATTCGCTGGCTTGGAAAAGACCCTCGTTATTTGCGGTGAACAGGTCGTTTTGCTGTTGCGGGGTGCTTTGAGAGCTATACGCCGGTTGAGAGGCGAGAGATTCGGGGCTCGTGCTTGAATAGGGGAGGTACGACGCCGAGCTCGAGCTGTTGTCGACGATAGCACTGCTGTTTATGTTCTTGGCGGTGTTCAAGTTGCTGGTGTTAATCAACCCCTCGTAGGGTTGATAGCCTGCTTGGGATGCTGCCGGGAGACCATTTGCACCTCGGAGGTATGAGTTCATATGCGTAGGGCGGTTCGAGGCTGGGATTGGAAGCACTCGATCCGTTCCGCTGACGGGGGTAGGTAGAGAGCTGTTTACGGCTTGCCCGCAGATAGACGAATTCCTAGCTTCCGGGCTGATGGTTGGCCGAACTGGGTAGCCGTTGTTATGGTACGAGACTTGTCCATGATTATAAGCTGCTTCCTGTTCTAGGTAGACCGGACTGACGGGACCACTCCTAGACACCAGTGGAGGGGCAGCCCATCCTCTGCTTGAAGTTGATGGAAAACTAGACGATAAGAGTTGGTCAGAACCCAAGAGGGAGAAAGAACCACCCTGAAGCCCATAATCTACGTTTTCATCCGCGAATTCGCTGTATGGTGGGACCCCGTAGTATCTAGTTGGCGGGTATTGATACGAGGATATGGGGTTGTTTCGTGAATAGAACCCATCCGCGGACGCTGGGGCTGGCGGCATATAACTGGCGGTCGCTCCGTAAGGCACGATGCGACACTGAAGCCGGGGAGGTGCAGACGGAGGCTCGAAGCCATTGAAGTCAAAGGGGTCGTTCTTCATTTGTGCCTCGGTTGACGACACCTACGTTGGAGTCAATAAAGGTATCGCGGATGGGCATAACTAGCCACTTACTCTTAAGAACTGACAGCTGTCAACACCAGCGCCCTTACAGTTCGAGCATGGAAGACCAGTGCCGAGGTCACCACTGCAACGAATTTTGCGCTTTCGACATCGCCCACACTAGTAGAGCTACTTGTTAGAAAATACCGTCTTGGGGAGTTCGAACGCTATGTGGCTTACTGCAACGGGAATTCTGCTTCTCGGTCGAGAGTTGTTATCCGACTCTGGGGGGCGATTGCCGCACCGAGTATCATGAGATGATATCGAACGGTCGCGAGCTCCTGCATTATATGGACCTGCCGACAAGTCTCTGTCGTGGCTAAGGGGATAACCACGCCCCCGACTGCACCGGCGAAGAGATGGCTCGTCATCCTCAAAATAGGTTGTCACCATCTGTTCCGAGTTATCGTCAGATACCGCAGTTATCTAGGGCGACGAGAGACGATGTAGCATTTCTTAAGCTTACCTTTGGAAGTTGTTGTTTGAAGTGGTATAAGAAATTAACTGGAAGGAAGATGTGGGCAAGAGATATTATGTGCTATGCCAAACGAATGTATGTCTTTGGGAGTGCTGGAAGCCATGAACTAATCTAGTTCAACAAGAGGAGAGCATCGGCCGATCGCTCGGTCAGGAGGCGGGGCCAGCACTGTTATAGCCGCGTGTCACCTCTGTCATGTTTGCGGGCGAGCACTGAACTTCCTTGTGCAAAAATGTGCATATATTCTAATAACTGATATGTGATCAGGTCGCTAGCGGTAGGCCTCAACCGTCTCTCAAGCATTAGATGAGTAGACTGTTGATGATGCATTCAGTGAAGCCATATCCACCGTCTTCCTGTATGTCGGGAGGCTGCAGCAAGTCCTATACCCTTCGCATGGTTTGTACTATCAGGACGGCTGATCTGCGTAGCCATCGGTAGATGTGGGCAAACAGAGGGGTGGTTTTACACGCCGGATTGGTCCCGATAAGATACACCAGCACTTGAGTATCTTAGGTATCTGAGACTGGCGGATGCCTTTCCCTGCCTATGGATTTCCGAGAGTTATATGAAACCACGTCACAGTCGACAAAGGGCTTTTGGTTTGGAGTTGGCAAGGGCTTGCATGCAGGACTAGGACTACGTAGTTGCTTGACTGCTAGCATTGAAGGAGGCCGCCATGGACTGAAGTCATCTGCCACAAACCGTACTCGTACTTGCTGCCACCTCGAGTGGTGAACTTGAGAGTCACCTCCCTTACGACCGGAGAATTGGCCAGCAGGCCTTACTTCTTCTGGGCAGAGATACAGCGCGCTGCGTGATATGACAGGAAACAGAGCAAACAAACCTAAGAGGCTCCGCTGCCTTTTAACGGCGTCCGTACTACGGATCAGCAAACGTTTGTCCGTCATAGTTGGGGCCACCTAGGGAGAGACACTGCCACAGCCACAGCCTTGCTTATGGAAGATAACAGGTCATGGAATCTCCCTCATCGCAGATGCAACGATATCTCAATGCATGCAGTACCGGGCTCCCCACGCAGACCAACAGGGGAAACCCCTACCCAAGATTCAGATTCCTATACAAGCCAAACGCTCTCTCATTTTATGAATGTAAGTTCCAGGTCTAGGACGCTTGGCCGCCTTTTGGAGCCTAACTAAGGACTGTAAAATCAAGCCGCCCGTTGAAGAGACACCCCGCAATCACCATCAAGCAAACCTTCCCTGGGGTTTTCCCAACTGGACAGGCTTACCATTTCCTGGCCTTGTTTGCTAGGGTCCACCGTTCGCGAAGCTAACCCAGCCACGTATGCAACAAATTTTGTTCAATTCAGAGTCGACCATATTTGTGAAATGCTGTAGAACAGTCCTGTGCAGTGTGGCTGGATCATCTGGGCAGAACACGAGAATCCCTTGGAGGGGAGTGCTTTGTGATAACCAGATCCAATAAGTTGCTAAGATTCTGTCCGCGAAGACGTGCGTTTGATATGGTTACAGAGATTCGTAAGTGACCGACCGAGTACAACCACGCCGAGGACTGCCTGGTTCCAAAGACCCTTCTGGAGCCTGGGGTACTATGACGGGGTGGGTACGCAAAGCTGCGCTGGACAAATGCGGAGGAAATACGAGGCCAGGGGAATTTGACTTCTGATCTGGGGAAACGGACCTCCCCCAACCTTCAAAGTTTGTCACACAACTGGGTACTGGCGGAGCGTCGCTGCATTGCATATGCTTCAAGGACAGGGTCCTGTGGAGAGGGACAGAGCATCCTTTTGTCGGCATGCCGAGAATACAGATCTGATATCGGGATCTGAAAAGCGGCAACAGTAATGTGCAGGAATCCGAGTTCAAGGGAAACGGCAGGAAGCTTCAGGGTCTTGCCCACGGCTCGGCTTCTGGAAATCAACCAAGCTATACCAAAGAGCTTCGAACCAACATGACCTGACAGATTGTAAGGTAGGGAACTAAAGCCCTAGGGAGGCTGATGCTGTCACAGGTAGGACGTGGGACAGTTGGTTCTAGCTCGCCTGGTTCTGGTCATACAACGATTCACGGCCGATTCTCGGCCACATCCAAAGGCGCTAATAATCCTTGGGGAGTCCTGTATGATCTTGATATCATGCCGATAATCCGTATCAAAAAGCTCTTCCAATTGAATGGATCGGCGTATGAATCCGCGGGTTGGTGTGCATATGCGCGCAAGATGGCGCCGCCGGATTGTCTTCCCCGCCCCCAGGAAGTCTAATTTTGTGACGGGCCTTCAAAGGCTTCAACTGCCCTCTATAGATTTTGGCAGTTTCTCTGGGCACGTGGCGGAGGGTTGTTGAGATTCTTCGGAAAGCCGCATCGGTGACAAAGGAGGCAATGCTTGTCAAAGCTCTTCGTCCTCGTTCTGAGTTCTGCAGCCTCCCGCGAAATAGGGGGTGTCTGGGAGGTTCTCCTCCAGTGCCTGGGTGCAATGTCTTCCATAAACACGGACTCGTTTTTCAGCTTGGGATGAATGCGGGCGTAACACTGACGCAAAGGCCACATAGGACGTTGTTTCGAAGTGCAACCAGGTCATTACTGACTGGTGTCTGGATCACATACCCATGCCGAGCAATCTAGACCCGCGAGGATGGGATTTGAAGCCCGACAATGAATACAGCAGATCGAGATGGTGTTGCGCGGCACAAGATGTGGAAGGGAGACTGGGAAGAGTCCGAGAGGAGACCGGTGAGAAAAGATTCAGGAACCCGGACGCCTCGCATACGGTTCCGTTTCCAATTAGCAGGCCAGGAGGCTCAAATAGGGCACCAAGGCGTCGATATGAGCGGGAGATCCCCCCAAGGATTTGAATCGATGGGTCTAAAGGGTTACACGCCCATTCCTAGGGCCATTGACTGGCGATGTGGGTAGTCGATGGGCATACATCTAGGGCAATGGCAGACAACGTGGTGTTGATGGGGATCCCTTGCTGTAGCTGATATGGGCGCGAATACCATAGTAATATAGACTTTTCCAATACAACTTGGAAAGGAGACCGCTATGTATAGAGGATGTACCTTATATTATAGAGTAAAAGTACGTTTGTTTTGTACCGGTTACTAGGTAAGGTACGTGATGGAAATTTGACACGTGACTACGCTTAAATCCGCAATCTGCGTTGCTCTTGGCGCGTTTAACGCGATTTTGGCATCCAAGCAACATCATCAGCCTTGTGACAAGAGCCCACATTGAAAAAGAAACGTGATACCCCTCGAAAGTTTTATCTTATTATCTTTTGGGATAGATGCGGACCCGGAAGGCACTCTAGGTGCTTTCCCGTAACAACCATGAGCGTCCTCCTCGAAACCTCAGCTGGCGACATCGTCATCGATCTTTTAGTCGATTATGCGCCGAAGTTATGCGAAAAGTGAGTACACATTTACACCCTCTCCTTTTTACATAACTGAGCACATAGATACTAAGACTTCTACGATGATCTAGCTTCCTGAAGCTGTGCAAAATCAAATACTACAACTTCTCCCCGGTATATAATGTGCAAAAGAACTTCTCCTTCCAAACAGGCGATCCCACTGGGCCGGACTCGAAAGATAGCGATGGGGGAAGTTCGATATGGGGCGTCATCAATGGGCCTCCGGGTGGACTATTTACCGCCAAACTACATCCTAAGTTGAAGCATGCCGAGAGGGGGACAGTCAGTATGGCTACAGCGCCGTCCGCTCGGGATCCAGATGAGCGTGTTGCCGGCAGCCAATTTATCATTACGTTGGGCGATGATTTGGATTACTTGGATGGTAAGGCGGCCATTTTTGGTAAGGTGGTGGAGGGTTTCGATGCACTTGAGAAGATCAATGAAGCGTTCTGCGATGACAAGGGCCGTCCCATGGTCGACATACGGATTAAGCACACGGTTATACTGGATGATCCCTACGATGATCCTCCTGGCTTGGTGGAGCCACCAGAAAGCCCCCTGCCAACGAAAGCACAGCTAGCTACGGTGCGAATTGCGGAGGATGAGAATATGGATGACGAGGGGGACGTGGAAGCGGTTGAGAAGCAGCGGCGAGAGCGTGAGGCTAGAGCACAAGCCTTAACGTTGGAAATGGTTGGGGACCTCCCATTTGCAGAAGTCAAGCCGCCTGAGAATGTTCTGTTCGTATGCAAGCTTAACCCCGTCACAACTGGTACGATAACCATGTTTCCTACGGGCGGATCACGTATCTAACATTATCAGATGAGGATCTCGAGTTAATTTTTAGTCGTTTTGGCAAAATCCTATCCTGCGAGGTCATTCGGGACAAACGTACTGGTGATAGCTTGCAGTATGCGTTCATTGAATACGAAGAACAGGCATCCTGCGAGCAAGCTTATTTCAAAATGCAGGGTGTCCTAATAGATGATCACCGGATACATGTGGATTTCTCTCAATCGGTTTCCAAGCTATCAGATACGTGGCGTACCTCCACGAACTCCAAGCGGAGGCAAGGAGGAGGCGGATTTGGTGGGGTTAGCGGGTTGGAGAAGAAGAGGCAGTACAAAGCGGCTGATTATAGCAGCGGAAGCCGGAAGGGCAGATATGGAATGGTATATGATGAGGAGGAGTTGCGGAAGAGGCATAATAAAGAGGGCAAGTATGATTCAGAGAGGGAGAAAAGCAGAAGTCGCAGTCCCGCAAGTCACAGCACCCAAAGGGATAGAAGACGCTATGAGTCGAGAGATGATCGGGGGGGAAGAGATAACAGACGGGATAGAGATCTCTATGACGATCCTGGGAGAGATCGAAGGCGGGGTCGAGGTGATGATGGTTACAAATGCCGTTGACCTTCGGCGTAAGTCGTTGTGTCTTGTGCGACTTTTCGCTGGAATTTATAGGATAGGCGGTGCTATGAGAAGGGTATGTACAGGATATGTACAAGGCTATTCAAGAATGCACAGCAGATCGATGCGAATACAACCCACCGGGCTAAAAAATTGATATGCTTATCTTTCGCAATGCCAGTTATATGCATATCTGGAACCAGGCGCCTGCATCAAATTCCAACATGTTTCCTCATACCCCCTGCTCAGTTCGCCTTTACCTGTAATGCATACTGTATGCTTCTACTGCCCTCCCCCCACAATGTCTACCGCCCATGGCGCTGATAATGGCAAAAATTATATCAATCACTTATCCGCTAGTCAGTACAAAGGGAATTAGTTGATTAGGTTATCTGTCTCGACTACTCTCCTAGATATTCCACCTCGTCGAGTCTAGGAGCCTCTCTTGTCTTCTGCAACATGCCGAGACATCCCATCTCGGTCTTCCTGCCGTCGATACCTGTGTGTTCCTACTTCGTCTCGGCACTTCGGTGTGGTATGTTACCTGGATATATATATATGTAGTGTCCACCGAACAGACTTGAGCAAGTTCGCGATGAGTCTCACGAACAAGCAGTCGATGTGCTCTCATGGTACCCAATACCGCACAAAGGAATATTTCCAGATTAATGTATAACTTAAGCTGCGGAGTAACTGTGTACTGATCGCTTCCCATCTAGCTGCAATCGAGCAACTCCCTAAGATTTACCCCAACGCCAGTGGTGAATCATTAACCCGAGACTCGGCTCAACTTTGGCCAGAGCCAGTATGAAATGCCGTTTCACTGACTAGGACCTCATTCAACTGCACGATAGTCCTCTCATAGACCCTTGCAACATCCATATCATGCTTGTCCTCCTCATCAGTCCAAGCACCACTGGCATCACCACCACTGCCGGCATCAGTAGTATCGACGCCACTTTCTTCTGGAAACCCCATTCCCGGTGGCTGGGGGTTGCTCATGACTTCGACAACTAGAACCCTTGTGGACTCAACCAAGCTCTTGCACCTGATCATATCGGTCTTGCTCATCCCGGCTTTCTTGCCAGCCTGAACCCACGGTAAAGGGTCTCCTGTTACACTGTCTGCTCCTTTCAATAAGCTGCTAAAACTATGATCTAGCTTTCGTAGTAGCTTGAACGTTGCTGAAGGCGCAGGCGGAAATGCTGTGAGATATGTAGTAACCATTAAAGCAACATTCAGGAGATATGGAACTTGTAAACTAGCTGCACGAAAACCGTATAATTATCAATATGATACTGGGGAGTGGGGTACAAGGGGACGCATACGTGTACCCGAAAGCCACAAAATATCAATGACTTCACCCAAATCTTTAGCAGCATCACTCATGCTCTCGTATCCATGCACCTCCTCGCCTTCAAGCGGTTCTTGGAACTTCTTGGTATACCGTCTTGATATGTGAAGTAACCTGCCTTCGACATATCGCCGCGCCGCATCTTCTTTCGCTGAGCCGGGGCGTAGAGGGTGAGCCCGTGGTTGAGGGAGGTTCGATGACGTTGAGCTGATTGAGGCATTGCTAGGGGAGGGAGAGGGAAGAGAAGTACGGAGGAAACCTCCTGATGCATTTGGCGCCTCATCCATAATTAAATATCATTCTTTCGTAAGCTTATTTACAGTTGTACCTTTGTGAGTTTGATGATCGAAACATCAATAGCAAATGCAATGATGGATTCGGCTTGCGACGGCAGAAATAAACCAGTCACGTGTGATAAGTCCACTGAACTTCAATTGCATCTACGGAGTAGGTATCTACCTACCTTAGGTATTTAGGAAAGTTTCGAGCCAAACACGTCGCCAACTTTCCGAATCGCTATAATAACGAACTTTGCCTCAACCAAGGCGACAACCTTCGCATTTATTTCTAGCAAGACGCGTCAAAGTTCGCCTGAACCGAGACCCTGATGCGAAGGTGAGCAGCCATGACAAGCATCGATGATCTATTCAAGGTATTCCGAGTCCTAGATGTTTGCCGGCTCTGTTCTAACACTTCTTGCAGAAACCCGCATTACCAAGCAACAAACGGAAATTAGAAGCAGCTCCCGATCCGAGTTCGTGCGCTCCCCGACCCTCCAATTGCACTAGTTCTGACCGTTCTTAGATGAAATCTACAAATCCGCAAAACTAGCCCCCAACGGACACGCCAAAAGCAATGGACGGACGGCAGCGGTTGAATATGCAGACGACGACATAGAAGCTGGCCCATCTATGCCGCCCGACGATGAAGACTACGAACCAGATATTCCAGACGACGACGAAGGGCGGTTTTTCGGTGGCGGAGTAACACAAGAAGAGAGTGAGGTACTGGATTACTTGGGTGGCCAAGAACCTGCGGAAATAATACCGGAGAAGATTGACTCGGCATGGCTACGGAAACTGGCCCTCAATTTCGAGAAAAGGATTACGAAGAATGCGGAGCTGAGAGCAAAGTTTGAGGATGAGCCGCAGAGATTTATGGGTAGTGAGGCAGATTTAGACGCGGATATCAAGGCCTTGAGCATTTTATCCGAGCATCCTGAACTTTATGAGGAGTTTGCGAAGTTAGGTTGTGTGGCAAGCTTGGTGGGCTTGCTAGCACACGAAAATACGGATATTGCAATTGGTGCCGTGGAGATCATTAGTGAGTTAACGGATGAAGACGTGGAGGCCGAGCAAGAACAGTGGGATGCGATTGTGGATGCGATGGTCGAAGCTGACCTGCTTGATCTGCTTGTTTCGAATTTTGCCCGCTTCAATGAGGACAACGAGTCCGACAGAAGTGGTGTCTATCATGCTCTAGGTGTGCTGGAAAATCTTGCATCACGAGTTTCGTTGGCGGAGAAGATTGGCCAAGATACCACGGTCCTAAAAGGGCTATTGGATCGAATACGGAAGAAAGAATCGGCAGTCAGTCAAAACAAGCAATACGCAGCGGAAGTTCTCGCCATCCTCCTACAATCTTCCCAAGTTAACCGAACGAAGCTGTGTGGCCTCGATGGAGTAGACATCCTGCTCGAATTGCTCGCGCCTTACCGAAAAAGAGATCCCATAAAAGGGACCGAAGAAGAGGAATTTGTGGAAAATATTTTCGACTCGTTAACCTGCGTTGTGGATGAACCCGAAGGCAAGCAAAAATTCGTTGAGGCAGAAGGCGTCGAGCTGTGCTTAATAATGAGTCGTGAAGGCAAGATGAGCAAATCTCGCGCCCTGCGACTCTTAGACCATGCATTAGGCGGTCAAGGGGGCGCGGAAGTGTGTGAGAGGTTGGTTGATGCTGCAGGGCTTAAAGTTGTGTTTGGAATGTTTATGAAGAAGCAAGACGGACAAACTACGGAACATCTCCTGGGAATATTCTCTTCTTTACTCCGTTCTTTGCCTGCGAATTCGGCGAGCCGCATTCGCACCCTCGCCAAGTTCGTTGAGAAGGACTACCAGAAGCTGACAAATTTGGTAAAGTTGAGGCGAGACTATGCTGCGAGGGTAGGCGTCGTCGATGAGGAAATCAGAAATGAGCAAACAAAAGTTAGTGCCGAGGAGCGTGAGGAAATGGCGGACGAATGGCTGTCCAAACGACTGGATGCAGGCTTGTTCTGCTTACAGACCGTTGATGTTATTTTAGCCTGGTTGGTTGCTGAGGATGATGGAGCCGCAAAACGGATCAGTTTACTACTGGCGGAGAGAGATGAGACTCTAACAGTGCTAAAGAAGACTATCCAAGGTACGTTGTTTACTCTTCTTTCTCCCTATTCCCGTCTCATTCGCAGCGTCGATGATGCCTTTCACGGCTGGTACTGATATACTTGTAGAGCAATTGGACACCATCCAAGGAGACTCAGAGGAAGAAACTGTGACGAAAGATATGCTTAGCACGCTAGCACAGTTCTTGACATAATCAGTGATGATCTGTTATCAATATACTATCTTCTCGAGTGTAGAGTGAAGTGTCTATGTCGATAGAAGTGACGATATTCTGTCCTATCGTATATTACGCTCATACTCCGGCCTTGATATGGCAGCGTCTATTAGTTTTAAACCTTGTCTCCAATCTCTTCTCTACTCTGGGCGAGAATAGCGGTTTTACCGGCCGCCCTCTCTGCCCCGCTCCTTGCGTTCCTTTCGGTTATCAAGCCACCCGTCCAAATCATGCAAGGCACTGCTCCAGCAAAACTAAACAAGCCTAAAGACCAAGACATAGTCCCCCATCCTGCCGCGTTTTCTACGTATCCTGCCCACATAGGTCCAATAAGTGACCCCGCGGCAAACGCAGCTATAAACAGTCCGTAAGCCTGTGCGTAAGCCCCAGTACTCCCAAATCGTCCAGGGCGCTCCCTCTCCTTCGCCTCAACGACATAGGCAATCTCTGCCATGAGAGGCGGCATCACCAACGTAAGGCTAACACCGATCAAAGTCAATAAGGCGCAAAGGAGGACTTTTTGACGTATACTGTTGTACGTGACAAGTCTGAGCAGCACCCACATAGGGATGGCGAAAATGAAGCCGCCAACCGTGAACCAGCGCGGGCCGTACTCATCAGATAGCCAGCCCACGATCGGGCTGGCAAAGGCTGGCACCGTAATAGCGAGGAACATCAGGCCTGCCCCAACAGAGTTCCAACCGAAGACCCGTTGGACAAAGAGGGGTATTACGCTGTCGAAGGCCGTCATAAGCGACGATAGAACGATACAGCCCCAGAGGGCGGTTAAGAGGCGGCGGGAGGCGAGAAGCGTCAACATCGGGGGTATCTTGGAACGGCCGGGAGGAGGCGGTGCGGGTGTTGCTTCGTAGGCAGCGGCAGCGAGGTGTGGTTCCACCTGTGTCTCTTGAGGCAAAGTCAACTCGAGAGATCTGTTTCCGTCGACGGGGACCGGTCCTTCGCTCCCGGTCGAGACCACTTCGGACTCTGCTTCTGTTTCATTGACATCCCATTGGCATGCGATCTTCTTTTCGATCAAAACCAGACGAAGCACAATATCGACGAGAATCAAGGCGAAGGCCATGTAGTATACCGGGTAGTATCCTGCTTTGTCGTACACGATTCCGCCTAGCAACGGTGCCAGAAGTAAACCGACGCTCATACTCAAGCTCACATATCCCAGGATCTGCCCGATCTCCCTCTGTCCCACGGTATCCACGAGCAACGCGGTCCCTACGGTCCACACCACCGCGGCCGCGAGCCCTTGCAGCAATCGTCCCACGACCAGCAGCGCAATGGTCCGCGCAAGACACAGCATCACAGTTGAACCAGCTAATGCCACCAGCCCGATTAGCAACGGGAGTCGCCGGCTCGACGACCGATCTGCATACCACCCTGCCAGAGGGCTCCCCACAAGCAGCCCGGCGCCGTAGACCGCGAGGAGCACCGAAACCCATCTTTGGACGTCGGACTGCGGGACCCCCGCGCGCGCGGAGAGCGCAAACGGAATGACAGGGACGATGATACCGTACAGGAAGATATCTGTAAACACGGCCACGCAAATAGTGGTAAGGATGAATGTTTTTGAGGAGCGAACGGAGAGGAGATAAGGCGAGGGGTTGCGGGAGCCGACCCTTCGAAGGGTCGGTGCCATAGGAAGTGCGAAGCACGAAGTACGAAGCAAGGTAAGGTAGTTCTAATTCCCTGGTGTGCCTGGTGTCACCGAAGCGGGGGAGGACGAGAGGGACAAGAGGGGCCACAGACCGAGTACATATCAAAATAGGAAATGAATCGAAGGTTCCATGTTTGTTGCTATATACTTCGCACTGATCGTTTGATATAAAATGTTTTCTGTAGTAGAAGATAAAATCTCAATGGAGCCATGCCCTAAGGCGGTTAGGCAGTCCCTTTCCACCACTAGCACACTGTTCTCGTCTCGTTTCTGCTCGATTAATAAAACGTCCCAACTTCCGCATCCGATCATCTGTCAACCCAAAGAATATCCTCATGAATTGTGCCAGTGAAGTGTATATATGCCGAATCCCACTGCCACGGACGTCCGTCACCACTTCTCTGTGCGAACGATCGTTCGTCCCCTCGAGAATACTTCAACACCCAGCTAATGTTGATGCTCGGCGTCTGTTCTTACTCGTTCTTCCCCATATCTCCGTGTCTCCAGCCCTCCCTGACGACATGGCTCCATGATGCCAGCCGTTGTATTCTCTGTTTGTTGCGACAATAGGAAATACCATACCAGGACCCGTTACCGTGTTGCAGAAGACCGCCTGGGGCTGCCAACAGAGACACAACACCAGTACGTTGCCCACCAATGTGGCCGGGGGGCGATGTCGATGGATTCTACTGTTTCTTCCTTCTTCATTTCATGCCATGCGTATCGCGATTGATCTAGCCCATTCAGCAGGCCAATATCTGGGGAGCTCGAGGGCGTTTCAAAATCCCTATGGCATTTTGCATCATCCGCTCTTGTTTCTCCTTCACTTTTCGATTTATCTTGTCAAGCCTTGGTACCTGACATTTGAGTGGACAAATGAACTTAGCGGAATGCCCGCTCTGACGACTGGATACGAAGGGACTCCGGTTTCTTATTATCATTCCAGGTTTATCTAATATGCGGCTCTTCATGCTCCTGAGACTCCTGAAACTCCTGAGACTCTTGACAGGCTGCATTCATACAGTACCAGGCAACCGCAACTATCAGCACCCCCCTCGCAAGCCATGTTTCAACCGAATAGGGCAAGACTTAGGCGTCGAGTGCCTCCGTATGCCATGCACGCCACATGTCCGCCTTACTTGAGCCGCATCTGGCCGGGGTCTATTTGATCGCAGATGGCTAGAGTGAGGTAGGGTGGCAGCTGGGGTCAAGTTTTACGAAGGATTGTTCATCCCTGGGTACGTCGCCAGAGCCGCAAGACCACACATAACCAGTAACTTCGTACTCTCGACCCGAAGAATGACCCGGGATTTGAACTGAACTGGGCTGGGCTGGGCTGGGCTGGGCTGGACTTGGGAATCCGATATCCAATATCTGGTTTGGAGATAATATAATACACATTCCACCAGCGTAGCGCGGGTCGTCTAGTATTTATTGGGAGAGTGTCGCCAGTGAGCAGCGTGGATTTTATTGGATACGTACGAAGTACCTCGTACTGGCAACCGGCAATAATAACCTGCAGGTGGGCACCGTTGGCGGCGTTTGTGCTTCCCTGTCGCTGTCGTAGTCGCTGTCTGGCTATTGGCATGCCTCTGTACGGAGTATTCGTGCTATGTACGTGGTGCAGCGCTCCGTTCGAACTGCTACGGCGCAGCCTCAGAATCCGTACGCTGTGGTTGTAGTGCGGGTATGGCTGGTTGTTCCGAGTGTGCTTGTCACGAAGCCGGCGATATATTCGTCGCACTTGTGCAACGGTGCAATACCCCGTCCCTCGAAGTTTGGACACGTCCGGGTCCTGGCAACGGCGCGGGAATATTTATTAATGGGCGAGTTGACTTCGATCGGGGATGGTCGATGGTCGATGGTCAGTGGTTCGAGTGAGTGCTCGTGCAGTACTCGAGAACTCCGTATGAGGCTCTGCTCTGGGAATTGCTCAATTCGATCCGGCGCTTCCTTCTCGGGGGATGACCTGAATGTGGCATCTTACTAGTGACTAGTGACTGGTGACTAGTCATATAGTCAACTCGTTATTGAGCGATTAGCCGGAGCAGCTACTGTGTGGTGCATGTACCCCCTCCGTAATGAAACAAGTGATAGAGTATGTAACAGGATAATATCACTCGTCAGCCTCATCTCTTCCCGGGCCCAGCCTACCTACGAGTATCCCTCCCTATGCTTCCTCTGGGTACAGTACCTTATGCCAGAGAGGCTCCATTTCTTTGTCAGCTCACGAGTCGTAACCCTGAGCAAAATCCGCGCTCTGCTATCGTTACTCTGGGATATGCGCGGATCTGCCATGTGGCCCTATTTCTGGTGAGTAATACTGCAATAGGCTTGGATGCACACGAGAAGTCGTCGGAGCCTGCGGATGAGTGGCGTTAGCGACGGTCCACCCGCTTTAATAGACCTTCCCGGGCTATGACCGGGCTGGCAATGATTGCCAACTTCATTGTTCGAGTTTTGAGCCGCAATCATGCGGCTCTATAAGTCGTGGCCGTTGTCGTGGCGGGCCTCGCGCCAGACCCCCAATAACCACAACACATCCTTCTTCATCTACCTAGGTGTTCAGTATACAGGTTAGTCCTACCCCCATGTTCTTCTTAAATTCACCAGTGTTACGTGACAGTTAGCTGACGACATATTCTTTTGCTTCCTTCAGGTCGAACTGGCTTCTTGACGTGGTGAACGTATAGAATGTTTGGCCTACACTCTTTACCATACGAGGTTTTGGCAAACGTCGTATCAAATATCAACTTTGATGATATCTTTAATCTTGCAATTACATGCAAGAACTTCGGGTTTCTCATCAAGGAGGAGAGCATGTGCAGGATCGTTATGCAGGTAGGATGCTTTATATAATCCCAACAGATAATCAAGTCATATAAATTCCTGAGTTCTGCACCGCTAACAAGATCATCAGTCTAAAATTCCATACTCCAATGAGTTCTTGGTGGCGAAGTCAATTCGGGGCCGCTATGCTCGTGCTTTGAGAAGAGCTGCGAAGCGACGCAATGCTCTAACCGAAGTCTCGCCCTATACTGTTGCCACTGTCGGATTTTGTGATGCGTATATCTACCGCAAGGGCATCCTGTGCTACATTTTGGACGACATAGTGAGGATCCTGGACCTCCACAATTCCGGACATCACGAAATTGTGATCAGCATCCCAAAGCTGCTTAATCGAGTTATATCGGACATCCAGGATAACAAGAAAGGCGCCTTCCAGATACTCCACTATTCAGACAATATTATCTCTTGTCTCTACAGGTCTCTTGGGCCAGACTTGACATCTTGGCTCATTGCTGTCAACGCGAGGGACCAGGCCATATTACTCGTGCAGGAGTTGGATTCCATAGACAAGATCTTTGTGCGCCACAACGAGGAATTCCTCTACTACGGAACCCATTCAGAAATGGATGACGATGGCCATAAAAAATGGATGATCCATGGATACGATCTCAGATGCCAAAAATGGTTCCCTGAAGGAATCTACCTGCCAGAAATGGCTGGTTCAGAGATAAACTCCACGGTCTGTTTTGAGATTCATGGAAAATACTTCTACGCACTTTCAAATCAAACCTCGTTTGAAGTCGAGGAGATAGATTGGACTTCGTTTTACCACTGTATCCGGTTTCCCTTGGATTCCCCCTGCAAGGAACTGTTAGAGAAGACCGAGAATAAGGACATGTGGCGCAGACAACACCAGGAAGGGCCTCTAGATGAGAGATGGATGTTCCTACACCTATATGTCGATGAAACCGACGGAGAGCTCAGAATCCTCGAGTCTCGAAAGGAATGGTACCTAGGCTCTAGCAGGAGCCAGCGTAATTACTATATTACGGACATCGTATGGCCACAAAGCAAGAGCGACGGTTCAGACTTGTGTTCTCAGCCTGATCTATCTGATGATTCTTGCCCGATGTTCTCCCCAGCCGATGCGGCGAGCACTTCTACCTCGCACACTACAATCTCGGGACCCAGCACAATAAGCCCCGAACCCTCGCACCACCACCTCCCTGACAATTCCCGGTTGCCCAACTGTCAGCTTCGCCGCCTATGCCGAAAGGAGGATCACCCCAATTACCTTGAGGCACCACCGCGGGTGCCGCAAAACACCCACCCAGGTGACGACGGCTCAGCCAAACTCACGTTCACCCTTGCAAAATCACGACTCAGAACGTACCATACAAGCAGCAGCACATTTTTAGACCTTGTCGATGATCCTCTCCCTACAGACTGGACATGCACCCAACGCCTCCGGCTCCGCGCGGGTTCCCGCCGATTGGGGCCACCCCTTCGAGATCAAGAAACTGGCTTGCTCCGTCACCACTCGGACGACCTGCCTACTGCCCTTGAGGAACTCTACAGGAAAGAGGATATTAATTTCTGGCCAGCAGCGCAGGGTCCAGAGGCAGCAACCCGAGATGAGCAACTTGATGAGGTTTACAGGCTACTAAACCCACCTACGCACCTAGGGAGCGTGGAAGGGACTGCGGACGATAGATCGATGGTCTATGTGACAGGCTCAACTAAACCGCAAGCGCTTATCTTCGTAGGATTTGACCCTGCTATAAGACTGCGTGGGGTGAAGAGGTGGCGTGGTTTGGCTAGCAAAGGTCTTGGCGAAGGACCTCATATCGATGGGAGAGCGACTGGACCGGATGCTCCCAGGGCGGATTCTGGGGGCGGAGGGGTGCCTGGGTCTTCGCACAGTCGGGCGTATGTTGACTTGGGGGAGAAAACTAGGACGGTTACCATCGACTGGAAGGGGAAGGGATTGGAAGGCTTTGAAGCGGATCCGCAGGGGTTTTTTCCTGCTGCAGAGGCTCTGATTGATATGCAATGGTGCCCAGATTCGGGGACTAGTAATTCTCGGGCACACGCAGGAAGAGACCAGAAAAGCTGGATTTGGAAGGAAACAGCCATGTACAGGGACATTGGACTCGGATTGAATTTTGGTTTAGAACCATGCCACAGCAGGAGTAAGGATGAGGTGATATGAGGCAATGCGGGTGGTATTCTAGACTATTTGGTTATTTATCACCACTGAATTCGATCTAAGGAAGGCAGAATCAGCCAATGAAGATATCCCACTTTGACCCAAAACGTCCAAACCAGATCAAAAACCACACAACTCTGCAGCAATACGTCAAGACGCCCTTTACCGAATCAAACCGAAGCCATGCAATCAAGCCGCAGGTCTCTCGCCATCCATCCACCCAAAAAACTGAGTCTCTCCACATTTTCGGCTCCTCCCTTTACCAATTGGATCTTCCCCATTTGATAACATATTTCTTCGCGCGAGGCAGATTTTGCCCTGTGGGGGAAGGTCTGCCTTGCAGTCGTGTGCTGGTAGCATTGGTAACGTCCACTATGCATGTTTTGCCCGAGTACTGTGATGGCGGACAAGCCCACATACGTAATGCAGGTGTGCAATATACAGTAGGTGGGGTTGGTACAGTAGAGGTAGGCTTCAGCCACGCTCGGCACAACAACAACACCACCAGTAAGTTGGTTATGGCGGGGCTGTATACCTTATATTACTTTTCGGCGATATTTACTATAGAGATAAAACCACCTAGGTAGATTTATGGATTATGTTGTGGTCCGTAGCATTATATTCCAGTGGAAAAAACAGGGCTGCAGTTATTAATCTGGTCGTTAGATGGTAGGGAGGCCAGCGCACATTATATTAGGTGGGCTCCGACTGGGAGATCATTGAAGAGCCGCATTGCCTGCCCTATCCGGTGATATGTCGTGGCTTTTCGAGGCGGTTTTGGCTTTTTGCGGTGGGCGGCACTGGACGGCGACAGCGGATAGCAGGGGTTGGCTCTGGATGGGATTGCTAACTAGCTATCTAGGATCCTTGAAAGGTAGGTAGCATCGAAGAGGTACTGTTGGTATCAACTAGACAGTGTTAGCATATATGATGTAGGTCTCAGTGCCCTGTTTATCCGCCTCGGATTCGGGATCTAGATGCCTTGTTTTTATAACCATGCTGCGTTGGCATTGCATCAGGGGTTAGTAGCGAGCTTACGTCTTGATTTTAGTTCCTCATCACCTGGCCGCCTTTATTTCAATCACTCTTTGATTATCTCTGATCTAACAATTGGTCCCTATTATGAGGCTCAGAGAGTCAATGTTACCAAGGGGGACGTGAGGCGATGCTGACAGCACATATATAACGGGTAAGCTGCAGTATTATCGTATACGAAGGATAGGTGGCGGAGCTTCTAAGTCAGGTAAGCCTGTACGAGCTGGATAAGTAACTATGGTTCTGAAAACTCGCGGCGTCGGAGGCAAAGTGATAACGTTGACTTCTGCATGTCAAGTTCTTTCGAGTGATTTCGGCAGTAGGATTTGAGGGGCATGGTGTGATGGGATTGATGTAATTGCTGCTGCAGGCTATGGTAATTACAAATCTGGTCTCCCTACTCCCGCTCTATGCATAACCTCGCATAACCTTTACTAAGTAGGTATCTATTGCGAGTGCCTTGCTTGTTATTATTCTTTGGCGTTTAATGCCGAAGTTCTCGCTCAAAAATGCAAAGGCGGGCAAGCCGCAATTATATCTCAAGTCCAATCTACTCAGTTTAACTTGACGTAATTCCCTGTGATAGGTTAGGTATATTTTCAGCACTATGGTATTTAAGGGCACAACAAAATACGTACCTGGGAATTGACCCTGTTTCCCCTTGAGCTTGCCGATCCACCACTCATTTTCATTGTTCGTTCTCGTTAAAATTTCTATTACATCGCCAGTCGAAAAGCTTAAATCTCCTTCAGCTTGAGCTTCATAATCGTAAAGCGCTGTGACGGTCTCTGGCGCAGGCGCGCCGCTTAATCTTGACGGCTTTGGCTTTGGCTTAGGTGGTGGGGGTGCCGCCCCTTTTGCTTTCGCTGCGGCACCCCAAGGGCTGCCCGTCGAATTCGCACGCGCGACTGTAGTGCTGTTGCTGGTTGGTGACAGAGAGCCTGAATAGGGCGGGGGTGGGCTCTCTGAAGAGAGTTCCTGCATGGATTGTCGGGATGCAGCGGTCGAAGTGGTGGGGGATTTGCGATCTTCGATGGCAAGTCTCCGATTTGGTGCGCCTAGCCGTCCTGGAGGAGGCCGCTTCGCCCCTGTTGTCTTGAATTTGACAATCGACAATGCTTCGGCTTGATCTTGGATATCACCTCGTTTTGCATCGAAAGCTTCCTCAATATCGAGCGTCAAGTTGAAATACCCAATATCGCACCCTTGCATCTTCTCGTGTAGGGTATAAAAGACGTTCAATTGCATGTAGTAGAAGGACTGAAACAAGGGCCGAATGAATTCGCGCTCTAAGGTGAAAAGCTTCGGTAACTCATCTTTCAGGAGGTCGTTATAGTAGTTGAATTCTTGAGTCGCTTGTTCCACTTCCGTCTCCGCCTTATACATCGCCTTTTCATCCTTGAGATTCTTATCCTTCTTATCCTGCAATTTCTTCAAAGTGGTCCGACGTCGATCGTAATCTAACTGCTTGTGTTGTCGTTTCGTTGCGGTTTTCTGTATAACCTTGATAACCTCTAATAATTCATCCGCAGGCCGTATTACCCTCGTTTCAATCATCTCCAGCTCCGGCTGAAGCGTAACCTGGAGTTCTTTCACTATCGCTTCATACTCCTCGCAGGCTCTTATGCCTTCTGGATTTCCTTCCTGAACAATCGAATCTGGATCCGACATCCGACCTGAAATTGGTTTATATATCTCTGCAATCGCTTGGGAGAATTCGATCTGGTGGGATAGCATGCCATTGATGGCTTCGAAGTATTTCTTGCTTTCATCATGCAACTTCTTCGTCTCCGTCTCAAGTTCCTGAAATCGTCGTTCCGCGTCAATGTAGACTGGATCCTTCGTATTCTCACCGAGGTTGAACTTCTGCTTGAATGTTTGAGGCGCTATATTTTGCGTTAGTCGATATGCGGCATACAGAGGTATACGTCAGAATCCCCATTTCCATGCCCCGTTTCCGCCTGTAGACTCACCCCGAACAATTGATTTCTGAAACCCTTTGAAAGACATCTTCGCCTCCGCGACAGATTACAACGCTTCGACTGTCCGTCGGGGGCCACGGGGTCGGAAAAAGGTGGGGTAGTCGTCGGCTTCTCCAGAAGCACTTTTGTCTCCCAGGAATGTCGAAATGGCTCCAGATATTCAGGAGGAGGCCACAGTGTAGTGGGGAGTGGCGGCAAGAGATCTAATATGGTAGTAAGAAGGCTGGAGAGTAGCTGAGTCTGTTTGCTGAAAACGGGACTTTTGAGCCTTCTTGGCGTTCCTGGGCAGTCGCCGAGGATGACGAGGAATGGCTGGGGCTTAGCAACAGAGCGAAGCCGTGGTTGCGCGTTCCTAGGCGACAGGATGTTTCCCGCGAAAGTATAAGGATTCTATTCGGAGGTGGAGGCGGAGGTGAAACCGTAGTATGTAGCAGTGTACATAGGTACTTTGTGAAGCATAAGGTAGAGTTAGGTATAGGTATGCTACTTACGTATGCGTGCGTGCCTTGAATAGGAACAGTTCTTCGTACAGCACATTCACAATTCCCAGGACGATGACGCTCGAATTCTTGGTTGGCTACGTGCCCTGCCTTATGTAATCACCGCGGGTCTCGCTTGTGCCGTATTAATCAGCATCTCCGACTCCCGGGGGCTACTCCGTAGTCCGTAGTCCGTAGTCCGTAGTCCGTACTTCGACGTCCGCAAGTTAATTTATTTATTTGCCTCGCCGCCGAGCCCGGACGTTCGGATTCATTGTCTTTCCCTCCAACATCGACATTCTCATTGGCAATATGTCCAACATAGCTTCGAGTTCGCTGCGGCAGGCTTCACGCATTTGCTTGAAGCAGTCTACGTCTCCGACGTGCCTTGCGAGGAGTGCTACGGCTCGTGTGACGCGGTTATCAAGCCAAAGGAGGGGATATGTTTCTGAGACGAAGAAGGGCAATGCACAAGTCAACGTCGACACTGCCATCCGGGCGGAGCAGAAGACGTTCTTCCAGGAGACCGGGAAGCATCCAGAGGGCCAGATTGTACCAGGAACCAGCGTAAACGCTGATGCTATGATGAGTCCCATGGCTGGTAAGTACCTTATCTCCTCAAAATAGCGAGCTTTCTGCTGATGTATTCAAAGGTGTCCTCAAGCAAGCAACAGTTCTGGACCAAGGAGAAAGACCGATTTACCTTGATATGCAAGCCACAACGCCCCTAGATCCCCGAGTGTTGGATGCGATGCTTCCGTTCTATACCGGACTCTATGGCAACCCTCATTCTAGAACGCATGCTTATGGCTGGGAAACCGACGAAGCAATTGAACAGGCCCGTCAGAATATTGCCGATCTTATTGGTGCCCACCCTAAGGAAATTATCTTCACTAGTGGAGCTACGGAGAGCAACAACATGAGTGTCAAGGGCGTTGCAAGATTCTTCGGCAGGGCCGGAAAGAAGAACCACATCATAACTACGCAAACAGAGCATAAATGCGTGCTTGATAGCTGCCGGCATTTACAAGATGAGGGGTTTGAAGTCACGTATCTTCCTGTAAAGAGCAGTGGACTGATCGATATGTCGGATCTTGAAGCCGCGATGCGACCAGAGACTGCCCTTGTCAGTATAATGTCGGTCAACAACGAAATCGGTGTGATACAACCGTTGGAAGAAATTGGAAAGCTTTGCCGGTCGAAGAAGGTTTTCTTCCACACCGATGCCGCCCAAGCTGTCGGGAAGATCCCTATGGATGTCAATAAGATGCAAATTGATTTGATGTCAATTTCATCGCATAAGATATATGGACCAATGGGAATTGGAGCATGCTACGTTCGCAGGCGACCCAGAGTCCGCATCGATCCCATTATCACTGGAGGCGGTCAAGAGAGAGGCTTGAGGAGTGGTACTCTTGCCCCTGCATTGGTGGTGGGATTTGGTGAGGCCTGCCGAATCGCCAAGGAAGAGCTCGTTGTAAGTCTCCATCCATCTTGTTTCCCCCGATCGTGAATATGATGAATTACTTTACATATGCATGGCTTTCCAAGTGTATCTCCTTGTTTGCAAGTTGAGGTTTCCTTGACGAGAAACAGTACCTTTTCTGATTCAACAATCGTTCTACCTATGCCTCTGAAGCTATTTTTGGAGCAATGTTAATAGTCCTATAGTACGATTCCCAACGGATCAAAAAGCTTTCCGATAGACTTCTTAGGGGCCTCCTGTCACTTGAGCACACGCAACAAAACGGGGACCCCAACCACTTCTACCCAGGGTGCGTCAATGTATCATTCAGCTACGTCGAAGGCGAGTCGTTGTTGATGGCACTTAAAGACATCGCATTGTCGTCTGGGAGTGCCTGTACATCTGCATCCCTTGAACCCAGCTATGTCCTCCGTGCCCTCGGAAGCAGCGATGAGAGCGCACACAGCAGTATTCGCTTCGGTATTGGTCGTTTCACTACCGAATCAGAGATTGACTACGTTTTGAAGGCAGTTAATGAGAGAGTCTCATTTTTGCGGGAGTTGAGCCCGCTTTGGGAACTTGTGCAAGAGGGAATTGCACTCGATAGTATTCAGTGGAGCCAGCATTAAATGTGATTTGGATGGCCGGGTGGGGGAATGGAGTTCCAGGCGTTTGGTGGCTTAATCGTGATAAGAATGTATAATGAGCTGTCCCATCGTATAGGGAGGAGGTCGTCGCCAGCATGTATACCAACGGTCACTTAACATTATAATTCCACTTATGTATACCTCCTATCTCGATTACCTTGAAATTTAATTGCGTCACTGTTATTCAAGAAATAGCACTCAGCCCATATCTTTGTAGCCCGTTTCCTGTGAGAGAAAAGTAGAGATCCATTCATGGATGGTATACAACATCATAAACGCCATTTGGGATGCCCCCTTCCCTCCTCCCATGCAGATCTAATACACATCGTGCCGGTTCAGTAGAACCCCCTTTTTCCACCTCTCACATCATGCTCGTCTCGGCCCACATCGCCATATCATACAAGTACAGTATTATCCGCCGCTCCCAGCGAGGGACAGGACAGCAGTTCCGCAATACAGAATCCCTTTGCAGCCACCTCTCGCACCCCCCACCTCATTACACCATCGGTTTGTCGGCCAATCCATCCCTACAAAGGAGGCAGCAAGAACTCGCTCCAAGAACTCGAGAAAAACGCAACAGCAGCCTATCGAAATCACCAAACAAGGTATTAGCCGCTTTGTTCAACTCTTTTCTTCAACCTCCACCGCTCATCCTAAATTGGAGCAAGGATATGGGGCAAACAGCATACCCCAAAGATAGCAACACTTCTCACAACACTGGCATTCTCCGCGGAGGTGAGTGACGAATAAACACTAGCTATGTAGCCTTTGTTCTGGGTGCGTCGAGAGGTCGCGGGTTGGACGGTAATACGTTGGGTTTTTGGCGCCATTTTGGGGGTAGGCTGGTGGGTATGGATTGTTGAATTATTCGGGAGAGTGTGTAGATGGGGATACCAGTGATGTTGCGTTGGTTGTTTGTGGAGTTGTAGTGTTTGGATGGTGATGGCGATGGTTTCGGTTATGGAGGATAAATTTTGAACTACTATTGTCGCCTTAAATACGAGGCCGATATTGACTTCAAAAAAGGGGGCACGTGAACTGTCCCCCCTGAGATCCCTACCTAGGTACTCTGTAATATACCTGGCTGTCACCGATAAATACAGATCCATCTCCATCATATCAGTATTAGGGTACATGGAAATCTTACGAAGAAATGGCGAAATTGAGTATTCCCTTTAAGGAGCTATCCAAGGGGTAGGCCCGGGATCCGTCAGCGGGCAGAACACCATGCAAAGATGGAAGAGCATGCGATGAGTGCGAGTTCATAGATCGAATCGCGAAGCTCTCAAGAGAGCATGAAGAAGGTCGGTCGAGCAGGGATGGGAACCCTCGAAGTATCGTCCTTGTATTGTGCGCCCGTGAAAGATAAGGACGACATAGCACGTACATTATAATACCATTAGTAACAGAATGAAAACGCCCATGCGATATCTTAATAGAGGACACATGGCAATACAACCGAATGTCAGATCGACGTTCCTCTATTAGGGTCGTGCACTAGTGTACTGGTGCAAAAACAAACAACAAGTGACTTAAAACGATACGACGCAAGACTTTTGTGTGGGAATGGATCCATCATTACGAGTGATTCTGAAAATGGCTCTAGTTTGGAATGGTTGGGTTGGGCGGGAAAGCCGCCAGCGGAGCTGGTCGAGGCATATATTACTTGTTCCAAAAAGCGCGCTTTAACCAACTTGACCTCATATATCTCAGAGGAATACGTAAAGATTTAAAGGATTGAATGCCATGCCATTACAGTCAGATTTGGCGCCAAGACCTTGTTGATTTTGGGTCATCCATGGCAGTCAATGTAATCCATTGTTTCGGACACAACCTATAGACCCTCATGTCTCTCATGTGGCTACCACCGAATGTAAAAAAACCAAGACCGCCCACGCCAGAAAACTCAAGTACAATCTTAACGCTCATATATTTCCATGATGGCTTTGAACGAAGCGTCTTGTTGAGGCTGCTCTGCCGATATACAAGATTCGGGCAAATAGCAAAATCCTTTAGACATAATGGATAGCACATGACTCCTCTCAGTGTCACTAATCTCTGGTCTTGCATGTATGATCATAGCTTCGAGGGAATCGGAAGGCTTTCTGCTCTGATCATACCACGAATCGTCGCCTGTGCCAACACCTTTATAACCGCCCTTCCAGTGGGCAGGCAGCGGACCTAGGACGTCAACTATTTCGGACACAATTGCAGGACTCCCGGTACTCCAAAAAAGGCGGAAGCCGAGAAAGAGCCCCAAGAAAAGGCACATATAGCTCCATATATCGCTAGCAAAACTTGGTTCTCTATTATGGAAAAGTTCCGGGGCACAATAGCCAACAGGCGAATGAAACTTGGGGGTTACAGAAGTGCCGGCTTTAATCGCATGCTCGAAGTCGCCGAGGCAGACGGTCTCTCGGAGCAGATTCTTGGAGACCACGATTGGCTTAACGATCTCGGCCTGTGACCGGGAAGGTAGGCACAACTTTATCTTTTGTGGCCGGCCAAGATACTCGTATTTTGTATCTGTGTTGTAATTATCGAAAGAGCAGATACCCCACATAACGGTCCGATTATTGAAGTCTATAGACTATTTTAGTGTATATAAAAAGGGGTAGCGAGGTAGAATGGACCTGCGTCGGTGTACAATTCCACCGCCGTGGAGGATTTCCCGAGCCTGTAGTAACTGCCTCGCGGCGGATATACTGGCACTTGTGGACATCTGCCCTAAACAACAACCGAGACTCGTGCACATACTGGAAACACTAAGATTAAGTGACTATTACTATCGTAGTGTCGAAAGTAGAAGCTATTCTTGTACGTAAGAAGATTTGAGGTGTCTTATACATTCAGAATAATTTCGTTCTGGACACTGGGCTCATTTTCTCCCTCACTTCCAGGAACATGAATCTTGAGGGCCACATTGCTCTTCGTTTGAATGTCGTATGCCATCCAGACTGTAGAGTAGCCACCATAGGCGAGTTTATGCTCTTTATGATATCTCTGATCGAGGACGTCTCCGATACATACGGGGTAGTACAAGCCCTCAAAATACCGTTCTCGAGGTTCGGCAAGTCCTCGACCTCACACTCGTCGTCAGAGTCCACAAAGTCGCCGTAATCAGGTGCGGTGTTATCTTCAACAGACATCGCGTTACTCCGTATTATGCACGGTATCCATAGAAAGTCAAGGTGTTTGTCTTACCTTAGGCTACGCGTACCGACACCATATACGTAACGGAACTCTAAATTTGTTGGAGTTGTGCCGAGTCATGGTGTGTAGGATCGTGATGAGGCTCCGAATCAGAGACTTAGGTACGGACGTGAGGGTTCCTCGACACGTAGATAGGTGCGCATTATGGCCCGCCTGCCAAGGAGGGCAGGGTATTTGTAGGATCAAGTATGTGATGGTATTAAGTCTAACGAGGAGAAGCCTGTGTCAGGGAGAAGTGATTTATATCGCGCGGGTCAGGGCAGTGCTGAGTAAGCAGCTGGAGATCACATGATCTACCAGTATCGCGTGGTCATCGCTTATTTCTGGTGAAACCGTACGGCGCCAATTCTCCTGCAAGCGCGCGCTCGAGACCTCAAAATATCAATATATAACACTATTATTAGTAAACGTTGCCTAGAAATGAGACCCTTTTCTTCCACTCTTCAATCGCACACTTTTTGGCGAGGCTATACCAACCCTAAGATCCGGATAGCGGGACCGACAGTTACTCAGTAAACATTCAACGGATGCACAGAGCTAAAATGCGGCCCAAGAACCAGGGACGAACCCCGGATTTTCCGCGAGCCTCGCTGGGGCCATCTTTACATATGATCATGAAGTACTCCGTATGTACATGTAGACTGTACATAGGAGTGTCCGTTCGGGGGAGTGCCCAAAACACATGCGTTTTCGTCGGGACTGTATCTTCGTAGGTATCCATAGGTAAGTACCGTACCTGGAGGTATGTATGTATTAACAGTAGAAGTGCGAAGCACGGTAGATATAAATACTTTACCTTACCTTACCTTATTAGCTACAGGTACGGGTACCTATGTACCTTATTAGGTAAGGGAGACTCTCGGACTTTACGCGAGGCACAGCGATGATTATCTAATAGATCATCCTCCAATCAGCGCGCAGCTTCTTCCTTCGGCCGAACGACGGCGGAGTAAGCCTGGAATTTGATCGTGGGCGCCCCAGGTTTCAAAGGGGCCGCTGACGACGTTGGTCATCAATCATCCTGCCTGCCCATGTCCATGTCCATGATATCGTAATCAGCTACATCCCCCACATCTCTTTCTTCCTTCGTTCTTTGTTCTCTAGTTCTCTGGTTCTCCCATTATTATCCCCATATCATTTCGATGTCACCCTCACATATAAGAACTGCATCAAATAGTGTCGCTGAACCGAACCCCTTTGAAATGTCGAGCGAGGCATCAGCTTCAGGCGAACCGCCTCGAAAGAGGATCCGAAAAGGCACCCGGAGCTGCTGGGAGTGTAAGCCATCCTGGATTTGCGGCCCGCATTAAATTATGTTCTAAATATTTGAAGGCAAACGAAGGAAGGTCCGCTGTCAATTGAGCTCGGAAGACGTTCCTATCTGCTCGGGCTGTCTTGCGCGAGGAACAACATGCCTCAGCCAAGAATATCCCGAAGAGCGTGAGCCATCCAGTAACGCGCAGGTTGGTGAACGATTGGGTCGAGTAGAGCATTTACTGGAGAAGTTGATCGCCAAGATCTCCGCCTATGAAGAAGAGGAGAAGGCACAGCAAGATATACACAAAGATATCCTCACTCCAGAATCCATTAGCAGTGATGTTCTCACACCCCATCCTTCCAACACCGCAAGCGGTGTCCAAGATGTCACTCCGTTTATGACTCTCTTTGATAATCCGGTTGTAGGTATTCGGCCCCAGGCTATGCTACTCAGGCTGACCTTGAACAGCTCGGCCGGCTGGAGACTATGCCGTCCCAGATGGCAACCCCTGTGTCCCAATCCGTAGGGACCAAGTCGCCTTCTTGCAGGCCTTCGAAGATTGACCGCATACGCCAAACTTTGGTAGATTTGTTGCCCTCCCAAAGAGATGCGGATCTTGTCTCGCAGAGTAGCAGTTGCTGGCTGCTCGTCCACGCCATGGTATCTCATACCGCTAGTGCGTTCGATGATTCGATGGTCTCCTCAACTTTTAATATGGCAGAGATTTCCAAGAAGCACCCCACAATAATTGCAAGAACGATATTATATCTTGCCGTATCCCTGCAGCAACTTGATCCGGAATTCGACACCTCTCAACTGCACCTTCTGCCTACTGTTGAATATCGTATCGATAGATACTTATCAACTGTCCAAGCTCTTGTAACTTCGGATGACGAGTTAGTCACCACCGTAGAGGGGCTGGAATGTTTAGTTCTCCAAAGTGTATATCACATAAATGCTGGGAATCTACGTCGGGCATGGCTGGCAACTCGGAGGGCATTAAATACATGCCAATTAATGGGGTTCCACAACCCAACCACTGAGGTACAGGGCGGAAAAGAAATGTGGTACCAGATCGTCCGCGCCGACCGATATTTGGTACGCCATATCCCCCCCCGTACTTATTCCTACCCTAACAAATCTACAGGCATTGTTTCTTGGCTTACCTGTTGGTTCGGTCGACGATACTTTCGGGCCTGAGGAGACATTTCACAACCCGGCTGTGGATAAAGATATGCTTTTCTCAAGGAAGCTATGTGAAATATCAAGTCGTATAAGCGACCGGAATCTAGCGCAAAACTCTCAAGCATACGCCACTACCCAGGAAATCGATGAAAAGTTGGATATACTCGCTAAAGATATGCCAAAATCTTGGTGGGAGATTCCAGCTTTTACCCCTGAGACATCTACCCAAGAACTCGCCCTTCACTTGGATCACATTATGACCCAAATATGGTATTTCCAACTTGAAGCTTTATTGCATCTTCCATTCATGCTCCGTGCTGCAACCGAGCGACGTTACGACTATAGCAAATTCACTTGCTTGAAAGCATCAAGGGAGATGGTCTCTCGCTATCTTGCCATGAACTCCACGGCCAAATCATTCTGTTGTAGAGTGATGGATTTTGGTGCATTCACGTCGACTGTCACCCTCCTACTAGGTTTGCTAGAGGTGACTCCGGCCCCCGAAACTCCAGAGATTCGGCAGCAGAAGGAAAATGACCGTGCTTTAGTACATGTTGTGGTGAAGTCCTTGGAGGAGACTTCTCGAGACGGTAAAGAGGTCATAGCCACGCAGAGTGTCAACGTGATTAAGTCCCTTTTAGCCATGGACTCGCCTTCTGGCCGTGCACCCGCGAGTTTACGCCTGACAATCCCATACTTTGGCACCATAACAATTGTTCGGCCTCTACCTGCACCGAAGTCAGGCACTCCGGCAATCCAGAACAAACAAACTGTCACGATCGATCATAGCTTCCAACCACCTGCCACCTGTGCCACAGAGAGCTGGACGGATGTGCCCTTCCAGGCGCCGGATTCGTCGAATATCCCAATGGTGTCGTTCACCAGTAGTCATTTCCCTCCTTTAATGCAGGAACAGCCACCCATGGAGAATTGGGGGTTGCAGGACACGGATACGTTTTTCTTTGATAGTTTGCTAAGTACAGATATTGATGGGAACTGGATTGTTTAGACGGATAGATGTATATTATATGTAACTAATCTTCTCTCACTATGATAGCCTACTATAATACCTTATTTTGCGCAATTATCGCACATTCATCCAAACATATACTAGCCATACGAGACACTTTTCTCTATCCCTTGGGCGCCTTAAACTTGTTACGGCAAACGTTACAGATGACAAGTCACTTCTATTTTTCACCGGGTAGTCTAAAACAACATTACATCTGTGTCCCTCTCTCGCACCATCTGAAGGGCAATCAATGGCAGTCGTCGGTACTCCGGTATAAAGGAATGTTTCCGCTAAGAGGACGATTTATATGCATCGCACTTTCAGCCAAGCACATGGGAGGTTCATTGATTTCCTCAAGGTTCTTATTTTGCGGCGTCACTCCACCAATAATGGCTGCCATGATGATGAAAACCACTGACGCCTCCATAAAATTTTCTCCTCGCGACAACGTTAGCCGAATATTACGAGTCTTTTGAGAAAATCATGGACTATTTCCAAACGCAGTAGTAGATCCAACTAAATCCCACCAGATATGCTCTGTTGTAGCGGAGATTAGGAAATTCCTTTATTGAGGGTGCGGACGGCGAGGCGGAATGGGAACCCTTGTCGAGGTTATGGTTTTATCAGGCTACCGCCCGCTAAGAATGAAGGCCCTCTCTATCAATTGTTTGAAATGCTCCATTAAGTCATTAGATGTGCGGATTTGCAATACTAGCATAACAGCCCTTGCAGGTTTTTCTATAAACTTTGAGTTTACAACTTTGCTTCAACAACCTTAACACTGAGAATCATAGGCCGTTAGTCTACTGAAACCACCCTTGAGACAATCACCGTGACATTACAGTCATTCCAACTCGAATAGAGTAACATAGCGCTCGTCAACTCGGATATGTTAAGTCCGGCTAGCGATTCTACAGCCCTCTTATGCCAGTATGCATGAGGATAGGGATATAAGTAGGAGAAAGCTATAGTGTTAAGTGATTCTATTGGCAGTGGGCCACAGCGTGATCATTAACTCGGAGCCGGGTCAGGATTCTCGATCTCGGAAACTAGTGGAGCCATCGCTGTGTGTCATCGATGTCTAGCGAAATCTCATTGAATAAACCCGTTGATTTCAACCTTCTAGGACGACAAAATACCAAATCATTGAGTCGCCTTTGTCTTTCAAGGGATGAATTGGCGTTGAATTCCGAAATTTCATGTTGACCAGATCGGCTAGATAATTGTCGTAGCAACTTAGGAAAGGCATCGGTGTTATATGGAGACGAAAAGTCTATGGGCGTCTTCTGCCCCCAAGACTCTCAATCAAAGCCACCGTCTTCAGCGCCTCATCCGAGGCCTTCTCTGCCAGTTGATGAATCTCGAGCTCTTTAATGGCCCATTCTAAGGCGGCATTCAGCTGACCAGATTGCTGGCTGAGCACCGCAGCAACATGAAAAGCGCGAGCCAGATAATCCGTCAATCCTTCGTCCTCGACCATCTCCACTAGATGAATGGCTTTGGCGGCCCGTTTGTCGTTCGTCGATGTCTTTTTGCTCGGCGAGCGGAACTTCAGTTCTAGAGTTTCAAGCAAATCCCAAATCTTGGTTCGTCTTTTATCACTTTCTGATGATTGGCATGCTGCACAATCACAGATGAAACCATATTGCTCTAATCTAGCCTGTCGATCCTTGGTCGTTTTGAGCAATGGGATGTAAGACACGGTGATCTCCTCTCCTTTCTCAATATCTCTAGCGGCATAAATAACTCGACGATCGGTTTTTTCACTCCACCAATTTCCCGAGTTCGGGCTGCACGAATGATTAATTCTTGCGATTTTCGGAAATAGGCCAACTTTACTATCACCAGTGTTGTAGGCATTGCTGCGGAAAATGGTGAGCAGGCGGTTCTGGTCCTGCTCGGATGGGAAACGAAAGTCGTGAAGACCGAGGAATTCTTCCTGCTGCTTTGGGGATAGCACTTCGTATGCGGTTTCGAGACTGCTAATCATGTCTAATATTCTGAAGCCCTGGCCGGGTACCATCTTAGGTACTGGTACAGAGACCAGCGGCGCTTCGATAATAATTTTAGTGCCTCTATGCAGATGTTGCACCGCAAATACCCCGAGTCCTTTGCCTGGAGATAATTTGACTTCGTATGTCAACGGGGAAGCTTAATTCAGTTAGTAAAAATCTGGTTGATGCACCAGGAGAGCCACCTGATAACCATTGCCTTCAGCTCAGTATTGAAAGGTGGTGTTGGTATACATACTAGTGGGGCTTTTGAGAAGCGTCTCTTCCTCCTGGATCTCTTCCGCCATTCCGGGAACACCCTATAATGCTTTAGTTTCCGAGGTAACATAATCGCCGATTGGCAGTCCTTACAGCTAACATCTGGCTGTCAATACCATTGCTMAGGCCAAGCTCCAAACCTGGCTGTAGCAGGCAGCTATTCTCAAGAGGGTTCGATCGAAAGCTCGATGGCCTACATGCAGTAGCACTAGCTGCTGATAACAGAATAAGACTTAGGTTGGCCAATGGTGTCATTGGTAGCTCTCGAAATATCGTGATTCACTGATTGCCAGTGGTCCCCGATAGCGTCTGCACTGTGGAGGTACAGCTGCAAAAGATAACGACGGCCCGTATAGAATCCAACCAAAACGATGGCTAACTTTACATTGGAAGAATATGACTGAGAGATAGATATAAATTTTAATTTGCAATGCTGGATGATGCCAAAGAGATTTTGAGGTTGGGGTTTGTGAAACAGGAGGTCCTCTTCGGCCTGAGGTCGCCAAAAGAGTTAACCCAAACCTCATAAACAATCTCGTACTCGTACTCGGCAAAGTAAGGATGCGACGCGGTTCAAATAAAATTAGTCACGTGATAATAATAATTATTATTGTTAGAATTGATACAGCATACAGCGCAAGATATGAGCTGTAGCCTTTGTGACGGCCGGAGGAATTTGGCTACGCTAGCAAGGGACGGACTGATGGCCATTAGGGGCGCCCGGACAGAGCTATATTGCCGCATACGTCATCCATACTGGCTTGCGTTTACGAAATAGAAGCATGTCCGTACCTGATTAGGGACTTGATGGCAACGATTAGCTAGAGATACTGCAAGATGCCGCAAGGAACCAGCCGGGACCGGGGCGCCCCGACCCACCTTGGCAGAAGAGGCGCGTGGCTGCCGCTTGGTCTGGACCCCAAAAACACTCCAGACCGATATCTCGTCCAGCTTTCCTTCTTCCGACATCACCAGTTGTACGGATATACAAGGTATCTCCACGACCACAACTCTTGCCAACCGTCATGGCATAATGATGACAATCTCACCGATGGCCACCCTTACCTATCCGACATCGCAACCAAAACTTCTCGGTTGCTCCTCTAGGAGCCAACTCAGCCAAGGCCTATTCTGCTAGTAGCTTGGCCCTACTTGGCAGATAGACTCCTTAACAACTTGGACTACTGCTTGGTAGAACTATCAATTCCAATTCCCTCCTTGGTCTCCGGCTCCATGGGGAAGCTATTTAACCTGGAGCGTATCCGGTGTCCCTGATCAAAATCAGCTCCGTCTGCCTCTTCTCAATTTGTCCTCTTGCCCCCCTGTGTGCAGAGCAAGTATATCTGTCCAAGCCATAACCGCTTGAAGGGCCAGTCGTCGTAAAGAAGATGCAAGAAGTCAAAGAGAAATATGAGACAGATGCGTCCGTCTCCGACACGCCAGTTTCTGCTGGCGATGGTGAGAGGGCGGGAACAGCCGAGCTACATCGAACTCTCAAAGGACGGCATATGCAAATTATTGCAATTGGTGGCTCTATCGGATCTGGCAATGCGCTTAGCTCGGGAGGACTCGGTGCCCTGATTATAGACTTCATGATCATCGGTGTCATGCTTCTACTAACCATAAAATGCTATGGGAGAGTTTGCTGGCAAGCCATACCCTCAGGCAATATACTAATGCAAAGCTAAGATGATATAGCGATATACCCCGTTGCCGGATCGTTCTATAACTACTCCGAGTCAACTCGCTTTATCGACCCTGCCTGGGGGTTAGATTACCAATATATTCGCTAAAACACGTTACTAACAAAGATATAGTTTCGCTATGGCTTGTAAATACTCTATGAGCTGGCTGATCGTCCTTCCTTTCGAACTAGTAGTTGCTGGTATTACAATCGCCTTCTGGACAGACCTGGACGATACCAACAGCCATCAATCAATGTCGCCGTGTGGATCACAATCTTCTTAGTTGGCGTTACCGCCGTCAACTTCTTCGGGATCAGGGGATACGGAGAGGTCAAGTTCATTCTTGGTCTCATGAAATCTCTCGCTGTCATTAGCTTCATCATCCTCGACGTGATTATTGATGTCGGTGGTGTACCCACTGATACTAGATGTTACATTAGCGCCCATTACTAGCACAACCCAGGCGCGTTTAGGAACGAGTTTAAAGGATTTTGCTCGATCATTGTTCCGGCCTCGTGAGTGAAATAAGCCCGGTTTCTTGACTGAGTCTCTAACACTGCTAACTTTGCTTTTGGGGGAACCGAATTGGCTGGTCTCGCAACTGCAGAAGCCGTGAATCCAAGAAAGTCGATCCCCAAGCAACAAAATAGGTGTTCTGGCGGATCATCTTGTTCTACGTTGTTTCGCTCTTCCTCCTCGGCCTTATAGTCCCATCTGATGATGAATCCATCTCAAAGGCATCTGGCGATCACACACGCTACGGACCATTCGTCCTCGCTTTCAAGCTCGCTAATATCAAAGCACTTCGGTCCATATTCAATACCGTCATCACACTGATCGTTATATCTGGCGCTAACTCCTGTACCTACGCCTCCACCCGAACTATCTAGGCCCTTGTGCAAACGGTATGGGTCCAAAGTGGGGTGCCAAAATCGACAAGAAAGGACAGCCCTGGGTGGTCCTTGTCGTTGCACTCCTCTTTGGAACGCTGGCATGCATTAGTGTGGCACCACAAGGGAATAACATCTTTACCTGGCTGCTCTCCCTGTCCGGGCACTCCTACTTCTTCACTTGGGGATCTCTCTGCTTTGCTCACATTCGTTTCCGCAAAGCCTAGGCAATGAGCCGTCGTACAACAGACGAGCTATCTTTTGCTACCATGTTCGGCGTCACCGGCCCCTAGACGGCCTTGGCTTGAATATTCTCTTTCTAATCTCCCAGCTCTATTGTTGCGCTTTTCCCTATTGACGTGAAGCCTAATGCCGATCTGTTATTCCAGTCGTACCTCGCTGCTCCCATAGTCATATTGTTTTTTATTAGCTATAAGGTCTACTATAAGCAGTGGAGCGTTAGTATCAACCTCGCGGATATCAAAAAAATTGATGAGGGCAGACGTGAACTCGACGTTGCGGCCTTCATTGAGGATATGGCGGCTAGGCGCGCCGAAACGGCTACTTGGCCATGGTGGAAGAGGCAGTGGGATTTCTAGTTCTAAAATCTTAGAACCAAGATATGCAGAACCTAGATATGGACGAGTATTATACTATGCATATAAAACATAATGATGGAGCTACGGCAGGATTCCCTTATGTAGAGGGACTAAGAGATACGGGCGTGCGTAGTTTTACTTAGCTATTTTATAACTACACAATTGAGGAAAATTTTGTTATTGATATGGCCTTTAGAAAGTCTGAGTCTGAGTTCGAATTCAATGTCTTCAGCTAACAACATTAATCGTGTTCTTCGGCATCTTATTATTGAGGCTAAGGCTAAGTAATAGGGGTTGAATTGTGAGGATTGGATCGATTAATCTCTAACTAATACTATGGAATCTGTCCTGTATTATAGGCCAAGTAGTAGCAAAGTTGTATTTGCTTATATGCCAAGAGTGTAGAGGTTGTTGAAAATTATGTGCAGGATGTATATTCTAGTTACGATGTAGACACGGCTCGGTATCCTGTTCCTATAATAATTAGTAGTAAGAACGGGGTAGCTGAAGGTGTGGTCGGCTTGTACGACAACATAGAGTAGAGTTAGTCGAATATATGAATCGCATGCGGCACTTGCTCTCCGACTCTTGGCTAACTTAACACTCATCAGAGACTTTGGAGATATAATCTCGAACCGCTCTACTGCGCAACCACTCAAAAATGGAGGTGTCAGATGCTAGTATAGTACGGTGGCAAATATGCCACCTCCAGATGGCCCGCGCTGACTTATTACACCTATGCGTAGCCGTGTTGGGCACATGTTGCATTATCATCTATTTTTCGGATCTGCAACGCCCAGTTGGTCAATTTGATCACGATATTTCAATATTTGCTACTGCTTAGAGGGTTATTCATCAAATTCCCGATCAGTTAAATGTGCGTTTGCTTGCTGAATGTACTCCAATAAATATTCAGTCTTACTTCTCCTTTCTTTTGTAGTGCCACCCCTTTCACGTTGATTAAAACCCTCATTGGCATCTTGGAGGGAGGCATCTGATGAAGACAGTTTCGCTCTTTAACTTCAACCTGGCTATGCTCACCCCCGCAAGATCCAATTACGTAGAGTTGGGCCCATGGACCGGATTCAGACAGGCCCTGGTTGATTAGTGGACAATTGGTTTGTCCCATTGCGCACTTTTTGGCTTGTTATTCATGGCGCGATCATTCCTGGTGCTAGGGGAACGAGACTGGATCCTTATGTATCTACCTGCCTAGGGTTGTATGACACACTATCCATGCAAGCAATGACAGCGGAAGACAGATCTACATTTCCAAATACGCATTATATCGTATTCAAGCTACCTATCTAGGCAGTCAAACTGGGCCAAGCCACCCCTCTTAAAAGGATAGGCAGGCAGACAATTGCTAAGCTCAATTGGCATAGTGTCGTGACGAAAGAATGCTATAGATGCATTACTACATGTCGACGACCCCCGAAAACGCCAATGCTTGTCCAAACCGATAAATTCATTCCTCGTCATAACCCTGGGAATTCCCAAGTCCCATCCTGCCCGACTCCGTTGGTATAACCCGTGTGGAAAATAAAATCTTAGAAATGCACGCCCCTACATGTTGTTGGGCAAATGCCCGCTTTATCGTCCGCTGCTACTACCCTCAGGTAATATTCGGCTCAAACTCCTCAACACTTCTTGCATAGGCAAGTCTCTAGTACCAACGGATTCCTTTTCTCGTCGGTCTCGTTCTTCTAGCCTCACGGCGCTGAGTAAGAGGATTTTATTCGCCGCTCTCCCAGCGGTTTGTTGATATTGTTCTAGCTTGTGGATCCCATCGGCGAATTTATCGACTTTGAATTCTAACCCAGAAAGGAGGCCCTGGGTTTGTTTCGATACTTGGTTTCGTAGATCAAGACCCGGGGCGGCGGCTAAGGTTGCAAGAATGGAGGATTGCTCGGAGGAGAGCAAGGACGCGTCGATTTGTGAGGGCGTGAGTTCTGTAGATCCTTTGGGGAATACTGGAGGGAGGGGGGGTGGCCATTTTGCGAGGGCTTTCCATTGATCGCGTTCTTTCTGTAGTCTACGCCAATCTGTTAATATATTTAGAAGACATAAAACATACCAACCTTGGAGCTTACATTTTTATCCGCGCTTCTGATGCGGCAATATTTTCTTCGAGCTCGATATTCCGCGGGTTCGGTTTTTTGATAACTTTGCGCGGAGCGCTTTCTTCTCGGGTAAACCAGTCCGAGTATTCCGGTCTATTCGTAAAGTCCCTCAACAGACCCTCCTTGATTGTTCGAGCTATAGACACCTATTAGCCTTCAGACCTCCATTCCAGGCTGGTTCTTGCTCACCCGCTTGCTCGGACAAGTCGTTCGCCTCGCCATGTGAGGGTTTCTCCCCTAATTCTCTCTCACCCGTCCAGGTCAATAGCTGCTTCATCCTCCTGGGTTCGCTCAATCCGTCTGCCTCGATATGCTTGTAGAATTCGGACGCCTCCACCTCACGATGTGGAATCGCACTATGCCCATTATCTATTAGAGAGCTCGCTCTTCGGCCCCGAAGCCCCAAACTACTCCTTCGGGTGCCAGCCCCTTTTTTCCTTATCTCTTTATTGCGATCGATCATCGGAGTATCGCTGAAAGGTAGCGTTATCATCCGAGATTGTGAACTCTCCTCCGTACCCGAAATTGGCGTTCGATTTACTGTTGCCAACCCAACCATGTCTACGCTATCATAATCCATAGTGTCCATCATTAAAGGATTTATACTTGTCGTCCCATTCTGTGCCTTTCCGGTTGAGGTACGCGCAGTTTTCCTTTTCTTCGGTATAACAATCATCTCCGTATCCTGTTTCGGGATGGGAAGATTCATCTTCCGGCCCTGAGACATCTTTTCTGCCGAATCCACCTCATCGGAGCGGTCTTTCGATTTCCTGCCTCTCTTGGTAGTTGCGGGTAGAATAGGTGAGGCCACAGACTCCGGAGGCGATTCCGCAGTCTTCGTTCGTTTGGATCCACGCGTAAATACAAAGTCCCCATCTTCTTCATCGTATGCTACGCTCATCTGTCAGTACGCAGTGTATATTTCCGTCGCAACGGTTGCGCGCCAGATATCTCACCAGCCAGCCGCTTGCTTCGCCGTCTCCCAACTGGTTGTTGATGGCTCATGCTCAGCGTCTCTAGGGGCATCCGCGTCCGTATGAGGGTAGTCATTGATTAAGTTGTTCGATCGCGCATTGGTTTGCGACGGGCTAAGGAGGGGTGTTGGTGGTTGGCGAGTTTGGGACGATCGCGTGTATATTGCAATTCCTATCTCGTGAATTGGGAAATTCCTTCCTCGAGATGCTCGAGATGCTCGAGCTGAGCATTCCGGTGGGTTCGAAGCAGAGGTGCTGGGTTGTCGTCTTCAATTCCCTGTATTTGCCCGGATTGGACGACCCGTGAAGCAATTGTTTACGTTGGCGCGTTGGCGCTAAACCACGTGATGTACCCCCAAACAGCCATTCTTGGCAGTACTCTACTGTACCGAGTAATTGTTTACTTTTGAACTCTCGCGTTCCTTATATTTGGTCGCGCCACAAGGAGGATTCATGTGTTTTTGGACTGTTGGACCCGCAACCTGTTGACCAAAATGCGGCTACTTCCCTTCATACGAATTAATTGAAACCTTCTAGATCTATGACTCCAGAAAGCACCAGGCGACCTCGGGCGACAAAAACGAAGAAAAGGCACCCAGTCCCACCGAGGCCTTAGCTACTCCACTTAGACAAAGCATGTACATAGGTACCTATATAAGGGAAGTAGCTCCGACTACATGGCATTCACTGTTCTATGCAATTGATTATGTCCTGATGTTTAGCCTTTTACTTGTTCTCATTAAAATATCATGCTGTCCGTTTTATGTATCTCTGGAATTATACTGGGACCTTTTTCCCGAAGAATGGATTTCTCGGGCCTTTTGGAATTGACTCTGGGCCCTTCCATACCGGCCTACTTGCCTCAGACTGCTCGGATCTGGCCCTCGTTTTCATATCTTCTGACTTCCTCCTCCTATGATGACGCGCCTCGCGTTGATGGGGGAGCCTGCCGGCAACACATTTAGCATCACCCCACGCCGCCGCTGCTGCCTTCTTCCAAATAGCTCCTACATCTTTAAGCATCTCTGGCTCATAAAATAGCCTACAATCTGCTTCTTCATACAAGAACTGAGCAGGGGTTCCATCCTTCAGATTGTCCTTCAAAATATTATCCCTCACATTTATTGAAGTGTCTGTGCTCCTATTCAATGGGAGGCTGTTCAACGCAGCCACACTTGTCCATTTTGCTCTTTCCTGCGGGGTTGCAGTTTCGAGGGCAATGTCCGCAAGCGCTAAGATGTAGCTAAAGGGATAGTTATTGGTCCCTTTGGTGCCCCCAATAGCTTGTATAGGCCTTCTATTTGGTAAGCCTCCCATCGCAATTGATTTTACGCCACCTTGGCGGCTCATAAACTCGCTGAATATTGTGCAAGTCGATGCGCAGGAACCATCATATACCTACATCCAAATTAGCTTAGTAGTCTAAACATTCAGACACATTTAACTGTCATACTATGATGATATCTTTCGCGGCAAAGGGCTGTTCAAAGTTTTGCCGGTCTCCATAGCCCGTAATTGTCATTCCCAGGCCCCATTGATAGCTCGTTGTCAAAAGCGGATCACTCAGATTCCACCTCAGAATACTCGTGAATTTATCCCCATTATAGTTTTGTGGTGTAAACTTATCCTCATAACTTTGAAATCTTTGATTCGTCAGATTCAAGTCGGAACGATAATCCAAGACGGACTGGGATGCGATCACTTCATTAGTACTTGCTGTCTCCATTTTGAAACCAGAGGTGAAGTTTGAAATCTGTCTGCTCATAATATCGAAAGCGTCGTGTTCCCGAAAGCGGGTGAAACCGTCCTGGACGATATGGGGGAAGAACTGACGGAAGGCATCGTATCCATTCAAAATAATACCTCCGCCATTACCTGATAAATCGATGATCATCTTTGTTTTACCCGCAGCTTTGGCATCCGAGATGAAATTTTGAATGACGATTTGGAATTCCGCTGGGAATTTAGGCTCGAAAGAAAGCATGCTAAGGACTGCGACGTCCTCATAGTCCGGGTCACCATCCAAGAAGTACCCTGCAACCTGCTTGTCGGAACTGATGGATTGCGGTTCCGGATATCCTGTTGGTTTTCCGGTGTCTCTCTTAGTAGGGAAGTCGGCGTCATCGACAGGGGCTGAGCTTGGCCCTGTACAGAATTTCCTGTACATAGATGGTCCGTCAGTGACTCCGTTGAAGTCTCCAATGACCCGCGCATAGTTTTGGTATGTTTTCGTTGTTCCATTTTCAAATTGTATCTTCGTTTCGGGTCCTGGATAAATATTGCCAGCTCGTCCAGACCCAGCAAAATAACCCGTGTATGGCGAGCTGGTGAACTGGGCGTCCAGGGCCAGTTCGTAGAACAAGTTGTTGTACAATGCATCTGGGTTCTGCAAAAATCCATTTAGGGACAGCTTCTGTAGGAAGTCTTCGGCATCTTCGCCATTGATCCTCCTTACAGGAGATACCCTCGTCGGTCTATTTTTGGTGAAATTGGCCATATCCTCTAATGAATGATTAGAACATCGTCTGAGGCATGGTGAGATAGCCGCCTAACCTTTTATATAAACTTTCGGCACTTCAAGGCCATCCCTACTGACAGACACCAACTGAACGGGTCTTCGAAATTGGACGGCCTTACTGAGTAAATCTGGAAGAAAACGAAAATGTCCATCATGCACTCGATTAAAAGTGCTAAACAGGTCTGTTAGAAACACATGCTCATTCGAGTATCTCCCCCGCTTGATGTTACTCGAAATGTCATCGAGACTTCTCCAGATATCGATTCCTGGCACTTGATACCCTTTGGGGGGTCTTTTGAGATACGATATATCTACAACCGTTAATTTCCTGATCCTTTCATTATTTTGCGCAGTTCTTCACCTGTTTGCCATTCAACATAAGGAAGCAGAGATTTCATAAGAGCTGTTGCTGCCGATGCATCTAATGGAGTTGATGTTAGGCAATCGTATGCCAACTTTGCAGCAACTGTCGGAGTAGCTATTCAAAGTGTTAGATTCTAAAACCACAACATCTTTGGCCGAAATGCTTACTGTTTGCAGCTGCAGCAACTCGAGAAGCCTGGCTCACCTGGGCACAGGGGCTTCCTCCACCCTGTTGGATCGAGGCCGCGCCCGCGAAACCAAGAAGAAGCAGACAGGAGAAGTATTGGAGCTTCATCATATCGACAGAAACTTTTTTTACTTACCACGGAAGAACGAAGTAAAAGAAACGTCCGCAGGAACGAGCAATGGGAGCTACTTAGCTGCCGCGGCAGAATCTCCGTCGATTTATCAACCCCTCCATCGCCACTATCCGGCATGCCAGGTACCATCTCGTCCCGAGCAATGGTGGAGTTACCAACCTTCGGAAGGAAGGTATTTTAAACACTGCACTATCCGCCGGGAGCCATCTATGCCTGCCTAGATCCTCTTCCCCAAGTTTTGGCCTGCAGGCCAAGGTCATCTGGCCCAAACAATCTAGTAAGGCTAGAACATGGACACGCCACGTTCCTGGCTACGTACTTCATATATGCAATATAATTCATTTCGCTTTTCGCGTCGCTGACGCCCTGACTCCAAAAATAACGCCGCCATTGTGATCATTTGTATATGTTCTACGGAATAGAACTTCTAGCCAATAGCTGCGGGCCTTCGGCCTGCGAGGTTCCACGGAGCTTGGGTGCCGCGCTTGGATTTCATCGATTGGTTAATTGAAGCGGCTTTGCGTGAGGCTTGGTGAGTTCAAATGAATTGCATTTACTTATTGAGTAGAGTAAGCATCAAGGAAATGTAAGAGAGGGGTTCCGAGTAAGGACAGTTTGTTAATTGCCGTATCCGAGGGAGCTGCTGATATTAGCCTACAAGACCGCAGTGAGAAAGTTTTCCACATTTCGGAAACACCGACGTGCGGTTTGACCGTGTACGGCCTCGCCTCTGACATCGAATAACAATAATAAATCAGATATTGATATGGAATATCTCGGGTCTAGGTCTTGTGACGGGCATTATGGTATTGTCTTGGGACAGGTTCGGGTAGAATGGCTAGGGTGAAGCTGTTTTTAGAAATTAGATGAAGATTCAGTGGCTGCCTAGAGCAGCTAGTACGAATCGTATATGGATTTATTAATTGCTACGAGGTACGTGCCTGGTTGGAGTGTAAATACAGATATCACGAGGCGTTCCACGTGACTTAATAGCCAACCTTATGAGAACATTGGAGGTATACTTCGTACTTTATAGAGTTCACTTAAGTTGCGATCGTTTAGAGCGGAACATACGGAGACGCCTACCTATATGCTACCAATAATGTAACGTGGCCTCTGCAATCCCCAGAACGGCTTACCTCTCCTGCCTGTTCGATCATATTGGGTCCAATGAGAATGTGCATCACGTGGGATGCACTCTAATTTAATCTTGTGATTGTCACACCTGTAATGTGCCTTCGATAATCATCTAATTGAAAAATAATGCTCGTTATTTGGAATATACGTAGCATGTAACAATGCCTGCTTATAGTAATGAGTAGAAAGAAGCGGATGGCTGTGCACTCAGACTGTGTGATTTGGAATGGCTGGTTGCACATACCATGTTGCACAAAGCTTCCAGATGGGCAGCTCATTCTTTTCACATGCCAATTCTTTCTGTATCCCATGGTTGATACAGATTAGCTTAGTAGCTAGGTAGAGATGTTGATCTGCATGATGGTTTCCTCAAAACATCAGATCAGATCCAATCATTTATACGCGGTGCAACAGATTTATACTTACCTTGAGGTATGAATATTTTAAAACGCCAGATTATGTTCTCATTGTACAAGGAATCTTACCTTGCCTAGGTAGTCTAGGTGGATTAACCAGGTATGAAGAATTAGATAACTCGTTCGATATGCATTATAATCCTGTACCTTCCTCTAGCTGCATCAATCCTTATCTGGAAATTAAATAACGTATCTACTAGTATGTACAAGCAAGCCGCTTCTTTATATGGATGCCTAGACTTGTGTGGAAAATGGATGATCCGTTCGATGTGCAACAGAACTCTTCTCTCTTACTTTTCCTGCATCAAACTTGTGCAAAAGGGCTCGATGATGTCTTGGCCATTGGGTATGGCAAGGCCTATACTGTTTTGAGACGTAGGACGGCTCAGTGGAAAATGGATGATCCGATCGACGTGCAACAAACATTATTGTTGAGTCTAGATGTGGAAGCCCGTGTGTCAAAGACCAGATATGGTGAACTCTCAGGCTGTTCCTCTATTACAGACTTGGTATGTACAGTCCTGTGGGAATTTGTTGTAGATAAACCACTTCTGAGTTGTATTATGTATGTCAACCATCATGTACAACCAAGGAGAATTTCCTTGACAGAACCTTCCATATAAGCCAATGCCTTCTGGTTGGAAGTCGGACGACAGCTCCGTTATACAATGGAATCTTGGCGCAAAAAGGAATCAACGAAACGAAACATGAACGGAAATGAGCAAGAAGTGTATCTGGGTAACACAAGCAGTAGGGATATGGTTAAATGATAGAGTTAAAAGAAATCATCAAGTTAATAGCGAAACGCAACAAGAGATATCACTGAAATTCATACACTATGATTTAGGAATAGGTCGTGATATGAAAATAAAGGAAGTGCTAAATTTGTAACTAGGTAAAAATCACCCATTGGGATAATATAATCAGTGTGTAAGCTGCTCTATTTGAGGAGCGATCCTGCTAGACTATCTAAAGCTGTGCGTAGACCATCGTTGAATACCAATACAGAAAGCCAAAATAACAATATGATATTGTTTTGCAAACAAAGAAAACTAATACAGAAAGTCGAAGTGAAATATGAGAATCTGGAACAATCGCCAACACAAGTAGCTGGAATGAAATCAGATAATCTGAGAAAAAAGAGTAAGGAAGTCTTTCCTTAACCCAATACAAGAGATTGGCAATCCTTCGGCCCAACCCGGTGATACGGAGCGGACAGGACATGCTGTGCCCGTCCAGTGGCCCAAGTCACTATTGATCCGAGTCCTCTAAGTTCCCCAATGATTTGACAGCCAGTCCCAAAATGGCACCGGCACAATGTTCACAAGAGGATTTAGGGTTGGCTGTGCAAAGTCATATCTCCTTTGTTCTGTGGCCATGAGCTCCTGGACTCGGGCAGCCTTGGCCCAATCTTGGTAGTAAGTAGCGTGCTCCAGATGTGCTCCCAAATTCCCAGGCTCGATGATATCTGTTAAAAGCATTTCAACTTCGAGGCTCAGCATTTCCATCCATAAATTGAATAATGGGCACATGTAAACTTACCTCCTCTAACAGCTGCACCCCATTCTAAAATCTGAGTTACAGACCTTCGGTCTCCCTGTAATCTATATTCCGGCGGCCAAGTGTGTGGCCCTATATCAATGGCCGCAACGACGAATCTTGCCAGATCATATACCGAAGTTAAACATATATAAATGGGTTGGCCCGATGAGTTATATTCCACCACTTCGGCCGTTCCAGCACCCACGTCCATCAAGTAAGAACCTTGATTTTGAATGCTGGTTGATGAGCCGATGTCGTAGGCCGCCAAGCCACCCCGAGCGAACCTTTCGTAAAATATGCCACAAGTAAAGATGGTAAATCGCATTTGGTGTCGAGGGTTATGGGACCATTCTCGAAGACGAGCAATAGTAGCCCGGCTTCCACGATCAAGAGGATCGTTTTGGCCGCGACGACCCGGAGGCCCTTCAAATTCCGCCGGAACAAATCTGCGGACTCCTGATTGAGCAGCTGCATCAATAAGGCTGATTTGTGGGCCCCCGGAGACCGTTGAGATAACCATATCAACGCCTCTAAGGGTATAACGGAGGTCGGCTTGGCTATCATAGTCAACAACAGCAACCTGGTAGCCCAGTTCAACAAGTGCTGGTCGGGGCTTGGTAAGGAGTCAGATGGTCGGTAACTATAAAACAGTCCGTTCAATGAGGGACTTACTTGTCTAGAGAGAATGATGAATGTATGAACGGTCTGATCGAGATATTGGGCGAAGATTCGTGCTAGTCCGCCGGACCCTGCAACCGCTATTCTCATCATGTTGTCGGCGTTATTCTAAGACATTTCTTAGAGTTAATGCTATCTTTTATATCAAGCGGCCGGCACGAATATACTATCCGCTCATAACACCTGCGCCGCAAGGCAAAAAGTAGCCCTGTAGTTGAAAGGAGCAAATGGACTTCCAGCCTGGCAAGGCATTTAGTCACGGGGGACATAGGAGTCATTCATCGTTCTGTGAGTGGATGAAGTCAACTCACATTTGGTGGCAGACTGCAGGTATTGTAGGCGGGCAAATGACGTCGACGGACAGAACAATAATGTCCTATAGCAATGGACATTATAGGAAGCTGCCACAGCCAATTTCATATAAATTTCGCTGGGGTAGTATTTTTGTGGCGAATCATTTGTCAAAGACCCTTGATAGGATTCAGAAATTGTGGTAACATCACGAAGTGTCTTCGAGGCAGTGAAAAGAAAGGCCGACATTTATCTCTGACATTGTGCTTGCCTTGAGGCTCTCAGGTACTTTGGAGAAACAGGAAGACATTGCACCCACCACGAATAGATCCTACAATAAGTAGTAATGCTACTATACCTACAAAGCATCCAGTGTTGCTGCACATGTAGGATTCATCACGACTGCGGTTGATATCGACAGCAGTTCCAGAGTATGATTGACAGCCATGACCTCCACGGTTTCCAGATAATATAAGGGGAAGAGCAAAAGCGATACAGTTAGTGACTTCAAAACCTCAGGATCGGTCACCAGTGAACAGTTTCAGCTGGGTGAGCAGCATACATACCAGGAAGCCCAGTGGGGACCAATCCTTATTCGATGGCAAACTTCGGCCATGTGGCACGTAGCCTGGGCTTCGTTTCTCACCTGCAGTCAGCAGCGGATGGACTTGGAGAACTCCTTTGCCGGAGGAACTAAGCTGCGAAGATATTTCTAGCCTGCCGGGTGGCCCTTTGCGAAATCCCACAGGATGTGCACATGCAGCGCTACAAGCAGAGCCACTGCTGATGTCTCAAGTCATTTCCAAGAAGCCGTGGAAAGTCTTCCTGTGAACGCAAACGCGAAACCGAAACCTCATCAAGAAGCGCCAGGCTTCAACCTGCATGCAACTATGGCTTGGTTTCGATGACCGCCATACTTAAAATTGGTTATGTGCGCGAAAGGGTGATACGAAGTAGGTGGACGGTAAGGCATTAAACGAATATGGGGCAGATGGTAGGAGGGCGCAGCTGGATTGACAAAAAGAGCTTCAGATAGGCATCCTTAGCTAGGCCACACTGTAGGCCCCCAGCCGTAGCGGCCTTAGGGCAACTTTGATGGGGCGGAGGAGTTATTGAGACCACTTGATGTTCCTAAAGCCTGAGTGGGGGCCATTCCATGAGGAAGGGTAATATGCAAGAAACCAGTCGCAGCTTTCAACCTCTCAGCAGGCTCTGTCAAGGCTACTGAGAGCAACGAGGCACTCCTACTAATTGGCCTGTTTCCGAGATCGACGTATTCCGTAAGGCTGAAGGCAAGTCATTCTTCATGCATGTAGAGCAATATGCAACACAACTCATCCTCGCATGCTCGAGTACGAGCCGTACGAGTCGTACGGGAGCCTAACCGTCGTGTCTGTTGGCTTGGTCCATGACTGCTTATCGGTCGCCGCCGGGCGAAAACAGGAATAAGGCATTGATATCGAGAACGCCACTCAGTTGTCCAGAGTAATACGTGTGTGGTTGCAGTGAGGAAGTTGTCGATCGGATTGTCGGGTTGTCGGAGAGTTTTGGATCTGACGCTACTCGAGTACCGAACATCTCCCGAATCCAGTCAGGTGACCCACCGCTGTCGCAGCGGACAAGCCCGGCCCGGCCCGTCCCAAGGACCTTCATACTCCATCGCCGTCGTTGCTGCAATCATCAATCAACGTCAAAATATCAAAGACAGAGTACATCAAAGTCAAGATCCAACCTTAATAAAAGGGAAAAGGGCAAACGGCAAGCTGTTGATGTCTCCAAGGTATCCATATTACCGTCCTGGGATAGGGACACTAACAACCACAACTGACCTTGCTCAAAACAAACTCAAGTCCACGCCGCCAGGATGGACCCCCTTCCAGAACGAGATCGGACACAGCAGGAGCAGGGTGAATAAATGGGTCTCCAATATACAAAACAATGGTCAATTCATGCCACAGTATGAGTACGACAACTCAACAAGCCTGCAGGATCCTCTAGATTGCGACTCACACTCTAGCAGCTCTCATGGGTACAGGACTTCTAGGGAACTCTGTCCTTCCGGGCAAGTTGTCCACCGCCAAGATAATCGCAACCTTATCAGAGAAGCGTAGCTTTGCGCCGCTCTAGGGTCACTTCCCCAGATTGAGAGTTTCCAAAACAAGCCAGTGGGCACCAATCGACTGCCCCTAGCCCCAGGCGTCACCAAACTGACTCGTATCGCCCGGCCAGTCCAAGTCCAAGACCCAACTATCAAGGCATTTCTCAAACTGGAGAATACCAGCATGCAGACCAATGTCACCATATTGCACACGGGTGTTCTTCCCCTGACCACCGCAGTCCTAGAAATTGCAACCCCCACATGCGATTCCCAACTTCAAAGCAAAGACAAGCACAATGGCAAGCAGGGACCCAAGAAATAGTTGCAATCACCTTCTCAGCTGAGCTACAGCAGAGATTCAAATCTCACCATCTATGATTCGCCTAGTCACTCGACTTCCTTGAATGATTCGTTTGACTTTTCATGTATTAGCCATACTTTCCAAAACGGCAAGACTGTTCTATTCAGCCCTATGAAGAACAAAGAGCAGGCCAACGAAGTCCCCTCAGCCCTATTTTCTCATCTGCAAAGCCCATTTCATTTAAACCACCTAACTTGAGAAAATTCCAGCAGAGTTATCTTAGGCGTCGCGGCCGTCTCCTCTTCCAGCCAACTCTGTGCCGTGATATGATGAATCTAGTGAATATACGTCCCAAATCTGATAACCCAGTTCAACTGACAGGTCCAGAACTCGCCTGGAGGTTCCGTGAAGATACCAGTCGCTGGTGGAACACGGCGCTTGCCCCGAGCATACGCACTACCCAGTCATAGTACCTTTCCTTCCATGATAGGCAGGCAACATCAACAATACTCTGTTCGTTTCAACAATCGAACTGACATTCGATTAGAGAAAGCGTAGCTAGGCCGTGAAAGCTTGTTTGTATAGGTTTTCTATGTGCCTCTGTTTCTTCTCCTAGATGACACCCTGTCAGCGTTCATTTCAGTTCATGTTGGCCTCGCCATGGAGCACAGTGCATGTATAGTATAAGGCGTGTTGATGGTGTCAAATGTCCAGTTTTCTCTGTTAAACAGGCGTATAGATGTCTCCAATGCTCTTCTTCACTCCGAGATCGGGCCACACCCTGTGCTAAACCAGCCGCGGCAATCCGAAGAAGAGCAATGGGGCAGAAGGAATTCTGTGGACGGACGGATAGAAAAACATGTTTCGACATGAAGAGGGAAAAGGGAAGTCGAAGGCTTATTATTGACCGAACTTAGGAAGAGCCGAGCCCAGGATTGGCTGTTTTCCTCATACGGCAGGTTACATCCTGTTCCACCCAGTTCCGTCCGCCCATCCATCCAGCCGTCGCGGGTCTGTTATTTTTTCCCTTGTTTACTGGGTGGGCTGTGTTGGCTCGCGAGGGAAATCCTTCGTCAGGGGTTGATGACCTGTTTCACCAGTGCGCAGCCAGGCTCCAATTCTCCCAGGTCAGACGGAAGCCAATGCAATAGGAAAACTCTAGCCAGGAGCTGTATTGTACACTCCAATATTAGAACTTCATTTGCATGATTTATGAGCATACTTATTGTCTACTCTATACTCACGTATCGTGACCCTCGGAATTTTTGGACCATCGCCGGAGTCCCATCTACAACCATAACCACGACTTCTTTGACTCTATCCAATAATACAATTAAAAGTACACCTCGAAGCAAGCTCAACATGTTGGTATATGGTATGAGTGCAAGGCAAGGAATAGATGTACTTCACGTGTGAAAATAGTAGTTATACAGCGGACTGATCCCTAAATTTGAAACCCACAGTATACTGAAGTAAGGCAAAACATAAATCGGAGTTGCAAATAAGTGTCATTTATGCTGAATATGCCCATATTAACCATGTGTCGGTCATCCCATTCTCTATATCAGCTCCTAACCGCATGGCACTTTGTATATTTATTGAGAACCGAAGCTCAGCATATTCCGCTACAAGGCTAAAATGCCCTTACTATCACAAGGCAACCAAGAAAAAGAAAGGCTGCCTTCTTTTGCAGAGAGATAACCCCTATTTCTACGTATGCAATATTAATGCCTAGCTTTAGTAAATATCCTAAGAAGTCATCGCATGAAGATAAAGTCCTCCCCACCCTCCAAGGCGCCGACAAATTATCCCTTCACCATAAGGGACTGAACAAATGATTAAGCCAAATAGGATATCCAAACTCGAAGCAAGACGCCGTTTCTATACCAAGAATAAGTCCCTCCTATGCCTTCTTTACCGAGTGAACTCCATAGTGACCAAACAATACATACATACCTTGCGAACAGACCGGTGGTTTGAAGAATGGCTGTTGCATCATCCTAAGCGTATTATATAATTAAAATATTCTACCTCTGTAATAAGTGTGGATGTATACTAGTTCCGATTTTAAAAATAAATACGTCTGTATAGAGATAATCTTAAACTAATATTTTGTTGAATTAAGATGGCTATCATTAGTTAGGGTTACAAAATTATCTCTAGATCGTTGCTATGTCGGTAGGGTGCCTATCTCGTAACTTGTCGATATAATCTCAAGGTAGGGGCTGCATTATAGTATAGAGCTCCGTATATCAGCCCACCGTGGCATCTTCTGCATCCTTACAGCCTAGGTAGGTACCTATCATCGTGTTAACTATTATGACAACTACAAGCGCTCTCTACACTTGTATGACTGGGAGTCCTAAAGTAAACTTCTGATAAGATATTATAATAAAAACACTTTCTTGCTATAAGAGAATCTAATAGGTTAGGAATATAATTATAATAATTACTACAAGAAATGCTTGCGATTATGCCGACACCATTCTCCAAACACCTGATTCGTTTGTAAGGTACATAGATAACCGGGGTATTTCAAAGGAAAATCTATGTTATACAAGAAAAGAAAACCAATCGTAAATCATGTATCATGCACATACCCAGACATACATCTCAGAGGATGTGAATCACCCCACACTCAGAAACAACTCCTCTCCTCTCCTCGTAGGTGTAAGTCTCGGTACCCACCCGGGGGTACCAGGTAACTCAAAAGGCTCCACCTGCTCAACATGTTGTTGTGCAAGCATCGGTCTCCACTTATCAGATTTCGCCTTATCCACATCCTCCTCCTTAAGCACCATCCATTTCTTCTTTTGTTGCAGCTTCTGCTCCGACTGCGAGGGCAGAACGAGAGCGGCGGCCTTTTGTTCCCCTCGACGACGCTGCGCCAGATGGGATTGCCCGGATGATATGGACGATGGTTTGGACTCGGAACTTAATTCTGAGATCTGGGAGAGTCCAGAGGAGGAACGGCGGAATGCTATACTAGGATTTGTGGTCAGTTGTGGGCGGTTTGGTCCCTGTTGAAGGCTGGGACTTGTGCGTGGTGGGCGGCTTTGCACTTGGGAAGATAATCCAGGCTTTTGTGCGAGGCTGAGCGAGGCTTGGAATTGTTTGCTGCCTTGTGAGGTGCGTTGGGATTGGGAGGGGAGAGATGAGAGGTCGCGAGGCGAGGCAGGAGATAGTGGGGATGGGATATAGTATTTATCCACTGCAGATCTTTGGGAATCCGATTGAAAAGAGGTATTGAGCCTTGGGGATTGGAAAGTCTGGTAAGAATATTGCTGCTGCGGGCTCTCTTGCCGTGACTGTCTCTCCCGTTGTGCAGCTATCTCGGCTTGTATCCAGGGCTTTTCGGCAGCCATACTAAATTTTGGCTGTGGGGGAGGAGGAACCATCCTAATCTCGGCTGCAGACAACCGACCTGGTTTGGGGATCTTGGGGTAGCTGACGGGGCTCCGTCCACTGGAAGGGGATTCCAACACTGGTGATAATTCGGCGGTCCGTGGCCCATTGGGTGACAATCCTGGGCTTTTACTCTCTGAGGTTTTTCGGTTCACCGTTTCGGGTGCGTCGTAGGGTCCTTCTTGCTTGCAGATTTTTGGGATGGCGGGGACTGTTGCGTTTGGAGGATTACTTTTCGCTGGGCTTGCTGGGAGAGAGGAAGTGCGGGTGGAATAGACAGATGAAGTGGCAGTGATAGGGCGAGTAGTCGAAGCAGGAATCTGGAGTTTCGGTGGATGCTGTGGTGGTTTCGGAAACGCTCCTAATTCTGGAGCCGGTTGCTTTAGACGCGGGTAATCGTTTGGTCGGCGGGGTTGTGAAAAGCTCCCAATCCCTCTCACAAGAGAAACGGGAGTTACAGGACTCCCTTCTAGTTCTGCGGGTCTAGAGTTGCTGCTGTGTAACTGTCTTTGCTGGGAAGGATTTTTGTTGCTCGCATTCATGACGAATGCTGGTGGGCCGGCCGCGGGATCAATAGGGCTAAATTTTTGCCAGAGCTCGATAGCAGTATCCAATTCCTCAACTGTAGATCTACGAGTCCAAACATTCCTAGGGGCGCTCGAAATTGCTGATATCTCTTCGTCTTCCTCGAACTGAGTAGCCGTGCTTTTTCTACTCAGATCGGTTTTGCGCTTAGCTGCGTTTGAATTTCGGGCTTCTTCATCCTCCACGAATTGAGCTGCCGTGATTTGTCTACCTAAAACCGAAAACTTAGAAATGGGCTGGATAAATGAACCCCCCCTCGTGTTTGGTGCATAGGACTTCAGGGCTACATTTTCGTCGTCTTCTTCGAATTGTGTTGCCGTGCTTTGCCTATCCACAGTTGTTTGTTTGAGAACAGGTTTTGGATATGATAACCCTGCTCCTATTAGGGTCGGAACTGGTGGAGGTACCTGATAACCCGCACCATCATAATCCACTTCATACTGAGCGGTTGGACTTGGCCTATTGAACGCTGATGGTTTAGGGCCGGTTTGAGCAAACGAAAATTCCGCTGCCTGCTGAGGCATTTGCAACTTCAAAGTCGGCTTAGGAGGGAGAAGTCTCGATGAAGGCCTGTTTTGCTTTCGTACTTGGGCATTACCTTCGGGTGAAATAGCTAACCCAATCGTATGATTCTGATGAATGCTTCTCCGTGAAAACATGTTTGGGCTCGTTGTGTCGAGCCGCGGGGGCACTGGGGGCGCCACCTTCGCTGCAATACCATTAGAGGTTCCTCCCGGTCCGAAATTCTTCGGTCTTCTTAGGCTGAACCTGCTTGATTTGGTAGATTTCGCATAAACTTTCGGCTCCAATTGGAATGGGAATTCATCGCTCTCACGATTCTTTTGTAATCTTTTCCTTCTTACACAAGCAAATAACGCGATTACTCCCAACATCAGTGCGGTTCCGCCAATAGACGCAACTGTAATCCCGACTATTTGGGGCTTTGTCAACGTGGGAGGGGGGATCGGGGAGTTGGTCTGGACAGGTTGAGCGACAGTAGATGGCGAAGGTAAACCAGAAGGCAGTGCTGCTGAAGTAGGGCCGGAATTCGGTGATGTTAATGCCGTTGTTGTCGGAATTGGTGTAATAAGCGTAGAAATGGGCGTTGCTGATGCCACCGCTGTTGCAGAAGGTGGGACGAGTACAATGCTAGGCCTCGAACTCGGTATAATCAGTGTGGCAACTATGGTGGCATGCGTATTTGGCAAAGCATTGTTTTGACCGTTGCACATTGAATATGCCCCAAGGACAACCGAATCTTAAAATAGTTAGAGGGTCCGTGGACAGATGTTGAAGTGCTACTCACTCGATGCATCTCTTCCTTTGCAGAAACCAATGTTGCCCTCCGAGATTATGCATTGCACCGCCCCCTCGCCCACTGTGAATTCTGATAAGCCGTTATGGGAACAAAGACATTCTAATGTAGGCGCCGAGGAACAAATGCTTGTAGGAAAATTCGAATCTAGGAAAGATATGAAGCATTCTTGGGCGCACTTAGGAACGAAATTCGTAATCTCTTGAGAGAGACTTGTCGAAGCCGCGTTGGCGAGTGTTATAAATGTGTATGCCGAGAGGATTAAGCCTGACCAGCATCGTGCCATCCTCACAGGAGCTGTTCGGTGAGGTCGTCAGTATATCCCAACGAGTGCTCAAACGCCATCTGCGGCCTTCAAGTGATACAATATAGGGGGCATGGTCCTAAGTGCAGATGCTGAAGACCCGAAGTTCTGAAATTGTTTCATCCCATCGGTCTGCTCCTCAGGCCCATATCTCATTTCCCGGATCGTGGAGAGAAGGCACAACGAGGGTTCGAACTAACCTTAGAGTACTTATTAGGATCTCAGAGGCGGCCAGCGTCCCAAACATCGTTAAATGCCAAGAAAATGAAATCTTTAGAACTCGAAACCCATTCTAGGCCAACAAAATACAACAAAATCCTGTTGATATGCAAAAATACAAAGGAGATAGAGTAGGGACAAGGAGAGAAAGATGATACAGGTTTGGCGGCAACCTGGTGGTTACCTACTTAACAAGGAGGGCATATACAAACCCCGCGATGGTGGCGTGGTATCATACTTAGATAGCCATGTTGGCAGGTTGACGCTGGGCGGACCTATTATCAGAGCTCGGGGGCTATTTCCAGCGCTACAAAGCCGCGTCCGACTCAGAAAAGATGGAAGGCTCACCCGTTATCGCGCCATGCTTTTCCGGAGAATAAGCCTCTATAGGATCGCTTCCTAGGCGACTTCGCAGATTCCATAGATGTAGGCGCTGACATGGTGTTTTGCTCTATTTAAAGCATACAGGTTCATGTAGGCTGACTGGTTGTCGTTGTTGGCGCTTACTGCCGAACAACTCTGGCGGCTACAGGGCGAAGGGGGGCTGTCACGTGAACAGCATCTCTACATACCTTACCTAGGTACTCCGTAAAAGGTAGAGAGCACAACCTGCCTTCGGTTTCTAAATTGAGTTAAAATCCCCGCAAGAAGGGCGCAGTGACATACTTCGCGCAGTACTTGCCTACTTATATATGCATCGGTTTGTCTGGGCTTGCAGAAGAGAAGCCTGCAGCGGTATGGGGTTCGGCTTCTGCTGGAGAAACCCGCGGACAGGGACTGGGCACTGCCCTGTGGGACGGGCCGAGATATATTACAGCAGCAGGAGCAGTAATAGCAATAGCAGCAGCAGCAACAACAGCAATGGCAACAGCGGCAGCCACGATTTGTAATTGTTAATGGCCTAGTGAATGGCTGAATGGCGTTGCTTCAACGATGCCCACAGCATGAGTCGTCCTCCATACGTCGCTTTCAGGTCATGAGACGCAAGCAGCACTCAGAGACAGTCACGCTGATCTTGTTCCGTTGGTATAAATTGGAAGTCTTAGCCTCGGTCTACGAACGCCTAACGAACTGGCTGTTCAGCACAGTCCAAGGTATAATTCCTACCCCCAACCCCCACCCCCAAGTCAGCCTTCCTGCAATGTAATGCGAGTCACTGCTGTAGTCGAATCCATCCCACATAACTGTCGAGGAGAACCACCTTCCCTAAAATCACCCATCCATCTTGAGCAATGCAACGCCCGCTTTTCACAAAAAATTCTTCCGAGATCAATGACACTTGAAACTTCAACCCATTCCACATTCCAGATTCCGCTTTCAATTATTCGTCATATTAATCGGTGCTCGGCTCGATTTAATAACATTCTTGACAACCGACTCTGTATTGTCCCAGTCGTCGGTATCCAGGCGGATGAGGTCGATACCGTAGTGCTCTGCGATGGTCTGGAGGCCGACAAAGCTCTTCCTGTCAAAAACAAAGCTGATACTGACACCAACACGCCCAAATCTGCCGGTCCGGCCAATACGGTGCAGGTAAGTCTCAGCATCCGGCTCGCTGTCACTCCGGCCCTTCATTGGGATATCGTAGTTAATGACCATAGAAACGGACTGCACATCGATACCTCGTGCAAGGACATTGGTTGTGATAAGGACCTTTGCCTGGCCTAGTCGGAATCTCTCTAGAATACTATCGCGCTCAGACCCTTCGAAGGCACCGTGAACAGCAACGACTTGATGGCCGTCCTGTATTAATCGAGCGGCAATTTTATCTGCGGTCTCTCGCCTCTAAATATCCGTTAGTAAAAGTATGTAGCAATATCGAGAGTCCATACCTTTACGAATATGATAGAAGATCCGATCGTCATTAGGCCATATAGATTCGCAAGAATATCGTATTTGCCATCGTCAGAAGGGCAGTCCATGTACATTTGCTTAATCCCCGAAACTGTGAGCTCGTCTCGCTTTAACTTGATTTGATTCGCATTTGGACTGAACTGTTCAGCGTATCGCATAACCATGTCCGGGAAAGTCGCCGAGAATAGAAGAATTTGTGTTTGGCCAGGAATAAGCCTATATGATGATTAGCCTCTCTTCTTTAGGGAAATGGAAAGAAACTAACTGTTTCACGCGAAGACACTGATCACCGAGGCCTTGCTGGTCCAGCATATTATCGGCTTCATCCAGACATAATACCTTCATCTGCGACGCATCGAATTGTCTCCGCTTGAGCAAATCCATAACTGTGCCAGGAGTGCCAACCACAACCATGGCTTGGAGCCTGGCGCCTCTCTCCACGGCACCGGGAACAGCGGCTTGAATGGTGAGGCCATCGACAAATTGACCAATGCTTCTGACTACGCCCTCGATTTGTCGCGCCAACTCACGACTAGGAGCTAGACATAAAGCTTGTGGCTGATTAGGCTTAGAGTAATCAAGGCGAGAAAGGATCGTAATCACGAAAGCCGCTGTCTTCCCCGTGCCGGATTGCGACTGAGCTATCATGTTCCGAGGAGGGTCGCTGAGTAGCAAAGGAAGTGCTCTCTCCTGAATCTTCGAAGGTTTCTTAAAGTTCATCGAGTAGATGCCCTTCAGGATTTGTTCGTTGCTAGGGAATTCGTTAGCATCGCATAAAACGGAAGCTGAAGGTGAAGGAGAGACGCTTACATGCCCAACTCCTCAAATGATTGCGCTGAGTACAGCGGATTTGCCGTGTCACTTTGGAGGTCACTCAGCTTGACTTCAACTTCTTCTGTTGCCTCATGAAGGCCAGACCCGCCCAGAGGCTCAACCTGTCCATCAACCTGCCCTTGATCGGCCGTAGCACTGTCGTCTTTAGCTGCAGCGGGGTCCGCGGCAGAGCTAACTTCCTCATCCCAGGTCGCAGGGCTAGTGGTAGGTGCGGCAGCTGGCTGAGTGATGCGGTCTGCGAGCGACGCAGGTTTTGGGGCGTCAGACATCTCGTAGGTCTCTATCTCAGAGGCGTCGGCGATCTTTTTTGAAGAGCAACCAGAATGAACCAACTGCGGAAGCTGAAGATCTAACGAAGTCAGCTCTCAACTTAAGATGTGCATGCAGGTTCTAGCAGACCAAATGGAGAGCGTCAGTACCAGATGGTATTGGTATACTTGGTGAGATCGATGTTGTGGTGCTCTTGGTTTCGGTCTTGTCAAAGGTAACAAGCGGCTTCAACTTCAAGCTCACATTCACCTCCCCAAAACTTTGGCTGCGATGGCGGGGCGGTCACGTTTCCTGGGGGGTTCGGTAGGACGGACGACAGCGCGCACGCACGCAGCACTCGAGGACTCCGTAACAGGGGCGGACATCGGCCCGCGAACACCCTAAAGTCCCCAAGCCCCAAGCCTAAGCCCCAACTCTCATCTCGAGAGTACGAGTGCTGTAGTGGGGTTCTGGTCGTACTTGTACTGTATGCTCCTGGACACAACAAATACTTATTATTCAAGGATGAGGTTCTGATATCCTCTTTTGAACAATACGTGGCTGTGGTCGCAATCATGGCAGATGTGGACATTGCTCCAAATTTCGGCCTTGAGCTGAAGGTATGTGAGCGCATTCGCCTTGATCGTGCCGTGCTATGTATGATCTGGCTGACAGTTAGGGTTTAGGATGGCTTCAAACCAGCCAATGCCTGGGTTGCAAATGGCATAAACTGGCTTGGTGACATCGAGCAGTTCTATCGGGAGAGGAGCGTCATCGAGAAGGAATACAGTGCTAAGCTCAATGCGCTGGCTAAGAAGTATTACGAGAAGAAGTCCAAGAAATCGAGTAGTCTAAGTGTCGGGGAGACACCTACTATGACTCCTGGGTCATTGGAGAGGTATGTATTGTTCACCAACCGCTTGCGAACATGTACTAATCGCGGCAATTCCAGTGCTTCCCTGACGACTTGGACGACTCAATTAACAACCCTCGAGTCCCGAGCTGGGGAACATGACAGATATAGCGGGGAGCTCATATCACAGCTAGCGGATCCTCTGAAGGTTATTGCAACACGATTTGAAGAGCTTCGGAAGCGCCATGTCGAATACGCGGAGAAGCTGGAGAGGGAACGGGATGCCACATATGGCGATTTGCGGAAGATGAAGGGCAAATACGACGCAGCTTGTCAGGAAGTCGAGAACAAGCGTAAAAAGACCGAGTCGTCCTTTGATTATGGGAAATCCAAAGCACAGAATGCGTACCAGCAGCAGATACTCGAGATGAACAATGTCAAGAACACCTACTTAATCGCCATCAATGTCACCAATAAACAGAAGGAGAGGTACTACCATGAATATGTGCCGGACCTACTCGACAGTCTTCAGGATCTCGCGGAGTCACGGACAGCGAAGCTTAATGGGATTTGGTCGCTGGCAGCGCAACTGGAAACTGGGATGCTGAAGCGTAGCTTAGACTACGTCAATCACCTATCACAAGAGATCCCCCGAAATCAACCTCCATTAGACTCTATGATGTTTGTCAGGCATAACGCCGGGCAGTGGCAAGAACCGCCTAACAAAGTCTTTGAACCTAGCCCTGTGTGGCACGATGACGATGCTATGGTTGTTGATGAAACTGCGAAGGTCTTCCTTAGGAACGTATTAAGTAAGTCAAAATCGCAGCTAGGTGAGCTGCGGAGGGAAGTTGATAAGAAAAGGAGGGAGGTGGAAGGCACAAAACGTGTAAAGCAACAAATCCGAGAAGGCAAAGATAAGCGAGACGAAGTTGACGTTGTTCGAGCGATCTTTGCGCTCCAAGAAGATTTACATGAAGTGGACCACAGGCGCTTGACAGCAGAAGTCGAGACATCTACGATTACCTCCGCTGTCGGAGACGTCACGCTGGGAGCAAAGAGCCACAACTTCAAGTCGCAAACCTTCAAAATACCAACAAATTGCGACCTGTGCGGTGATCGCATATGGGGGCTCTCGGCCAAAGGCTTCGACTGTCGAGATTGTGGATACACATGTCACAGCAAATGTGAGATGAAAGTGCCCGCCGAATGTCCAGGAGAGCAGAGCAAGGAGGAGAAGAAGAAATTGAAGAACGAGCGTCAAGATGCTGCGAATTCCCTACGGGTACCAAGTACACCTTCAGGGAGCGTCTCAGAACTTCCTACCATGAGCCGCTCGAACACCATGAATTCTTTGAGTTCGGGATATGCCGCCAGTGCACATCGATCGGTCTCAACCAGCGGGCCACGATCGCCAGTGGAGGAGACACCACCTGACAGACCTAATTCATTAAAGCCAACCAATACTGGAACTAGCACGTTGAGAAAGAACAGGGTAATTGCTCCACCTCCCACTGCGTATATCAGCGAGTTACCTGGCAGTGCTCCCAATGGGTCTTCATCGGGCGAGCAGAAAGCGAAGATGCTGTATTCTTACGACGCGAATGGCGAAGGAGAAATTACGGTTTCAGAAGGGAAGGAAGTGGCTATCCTAGAACCAGACGGTATTTCATGCCCCCACCCCTACCTCCAAGCATAGATGCTAACACATCACTAGACGGTGGATGGACTAGAGTCAAAGCCGGCTTCAAAGACGGCCTCGTCCCAACTGCGTATCTAGAAATACTCGCCACACCGGCACCGGCACCAGCACCTCGCCCCTCGTCCATCTACTCCAACTCCGGCTCCTCCATAGCTGGCAGCATGCAGGGTAAGAAACAAGGCCCAGCCGTGGCGCCGAAGCGTGGAGCGAAGAAACTTAAGTATGTTGAGGCGCTGTATGAGTATGCGGCTCAGAGTGATGCAGAACATAGTATGTCCGAGGGCGAGAGGTTTGTATTGATCAAGGAGGATCCGGGGGATGGATGGGCGGAGGTCGAGAAGGGAGGAGTTACGAAGAGCGTTCCGGCAAACTATGTACAGGCTGTTTAGGTATCTCACGGGCTGGCGATTTACCAGCAGCGTATGGTATGGCCGGAATTAAATGTCGGTTACGAATGGAATAGGCTTCGATCTGTCGCGGTTGGGGTATGGTGGAACACATGCATTGTAGGGAGCGGCGTTTTTTGGGCGAGGATCTGCTAGAGCTAGCTTTTGTCGCCGCGCCTTGTTGACCGGGCTATGTTACTATTAGCGTAGCATATATACATACATTCCTATGTATAATCGATGCTTGGATGAGGGCAAAGGCTTTGGTAGAAGGGGGTGGCTTTGGTAGAAGGGGGTGGCTTCGAGTTATGTTCAACCACAATAGATAGAACGTAGGCGGATGAATCATGCAGAGTGCACTTTGCAAGTCATTTTGGAAGGGCAGAGTTGAAAGGTCTATATGATAACCATATCATCGCGGGTATTAACTTCGATGACCCGTGTTGCAGGCGTAGGACCCAATTATCATCATTTTCCGCCCAAAGGATCCGCCTCCCCCTTCCCAAAGAACAGGAAGAGCCCACCTCACCACCGCACGCAGAACCACCATCCGATTCTAGAGGACGATCCCAATGTGCGTACGATTTGGCGTGTTTCAAATGTGTAGGGGGGAGCCGATCGTCACCAGAGCCTCAGATATCCCCTACTCGGACAGCATGCCCGTATTGTTGGTTGTTGTATGTACCAGTGCAGCGAAAGACTTACGAAGATCAGTCAATCAAACCGATATTTTCAACAACCAATTGCTACTACCGCCCTCGCTTTAGCCTACCTTATGGTGGGTTGTTGATATTGGCTAACTACGACGTTGTCAACTAAGCTACCTTACCTACCTACTTAGGTAGGTAGGTATATAATGAAGGCTGCCCAGGCATGTAGGCATTTCTGGCAGCTAACAATATCGCATCTTCGACTATTACACTGCCTCAGCGCAAAATCCGAAGCTCACGTCGCCTCTCTCTAGCGGTTAGGGTTGGCAAACTCGAAGTAATTCCTTCCATAGCTTCGGGACCGCCCTCCGCGAAGCCATAGCCAGCGAAAAAAGGGCGGCATACCACGCACTGGCGAGTATTTTTTCACACGACATATTCGAACCTGTGCTACCACCATAGGAAGCTCCTGTATGTGCACTACGTGGAGGTTACGGAAGTGGACCATCGCAAAACCGCGAGTAGGAAGCGTCTCTTAAATGTTGCTATGGAATATACAGCCACCAGTCTAGCGACATTTCGACCAGATACGGGCCCAACGGCAGGATGGCCAAGAGCGGCGTGTTTGGTGTCATCAGAGCCAACGGTTGGCGGTAGGTAGCGCTCGCGGTTGGCACAGTTTTGTTTCGGCGGTTGAGAGTTGTTTAGTTAATGGCAATGTGAGGGACTGTACCGTCTGAGTACCATATGAGATGAACGAGGTGAGAGGCTAGAGGCGAGAGGCGAGGGCGAGGTTCTCGGAGCACTGCCACGCTTGGCTGCGGAGACCATTGCTAGGCGTTCGATGCTCGCAATCACAAGTGAGATTATTATTGTCGGGGTCGGGCTCCTGTTTCTCGGAACCAACTTCTCTGTCCTCGTAACAATTGCAATTGTGGCATGCGAATTGGCTGGTCAAATTGGTTTACCTTATTCGATGGATGGATGGCTTATGGAAAGGAAAGGAAGGGAAAATGCCGTCTTGGTGCCCGGATTCAATTGAAACAATCGGCCTGCAGTTGGAGAAATCAGCGGTGACATTCGGTGTCATTTAGTGTCCCTTTCCAAGCAAAATGGTCGACTCTCCTGTACTGTAGGTACAGTATCTGGCGGGCTGCCAAGTTGGGTCCAAGAATTGGCATTATTGTGGTGCAAATGAATGATTGGCGGTTCTGTGGCCACAGCATTGCTCGGGAGTGCACCCAGCGAGCAAAAGATGTGCACAGAGTACAGAGTACTTCGTATACAAAGTACCGTATAACGTACTGTACACCGGGTGAATAGTGAATACTTTACCTGATTCGATCCGTAGGAACATGGACCTAGGACCGACAGTAGGTTACATACGTATATATATATTGCGGGCAGGACAATGCCGATCAAGAGAATCAGACTGACCACCGCCAGGCATTGAAACCCAGCCGAAACTTGTCCGCCGCTGAATCGGCCGATGACGAGAGCGTGTCGATATTGTTTTGCCCCTTTGCCCCTATTGTTTGACCCCCTTTTCCCCCGTTTCCCCCGTTTCCCCTTGCACATCTCACTCAGAGACACATCTTGGCTGGGAACCTGGAACCCAGCAGCCAGAACCCCCGAACCTGGCTGCTCGTACTCTCCCTAGGTACGAGTGCTCTCTGATGGCTGCCCTGGCTGGCTGCCAATAATATGCCAATAATACTCGTAATGTCAGTGTCGGTGTCAGTGCCAGTGCCAGCTCCAGCGCCAGCGCCAGCGTGTGGCTTGGCCCGGATCGTCCATTTCCTGTTTCCCTCTTCTACTGCGCCATCGCCCTCCCTCTCGTGCCCCGTCCTCCTCTCTCTTCCTCCTTCATATCTGCTCCCCCCGCCGCCGCCGACGATTCCTTCATTCCTCATTCCTCGCCCTCTTCTTTCGTCCCCATATAGGCGCAATCACTCGTTTGTTGCTGCCGTTCTAATATCCAAATTCTAATCCTACCAACCCTTCTTCGGTCGCTCTCTCACTCTCTTGAGACGGCTTGCAATCGTTATTACTTGTAGCTTCCTCATTCACAGCTCCTCGTTCTCCATTATCGATCCCAAAAACACCACCTCACCTCTCATCACATCACATCCTCTCTAGCACCTCCCCGTATCCAAATACAAAATGAAGACCTTTACCGCCATTGCAGCCTTTGCTGCCGCCGTCTGCGCTACCCCAACTCCCACCCAGCCACTGGAGGCTCGCGCTTCTTCGTCCTCCCTGACTCCCATCACAGTGAAGGGTAATGGTAAGATACACATATCCCATCTGGAGAGCATTGGCGTGGCATCGAGCTGGTTGCTAACCGCTATCGTCCCCCCCAAACAGCGTTTTTCCAGGGTAGCAACCGATTCTACATGCGTGGTGTCGATTGGCAGCCGGGCGGATCTTCGAAGCTGGTGGACCCTTTGGCCGACAAGACCACTTGCACCCGTGATATTGCCAAGTTCAAGACACTAGGCCTCAACACCGTCCGTATCTATACCGTCGACAACACCGCCAACCACGACGAGTGCATGCAGGAATTGGTGGATGCTGGGATCTACTTGGTGCTTGATGTCAACACGCCATTATACTCCATCAACCGAGCCACCCCCTCCCCTTCCTACAACAGCGTCTACCTCCAAAACATCTTCGCGACCATCGATGCGTTCGCCAAGTACGACAATGTATTGGCCTTCTTCTCCGGTAACGAGGTCATCAACGACGATACCACCACCCCTGCCGCACCCTACGTGAAGGCCGTCACTCGTGACATGAGACAATACCTCGGTAGCCGTGGATATCGTCAAATTCCCGTCGGATACTCGGCCGCTGATGTCGATTCCAATCGTCTGGAGATGGCTCGCTACATGAACTGCGGCAGCGACGATGAGCGCAGTGATTTCTTCGCTTTCAACGATTACTCATGGTGCGACCCTTCTTCCTTCACTACTTCTGGCTGGGACCAGAAGGTGAAGAACTTCACTGGCTACGGTCTTCCCCTCTTGTAAGTCTCCTGCTCCGAATTTATACCATTTGCCGAAGCCCCCTTAACGCGTTGTTTTAGCTTGTCTGAATACGGTTGCAACATCAACACCCGTAAATTTGAGGAGGTCAAGTCCCTTTACAGCAAGGAGATGTCTGCCGTCTACTCTGGTGGTCTCGTCTATGAGTACTCTGAGGAAGGAAGCAAATACGGTCTCGTTACCATCGCCGGTGGCAAAGTTACCGATCTTCCCGACTTTGCCATGTTGCAGAAGGCATTCGCAGGAACTTCGAACCCAACCGGTGATGGTGGATACAACGCTACCGGTGGAGCATCCAGCTGCCCCCCGAAGTCATCAACCTGGAATGTTGCTGATGACTCTCTCCCCGCTATTCCGGAAGCTGCTGCTGCGATGATGAAGAACGGTGCTGGAAAGCCTGTTGGTCTAGAGGGCAAAGGGTCACAGAACGCTGGCGGAACCTCCACCGGCACTGCTAAGCCTGGCTCTGGATCCGTCACCGCTGTTTCTTCCGGCACTTCCACTGCCAAGAGCAGCGCTTCTTCCCTCCAGGGAGATATGGACGTCCGCCCCATGATCGTTAGCGGTATCATCCTCGCATGCTCCTTCTTCGGCGCTGCCCTCATTTAAAATAACGAATTCTTTTAACGTGTACATATCGTTAGCATAATGGAAAACCAAGAGTCCGTGGAAGCCGGAGTTTGTCTGTGCGCTTCTTGAGTGGGTCAATAGGATAGTTAGGGAATATAATCCCCAGCCTTCTATTGACCTTTGGAGTATTTCTGGTGTGGGCCTTGGAACCCTTCAATCAAGTGTTTCTTATTTGGTATCTTTTGTCCTTTTTCACTTCGGAGCGTCCGGGGTAGGTTGGAACTGCCGCTTCCGTGTCACCAACTGTATAAGAATCAGTCAATAGACAAATCACCGTTTTTAATGCATGCATCATCATCATGATTCAAATGTGTTTGTCCCTGTTGACTTGTGAATATGAATATAATTTCAAGCACTAATATTTTAATATTGACCAGGGAGATGGACAACCTAGCCCCCGTCCCTTCAATACTGTATCCACTAGTACAACGCCTTTCAATTTAAATATTTGATAAAGTTGCCAAATTAATTAGGAGCATAGATGTAGGTTTTACTCGGGTGTTTTGTCTTCAATCCTAGACTTAACTCCTCGCTTTTGCCTTTCTTTTTCGTTCATCCACTTCTTTTCGTTATTTCCCTTCCTGCTTCGTCCTTCCTTTTACTCCAGCTTCCATTCCACAACGTCCTTAAGTCTTACAGTCCTCGTCTTTCCCCCTCCCTCAAACCCCTTATCAAGAACCACGATACATTATCCTCCCCATCCCGCCTAGTCCACGCCATTTCCCCTCCTATTCCGTTTTGGCTTCTTGCCCTTCCTAGATAATTGGTAACCAGTAATGAAGTCTTCTAACGGCCCGGATGAATTATGCGGCGAGGATACTTGGGGAGATTGTTCCCACAGCTGAGGAGTTTGAACATCATCACTGGCAAGGGCTGTGTTGATGAACGCCTGCACATGCCCTTTGTAGTCTTGTTTTCATATTTTCTAGTTATTTTGCTGTTTATTAATTATTCTTTATAGATCTAGAGTTTTTGGTTTTTATTTTATAAAAGCAATAGATACCTCTTGATACTACGGATTATATATCTATGTTTCTGTTAAGTATTCTTTCTATATGATAACTTAAAAGTCTTATATTACCCCTTTAGAGTTAAAAAGAGCAAACCTAATACTATAATTGTAAATACTTTGCCTTTTCTATATTATAATATATTATATATCTTGTAGTAGTATTATAGTCTTTAAAAAACAGCAGATCTCCAAATTAACAAAGTATTGGTATCTTAACAATATATTAATATTCTTTTATTTGAACGTAATATATAAGCTACAAAGCTTTACAAGTAGTATGAAATTACAAACTAGGTTTAATTATTTATTATAAGACAATTCTAAGAGTTGGATATACCCTCTGATACCTCGTCGGCGCACAACCGGCACGCCGGTGTTTGCCAGGATAGTAAAGTGTAATCTGGTTAAGAAAAGGGTTATATAAAGGAGATCGCCCCAGCTTTTATACCCAGGGGACAACGGGCGGTGTGGTGAAGTGAGCTAAACGCAGTGAGTGGTTCGAAATATTATATTTGATCTTAGATCAAGTGACATATTGTAGCCTTCCACTGCAAAATGTCATCAATATCCCGAGTAATTTGAATTTGGTAAATTATCATCATAATAGTAGTTCTCTAGGTGGGTAGTAGCGATGATACCTTATATATACAGACCTCCATCTCATCGAACGTGAGGCCAGCCAGCGATTGCATGTGGCATGCTGCTCTTTCCTTGCCTTGCGGCGGTCATCCTATCCTATACATGTATTATATATATACTCCTCCAGTTCCCACTTCTAGCTGGGAACCTAATTCCACAGTGGGGGTGCTTGTTGTTGTTGGTGTCGCCGACATAATGCCCGATATTAAAGCGACCCCAACGTGCGCCAGTACATCCAAATTATAATTCATTCATCCCGGCGGAACGGTCGGCCTCTTCCTCATTCGCGGAAGACACCTAACTTTCACCCTCCCATTCGGTGTCAGCCCAGGGCCATTGCCTCCCAAGCACTCGGCACTCGCCCTATATCTCAACCCATTATGTTTCTGAACCCCGCTAGGGGTCCCCGCTCTCCGCAGCGAAACTTCCCTTAGTATTAGGCTCGCCTGTCTCAAAAACTGATGCGGATCGTCCATCTCATCAAAGCCTTCATCGTCGTCCGGAACGAGTTCCCCATCGGGATATTCGGGGATATCAGGGATTAATATGTCCCTGGTGAGAGGGCTCGAGAGATAGGATAACGATGCTGATTTGCGGAGGTTGCATTGCGAGTTGCTGGCTATCATGTTCTCTACCAGGGTATGGATATCACGCAGGTGGCTTGAGCAGCTTTGCTTTTGAACATTTATTTGCCGTTGGGCTCGTTTGCTGGGAAGGGTTTGGCTTGGGCTGGAAGAGCGATATGGCGATGGCGATGAGCCGCGGCGGGAGCGTCTCATCGTCCTACCACGCCTCGCCGATCGGTAGGACAGTTCTTGCCCGGTAAAGGGATCTGGTGTTGGGTCATATTCGATGATAGGAGTTGGTGGAAGGCTGTTCTGCCAACTAGACGGTCGTGATATCTCGTCCTCGGGAGCGAGGGAGTGGTTGGTGAACCGCGTTACCATGTCGTTGATCCCGCGCTGTGGAGAATTTGAGCTTTTTGGGGATGGACATGATGATTGTGTTGGAAATACGGGCGGAGGGAGAGAGGTATCGAGAGGGGAAGCATGGAGGTCGTCGTCGACAGCAGCGGACGGACATGTATGGGGTTGAGGCAGCGTGCCAAATGTGAAATGTTCGAACATGGTCGACCACCACCGCAATCAATCATTCAGCTGTAGTCCTGTCCTGACGGACTTCTGATCGATCGATCCATGGAGAAGACAAAGATCGGGTGGCGAGAGTGGCGAGCAGAGAGACAGAGACTGGCGGGAGGGGTGGCGGGCGAAGTGGGAATATGAATCCATTAATATTCACTCGGTCGAAACGCCGTGGCTGGCTGCTACTACGAAGCTGGACACGCGACGGACGTGTGCTGGCCCGATCGAGTCGCGAATAATGAAGAGTGTCTCTGCGACGACCGCCAGCCAAGCCGATGGGAACCAATATCAAGCAGCAGACGGCGAAACGAGAAACCGGGCGAGTCCCAGCTTCATCCCAGCGTCGGCCCAGCACCAGTCAACTGTTACTCGCGCCCAGTTACCCGTCATCTAATAATGTACAGCGCCGTGCATTATCATTCCCAGCAGCACACCGCTGGGTGTTCCCAATGAACCGGCGCTTTGGTTACTGGAGGGCGCCAGCAGCCCTCATGCGGTGCTACGTATTACCTGGAACACGGCGTAGCGACTCGCTCGACTCCAGCATACCGGGCAGAGCATCCCTACATGCGAGAGAATAAACAGAGGCAAGATCAACTCCACTTCAGCCTTGGGATCGTCGAATGGGCTCCCTACGATGTATGCTCCGAGTTACGCCGTGCTTCGCACCACTATTCGAAGTACTCTATACTCGACCATACACCGCCCGGCGAAAAACAAACCGCTATGTTATGGAACAAGGACGGAGCAAGGGCTCCGATCTCCAGCGATGGCATTTTCCCACTGTCCTCCCTCCTCCTCCCTGCGTCCGTAACAGTTCCAGCCTATGCACCGCCTACGGAGTCTTGCACTACTGGAACTCGCTGACCGCATGTCCTGAGCCCTGCCCTGACTCCTGGGACGGAAATCTGGCCATCAGCGTCTGAGATATCGATTTGCCCCTCCCTTGCGAAGTACGTACAAACGCTGGGTCGCAGCTACAGTAGTACGAGTTACAGTCGGTGCCCGGGAATCCGGCTGCTCCAATCAGGGCATCTGTCACGAACCAGGTGCCTACGTCGCGAGCGCTCCAGGGACAGGCCCCAGCCCATGGGGAAGACGCGAGCATGAAGGCAAATAGGCAGAATTGGTCGGGACAGGTGGTCTTCTAGAACGTCAATAGAAGGTCAGCGGGAGGGATGGATCCGGTGCCACGGGAGAAGTGAGTATCAAAGCACAACGTCTGATGGACGTAGTGCGTTGTGATGCGAGTTACGGAGTATATACCTATCTAATCGAGTATTTCCTACCTAGGGTACAGAGGGATTTCTCCGTGGCGTTTGTTTGAGAAGGTTGAGAGACGAGAATACCAAAGTCAACTGATAATACAAATGTTAATCAACGAGCTGCTTGCGAGAGGTGTTCATACTGCGTGAAAACTTGTAATATTCCTATATGGCAATATTTCCTAGGGGGTCTTTCGCAAGAGTACCTCGGTAGTTGAGAGGCATTTTTACCTTCTACTCGAGTACTCAATAGCAATTTAAACCCAGCAAATCTTTAACCCGATAATCTCCATCATATCAGCAAACCAGGATCCCGGGTCGAGTCTTTCCCTTCCGGAAAAAAAAAACGTGGTATAGATGCAGGATGTTTTATATATGTAGGGGTGTTTTAATAACTAGAAAAGACTGGGGGTGGGTGTGAGTGTTGTGTGGACAGGACTGACGAGGTCGTGAGACTGTTGGCGTCCATACCTTATGGACTAATGTTGTCCGAGGTTCTATAGAGTGCTTGGCCGTGGATTCAAAAGCGGTTTGCAAAGTGTGGACGGCAGAAAGCCTTTGAATGAAACGACAGGTGCATGGGCTGCGACTAATGATAGGAGTTATTGAAGTTGCGACGCTCTGCCCCTCCTTACTAGTTCATGGGTTCTTGCAATACTTAAGACGGCATGATCCGGTATCTGTTGCATTTTTCGTTCTAGATGTATGACAAAATGGCCACTTCCATGAGTCCGCTGGGTTCTGCCAAAACAAAATATAGCCTCCGTATTTCCATCCCCCGTCTCTTTTACCTTCAACCAATAAAATATATACATCGTATTCATCCTTTCGCGCTCGTCGTTGGCGCTTATAAATTTACACCTCGCCTCCCTCGCCCTTAAAAAGGCCCTGGTGGCCAGAAGCACTAGTCCCTTCATTAATCATACTCTCTGCATCGCCGACCTGTCTTCGTTCGGTAATCTCCCTCGGCTGTCGGAGTTTCAAATTCATCTGCTTTGTCCACAACTGCGTCAATCCTTGGGTTGCCGGGGCAGAGGCGCCCGGCGAGCCCCTCATGACTGCTGATTGTTATTGTAGCGGTTCCGAGGAGCTGGATAATCTGTTAAGATGGAGGTAGACATCTGTCCCATACCTGTTTCTTTCAATTAGCATTCCATGACACGTAGCTGACGGATGGGCGGCTGGCGCTTACCCTTCCATGCTAATCAACTTTAGATCTCCCCCGAAATATCTCGCATATAGTCTCGAAATCGGTAATCCATAACCAAAACCAGCCATCGGTGCCTTGAAATCACTCTTATCAAAATCAGGATCAAGGTTTGGCGTCGTGTCGACCGTCGTATACATATACGTCCAAACAAGGGGTATGGCACTCCGTGGGATTCCTCCTCCTTCATCCGAGACCTTGATAGTAATATCCTCCTTGCCTTCTGCAACGACGACTTTTGTTACGGGGAACTCGTCCCTATCCTGCCCATGTGTTTCTACGACCGCGCGTAACGAGTTCTTCAATGTCTCAAAAAGCATGTGTGATAGGTGGCCGGGGACATACATAAAATGCAAGTTCGGAGGGCACACAAGCTGGACCTTTGGCGCGTCGAATAGGCCATAATGGTCCTCGCAGACAAATCGTGCATTCTCAATTGCCTCCTGAGCTAGATCTCGGACATTTGTCTTGGTGCAAATAATCCCCACGTACGCTGGGTCCTTGTTGTGGCTCTGGTCTGTCAGAGCGATATGCTGTCCGATTAACATCCGGATCCCAATCCGAGACATGTAGAAACGGTCAAGGAAGGATTGCATATTGTTGTCGATTTGCATCCGCTGCCGCTTCCGCTTGTACTCTAGGATACCCTGTGCTACGGTGGTTACCACGCTATCGTGCCGCCTTTTAATTTGGTGCAATGTTTGTGCGAGTCGTTTGTTATACTCATGCAGCTCTGGAGGCCACTCGGTTGTGTCATCTACAGTGGCAAAATACCGGCGCGCTGCCTTCCTCGTGTCTCCATTCCCGTTTCCGTTACCATTTTGCTGCCACGGTGATGATGAGTATTGTGCTTTATTTGGATTTTGGGTGGCTTCGGTTAGGATCCTCGATTGTTTTCCGTCAGTTTTCGCAGGCCTCATAAGGCGATCGCGAACCTCTTTCGATAGTTGGGGTCTTGGGAGGCTGGTTATCTCCTGTATCACATGTCAGTCTCGCCGCAAGGTTCAATCTTACAAATGGGTCGTTGCCGTACCTCGAAGGACTGTGCATACCAGTCCTGCACCTTCTTGATGGATGTCATCTCATTGAGGCCATCTGGAAGATCGCCGAGCTCTTGTACTCGATGGGCAAGCCGTATGGGGAGCTCTTCGGAGAGAAACTGCGACGCTCGAAAAAGGGTTCCTATAGGGTGCAAGATATTCATTCAGCCAATGCTTCTCCCGTCGCGGTGGATGCTCTCCAATCGACAAGACAACAAACATACCGGTAGATGGCCGCTCTCCAAACTGGACCATCTGGCGCAAACTCACGCCGGTAGCAGGGAAGCATGAATAATGCTTGATGGTCTCCATCAACCTCTCGCTCGTCTTCCACGACATCCTGCAATCATCTCGGGGCCCTAAGGCCGCTGCACAATTCTCCTAGACCCTCTGCTTCCAATGCTGGCGACGTTTTCCTTCCGTATTTCGTACTTGGTATGTTGCGATGCTGATGGGCTGAGGTTGAGGGCGGTCAACGGGGTTTAGAGGACGAGGTCGAGGGAGATGATTCAGAGTCTAAGAGTCTTGCAAGAGTCAGGGTTCGGTTGTGAACCCCACGATCCAACGAAGCCGAGCGCTTCTGACGTAGTGTCGAGTGCCGAGGCTATGGGAGAACACGGGGGCTGGGGTTGGGGAGGACAGTGACAATGGGCCAATTGCGGAGGATCCCTATATAAAGAGAGGAGGCAACTCGCCTGTCGCAGCAACGACTGGATTGGAATTGGACGAAGGGGAATAATAGAGAGAGTAGCGGTAAGGTAAGGTAAGGTAAGGTAAGGTAAGGCAAGGCAGAGGTGGTAGACTAGACAAAGAGCCATCAGCAGTGCGTTTGTCTCGTGCTCGTTTTCCGTCTTTCCCTTCGGCATCCAGAGTTGGACCCGCTTTGGGTGCGGGTCGCCGGGTGCAGGGCAGGCGTTGCTGTTGTCCGGCTCCGGCTCCGGCTCCGGATCAACGGGGGCCGCCAGGGGAATCCAGTTTTGTGGACGAGATACCCAATACCCACACTGCTACAATGCGTAGTCCCAAGGTTAGGTAAACTTATTATATCTAGGTACAGTACTTCGTACGGTATCAAGTATCAAGTATCAAATGTCTCCACGGCGAACCCCTATCTATACCCCACGTTATTTAACTGATACGTTTGTGTAATCGATGGGAAACGCGGGGTTGGCGCCTGATAGGAGCACAGCCGCTGCACTGCACTGCAATCCAGGGTTCTGTACCGAATCCAGTCCTAGACGGTGGTTGGTTGTAGAGGTGGAAGGTATGAGTAGCCATTTAAGCTAGACAAGATAATACACGTTGTAAATAGTGTGGAGTCAAAACCATCGCTCTAATACCTATGTCTTGAGTCCCCCGTGGGGAAAATATCACAAACAATCAAATTACTAGTCCCGACGCCGAAGGCTAGCATGCCATATGATGAATGAGGCCAACGCCAATACAGTAATCCCTACACTACGCACCTGTGCCAGTGCCAGTGGACTTAGGCTTTGTAAAGCGTATCCAAGAACCCACTCGCAAGTTCTACAACGACGCTCTTATTTGGCAGGCTTCCCGCAACACCATAAAGCGCCGCACTATCCCCTAGACTCTTCCCCTTGGCCCCTTTGCCCTCGACAATCCTCACCCTCTCCTTCTCCTTCTCGCCTTCGATCACAGCCTCCAAATCAGCAACCAGCTTTTCCCATACCTTCACAATGGGCAAGGTAATAGCGACATGGATGGCAGGGGGGCTTTGAAGGGAATTGAGATGCCATCCCTTAGCGGACATGGCATCAGCGATGTCGTAGATATCGAGGGTTTTGGACGTAAATGCCACCACTGAAACCAAGGGCTTTCCAATGACTTCGAGATCGTTGCACAGCCCCGGATTCTCGGAGATGGCTTCAGCAACCTTCTTAGCGGTCCCGACGATTTGGTTGCAGGAATTGATATACCCTATCTCACCAACGTTCATCAAACTTGCCCAGCAGCCTGCTATAAGTGCACCTGGTCGGGATCCTGCCATGTTAGGGGAAGCGTACACGCCGCCTAACCACTCAGGAGATATAAAGTATTGATAAGAGCGTAATAGCGCGGTGCGGTAGAGCACGGTGCTGTTTCCCTTTGGCGCGAATCCATATTTGTGTGTATCGCAGCTTATGCTTGTTACGCCTTTCAGGCGGAAATCGAAGAGTTCCGTCTCGAAGCCGGCTTTTTCGAGGAAGGGGACGAGGAAGGAGCCTAGACAACAGTCTACGTGTAGCGGAATTTTGCGCTTCAAGGCGAGTTTGGATAGGGAGGAAATATCATCAATGATACCATGCGGGAAGTTGGGTGCGGAGCCAACGAGGAGGATGGTGTTACTGTTTATGAGGCGGGAGACGGAGGGTATGTGAACTTGGTAGCTGGGAGCTGGGCAGGAGACAAGATGGACTTTGATGCCGAAGTAAGTGCCCGCTTTTTGGAAGGCTGTATGTCCGGTTTCCGGGAGTATCCTGCAGTAACTGTCAATATTGAAACCCTTAGCAAGAGAAATGCCTCTTACATTTCTGGCTCAGTAACGCCTCGCTCTGCATATGCCTTTTGCCTTGCACTCAGACAGGCCATCAGAATAGACTCCGTGCCTCCACTTGTCGTCACTCCCGCTGCACCGGAAGGTGCATTAAACATTGCCAAAACCATAGCCACGATCTCTGCCTCCATCTTCCTTACCCCAGGGAAGACATCCGGATGAATCGGATTTGCGACAGTAAACTTCCCGAATGCCTCCGTTTGCAGCTTAATTAACGCGTCCCCGCCATGATACACAGCTCCCGAGACATAACCGTCCTCCCATTTTGTATGGTCCATCGAGGCGAGCGTTTCCAACTCCTTCAGCACCGTTTCATCCGACCATCCTTCCTTCGGCAATGTTAAGTATCGAACTACACCAGGGCCGGTGGGAATCAACTTCGTTTGCAACTTCGTGATCGCTTCAGTGACCTGCTTCTCGACCTGCGATCGAACGCCCGGCGCGCGGAGGAAGAGTCCATAAAGGGTACGGCGGATCGAGATATAAGTATCTGCAAAAGTACCCAACAGTCCTCTGCCCTTCAACTTTAGTAGCCCTTTCCTAGTCCATCGCAGAAGAAATAGAAAGAAGATGAGGTTGCGGAACCTGCCAATATTGCCAATTAGTTCTGTTCTGCTGGAGTTACGAGCGGCGGGGACGGGGGAGCTCACAAATCAATATTCAGCGACAGTAATTGGCTGCTGGAGCCTCCTTTCTTGACGGTGAAGGTATTGCGCAGGCTTGCCGGCATCCTTGGGCGGCCTGGCATGATGGGCAACTTGTGAACAGTGGGCGGAATGATGTTGAGAGCTTCGACATCGACTGATGTTGAAAACCGGGGGGATTAATTAGTCCATGGAATTTCCATCGCTAGGCCGAGGTAGATGTCACATGGCATTCCGCTATAACGCGAGGAACTACTGCGGAGTAGATCTACTGCTCCCAATTGGGATTTTATTAACTCGATTGGTTCATATATTAGTTGATTTATTGGGAAGGGAATATCCCGATTAGTACTGTTATGACGAAAGGGCGTTACCAAATTGGGTCGGTAGTAGCTGTCCAGATCATCTATTCAGAAAGGAAGCCAATCTTCACCTTGTTGTTTTTGCATGGATCAACAAATTGTTTATCACCGGGAAGGGAATAGGTTGCCCTTAAACTGTGGCATTAGATACTACAACATATCCGATCAGATCCTGCCCCTTTTATACCCCGGGCCATAATGCCTCAGACCTTCCAGAGGCACCCCAATTAACCTTGGGTTCTGGACTTAAAAAGTAAAGATACCTACGAAAGCATCCTAAAGGGCTGGGGTATGGAAAAGCAAATGTATAGGAGAGCAAATATATACTCATCCAGATGGCTTGCAAACTCCTGCTTGTAGAGTATACCGGCCCCATGCAGATTGCCCCATGCAATAATGTACAGTACACATATGCAAACATATCCATGGAATGTCCTGTACGCCTCAAACGCCGTTCTTGATGCACCTCTCACTAGTCGTAGATCGTAAGGTCTCCGAGACCATATCTTATTGTTCAGTTTTCCAACGCGACGGAAGGGAATCATTTCGAATCAAATATCGTCCGCCATTGCTTCAAGAATGGTCCGGCCTCCTTCACACAATCTCGCCCCACCTGTTCACAGCCGGCAAATCGAATGACAAAGTCGCCCTCTATATATGCGCCTGTCCCTTGGGGAGCGTATGCCTTGTTAGCGGCGTCAATAGTTCGCTGCGGTATCAGGGCGAGCTTCGCGAGAATCGTCGGATGCCATTGGACAATATGTTCCTGTCATCCAATTAATACGTCTGATTTCGGCCAAGTGCTGAAGGTGCTTGCTTACCAAGGCATGCGTATCTGCTTTCTGAAAGTTGTAGGAACGATACAATGGATCATACCAGGTATCCAGAAAGAACTTGCCCCAATCCCCTCTTCGGACGATAAAACTCCCAGCCGCCAATCCCTCCGCGTCTTGCGTGAGGACCAATTGCGCTTGGTCCCCTTTCAGGTGCGGCCAGGTCTTGATAACACTATCTGGAGGTACAATAGGCTGGCCCTTAATCATCATGCTCTCGAGTTTCTTCGGGTTCATAATATGGGTTTCGATATCCACGTCCGGATTCATGATGAGAGAATTCTGGTCAAGATACCAGAAATAGGTACTACTAGAATTGCTCATGGCATGTCGAACGGCAGGGACTCGCGCCCAAGATCTTGGGGCCCCTTTGAGATCGTAGTCGTTGGCAGTTGGGAAGAAAGTCGCATAGCCTAGACCTTTTGTTAGGGGAACCACGGCCACCATGGTAAAGGACACTCTTACCATGCTTTTTCGCATATTCGATCCTATTTTCTTTAATGGTTTGGATGTAGCCCGCGGGATAATTTTCTTCGTCCACCACTGTCACGATAACCACAGGAGGTGTCCCTGGCGGTATTCCGTCCGAACTACCAACAAGACGCGCAAGCACCCATATCAACACAACGGCCGCTAATATGCCAATCCCTATCGTCTTTGCTCTGCTCCGGCGAAGCGTCGGAAATCGAGAGTATCGTATAGGGTAATGAGGTGGATTTGAGGACTTCCTCGACGGAAAGGCTAGGTGCATGATTTGATTCTGAAACTGGCCTCGCGGCGCCACCGACACCGTGGTCAAGGTCAGTGGAACGATTATCGACACCCTCGACGTCCCAGACGAATCCGACGTCGAATGGGGAAATGGGAAGAAAGCTGTCCTCTTTCAGGCTCTCTGGGATGGGAATCAGATTGGAAACGGGGGGTTGCACTTCGCGAGCTGACTGAGCTTATCACCGGTGGCAAGAATCGGTCCTCCAGCTCATGCGAACAAAGGATTGTGCTCCGTAGAGGCGCGGTGAAGACGAAGACTCGGGCTGAGATGTGTGTCTTTGGACTCCTGGAGTAGTGCAGACCTGAAGAATCAAGAATCGCATCGCCGGGGGGGGATGTCACTCTTCATTTGGAATTGAAAATAGGCGCGCTAAAAGCCCACAGAGGAAAGGCTCCCGCATCCACTCGCCAAGTGCAACCTCGCCTAAGCCAAGGATTGCTTACTGTCCTAAGTCTCCCCGAGTGCTCATAAGCTACAGGAGGAGTCCGTCCCTGGGCTCCATACAGAGAAGACGCCGTGGGAGGGCTAAAGGGTGAAGGCCGGACATTAGGAGTAGCATGGAAGCCCAATCAGGGCGCCGGCAATGCCCATGGGGCTTGATAAGGGCTTTACTAAGTCGGCTTATCGGGGGGTAATTTAATAATTCTCATTTTGAAGCTGACTGGGTACGAGTATTGTTGTTGACATCTGTCCTGAATAGGGACATGCGGCCTCGCGGATCTCGAGCAACAAGCTGACACTGACATGCTGACAAGCTGACGAGACTGTGAAGAATGTGTCCAACCTGGAACTCACCGCATCCGGGTCGCAGTGGCCCATCGTCCGCTTTGAGCCTTGTTTCACTGCATTATTTACCCCTATGATGCAAGCAGCGCATAGATACAGCCAGCACACCCACCCCCCTGACGTGATGTGATGCCAGGTCTTTTGGTCGTGATTCAAAACCTGTGCTCACAGAATGGATGTCTTGGAGACTTACGGGTTAGTATTTTTTACATTCATTAATTTCATTTAGCCCGTGTTGCTCGTATTGGTTTGACTCGTATTCACATTGTTAGCTTACTCGGCATTCTCTTGTGATTAATAAACTAATCGGGGCATTACCCGTCCTGGCGGACATATTATTGTCATCATTCTACCTATACAAGTGTTGTGGCTAGTGTAATTCCCTATATTTCTAGAATAATAGCGGGGAAGTCAGTTACTCCTTAAACACAGCAGCTGTTCAAATGCATTCCTTTGGTGCATAGTTTAAATATGCCAATCTCGCCTAGCCCTAAGACCGTCTTCCAAACATTTGAGCCTCTTAAAACTGAAAGGGGTCCGGGCTGCTATACCTACCCATACTCCGTATGTAAGGTATCTATGCATCAAAAAAAGAAACGCCAACACGCTTGGTACACCTATCCAGCTACCTTCCCTAACTAACAGCAGAACCAGCACATAGAGTCCTGACATTTTCCTCGTCAACGTCCATAGAAGCTTCGTTCTCTCGTGTTAAAATTTCCACCGCCATCTCCGCAGCTTTAGTCTGCACCTCGTTCTTGTTGACGCCCCCATGACACTCCACAACTTTCCGCTCGCCAACAAAAACCTCACATATGAATCTTCCATCTAAGTCCCCGTCTCCAGGACAAGGAGGATCCTTAGGTTTTTCGCTAGTAGAGATCCTATACTTCACAACATTACTCCCAGCCAAAATACCCAGCTCCTCTTTCGGGTGCCAAACATGGATACCAAACCCCACCCCCAATTCCTTCCTAATAGGATTCCCTTCCTTAGACGTTGCAGAATTCAAAATCCGTCGCAAATACTTCAGAATTCCCATCTTCTCCATCATCGCCCTGCACGTGTCCAGGCTACCGGAGTCAATCCACGCCGCACCGAGGAGACTCTCCACCAAGTCGCTGTAGAATTTATGGGCTTCTAGCCGCGCCAGGAGAGCCCATGGGTAACGGGTCCCGGTTTCGATGGCTGCGGCAATGGCGTGCCGGAGATGGGCATGTCGTTTGGCGGTGTTAGTTTGGGCCTGTGCTAACGGGGGAGATGTGTGGCGCAGGAAGGCATGGAGGGGCTTTTGCGTCGACTTAGTGATATAAGGTATTTGGGACTTCTCTAGGTTCTCTATATCGCTCTTGGTGGTAAGGAGCTCATTGGTATCTTGGGACATGCTCCATTCCATACAGAAAAACGCGAGGAAATCGGCATTTACGAGTGCGGTGCGCAGAATATGCATTTGGAAGTGTGATAGTGGTGGTGTGTGCGCGTACATAGCCTCGACGATGATGTTGTCCAGGAGGGAATCTCCGAGGAATTCAAAACGTTCTAGGGATTGGGAGCCGATGTTGACACATGAGGCGTGAGTCATGGCTTCGACGAGCAGAGATTTCTTCTTGAATGTGTAGCCGATTATCTCCTCGACGGGTTTCAAGGTCTCGGGAAGGGGAATTTCGGGAGCTCGTTGATATAGACTTGCTTGTCTACTTTCGAGAGCTTGCCAGTTGAGTTCGGGGAGGAAGACCTGAATACATTTGAGGGCCTTGGAAATACCACCGTCTACCCTTGATGCTCCAATGAGGGCTTCAACTACATCAGCCAAGACTTTCGAGGAGAGCTGTCGCTTGCCAGTCATGGGTGCTTTAAGCAAATCTTCTACATAAGGTGGTCGCCATTTCAACCCTGTGAATGCTTTGGTGATGATGAAGGAGTCCAATCCGAGCTCAACAGCCGCCCGGGAGAGTCGAGAATTCGCCACTAGCCTATCCTTCTTGGCTGATAGGTATCCTTCATGCCAGAGTGGATATTCAGCAACCAACTGTACCGACGCACATAACTTCAAAATCGAATCCCCCAAGAATTCTAGGCGTTGGTAATTGCTATCCTCAAAAGCACTAGATGCGGTGATAGCTGTGATGACCCAGCTAAGCTCGGAGATATTGACTGCTCTGAGAATGGATGTTGACAGTCTCTCTGCGATTAAAGATACCTTGAAACGGTGCATTATTGCTGGGATGAATAACCCAAATTGGACATATCTAAATGGCATATCATCGACGATACAGCTCATCGCGGGTAACACCACAGAATGCGGCTTCCTAGAAGAAGTATTCTCGCTATTTAATTCCTTGTGTAAGAAATCCAGCCGTTTTGGGAAACCCACGACAGAAAGGTGGGGGGCGTCAGCGGCAGCGTCATATTCGTAGTATGGACGCTGAACATCCTCGAATCGAGGCTTGTTTGCAAGGAATGACTTGTAAATATATCTGATATTGGGTTCCATAATTTGTCGAATGAAGCCGGTCGATGAAGGGTCTGAGGAAAAGTGGGATTTTCCAACCGCTGTTTGATTGCCCATTAAATCCTGGGGTGGCTTCTCGGACTGCATTGAAAACAGCATAAGAAACCCCGTCTTTCGAACGGGAAATCGCCAACCAAATGCGGAATGGAGTATCGACCAAGTTTCTTCTGTAGTTTTTGAAACAGATTGCCCCGTTCTCGCAGCTCCTTTTGCAATGCTAGTGACCGTAACTTCAGTCTCGCGGTCCCAGTATAGCTTGAATGGCTTAACAAAGGGGATCTCAACAGGGAGATATGCCTCAATTTCCAATCCGCCTATACCAACTGTTGATTGCCTCAGACTCACAGAGCCGCATTGGCCATGTTCGTTCCACGCTTTAGCAACGTCGATCCAGGGGTTATATAACTCATCAACACTCATGATAGATGCCTGCTTCTCAACTCTCGTCGATGTCAACTCAGTCACATCAACATCATGCCTCAGAAGAGGCAACAGGTGTTCATTAACAAGTCCTGCCTTGTAAAGTCCAAGATATGCTTCGAACGCCGCGTCCTTGATAGCATTCTTCTCGCTGGTCCAAAGGGTTTTGCTGTGAGCCTCTCGTACTGCCTTATGGACTGAGACTGGGAGAATTGCTCTTGCTCTAATGAGTGACCCAACATCCTCATCCTTACTAGTACAAATGAATTCAGGTCTATTATCCACATAGTCTTTCGCTGGCAGAGTGGCGCAAAAGTGGTATAGATGGCTGACAGCGTTATCGAAATCGAGTAGAGCACCTGTGCTTGCGACTAGGAAGCTGCGTCCATCATGCTCTTCCGTGCTTTCGATCGCCATAATCTCCTTAAGGCGACGCATATCGTCTTCATAGAGCTTTTTCATAGCCAGCTCAAGCTGCTGCCACTCACTCTTTCTATTATTTATGGACTCAAGGAGGAGGATAAGCTTTGAGTCTCTTTGTCGAGCACGACCGCGGCGTTGAACAAAGGACTTCAAATTAGCTGGCTTCTGAAAGCAAATCACAACATTACAGGTAGGAACGTCAATTCCCTCCTCGAGGACGCTAGTCGCTATGACAAGATTGATCTTTCCCGATTGAAAATCTGGAAGGGTGTTAACCTGCGAACCCACCCGGACAAACTCCGCAATGTTGTTCGGCCGATTGTAGTGGCTAGATGTACCGACCATGGTCCCTAAATTAAACCGATCGCGGGTTTCTGGGTGGATAGAAATGAGATGCGCGAGGACAGACACCACCGCTCTTTCTTGGACAAAAACTATCCCTCTAAAGGACCGAGGCTCCTGTGTGAGGATATCAATCAACTGCTGGCCTTTGTCTGAAATAATGAGGGTCGCTTCCAGGGAAGTGTAATCAGTGCTGATGATTTTGACTCGCTGCAATGCCTTGCCAAGGTATTGCCTTTCTCCTTCTGTCACTTCAAACACGCTGCCCAGGTCACCATTAGCTTCTTGGGTTGCTTTGAGGAATCTAGTTATGACTTCTGAGACATAGTAGTCTGCAGCCCAGGGTCCCAACTCTCTGCAAATCGTCAAAGCCATGCCATAGAAAGTTTTCATTTGAGAAAAGCACCAAGTTTTGTGGTTGAGAAGAACTTTCTCCAATTTTCTCAAGCTCCTCTCCGTTCCGTCTCGTCGCAAGCCGCGAACATAAGGATCGTCAGTGATGCTAAGGGCTTTAAAGGCCATTCCAAGGCTCTGAATCGTTCTGGTGTATCCAGTAAGTTCTTGTTCCGAGGGAAGACTCTCGAAATAGATTTCTGATAGGACTGGAAGCTTGACTTGAAGCCGTAACTCAGCACGGTGTTTCTTAGGCGTGCGACAAATGGCATTTAATGTTTCCTCGATATTTATGAGCGAGGTTGGGTTCGAGCGCATGACGGGGCTGGCTGTAAGTCCCAAGATATGTGGAATACTAAGACCCTGGGATTTCCTGGGGTGGTAGAAGCTCCGCATTATCTTAGAGCCTGGATGTTTCCCAACGCAATTGTGTGCTGTGACGTATTAATGCCTGGCGGTTGGTGATGGCGCGATGATATACGCACCTTCATCAAAGATTATCAAAGACAACGACTCCATCCGAATGAAGGTATGGGTGAGGGCATCAAGCAATATTTGGTAAGTCGAAACAACAATCTTAACATTTTCCAGAACTGCATCCCATAGACTTTGCTCAGTCCAACGATCAACGCCATCTGCTCCACTAAGAAACTTTACTTGGACAGAACTTATATGCTTTTTGATGTACTCAAACTGCTGCTCGCCGAGGGGAACAGTCGGGGCCAGGAACCAGATGAGCTGCAATCGTTAGTATGCACAGCTCGTTGGATGATATTGCCTACCTGATACGAAGGCATATACTCAAGCTCACGAACCATCCTCATAACAGCTCTGGCTTGTCAAGTGTGGTTAGCTATACGAATGTGTCTGCAGTAAATCTTGTGTGGGCAATTTCAGAGAGACTCCTGAGGGCCAGTATGCTATACGAACAGAGTATGGAAGACGCAAGGCTGAATGTAGATATGAAAATCAAATATCGATATTTGAGATAATTCAAACAGGCATAGAAGATATCATCTAGCCGGTCATAGAATATATATCCGGCAAAGAAGACATATTCAATAGAAAACATATCGCCTCCGGAATAAGGGTTCGGCAAGTAATTCGCAAGCACCCTCAAAACCCCCGGAAAACAGTCCATCGAAATTTAAGAAATGAAATTTGAAAACAGAACTTACACATGCGTCTTCCCCGACCCAGTATCCATCTTTCTCGCGCACCCCAAGTTAGCAGCCCTTCTCTTTCATTCCATTCCATACTCATTTCATACCTCACCCGAAAAAACAAAGCAAGAAGCAAAGACATACAGCAACAATAATATTCCTCTTCAAGCTCTCCTCGAACATCTCAAATTGATATGGTCTGGGTTTGATATCTGGGGTTCTGTCATCTTTGAGTTCTTCTAGGTCAATAGACGAGGAGACTCGAGCTGAGGCTTTTTCTGTGAAGTCCTCAATTATTTCGTTTGCTGTTGTGGGGTAGGGGACGTCGTGAGGGAGGCGCGATTCTGAATGCGACGAGGTTGATGATTCTGCGTCATCTATGTCCATGTCCATGTTTATATGTAAGGTTTGAGAGAAATCAGTAGTTGATTGATGATGGGAAGAGAGGCGGGCTGGATGTGGGTGCGATGGAGGATGGAAGGCGCGCTGAGCTGAAGAGTTCAATCGGCGACTCGCATCAGCATCCTCCCAGCTACCATGTCTGGATAGCAAACACCCCGTGGGGGCCTTTATAACCAATGATGAGAGTATAATTGCCTTTCTCTGCATGTAGAATGTTTTGGCCTATAGAAGGAATTTTAAGGAGCTGAGATAAGCATAGATGTAGAGAAGTACTGTACTCGTACTATAGAACGTTACGTATAGGTAGGTAGGTTCATGGGCCGGCCCGTTGCTGACTGCAGGGGTACAGTACAGGATGGCTCGACGGCGACGACATCATATCCACTACCCACCATATCAAACTAAGGTATAGGTGCCCAGCGAGAGGGTATATAACGACCCCAAACCAAATGAATTGTAATCCCTCATAACCCTCACAGTACTCGTATTCAAAAACTGAACAATATGCCGCCAAAGACCCCGGCCCCGCGGCTCACACACTTCCTCTGCCTCCCCCTCGTCACACCCTCATCCCGACCCCAGCTACAAGCCTCACTATCCGTCTTCCGGGAGAAGATCACCCAAAACCGCACGCCTCGGAACCCCGATGGCATCCCCGAAGCCGCTGTGCGGCCTCTCGGAACCCTGCATCTCACGCTGGGAGTGATGAGTTTGGTAGCGCCGGAAAAGGTGGAGAGGGCCTTAGGACTTTTGAGGGAGCTGGATTTGAAGTCGTTTTTACTATCTAGTAATATTGCTGGTTCAAGCATGAAGGAGGAGGTTACGAGTTTGACAACGGAGGAGAAAACAGTCACTGTAGAGGCGTCGGCAATAAGCCCCTCTGGTTCAGTAGCCCAGCAATCTGCTGTAACTCTCACCACAGAGGAGCGAGAGACGAAGCTTACTGCTGAAGGTAGGAAATTGGATACCCATGGCGCGGGCCCAATGCTGGGTTTAAAGCCAGCAGAAGGGACGGAGGAAGGAGGTGTGCTAATTACTCACCCAGCTCTTACTGCTTCCTCATCGTCAAACTTAACCATTACGTTAAAAGGCTTGCAAAGCATGCACCCCAATCCTGGCAAAACATCCATCCTCTACGCCCCTCCTACCCCAAACCGTGTGCTGCAAGCGTTCTGCCTCAAACTCCGAGATGCCTTTCTCTCCGCTGAGTTACTCGTCCCCGATACACGGCCCTTGCTACTTCACGCTACGATCCTCAATACCGTTTATGTGCCCGGGGTAAGGGGGAAAGGGAAAGGGAGTGGACATGGGAAGAGCAGGGCGAGGTTGACTATTGATGCTACGGAGATTTTGGAGGATTGGGAGGACTTCGAGTGGATGAAGGATGTGAGGGTTGAGAAGGTCGCCATTTGTAGGATGGGGGCGAAGAAGTTGGATGATGGGAGTGAGGAGTATGTCGTTGAGGGGAGTGTGGATATCCCTTGATATGAAGAAGTGGTCTGTTGGCTAAACCATGTGTGGAATATTTTATTCAAGAACATGTCTTAGATTCTAAAACCGGCAAACGAATGAAGGCTTGCTGAAAATGCAACTGTATCGCCATAGAAACCGGCATAAATCAGATCCCACCATAATATCGCATCTGAATGCAATGCAGGCGGGCATGCAGTTTCCTAAAATCCATCATCATCAACCATCAACCCCATCTTTCATGTTCCATAAGGCCATGAGTAAATTTTGATGTCTGCAAAGAAGAAAAAAGGGGGGGGGGGGGGGGGAAGAGAGGCGGCACCCCGTGCCACGCCGTAAGAACTTCCCTGGATCGCATGTACAACCGAGACGCCAAAGCTATGAAGAACACAGTTTTTTTTTAAGGGAAACCCACCGCAAAATTTCCAGTGACGTGAATCCCTAGTCGTGGTCGGGATGTCCAGCGGCATGTGTTGCTTGGCCACTGTGACAATATCCCAGCCCACGAGGATGTCCTCCACATACCCTCCCTGCGTCCTCAGCCTGCAAAGAATCTCCTCAGGACCTTCTCTGCTTCGGCGTACTCCTCCTTCACTGTTACCAGAGTCTCTCGGATCCGGGATAGACATAGGTCTTCGTCGGATTCGGCATTTATCCCGGCTTCGTCCTTCATCTGGCCGTAGTGTTGGATCTTCTCGCAGCTATCTTTGACCTTGGTTAGACCCAGAGTAGCCGAAGATCCCTTCAGAAAATGACCTAGCGACGATAGTTCCTCTAGGTCTCGCAGCTCCCTATTAAACACGAAGATAATTTGATTAGTTTGCTGCTGCTGCTGCTTGCTGGCACAAGAAAACAAAGAGGCCAGCAATACACACAAACGCCTACTTACAGTGCGTTGTCCATTTTGGTAAAGGTCTGTTCCGCCTGCTCGAAGAATCCGAAGACGATGGATTTGCTAAATTCGCGCTCCTCTTCATCCTCGTCCATCTCCAGGATCTGCTCGAAGGTCAGGGCGTCAATGCCATCCCCAAGGTCTGGCAAGCCTAGAGAACCTGCTTCGCTCTGCGTCACGACGTAGGATCAGCGTGGTGTAACTAGTTGTGGGGGGGAGCGGAGAAGTTCACCCTTTCTTCTTCGTGCGGGTCTGAGGGCATTATGATGATCTCGTGACGCGGGAAATTCTTTTGGATTGGAGTATGTCGGGTCGTTTCAACGTTGATCTTCGCCCAGAGCAGGAGGGCCACTTGGCAGCAGTTGGTGGTAAGGCTTGCCCTGGAAATCCCCACGAGCGTGCAGCGCGCAGGCGTACAGTAATGGTTGAGGTGATAGGTATGTATGGCGCCGAGCCGAGTCCCTCCTCCTCGAAGGCTGTGCAGTGGGGGACGTGGTACTTGGTTGATAGGGACGGTAAAGCGCAGCAGTTGCCGTTAACGTAGCTGTTGGAGCAAGCGACACAGGTTGCCAGCCGCGGCCAATCGATAAGGGCCCAACGCCTGCTCGTACTTTGGAAGGAGATATGTCTTTGGGTTTCTTTGGTTTGGAGAGGCCCACAGCAGCGACAACGACGAAGCGGTAAGATGCGCAAGCTCCGTAGTGTATAGCGGTATTGCGGTATAGCGGTATAGCGTATGGTGAATGTATGTGTATGTGTATGTGTGCACGAAGTATGTTGTAAGTGTGTGGCTGGGGACTTTGCCGGATCCTAATCCCAAGAGAGCGGCTTCGAAGAGGGTCGGTCAGCGGGTAACGGGTAGCGGGTAACGGGCAGCGGCAGAGGGCGCTGGGAAGGGAAAGGGAAAGGGTGTGGACGGAGGCACAACAAAGCAACACGTTTCCAAGGCAAGGGAATTGGGAGGGAGTATCCTCATCCGGCAGAAGGTGGAATGGGGAAGGGGGAAGGGGGAAGCAGCGAGGCGGAGGGGGGAGCGAAGGGAAGGCACGAGCCTTATGCAAAAGCGCGGGTAGGGTTATTGGGGAAAGAGGTAGGAGGTAGGAGGCCGGAGGTAGGAGGCAAGAGGCAAGGAGTATACAGAGTCCAGTTACAGCAATTTCAAGTGGCCCACCAGACACCGGACACCAGACACCAAGCAGAGGGAGGAGGGTCGTGCTAATTCTGGAAAAATTACTTCGTATGGCCATAGCTATTGCGTGGCATTGTGTGCTCAGCGCTGTGCGCCCTTATTACTCCGTCCCCGTCCGTTATGTGCCTGTGTGGGTTAAATTTGAGATGGGCATGGCCAGCACCACCGACTGCGAGTACCGCGCTGTATCAGACTGCCAGTACTGGCACCAGCATCCCAGAAGCGGCAGGTCGCAAACATTCCGAAGACATGATTGCTGCTTTTCCGCGGTGATCTGCTGGTCCAGACTCTGAGAAGTCCCTGGATCTCCCCACCAATGCACCATGGCGTACAGACTACAGGACGGAGGTATGAGGCCGTCTGATGGGGATGGGATGGACCATGGACCGTGGACCATGGATGGGCGAGGGGCTAGGGGCCGTGTGCTCGAGTGCTCGAGCAGTGCTGCTGGCAATGGCATTATTAATAATTAGGGCAACTGCCCGGTGCTGTACATAGGACTATAGGACGTCGTAGCCCCATATGTGACATGTGTCCCATCATATATATCCCATATATCTCGCCAGAGAGCATATACGCACCCCTCCTTCCCGCCGTCCTGGAGCGCCGCTGCTGTAGGACGGGGAGACAGATGGGACGATGTCTGATTACAATTTTAGCAGAAACAGCGGAAGGCCTTCCTAGAAGTAGAGTTGGGCAGCGCTGGGGTGGTTGATGGGTGATGGGTGATGGGTAATGGGTGATACTGGAGTAGTGGGCGGAGGGCGGCCACTGGCTAGTTTGGCCAGAGTGTGGGGTGGGGTCCCTTTTCATGTGTCGTCCACGCCCGGGAATATTCTCATTCTCATTCTATTATCATGAGAACGCAGAACGGTAGCAACTTCGTATCAGGCATCTGGCATTGGGGCGATATATACCGTATTCCCCCCCCCCCCTCCACGGCCTCAGCGCACCCAGACTGGCCACTGCCGTCCAGTCCTCCCCAGCGGAAAAAAAACCCGAATGGAGGTTATGACCCCATGGATGACGTAAACGGCAACACCGACGTCAGGCTGCAGTAGCGCGTCATGCACATATGCAGGGCCGCCCAATGACGACAGCGCTTGGGCCGCGAACCCGCCCGCGCAATCTTAGCGAGGCGGATAGACGAATCGAAACCCGCGAAAATTGATATTAATCCCACTCCACGCCTCGGCAGCTCCTACGTAAGTTACTCTGAACGTCAGGACAGGACAGACAGGACAGACTGGACAGTACCTAGTACCTAGTACTCTACCTATGGAACTACTTGTACGTGCTGTAGCTACTACGTACGGCCCAGTACGAAGTACAAGAGCAAATTTGCTAATATAATTAATAGAATATAAAAATAGAAAAGGGTTCGTCCTATGTGCCCCCCCCCCCGGGACCCCCCATCTTACGGAGTATGCTCCATAGGGGATAGGTATAGGTATCTACCGTACTGTACCTTATTAATCTGAAGAGCAACGAGGCCCATATCTGTAAAACACCACGTCCATGGCGGTACGGATTAGCGTAGATTAAGGTTAAGCGTAGCCTGCGCGGGTTTTATCCCTACGAACCGCAGAATGGGGCCAGAGAATTAGAGATTGAGAGAATCCGAATCCGTCGGGGTGGTGCGGTACACTACTTGGGTACTGGAGAGCAGACGCCCCGGGAGTACGGCAATGTCCGCCATCTTACGGAATATTAATGCTTAAATACGCATGTACGAAGTACTGGACTACATTTTAGCTTGGTTATTATCATTTACGGAGTAAGATATTATTATTAAAAGGCGAGGAGGTTGATAGGTTGTTTCTATTCAGGGCTACATGTACTGTACCCCGTACCCAGTGCCCAGCACAGAGCAACCTTCTTCGTAAATAACTTATTATTATTATATTATAATAATAAGACGACCTTCTGGGTCCTGGCCCTTGGCCCCGCAACCGAAACCCCTCGGCCTCCGTCAGTCACATGACCAACCTGGCTTCCCAGAACAGATCGCCGATTCCATCGGACGGCGGCAGGCCCCTCGCGAACATGGCATTTGTGAATATTTGTGGCATTTGCGGGAGTTCGACGGTCCCGAATTCCTTCGGAGCATGTCTCCGGATGGTACGTAGCACAAGCTCGCATGTTCTCGAGGAAACTATGCCCACCATTTAGATGGGCGCACGTAGAGGTGGTGGTTTTAGAACCAGGCCATCTCCACGTTCACAAGCTTCAACAAACATGGGGCGTCTGGGACGCCTCGCGGAAAAGCAAAGGCTTCCGAGGGCCCCTTGTGCTGATGCAGTGTTGGCCCATACAAAGTAGAGCGTGGCTCTTGGCGGCTGTTGGCGCTGGCCCAGACTCCGGGCACTCGGCATTTGTGTCTCATCCATGATCCATCCCGACAGCACTATGGAGCACTACGTACTTCGTACCGTACACAGCAACGTCAACTTGCTTATTGCTATGCAGCACACGGCATATTTTGCTTCTTGTCGCTTGCAACCACAGTGTCCGGCCCTACTTCGTAGTGGTCGACCGTCGAGGTCGAGGCACTACTCACTAAGTGCTTTATTGGAGGTGTTGTTTCTGCTTAGTCGGGGACAGGTAGCCTAAACCTGCCGATAGAGTTTTTTGGGGGGGGGGAATGCTTCAGTGAACAAGTCCAAGAGGAGTCTCTCCATTTACTAAGTCTACTCCCCAAGCCCTTTTGAGAATTAAGGAACCTGCTCTGCGTACTTGGTTGGCATCGAGACAGATAGCCCAATAGTTTGGTTCCAAGGACTCAGCTAAGGTAGTTGTCGCTAGGTCCGTCGAAGGCAGTACCTCGTAGGAACCTTTGAACTCTGGCAGTACGAGGTAGTCTCTTGGCTCAAGAAGCCTGATAACTCAGCAAAACGGGGGTATTATAAGGGCCTATATTCCGATCAAATGTGGGAAGTTTTATTCTGCTTCTAAAGCGATCAAAAATCCTAGGGGATAATGTTTTGTAGGTACCTATGTTCCGAGCGTGGAGATTTCAAGTCAGCGAGGTAGAGACGATGAGGTTGCGAAGGCAAGCCAATAAGCTTGGTATTTCCCCTCGGCTCTAACCTTATTACTAAACCAGATGGGCGAGGAGTCAAGCCACTCATCGCTCCTCTTTCCAACGAACCGAAATCCCGAGACTTGAGGCTTGGGTCTTGGGTGACGGCATCGGGTTGAGTTATCTGCGGGGTTACACCAATGTTCAAAGTTGAGGGGTTGGCAACTGACAAATACAATGCGGAGATAGACCAAGATCCCTCGGGAACAAGGAATGGGAATTGGGGGATTTGGTATTTAATAGCAACTGCTGTTTCCCTCCAGGTGATTGTTTTGATTGTCTTCATCGTCTTCATCGCCTTCCTTCAGAAGCACCTCTAATTGGCATTATCTACAAGGATCAAGTAAAAGGCTACAAAACGATCAATTATACAATGGCAGACGTCAAGACTGTACATGTCCCTCATTTGGGCGGAACTGATGCTGGGTAAGCCGTCTTTCCCGATAGCAAGAGAAATCACCGCAAACTAACTGTTCTGTTAGCTATCAGATGCCTTATCCATATGATCCATCGAAACCCACCTTGATCCTTGTGAACTCCTTTACCACAAGCTCTGAGCTGTATCAGGGTCAATATGGAAACAAGGCTCTTACCGACAAGATGAACCTTCTTGCGATCGAACTACTCGGCCATGGAAAGACCCGAACCAAGTCCGAGCAGTTCACATACTGGGATACCGCGATAATGAACCTACAGGTGATGGAAGCCCTTGGTATCAAGAAGGCTTTCGTGCTGGGCACCAGCCAGGGAGGATGGATCACAGCACGCATGGCATTGCTGGCCCCAGACCGGATCGAAGGCATCATCCCGCTGGGGACATCGATGGACCGCGAATCCGAACGAACCCGCAAACTCGGTTGCTGGGACGGTGTAGCAGCTTGTGCTGGGCCGATCAAAACATGGACGTCGAACCAGGCCACACCAGATTTCCAACCAGACCTGGAATACTGCAATTTCCTCATTGACATCGGCTTCGGCAAAAACTGCGGCCAGGAAGTCCGCGATTTCTGGGTCAAGACCATCCAGGCCAACTACAAAGGCGATGATGGACGCCGCCGCGCCCGCGTCGCTGCTATAAATCTTGCGGAGCGCGATGGGCTCCACGGGCGCTTGTTTGATGTCCGATGCCCGGTTCTGTGGTTGCACGGGACGGCCGATGCCGTGTATAGCGTCGCCAATGCGGAGGAGGAGATTAAGATGTTTGTTAACTCGAAGTCGGCGGAACTGCGTACTGTGCCGGACGGCGCGCACTTTCTGAGTGCTTCGCATCCAAAGGAGGTTGATGGGGCGTTGATCGAGTTTGTGGGGAAGTGGGCTGGCAAGCATATCTAAGGGAGGGAATCTGCCTTGTGCTTTGCTCCGTACCTAGGTGTATCTATCCTGTCCTGTGGCTAGGAACATAATTGTAATTTTTAAAATCGGGACTTCTGTGGCCACTGGAGAGTTGTGTTGGATGATTGTATGTGGTTCTGTAAGCCATTGTTGTCGAATCTCTAGAAGTACGTGGTTATGGCGGTATCTCAGGCAGGCCTAATATTATACGAGTAGAGGATTATATCCGGGCATATAATATTTGGAATCTTTCCTAATCAACATCAGACCCCATACGAGTAAAGGGTTGGAACACTTAATCCAAGCAACCTCCCAACGTACCAGCCTATTATCTTTAAGTGTCAGCTGGGGATCTTTACTACATTTATTTACTTCGCAGAGCACAAGTATCATTATTGGAGTTCCTGCCCCGCCCCCACCGCCTCCACTCTAGGCAGCCACATCCTCCAGCGGCTTTCCAGCTGTAGTACGAGGACAGCTACTACTCTGTACGAAGTACAGCTGCCCATATCTCACCATGCGGACAACAACCAGCAACCAACAGCTGCAAAAATCTCTCTATACCTTACCTACGAATCCCTTCATTCCGCGCCGCGATTCCACAAGCACCACGACCACGACCACGCAAGCAATGGGGATGTCGCCAATTCCCACGGCACTCCCAAGCCAAACCGCTTCACCATGAGCTCGCACCACGAGAAGAAACCTCGTCCCCTCCATCACCGCCCCGCCGCCGGCCCCCCCGCGGCCTCCTCGAAATCCCCAATCGCTGCACCACCGCGAGCGGCGCTCTCTGGCCCAGCACGGGCGAAATCCGATCACGCAGGGGAAGAAAAGGGATCTCTCAAGAGCAGCAATGATGCCCCCAATGGCCCTTCCCCGTCAGGGGTCTCCGTGATGGAGAACAGCCCCTCCACGGCATCAGCCTCATCCGCCGCCACAGCCGCAATGGGGTCATCAAAATTCTCCCCTTCCCGCTCAGCGGACGACAAGAAGAAGATCTCGGAGCTGGAAGCAGAACTGACAACCATGACTTCGGAATTCTCCTCGGAACTCGAAACCCTCTCCTACAAACTATCCAACGCTCACGAATCCAGCCTCTTCTGGCAGCAGAAACACTCGTCCCTAAACCAGACGTTCCTCAAAACCGATACTGATCTGCGGCTCCTCCGCGCCGAGCTCTCGTCGCTAAAGCAGACCCAGGAGGATAGGGATAAGGATATTGCGGCGCAGATGAGGGGCTTGATGCTGGACCGGGATGCGTGGAGGGATGCGTATAATGAGGCTATGAAGGAGGTGAGGGCAAGGGAGGAGGTGGTGGGCGTGCTGAGGGGCCAGGTTAGGGGGCTGAAGAGCTGGGTTAGTGCGAGTAGTAGGGGCGGCGAGGAGCAGGTTAGTGATGAGGTTGTGGCAGAGCGCTGGACGAGGTTGGGCAATGGGTTGCAGAATTGGGTTATTATACATTTTAGACGCGTGAGGATTGGTAGGCTGTCCTCTTTGCACTTTCCCCCGGTTTTGGCTTAACGTATGATGGCTTGTGCTGCAGAGGCCTATCTCGCAGGGCAGCGCCATTTGGCCTTCTTTACAGAGATATGGCCTGCAATAAAAGCTGACCGGGTGCATAGACGTTGACAAGGCGGACGATGACACAAAAGAACAACTGCTGCGGTTGGTACCCACATATAAGTCTTTCGCAGCAACCTCCAAGATACACTTCATCCAATCACTCGTCTCCCGAATCCTCGTCGAATCGATATTCCAAGTATATTTTGTTGGAATATCACAAGAACATGCTGGCGAGCTCGAAAAGGTTGAGAAGTACTTGGGTCGGTTCGGTACGGTCTATTGAAACTTATCTCTATATATGCTCTATAGCTGATTACGTTCCAGGGCCCGAAGAAAGCATAAACCAATGGCGTTCCACTACCCTCACCATCCTCCGCAAAGAGGCGCCCCTAAAGCTGCAGGCAGCAACAGCACCCATCGTAGATTCAGCCGTTGATCAAATTAGCAACATCATGATAGCCATTAGTGATATGCAACCCTCGGAAACAAGGGACCAATCACTTATTAGTCTCATTCACAGTTCTGTTGAGCTCTCGAGACTTCTGAGAGCGCAGAAAGCGGCCTTCACTGTAACGATGCCCGTGATTGAGGATCATCAAGAGACTATGTTCGATCCTGACAGCATGGAGGATATTGGAGGCGAGGATGAGGATACCTTGAGTGAGAGGGAGATTTGCTGTGTGACGTTCCCCGGAATCATCAAGGCCGGGGATGAGAACGGAGAAAGGGGACACTTGAAAAACGTCGTTGCAAAAACAAGAGTGCTATGCGCACCTGACTGAACAGCTCGCACCTACTTACTACTATCCAGGAATGAGCAGGCCAGCTAGGCTGGAACAACTAAATTGGTTGCCAACTGTTGTGCGGCTCTGCCAAGCCAATGGCCATAGTGGATGATGCAAGAGCTGGCCGACTTCGTGGCAAAACTCGTCGATTGAGGCGGGAGCCAACCGGCTCCGACTAGATATATAATACTCCTTGAATAAGTGCAAATATCATGAGAGTGAGAGCCAATCGTCTTCATCAGATGTCTACCCTTTTGAACAGGACCAATGCCATGAGGATGAGGAAGCATGACAAAAGATTGGGTCGGATCGATGTGTGTGCAGTAATGCCTATTGACCGAACTGAACGTGTGAAAGTGATGGTCCTGTTGAACTTTTGTAGCACGTTCCCCAGGAGCCCATCGGGCCGCGTGCCAACAAAATCAGACCGGATTCGGATGAGCTTTCCCCGGGGGAGGCAGTTGCCCCGAGATACTCAGGTGCGAGGCTCTGCGGGCCATACGAGTAGAAGGGTGGCTCAATTACGTCGGCTTCTCCCCATCATTGCGTGATGATCATCAGGGCGGGGAAGAATCACCAAAAACTTACATGCTCTCCCGGTAGTCGCTTGCACAACCAGATGGCCCAGACCGCGATAGATGTTGGAAATGGGCCGCTTCACCATAGATGCCGAGTTCCCCGTTATGAAAGCCAGAAGGTGGGCACTGCTTCGTGTGTAAGTGTCGTACTGGTACTTCTGCACATGAGGGTGGGAATTCGCCGAGATCTGTACTTGTGTTATAGAACCCAACTATGCAGGGGAAGACCCCATGATTCCCTTGCCTGCAACATTCACCTCCAGAATCCTGCCGTAAAGCAAGAAATAACGAGTAGGAGTCCTAGTTGTTTCATCCGGAAGCGGTGTACAATAGCACATTGTACACGTTCGAAGCATGTCCCGAATCTTGAAGGTATCCTTGATTCCGCCCGCAAATAGAAAACACCCTCGGCCCAAGGTGGTCGGGCAGGTGCAGACGCGGGATATCACAGCGAACCACAGACTCGTGGACCTGTCCGGGGAGCACCAATTCAATTGCTCTGCGTATTGAGGGCGCACCTCCGAGGTTTGCTGGCTCCGTCGTCTGGTCTCATCACCAAGGTTCCTCAAGGCCGGAGGGAAGGAGGGAGAGCTGCAGCATGGGCGCTCCGCATGAGCCGGAAGTCTTGGGATGTAGGATTTGGATCTGGAATGCCTCTAGATCTTTGTGCCACTTGAGGATCTGGGAGTTGACGGGTCGACGAGCTGACGAAGATGGGATCGCGCAGTTTCAGATGAACTAGGGCGGCGATCGTGGACGTTGACTTGGAAGGCGTGATATTACTTTGCTGGCTCTCGTGGGTCATATGGTTCTTGTCGACACGCGTATCAAGAAGTGGTGGAGATAGAGAGGCTTCGGCCCCGGTGTTGCTGGCCTCTGGAAAGGCCGCAGGTCGTTCTGCGGCCGTTGATTTTTGCGCCCACGTACAGTATCCCTATCCGCCCAAGAGCAGATCGACCTCCCATTCCCTTGACTCCCATCTCAATCGACTCTTGCTGTCTGTCTTCAAAACCACACACCTACCCCCCCTCTCTCTGTGGCTAGACGCAACGTTGTTGTCCATGGTAGTAGTTATTTCGTCAGCGCTGGGAACGAACTCCCTATATTTATTTTCGCGCGCAACCTCACCTCCCACCCCGCTACTTCCGAATACCGCCAAGACTCCCTCCACCTCCGCCATCACCATCACCATCACCATCATTTCGATTCTGCAGTTTTTCTTGCTCTCCTATTCCCATTCCCACTTCCACTTCCACGCACTCTCTTCTAAAAGGGATCGGAGCTGGTTCTCATCACTAGCATAGCAGACTTTGGCCCTCGGCAGCGCTTTCCCTTCTGCGTCCTCGCCACTGCTCTGCTCTCCCACCTTATCCAGCGCTGGGCGCCAACATCAACCACTCTTTCCGATAGCGGGCAACAACACCTGGAGATGGCGAGAGTTCCGAGTGTTTTGCGATTCCAAGTTATCTGTGACGAGCTTGATAGAGTCGGCATCTCTGGGCCTACACCTTCCCCCTCTAGACCCAGCCTGCGATCCGTAGCCACCACAGCATATACCAATACCCAATCGATTCCGCTCAATAAAGCGTTACCTATATCCCCCACTGCATCGGTTAGCAGTTGGCAGAGCAGTTGCAATAGCGATACCATGAGCTGCACATCCTCGGTATCAAGTGCCACCAGTCGGCCGCCTCGGGAACAGCTAGAGGGCTTCGATCCGCATTTTCAGCAACTAGCCATGGCTCCCTTTCCCCATGGATATGTCCTCCCTTGCGAGTTTGCATTTTTAGGATGTAATTTGCAGTTCAACCCCGAATATCAAGAAGACTGGATATCACACAGCGCCTCACACTTTTCTACCCATTCCCCACCTCCAAAAGTCATCTGCACTTTCTGCAATCGCGAATATGACTCGGTCGAGAGAGGTATCGATCCAATGACGAATTGGACAAGTCGAATGATCCATATCGAACGTCATTTTTGGGACTCTCGTCGGGTCGGCGATCAAGAGATGGTGCATCCGAGGCCGGATTATTTCGTACTGGATTATATGTTGCATAAAAATCTGCTCAGTAAGAAGGATTATCTGCACCTGATCCAATATACAGAGAGGCCGGAATGTGAAAATCTCTATTCTCTTGGATACCAAACCCCAGAGATGAAGAGGAGAGCGGAGACAGAGGAACGCCGGGCTCGCCAGACTCATAATTTGGACAATGAAAGAAGAAGGATGAAAAGGGGCAAAATCCCGAAAGAAAACCGACCCTCACCGACTGTCTCTAGAAGGGAAGTCAAAATATCCACCAACCACTACACGGCATGATGTCTTTCGCCTGACTCCCAACTACTGGTAGCGACAAACCCCCCTAACGACGATCAAACTTGTTTGACTTGAGGCGGGCGAAATGTTTATTTATTTCAAATTTTGTGGGCTGCTCTGACATTGTGGCTGTGCGTGGCCACTGGTGGCGAATACGTTCTCTTCCGGCCGGGTCGGCTCTCGTTGCCTTCACAATATCTTCACCCATTAATCCCTACGATTTCTTTTGTAACGTGAACAATGTTTCATACACGGCTGGTTCCCGACGGCGATGACAGTGATGATGGCTAGCGACATGGCCTGGTACTGCATGAAGACATGAAGCCAAGCATCGCCGTGACCGAGAGCTTGGGCCGGGCGTAACGGGCGATCCTAGGTAACCAGCGTGTCGGATTTCCCCGAGCTGACGGAAAAACATACGACGAATGGGCCGTATTTAGGATGGATATGTTGATGGTTCATGTCGCTGAAATGATATCTTGGTTTTCTCCATTATACCCCTGTTTTTTCCCTGTCGGTACTTGTACGGAGTATGTCGCGATGAATTAGACATCGCGTCTTTATAGCTTTCCACTGGCCGACTTGTCGGTGACTCACTAATCGTCCTGTTGTCATTTGAAATCAGCTCGGGGCCCTAGCTCAATACTTCGCGACAGGCTGAGCAGTCCTTTGAAGTTGCCTAAAAGCATGGGTGTGGCGTCTATCTCAAGTCCTCTAAAATTGCAGAGTCTACAAATTTCAAAGGTTGCCTTCACTAAGTTCTATAAAAGTTATATTTACTCTGTATGCTCTTAGCCCAATCCTCCGGCCTCCATTCCCTCGCATCCATCAACGGTAGACCATCTACGAAGTAATACAAAGCTAACTAGCCGGATATCGCCTTCTGTCTGCCTTGCTCGTAATGATCATGGCAAAGGGCTGGGAGTCTCACCCAATGCCACTCAGCCGATTGGGCAGTTATGCGTCGAGTCTCACCGAAGGCTGAAAGGAATGAACCCAAGTAAACAATCATCGAGAAAAGCTGATCTCATATTAATTGCAAGTGTTCATACCCAATTCCAACTCCATAGGTGATGTGGAAAACTTCCCCAACTGCCAGATGAGGTATTCAAAAAGGGGTGTGCCCTTTCCGATGGCAACACCAAGGTGCATGGCAGGCAGTTGATTCGTGCTGTGCTGTCTAGTGAAGAGCGAATCGGGAATAGGATAGAGTATGTACAGTACATACGCAGCCCTGCTTCTATGATACTGGTGCTTGGCGATATTCCTGTGGTGATAGGCACTTGCCTCGCTCCCTTATGGAACACCGAGTGGAAACAAGAGTGAGTGGGCATTAGGCGCGTTGTAGTAGCACCGTAGGTACGTAGCCCGCCGTTTCCTTAGGCCGATTGAAGCATATGTGGAGTCGCTCCTCGCTACAGTCTGTACACTATTCTATTGTGTATCCTCGGGTACGATACAGGATTTCGTAGATTTTCACATGTGGATGTTAAGTTGATATGTACCGTTGGCCTTGTCCCGGTCCTTCCTTATGCTACATTGAAACAGGATTTGAGATCTGTCTCAAGCCGAATGGAACTCGGCCTCAACCCGCCCATACCTGAACCCATCAACCTTGAGCTCGAATGCCAGCCCTGCACTTTCAACCACCATCTCCAGCGTGAAATCCAGATTATCGAATTCAACGCCTCTTGTCGTCGTGAGCCTAGTAAAGAGACTCTTTGGTACAGCACCAAGGTCGGTTGTTAAGGTGCAGACATTTATAAGTTCTTTGGTATAGGAGGAAGGAGGGTCACCATCGGCGTCGCAGGCGATGAGGTCGTCGGATACGATGAGGGATTGGCCCGGTCTGTGAAAGTTAGGATCTGGAGGACACATATGGCTGGTGAGGGAAGATATGTACCTGAAGTTTCGTGTATAATGGAAACTGACGGGTGTAGCAGCGCTTAGCGTCTCGCCCTCTGTTATAAAGTTAACGGGGCCATGATTTCGAAAGAATTCATCATATACGTACTCGCAATGTGCCATTGCATCCTATCACTTACCATCCACCGCTCCCATAGTGGGCTCCAGTATCTTTCGCTAACTTGGTGCTTGTCTTCATCATAGACAGTAGCATAGGAAGTACCATAATGCATTCTTGCCTTACGTGAGACCACCATACTTCCTTCGAGACCTCGTAAGACGGCTCCTCGAACAACCGCTGTCCAAGCGTTGACTGGTTGCATAACCTCGACGGATCCGTTTTGAATCAGAGCGGTTGCTTGAGCGTGTGTCGGCCGTTCGCTGTATGGAGGGGGTGCCGCGGTGTTGAAATGAGATTTCAGTCGTGTGTATAAGTAGTTGCTTTGCCCAAACCCTCCAACCAGAACTATACCAGATACAATTCCACCTTTCGCGCGGATCCCATCCACTTGGCCCTGCACCAAGTCACAGACCTCCTTGACGACAGGTTCGAATATTTCTTTAATTTGCGCGGCAGTCAAAACAAGGAATCCGGAATCTAGCCCTGCTTCTTCATCGTCGGGGAGTCCGGGGAAAGGTACATTGACTTCGGCGTGTTCTTCTTCGTTGAAATTGCGCTTTACAAACTCTTCCCAGTATCGTAGACCCATCTGCCAGCACTTGGCCTTCTTAAGCTTCATCTCGTCGAACCTCTCCTTCCCAATGCGACCCCGGACATGCTCCTCGAACCGGTAGTTCAGAAATGCACTACCGCACAACCCACCAGTTCCAACGGCAGATTCTTCAACCCTCAATGGCTTCAGAGATATAATTTTGTAGGCAATTAAGTCCACTGTTCCTCCTCCGGCATCACATACTACAAAGTTATCACCAGCGCTCAGGTGATTAGGCTGTATGGCTTTAAGTGTATATACCGCAGCTGCTTCAGGTTCACTGATCATCTGAATCTCAGACTTGGTGCCCATCCCCGCCCGCTCTGCAGCCTGCAACGTAGTATTCTTTGCAGCATCCGACCACACAGCTGGACACGTGAGGACAAACTCTACATTTGTCGACGCCAAGAATGACTCTCCATATCGTCTTGTAAGGGTTTCCATGGTGTGCTTGTGCACCTGAGTCAAGTAATCGCTGACAGCGTCCATGACATTTTTGTTGAACTTCTTCAGTTGGGCAGCAGTTTCCAATGGGCTGACGTAGAAAGGTAGCTTTTGCGACCGATCCAGGAATAATTTGATACATCGAAGTCGAGATTCCTCCGGTCTGAATTGGAAACCCCATTTGATGTTTGGCTCCGCACCCTCCGGGGAGTTCGGCGGAAAGTCGTAGGATATCTCTGTCGGGACCTTGTCCGATGTGATTCCATTGCCTCCTGGCCAGGTTTTTATAATCTCGACATCGTCTGGAGTCGATGTATATACAGCGGCAACACTTTTCAGAGTCAGTTAGAATGCTCAGGTCATTATCTAACACTGGCTATCAAACAAAACGGGCAGTAGATTTATAACATTGCCCCGAAAGAAATCAATGGAATAGGTCTAAATGGACTTCATGAGCGAGCCAATGGGCCTCAACTGAGAACGAAACAGAAAACGGGCACTGAGTAAAAAGCACAACATCTAGGGTAGACTCCTTGACTCTCACCCCCCTACACCATACTATCTCCTCTTCTCGAAGACTAGTGAAATTTGCTTACCCTGAGTAAGTGGTACCAAAATCAAGACCAACGATTAACCGGTCGTTTAATGGCGTAGGTTCCCGGACCGGGCCAGAGATGGCTTCAGTTGAAGAGGTAGGAGTGTAGTTGATAAAGTGTTTCCTGCTATCATCGTTCCTCGAGCTAACAGTGCGGATAGGAAGGCTGAGATTCATGCTTGCGACGGATCGAATTCCAAGCGCATCCGGGAAGATTGCTCATACGGGCTCGGTCTCAAGCCCTTCCAAACCCGGGGACTCGAGGTGAAGCAGATGCAGTGGCATATATAACGGGAAATGCCCTGCCAAGAATCCGAAAGACGACGGCGTTGAGTAAGAACGGCAAGACCTGCTCTGTTGGGACTCGGGTCTCGCTCCAAGCGAGAAATACTCGAGTACAGTACTCGCGGCCTCAGCTGAGTGAAGAGAAACGACGGGCGATGAGCGACGAGCGGCACGAAAGGATACAATTCTGTGGAGGATATTCTTCTGTTCCTGAGCTTCTCTGCGGAAACCCGTTCTGCACAGTCCAGTGCCTTACTGGATCCCTGTAGGAGCAAAGATGGCAGCCTGCGTCGTGTGAGTACCTAAGGTAGGCAGCACCGTATTGTTTTGAACCCCGGCCTTCCTGGACCTGCGCCGCGGGTTTGGCAGCACCAACGGCTGACAGCTGGAGCGAATGGGTGGATGGTTAAGACATGAATGATATGGAGATGGAGGACGATCACGATGGTTTCAGGAGCAGGAAGCAGGGCCAAGCACGGAGTATGTTTAGTTGAATTCGCGGTGGAGAAAGAAGCGACGTTGGAATCTGGCTGTGGAGTTTCTGGCTGACATCCCCACGGTGGGGGTGGCACAGTACATAAATAAGGCTGAACCGTCCGAAATAGCATCAAAACAACTCGGACGCAGCACATCTCCAGCCATGGAGCTCTGGGCTTGTGGCTTCAACGCCTGGGGACAACTGGAGTTTGGCAGCGCCCACGCCGACGCCCACAGCCCGGCAGACCACAGGCAGGACGTCACCTCCTTCCAGTGCGTTCTCACTGATCCCGTTATCGAGTTCATTCGAGGCTCTGTGTCCGCCACCCTGAGTAAGTTTCAAAGCTGCTTTTAATCTATTTAATATGTACTGCACACCTACGCCTCTGTATATTCTCTTATAGCATCACATCCCTCCAGTTGAGCATTGCCTGGCAAGAATAATCCGTAAAAGGTTTTCACGTAAGTCACGTGTTCAATCGACCAGACAAGTGCTTAGGTAGAACTGTAGAGTCCAAACACAAAAGATAGCACTATGCTCCTCGCACAGCCTAGCCTTGCACTTCACTAATAGCATGTAGTACACAGGTCTTCCGAACGAGTTCTAGCGGGTGTCCCGGACCCCTTTCTCCAATTACTTCAATCCGGAAACTATCAAAATAATCCCAATCATGTCGCCATTGCCGGAAATGATCAAGTCGCGGCGGCCAAGTTGGATAATATGGACAGTACGGTAAATACCCACCGATCCATACAAGCGTATCTTGAGAACATAGCACTATATTCCACCAACGTCGGTGGCGCTGTTAAGGAAATCGTCGCAAATCGGACAGCCTTTCACGCCCTCACTCGGGAAGGCGATGTAGTTAGCTGGGGGGATCCACGGTTCCAAGCAGCTCTTGGCCGTGAACCTACACATGAAGGGTGAGTAGAGCAGTAGCATTCACTCGTTCGCGGTCCCAACTAAGACCCTGCACCAGTTTAGAGAGAGGCACAATGATCGAGGACTTGCGAGATCTACCAACCGGCCCCATCAGGAAAATATCCTCCGGTGGATTCACCACTGCCAGCTTGACCGAGGGGAATGATCTGTATGTATGGGGAGATCAAGCAAGGCCAGAACTGCCTAGGACCAGGTTCTTCGACGAACTCACAGGGGAACCGGCTGCCGTGGATGTCTTCGGTCACGATATTCTCGACGTTGCTGTGGGAGAGGGCTATATCATAGTTCTAACGACCGGCCAGAAACTATTTGTGACAGGGAGCAACAGTAATGGCCAACTTGGTCTGCCGAACAAGTCACATGCCACAGGCTGGGAGGAGGTAGTGTTGCCGTTGAGACAAGGCCAAATGATGGTCCATGTGAACGTTGGCTATAAGAATTCATTCGTGTTAGTCGACAGCGCTTAGGGAACAAGGTGTTCGAAAATGGCTTGGTATCTCATTCCGTCCATTTTGCCTTCTTATGCCAGTCTATAATACACGGTCCCCGCGAACTCGAAATTACCAATGCATAGCAAACAGGAGGAAACTCATAGATTCGTAAGGTAATCCTCAATCTCTTGGGGGGTCAGCTTTCTGAATCTTGGTCCTTGCGCCCCCTCAACCCCCTCAACGCCGAGTAAATGATGTGCTGGCGGTCCAACAATACCTATGTTGTGTTAGTTGGATTTCGCAACCTCGTCTAGGTTGTACATACCAATCTCTACTGTCTCTCCATTCATTTCTCCTTCGATTGTCTCCTTCAGTGTCAAGAGGGCAATGTGGACTGCATCTTCCAGCTCCAAACCCTCGGTGTATCTCTTCTCTAGGAATGTCTTTGCAGAGGTGGCGCTTTTACCAATTGCCGTGGCCTTCCATGGGAAATAGCTTCCACTGGGATCAACTTGATACAGCATAGGTCCACCTTTCAGAATACCACCAGTCTTTCCAGACTGTTTCTTCTCATCAGGATGCGAATCGGCAGTAACGGCGTCCTCCGCCTCTGGCTCGATACCTTCATCCCATCCTGCAATCAGCAAGCTAACGCCATACGGCCGCACACCGCCAGACTGCGTTGCCTCTTGCATGACTCTGGCGACATCCTGGACTAATATTCTTGTTGGGGGATATTCATTATAGATGCGCTTATAGCCAGTGTGCGACACCTTGCGTGCTTTATCAACCAGTACTCGGTAATCGGGACCCATTCCTGAGTATACCATGCCGATGTTCGGTGTGATGAGGCTGACTTTCGAGAGGGAAGGAGGGTCAATTAATGGCGATGATGACTTCTTTTCTGTTGCGAGGACGATGCCATTTGTAGCTGATAAATGGTCAGACAAGCAAGTTGGAAATGTGACAGGGAATTTGGAAGAATACCTTTGATACCCAGTGCCGTAACACCTTGATTGACTGCATTTAATGCATATTCTGAGCCCAACGAGTTAGCGCGTTGACCTAGAGACACGGACACGAGACAGAAGGACGATAGAATAGGGATATCATTTTGAGGTATACGAACCTATTTGAACCAGCTTTCCACTATCTGCTGTCAGTATTGAATAGACTCCTTCAAGTTATTGGCATAGGGCGTGCCATTCAAGCTGAGGGTGGACGAGCTTACCTAGGGGAGAATGTGGTCAAGGAGAACGAATATCTGTCCGCCATGTTTGTTGTCTACTGTGCAAGTTCCTCAGGAGTAATATCGTAAATGGAGGACCTTGGATAGACAGTGGTGAGACCTGGATATTGGGGGAAGTGGAGATCTTGAGCTGTCGTTGATGTTGACGGTCAAGCTGCTGCCACAGCTCTACAGGCAGCTCCGGACGCGAATAATTAGTGCCTGAGTATTGAGGACACAACGCTTGCACGCTCGACTAGAGAACTCCGCCGCGCCCGCCCTGAGTTGGAGCTTCTTCCAGCTTCTGGGCACACTATGAATAAAAGCCACATCTCCTGTGTCTCTTTACTCCGCTTCCTTCATGGGCCTCTTTCTATTTAGCTAACCACCTTAAGCTAATATTTTTAGATGCCAGCTGATTGCAAGCCGGAGCTGTGCCAATGACGACAATACAATACTTTTCTCGGTCAATCTTTGTTGAACTAGGTTCTCACGATGTCTTTTGGCACGGATACTGCACCTAGTGGCTGGCAATGGCCCGAGGAAATAGCATCAAAGCCCGAGAAGAAGGAATATATAGATATTCCTCCGCCTGGGTCATTCGAAGCCGAACAGCACGAAGCACCACCCAATACCTCTGCTGGGGAGCGACCTGCACCGGAACAAGACCCCCTCAACCCAGAATCTTCTCCTCCAAAATCTGAGAGGCATTACGAGCCACGGACATGCAGGATATGCTTAGAGGAAGTCATGCCATCATTTGAGCCAGTGGTGGACGGAGTCGGCTCATTCCTCAATCCGTCCCCCAAAGTTGAATTCATTTCAGCGGATCCGGCATCCGGACGGCTCATTCGACCTTGCAAATGTCGAGGATCCCAGGCATACGTTCACGAAGGGTGTCTGCAGGAATGGAGACACTCCGATCCAAGCTACGGCCGGCGGAATTTCTGGGAGTGTCCAACCTGCAAATTCCGGTATCGACTGGAGAGGATGAAATGGAGTCGGTTTATATCCAGCACTCTTGCGCAGCTTATTCTCACAACCGTTATCATGGTGGTAACTGTATTTCTTTTAGGATTCGTTGCGGATCCGATCATAAGCCTGTACCTTGAGCCGACCGCAACCATCGCTTCTATAACCATGGGTGGGGGACTGGGGGCGCTTGAGTTCGAAGACGATGTGGACTTGGACTTGGACTTTTTTGATGGATGGGTGGTGCATTTCGTGAAGGGATTGACTTCTATAGGCGTGCTTGGATTCGTCAAGGTTCTCTGGGCTGTAAATCCTTTTACTTGGTGGAATCTCCGCACCGGAGGGTTCCTTGGCGGTGGACGTGGCCGACGGAACCGCGATGATTCTAACTTTACATTCATCCTCATCATCGGGATTATTACCTTCATGTTTGTAAGTAGTTCTTGGGATTCTAGGAAGAGAACAATACTAATTTTTTTAGGGAGTCTGGACTTGGGTCCGAAAGTGGAGTCGAAGAACCCTTGAGAAAGCAGGCGAGCGTGTTGTCGATGTCCAAGAAGACGATGATAACGACGATGAACACCAAGCCTAAAGCTTGTAGTTGACATGTGTATATGCATAGCGACATCATGGTTTGGCGTTCTGGGCTTCAAAGATGTATATAATAATATACATTTACACTCCTCCAACGCGGTTCGACCGAGCTAGAGCCACTCGTAAGTCAGCAATAAATGCGTTCCCGTCTCTTTGGAAATACCGCATCTCTCTCCTTCCCGATTCCACTTTAAACTGCACACTCTTAAGTTGCCACGAACATATTTCTACTATGGCGTGTCAACTAGTCTGTGTGCAGAGATTTACCGCTTTCTGGAGCCTTGAAACCCGAGCGTCTTGTTCTACTTTCATCACGGGCGACCGCTTGCATAGTCAACACTCTGCCGCCTGCCAACACTTTCATTCTGAAATTGTTGGTGTTTGGTTCCCTGCCTTCGGGCATTACACTTCCAAGGGAACTGTGAGGCAGCTTGTGTCGATACATTCCTCAAATCTAAACGGATCTCAATTATTGGGCTATTAATAGTTGCTTTAAACTATAATCATTATTAGTTAGTTTAAATGAAGTACCAGGTTTTATGTCTTAAAGTGTACCTTCTAGATTGTGTTTCGTACAGCGCCACAGAGATCTCGACTGCTCCTTGCCCCCAAGCTGCACCTCCATACCCATGATCATCAAGAAACGCTCCATTCTTTTTATCTTCCTCTCTCGCCCGTCCGATCTCACCGAGTACAACCTTTCCACGCTTTACTTAAGATCAATATCCCTCGTGTCTCCCCCTCCCAATCACCCCCCTGTTCACTATACTTCCTATCTTATACTTAGCAGTAACACAAGTATCAACATACGGCCGCACCCGAGAAACAACATCACCCCTCGAATATGATTATTATAGGTATTCTTCAACCATGTATTTAAAACACGTCCTCGGTTAGTAAGCGCAGGGGCGAAAGTTAGAGCTCTGTCAAATCCCCATCAACTCAAGAGATAAATGGCCTGTATTAAAATCATCGAAGACGGCCATAGGGCGGCAGACCTCCAGGTCTCATTTCTTGAGGCCAAGATATATGTATATCCATCGACGTGGATATAACGCCCACCTACAATTCCCTCTCTAAAGTGGTCAATTTATAGACCTGGAATACATAACAAACATAGCTTGTCGCTACAATACCCCAACCGCCCTAGCCAACTCGGATAGCTCAAAAAGATTTAGGTCACATTCTCCTAGAACGTCCTGATTCGCTGACATCAAGTGGGGCATTGTGTTCCAAAGCATGAGGGTATTTTATTGTAGGTAGGATAGACGGAGGCAGGCTTTGGGAGCTACCTAGGTATTCAAGAATAATGACTTCGAAGTACATAAGGACCCATTTTGTATTCCACCGGTATCATATCCCCACACCTCATAGCTATGTAAAGGAACAGCATTTTAATGCACTACCCACCCATCTGTTCAGCGCTCAATAAAATGAGCGCCGACCTCCCTTATAACCACACACCAATCAACCAATCCAATCCACTCAAATGAAATCCAATCCCATAACGCCATAGTTGCCCTAAAGCCAAGAATAATCAATAATCTCTTGGGAAAATTGGATGAAAAGAACACGGCAACAGAGACAACAAACTCGGAAGCTACCATCATGCCCGCTCGCAAACACCCGTTCGTAATATAAAGACAATTCGTACAGTGAAAAGAAGAAAACGTCAAGGTATCAAATGACTCGTCTCATCATATTAAGAAAAGAAAGGCAAGAAAAAGAATGCTAAAGGGAAAATGGGAGTAAGGAATTTTAACAGTCTGAAGACTGTCGACAGCACGTCTAGACATCGTTTCAGCATCTTCATATCCTTCATAACGCATCGCTAATTATTATGTTCCGCCAGGCCATAACACACCGGGAAAAAGGGGATCAATATCCACTGCGTGGTCCATAATACCCTTGGCCTCTACCTTTATCCCGATACCAATCTTCCGCAGGAACACCCCTCAAGTCTACGGGATCAATAGTTACAGAACCGCGCTCGTAAGGTTTATCAAAGCGGTCGGATTCGCCTGATCTGCTCTCATGGTAACGATCCCAACGCTCGGCATCTCGGGGGCTGTTGAACTCGTCTCCCATGAATCTTGCTTCGTCGTCTGTGGTTCGGGTAGAGTAGTCGCGGTCATCCCTCGAACGACGGGAGCGGATATCTATTGGTGGAGGTGGAGGTGGAAAAGAAGTTGAGCTTCCGGAACCATAGGATGATGGACCGAAAGGTAGCTGAGTCGAAAAGGTTGAGGATGGAGGTGGCGGGGGAGCGTATCTGCCACCAGCGTCTATATCGGTTGGGGTAGAGTGGCTGAAATTCCTAAGAGGCGGGCTACTTGTTCTTCGATTGTGAGTCCTTGGGGGTGGTGGCGGGCAATGGTTGGAACTTGTGGATTGTGTGCGGTTGTGCCTTGTGCCTTGTGATTCTGGGTTCTTTCTACGACTACTAGTAGAGGCCGCACGACCAAGTCCGGATGTTGAATCTGCATACACCTTACCACTCCCCGGCTGGGCTGTATATGGCTGGCGTTCGCGTTCGATCTTAACTGGCTCGCCGTTATCCGACGAATTTGATTGCTCTCCGGAATAAGGCTTGCGCTCTCGTTCATGGTGCGGAGAATTGGGTACAGTGGGGGAAGTCTTGGTTGTTTGATGTACCTCTACTGGACGAGTCCGTTGCGAAGTAGATGCACCTCGACTGGTTGGGGGGCTCTCGATGGATCCTTTACGTCTTCTAGTCGTCCCGAGGTTTTCAAGGAAACTTGCCATAGCACTATCAACTAGGACTTTCGAGTCCCAATCCTCCTTGGCTGGTAAGAGGTGTCGTGATAGTTGCTTGGGAAGTCGCTCTGGTTTGCCATCGACCATTTGACCATCCGCATCGATCGGCAAGTCCAATACGACTTTGCCTAGTCTCTCCGATTCTTCCTCGGGGTACGCTAAAATGGACATGGTCATCCAGTGAGCAAAGCCAAGGGGCGTAAGAGCTGGTATGACTGGTTCCTTCTTAGCATCTTCCTGTACGAAAAAATGCTGGCAACCAAGGTCCCGATAGAGGAGAGAGATTTGCTCATTTGCTTGTGCTCGGAATATAGCTACGATTTGTTAGCATAGGGCTATACGAAGGTTGCTCCTGCTACTGCTACTTACAGAGAAGTGGGTGCGGCTCATTCTGGAGTGAGTACCTTGAGTAGTAAGCGGCCATCTTCTCTGGGGTCACGACAATGCTCTTCTTAGGTTGGAAATCATCAATCTAAGAGTAAGTGTTAGCGAATACAGAGTATTTGATAGCTTAATACTTACAATATGGTTTGCCAACCCCCTTAGAAATTGCCCAAGTCGCTGCGTTGGAGTGCCTTCACTGTCCACTAACCTGCCCCATTTCTGGTCGATTGTAGATAGGTCAGCGGTTGAGAATGTGCGCGCAGGGCGGGCCCGTGGTTCACGATCAGAGAATCGCACGGCGTTGGGCTTCTCTGGGGGGCTTCTGGGAGGGGACCTTGTATGCTCCATGGAAGGAGGTGGCGCGTATGCCGTTCGAGAAGATTGTGATGGAGAGGGCGGCGTATAGACTCTGCGCATTGTTGGAAGGGGGGAGGATGTAGAGCTCGACCTGTTTGATGTCTGTCTTTGCATAGGGTCGGCCTTGAGTTGATCATCTATGCTGCCTGTTTGCTTCAAATGATCAACGACTATCGGGCGCGGAGGATTAGCAATAGTACAAGGCTACGCGCCGAATTGGCACTTCCGGGTTCAGCTTACGCTCTCTTTTGACCTTCTCGGTGACCTGCTCCGTAATGGCTGCAATTATCTCTGGAGGCACGGCGCCATAACCAGATGGCTCCACGCGGTCTGGTGCGGCGGTCATTCCATCATGATTTGGTGGAGAGGTTCGACGCCGAGAGTGTGATTCTCTGCCGGCCGAGTAGCTGCTTGTGCTTGTGTAATCTGGATCTCTGCCTCCGAAATAGCTGGTCTCCCCATTGCTGCCTCGTGGACGGCTATAGGCACTATAATCCATGGGCGCGGACGAGGCTGTAGTATTGTGTATCACCTCATGGATGTTTGGTTTGGCGTGGTAGCTGAGCAGGTGCAGGGAGGGAGCTGCGGAAAAGTAAATGCGCGTAGATTGTGGTACTATAGTTCTGATCTTTGGTCAATCAGAAGCTTCCGGCCAGGGTGGTAATGCGAGGGATGCTGTTCCGTGAGGCGATGCGAAGAGGTTCAAGATGGTGATGCCTCCAACACCGTGTAGCAGCGTACCGGGTTGCATATGAGTCCCCGCCAGGTCTGCGCGCCGCCGCTTATTAACCTTACAGCCCTACGAAGTACATGTACGGTAGTAACTTTATGCTGGCAACATCTCTCGGGCGTGATATTCATGGCATCTGCATCCCGAATCCAGGTTCTGTCATCATGACCTCCAAGCAAAACTCACGGGTAAACTATCTATCTTCATCATACCAAGCTTCCTTCTTCCGGTCGATCCAACCCCCCAACTCACAGAAGCTTGCGCAGTACTCCATGCCTACGACAAGCTATTGGGCTGTGCCTTTGCCAGGATCCAGCTCGAAAACTTCCTCAGGCTGTGTCGGAAGACGCCGCCCCTCCATCTTGCGAACAGCGACATCAGCATCATCATGCCGGTGTGTAGCAAGGCAGATTGGGCGCCAGAGTACCCGTAAGTACATGTGCAATCCAATTTGCCCCATTCATATCATGTCAAAGCAGCAGAGTCGTACCACTTTGCCATACCTCAAGAATTCCAGGTGAGGCTGAAAGAACTGAATATCGGTTTCTATCCCTGCTACAGTGCTGTAATACAAATGCAGCCAACCCCTGCTGCAGTTGGTTCCTTAGTAGGGGTGAGAATACATATAAATTATAGAGGATCTCAATTCCGAGTTGGTGTATTAAAGGAGTGGGAGTGGGGGTAATAGGGACGATGATAGATACTATAGACCAATCTCGCGGTAAAGGTACCACCTAGGTATCCTCCACGTGCACATCACCGAAGCAAATACTCGCAATATTTCAGACGTTATTTATTACCAGCTGCAGAAATTCTAAGTCAATTTGAAAATCCACTGCGCCATTTTGAAGGAAACCCAGCCCCTAAGGGCTGTCTGCTCTAAATGATCATATGTGTGGCCTTGTCGCTCGTGAGAAGGAGAAGGAGAAGGAGTAATGCTCCCCATTTATGATCGCCAAGATCACAAGACAGCTAGCCATCGAAAGAAGAAGAAAGGAAACTTCTATGTCGCTTATGGTGATCGCAATCCTTCAGTGATCCCTTTAAAAAAAATATAAGTCGCGATCGCATTGTATTTGGTAGAAGCCAGCTCGCAGCGTATAAAGAGCAACCGATTTACCGCTAGAAACCCGCGAGATGATCATGTAATGCTCCTTGGAGGCATCACTGCGTTCGATATCACCTCTGGCTCTAATAGTCGCCATCGCTGTCGTCCTCAATGCTGTAGACTGCTCGCGATCTAGGAATAGTCCCAGCTGCGCTAGAGCCAGAGAAGTCGTAGGTCATTTTTGGAGGTGGGTTTCGAGTACCAGCCTACAAACAATCTCTTAGCTGCCATTTACTAAATGGCTTAACAATCATTGACTTACAGGCTTCGCAAACTTCCGGGGGTTGTCGAAGGTGTTAATACCAGGACCTCTTACTGTGGAAGAAGACCGGCCCGTTTCAGATGCTGAAGGAGTCTGTTGCCGACGATGGAGCTGCCCTTTAGAATCATAAGCATTAAACGTGATCGGTTCTCTGCGTCTAGCATCAGTAGCCTCCCAGTCTCCTCCCAGGTCAATAGTGGCAAGATCCTCGTATAGGTTGCTGGCTGAGGAGACCGAATCTATATCATCATCTGCAGGGGCTCTTGCTCTCTCTTTGCCCTTATTTTTGATGTCCAGCTCGGTTTGCTCTGCAGCTCCATAAGTGACCGAGGCTGGTGCAATGGAGCCAGAAAACGTATCGGCGAAGCCGCTCCTAGTGTACCAAGTGTCGGGGTTCTAAAGCCTAATTAGAACGGCTATACATGTTACAAAGTACAAGTATACCACTTACGGTTTGCTGCGGCTGCTCTTCGACCACATTACCTTCATCTGCCTCATTGCCGACCTCCTGGTTCCCACTCAAAGCCTCGTCGGGGGCAAGCTCGGTCTGTGGCGCGGGGCCAACAACAACATCCGGTTCGGCCGATTCTTTCCAATTTGTACATTCTTGACACCACTACAAAAATTACGTATTAGTTGCCTCTACCTTTATAGAAGATACGTGTGTAAACCATGCGATAATTCACTGACCTTATTGCCTCCGGCCTTGCGAGAAGCCTTGCTGAATGCCATTAGACCAAGCTTCTTTCCACATGGCCCTCGACATTCCAGTTCCTGACGCTGGTCATCGGCACAGTTGACACAGCGAATCTGCGCACTTGCACCATCTATCTGAGCGCCGGTGGCAGCTTTGAGCCGATAGTTCTTGAGCTCCCGGCTAGAGAAATTGGCAACTGGCTTCCATTTCGCGCACAGCTTGCACTTGTATCTGTGTGGCATTAGCAAGAGGTTTACAAGCTTCATTTGAAACCCTCGGGCTTGCCTATCTAGAAGTTTGATTTTATTGAGGCTGGTTGGCCCGGATTAGCAGTGCGCAGAAAGTGAGAAGCCAGTAGGACCTACCGATCGGTCGAAAACTGATCACCATAGATTGAGGCCATTTCGTCAAATATCAGGTTTCTGATACTCGACGCTTTGCTAGAGTGTCGAGGGAAACGTTGTCTAGATGAGGTATAGGTGAGCTATCAAGGTCAGGAACAATTTTGAGTTTGAAGGCAAGCGAGTGTTGAGAAGCGAAGTTGACCCGTCCCCACAATCATTTAGCCCTCAAGAAGAGCAAGCTTGAAAGCACAATGGGTGGCCTAAAGTTGAAATACCTTGAAGTGTTGGGAGTCAGTAGATGTTGTAGATTTGCGCAAGCTGACTGTCCACGTGGTAGGATGTAGTGAAGCGAAGTGAAGTGAAGTGAAGTGAATGGGGTTGAACCGTCTCGATAGCAGGTTGAAGGATTGGGATGGGCGGTTGGAAGAACGATTGGGATGGAGTTGGAAAACAAGAGTCCTTTCTCATAGCACAGCTGTCTGGACGTCGCTTGCTGTGTTGGGCAAGCCGCAAATGCAGGTTGCCGCCGCCTCTAGAGGCAAACTGCTTCTAAGCAAAACAGCTTGGTTTGCCCAAAGATAAAACAACGCGGTAGACAAATATACATGGTATTAAAGGTAGGCCGGCTGCCCAACCGGAACTGCGCTTTGGGCGTGATTCTCATCTCAGTGGTATGCCACCGTTGACTGGATCACGTTCGTGTGCGTTCCCGATTACAGACAGCCTCCTCCTAATCTTGGGCGTACTTATCCCGATTCATTCGCAGGGCCAGTTTGGGCTTCAAGCTTAGAACAACATTCTGCTCTTCCTGATTCCTTTATCTCAACTAGGCTAAAAGTACCCAGTAGTGTATGCTTTCTAACGCAAGTCTACCTATGTCCTTTCCTGAGCGAGAGACCGTGACGAACCAGACAGCAAGACTTTGCCCTCAATTTCTGACACAACGACTGGACTATCTGGAAGATCTTTCAGATAAACTCCTTTCTCAAAGTTCCTTTGCAGTTTCTGACACTTGAACAGGATCAATCTTAACTATCCTAGGAGCAGAGCCTCGTATCTTTGGACTACAAAAGATTGAAACCAGCCAACCACGTCGAGATGAACGAAGGAAGGGGGTATAATTTTTACACCGCTACTCTTACTGATGCTTTCTGGAAGCAAGAGGAACTGCACAATACCAAATCAAATACTTATTTGCTTTATTCCTTTCTTCTAGATAGAGCCCTAGAGCGGGTCTCTGCTGGTGGCTGCATTCTCAGACTCAAGAACCCGCCCGCTCAGCCCCTTGGACCACTCACGTTACGGAGCCGCCCTGCGTTCTATGAGGTATGGATTCGAAACCAGCTTGACCCGCTGCAGTTTCTTCGAAGGGAGTTAGAAGCTGGGGTTATTCCGTGTACGAAGTACCTATTTCTGGGAGTATCACACCACAGTACATAGTACTACTCAAGCAGAGAAGGTCCATTTCCAAGCGAATTTCTAGAACCCGGGGCAGTGGCCTTGGGCACGATGAAACACCACGTCGATCGACCTCGGCCGTTGAGAGTCTTGAGACCAGGGTGGTATATTTGAGATTCATGCAAAACTGTGCAAGATCCTTGCTGGCAATGCTGAGAAGTCAAACTGCCGAGAATAATGAAGCAGCCCTCAGGCATGCTGCCGAGGGTGATGGATCGAAATTCCCGGCTGAACAACGTGGTACGTCCAGCCCGGTTCTATCTGGTGGGAGCGACACCACGTTGCACCAGTTATCGAAGCATGGCTGGATCTGTGGGGGATGCATATCCGTCGCAGGGACGCTGTGCGCCTGTACTTTGTACATACAAAACTCACATCATATTACTGTATTGGGGGTGGATGAGAGAAGGAGTGGAACGGGGCGGGCGGGCGGGAGGGAGGGCAGTTCTATAATAAAGCGTCAGTGGGCACTTCTAGAGCTGCACCACCGTGTCCAAGCTCATTCCTCAAGCTTCATGAATATTATTCCCTCCGTCTCCGTCTCCAGCTCCACGATCCACCTCGTCCCGAGCCCCAGCCCCCAGGTTGAAAGTTTGAAACTTGGCCTTCAAAAAACAAAAAGCGCGCCGGCCCAGAAACGGCTTGGTCCGTCGACAGCGGAAGGGCGGAAGAGCTATTCGAACCAAATGGGGCGCGGCCGGGGATGGATCATGGATGGGCCGTCTAGGATGGGGCATGTTTCCTCCGGACGTTGACAGTGGCTGGCCATCCGAACCAACCAGTCGCACCCAACAGGAACACGAACAGGAACAGGAACAGGAACAGAACGTCAGCCTCAGGGGTACCGCCGCTTATGGAAGACAGAGCGCGTGTCCCCGAAGTTACTGAGTTGCAGCGGGAGGGCTACTATGCTACTGTACTACTGACCTGCCACAGTGCCAGGAGTAGTGCCACCGACGGAGTAGCAGTCGAATGCCAGGACCCCAGAAACAAAAAACGAATAAAAAGGGGCCGAGATCAGAGTCAGAAATCAGCATCGCAATCAGCGAGGATGTGCCCGCCGCCCGCGGTGTGTGACGTGGAAAGGTCGATCTGGGCTGCCGAGGGCATTCCGGATAAAAGATGGCCAGCTACGAAGGACGGAGGTAACGAAATCGCTATTTTAAACACACGAGATGAATACGTACCGCCAGTTCACGCAACCCCCCGGCCACCGAGGGCTGATGCGATGAGGGCCATAACATGCTGGAGGAGGTGGTGCCATGGCGGAGGGCAGGACGAGAGGATGAGGCAGCGAGGCCCGAAATTGGAGCCACTAGCCAGGGCAATGCAGTAATAATGCGCATGAGTGTTTGCACGAGCTTTGCGGAAACTGATAGCCTTTTTGCCTCTGGGGGCCAAAGCACGGGCAATTAGTTCCAAACGTTTATACCACTGGGACAGCTTCAAAGGGCTTTTGCATTAACCCCGCGAAACTGGCTGTAACTGCGAGAAAGGAAGAGCTCATTACTATTATTGCACAATTAAAACAAATCTATTCCTATACGGTCTTCGCCCCCTATGGCTATGGGTCCAGGCATAAGGGCTCACGCTCATTTCATCACACACACAAGCTCAACTTCCACAGTCTTTGATGTCCCGGGCTGAAGCCTAAGAGCGATCGCAGTGCCGACTTATTCGACCCCCCATTCGAGAGAACCTTATCGATAGTACGATACTGGTTGTGTGTCTCGGGACTATTACTCCTAATGATGGTCATGATCGCCGGCATGCCAGCCAGGCAGCTCCCCCGCGCGGATCGGATCGAAAAACAACAAGACGCGTATGATATACGTAGCACTAGTATAGGAGGGGGATGTTATCATTCGTGATCCAGGACGCGGCAGGCAGCACCAGTCGCAGAGCTTTGGGGGGGGGCAATCGTTGATATTTAACGAGTAATATCGACGTGGATTTGTCAAGACTGGTCTATCTGGTTGGCTTCACGTTGAGCCTGTGAACGAGCTCTCGTCATTAATAATGATAATTGCCCAGGCAGGCTATTTGTTTGGTGTCCCATCTGGATCAGACGGATCTGCGTGGGGCATTTGTTTTGATATACTTTGTTCTCCGTGTCGAAGCCGTAAATGCTTTGTATAGTACGAAGTTGGTACATGTGTTATTGTGGTGGTAGTTGGGCGCAGTAGCGGTATCGACTTGGTCGAGACATCATCGTCACATCATCGTCGCCGTCGCCTCTCCCACTTTCAAGCTCCTCTTCCTCATCGCCATCCTCATCGTCGTTCCCTCTCTTTTGTCCCCCTCCCCTCCAGCCCTACCATATATACCTATGTAAAATAGCCATCGTAATCCGCTCCTTTCCACATCTCTTCTCGCTCTCTTTCCGCTGCGCCAAACGCCCGACTCTCTATTATTCTTACCCACCCCCATCTCCATCTCCATTTTGATCCGCATCCCCGACCAAGCAACCAAGCAATCAATCCATCAATCAATCAACGAGGGCAATTCCAAGTCCCCCTCTCACCTGGCCTGGCTGGAGCTCGCGTCGTGTCGAATAACGGACCCGGTATAAAGCCGCCACGGTACCGTGCTGTGCTGGCATCATATCATTCATTCAGAGCCAGAGACCCAGCAGCCCCAGCAACCAAAGCGAAACCTGTCGATTGATCACTAGCCGACCCGCGCTGTCACAGTGGTGGTGCTGCTTTTTATGCTGCTGCTGGCTCGAACGGATACAGCTTCATTATCAGTACGAAGCACGAAGTATCGACGTGGAATTGCGCGCTGCTCAGACAACCACGGCGGCGGATAGAGAAGTCAGAGCAATTGCATTACAATACTTGGTACTTGGTACTTGGTACTTGGTACGCACGAGGACGAGTACTTTGTACAATTATTATACTCCTGTCTGTCCGACTCGGTCGGTAGAGTAGTACCTCCTCGTACCTGGCAGGCTGTCGAACCTCAACCTGCGCCAGCGCCTGAACTGTGCCAGATGGTGGCTAGCGAAATTGGCCATTAATCGCGCCCCATCGCATCCCCGACTCCCCCGATCCCCAGCTTCACGAATCAATTAATTATTCATGCCCAGCGGCGGTGTGATGAACGGAAGCAGCGCTCTGTGCACACGCGAACTGCGACACTACGACTACTCCAGTTAAACAGCCAGCGCTACGAAGGACAGCACTCAGCCTACAGTACCTAAGAAGGCTACACCAGCACCCAGCCCCTACGAGCGAGTACACAGTCGTCGCCCTGTCGAGGAGAGTCGTAGCTCTGCTTCGTACGGACCCCCTTTTTGCCTCCCTCGACCCCGAACCACGACCACTAACACGTCCACGCTAACCCGCAACCTCCGTCCCATTTCCTCCTGTTGCGATCGACCACGCATGAGATTCCTCCTGCTCCACCCTGTCAGGATTTAATATTGTCATTGTCACTACGCTCACTGCCACGGCCACTGCCAGACCCACAGCCCGGCTCTCTGGGAAACGCCCCCTTTAGCTCAATTTACCGAGTAGCCAGACACTCGACACTCGACACTGGGCAGACCCTCGAAAGAACTACGGCACGAACTAGCTGTAACTACGGCACCTCCCTCTCTCCTCTAGTCCTAGTCCATTGACACCCGGCCCCTAACTCTAACTCCCCAAGTCCCTTCGAGTCTTCGACAGCTCGTCTCGACTTCTCCTCATCAAGTCAAGCTCAGCATCAATCGTTCGTGAACGGCTCCCACCCGACCTCTCCGTCATTTCAATCGTTGCGACCGTCGCCCTCCGAACATAATAATACACCGCCATACGAAGTACTTCGCACACATCGCACCTATTACTCCCTCTCCGGAATCCAGACACAGATCCAGACCTATCAATCACTCCCTCGAGCACCCCTTCCCCAAACACCCCGTCGAGACCTGCCACATACGCATACTCCCACATAGCCTGCATGCACCGGTGACTCTGTCGAGCTCTTTCTAAAGGGCTTATCGACAGCGACGCACTTCTCTAGGTGAGCGCTTCTGATTTCCGCGGTTCATTTGCGCGAAGTCGCGATTTTTGGCGTCGGGAGCTCACCTCAAACCATAGTTCAGTATCGACGTTGCCGACCGCGTCAGGCCAGGGCCTCACAGGTTGCGATATATGAGCACAACCCATCATTCACCGCTCCCCACCACCATCCGCCATGGCAACGTCGTATGACTCGCTTCACCGAGGGGTGTCGACACCCCAGATCGCACCCGGCACCGCGCTGGAGGATCGTTTCGAGGTCATCAAAGACATTGGAGATGGCAGCTTTGGCAGCGTCGTCCTAGCAAGAGTTCGCTCAGCGGGCTCGAGCGTAGCGCGACGTGGCACTGTGGTAAGTGTGCTCAATTATTATGGTCGAGCCCCATCAGAGCTGACTGGTGAATATAGATTGCTATCAAAACGATGAAGAAGAGTTTCGAGTCCTTCACACCATGTTTAGAGCTTCGGGAGGTGGTCTTCCTAAGAACGCTACCAAACCATCCCCACCTCGTCCCCGCGTTAGATATATTTCTCGACCCGGCCAGCAAGAAGCTTCACATCTGCATGGAGTATATGGATGGGAATCTCTACCAACTGATGAAGGCTCGCGACCATAAATGCCTAGATGTTGCCAGCGTCAAGAGTGTTCTGTTCCAGATCATGCAAGGACTAGAGCACATTCATGCGCACCATTTCTTCCATCGCGATATCAAACCCGAAAATATCCTCGTATCAACATCGACACCACAAGAATCTGGAAATTCTTTCCGGCGATATTCCGCCATGGTTACGCCTCCTTCAACCCCTCCAACATATACCGTCAAAATTGCCGACTTTGGCCTCGCGAGAGAAACACACTCAAAATTACCCTACACAACTTATGTTTCGACTAGGTGGTATCGTGCTCCAGAGGTCCTGCTCCGAGCAGGAGAGTATTCGGCTCCTGTTGACATTTGGGCAATTGGCGCTATGGCCGTGGAGATTGCGACACTGAAGCCCCTGTTCCCTGGTGGAAACGAGGTCGACCAGGTGTGGAGAGTCTGTGAAATCATGGGCAGCCCCGGCAATTGGTACAACAAAGCCGGTGCTCGAGTTGGAGGCGGGGATTGGAGAGAAGGGACTCGATTAGCAGGTAAACTTGGATTTTCCTTCCCTAAGATGGCACCCCATGCAATGGATACGATACTCCAAACTCCTCAGTGGCCGACTTCACTCAGCAATTTCGTCACGTGGTGCCTAATGTGGGATCCAAAAGCCCGACCAACCTCAACTCAAGCCCTTGCTCACGAGTTCTTCAATGATGCGGTGGATCCCCTACGACCAAAATCATCCGCTTCCAGGATACTGGGTCGCAAGCATTCTGATCTCAGCTATCGGGGCTCGAAGGACTCTACCGAAATAGCTCAGAATCAATCGTCCAAGCCATCGTGGTTCAGGAAATCTTTGATCGGCCGGTCGGATAGCGGCAATGGGGTAGCAGCGCCTGTTGGAAAGGAGAACATTGCCCCTCGACCATCGCCAATACACGCTGCCACCGACGTACCGGTGATTAAGACGAGACCAAATGCAAGTAAGCGATCAACGTGGAACAACGGCCCTTCAAATGCCGCCCCGATGCCCATCTTGCCAACGATTAAACCTATCTCGCCGCTTTCAGATACAGTCACGGCACAAGCTAGCAGTCGAACGCCATCCTACACTGATGCTCATAAAGCAGCAGGCCAAGCAGCCGCAAATATGGATGACAAAGTAGTGAAGAAGATCGGCCGCCAGCTCTCCGTTGCTTCAAACGGCAACCACTACGCCGATATTCACAGACAACAGGCAGAGATGGCTTTGAACGGAAATAGTGGCTTAGCATCCCCTCCAAATGGCCAGAAGGAGAGCTTCTTCTCTCATCTAAGGAAGCGAGCGAGAAGATTCTCCGGGCGCCAATCTCAGACTCCCATCTCGCCGAAATCAATGGATATCGAGGCCCAAGCTGGCTGTGGACCATGGGCCAGCAACAGATCATCCATGGTCGTGGACAATGTCGGCCAACTCCCAAGTCCCGTCCAGAAAGTCGACACTTACGAGGCCCTCGATAAAGCGCTTCGGAATGTCCAGCAGAATCTCGATTCTTCGCAAACCGCACCCATCCCGCCAAATCATGCCACCACTCCAAGCAGCACTCTAAAACGCCACCATTCCCTCCCCCACCAACAGCCTCGTTCAATCGATAATCTCAGGGCGGTAGGACCAGTATCAAGTAGAACTCGCCGGTCCCAAGTACCTGGAGGAGCTCGCCAGTACGAGACACCGGATGAAGAAGACGAGCTCCTCGACGAGGCGTTGGTGGCAACGCACAAGGCCATGAAGCGGCTCGACCGAAATTCGATTCAGCCTGACCGCCCCTTGCGGCAATCTAATAGCAACCTTGGGTTGACCAATCCATACCCAACCCCGTCACCTTCTGCTAGCGGTAATGCCGTATTGTTTGGTCATGGTGTTGCCCAGGTGACGCCATCCAAAGTTCGAGGGTTGAACAAGCAATCGTCCACTCCCCCCTATGATTCCGAGGAGAACGAGTGGGCTACTTCCGCGGCAGCAAGCATCTTTGCTGCTCAAAACCGATTCTAGAACGAGCCTGGAGGCATCGTGAATTTGTAAAAAATATACGGAGGAAAAGTTCTTGCTGCGTCATGCATTTGCAAGGTGTTTTGGGGATTCGGACTTCTGGCAGCATCGGTTGTTTTGTATTCGCACGTTCCTTTGTCAATGTCAGGTGTTCATGTTTGGTTCATCAGTTGGGTCAGCGTGTATATTCTAGGGTGTCATGATCATGTCCCCTTGCGGCTGTTGCATTTTCATTGTCTAATCTTCATACCCATAGCAGCGAGCCGCCATAGACGGGCGCCTCTTGTTGCCCTTTTTTTATTTGCCGTTCAAAATACCCCCCCATAGACTGCACGGATATATCAGGTTGAGAGAGCGAGCAAGACTGCTTCACAGCGCGGAATATCAAATTTTCTTTTGTCTTGTCATCAAACAGTTGTCCTGGAGCTAGGAAAAGCCGGCGGGCACAACAGAGTTATTTATTGCTTTCGGGCTTACAACACATCTCATTCATATTGGGAAAACAACTTTTCTACTTATCTGTATGTACAATTCAAAGAGGAGGGAACGTGGGATCTGGTTTGCCCGGCGGCCGAGGGCTTTTATGTAATGGATGCCGGCATCACCGTGTCGGTTTCGAGCTATTCTTTACTGTCTTTTTTTTTTTTGCGAACTGGGAATCTTGGCTTGGGTTTGCTTGGTTTTGGTCGCGTGCTGGCTAGCGCTGCTGGCATAGCGCAGCCTAAATACTTGCTTAAACTTGGGAAGGGTGTGTATTTAGATGGGGAGATGATGATCCAAATCAGATTAAAGTATGGCATGACGCCCTATTCCTTTTGCAAATAACCAAAAAACCAGAAAACAAACTATAATGTCTAGATATTTTCTTGTGTATTGTGATATACGAATCGGTTAGTTCCAATTTGGTGAGTTACTCTGAAATGGCTCTGAATGAGGACCCTGTACGGTCCGTGCTAGGCACGGTCTAACGCAAGGTAGTTTTAAAGGGTATTATTGTCTTGTCAGAAGATAGCACCACAAAGATAATTGCACATACTAACCCTAATTCCCTACTAGTGTAGATCGCCCGTCTCCTCCCCCCGTTTATATTCCTCTTATACATTTCAGCTCCTGCAAATTCATACAGAGATTGCCATGGACGGTGGCGGTGTCTTCAAGCCGGTATTCGCATAGCAACCTAATGTTCACATCCACATTCACAGTCATGTTCACGCATCCCCACTTTTACAGATTATCCCTAGCACTAGGATAAAATCTCAGGGTGTACAAGCCTTCCTCGTAACAAGATATAAGCCTCCGTGTACGCAAGCCGAGGAAGATGAATAGCCCGGGATTTAGGCCGAGTCGTCGATCTCGCCGATCGGTCTTGGTTGCTGGTGGTTCCGCCGATGCTGGAATGTACTTTGTTGGAATGTATGGTGGACCAGCAGCAGTAGTAGTTTCTGCCTTGCTTATGATCCACTTGTTACCATACTATTCTATCTCTTCCATCTGCCTCTGGGGGCACGGGAATTCCATCAGGCATGTCTCAACTCACTACGACAAGCCCTAGAGGAGGTGATGCAGGTGACTTGATCCTATATAACCGGAAGGGCGGGTTAAGCTTGGCAGAACAAATATTTAGAGGAAATGGAGGTTATGGGAATTAGGAGGGGGCTATACATGTTGGAATGGCGGCGGAGTACTAACGGGATAGCATGTTGACTGACAGAGTGGTGATGTTTTTAAAGCTGGGATAGAGTTTCGACTTGGCTTTTCGAAACTCCTTGTGTGCAACTCTTGTTAATGCGGCGCACCTACACGTTCCTTTCTTATTTGTGGGAATGCCCAAGGTAGTGTAGTGAGCTTCAGGTGTGCACTAAAATGTAATTTTATTATATTCAACTGTTATGATTCACAAAACTCTAGCAGCGCATTTGATATTCACACACCCATTCCTGGCCCTGGCTATAAAACCCTTGCCCCTCCTCTCCTTCTTACTTCCTATTTCTCTCTTCTCTATCTACTACATAGTTGCCTCTGGCCAACAGCTAGACAAACTCATTTTGCCACGCTACATTTATTTGTTAAGAGATATCTCCCAGGGTACACGAAGTGTATAGTAAATGTTTAAACAGGGTTGTTAAGGCACTTTTGCCTATGGGTATGAGCGCCGGTATAAACGCCAGTATGGACCGCTTCGTCTATATGTGATTGGCGCACAGCCTGTCGGTAGGAGGCGGGTCAGAGTGATGGGAGGGGGTTGGCCAAGCCGTCTTGCTATTGAAATTGGTTCCAGGCCATACCGATATAATGCTGTTGAAGTGTCTACCGTGGATATTTTGGGCGGTGGATCTAAAGAATGTTCAATTAGCGGTTGTGGCATATTGCGGTCAGATCATCGACGTCGTCGACGATAATAGCTACGGATCAGAGCTATCCTTGGACTCGCTAGTTTTGTTAGCCTGGCAAGTAGCTAGAGAGAATTAACACCTCGCGCTGTTTTCCTGCCATGGAGCTTCTTAGATAACTCGAGCAATGTAGAACAAGTGTGATGTCCAAGAGCACATATAAATACCCTGTTGTAATTATTACACTCGGAGACAACAGTTTGTAATACAGTATCAAAAAATTACAAACTAAGGGGGTAGGAGAGCAAATAGCAGCCAAGTGAGCGGGAATAGCAATGCATATTCATACAATGTTTGTATAGACATGTAGTTAACTGCCCCACCTCATTCCCCGCAACTTAGAATGGGCCACTGAATACCTCAACTAAACCGCCCCTGCAACAACAGCTGGTATTGATATCGCAACACTTGTTATTCACAAGGCCTAAGTCTACATCCCCATTCACACTCATATTCAAAGTTGTAGTATAAATCCCCTTCCTCCCTCTCCCCCATCCATCCCCCTTCCACCTATTTCTATAATCTAGAAACCAAAAACAAGGGCAGCTACAAAACGAGCATTCTTTCTATCTATCAAGACAGCAAATACACATTGAAACGCACAAGCCAAAATAAGTAAAACACCAAAGTACAAAAATGCAAAAATGGGAGCAGGAAGAAGCCCGCCAGTGGTCAGAAAGGTCAAGTTAAGGTTACCACACTTTCCACAGTCTGTGGGAGGGAATGGGGCATTAGCTAGTAATGGTGGTCAAAACTCTATGGGCCACAACCCAACGCCAACACCGCCAGCTCCAACGGTGGGAAACAGAGGCGGTGGAGGCGGTGGTCGGGGAAGTATGATGGGTCAGAATAGACTAGCAATGGGAAATGGTCCAAATGGAGTTGGTAGCGGAAATGTGATGGGTCGGAATGGAGTCAATGGACCACCAACGGGAAATCCAGATGGTGGAGGAAGTGGTATGGGCAGTTTTGGACCGCCAATGAGAATCCCAAGCCGTGGTGGTAGAGGCGGTAGCAGAGGCGGTAGCAGAGGCGGTGGTAGAGGGGGTGGTATATTGGCTAGAGGAGGAGGTTCTCGTCGCGTGTAGTACCTATGGGCTTCGTAGTTAGCAAGTAACGGGGAATCACTCGTTGGTTTTCAATGTATTTAAAATGGTATTCACAATACTCCTACGGTACGCGGCCTCCTGATTGATATCTTCAATCAATACCATAGCTATAGGTATAAGTCTCATTCATAGTAAACTCTAAAAATATACCAATTAGTATCATTTATTTTATGGATCAGATAGCACTTATCCTGCTACCAACCTGCCAGGTTATAGAAGACAACAGAGATTCGAGGCTAAATCCCTTATACCGTTGGCCTGTGTTTTAACTTGACATCATGCCGTAGTTACTAGTCGCCATCCCACTTGAGACGCATAAACTTGGTTGACTTGCTGCGTGCTTTAAAGGACTTGGTAGTTGTTGATTCGCTCAATGAATTTGGAGGGCTGAGGAATCAAAAGTCGATAATGGTGTATTAGCGGCTCTGTAGTGATGATAAATACCTTGATCATAACGAGATTGTACCTTCAGCGGTATAGGCAGAATCTTTTAGAAAAGTATAGTGAACATAGTCAGGGACTGGGTATAAATATGACACCAGCAATGCAAGATACTTTGTCTACGAGAAAGGCAGCCGAATCTTAAAGTTCAAACCTTTCGGACTGGCCTAATAATACCATGAACTTTATCTTAGATTATAGGAAAGCCATAATGCTTAGAGTTATGTCTGTGAAGCATAGCCGAGATGGGCATTCGATAATTATTGCATCGATATGCCTCCTATTAAGCCGGTTTTATACACTGACACAAGACATAAGAGATATATTGACTATAGATTCGAATACCATAGCTTCTCTTTATGTTATTTTGAGTTCATACCTTGTATTCACACATTACCCTTTGGTTATCCCCTACCCGCGCTGGTCAAGCTTCAGGATAATGTCCGTTTTGAGAACCAGCCGTTTGACGATCCCGATGGAGTTGCTCCCATGTTAACTCGCCTCTTCGGCGAAGATACGACTGACGACACGCTTAAGCTACAAGTCAAGACTATCGTCTCTATGAACAACCCATGGACAGGTCATCTCGACGGCACCCTGGAGGGGTCTTCTCTTAGGATGGTAGAACCCGAACGCCGCGGTGGAGAGGACATTGAATGGATTCGCTATAAGTGGACTTTCCATGGCGACAATGGACTTGCAGCGCCTCCTCCTGGTGTTAGCGGCTCTGCTATATGGGACGACGAGGGTGTTGTTATAGGCTTCTTTCAATATTATATCCCCGACGGAAATTTGAGAGGATTTTGTATCTCGGTTTCAGCGTCACACCTGGCTCGTTTTGGCCAAGGTTATCATCTGGCGGTTTGAGGGTGGTTGGGACTGGTTTAGGCTCTCACTTTACTTTGTACACACTCGAATAACAAGGACCAATGCTTTACAATGAGGTGGCGGGCAAGCCTTTTATAGAGGACCTATGGTAAGGGGCTATGAGCAAAGACCCAGGAGAACCGGGTATGGAGATATGGGGTCAAGGCGCTGGAGTTAGGTTGTTAGTGGCTATGGATGGAATCGTTGGCTTGTGCGACTTTGGAATTAGCTAGCAACGAAGAACAACTCGGTGACTTTCAAACTTATTCCTAGCATGCAATCTGAAGTAGAGAGAGAGCATTCTCGTTACCAGAGTATAAGCTTGTACGATGCAACAGACATTCGGTGAAACAAATTTTCGGACACAAGTACATTTCAAAAGGAGAGACATTTTGTTTTGAACTTTTAAGCTTTTTTATTGATTGTTTTAAAATAGGCCAATTAAAACCAAGGGTATTGATTGCCACTTCGATACAACCAAAGGGTACTAATGGCAATAAAATATCAGATCGCGCACCTCTGGTAGTAGAACCAGGGGGGTATTGATGCTAAACACAAGCCAAACCTAACGCCGCTAATAAATCCAAGGAGGTTCTGGTACTAAACAAGGAGTAGTCCAATCTAGGCACCGCCAGTCCATTCTAACTTGAATGTGTCCATTGATTAATCATAACCCGCCACTAGCTCCAGAACACCCTTTCTCTCCCGCCAGTTATAACTGTCTTCTAGACTCGCGCACTAGGTTCTGTTGGCTTCTCGGTAGAGAAGCTGGTCGGTTCATGATTAACCTCATCCATATTGTACAAATTCTCGGGCTCAACATTTTGTCTTAAGATGTATCTTTTAAAGAAGTAGGGGACTTGTCTGGCACCGTACGCGGCGTGCAGCCGGGTGGGCACGCTGAAGACTTGGTCCAATTCCTCAAGAGTCCTGCCTTTGGTTTCAGGGACGAAGAACAACACACCCAAGAACCCAATGAGATTCCAAGTTGCATACCAGGAGAAAGCACCCTGAGGCTTGAAGGCGGCGAGAAGAGATGGCCATGTGACTGAGAGGATGAAGTTGAAGAACCACGTCGTTGCAGTTGCCAATGACATCCCAAGAGGGCGGATGTACAAAGGGTAAGCCTCGGCCGAGTAAGTGAACGGTACTGGGCCTTCACCAGGAGAGTATACTACACCGAAGAGGTAGATTCCAAGGGCGATACAGGCGATGTGTGCCGTTGAATCCTCTGGGATCCAGAAGCTGAAGCCGGTGAAGAACATGCAGAGAGCCATCAGTGGGAACGTGGTGAGAAGAAGATTTCGACGGCCAAATTTGTCAATGGTGTAAACTGCTGGAAGGGCAAAGAGGAAATTGATGACACCGAAGCCTAAGGAAGCACTAAGTGCATTGATCTCGGACAGGTTGGCCTGAAGGAAGATTTCCGAAGAATAGTAGGCGATGACATTGACACCACAAAACTACAGACGGGTTAGCATCATTGTTGGCAATATTTCTTCATCAAGCGAGGGCTTACTTGTTGCATGAACATAACAATCTCAGAGGCTTGCATGGCACGTCGGTTTCGAGGCACGGTGAACAGCTCCTTGACTTTGCTCTGGCCGAGCAGCATGGTCTCTTTCTCGGCTTCAAGGAGAGTATGCATATAGAAGATGTCTCTGGCAGCCTGGACCTTGTTGTAACGAAGTTTACACAAGCTTCGATAGGCTTTTTCATGGCGTTCCTTGCTCATATACCAGCGAGGAGATTCGGGAACAAGGAAGACGAAGCAGCAGACGATAACTGCGGGAAACATTGCAGAGCCTAAAACAGTATTAGCTTTGAAGGCGCTAGAAGTTTGGGGGAGTGGCTGAATAATTCTGCTCAGGTGGGCTGAGATATAAGTCTCCCATGATAGGTAGGAAAGCAAAAAAATAATTTCCACTTACCCATCATCAATCGCCAGTTGAGGCCGGTGACTCCAGGCGGATCTGCAACATGAAAAAAGGCTAGATCTGAAGCATAGCCAACCATGATACCAAAAGCTAAGGGGTTATTAGCAAAAAGTTCCAAACTTGACAACGTCAGGAGGCTTACCTGTCCACATTTGCCACTGCATAACCAAAGCGCCACGAATGAGGGGCGGGGTGCACTCGGCAGCGTAGATGGGAACGGTAGCTGATTTTGGCCCAATTCCAAAGCCAAGGCAAAATCGAGCGATGAACATGTGCCACCAGGTATTGGTGAACGCTTGCCAGAAGCAGGCAAGAGCCGAGATCAGACAAGTAATGAAGATTGTGCCACGACGGCCAAACCAATTGTTGAAGGGAACAGTCAACCAACATCCTATAAATGCGCAGCAGAGATATGGTGCTGAGTTGACAAGTCCAACCAGCCATGAATCCCGGGAGCTGGTTTTGTCGCCGATGCCAAATTGTCTGGAATAAAATATTTGGGCTCCATTTACCACGGTCTCATCTGAAATTCGGCATTAGCACGGATCTGGCCGGGGTGACGATAATACTGTACATACCCATTCCTTGGACGGCCGCACAAGTTGAACAAAGAACAATGACCAAGTATAGGAGCTTTGGCTGAGACCATCTCTTGGTGACTTCTTCACCACAGATTCTTTGCTCGTCTTCTGAGAGCCCATCAACCTCGGCATATCCCTCGGGATTCTGTGCAAGGATGGCGCCTAATCTGAATGCTCGGACATCTTCTTCATCGCCGATTTCGTTGCTTCTGCAGTAAGACTCGCCCTTATCAGCGAGCTCCTTGTGCGTGTAGCCCGCCAGGGGATTGGCAAGTTTTGCATTGAGGTTGCGGCGAAGTTTGTCGGCATCGAGAGGCGACCTGCTGTCCGAGGCAGTCTCTGTTTTTCCGTCGTAATCATTCGAGTCGTCGCCTGACGTCTTGCGAATGGCATCGTGTTTTACATCGGGATCACTAGACATGATGTCCGTCACAGGCAAATGTTTCTAGATTAGGGTATTGATTGTCGAATGTGGTGATTGTGAGCCACGCGACCCTAGATTGGTTGATCAAATGAATTACAGCCTCGACTGGTCTTCATATACCGATGAAAGAGGGTTACTATGAAAGGGGTGATTGTGAAGTTGTATAATAAATGAATTCCATGTGAAGACACAGACGGGCGGGCATCTCTATTTATTATATGACTCGGTGCAGACCGACGTGCCTGCCCGCCTGGGTATCGACTAGCATGCAAGTGACGGGAGAATGATGCACCATGGTTGTCATTGTCCTTGCCATCTCCAAAAAAGGCAAAGACTCACGCTGGCGGGGTGGGCGGGGAAACAGAAAGGGGGAACGGGGGATGGAGAATGGAGTATAGAGAATTATGGAGACGGAACAGGTTTCTCAGACCAACAGACTAACAGTCCAACAGAGCGCCGCTGACTTGCAATTTGAAGCATTGATTGGCCGTGTTGCACAACTGGCTCTCCCACAGGGGTTGCAAGCACTTTCCCCAGGGCATGAAGCCCGACTCGGAGTTATCAAGGTTGTCAGGTTGTCGTCTTTTTCTCCCAACACCTAACACCTAACACCTACTACCTGGTGGGCATTGTTAGGTTCTAGGATTTCGTTTCTTCAATAGCCAAGACAACCGCACTGGCTGGTTTCAACGGTCAGGTTTTCAACCTCTTCCTCCTACTACGTACTACGTAGTAATGGCCATGTTGAAAGCTTGCAGTAAGATGCATGTCGACCCTGACGCCATCCCCGCAAAGGAACTATAATCTGACTATTGTAGCTGTACAAGTACGAGGACGGACTATTATGACGACACTCTGACAGCCACGTGAAGTATTACTCGGGCTTGACGTGCAATAAGCTCGGAATCCGTCAAGGTAGGTAGGTGGACGGAGTACGTGAAAGATGTGAAGGTGTGAAGATGTGAAGATGTGAAGATGTGAATGTAGTGGGTACGTCATTATTGTGCGGTGTCCTCGATCCATTGGCCGATCGGGTCGAGGATGCCGCCGTAGGACCCTTGAATATCGTCGATTCAGTGCCGCTATACGTACTCCATAGGCAATTAAGGATCCTTGAATCGGCATCGCAGTGGCTGGCTGTCTACTTCCATGCCGATCATCGATCATCGTTGAGTCTGACTGTGCCTGTTCTGTGCTCGTTGCTGGGTGCTAGGTGCTTGTTCTTGTTCTTGTTCTTGTTCTTGTTCTTTGGTCGTTCTTGCGGCTGAGACGGTGAGATGCGGTCTCATGGTAGCGTGACGTCAAGACCCCGACTGCCGTCCTCGCCTGTTGGTAAGCGAGGCGCCAGCATACTCGGCACGTGGTTCTGTGGCGGTTTTGGCGGGCTGGGCGGCGAGCGGGACTTCGATCCGATCACCACGGACACATACTCCGTAATTCAGAAAAGGATGAATTGAGAAGAGAAGAGAAGAAAAGAAAAGAAGAAAAAAGCCGAATTATCGATCTTGAAACCTTCTTGCCAGAGCCTTTGGGCTTGATGCTGGACTAGATTAGACACTGGCACTCTCTGGAACTGTTTGCACACGTAAGCTGCTAAGCAGGTAGTCCTCCACCTACCACCTATCTACCTTAGTCAGTTGTCCAGTCGTCGAGTCAGTGGACATGTATTATATATGGGGAGATGGGGTATGTTTAATGTAGTTGCCTAAATAACCCCTTTCCCCAAACACAACCTTACTCCACTGGGGAAGCCGAAGACAAAAAAGGAGTTTCCGGGGTTGGCATAACTTTTAAGATAAGAGTACTTCGCACCGCGTGCTTACTGTGCCTCGTAGCACTGAAAACCAGGTGGATATGGCTTATTCGGCCCGATGCATGCCCCGTGAAGAGAAGGAGAAGAAGTAGAACAACAAGGAGAAGACGAGGAAGAAGTAGAAGAAGAAGTACGGAGTATGCATTTGTTTTCCAAAAAGGAACCCCGTCGGCAAGCCCACAGCCATCGCCCGTTCATGATTTTGTCCCATAATGATGATGCATTTGGAACTCTGATCTGGTTCAAAACTGTAAGCGGGATCACAGAGTACAAGACACTGATTCCTGTAATAATAACCCTCGTCGGCAATCTGCATATGGAGCTATTTGAAACCCTTCGGAGACTCAGCAGCAATGTGGCAGGACAATTCTGCAGTGCAGTCTGTAGCTTGGGCTTCTGAATGTCCGGTACTGTACCTATTTGGAACTCCACATCGGGGGAGCACTATCAGCTCACCACGCATTTCCCAGTATGCCGCCAGCCGAGGATATTGACGCCGCCCGGATGGGGAGGGCTCTTTTATTTTCGGTATATTCCGATGCTGCGTGTTCGGAAACAAATCGAGTCTTCATAGAGGGTAACGACAGCATGGATTCCCCGTAACATTGATCCCCAGTAGCGTTCAACTAAGTGCTGCGCACAACTAACCCGTCGGGCCCGACATACCATGCCTTGTGATATGCCGTAGCAGCTGTTAGCACAGTGAAAGGAATTTCTGCCTAGATGCTAAAGTCCATATGTAGATACCTAAGGTAGGTGGGTAGGTATATAAACGAAGCGCCACCACTAACACTAGGGCTAACGGAGAAATGCCACTGTATCCACTCACAATTAGCTTTGGTACCGTACATACCAAAGAAAGCCGTGTGGACATATAATCTGGTTTTCGATTCTAGCTCCAATTATCTGATACCCCTACCGATCACTGACGGCCCGTAGTATCGGGAGTAGGCTAGTTGAGGCAACGCCTATAACGCTCTCGGTATCATCTTTATGAGCCGCAGAAACATTGCATTTTTTCCTCCGCGCTTTGGACCGCCTATCGATATCTTCCCAATCAACCTTCCAATTCATAATACTCTCAGTCAGCTCTTGGTCGGCATCTCGGGGAATATATTGCGAACACTGGGCTTCGATGGATTGTAATTGAATTCGGAGGAATTTGAGCTCTGATTGATTTGCATCGAAGTCATCTTCCCTGTTGATTGTTAGGAAATTTCCAAGACAAAAATTGCGGTAGGGTTACGTACATTTCAGCTATGCGATACTCAAGTAGGAGGATGCGTTCCGCCGCTTTCTCGGCTCGTGCTACGAGTAGATCATGTATGTGCTAGGCATATTAGCTGTGGAACTATTGAGAAGATAGCAGCATCCTGCTCGAATCAAGCCCAACTCACATCTGATTCTTCTCTCCTTATCTGTAGCTCTGCGATAGCTTTGGACAGTTGTGATGTCAGCTGCTCAGCATCTCTAGCGATTTGAATAGCTTTAGTGGTCATTTCTACATCACGGATAGATTGCGGCGAGGTTTTGACCATTTCGGGAAGACGCATTCTGAGACTCTGTGTTGGTGTTCGTGGCCCCCAAAACGTATCATCCTCTCGAGCACTACCGAAGCTCCCGCTCCTCAAGCTGGGTGACTTTCGACGACTTCCCTCGCGCATCAATATCTCAACCTCGTCTACTTTGTGATGTATTGCTGCAATTGTGGTATTCTCAAGAGAATTATCCTTGGATAGCCGCAGCACCACATCGTGGAGTCTTTCGATGAGGACATCTTTGTTATCCTCGGTCAGGTCTTCTTCCCTCGGACTGGGCTGGATAGAGCGTGGACTGGTGATGGGCGACGAGAACTGGCGATGAAGCACAGGAAAATGGGCGATTCCAAGATGATGCAAACTCATGGCTGTGGAGAGATAATTATAATACTTCAATGTACTGTACAATATGTATCCCTAGCTATAGGGCGGGCGACCCATAACAGCCCATATACAACTCATGTGGGGAGACTTTTTGGGTTCGAGATGCGCTGTCGTGACCTCCTTGTCCGGCAGAATTGGGCGGTGAGGATAACTGCCACCTTTCGGAGGGGAATATATTATTCCGTGTCTACTTGTCTGTTACCGCTCCTTTCTTGACAAACTTTGTCTTTGTTTACCTTGCCAGACATATCGGCGTTCCTATTCATTGGCCTACCCACGAGAGAATAAGCATACTCCCCGAATTGAATGTATGCGCTATAGGTATTCTCCAAATTAAGCACCAGACACGATGGCAGTAAGTCAGACAGTGACTCATTGGTGGCATAAACATCGCTCATCGTAGTATAGGAAGAGCTCCAACCGTCCTTGGATACTGTCCGGCAGATAGTACAGAATACAGCCGGCCAGCCAAATCCTCCAAATCTAGTCCCGGTCTATGCGCAAATATCTAGCGATGTCATCACACCAACCGGGGCATATCTGAAGATCGCCGACCACTTCAAATCCGAATTCTCCTTCTTATTCGAGAGTGCGAGCTCAGAAACGGTTGGACGGTACAGCTTTGTTGGAGCCAGTCCTCGAAAAATACTGAAAACCGGCGAGGGACATGGCCCGGAGGTTGATCCATTACCTGCACTTAAGGTAGAGCTATCGAAGAGCCGAGTTGCGGATGTACCGGGGTTGTCATTGCCACCCTTGACAGGAGGCGCCATTGGATATGTGGGATACGACTGTGTGCGGTATTTTGAGCCCAAGACTGCAAGGCCAATGCAAGATGTGCTCAAGGTCCCTGAATCTCTGTTTATGCTCTTCGACACAATCATCGCCTTCGATCGATTTTTCGAGGTTATAAAGGTTATAACATATGTCCATGTTCCTAGCAATCTCGACGAACTTCCGTCGATTTATGAAAATGCGCAAGGGAAGATCAATGAGATTGTCACTGTTCTGCAGTCCGAATATACCCCCTTTCCTCATCAACCACCAATCGAGCAAGATCAGGAAAGCGTCTCGAATATCGGCCAAGCTGGCTACGAGAAACATGTCACTTCTCTCAAGGAGCATATCATCGCTGGTGATATAATCCAAGCTGTTCCATCTCAACGCTTTGCCCGTCCTACTTCGCTCCATCCTTTGAATATATATCGGAAATTACGGGCTGTCAATCCATCGCCATATCTGTTCTATATCAACTGCAAAGACTTCCAAATAGTTGGTGCCTCTCCCGAGATTCTTGTGAAAAAGGAGAATGGACGCATCATCACGCACCCCATAGCCGGGACAGTTAAGAGGGCACCACTGGATCCAGAAGAGGACGAAAGGCTCGCACAAGAGCTTGCCAATTCGCTGAAGGATAGAGCTGAGCATGTCATGCTTGTTGACCTGGCAAGAAACGACGTGAACCGAGTGTGTGACCCCACAACCGTGAAGGTGGACCGTTTGATGGAGGTGCAGAAATTCAGCCACGTGCAACATTTGGTTTCTCAAGTGTCTGGAGTCCTTCGGGAAGACAAGACGCGATTCGATGCATTCAGATCGATTTTTCCTGCGGGCACCGTATCAGGGGCACCGAAAGTCAAGGCGATGGAACTTATTGCGGAACTAGAAAAAGAAAAGCGAGGTGTCTACGCTGGAGCTGTCGGATATTTTGGATATGATAGTGTGGACAGTAAAGGGAACGAGGTGGAAGGCGAGATGGATACCTGCATTGCGCTACGGACGATGGTTGTGAAGGATGGCGTTGCTTACTTACAAGCTGGTATGTTTTCTCCATCACAACAAAGCAAAAATTAGCACTGACCGAATATAGGCGGAGGTATTGTATTCGATTCTGTTCCTCACGATGAGTATATCGAGACGATCAACAAGCTCAAGGCCAACTCGACAACTATAAAGTTGGCGGAAGCGGAGCAAACGAAGCTGTTGGCGGGCCAGAAAATAAAGGTATCGGCGAAGGATGATATCAAGGCTTTATCTGAAGGTACAGCGCATGTCGACCTTGCAGCTGGATAATTCTGTCAGCGGACATTAATAATGAAAACAAAAGTTACACAGATAAACTCATCATCGCAATTAGGGATTGAAACGGACAAGTCGCCCATGAAAGCCTAAAAGCAGTACCAGCCAAATTTGACACGCACCACAAAACACATCCTCCATAATATTACCGCATTGATTGGTCCCTAATTATCATTGTTTCGCCGGGCCCTACCCCGCCAAACCTATTCCCTGTCTATAAAACACCAAAACGAACCGCGACGTCCGCTCCATACGAACGCGTATCTCCCCCATCGTACAAAACACCAAACCCCTCCACCCCAAAATTAGTATTCTTCCAGAAAGAAAATCCGGATATACCCATGACTCACACTAAACTACGCGAAACAAATTTACTCGGCTCCAATTTCACGGCATAAACATATAGTGCAAGGATAGGGGTTCCGGGGAATTCTGGCGATGCATTTATCAACGCATGAAATATAATTTCTCGCGAGCAAGGAGGGGCATGTGACAGGGAATCTTTAGGCGCTTTTTGATGGACAGCAGAGAGAGAGAGGGTATTTTTGGGTTTATATGAACCCGGTGGGATCCCCGTCGTTTCTGTACCAACTGTTGCCTCTCGTTTTCTCTTTTTGTTGGATATATTTTGTTTTATAGTGGGATTTGGAAAGGGGCATTCATTCGTTCATTAATAATTTATTTAGCCTTGGCCATTGACCAGGAAGAAGACTCGGAATCCAAATATACTTTCCTCTCGGTTTTCTGCGATATACAGTTTTCGGTCCACTCAAAAGCGCCATGCTCGCCCGTCTCACAAGCAGCGCTTCCAGGAAGCCTATAGCTAAGCCCGGGGACAAACCCAAGCCAAAGCCTACAGAAAAAGAAGAAGAGAATAAGGAAAACCTCGACAAACCCCTCCCTATCCCCACAGAGAGGAAAAGACCAGGCACATCTGGCACTGAGTGCGTTGTCCCCTTTCCCAAGCCTTTTGAGTGTGAAAGCCGACGTAGCATACAAACAGACTCGTCCTTCGGGCCGACCGCGTCGAGGCCTCGACAGCTTTCCAGCGAGCACAGAGAGCAGAGCAAGAATACCGCGCGAGACGACAAGCAACAATTGCGAGGAGTGATGCCAAGGCTGCAAAAGTGCATTTAGGGGAGGCGGGGAAGCAGTTTAGAGCTGGGGTTTGTAGTTCCTTCATTGCCATCACTCTCCCAAACTCTCGTACCTCTCGAGGTTTATTCCACAAGTGTGCATAAAACGAAGACGCTGGGATAACAGGACTGCAATAATAGAGGCAAACTTATTGACCAATGCTTTGGAAAACAGGTACGAGCGGGTATGGGAGCCGTACTGCTGATGCCCTCAGTTGTGAGAGAGAAGAAATCCGTGTGGAAGGATAACAGGGAGAAGAAACGGCTGGAGAGGGAGAAAGCTAAGAAAGAGAAGGAGGAGAAGGAGAAGGCTAGGAAAGAGAGGGAGGAGAAGGAGGAAGCGGAGAGGAAGGAGGCCGAGGATAAGGAAAATGTGGCGCCAGAGGATGAAGCTGCTGCCGCGCCCACTGCGTAAGGATGAAGAGAGGAGATGCAATTTTGGTTGCTTGTGTTATAATGGGATGCGGAAGAGGTAATTCTGTGGAAGGGATAATGGGGGATCGGGTCGGGGCGTTTATGGTGTGATATATAATGATGGGAAACGAAGGCTGGGCTTGGGATTACGGTGCTGTGCACGGCGTCTTAGGAAGCTCCTTCGACTGGTAATTGGGGCTGAGAGATGGCGTGTTTCTTTTGTTGATTGGTGCACTAACACCATGCTGCTCCTTTTCATTTGTCATTGCTTCGAATCCTCTCCTCCAAAAAGAGATCCAAAAAACATATAGATATCGAGTACATAAAAACCAGAATGCCACAACACTTACCTCTCACTGCAGCCCAAGTCTTTCGACTTATGCCAGCCTCAAAGCCAACTTCAAAACACCCCTCGTTTGCAAAGCAAGAGCGGCGCATCATCGGAGCTGCTTTAATATTCTGCTGGCGTAATACTGCTTATAGTAGTTCGCTGACGTCCATCCGTCCGTCCGTCGTTTTCTCCCCCACCCACTGATACTTTGATGCATTTCACAATATTCTGCATAGTAAAAGTTCGCCTCTCCCGCTACCCATCCCCTCGTCAAATGTAAATCATGTAATTTAAAGTAAAGCTTCCCCCAAGTTCTCCCCCTCAAAGCCTAATTCGCCTAATCGTTTCTTAACAACCTTTTCTCTCTTGGCTTCCCGTGCTTTCCTTTCCTTCTGTAGTCTATGCACCGTCTCGATTTCGGCCAACTCATATCCTGGTGGCGGATCGTCGTCTTTATCTAGATCGATCTCTCCAAGCAGCAGGACGTTCTCGCCCCGTACGAGAAATATGCCTCTGGGGACATCAGCGTAGAGCCCAGGTTGAGGTGTAGAAGATGATGTCTTGGATGGCGGGACGAATATCCGCTCGATAGTAGATTGGAGGGCGAGGTTTGCTGGAGATGACGTTAGGAACAGAGACAGGAAGGGATACACGGTAAGGGAAGATACCGAATTGATCCCAACTTCGTAGGACACCGATTAGTTTTCTGCCGTCGCGGAGAGCGACCATGAGCTTTTCTACAGAGGGGCAATATCAGATCAGCAAATCCCACTTCAGTGAATCATTACAGTCCGGTCAAAGCAGCTTTGAACCTGAGCTCTAGCTTAGTTTTCAAGGTTTGAAAGACGTCGGCTCTTACTATCAGTTAGATCTAGCAATTGCGCCGCTGTAGTGAACATCTGCGGCGGTAATTGCTGACTCTGTGGCGGTATCATGCCAGGCAATGGCGGCTGCATTGGAGCCCCGCCCATCGGCGCTGCTTGCGCAGGAGGCGGATCATCGAGCGTGAGGTTTTCCATCCTATATGGCGCTTATGCCAATGACGAGATGAAGTGATTAGCTTGCTATCGGAGAGAGCAGCGATTCTGCCAATCCATTCCGCGGAGTTGGTAGAGACTTGTAATGTGGCTGCCGTTTGTTGCGAGGTCAACGCTTGATGAGGTTGACGATGTGAATTAAGCTCGGATAATATGACGTCTAGATTTGATAGATAACGGCAATGGAACCTGCAAAATTCCAATGCAGAGAAGAGAAATCGAAGGCGTGTCTACGTAGTACGGCGTGCAGAGTCACTAGTTCGAAGGCTAATTAATATATAGATTATGTTTCATAGTCAGATTCAATCGAAAGATATTATTATTAGAGTGGCTCGAGACTAGTGGTGCCTAAATCTATGTTCCCGAAGGATAGTGCTAGGGCTCGAACGCTCAACGTCTTTTCCCGAAGCTCCTTTTTTTTTAATCAGACCGATATATGTAGAATTACCCCGAGGTTTCAAATTATACATCGGATATCTCCCTTCCATCTATATATGTATATACGTAGCCAAGCCGAAAACGCCGTCCCAGATGCAGATGCAGCATGAGTTTTTTTTTAAAATTCCGCAATTTAGTTTGGCGCTTGTGGGAATCAGCTGCGTTGGATCAATAATGGAGCCATAGTCACCAAGAGCATGGCGGTGGATCCGACTTGATTTCTCTAGTGCAGTTGAACAAACAACAATGTGTGCGGGAAGAAAGCAAGCAAGCAAGCCCGTAAACCTAGACTTTTTATGTACGACGACCTGATTCCCAAAGTTGGCCGAGAGTTCACCGCGAATGTTTCAAATCAATTTGCGAACCCGGGATCCAAGGCTCCTATCCAACCGCTGGTAGAGATGGTCTCAGAATTTGTGATATATTCGTGGGACGGTGGTACATCGCCAGCTTGTATGAGGATTTTTGAACACCCGGGCCCGCGTGGCTACCGCTGCAAGGTGGAACGTTTGAGAGCTTCGATTAGTTCCGGACGACCAGTCATCGCTTTCTCCGCCTCAGCGTACGTAGCCCACTGTCGACTCCTCGACTCCTTCTCGGGCCATTCCTGATGCTCCGTAGTGACCGTAGCTTGATAGAATTGATAGACTGCCCTTGGGGAGTCTTTTGATATCTGCTTAGGGGTCCGTGACTCGGTGATCTGGCCGAGGTCATAGTCGATTTTGCAGATGATTCCGGCCTCCTCCCACGCCTCGCGTTGGGCGGCCTCGGTGCAGGTCTCGTCAGATTCCCAACCGCCTTTGGGGAGGACCCATCCATTTCTCCGGGTGGATTGGATTAGGAGGACATGTGTTTTTGCGGCATTGAGAGGCACAACGCCTGCGACCAGTCGCTCGCCGCTGTCGCCGTAGCCTAGAGCGGGGAAACAGGTCAGCCTGGGGAACTGATTTGAGCCAGGAGACTGCTCTCTCTCTCTCTCTCTCTTGAGGGAAACCCATTCATTTCGCCTTGCACTTTGTGCCTTATGCAACGTCCGCGTGCAGGGAGTGGAGGGGGGCTACTTACGCTGCTTCGTCCTGCCGGTGCGGGACTCCATGGAGCGACTTGCCATAGATGAAGGCGATGCTTCGCCTCCTGCGTTGGGGGGGAAATGCCCGACAATGGTGGACATAGACAATGAAAAGATCGCAGCCGCGACCTCTAGTAGGTCGCTTGGCTGAAAAGTGGTCGGTACAAGTCGCCTCAGGACTCCGGCGGCGTCATGCTTGGCGGGGGGCGAGGGGAGGCGAGAAGCAGCGAGAACACCGAGAATAATGGATTCGATTTTGGAGACGAAGGCGAGCAGCTCTTAAAGTCGGTTTCTCGACCAGATCAGATCAGATCGGGTCAGATCAGTTTGCAACAATTCGGCATCAACGGAGGGGCTCAGGCTCAGGCCAGGTCCAGGCGGGAGGACTGTCTGCGACGCAGGCAGGCGTTGGGGGAGGAAGGTGGGTGGTGAGGAGGAGTGAAGAGGAAAGGGGAGAAGGGGGAGAATAGTAAGAATAATTATAATAATAACGTCGATGCCGGAGAGGCAGAGATAGCGGGAACCTCGACGGCAGAAGAGCAAGCGCGACGAGCGACGAGACGGGCGGTAGTAGAGGGCCTAGGGCGTGGTAGTGTGTGCCCACCGCCTGGAGACTCTAGGGAGGGAGTCGGGAGCAGGGAAATATTTATGCTGGTACTACTCGCGCTGTTGTAGGGTTGGTGGGTTGCTCGGGGGGGCCAGAGTCAGACCGGCTCTTTATTAGTGCCTCTGCCTCCTTTGTCGCGTGCTCTGTGACTGTGTATTGCTGGGTCTTGCTGGGTCTTGCTGGCAGCTTGAAAATGAGCGTTCCCCAGCGGGTTGTAGGTATTATATATATATATATACCTTCCAACATATATGGATGTGTTCGCGTGCCTTAACCTACCTACGTGCGGAGTTTGGACCTACAGACTTGTTCCGGAACACTCATGCGACTCTGGCTGCAAACGAAATGGGGTGAATAATGGGGGCACGACACGAGGGCGAGTAGCGGGCTCGAGTTCGCCACAATGAAGTGCTAACAGCCTAACGCCCGCGGGATGTTGCCATCGCATCCCTAGGTAAGGTAGCTGCCGTGAAGGCTTATGGCTTATGGCTTACTCGCAGCGGGACTGGAGCGACCAGAATAGGATCAAAGACACGGGGTCAGTCCATGGGGATGGCGTCGTGGAGAAGCGCAAGAGTATCAATGAATCCGGAGAACTTCTAGAGCTGCACGCTGCAGATGCAGGTGCAGGTGCAGGTGCATGCTGGTAGTACGAAGGGAGGTAGGGTAGGTAGTCTTCCATCTAGCATTAAGTATTCTTAGATACTCCTACGTAGTGGTGTTACGTCCACCGTGTGCGTACAGTACCTACTGCTGGCCTTCGGAGTGCCTAGGTACCTTAAGTATTGCCAAGTAGTTCTTCGCAGCTTTTCGGAGGTAGTGTTACAGTACCTGTACAGAAGCAGTATAAGAATGCTGTACTTTGTACTGCACTGCACGTACCTAGTAGGCAAGGTAAGGGAGGTAGGCAGGTGCATAGCTCGTGGGGGTGCGGGTGGTTGTTTCTTCTGATACCGTTTTGCTGCTCCTTTTGCAACGGCCGATACTCCATCGGGCATGTTCATCAGAAGATCTGCCCTGGATCTCCACCAGATCTCGTTTTGCTCCGGGGCCAGTACAGCACCATAACTACCTACATGTACATGTACTGTATGAGGTACCTATACGGAGGACTACCTATGATACCTTACTCTGTACCATGGCTTCAGCTTCAGCCCCAGCTCCAACTCCAACTCCAACAGCAACTCCAACTCCAACTCCAACTCCAACTCCAACCCCCAACGCCCACTCCCACCCAAGGCCCCGCACCGCTGAACTGCTCCACGCCAGAACCGGCCACACGAGAAAGAAAGACTTTGGTGTTTTGGTTGCACGGAGAACTAACTGTAACCGCTTCGCCATGCCCCGCTACCCTCCGCGGCCGTCCAGTATCCACACATTAACACCACCGAAGAGGTACCTACCTGGGTACTGTACCTGCTTAAGGGGAGGGGAGGGGAGGGAGCTCTCGCTACTACTCTATTATTGGCAGCCGCATGGTTTTCTACTACGGAGTATGAAGTACTTCGTTACGACTCCTCTCAACCCTCGAATCCCCTACCCAAACAGCGTTGTCCAGGATTCCAAGCCCCAGAAACCCACGCAGCTCTTCTTCCGACGCCGCTGAAGCCGCTGCTTGCGTCGTGAAGCCGGGGATCGTCGAGCCTGGAGTCTGGAGTCTGGCGTCTGGCGCTTGGAGTTTGGAGTTTGGGATTGGTGCCGCAGCCCGACTCTCCGGAACGTGTTAACGTGTTGGGGCCATCATTACTGCATCACTAGTGGTGTAGTGGTGTAGTGCTGCAGCGGACACGACACGATACAACACCTGGCACTGGCGGCGAAACCACTGCACTGGACTGCAATTAATGCACTATTGCCCTGCTGCTGCTGCTGCTGTACCACTACTTCGTACATACCTCTCTTCCCTTATCCTATTCTCTCTCCCTCGCTCCACCTCTCCCTCTCCCCTTCGACATCACACCCACCATTCGTTCTACTTCTTCCTCCCACTGCTCTCCTCTTCCTCGGCCGCCGCAACTCTGTTACGAGTACTCTACGCCCACGCCCTTCCCTTTCCCTCTCCCCACACCATGCAGACGCCGTCGTCGCCGCCCCCTCCGTCGCTGCTCTCCCCCATTGGTGAGTGCTTTGTACCTGAAAAGAAAGCCCCCCGTCTGTCCCCTTGTCTGCCCGCCCATGCCTCTCGATCTATTCTCGTCCAATGATCCAGGCCCGTGTTCAAACGGCTCGACGACGTTGATTTAGACATCGGCTCGCTCGTCGTCTGCTGCAAGTCGCGGAGCCGAATTCGAACCTCGACCCGAAACCCTAATACACCTTCCCTTACCTTACCTTCCCTACCTTTCCCTACACAAGCCACCTGCTTATCCTCATCCCACCCCCTTTCCACGCTTGTCTTTCTGCGTTGCCTCTATCCGGTCTTCCTCTTACGTCCTGGGCACTCCGTTTCGGTCGAGCTGTCTGCTTAGCCCCGCACTACGAGTCGCTGGCCCGGTGCGAAGGTTGGATCAGCCTGATGACAGAATACAATGACTGACCGCGCCCACAGGCTATCAGAATAGCAGCTGCGGCTATTGCCGTAATAATGCAGGAGGTCAGTCTCGAAAACGTAACATGTCCTACCCCTTGTCGCACGGATTCGAAACCTGCCTTTTGCTCTGCTGTTTCCTACATTTTCTGTGGCTATAGACCGATCCGACCCGCAAATATTTTTTTGGGGGGGGGGGGTTCCTCTTCAATCTAATATTTACTTTTTGTTGTTGCAGGCTTTTCATACTATGCGTCAACAACATCGTTGACTACGGCACTGTACCAATCTCTTCTCAATCGCGGGTGGAGACGATCGGGGTCGTTGCTCTACAAGCCGGATCAGCGTGCTTCCTGCTGCCCCCAGTATACTATTCGTCTGGACTCGGAGTCCTTCCACCCCTCCAAAGACCAACGGCAGGCCCTGAACCGGTTCAACAGTTTTATCCTGGGGGACCCGTACACCAAGGAAGCAGCAAGGCTGTATCCAAGGTCACGCGAGGATGCGAAGAAACGTAATACCGAATTCAGCGTGGTGGAACGTGTCCATGAAAGTGAGAAGGACCGGTTGAAGACTCCACCAGAACCCGCCCATACCTTAGTTGTTACTCTCGAGCCAGATAATTTCACAGAGGAGAAGTATGCCGTCTTCGAGAACTACCAGCGGCTGGTTCATCATGAACCGCCAAATAAAATCACCAAACCCGGCTTCCGGGGATTTCTCTGCTCTTCACCGCTCCCGCGAAGCACGGCCATGATAGATGGAAAGGAGCGCCGGCTGGGATCATATCATCAATGTTATCGAATAGACGGCAGACTGATTGCTATAGGCGTCCTCGACCTACTGCCCCAATGCGTCAGCGCGGTCTACTTTTTATACCATGAATCAGTCCACCAACATTGCTTTGGGAAACTGGGTGCGTTGAGAGAGATTGCACTGGCGAAAGAGGAGGGCTACAAGTGGTGGTATGCTGGGTTCTATATACACAACTGTGTGAAAATGAGGTACAAGGGTGATTATTCGCCACAATACGTGTTAGATCCAGATTCATATCGTTGGGATCTGCTGGATGATAGCCTGAAAAAGAAGCTGGACAGCGGAAAGTATGGCAGGTTGCCACATGAGGGATCAGAAGAGGCAAGCCAGTCTATTGAGCTATCGGACGGGGTCACGGAGTCGGATAAAATCACCGACGAGGCGTCCGATTCTGATAATAGTCCACCCCTCGTGGATCCCGATATCCCGATATTCCTCAGGTCCATACCTGGGATTCTTACCGCGGACCAAATCTTAACAGAAGTCGACCTTGATCATATCAAACTGCGGGTTCGAGAGCAAGAAGCGGAGACGAGTGACCTAATCAGTTGGGATGATAGCTCTATCGACAACCCCCAATCAATCAAGGGTATTATCGCAGAACTAGTGGCTGCAGTAGGCCCAGACGTGGCTAAAGAGATGACTGTCTACTTTAGCTAAAGAAATAAGAGCTCAAGAAAGAGAAATCGCGGATTTTGGATAAAATTCATGATTACTAGTACAAAACCCCCTCCCAAGGACGCCACGCCAACCCCCCACCTCCAAACACGACCTTCCCGATTACTAACTAGTATCAAAGTATTACAATGGATGCCCAATTCTCTTTACTTCCGAAACATTTTCCTCTAAGATAGTGACGACTTCCTTCCATACCCGTTCCTGCATTTTCTGTCCCTCGGGACTTCGAACGTTATGCTGAACAGCCCTGCAAACCGATCAGTCTCCAGCAACAAGCCTCAAGTGGACAAACAAAACCTACAGCTTGTAATCCTCATCCGATTGGTAGTGAGTGATGTATTTACCATGTTCCTCGGGGGTTGTCAGTGTAGCGTAGAGAACCGAGCGAGCTCCACCTTCGGTGGTTTTCATCAAAACGGTCATGATCAGATCAATAGCGGTGGATTTGATTATGTTTGTTTTAAGATGCCGAGCCAGCTCGCTTTTCACCATTCCTATTCTATGTCAGTGTCTCTCATCAAAATAACCCCTGAACCATCCCTTAAAGAATCATAAAGCGTCATATATCAAGGAATGTGGCAAACTAATGGATCATCCCTACCTGGACACAAAGGGTTTACAATTACGTCCGGCCTATAATGATTAGTTCTAACCAAACGACAGAGAAAAGCCAGACTCACTTCCCGTCCTTTCCAATACCCAATTTCGCAATCTCATTCACAGCATACTGTTCCAGCAACTTGCTCACCGCATACATTTCCGGATTCGTCGGCCAATTCTCTTCCTTGCTAAAGTACCCAATCACATTCTCCCGCGGCCACTTCGGCGTGTTGATCTGAACATCTCGATGGTTTCCACTTGTCACGAAAGTTAAATGCGCCGCGCCTCCACCGACCTCCTTCATCCAAGGTAACAGTAACAGAGCCAATAATGCCGTGCTCAGGACATTGACCTGGATACTCTCCTCGTATCCCTCGTTACCCTTCACAAATTTGGTGTTGTAAATCCCTGCATTCAAAAGCACGATGTCAATCTTCTTCACTTCTTGCCGAACTTTATCAGCGAAGGCTTTCGCTCCCGCAAATGTGCTCATGTCCAATTCCCGCACTTGAACGATATCTTTTCCTTTAGTGTTCGTTTGCGCTTCGATTGTCTCTTTGGCTGAAAGGCCCTTTGCCTGGGTGCGCGCCGTTATTATTACCGATGCGGCGCCCAGGTTAACATAGTGTGTGGCGGCTGCAAGACCGAGACCAGACGTTGCGCCTGTGATGAGGACATTTTTCCCGGCGAACGTGTTGGGTGGCGGGATGGGTGGGAGACCAAATTTGTTGTTATACACGTTCCCTAGTAATTTTAGGAGTATCGACATTTCGATATGATTTGGTCTCGAGGACGATTTGTGGTGTTTTCAGGATAGGTGGGGATTTTTGATATAGTGACGTGAGCCGTCAAATAGTGAAATAGTCCGATGTTGTATTTGAAATCACTCAACAAAGAGCCAATGTTTGTTTTGGGTTCGGGCGCTGTTGCCATTGGGTCATATGGCATATATGGTACGTGTCGGAGACATTCACTCGCCTGGCATATCATTGCGCCGACTGGGAATTGGGTTATGGAACGACATCGAAAGTGCCGGAAGTGATGCTGATAAATAAAATTTGCTTCTCGGCCGGCAGGATAACGAGGTAGGTGCTGCCTAGCATCCCGATATTAGCACATGGTATGACGTGGTGTAAGTGTTGATGAATAGAAACCAGTTCTCACGTAGTGATCGTGGACCGATATTATCCAGGTTGGTGCTCGTCAGCCTTGTGGTAGCCTTGCCGCTAAAATGCGGCCGCTCTACCATTCCGAAAGAAATGTTGAAGCTCTTTTTGGACATCCAAACCCAAACACAAAGCTCCGCAAACATCAGCAACGCAACACAATTGAAAAGGAGCGACCCGGGGTTCTACGAGCGCGTGGCTATATATAGGCTACAATGGCGCCCTCGTCATCAGCAACACAACAAGTGCTTCTCTCCCCTGCCGAACTCTCCTACCTCCACTCGTCCCTCTCTCTAACACCACCCATCCGCCCCGATGGTCGCACAGCTACGCAATTCCGACCCTTAATAGCAGAAACAGATATTCTCCCCGGCACAAACGGGAGCGCGCGGATATGTTTTGCTGACGGGACGGAAGCTGTTGTGGGTGTGAAGGCTGAGGTGCAAAAATCGCACCCTAGCTATGCGCCGGGGACTGAAATTGATATTGAAGCTGGGAATGACGACGACGAAGAAGGTAATGGGCAAGAGGATGGAGAGGGAAAGAAAGGGAGGAATGAGTGGGTGGAGATTAGTGTTGAGATTCCAGGCATGAGGGACGATGATTCGATGCCGGTTTTCCTGGGAGCGCTGTTGAGCGAGGCTCTACTGGCTGATGGGGGATTTACAGGGAGGTTGTGGATCAATAGGAGATTCCATTGGAAGCTATATATTGATGTGAGCTTCTTATCCATCCCCAGGCAAAATGCATGGCCAACTGACGATTGCCAATAGATTCTCCTCCTCTCGCAACCTCTATCCTACCCACTACCATTACTGTCACTTACCACCCATCTCGCTCTCCTATCCACGCGTCTTCCGAAACTCAAGTCAGAACTAGACGAAGATCCTATGTTCGACGATGACTGGGACGCCTCCGTCTTCCTCTATCCCCGTACGGAGCAAACGCTAGATGCGGTCAGACCCCCAGTCACACTCCTTGTCATGACGGTAAAAGACAACATCATCTTCGATCCAAGCAAAGAGGAGCTCGCCGTCGCGGAAGTATCATTAGCAGTATCAGTCGCAGAACGAACATCAGCATCAGGGGACATGGATGTTGATACTGAGGGTGGAAGAGTGAGGGATTTACGGCTTTTGGCTGTGAGGACCATTGACCCCCCGAGCAGATTGACACATCCAGGCGTGCCGAATACGCTTAATACAGCTACAGGCGGAGGGACAGTGGGTACGACGGAGATGGCTGTGAGCCAGCGGGAGACTATGGATCACGAAGAGGGGGTCTGGCAACCACCGAGGGGAGGTGCAAAGAGGAAGTTAATAGCGGAGATGATTAGGAAGGTTTTGGAGAGAGGTGGTGTTGCGGAGGAAGTGCTAGACGGCCTCGATGCCGTAGAGCTGGGCTGATTCTTAAAAATCTAACGATGCGATACCCACCCGGTTTCCCAATGCACATCTTTTACATATTTTTTACATGGCGGTGACATGAAGCACTACCAAATACCCAGCCACTTCTTCACAGGGCGCCTCTCCCTGACAACTCGCTCCGGCTCCTGCTGTTGCAACTCCTGAGCAGCTCCCTCTATAGCAACTCCGCCGTCTGCCCCCCCCCCTTTCCCGTCTCCCAACTTAATTCCCGGTCCCAATAGCTCATCATCGCTCTTTGCCGTCCAGGAACCAAAGCTCTCATCCTTATCAAGCCCATGGGCCTTTCTATACTCATGTCGCTTAGCAACATCCTCCACCCTCGCCTTTCTTCGCTCCATCGTCTGGGCTGTGTTGTAATCGCCCGTCAACTTCACGACCTCGAAGAAGGTGCGCGAGTAGGCTATAGGGTGGAGGAGGAAGTCTGTATATGGCGGGAGCATGTGGGAGAATGGCGAGTTGCGTTTGAAATTGGTGATCCAGACCGTGCCTGCGAGAGTGAACAGTGTAGTCTATGAGGGTGGTTTTGAATCAGTCCATTGTTTCTGTTAAGCCACGCAGCTACGGCAAATTGAAATTGGGGGAAGATAGCAGGCGAGACGGGACTTACAAGAGTAATATATAAATGTATAGTCTTATTAGTGATAAACCAGTGCATGAGCGTCCCCTCTGCTGGCATCATGTGCGGATACTTCTTCGTCTTCATTGTGGTCTCCTCCGCTTGACTCAGCTTCGGCCCAGGATACCGCGGCGCGGCTTTGAACCTCCGTGGAGCATGCGAAGGGGGGTTGAACTTTGCGGGTTTTTCTAGGACTAGAGGTTTCGAAGGCTTCTTTGCGCCCGGCTGGGCTTTACTGGAGGCATGGCGGATTGCTCGAGGCCGCAGCCAAATGGCGCCCCGTTGTGGGAGGAGGAAGCGGGGAATAATTGCTGCTGTAGAGGGAGGCATTGCAGCGTTGCTGCTTTGGTGTGATGCTATTGATGTACAGCACCTAAGTAATTTGAGGTTGAGCTTGCCCTCCTCATGTGCTAGCGTGATAGGAGCCCAGCGAGACATTTTCCACCGTGCCAAGGAATACCTCAACCAAGTACCTCTGTACCGTATTAACGATAACCCGAAAAATGTCCGGAGCACCCCGAAGCCGTCTGTCACGTGCCTTCTCAGTTTTTGCGTCTTCCGGCGTTGCCCGAACCGAGCCGCCCGTCCACCAATCGGTGACGCGGTATTGCACACACTCGGTCCACTCTTGTGGCTTTTCCCTGTGGCTTGCGCTGCCTCGTGCGCTAAAGCGAGAAAGCCCCCGTCATCTCACTGCTTGGCCCTGAGAACTAAAATCTCCCGTTACATCCAGCACCGTCCAAACTTTTCTCCCTTCCTCCTTCATACCGTACCGTACCATACCATAATAAAAGCCTCACCACCACTCCCTCGCTTTACACGACCAGTCGCCCTTTCACGCCTTTACGTTTACAATAATTACTCCCCTAATCAGTCAAGATGGGATTCTCGGAAGGTAAGCTGACACTGAGTTATATTTTCCTGCTTTGCCTCGGGAAAGGTCACGTCACCATGAAAAATACAACTTGCCATTGAACTCCCCGACCATGATTTTGCTGGGTCGTAGTTCGAACCTGGGCGATGGAGACCTCGAGTGATATAAGGGGTGTTCTTAGGAACTGATCTTGAGCTCTGGGGAGTCGTCGTCGCCCAGGATATCCGGTCGTCGCTTCAATCCCCCAGAACTCCAGCTTCAGCCTATTAGGACAGCGTCACCACTTCACCTAGCTCCAAGGCCTCTTTCAAGTCGCTCACTGTTGCGCAAGAGATTATAATCTTGCAGCGGCAGACGGGGTTTCTAGGCTTTTGGGCGCTGCCAGTCCGATGCGCCCAAGACCTTTTCATTGACCTAAACAAACATCTACAGTATCAGGGAACAACTTGCTGACGCCAATTGAACAATTATAGGAGATGTTAAGAAGGGTGCCAACCTCTTCAAGACCCGGTGCGCCCAATGCCATACCCTAAAGGAGGGCGAGGGAAACAAGATCGGCCCCAACTTGCATGGTCTTTTCGGCCGTCAAACCGGCCAAGTGGAGGGCTTCGCATACACCGATGCCAACAAGGCAAAGGGAATTACGTGGGATCAAGAAACTTTGGTATGTCACCTCCGTTAGGCCCGTTGATCTAGCATTGGCGCGGCAACATTGTGGCATTAGTAACTGACATGTTGAAATGTAGTTCACATACCTAGAGAACCCCAAGAAGTACATCCCTGGGACAAAGATGGCATTCGGTGGTCTCAAGAAGGAGAAGGACCGGAATGATTTGATCACGTATGTTTTCCTATTTCCCCTCCCTTCCCTCATTCGCGCTATTTTTACTAATACCCATCTAGCTTCCTCCGCGAAGAGACAAAGTAGAGAAGTCCCAAGATACACGGGGCTGTGTATTCATAGCATGCGAAGAGCACATTGACGAAAGAAAGACCGCCTGTGTTTCACTGTACTTTAAGTTAGATAGAATTCGGGGACGCCCTTACATCCCTGCTTTTTGGGTTTGCCAGGGCTGTAGCAAAAAATACACTATATCTCCTCTTCCACAATCGCTGTTCCATATATTTTCCTTGATGATATACATAGAAACCCTTTGTCTTATCGATACAAAATTCTAATGCCTTCGGTTTCTCTTTTTTCGCTCGGCGACCTATTTTACCGCAACATCCTTTATACCCTTTCCCCTTTTTTCCTACCCCAATTTCTGGGTTGGGACATGAAGTTTCGAGTTTATTTGGCAGTGAAATATTGGGTATTCAGCTAAAGTCTACGTCATCAAAACTCTACGTCACCAGCGGAATATAATGCTCACAACGCCTCGCAATGCTAGTATCAATCCCTAAGCCAACATGGCCGTCCGCTCTTCTCTTTCCCTTTGCCTAGCTTTCGCCCTTTCCTTCCTTGGCAATTCCGTCGTAGGGGCTTCGGGCAATGGAACGCCTGTAACCTCCGCCTCTAGCGCCTCAAGTTCATCTTCCACCTCGTCCTCGTCTTGATTCGATATTCGCCCACCTAGCATATCGCTCACCTCCTATACACTCATTAGCTCCATCCGTGATGGCACGGCGTAAACATGTTGACTCACCTGCTGATACGCAACCGCATCCGCCGTTTCGCCCATAAGCTTCTCCACATGTTCCAAGCCCCCCATCTCCTTATGTATCTCATTCAGCACATTAGTGCCCTGCTGTAGCCCAAACACAACATCTTTCTGCACGAGTGCAAACTCCACACTGCTGGTCAGCTTCTCCAACTGCTCCAGCTGCGCATCCGTCTTCGCCAGCAAAGACTCCTGGTATTTCTTGCGCCGTAATGCCAATAATGCTTTCGGCTTATCGCCCTTTGCAATCATGGTTTTAGCTATATCCGTTTCTCGGTCGGTGAGCACCGTTATGCGTCGTTGGTATTGGCGGAGCTTGTCGCGCTGGTTCTTCATATCCAGGATTGCTCTGCAGAGGGGTAATAGGTTAGCAACTGGCCCACAAGATTTGGGGATGGGAGTTAGGAGACGGACTTGTCCTGAGCCGATATCTTGTGGGAACTTGCTGTGTTCCCCATTTTGGCTGCCGGTGTTTAAATGTACGAGGTGTTAGAGAGATCATGCTGGCATGAGATGGCAGGAGGGAGTCTCCAAAGAAGTCGTCATGGCCCTGCAGGCATTCAAGCTTCGGGACTTCCAGAGCTAAACAGCTCGGTGCGGACATCGCCATTTCCTGCCTGAGGGTTTCATATTTGTCCGCCGATAAGCCGATAAGCGATATGCCCCTGGACTTTTTTCTTTTTGTGCTTGTATCTCCAAGTCCGCCGAATACCCATATCTACACGTCAAATTTACGTTGTTTTCGCAGCCTGCTGTCCCTTCTTTGCTTCAAGTCGCATGCGTGTCTGGAGATGATGGTTTCTCGTGGTGGAAGACCGACGCTTATTCAAGCGTTGGATAAAGAAGTAATTATCACTCCTGGTTCAAGAGGCATTCACATGGGGAGCTCTGCTAATATTGGTATTTTGTTCCATAGATATACCAAGTTGTGCGCAAACTCGCAGATGATCAGCATCAGCTGGAAAATGGCAGTTCAAAGCGCCTAACCGTTTCTGTTGTTTATGACCACATAAAGCATTCGAACTCCAGCTTGAAGCGGCGGAGCAAAAAGCTACTCGAAGACTCTATTGAGCGAGTTCTGCTTGTTCTTAAGGAGCAAGAGCTGGATGATAGCGAGTCTCTGGATGGAGATTTCGATGGCATAGAGGAGGAGCATGTTCCAAAGTTGAAGGTTAGCACTATTCCAGCTGAAATGTTGGCCGCCAGTCTCATGGTTCTTTAGGATCATAATATTATGAACAAGAGCATCACACGCATGTGGTCGAAGCCGAATCCTGCAACCTTAACCCCGAGGGAGGGTACGCCCCCTGTAGCAGAAAACAATACAGTGGCGATGCAAATTACCCAAACAAGAGAGACAGATTCTACTGTCAAAGTCGACCGTCAAGCAAATGGCGAACCTAGGCTAAAACGACGTAAAGGGGAACGAGCTCAAAAGGAAGTTGATCGGACGCCACCAACCGACATATCTCTGGAGAACCTAGGAGGGGTAGAGAACGTGATTGAAGAACTGAACGAGCTTGTCGCCATGCCCATGCTGTATCCAGATACGTATATAAGGACCGGGATACAACCTCCGCGTGGTGTGCTACTCCATGGACCTCCTGGGTGTGGAAAGACTATGATCGCGAATGCCTTTGCAGCAGAAATAGGGGTCTCATTTATCCCACTTTCTGCCCCTTCGCTAGTGGCTGGCATGTCAGGAGAGTCAGAGAAGAAAATTAGAGATATATTTGAAGAGGCTAAAAGTATGGCGCCATGTCTAGTCTTTATTGACGAGATAGATGTTATAATGGGGAAGCGCGAGAGTGCTCAACGAGAAATGGAGAAGCGTATAGTGGCACAGATGCTGACTTGCATGGACGAAATGGCATTGGAGAAGACTGGTGGGAAGCCAGTAATCATCATTGCGGCTACGAATCGGCCAGACAGCCTTGATCCAGCACTCCGAAGGGCAGGGAGGTTCAACAAGGAGATTAATTTGGGAGTTCCGAATGAGCAGGCCCGAGAGAAGATTCTACGAGCACTCACTCAGAAGTTATCGCTAGACGACGATTTCGATTATCGAGCTCTTGCAAAAATGACGCCTGGGTTTGTGGGGGCTGATCTAAATGATGTTGTCTCGGTCGCTGGCACGGAGGCAATGAAACGGATGATGGCAGTTCTAAAGCAACGAACCGCCACAGACATGGAATTGGACGACCCCCCAGCAACTACAACACCACCCGCGCTACTAATCCTGCGCTCACTAGTAGCCCACGCCGGAGAGTCGTCCCCAGATGGCGATTTTAACATTAAATACACCGACTTTCTCGCCGCCGTCCCCAAGGTCCAGCCATCCGCGAAACGTGAAGGCTTCGCTACCATCCCAGACACAACATGGTCCCACATCGGTGCCCTCCACTCAGTCCGCGAACAACTCGAAATGGCCATCGTCGAGCCCATCAAGCGCCCCGAGTCCTTCGCCCGCGTAGGAATAACCGCCCCCACTGGCGTTCTCCTCTGGGGTCCTCCTGGCTGCGGAAAAACACTTCTCGCAAAAGCCGTAGCCAACGAGTCAAAAGCGAACTTCATATCCATAAAAGGGCCCGAGCTATTGAACAAGTACGTGGGCGAGAGCGAGCGCGCTGTGAGACAAGTATTCGAGCGGGCGAGATCCAGCGTACCTTGCATACTCTTCTTCGACGAGCTGGATGCTCTGGTTCCTAAGAGGGAAGACTCCCTCTCCGAGGCCAGTAGTAAGGTTGTCAATACATTGCTTACGGAATTGGATGGGTTGTCGAACAGAGCTGGGATCTATGTCGTTGCCGCTACAAATAGGCCAGATATGATTGACCCCGCAATGCTGCGTCCCGGACGCCTTGGGACATCTGTGTTTGTCGACCTACCAACAGCAGATGAGCGTGTAGAGATTCTAAAAGCGCTATTTAAGAAGGCTCTTCCTGCGGCTGGGGCGGACGAGGTCGAAGCGTTAGACGGTGTGGCAAGGGATGAAAGATGTAATGGGTATTCTGGGGCCGATTTGGGGAATTTGCACCAGGCGGCTGCAGTGGCGGCGCTTAAGAGGGAGATGGTTGGCGGGGTACAGACTGAACAGGAAGAGTTGAGGATATTGGGGTGCGATTGGGAGGCCGCGCTTGGGAAGGTGAAGGCTAGCGTTAAGGATGCTGGGAAATATAGGAGGCTGAAGGAGAGAGGGATGTAAGTGGAGGTAGACCATTTATATTTAGAAAGCTAAATTTTGGAATGGGAATATTAGAGCTTATGATCCCCACCCTCTAGAAACCGCAAATGCGGTACCATATTGTGATCATGGCTTGGCATTGGATATAGCAAGGGTTCAGTTGGCGCAAATACGCTTTAGTACACAGGAGGAATTGACTTTGAGTTTACATTAAGCTACACAGTAACATCTATACACGGCTGTCTCATCTACAGCCAAACAATGCTTCTTAAGCATCAAAACACAAGTGATATCATCCCAAAGCATGTTTGAGCCATCCGTCAACGCCGATAATGCTTCTCTAGTCCCGGAATCCAACCAGGGCATACTCCTAACCTGGAAACACTACCCATACTTTGCAACCCCGAAATAACTCCGTGCCGAATTGCTCTCACATTAATTGTCCACACAAAATATCATGCCCAGCAAGAGCGTAATCCTCTCCAAAAAGGGCGACTGGCAAACTCGGGCAATACAGGATCACTCTCAACCAACTCCACAAGTCCTTACTCCGACAAAAAAAAGCATACCGAATCATTAGCGTTACATCTACTGTCAATCTCTACCGATGACAACAGTTATTCAAGAATGACGAGTTCGCGTCTCGGCACCCGAGCGTGTGATGGTGCGACACCTGCCTGCGGACGCATTATTCCTTGGCGAACAAGTATGGGAGGTTGTTCAACTGGGGCGTAATTCATCTGAGCAGGAGACCGGGGATTTTCATAAACAATAGGCCGACCCGTCTCTTCACGGTCGTGCCTAGATCTAGCAAATGCATCGTTAGTAAGTCTAACTTCCTGGGTTAAACGACATCTTACATGGGTCTCTGAAGATATCCTGCAGGAGACCTTGCTCGAGCGGGTGGAAGTGTTGCGAATGATCTAGCAGGATGATCCTCATAACCACGTGAACGGTTGCCTTGACCTTCAAATTCCTGATGAGATCGTGCAGGAAGAACATTAGAACCATTTGTTGCTCGAACGGGACCATCAAGCCGAGACTGAGAAAAATCATGAATGAAAGCTTGGTCTATCACAGGACGACTTGGACCCTCATCATAAGTACGAGAAAGCCTGCCAGAGGCAGTGAGGCTGGGAGATCGCAACCTTTGGGTATGGTTGCCGTGGTAGTCAGGCCCGACTTGGTGGAAGCCACGATCATCCTCACGAATCCTAACACTCTGGTTGTCCCTGACATTCTCGGCGGTGAGTCGCCGATAGGCAGCATCACCCCCGCTGTTATGGTGAAATGAGGCAGAATCAATGTGACGCATAATGATTGGACCTTCACGCTGGCCAGCATCAAGTACATCTGACCTCCTGAATTGCTCTGAAGGCCGGGCGAGGCTGCCAGGTCCTGGTGCATCGTATATTGGGATTTGCGCCGTAGGAGCAGTATAGGAAGAACGTGCATTCCTGGACAAACCTTGACTAGATTCCAGTTCAACTGCAGGACGTCGAACAAGAAAATCTCTTGGTTGAATAGATGATGACGGCAGCAAATGAGAATCAGATGGCGGAGCAGATGCATAAACGCTATAATCACTGGATGGGAGAGGTCTGAAACGACCCGAATCATCTCCGACCAGGCGCCGACGCTTAATCTGGGGAGGACTATCATCAATGACGACCACTTGCCGCCGTGGTGGTGATGGTCTCCGATTTTCAATCATCCGCCGAGAATATAGCTCTCGGGATTGATTGAAATGATCGGGGACGTTACGCCGCTCATCTAAGGGACGCATGGCATCGCTTGAACTTGTTTCAATGGAAGGCACAAGCATGTCTTGAAGGCCATGCCTGTGTGAAGATCCTCTCACAACTTGTGGTGGTCTTTGCTCCCAGACAGGCTGGGATGGTGTGCCAGAGTGAAGTGAAGGGTCTTGGTTAATGTTCCGTTCTGGTAGTGATCTTACGATTACCTCATTCCTCTGTATATGGGATTCTGCTGCTGATATATGTTGTGAATAGTATGGATCCTATGCATATTAGCATCATGTACAAAGTTGTATACATCCTTATAGTTATTGACGTAATAAATTATTCGTCCTTACCGGTCGTGCGACGAGATGGGCGCCATTATGTCGCTGGTCTCGGTTATTGGGGCTCGAGTCTCTATATACAACGTTTGCTCCGGGCAATGGGCGGTATGCTACCTCCCGAGGCGGGGATGCACCCATAGATTGGGGCATCCTATTGGCGATAATTTCGAACGGTGTGTTAGGGTGTGGTGTATTGGATTGTCTCGCAGGATTCTGTCGTCTATGCAGGGCATCGTCCCATGCGGCTTGGTAGCGTTTAAATCCTCGTTGTGCTCTTCTTTCTTGTCGGATTTTTGGATTCACCTTGGCTCTTGTACGTGAAGATACTGCACCTGAATCGACCCCGTTCCCATTTATAGGTTTCCGACCAAGGACCTCTCCAGCATGGTTCTCTGGGCGGGCAGCGCGTTGTTGATTACGAGATACTGGAGCAGGAGAAGCTTCTGCGGAGGATATTGAGGTTACTTCACCGTCTTCCTCGGAACTATCTTCTTCTGAACTGCTGTCATCCTCCTCTTCTGAGTCGGTAATGATGACGATTTCACGAAGAATTTCATCCATTTGGTCCCGACCCGTCTCTTCATCTCCACGCCATTTGACGAGCACATCAAGACATACCTGCTCGACTACCTTTCGAGCGTTCACCCACGTGGTCTCACGGAGGAGCTTGTCATATCTTGTATGGGTGTGTCTAATATGGGCGAGGACGGCGAGCTGGACTCGGCGAGAAAGGGGAAGGTCGGTTTGTAACCCAACGGTCGGCTCACCATGGAATAGCGCACCCTGTTGGTATCTTTAGTATTGCATCAGGTAAATCGCGTGGGGAGAGGGGAGAAGGGTTTGGGGGATTCACCTTTTTGAAAGCATGCTCAAGGATCATTTGTCTGTCAGTGTTCGGTATCCTTGGAAACAAGTCTCGGATTGCGGCGTCGGCCTGTTTGTTTATCTCATCTTGCGTCTCCGGGATGGGCTCTATCTCGCCAGGAGCAACCGTGGGGCGGCTAAGAACCGTTTCGCCAATGATTTGACGAGCGTCTTCTACTATGGATTCTCGGAAATGGTATCCGGTTCGGTAGATGTGTTCGGAAATTTTGGATTTCTCCTCTTTGGAAGCCTGAGTTGGCGCAGTTAGCGCGATGAGTGTATGAAAATGAGTTTCCTCCTACCGAAACAATGAAGATCATAGCATCTCGTTCTCGGGAGAGTTCTTTGCATCCTTTCGTCAATATCGGGTCCCCAATAGGTACAAATGCGAAGCCTGGTGGTGGCTTGGGATTATCGGTAACCTACTCCAATAGTTAAGAAGCCATCACCAATAAACATGAAGAAGCTTACCTGGAATTCGAGCCTTTTTTCTTTCTTCTCGGTGTTCTCTGCAAACTCGAAATATGACTGGTACTTGGACTTGACTTTCGGCACATCCAGCTTGGCTACAAGATGTGAAGGGGCCGGGGCCGCCCACGCCTCTGCAGTAATATTTTGCTTCTGTTTTCTTCGTACGACTAGCTTGCGGGCATGTCGATCTTCTTTATTTCCACGGCGGGCAGCTTTTAATGCAATCCCGCCTTGAGCCTTTGCGGCCAAAGCCTTCTTCCTTTTGCCCATCTTGACAGTCTCAACCTACCTGCATTGGGCTCCTGTGTATATTAGTGCACGCGCGGTGACGCTGCCAGACACGGTATCAAATTCCTATGGTTCTTCACCCGCAAAATATGCAGGATGGGTGAAGAAGAGTCGTGTCCTGGGCAGGCGGGGCTGTAACTGCTCTGCGGATGGATGTTTGAAGTTGGTCGGGCGTCTTGCGAAGTCATCAAAATCCAGTACGAAGTAGGGCCACCGGTGCTTTATCGGGTTAGCGTGAGGTGGAGTCAGCGCACGTGTCCAATGAGACACGTGATATGTATGTGACCTGATCAGGCAAGGTTTTCCTCTATTCAAGGCTCCTTAGGTTTGCTTTTACACTAGATCAATGGACTGTTGTTTCATATGCTTATGATATTGGATTTTCTGGGATATCCCTAACAACCCAATATTTATTCATATCCCAGTTCACCAGTGATTTAATGGGAGGTGATATAGGGCCCAAAAGAATTGTAAGTGGTAGAGGTTGCTTCCCCTATCAGGTGCTAATCAGCATTGGCCATTAGCCAATTCAAGGCAACGCATAGGTATGTTATAATAGGCGTACGCATTGTAGCTAAGTTCATGGCCCAGGTAGAAGATCTTATGTCCTCGACTATCTACCGATCTGGCCGTCAACCCTATCTTGCACGATACAAGATGAGTTGAAGTGGTATCATATCCCGTCCTCACTCCCATAATCTACAAACATTCCATTCCATGCTCCCGTGTATGAGCACTTAGTAAGGCCCCCCTTGACTCCCATGCAATGCATAAAACTCAGTCCTCAAGAGCATTGATGTGCTTCTTGATGAATTCAAACACAGAAAAGAAAATAGAGTTGACTACGCATGACCGTCCCATCGAGACTCCCAAGCCGCGATACATACGCCTATTCATGAATTGGATCTTTGGGGCCCTCGTGACCGTGTCTTCCTTGCAGACAGTCAAGCTGTTTCGCTGATAAATGCTCTTAGCGGAGTCGATCGGATAAATCAGCGCCCAGCTGACAACACCACAAAGGCCTCCAGCAAATAGGACGGCAAAAGGGTTCGTTGGCGATCGATCTCCGGAATATGTGGCGAGAAGCTGCTTGCTGCTCTCGTAGGTCATGAAGTAGATCGCGGTTCCGAGTGTATCCCTCACTGTGTTGTGTTAGCAGGGGTTGGGACACTCAGCAAGATATTGCACTTACGCAGATGTAGGTTGAAGCCGGAATAAAGGCCCGCAAGTCCTCGATGCTTCACAATGTTCTTTGCTGTCTGAAATGTGCCTTTATTTTGGTAGCTAGCGGCCACTGCTCCAGAACTTTTAGGATCGGCGCCATTCGATTTATTCTTATCTGCCAACAGGACCGAGACTTGGGCGCTAACCTTCGTCAATTCGAAAGGACCTATATTATACGGTTACTTAAAGTCACTAGTGAAAATTGCATCTAGCTATTTCCAGCACTTACAGGCTACAAGCGTGATGAAAGAACCGGCTGTCGCTCCTGCGGCTCCAAAGCATGCGACCGTAGCGAGGTTCGGGTATGTTCCGGGCGTATTGACATGAACCAAAGGATCCATTCCAAAGTTTTGCTTGAGCCAGGCGGCGTAGGTGTATTTCGATCTTTGGTATACGGAGAAGGAGATGGTTCGAACCAGGGTAACGCTTGCCATTGGCGCCGCAACTCCTCGAAAGAAGCCTCGGAACTTCTCGGTCCTATAGGTGTGTTTAACGCAATCGATGAAGCTGTTGTATTTGTAGGTCTGCATTCGAGTCTTGACGGAGTCCAGGGGAAACTGATATGATTGAGCGGCGGCGCTGGCGGCGGAGCAGCATGGGGAGTTACTTACAGCAGCAAACGTAGACAGCACACTGCTCATCGACGCGGCAACCTCGGTGCGATATCTCTTAACCCATCGCTTTTTGTTCTGTAGCCCTTCTCGTGTTCTGTCTGCCATGCTGGCTTGTGTGGCTCCACTGTGGGAAGCAGAATTGGGGGGCATATCGGGAGTCGTTCAGATCTTGCGATGGGTCCTGCAGGAGAACGCAGTTCCTCAACGCTCCAGTCGTAAAGTCATAGGCGGATGAGCTTCCTCCATAGGTAGAGGCCGGCGTGAATGAGGCGTGTCCCTCACGGGGCGGGTAGCGTTCTCAGTGATCGCTAGCCAACGTGAAGTCGCGAGTGAGAAGCCGATGGGGGTTGTTTAGTTGTTGGAGTTGTCAGTTGTCGGTTGTCAGCTATGCGGAGGCGGGGTCGCAAGATCTGGTACCAAGCTACATGTACATGTACATGATATGTTGACGGCCGCGACGAGAGGTAAGGATCATCCCTCAGCGTAGTGCTACTGTGCTGTGGTGGAGTGGTTGAATTTGCTTGTGAATGGCGGCGACCACAGGAGCGAGCACACCCAGCGGAAGTGACGTCGCTGGACTACAGCAACGACTAATCGCAGCAGTGAAAGGCAAACTAACGAGCCAACCATTTCGGCCCCTGAACCGGGAAACCCCTCCCCCGGCTTTGGCTTTGGGCTCTGAGAGGACGGAGCCCCGGACGGTGTCGAGTGCCTTGGTCTCCTATTGTAAAACGCTATCTCCCCGGAAATAATACCGACTTCAAGTTTGTATCTATATATATCTATGTATATTGATATGAGTCTGCAAGTGACACTATCGTCCAATAGTTTATTGTCTCTTGTCCCGGCGTGGCTTCTGCCAGGTGCTTTGTACCTCGTACTACTTTTGCACGCTGACCCGCCGGTGGCCGCACAGTACAGTAACCCCATCCCTTGAAGGCCAGGCCCAGCACAGGAACGCTAACGCGGATAGGATTACTATCCAAGTTGGTGACCAAGTTGCTAATAGAATTGAAACTAACTTATTATAAATCAGGGCAGCAAAAAGAGCTTTGGTCTTGGCCATATGAGTCTTTAAATGGTGGTGAGCCAATACGACGTATAGGGAGACGATGCTGTCCTGCCCTATTGATGCCCGACATATGACGGCTGTTTGCGGCATATTTGACTGGCGAGGTAGGAACAGGGGGATCAAATCATGCAGAAGAAAAATCCGAAGGGAAACATTACAGTATCAATAGCAGCAAATTCCCCGTTGTCTGAAACGAAAGGTAGGCAAAGAAGGAAACCTTTGGAGGGGCTGCGAAATGACATGGGTGCCAAAGCATTTGTCTACCTAGCACTCCGTACCAAGGTAGGTACTGTAGGTACCTTATCAGTCCAGAGCTGCAACGCTCTGCAGAATAAATGTTTTGGATTAATTTTGATTGCGACACGCCAAACAAAGGGAAACCAACTACCTTGGTAGGCAACACCGAAAACAAGAGACTTCTCTCTAGCTGGAAAGTCGTGGTACTATCAAATAGGAGGAGATACCCTCGCCGGATTAACCCCTTCAGGATACCCAACCTATTATAAAAAAGGAACCCTCATCTGAGGAGATCGGAATGGTCGATGCACATATTTCTTTTCTGCCTGTGACCGTGGAACGATTGTGATAGATCATCAGAATCTCATCAGGTATGCGAAAGCAAGTAAGGCAGCAGAAATGGGAAACTTACATGGTATTCTAAAGAACTAGGGCGATCCCAAGTATGATTATTTGAGATAGACGATAGATCATGCAAGAACATCAATCTTGGTCGAAAAAATTACAAGAGGAGAAGATGCTGGGGCTGCGCGAAACCTCACGCGATCAAGCAGATATTATGTGCTTATCGTGACAATAAGGCGGTCAATGTTGCTGGCAATTCTGATAATATTACGAAGGGAAGCCAGTGGATCTCCAGGACAACGCATATTGAGAAATTCATCAGTTCGTCCTCTTGAACTCTATAGAGGCTCCCATTCATTAGAAATGCCCAATAGCTTCTTAGTTTGTACCAACTGGCTTGACACGACTCAGTTTGCCGACTATCCTAATACATGGATAGAGGGAAACGTCTCCTATCAGAGAGGTCTCAAAAGAGCCTGCAATTAGCATTGTCCATTAAGCAGCCTTGGGGGAAAACTATATCTGCCCAATCAAGACTAATTAATTCCATGGACTGCATTTTGATCCGACCACTATTATACGACGGATTATAAAAGATTAGCCTTCGTCTACCTTCCCTATTCAGAACTGCTAATACGCCATGCCTCCGTACTTGAACATTTGAGATATACCCCGAAGGTTTTTTGCCCTCTGAATTCTTGGAGTAGAGTCACGAAACGCGAGCCAGAGTAACTGCTCTACATATTGCAAGACTCGTGTCCTTCAAGGCACTGCCTATAAGGGGTTCCGTAATACTCCATTATACAATTCCATGACTGTTTCCTCATCGTTACCGATTACTAGACGGCTACCATGTATGAATATCGAGCAAAGGTTGTGTCTTGCCAAAGGGAGTTCATGCCAGTTGTAGTAGTGTATACCCCACAAAACCACGTAGGTGCGATCAATGACAAGATAAACGTTGCTATCACTTAAAATGAAACGGAGGAAGTCGTTTCAAACGTTTCATGGCCAAAACTATCATTGCTCAAATATTCCCGGTTTAAGTTCCTTGGCTATCACTCCGTAGTTCTAACTATTATCATGTAGGTAAAATCCTAAGACTATCTAGCAGAAGGTATTAGCTAACAGATAATATAAAAGTGGGTTGCATATAGTACACACCAAAGCTTCGTCGAGCCGTTGACGGTGTTCCCATAGTCTTTCCTATGCTAGCCACAACATATATTAAACCCCCCGCCCCCCCGACCAAAGATTTGGCTTCTCGGTAGCCTTGTCCGGCTTTAGAGGTCGTTCGGAGATACCATCTCTAAACGCTATCGATGCCTCGATTCTTGTCGACTAGAACTTAGGCTCCCAGGAGACATGAGGACCGAATTGAAAGTCATATTTCTGTGGTAGCTCAACGTAGACAGAGTTTCATACTCTCATTAAGCATTGCTAGTGTCATATCGTAATGTGCCCTCGCAGTCCGATTCATTTTGTCCGCGACAGATCCACCGTATATTTGGCGCTGTGGGCGCGGTGACCGGCGCTTTCTTTGGGCCCTCCACTCCATATGAAGTATGTTTTTCAGGATCTGGTGCTCTAGGCCTGTCTCCTCCGCCGCGCCTTTAAGGAAAAGCAATGTATTGTCGATTCGTGCTTGTTCGAAAGTAGACGGATGTTCTTTTCGGAAGGCATCTCGTAATCGGTCTCGAGCAGTGAACCTGGACGGCTTAGAATACTTGACTGCTTGGAGAAGGCCTCGGTAAAGATGCCGATATGCATGTATTACGGGAACATTGCTGGGCATCGGCATTTCAGAAAGCGTGACTGTGATGGCGGTACTTGATATTCAATGCGACTACTTGATGGGTGAGGCCAATATAGCACAGATTGCCCCCGAACGACCGACACTCACTGATGCACGTGCACACCAGGGCGCAACCAGTCGCTGTGACTGGGCGGAGCGTCATCGACCTCAATTTCGACTGAGTCTCCCCGCCTGCTACGACGGTGTCACTACGAGTCCCGACGACGAGAACAATGCCCTCCAAATGAGGCTATTGTCTACCAAATGACATCTCTTGTGTCGGAATTCCTTATAAACCCAGTCTTGCGAACAGCGCGCCGTTTCTCTCGCTCAAACTCAAACAACGTCTACGATAACGCCACTCCGCCAGCATTCGAACGAACCCCCCCGGAAGCTCGACATGAAGATGCAGTTGAGGATATAGCAGAGCTCTTGGAAGGCCTAGAAGGGCTAGGATCACAAGGAAATGACGAAGTTCCTAGCATAACTGGTGAACCCGTAATACTGGACTCTATCGAAAACGACGAAAGCATCGATGCACAGTTGCACACTCTCATGGCTGCAAGAGCCCCAAACGCACTTCCAACCCATAGTCCTACTCCTATAGGGCCCTACTTCCGGAGGCTATCCTCTAATGAGGTCGACGACGACGATGTCACACACAATCCATCATTTGGCATACCTAGTCGATTCCGGACAAACTCGTCAACGACGAACCCTCTCAGCAACCCCGATCCCAATGTTGCAGATACAAGAGCGAGTCCTATAGGAGGTCGATCACGGACTTCGACGCATGATTCTATACAGTCAAGTTCTGCTGGCAATTATAGAAACAGGTCATTGCCTGCAGATGACGGGATGGGTGCTCTCCGACAGCGGATTATTATGATACAAGCCATGGCTATCCCCGCCGAGGAAAAGGCTCGTATGATGCACAGCCTTCTCATTCAGGGATATACAGAAGCTCAAATGTTCCATACTAAACAGCAACCGCCAGCATCTTCTCCGGCGAGCATGGTCAGTCAGGAGCGACCTACCACTCCTGGATCGTTAACCTCATTCCTTTGGCAAATGAATGGTGTCATGGACGATGCACCCCCAACTCAGCAGCACACTTTCCACCTGTCACCGGATGATCTTAAACCTTCCTATGCGCCGTTGGACCCACCGGAGATCGATGGAGATGGCGATGCTGCTCTAGGAGAGCCGATCCCAGAACTGGGCTGCCAACACTACAAAAGGAATGTAAAACTACAGTGCACAACCTGCGATAGATGGTACACTTGTCGAATGTGCCATGATGAGACTGAAGATCATGTTCTAAATAGGAAAGCCACCAAAAATATGCTCTGCATGCTATGTGGCTATGCCCAACGGGTAGGTGAGTTCTGTGTTGGGTGCGGCGACAGGACTGCCTGGTATTACTGTGATGTTTGCAAACTATGGGACAATGACCCAAACAAGAGCATATATCACTGTAATGACTGTGGTATCTGCCGAAAGGGCCGTGGGCTGGGTAAAGATTTCTTTCACTGCAAGGTAGGCCCCCCCCCAATACACATGTAATCCATTTGCTGATCTTTTGTAGACTTGTGGCGTTTGCATGTCTATGTCTGTGGAACACTCTCACAAATGCATCGAGCGTGTCTCGGACTGTGATTGCCCAATTTGTGAGGAGTACATGTTTACGTCGCCCCATCCAGTCGTCTTCATGCTCTGTGGTCATAGCATACACAAGAGTTGCTATGAAGCGCACATGAAGACATCTTATAAGTGCCCGATTTGCAGCAAGAGTACAGTCAATATGGAAACTCAATTCCGGAATCTGGACCGGGCTATTGATAGCCAGCCAATGCCTCCCCAATTCCAGGATACAACAGCTATGGTATCATGCAATGACTGTTACGCCAAGAGCGCAGTAAAATACCACTGGCTTGGCCTCAAATGTGCCATTTGCGATTCATATAACACAGCTCAACTTTCTATATTGAGTGACCTAGCTGTTGAAGTGCCAGCTGGTGAAAATAGAGACTTTGATGATGCTTTAACAGCTACTTCGCTAAACAGAGTAACATCATCCACGGGGGTCCTTGGTATCGGCAGGAGACATTCTTCACATATACAAGCTCCAATGACACCAAGTAGAGGCGCAAATCGATTTCCCGCTTATTCTGTCCCTCAACGAATCGCTAGATCAGTATCTCCCGTCCGTGGTAGGGGCATCTATGATGCGCCGCCGGTCATGATGCACCCCGAAACAGATGATTCGGCAGAGGAGGATGAGCTTGACTTTTGGGGTCGAGATAAGCCACGTAGTCTGACCTCTGGTGAGAATATTGACGAAATGGAAGAAGACGACGAGTCAGAAGAAGATTCTGTGAATGAATCTTGTGATGAGGATGATGAAGATGAAGAAGATCAGTTTGAACTGATCGGCCATCGTTGATTATTTTGGCGCCGGGGGTTTGGAAGAAGGATAATGAAATGGGTTGGCGGCGTTTCTCCCGTGGCGTATCACCACTTGCGGTACGGGGCGACAAACTAGGCAGTGGGTCTGATAGGAGGGCTTGGGAATATCCTTAATTATTAAGCTTACGAATAATAATAGATTTGCTTGTGCATCATTGTAAAGTACGAGAACTTGCATAGCATTCATCTTGCATTTCCGGACGCTTCATGGGTATCATTATTTCATCGTTTCATCCAGCCTATATTCTGCTTGCATAACAGCTTCCTAACACCACAAGCAGTAATCACCCTCCACAAATAATAGGCACTCTAAACAACTAACCCAAATTATCCCAACCAAGCCCCTTGATTATTGACCTCATTTACTTTTGTCATACTCCCAGCCCAAAAAGCATCCCTCAAACGCCATTGTCCCGATTATCACGAATTTTATGCCTCTTTAGGCATTTTGAGCCTTATATTTAACCCCCGGAGCAGACTTTTATCGTTGTCCCCTAGACTGTAGAATCTCCTTCTGCGTTTCCTCGGCATCCTTCTTCAGCTCCTTGATAACAGACTGGAGAAAAGAAATCAGCACCATCCCTTCTTCTTCCACAGGATGCAGCAACATACCGCCAGCGCTTCCGGATTTACGCCATTCTCAATCAAAGATATACAAATAGACAGCGTCTGCCGGTCGAGATCTGCATTCTTGGAGAGAAGTTAGAAATGCCGTGGGTTGGGGCGCCGATTGGCTTACAAGGAGAGTAGATATTTCGTGGAATACGTCGATGACTTGGCGGGCTTGCGCAGCCATGATTTCTTTATCCTGCTTGCGGTTGGCTTCTGAGGGCATGGCTGGTGTAAATTGGGTGGGAGAGGTTGTAGGCGGTGTAGTGTTGCGGTGAGGAAGCTTTAATCATGGAGGGAGACGCGTTGTCATCGCGTCGAGGATTCCCCAGAAGCGGAACCTCCCCGCATCTCAATCCCCCGCGAAACTTGCATGATAGGTACGTCACTCACTATCAGACTTCACGAAAAGCTCCAAAATCAATCTATTTAGTAGTATCGTAATCATTTAAACTCTTCTTTTCTTCTTTTGAAAAGAGAAGAGAAGCTCTACTTAAATACCACCGTCCATGTCTCCACAACCTGTCCTCACTGGAGGTTGTCAATGTGGCCGCGTCACATACACCAGCACAACTCTCCCCACCCATTTCACCAACTGCTGCTGTAAAACATGCAGTCGTCTCTCTGGAGGCCCTTTTTTTACGTTTGCCGACATTCCGGTATCAGCTATTAATTGGACATCTGGGGAGGAGTACCTGATGAAGAAGAGCTATTCGGAGATTGCGGAGCGAACCCACTGCGTCGAGTGCGGTACTCCGATTTCAATGGTGTACAAGTGTGAGCCCGAGACCATTGGCATTACGGCAGCTTCGATCAATATGGGGACTATTAAGGGGACGCTGCCACATGTTAAATCCTATATTTTTGTTGGGGAAGAGGCGCCAGCCGGATGGTATACGCTGCCGGATGATGGCGTCCCAAGATATTCAAAGTTCAATCCTGGCTTTCAAGAAAGGATTGGTGCTTCGAAGTCTTGAGGACAGGACTGTCACCTCTGTGGGTTCCCCAGAGGTACGGTATGCATCAGCTGAAGGGGGTTGTCACTCTTCCTATCTTGAAGACCCGCTTAGGGACATTACTGGACTTCATACAAATCGAAGGGCTAGTTCGCCATTAACGCCAGCCTAATAAAAACCTGCATCTCCACGGACTATTATATCCCACCTCTTCACTTCATAGCTTCCATAAAAAGATCCCGCATACCTTTCAGCAAAACGCGCAAGTCCCTATGCTCGTTCAACTGATCCAGAACCCGCTCGATTTGATCCTTCTCTAGCTTTGGTTTGCAATATGGAATTTCATAATCCCTCTTTGAAGTGTCTAACTCGAAAAAAGCCTCTCTGGTCCAGTCGCGATCATCAATATGGGTAAAGACAAACTTCAGTCTGTCATCTTGCCCTGCCCCCTCGAGGGTCATACACAGTGTCGAAGTCCAAAAGTCGAGTTCGGGTATGTTGAACCGAGATTGGGAATCTTGGTGTTGGGCATGAGCTCGTTGTGCAGCAAGCCGTGCATCTATTTGTTTCTGGGTCTCTGCAATTTGTTGTTTGAGACTCTCCTTCGTCACTAGGTGGGCATCTCGTTGCATGCTCAGAGACGCTATGGCCGCTTGCATTTCATTCGTCTCCGCCATTTCTTTTTCTAGGGTCTGCTGATGGGCGCTGGTTTTCGAAGATAGGATCTCGATGTCTTTTTTCTTCATCCGTTGATCCTCTGACGGCTTTGTTAGTGCTGTTCTATGTTTACAAAACATAGAAATACCTTGTAACTCAGCTACATTCATGCGGAACTGGTTTCTTTCTTCCAACACTCGCTTCCGGCCCTGCTCTATGAAGTTGTCGAATCTAACTGTGAATTTGGCCATACGGTCGCGCAGCTCATCGAATCCAAAGTTGATACTGGGCAGGGAGTCTGCCATAGAAGGCGCGTCGGCTGATGTAAGTGGAGGGCGCATCGTGCTGGTTGAGAACGAGGGTTCAAATACTGTTGACATGATGACTGACATGGCTGAAGTCTAATTGCGATTATCGTAGGTTGAGGGTTGAGCTGGAGATTGGAATTGCACTGAAGTCGTGATTCTGGTTGTGGTCGACATGCCTGTCGGATGCGCCTCTCTAAATGTTGTGTTGTATCGTTGGCAGGGAAACCGTGATGCTAGGCCCTGGTCATACAGTAGAACGCGACTTTGCGATAAGATAAAGCTTCATAGTAAAATTTTGAATCCCCGATCTCTGTGCTACTACTCAACCTGGGATGTCCACTCCAACTTCCACCCGTCTTTTGTTTTAAGGCTTTCTATCTCCCTAGCAGTGGCTTTGCTTCCTGGGCACATATCGCAATGCGTTGGATAAGACTTCCTGGCTCACGACGACGACGAAAGCCAAATGACTGACTACAGAGTTACGGACCTTGCCTTTGGCCACCCAGGGACTGCTTCTTATGATATAGAGGAGAAGCAGTGGATATTTTCTGCGAAGTCAAACTCAGGCAAGCCTGCCGCTGATTGAAGAAAGAGTTTTGCTGACAGTCCCTCAGAGCAACGCATCCGCCAAATCTCACAGTTTAAGGAACGTCTTCCTCCTTCCGCCCCAACTCTTCTAGAGGGAGATGGAAAACATTCGGACCGTCCCAAACCCCAATTGAAACGACTTTTGAAAACATATCCTGAGGCAGTTCCCGGAAACGAAATTGCCTCGAGCCTGTCAAAATTTAGTTCCCTGTCGCAGCCGGAACCTTTAGGCGATTCTGGAAGTCTGCTAGCAATAGGAAGAGCAGCCTATAGCAGGAATCCGTCCAGAATCATTGCGCTGCCCTGTGGAGAAGCAGGACATGTGCTGCGGTTAATCAGACTGCGAGCCGAAACTCGCGGATGGGAAAGTCAAACGAGCCCAAACATCTCATTGTTCCACCTGGACTTGTCAGATCAGGGATATTGGATGAGCACTGGTGGTACTATTAGACAGATTGTCTTTTCGGATGATGACGAATCTAGCACTTGGTTGGCGGTGCGGCAAACTACAATTACCACCATCTTCCGTCCTGCTTTTGGTCAACTTCAACCAGCTTTTGTACCAAGTAGCTCTGCGAGGATATATCCCTCTTCACGTCTCAGCGCAAATCCTGTAGCTTTTATCACTGCCGAGAAGACCCAATTACAGTGCCATGCGGATATCTCCTTCAATCCCTGGTATTGTCGCCAATTTATTTTGATTGATTCATCAGGGCATTGGTGCATTTGGAATATTGAATATCAGCAAACTAGGTCGTCACCCCAGGACCTAGTTGCAGGGAAATCAGGTAGCATCGATGACGACTGCTCCGTTGATTCTATCTTGGAACCATCCTCTGCTAATAATCTGGACGGTTGGTATCGAGCATTATGGGTCGGCGATATCAATACCATTGCCATCTGCAGTAGGCGAAGTATTGTTATATTTGATCTTAAAGCAAGACCTACGCGGCTGCGTAGCATTGAGCTCCCTCCAATCAGCTCCAATCGCATAATTGATATCAAGCGGAGTCTGGAAAACCAAGCCTATTTGTTCGTGCTGACTACTTCCCAAATCATCTGGATCGAGGTTACCCCCGCCGGAGAAGAGGGTTCATCTGGGGCCAAGATACTCCTCTCCTATCGCCACTTCCGAGATGTATCTGATGAGACCTTGAGACTCGTGGCCGTGAAACATGATAATGGTACGGATATCCCATCAACACCTGTACATATCTGACTTTGGACAGTCTCTATTATGATCACATCTAGGAAGAGTCCTCTGATAAATGTCTACGGCTTCTCCACGTTTCCAGAACGCCCAGGGGTCCCAACTTCCTGGAAAGGATCTTTCATGCTGGCACCGGAACTAGACAATCGCCAAGTCAGGCCATTCCTTTCACTATACCTCTGTCCAGCCCCTTTAATATCCGATCCTGGGCCACAGCTAGAGCAGAGTGATATAGGTCTCGGGTTTCTGCAAGTGTGGGCTCTCTCTCCCGATCTCACTCTTAGCTCAGCCATTTGCATCGCCCATAATGCCATCCCTGAAAAATTAAGGTTGCCTAGGTTCTTGGTCACCGCACCTGAGGTACCGCTGAGCTTGTTTCGCGCTCGTCCGGGCCCAGTACAACGGCAAGATTTCGTGGTCCCCAACGGCCTAGACGATATAGCATTTGTTGCCACGACGCCTGGATGCATCCGGCGCGATCACCAATCCAAAGTTGCAAAGATGAAGCAAACGGATTTGCGCTTAAGAATTGATTGGAAGCGTATTTTCAAGGCTGTGTTCCCGCAGGCTGGCTCGAAGTATCCACATAACGAATCTCAGCTCGGAACACCAGGGGAATCGTCCATGATAGCAGAACTCCTCACAACTATATATGACAGTCTACAACAATCTAGACACGAGAATAGCCTCCCAAACACTACTTTGTAAGGATCTACTGCATTTTCATCAATACTTCTACTTACCAGTCCATAGTCTTGAACTGTCGAATTGTTCGGGGTTCTCCGAAGAGCTTGAGAGAGCCACGACTATTGTACAAGAGTTTCTCCAGTCGCTAGAACAAGATGAAGGTATTCTAGGTCAGCCCAGGCTCAGAGTATCGGACATCATGTCAGCCCCCTCAATACAGTTTCCAACCAGCGAGGGGAATACATTTTCTGGCTTCTTAAAGATATACGATCATATGGTGGAGATATGGATGGCTAGTCTACCCGCGGAGGTCTCCGTGACAACTCGGTTGTCTAAATACAAAATTATACGACAAGTCGCTATTGAGCTTTGTCTGAGCTCTGTTGTCTGTTCTTTGCGAAGATCTGAGCCGTCTGCGCCTGGAGGAGACGAGGATGAAGATGTCAGGTTACCTTCCAGCGGGGCGGAGAGACCAGCCGGGGGTACCTCGCCAGCACTGTACTCCCCTGACATGACGCCAGAGCCATCTCAAAAGCAGCGTTCGGGAGGTGTACCTACTTTGAGCCGCACGCCGTCCTTGTATTCTCATGCAACAAGTGTCTCGAGGTCTGGATCAATTGAAGATCCTGCAGTCTCTCGACTACGTCAGTATGCAGTTTCGATAAAGTCCCAACCAGACTCTGGGAAATTAAAACTGCCCTCGCAGTGGGTAGTTGGAGATAATCCTGACGAATATTCTTGGGAAAGTGCGAAAGACACTTCTATGGCAGAGAACGGGGAAAGGGGCGCCAGTAGGAGAAACCGTGAAGAGTCTCAACGTCGCCAGCTGAAAGAAAAGTTTCTAAGTCGAGAGAGATTAAAGGCGGCTGTATCTCAGCCAGCATTCACGCCATTTGGCAGCCAGCCAGATCCTGGAAAACATGCCTTCAGTTCACAGAGCAGGGGTGATATACCGATGACCCAGCCTGATAGGGGTACTTTTGGAAGTAGGTCTCTTCAGAAACCGAACAAAAAGGTAAGGCGTAGAAACGCTGGTTTCTAGCGTCTTAAGAGGCACAGTGTGTATTAAGTCAAATAGATTTTGTTGCCAATGCAGCCAATGTCATATATACTTGAATGAAGTAGAAGAGACTTAATCCTGTGTGATCATTTCGGCTCGATGCATGCATTTGTGGCGGTATAGACCTAGTTTAGTGTAATTATTATAAAGTTTTGGAAAGGGATTGATATTAACCTAACTTTTAAATATAGACGAAATACCTTAAGCAAAATAGCAATCCTTTAAGATAAACCTCTTTGTGGTACTCTGATCCTCAAAAATATTTCGAGTTCCAAGATTCTAATGGCTTGGTTGTTGATCCATGGCCCCGCGATCTGGATCGACCCCGCCTGAACACCACTCAACTTCTAGATATTCATCCCTTCAATCCAACATCTCTCTGCAACCCCCGATATCGCAATGTCTACTCATTGCCATGATGAGCATGATCATTCAGGGCACGACCACGGCGACGGCGGCCACGACCACTCCGATGACATAACGCCCGCGCTTCAGTACTCTCTTTACCAACATATTAGCTTTGACGATATCACGACCCTCAACGAAGCCGAAGCCGGCTCAGGGAAGGCAATAGTAAAGAAGACATGGGCGGAGCGGCTAGAGGAAAGGCCAGAGTTAGAGAGCGACACTGACGAGCAGCTACTAATGCACATTCCGTGGGTCTTCCTCAGTCCCACCACCCACACAAAATACTGATGCATGTTACGCGGAAACTAGATTCACAGGCCAAGTAAAGCTCCATTCAATCCTAATCCGAACCTCAAACTCGTCCTCCGCTCCCCAGACACTAAAGGTGTTTATCAACCGTGACGACCTCGACTTCTCCACCGCCAGCGACTTATCCCCCACACAAGAGTTCTCGCTCTCCCAAACATCGGGTATTCAAGATATTCCTGTGAAGAGGGCGCTGTTTGGGAAGGTACAGAGCTTGAATTTGTTTGTGGAGGATAATTATGGGGATGATGTGACGAATATCAGCTATTTGGGATTCAAGGGCGATTGGATGCAGCTTGGGAGGGCGCCGACGAATATTTTATACGAGGCAGCGGCGAATCCGAACGACCATGCTGTGAAGGGAACCAGTGTTAATCAAATGAGCAGTGGGCTTGGTGGGAGAGGGGGCGGAATGTGAACGACGGGTCTTGTTATGGATGATCAGATGGATATTTTAGAGGGTTTAGACGGCGTTAAGGATGGAAAGCCGTGGTGCTGAGTACGCTATATTTCTAACACATGCTGATAATACTAACAACCTACAGAGGGCATGTGGCTAATGACGAGTTGCAAGTTATATTGCAAGGAACAAACTCTCATGATTGAGTGAGGAAGTAAAGAGGCTATTGGAGGACTTAGAATTCACAAGCCTCAAGATCCGAGGTAAAGGACAGTTTGTATAGACCCGTCGTCTAGAAAATACCTACATGAAATCATCCAAGTAATCTTCCCCTCGATCCTGGTTATTTGCCTCGTCATCGTCCCCAGTAAAGAGATCATCATACGCATGCTCCTTCTGCCACTTCTTCTCCTTCCTCTCCTGCGCAATTCTCGCCTCTTCTTTTTTCTATACTAATCAGCTATGCCATCCCCTTATATCTCAGAAAGATCTTACTTACCCGGTCTAATCTCGATGCCTGGTCCTTCTTCCTCAACGCCTTAAGTATTTCTTCCTTCTCCATTTGCAAATCAGGGTATTTCTCCTCCTTCGTCTTGTTGAGGCGATTAACTATAGGATTCTCTCTCTGCGCAACTAGGATCCTTTTCACCTAAAAGAATCAAAGTCTCAGAAACATGTCGCCTAAAGCACTGCGATGGGTTGACGAACCTTCCTCGGATCCTTGAAGCTAACTTGACCAACCGCCATACTGCCATCCTTCCTGAGATTCGACCACGGCGTATAAATAACTGTAACATTATCCTTCTTGTTCCCTATTAAATAGATTATCATCACGTGCAATCGTAAAAGGAGGGCCATGGGTTCTTACCCTCGATGGAATTCGCCTTGGTGAGTTGGGCGCAATCTGTAAGCACCTCTTCAGGTATCGTTTCCCAAGTTTCGCCTTCTTTCATGCGAAGATATATGTGAGCACTTGAGAGTTTGTCGGCGTGAAACCAAACATCTTCCTCGAGGCCGTACTTGATGAGATCCTCATCTGGGGCGCTTAATTAACACTTTTTCAGCGTCGCAAGACAAAATGAAAATCCTTACTTTCAACTTTGTCCTTGCCTACGTAGAGGAAAGCACTAGGAGTCACAACATTCGATGTAAAGTAATAAACCATCTCAGCGGCTCGTGCTTATTTCATTTCCATAATGTGTCGCCTCAAGAAATCTAAGCGGTGCCGAAATCTGAAATACAGATATTGGTGACCACACTGGCCCCTTTCGCCCTCCGTAGCGAAAATCCCCATCGCCTTGAGCTCTATACTCCGTGTTGCTTCAACCACCCTCATCACACATCCACAACGCCTATGCATAATGGCACCCAAGCTGCCCATAAGCTGGGCACAATTGCCTCCGAAATTCCTCCTGCCGGAGGCCCTCCTCCCCCTCGTAACAAAACGCGGCGTCAAATACGGATGGAGCACGGCCAACAAGCGCTCCAAACCTGGTCGGTTCAATCAACAGACCGCAGGTCTTCCCACCCTCGAACATTCACCAGCTGCAGCACTCTTACGGAAAGCAAGGACATTACCCTTACGGACTGGAGCTCTAGCGATTAAGAAGGGCATGACGGCGCTCTATGACCCTGAGACAGGAAACAGAACACCATGTACTGTCGTACAGCTGGACAGAGTACAAGTGGTATCGCACAAGACGCGGGAGAAGAATGGATACTTCGCAGTACAGATAGGGGCAGGGTGGAAACATAAAGACAACGTCACGCGCCCGCTGTTAGGGCATTTCACCGGCGCGGGAGTGAGCCCCAAGAGATACGTGACAGAGTTCAGAGTCAAGGATTCGAGCGGGCTGTTGGATGTTGGGCAAACGATCGGCCCCGATTGGTTCCTGGAGGGTCAGTTTGTCGATGCTAGGAGTAATTGTAGGGGTATGGGTTTTGAGGGTGGTATGAAGAGACATGGATGGAAGGGACAACCAGCTTCGCATGGTAATTCGAAGACCCATCGTGCGATGGGTTCATCCGGAGGTGGGCAGGGCAGTGGATCCAGAGTTCACCCCGGGAAAAAGATGCCGGGGAATATGGGAGGACAACAAGTCACGGTGCAGAATGTTAAGGTGTTGAGGGTGGATGCTGAGAAGGGAATTTTGGTTCTCAACGGCTGCGTTGCAGGACCTAAGGGGTGCGTGGTCAAGCTCCAAGATGCTATTAAGAAGCCATGGCCTACGATTCCTGCGACGGTGAAGGAGGTGGAAGAGCCGCTGCAGGCGACAGCGTAGACTAGAGTTGTAAACTAAAATTTTGTACAATACATTTGGCATTACGTCGGAGTTTCCTAGAGCAGAATTTCCCTTTTAACGCCATCCCAATGCCCACCTTTCATTCTCAATTCCTTGCTCCCAATCTCCTATACAGTTTTACTAAGCCCTCAAGAATCCCCATTCATCCCGACAAGTTTGGCGCATAACTCCCCCTTCCAACAACCTTCGCCTCGTTCTCGTCGGCCTCAATCCCCTTGAAAGGATCGCTACCATCCAACAGATCAATCTTCTTCCTCTTCATCTCTCCATTCTCCTCAATCATCTCATCCGTCTCCAAACTCCACTCAGTAGTCTCGAACATCCCCATCCTCGTCCTCCTAAAGCTCGTAAACTTCATTGTGCCTCGCTTCTTCGTGCCCTTCACCTCAAAATGTATATTTATCCGTCCATGCAATTGGTTCATCTCGCCCCAAATCCAGGGCATTTGGTGCGCGAAGTAGATATCGTCCCCTAGGTATTCGCGCGCTTTTGGGCTGGTGCGTAGCGCATAGAGGGTGGAGGCTACGACAGAGGACGACGACTTTTGGTAGTTAAATATACCGAGGCAGCTGGAGACGAGGATGACGAGGAAAATGGTGCCGGAGCGAAACCAGCGCATGCCATTTTGCGGTATTTCTATATAGGGAACTAATTAGCTTAAAAATGTATAGGACGAGCAAGGAATCTTACCTGGGAGTTCACGGTTTGGCTGTCGACTCATAAGAGGTCCATCTCCCACCTTGGGTGCTGCGATCATAGTCCGCCGCTGTAGCATAACATTTTGGGCCCTAAGATTTGAGAATCTGGGCAGCGCCCTTGAGCGTAAGAGACGGGGGAGCATCTTGCAATAGCGAGTGTTGTTCGATCGCAAGAACTGGACTTCGAAGTGAAAGCTTCTCGGCAACATCCGATTTCAAGTGATGTTGAAGCGGGAATCTACACGTGACAAGGCTGACGTTCCCGTCATGGTCTCCAATTCTCTCAGCCGAGTCCTCTTAGAACAGAAGCCATATTACAAACCAAAATGGAATCGTCTACATCCCGCCTCCGTAAGACCTTCCGCTATCCCACAGATGATAACTCTGACGATTCGCTCCCAGAAGCCATGGACGAAGAAGGCTAGCCCCCCATCAACCCCTATATGCCCGCAAAACACCAACTAATGCCTTACTATAGAGCAAGAAACCTTAATAGCCAGCCTCCGACTGCAAAACGAAACCCAAAACAAGATCTTCACCCAGTTCCTCTTCACCATCCCTCTCCTCTCTTTATTTCCCTACCTCACCATCCCCTTCTACGAAGCCCCCCCAAACACAGGTTTGCTCGCCGTACTGAGTATCACGAGCCTCCTCTCCACAGCGTGGATGGTATATATGTTACCTCCGGAGTCTATAGGTGTCGACTTTATCGATAATATGAGTAAAGTCCAGCGGGTACGAGATTCGAAGATGAATGGTGGGGGGCGTGAGGTACTCGGCGATAATCACGGCCCAATACGGAAATACTTGCCGCTCTTGAATATGGGACTGTGTCTCCTGCTGCTGGGCTTGAGTATGTTGGGGAGGAGGAGAGAAGTGTTGGCGGCCGGTGGTTATTGGTGGGTTTTGGGATGTTTGCCGGTTGGGGTTTTTGCGGTTGTCTTGGTGGGGAAGCGGGTTATGGGGAGTGTGGATCCAGAGGAGTTAGACGGGCTGAAGTATCAGTTCAAGGGTGCATAGTTAGGGCGCAAGAGCTGTTAATGTAAAACATCTTAAAGGCTAAAGGGGCATGGTTAAGCGTGGAGGGCGTTAGGGAAGAAGCATACTAGATATCCAAAGCATTGAAGATAGGCGGCGCTGTAAATGATTTGCATTTGGTATTTTGATTGCGTTGCGTATATACATTTCTCTACATATCTATACTCTCATTAAACCTCAACACCCCGTTCGCCTTCAGCACCCCATCTATACCATCTGGAAGGCTCGGGAAGGGGTCATTATGATTCCCTCTCTCGGGCGGTTCTCCAGTCTCATCCGTAACGAGAACAAGCCCTTGTGCTTTGATCGCTTCAACTAATGCTGGCACCATGTCCTATCAAGCATTAGTACCTTCAAATGGATTGATATAGCGAAGTCGTGACTTACTAGGAGTCTCGAAACGCAAATCAAGCCCATAAAATTGTTATCTTGGGCAATCCGAACTGCCTCCTTGATAGACGTTGTTCTTCTCCCGCTGGTCGTTACAGCCACCGAAGTACCTGACCTCTGGCTGTCGCTCCCTAGGTCGTTGCAGAGAAACACGGGATAGTTTGGCTGCTTCCAATTTAATGCCGTACAGACAGTGGGACTATATGAGCTAAAAACAATGGATCTCATCGCATCTGGAGATCTTTCTCGGAGGGCTCTTGCATGGTCGAAGACGACTCCAAGGATTGCATCCCCAAATGTGTTGATGTTGATTGTTGGCCCCAAACGAAGTGTTTCCTCCTCCTCAGAGGAGGGATACAGCACCTGGAGGTTGACATGCATGCCCTTTGGTAAAAGATCCAATGCATTTTGGAGAGACACAGCGGAGTTGGATAGAATCTGATGAACTTGTTCAATATTTTCCAACGGTAAGTTAGGGAGCTCTAATAAGTCTCCCGCCTTCGCGTAGCGTGAGCCAGCACTGACAAATTGGGCATAAGTCAGACGGCTCACTGGAAACTCGATATCCATATAGCCCATCGTCCATCTTGGCCAGAGCACAGGTACACCATCGCAAGTATGCTGGACAAATAGTTGCACATAATGCCCCGACAGACTTGAACCAGTGATAAATGCGGATGGTCTGTGGTCGAATTGACTTGTGGCCTTCCAATATGTCTCAAAATCTGTGATTTCCAATGGCTTGCCCTGGAATGGTTTGATTACTTGGAAATTAAAAGTAATTTGTCCAATGGCCCTTAGCCTTGGATCGAAGAGGGGAAGGCAACAGCGCCCGGAGCTACTCCGCAATGCTCGGAACGTGCTGGGTAATGCAACTGTTTTGGCAATAACCTTTGCGCCATATGTAGGAAAGACATCGAAATCAATGGCGAAGGAGTCTAAGTTATCAATCTGAAATGAAACAAGCCGGGTATCTTCCTGGAATGGGAGCAAAATATTCTTGGGTATCAAATCGGATAGTTTCGAAGAAATAGTAAGACGAGCTGCAGGATATTTGCTATCGTGGAAGAAGACCATCGGTTGCTCGCCATTTTCTTCGAAGCTAATCTGTACAAACGTCTTGGTGTCGAGGAAGTTGTGGCCGTATCGTCTTAGCGGAATTATAGGAGGAGGAAGCTCGAGCTCTGGGATACCGTCCGCATCAATGCTCATTGGCATTGGCGCACTACTCCCAGTAAATTGCCCGAGCTGGGTGTCTTGCATTGGCTGTCTTAGTTTCCGCATCTCAACTGATGTGGACGATAACAACTTCATGCACTCCAAGTGCCCTTCCCATGCTGCATAATACATTGCAGGAAGGCCTTTCTCATCCTGAAGCTTGGTCTCGACTCCGACCTCGAGCAGTGTTCGCATACAGGGTACATTGCCTTCGCTTGCAGCATGGAATAAAGGCGTCCAAGAATAGAGCTTGTCGATTTGATCTAGATCTGCGCCGTAGTCTTTCAGCAGAAGAAGTAACTGTGGGGTTTGGCCAGAGCGGGCGACAAGATGTTGTGGATACAGCCCTTCGGCATCCGGTAAGATTGCAGCTCCATGCTGCAAGAGCAACTCGACTATTGCTAGAGATCCATGTTCGCAAGCTAAATTCAGTGGTACATGGTCGTTGTCAGAGATTGGATCAATACGAGCGGACCGGTTCAGTAGTCTTTTGGCGCACTCATAGTGTCCATGTATGATTGCATGAACTAAGGGCGTGAAGTTGTCGTGATCAATTAAATCAATAGTTGCTTGATCGGCTGCGAGGCGTTTAGCTTTAGTTAACGGGATAGGGGTTCAAATTACCGTTTAACAGAGCCTCCATCATGTCCAACCGGCCATGCATACAAGCATAATGCAGAGGGACCCGTCCATAGACATCTGTACGATTTACTGCCACTCCATTCGACAGTCCAACCCCGAGAACAAAGGAGTTGCCATATATGGCAGTTTGATGAAGACAATTTCGCTCGTTGATATCATCCTCGGATTGAACATCGACCAGGCCAGTATCCAGAAGGAGTTGTAATGACGCTTCTGGTGCTTCGTTAATCGCAGACAAAAAGGTTCTGGTAATCCGCTCTAGTAGCGCAATATCTCGGGAGCCATTTGGATCTGCCGCCGTCTTTAATCTCAGAAGCAGATCTTTGAGAGCCTCGAGGTTCCCGGAGATCACAGTGTCTAGGAGCAGCGTATCGGCATCGCCCTCGTCCGTTCCTAATAGATGCTGGCTGCTCACGATATGCTCGGAGCTGCGTTCGAAGTTGATATTATCTCCCTCGGCCCACGCACCAAGTTCTTGAAGACTCGTAGTAGCCTGGTCGGACAGTTCGCTAATGACCGTAGCATTGAAGAAGGGCTGAACTTCGACAGCACGGGAAAGATAAAGCTCCTTGGTTTTGGATTTCGACGTCTTATCCCACTTCTTCAGGATCTTAGAGAAGGCAGTTCCATTGACTTCAACAAATTGCTGGAGATTATTGAGATCGTTGCCGAATTGCTGGAAGCCTTCTTCTAACGTCGTAAACTTCGCAGAGCGCCTGGACGTGCTCCCACTGCGAGACTGGAGGACCTTCTTCTTGTCCAATAGCGTCTTGAGCCGAATGTTGAGCTAGTTGATGTCAACTGAAGTTTGCTGGGCTGTACTGATATCATGACATACCTCGGCCTCTTTCTGGAGATAAAATGCGTTGACTTTCTCGAGTTCTCGTTCCTTTTTCGCCATCTTAGCACGACTTCCTCCTACAAGAGGGGCCTGACTTACCAGCTGGAAGAAGAACGTAGCTTTGTTTGCTTGCAAGGCTGCTTGGGAATCTATAACCCCGGGTGGGCGCTGAAGATCATTTTGGGTTGGAATGGTCGGCGTCGCAGAGAGCTTCTTGATGAGCTGCGGGTACCAATGTATCAGCGCACATGTCCGAACGCCTGGTTGGCAATCCCCTGGGCAGTATTGCTTTTTTCTGTACAACACAGCAACCTCCGCAACCTCAGCGACGCACCTTCTTCAACGCCTTGTAATTGACAAAGCTCGCCGCATACTCAGGGACCTCGAGCTGCCTTTTCTGGATCTTCTTGCCAAACTTCCTAGATGCGCCAAACCGTTAGCACAAACACGACCATCATCGACACCAGCGGTGGCTGGAAGTGCTTCGGCCCCCTCTGGCCTGATCTGCACTCTACCGACAGGCTGGGGGAGATAGTAGGACCTACATAGTGCGGTGTTGGCACCCACGGGGCCCTTGTGGGCACTGAGCGAGTCAATAGACTGGAGACTGGAGATTGGAGATTGGGCAAGTAGGTATAAGAGGGAATCCAAGCGACCTGAACTCGATCACATGCAGAGGATAAGACAGAAGCTCATGGCTGCATATCAAGTGAACAGTGGGCTCCTAAGCTGCAGCTTATGGTTTTCCAATTTATTAGAGGTATGGGGGCATGGGCGTACGGCGTCGAGTGCGACAGAGGCGCGGAGCGAAAAAAGATGGTGGCACAAGGAACCAACCGCAGCGAGAACTGCAGACAAAGCTGGACGGGGACGAGGGCGGGAGAGAGGAGGGACGGAGGGGGAAAGGGAGAAGGGAAAAGATGTCGCTGTTTAGTGGCGACTGGACAAGGCTGTTGAAGAGGCCGATTCGATGCCGAGAGGTCTGTGGTAGGTGGCCAGATTGTCGCGGCAGCTATTGATTAGCTCCTTCGTGGATCCGGAGGGGATTAAGCTGTGGAAGCTGGGTGTTTTGGCTGTAGGTCTGGCTGTATGTTTCGCTGTCTGGCAATCGACGATATGTCATCTGGGGTTGTTGATAAGAACTAGACAGGCCCGGATCGGGACTAGCGAGGGGCAGCATGCAAGCAGAGGGAAGACGGGCAACAATAGCAGCAAGAGCAATAGAGCAATAGTAACAGACGCCTGTGGGATGTGCTGTAACACACATCACATACAGTAGTAATACATACAGTGGGTAGATCACCGCTCTAGGCTTCGCATCGTTATGTTCTGCTCTGTTCTGTTCTCACCAATAAATTGCCGGATTGGGGCATTCCGTTCTAGCCCTCCGTCCTCCGTCCACCTCTGTGGATGCAGATCGGCGCCATGTTTACACGTCTTGCGCCTTTGCGCCGTTGCTTTTCTTCGCGTGTGCGCCAATAGATCGGCCCACGTGTTGCGACAGGCACTTGGCGAGGCTGTGCGAGGCTGACGGTATGGACATCAGTCATTCATTGAATAGTATATAATAACTAGGTACCTTACCTACCTCAGGTAGGTAGGCAGTCAAGTGTCCCCATGGTTCATGGGTCGTGGTGCTCTGCTGAATAGCGTCGCAGTAAATCAAAACATGGCCGCAGGATATCATTGAGCTATGAGCAACCTTGGGAAATCGCACCGCTTGAGTGACCTGACAAAAGCCGCCCACAAATTCCTCCAGAGCGCCACTACGATTTTCCAGCCAATTTCTCGTCCGCAGCCTTATCCTTGGTCCCGACAGTCTCAGCAGCTTCTGGCTTCCGCTCTGGCTCGCCGATGTTCTCAGCCATCGCCTCAGCCGCTGCCTTCTTCAGTCTTTCTCCATCTTCCATCCTGATCTCCTTTCCTCCGACGCGATCCTTGGACTCCTTCTCGTCTTCACTGTCTCCAAGACTAAAGGGATCATTATCTGTCTCGCCCATAGGGCTTGGAGCCACGGCAGAAAGCGGCTGCCATTTGCTCGGCTTGGGCGCCGAGGCTGTACTGGTTTCATTTGTGCTCAGCTTCGGTGCGCCGCCATAGATATCCAGGTCCTCTATCGGGCGGGGTTGGAATGATACTTTGCGCCCTTCTACCTTTGGCACCGCAGGGGTTGGCTTAAAAAGATCTGGATTCGCGAGAGGGCGTGTTGAGCGATGAGCGGCACCTGCAGATTCGTTAAACATACGGCCAAGTTCACCACCACAGAAAGATATACTTACTGCCATCATCATTCAGCTGAATCCCAGCAAAATCATCACCAAGAACATGCGGATCCGCATCATAGCGGTTATAGTCCCCACTCTGCCTTCCATCTCCGCTCCTTCGGGAACGATAAGGAGCATTTCCAGGTTTATGGCCCTGCTGGGTTGAGGACATTTCATCGTCGTCGTCATCAATACCATCAATCCTCTTCTTTAAATTCGTAATCCATCCATTAACCTTGGTTTGTGTCTCCAGGAATCCTTTCTTAAGATTCTCCTTGATAATTGGGAGGTCGTCATCAAGAAAATTGCGATCATCGTCGTCGTGCATTTCGTTTGGCTTGAGCCCGGTTTGTTGCCGACCGCGGGGCATGGTCCTGCTGCTAACTCGAGGGCCATATGGATCTGCGCCTCCATAATGCTCAGCAAGTTGGCGGGCGTATTGCTCGTCGGATTCGAGTTGGGTTTGGGGGGTAGATCCAGCGCGGTTAACCGCTGGCCGGGGAGGCTGAGGGGGAGGGGTTTCTTCAACGACGGCATCAGGGTCGGACATGCCTTTGAGAGTTAGCATTGCTTGAATGATATTAACAGCACTAGTCACCTAGTAAAGCATTAAAGGCGGGCTCGACGCGACCGCTGCTAGCCCTCAAGACAGCTTTAATAACGGCCGCATCAATACTTGGGAAAGCTTCCTGGAGGGTGTTTTCGGCTTGTTGCTGAGGGCTAAGGGGGCGAGGAGGCTTTGGCGGGGGTGCATCCTCAACCGTGGCAGGTCTAGGACCCCCGGGGCCATCGTTGATTAGCACACCGGATTCCTGGACATCGTCGTCGTCCATCTCTAAGGGTCGAGCAGTGGTAGGAGATTCAGCTCCACTTGGACTTTTGACCTGCGAGAGAATATCAGCGTCAGCAGAAGTTCAAGTTCAATTATAAAGACGGGGCGAGGGGCAAGGAGCATGAAAGTGCAATGTCCTGTGGGGATTGTTCAAGCTTACTGGGCTGTCCGTGGTCTTCGTTGGTGCAGACATGTTGGGTTCAATTTAGACGCTAGAAAACCGATAAAATCGATAAGGGACAAAGTATGCGAGGATCCTCCAACTTTAAACGTGTGGTGGTGCCTATTTTAACTGTCTTGTACGTGTTTGAGGGGACAATTGCGCCAGCTTCTTACGTCGCCCGCCACGACGGAGGTCTGGACAACCAGGCCCCGAGTTGTGGCGGTGCGATGTGGCGCTTAGCCCCATTTAGCTTGGTTCGGGCATTGTTACGGTTCCGTTTCACGTGGTAATGTGGCTGCGTGCCTAGGTACCTATCTCAATTAAAAAGTGCCTTGGCATTTCGATGGCTACCTAATAAGCGTATGAGGCTTCCTTGTTCTGCCAGCAACCACGCTGAGGCGCGTAGTATTAAATAGGTAAGGTACGTATGGTTTAAAGCAGGTTGATATAATCGATCCAGGGAGATATGGAGGAGGCCACAAACGGATCAAATTATTAGCATAGTGATATGCCTTTGCCCTTAATTCCCTCCGGTCAGCCATTCTAAGTTATGAAGCGCCCCAAGGTAGGTGGGCACCTTTGTACCTAGGTACTTAAATCCCACATACCAGTACGTACCCCTCCGAAAGGGGCGTTATCACGTGATCATAAACCGTCGCGTGGTACTAGGTGGAAGTTGAGGGACCAGAAATATTTTCTGAGACTGCAGTATTATTTGAACTTAGGTTCCTGTCCGATAGTTACCTTAAGTTATTAGTATCGATCTGCATCCAAATCAAGGTCACGCATCAGATCAAGGCTGCGAGGCTGTGAGGCTGTTCAGGTTCTCTCTCAGCAGGTTCGGAACTCGAGCGCACTAGCCTGCTCTAGGGCAGTTCGCTTAAGATCCCACACTGGTCCATTTTTACATTTCCTCAACTTCTGTACTTGACGTCGCAAATCGATACAGCAACGCGATCCCCTCAAGATGACAGAACAACTCATTCTGAAGGGCACCCTTGAGGGCCACAGCGGCTGGGTCACGTCCCTCGCGACGTCTCTCGAGAACCCAAATATGCTCTTGTCGGGCTCCCGCGACAAGACGCTGATCATCTGGAACTTGACCCGCGACGAGAGCTCTTACGGCTACCCAAAGCGGTCTCTCCACGGTCACTCTCACATTGTCTCTGACTGTGTATGTTACTCTGCGAGCCCTGGAGGCTCAATGCTTGGTTATGACCAAATTGGATGAAATTTGTGCTGAGACTGCTTCTAGGTTATCTCTTCCGACGGTGCCTATGCCCTCTCTGCCTCCTGGGACAAGACCCTCCGTCTCTGGGAGCTTTCCACCGGTACCACCACCCGCCGGTTTGTTGGCCACACCAACGATGTCCTCTCCGTCTCTTTCTCCGCCGACAACAGACAAATTGTTTCCGGATCCCGAGACCGAACAATCAAGCTCTGGAACACCCTCGGTGACTGCAAGTTCACCATCAGCGAGAAGGGACATGCCGACTGGGTCTCGTGCGTTCGATTCAGCCCAAATCCTCAGAACCCAGTGATTGTCAGCTCAGGCTGGGACAAGCTCGTCAAGGTGAGAAACATTTCTTCTGGTATTAAGTGGAGCATGCGAAGTCAACATGATGTTTTTGCAACTTAAAGTATTTGCTACTTCAGAGCTCGGGAGACCGAGCCATGAGACAACCCATCACCAATTTGCCCTGATTGATATTCGCATGCTCCCCTTTAAGATTTCTCATCGCAAAAAGACGATGCTGATATTGTGAATAGGTCTGGGAACTCTCCTCCTGCAGACTGCAGACCGATCATATTGGCCACACTGGTTACATCAACACTGTTACGATCTCTCCCGATGGATCTCTGTGCGCTTCCGGTGGTAAGGATGGAACAACTATGCTGTGGGACTTGAATGAGTCAAAGCATTTGTACTCATTGAACGCTGGTGACGAGATCCACGCCCTTGTCTTCTCGCCCAACCGATACTGGCTCTGCGCCGCTACCTCTAGCAGCATCATCATTTTCGACTTGGAGAAGAAGAGCAAGGTGGATGAGTTGAAGCCAGAGTTCCAGGCTGTTGGCAAGAAGAGCAGAGAGCCAGAGTGTGTTAGCTTGGCATGGAGCGCGGATGGACAGACCCTGTTCGCTGGTTATACTGACAACATCATTCGGGCTTGGGGTGTTATGTCGAGAGCATAGGGAGTTTGATTGCTTGCAGCGGGAAATCATGGTCAGGGAGACTCTATGGGCTTTGCGGTCTCTTGTCGATTGACAAGCTGTACTCCAGATTATTGCATCTCAGAAGCTCAATCAAAAGTAGAAATTCATGACACAAGGGCTTGCGCCTTAAAAACTGTAACTGTTGAGAGGTTGGTAAATTCCATGTTAGTGGACTCCGAACCACAGTGACCTATTTGACTGCATCAACTACCAACATAGGCATCTCATGCCTAACGATGTCTAATGTCACCAGGCTACCCTAGTTTATATACTAATGCCACATGAAGCTGCCGGCTTGTTCTGAGAACCCCATTCTTCGTTTGACCTACTATCCGACATCTCGTGTCTCCTGAGCCTTGTTGGTTGCCAGTTCCGCATTAATATTGAAACCCACTGTTATTCTGTACTTCTCCGATCTAGAACCCTGATGCCAATATCTTGGCATCATTGTGACTGTTGTGTATAATATATACCAGAAATATGGGGCTGAACTATATATCCGATTCCAAGGACTAACTTATTACTGTTTCAGTGGCTAGCTTCATAATATCATCTATTCTCGGGATGGTATGCTGGTACACATTAAACCCAATAGCGGATGGTTTTTTAACATTCAGATGCCTGGTAGAAACTGTGACGCACAGAACTCTTTAATGATTCATTATATCGCTGTCCTTCTATGACGCTCGATGGGTTGAATCAGAACAACTCCGTATATATTCTGATCTACAAGGATCATGAGGAGTTCATCCTAAAGTAGTCTATATGCTATCACCTATCTTCCTTGCCGAGTCTATATTTATACCTGCTTTTTGTTCTGGGTTTTCCGAACTTCACCATGCACTGCTAGGTTGGCAAGAGCACAGTATGAGCTATGGTTGAAGCACCTCGGCATGAATTAATCTAAGTATGTCATTCTAGTTCGGGCTATCATCACCTATGAGTAGTCCCAAGCGCTCATTAAGGGCAAGGTGCCTAGGCACGGTTTCTGATGTGGCTGAGCGAGGACTGATCGGACTAAAACTCTGACTTCCCTACTTGTCTTTTGGCTTCAATACGAATATGATGTAGTGAAGGTAGGGTTAGTTATGAGATAGTGTCTCTTGACCGAGTCCTTTCTCTTTCTAGTTCTATTTGGTGATATTGCTGAGTTACATCCCTTTGTGCGGACGCTTGAAGGCCCCTTAACCTAGCACACTCCAATGCGCATCGGGTCACTTTTCCATATTATCGTGACAGAGGAAGTCTATTGAAGTGAAAAGCGTAGCTGACTTGAGCTGGAAAGACGGAACTCGCAAAGGGGGATGGCCTACAAGAACATATTAAAACCAAGACTTGCTCATATCTCGGAAGCGTCAGATAGCCATGTTGCTCAGTCTGAGCTCCCACCTATAACAAGTCCCATAATATGGTAAATAGTTTGTCGATAGGGAGGATAGATAGCCCTGCAAACGATATACCGCGGTGCAGTGGCTTAGGTCCAACTTCAGCGTCATAGGGCCGAAGTGTCTTTGGACTCGGTGCCTGGAGTCAGAGGGAAACTGACCATCTTGGGATCAGAGGACGTCATGATTGTGGGATATTAGAGGCTGTGGAGGACAAAGCATAAAGTGCTTCCCCGTGGCAACTTGACTTGTAGGATCATTCCTCTGACTCCCCTCGTAGTGGGGAGATATGTGCAAGATTATACTCCGACCGCCATGGCAAAGCCTCGGCTAAAAAGGGGGGGAGGCGTCCACTGGTTTCTGAAGGTTATATAGTCCAACAAGCCATTTTGCAGTTACAACACAAAAGGCGGCCACTGGGCTTGGTGGATCGGGACAAATTGTGTTGGGCCGAGAAGGAGAAGAAGAATGGGCAACAACAACATAACGACAAGAGATGTAGGCAATCGACCGGGCCGAACTCTTTTTGCTTTTGATGTACATGAATTCCCAACAAGTTTCCATATTAGCTCTTTCCTCTCTTCCTTCATTTTTTTATTTTTCTAAATTAAATCATTTTGAAAGCGTCAATAGTTTTGTATTTCTTTTGCGTGTCGGTAAGAGACTTAGGCGAGAGGTTGTTTTGAAGGTGAATACGGACGCGATCCAAGGCTGAGATCCGAGTAAAACCCTCGTGCAAACCTCCCGCCCTAGCGCTATGGTCTATCCAACGATTTATGGTCATAAGATGAGGGTAGGCTCAGACTTTTGAGGCTCACTATGATAAAAAGTGAGGTAGGGAATAATCGCTAGATATAAAAGTATCACGAGTTTTGAAGAATAACGCAGCAATTCTAAAACGTACAGCAGGAAAATGCTCGATTTCTCAATGTCATGTACAAGGGCATTTCTTACCCTTCATCGCATTTGTCATTATGTTCTTATTTTTCTCCAGCCACTAGTAATAACACAAGCGGTCTAATACCGAAAAATGCGCCCAGCCACCAACCATTCCGAACCGTCCCGAGAGCATACACGCCTCTTAGATGAGATGTTTCGATCTGCGTTTATGTTAGTATTGCTTTGACAAATATTTAGAAAACCTTCAAAACAAACCTGAAGTACGCCCGCAAATATATAATTTGCCAAGCTCCCAAAGCAACTAGCATGCCCATAGTTCCAAACGCAAACCACCTGACCCGGTTGTTGGTGCTCTCATTGGTATCCCGCAGCTTCTGCTCACGGCTCCGGAGGTAGTCCATTTCAGCCACGATTTCCTGCACCATCTCCTCAATGCGTCGTAATTCTGTTTCAACAGGTTTGAGCTTCTCGGTGGCCTGAACGGCAGACCAATCCTTTGCGTCTGCGCCGATATCAATGTCGAGTTCTACCTGTCTGACTGGGTTGGAGACGCCCGTGGCTAGAATATATAATTAGTATTGCGAATAGAGGGAGCGGGTGTTGCAGCGGTACTCACAGCCAGTAAAGTGGTTCTCAAAGCAGACGTCAAAATATGAATCGGCATGAGATGTAAATGCCATTCTTTGCTCGCCCACCACATCCCTTGGCCGGCCATACTCATTTCCAACAGCGTCTTTGATCTATTGGTAGGTGCCTCCGTTAGTGCTGGCCCATACCTAAAGCCAAACCACCCATTGCAAAAGATAGCACTTACTTCCATATCAACCTTCATGCCATCTCCTTTATATCCATCCACAGTAGCTGTTACGACCACCAACGTATCCCTTGCAACGAAATTCCGGATGCATCGCACACGGCTCCTATCGTTTCTACTCGTAGCGTCGATATCGAATTTCAGCGCCTCAGCACATGCCAGGAAAAGCACGACACTGCACAAGGCGTGCAGCAGTGACGGGAGATATGCCATGCCGTCGGATACGGTCTTGCGGTATTGTCGAAGGTGGGACGGTCTCTGTGGTTTGTAGCTGTTCACACCTGTCCGTCGCGTCGTAGTAGCGGAAAGGGGATATTTTAGACGTGGCCTGGAAAAGCGACTGGGATGTTCGGCTGAACCCCGGAACGTCGTGTCACGTGTGACCTCAACCCAAATCCAAATCGCGACTTGCGCTTCCATTTCTATAGAGCTTCACTGCCCGAGGCAACATTTTCAGAACGACTGCAAACGTTCATAATACAATCTCACCAAGATGCCAAAATGTAGGTCTTCTGTAACACGATTGTCTCTACGATCCATTTGCTAACACTGAGTATAGTCTTCTGTACGTTCCCTCCTGGGAAGCCCAGGCGCACCTTTAACTTCTTCATCAGCTTCCCTTTCATGGCGCCGCAGACTAACCCACTTTCTCATCCACAGGTGACTACTGCGATGTATATCTCACGCACGATTCGATGAGCGTCCGCAAAGCGCATAATAGTGGACGGAATCACTTGCGAAATGTGGTGGACTACTACCAACGTGAGCCCTCCATATACTGTTCTATGGTACGAAGACTCTGAATCTGATACTGGCATGCGCAGAAATTGGCCATGAAAAGGCACAATCAGTAATCGACTCCATTACCTCCTCCTATGCCGCCGAAGGCCAATCCTCGTCGAATCCCATGCTCGGACAAAACCCAGGCGTCCATCCACCACCACCCTTTCCCTTCCCAGGCGGTATGTTACCCTCCTCGCCCTATACTCATATCGCATTACACATTCCCATACTCCTAACTCCCAAGAGTATCCAACTAATATCACGCTCTCTAGGCGTCCCCCCACCACCTTTTGGAATGCCCATGCCACCGGGTGGTCTTCCACAAGGCATGATCCCCCCACCAGGTGGTCGCGGAATGCCTCCTATGCCCCCCTTCCCAGGCCAACCGGGCGCGCCTCCTCTTCCCCTCCCAGGCATGCCTTTCCCTCCGCCGGGCGGCCTACCACCCAATTTCCAGTTCCCTCCGCTGCCGGGTGGGTTCCAGCCGCCTCCAGGATTCCCTCCTCTGCCGGGAGCCCCACCGGGAGCATCTCCAGCGCCGCGGTTTGATAGTCCCGGGCAGGGGCAAGGGCAGCACGGTGGCGGTGGGGAGAGGCGATGAGTTCCTGTACTTGATAGTTATATGGATATTATAGGGTGAAAGGAGGGAAGAACGATGGAGAGCGGGGCCACAAGGGGGTGAACGGATGTATCATGCAAAAGTCGAAGAACAAAAATCTGGGACTATGGCGTTCAGGGCATGGAGTTGGGGCAAAGATATACCGAGGATTGATGGACAGTCTGTGGAGGAGTTTATCCAAAATTCGCAAGACGGCACAGTGTTCTAAGGCAAAAAAGATGCACCTTGAATAGACATTGAGAGCTTCTCTGTCCTACTCCGCTTTTGAAGCTATGATGAAGGCCAACCGCGGTATTAGACCCAAGTCGGGGAATGTATCGAGCAGTCAAGAAACATGCCTCTATCAATTCCACATCACAAGATAAGCCTTTGCTCGTCCTATTCCCTCCTATCTAAAGTAGTTCTCTATGATTCGGAAGCTTTTGCAACCCATCCTACCATACCAGACCGGTCCTTCTTAGTGTCCGCTCTGTCCTTCACTGGAATCCATTATTAAAGAAGAAGAAATGTGCTTTAATGGAGATACTTCTGGGTATTTCAAAACAACCAGAAACACATATTTGTAACGCCATCGCTGGGCAGATAATAGCCTGCGCTGTCCATACCATTTCATCCCGTCTACTGCTTTGGCCAGCCTATCCCTGCAAAACTCTCCTTGTTCCTAATGATTCATAATAATGCGCTCTCAACCGTTCAGAGAAGGCACGCAGCAGGGTCCGCTTTCTCCATGCCATGTTAAACCATCAAAACATACAAGTCTGATATCATAAAATTCGTTTCCTCATTCCATAGCATCGAGGCGAGACCTCTCAGTCAGCCTCCGCCAGTAGGATAATAAGTCTCGAAGCGAGGTCCAGGAACGGGAATGGTGATGTGACATCCTTTTCTTCAAGTAGCATGCCATCTGGAGTCTCGTAGCCCGCGCATTTGAAATCAACAAGGTAGACGCCTGGTTCCATTTCGTAGAGCTGGATATCTAGATGCATGGTGACACTCTCGATTGGATCCGAACCCACTGTTTTGGAAGCCGAGAGTGCCTCTTGCGAGGGAAGGGAGCCAGCTCCGCTACTCAGGGAGGCTATGGATTGGCGACGGAGGTCTGTAAAAGATGAGCATGTCGATCCAGGAGGAATGGTTCCAGGAGGGTACATGCCGTTTTTGCGCCAGCGCACGCGGAGGACCCATGGGTCTGCTGGAAGTCTGTAGTGCACGTTTGGATCGACTCTGTCGAATCGTAAATTGCCAGATCCACTAGCTTTGTCCATCGACTCGGCATGGTGTAAAGATGCACCGCTACCATCTGATGCAAAGCTGCTGTTCGTCCTGATTCCGTTAGCACGAAGAATATAATGAACTGTCGTACTCACTTATCGCCTGCGGGTTCTCCATAGATAGGTTCTCCCTCTTCATCAACCACCCATTCAGCACCAAGCTTCTGCAGGGCACGGTAGATGCAGCCAATCGCTTCGAGGGGTTGATTACGGGAGCGGATACCAAATTGCCACTTCGTCGGCTTTGTTTTCTTCTGTGGAACGGGCGTCATTCCGGGGGGCCTTTTGCTTGCCTCGTCAAGTTTAATCTGACTACGAGAGTGTGGATTGAGCCGACGAGCTGTCTCCAATTTCTCTGCTTCGGTTTGAGGCTGTGGCTCATGAGCCTCGGAGTGAGTCATCGAGAGAGGATTGCCTGTGTCTCTTCCAGTCTTCCGGGCTTCCATAAACGCTCGATGGTAAGTAGGTAAGCTGCTGGGGAGGATTCCAATCTTGCTGACATATGGTCGAATAGACCTGTCGGTCCCGACCGAGCTAGATGAGCGCGGTGAAACTGCATCTAGTATTGGACTTGGACGTGGTCGGAGGATAGGCTGATCAGCTTCCCCCTCCTTCACAGCAGGCGACGGTGGGCCTGAGGCTGCACTATCAAGTTTTATTCCGTCATTCCAAGCCGGTGGAGAGGGCATCTGGAACAGTAAGTGCCCCTTATCATCTGAAAGGTTTGCTATATTGAGGTTAGCTTCAAGTGCCGAATACTTTCTGTTGTAATTCTTCTATATCACGAAGCCTCACGGCTACTTACGATTTGCTTGCATCAACTTGTTCTCCCTCACAATCAAATAAGCATCCTTAATCGCAGAAGGCTCTTCAGCAGCCAAAGCTTCTTGCACATCTTTGATGCCGTATCCCATCGTCTTACTGATCTTCTCCGTAACCTGGTCATGCAATTTCTCCTGGACTGCAGGGCTTGCGTGCGGTGCAATGGTTTTGGGAGTGATAGCTTTTGTAGGATCGACACCTGTATCAATAAAATCTTCCACGGGAGGCTGCAGATATGATGGCAAATTTTGCATAAACCATGGGTCCATTCGTATCTCTTCGATCGTAGCCCGATGTACGGGGTTAACGGCCAACATCTTCTTGATCAGCGCGGCAGCTCCGGAGCTCATGTAGTTCGGAACGACATATTGGCCCTTGGCAATTTTGGCAAATAGAGAAGGAATGTGCTCATCGTCAAAAGGCAATCTTCCCACGAGCAACACATATAAAATGACTCCACAACTCCACACGTCGACTTCGGGACCAGCGTATAGCTTTCCATTGATGACTTCTGGGGCGGCATAGTTGGGGCTTCCGCAGCTGGTCTTCAAAAAATTTCCATCCGTCATAATGTTGCTGAGTCCGAAATCGGCAATCTTGACGTTCAGGTTCTCGTCTAGGAGTAGATTCTCGGGCTTTAGATCTCGGTGCACGATCTTATGCCTATGGCAATATTCGACGGCACAGATTATTTGTTGAAAGAATCTCCTTGCTTCGTCCTCCTTCATCTTTCCGTTCTGAACGATATAATCGAAAAGTTCACCGCCAGCATACTCGAGAACCATGATGATTTCCATTGGGGTTTTGATTACCGTGTATCTGCAAGAACAGTATTAACCTCTACCCCAAGCCTACAGATTAGGTTGAATGATACTTACAGCTTGATGATGTGCGGGTGTCTAAGCAACTGAAGATATTCGATCTCCCGCTCCACCCTTCCCGCCATATCACGACTGATGAGCTTCTTCCTCGCAATAATCTTGAGCGCCACCTGTTGATTCGTAACACGATGAGTTGCCAGTTTAACCTTCCCAAAGGAACCTTCCCCAAGCGTCCTGATGATCTGATAAGCCCCAATCCGCTGCTCGGCCCGCTTCTGCGGAGCAGGCTCAACAGATCGGTGGTTGTTCCCATTGCCGTTCTGGGCTCGACGGCTGCTGGCATCGGGAGGTTTGTTCTGCGCGCGACGGTTCGCCGATGGCGCGAGAGAGATTTCTAGCTCGCCATCATCGTAGGCCCCGTGAGGCATCATCGCGTCGTGGGTGGTCGTTAAATAACTCAGACGTTGCTTTTTGGGAGAGAGGGGGAGGAATCCGAGCACGGGCTTTGGGAGGTGCGGTTGCTGATGCTGCCCCACCAAACACGGCCCCTGGCAGCGGACGCAAGGCTACTGTTGCTATAGCAAAAATGTGAAGAGGCCTCGTAACGTCTAGATATGCATTTACAAAGGCAATGCAACTATCTGGAGATGCCGGTTGAGAGAGTATTGCGAGGCGTCACACACGTTGTTCGGGAGGTGAGGTTATGGATGTGGCGATGTTGTTGTCTCAGGGCAGTTCTGGATCCGGTTATCAATCACCGCTCAGCAGCTCCAACGAAGCGAATCCGCCTCAAAGCCAAAAGCTTAAGGTACTATACTGCGGGGTGCATAGTAATCAGATAGCCCTAAAGCTTATTTGTATTTGTTGCGTATTGAAGAGAGCAGTTTTGAGTACTTTTACACAGGCATTAAATAAGCTACAGCAACTAACTGAGATCCTGTCTTCCATTGACACAACGGTCTCCTCGCCATGCTCGAGTAGCGAAGATGATTCTTTCAAAATTGAAGCTGAGGGTCAACGACCCCTATTCTGCGTCCCGGTCCTCCCTTCTCCATTTTGCTCGCAAGCATCCGCCTCTATACTGTATACAGATATCATGGTTGCACAGGAACTTTTGACCAGTTTCGTGCAACATGCCATCCAGGTGCCTCCCACACAAGGTAATCTAGCGAGTGCCATTTTCTGTAATACCAACCCTGTGAGGTAATCATGTGGAATGGAGCCTACGCTCCCTGTCCATGGTGGAACTACCTAGTAGACTACGCCAGACATATTATATTCCTCCTTTCGCCGCTTCCTCCCGTAGCCTCCCTACCAGCTTTTCTCTAAGGAAGTCGCTCAGTCCTAATCTGCAAAAATATCAGTATATCCCCATGCATCCTCCCGAGTCCAGAGAGCCTCTATGTAAGCAGGGTAAACTCACATTCCCTCCCTCGTAATAATCCTATACGTCCCACTAGACTGCCAATTCCCCACACTTCCGTCAGTCCCCTTCACAAACTCCCCCTGTCCATCAACCTCTAAACTCCCAAAAATATCCTCGGGAAAAGCTATCCTCCCATAATCCGGCGGCGCCCTCATATCACTAACATGGAGCCAACCGCCTCTCCCTGCACCTCCAGCTCCACCTTGAGAGCTAGCTCCTCCGGCACCATCACCCCCTCGGCCCCTGGTCCTCTTCGACCGCTGCTGTGGGAAGAACATGCCTCCTGACCCAAGCGCGGAGCCAGACGTGGACGCAAATACCGCAGCTTGCCCTTGTACCATTGGGTCTTCATGGGCATGTTTGCTCAGGACATCATTGAGGATGGTAAGGAAATGGGGGTTTTCGGCCACAGAATCCGGAGTCGGCGGGACTGTGTTGGTTGTGCCGATTGAGAGCTTCTTGTTGGGGGGCATTGTTGGGAGGAGGGATAGGATATGAGACGACCTTGGGCCATTAGGTTCGGGAATTACATACTGCAATAGATAAGTTAGTGAAGTGTAGGGCGTGGCGGATCGGGGGAGAAAGGAAGTTGGTTATGATAACTGGAGAGCGGCTTACGATATGGGGGTTTGATTGCAGAGTTGATATAGAACGCGCAGCTTTCTGTATTGAGGGTAGAGCGACAGCTCTACGAAGTGTGGGGACAATCATAGTGTTACCGTTGATGTCAAATACGAAAGCGGCTTGAGCTCGAAATTACTTTGACCTTGGACGAAGCTCGGACACCATATGCATACCATAGGTACTTCTCGCCTATACGTCATGGTAGCGATCCAGGGGTCCAAGAGCCTCAAGAAGGCTGATATAATAGTTACAACATAAAACAAGAGGCTATTGTAGATACAAAATTACTTCTTTTGCCTCGGATTATCTTGCCTAATTTCCGAATTGTGCATAGTACATAGTACGGTGGTTTACTTGATTCTGTCGCGGGTGCGAATCTAGTCACGGTCCGGCCGGCAACGGGGTCCTGCATTTAGGCTGTTCAGCTCCTGGAAGCACGGGTACCTTGACGACATAAGACTTTGCAAATCTTCTCTAAGTTGGTATCGAATTGATCTTGAATCCTTTAACCGGGCAATTTACAAGGTGTGTGTGTTGGAAAAAGTAGACCATGTAAAGCTTCATCGCATGCAAGAAAAAAACCCGTTCCCAAAGCCATAACCTTCATCACGCCGTTGCCGTTGTTGTATACACGCCCGCCAGGCCCATCTACGTCTATTTCTTTAATTCAGAACCATAAAGCCCACCATAAATCTGAAGACATATTAGCAAAAGGCCCTTGATACGTTGGTGGGGTATATCTTACCGTCTCCATCATTATACCCGTGATTTGATATGGGTCAGCATTTGAAGCTGGTCGTCTATCCTCGAAGTAACCGTAACCCTTGGCACCACATTCCCTTGGAATCCGAATGGATGCACCACGGTTGGCAATGCCATATGTGAAAGTATCTATCCTGCCAGTCTCATGTCTGCCAGTCAGACGCATCGTGTTGTCTTCACCATAGACAGCAATATGCTCCTTGTGGCGACCCTCGAGCTTCTTAATGGCAGCCTCAATGTGCTTCATGCCTCCTTCGGTGCGCATCTCCTTGCTGGAGAAGTTGCTGTGAAGACCGGCACCGTTCCACTCGCCCGGAATTGGCTTGGGGTGGAATGAGATCTTGGCACCGAATTCTTCGGCGATGCGGTGGAGCAGGAAACGAGCGACCCAGAGGTGGTCACCCACTAGGAATATACATTAGAGAGGCCCTAATAAACTAGATTGGAAGGAGTGTACTCACTCTCAATGCCATCACATGGACCAACTTGGAATTCCCATTGCGCCGGCATGACCTCGGCATTGGTACCGGAAATTTTGATGCCAGCGTTCAAGCACGCCTTGTAGTGTGCCTCGACAATATCTCTGCAGAAGACCTTGCCAGCACCGACACCGCAGTAGTATGGGCCTTGGGGACCGGGGAAACCGTTTTGGGGCCAGCCATAGGGTCTATCCGACATGTCGAGAAGGGTGTATTCTTGCTCCAGACCGAACCAGGGCTCATGCTCCTTGTGGGCATTCATGAGCCTGGCGCATTCCGCACGGTAGTTGTACTTGTTTGGGGTTCCATCAGGATCCCAGCACTCGGTGAGAACCAGGACATTAGGGGCGCCACGGAAAGGATCTGGGAAAATGGCGACGGGCCGGAGGTAGACATCAGAGTCGCCGCCGGGAGCTTGGCCAGTTGAGCTGCCATCGAAGTTCCATTCTGGAAGGTCATCGAGAGTGAATTGGCCGGATTCTGGGATCTTGGTGATTGTCTATAAAGTGACATTGCAGTCAGTGACTGTGACTGTTTGGGTGCCAGGGCCTTTTTTTTTTTTTTTTTTTTTTGGCTGGGTGACTTGGAAGCTCGGCCGAGGTTACTCACCTTTGATTTTGACCGGACACCTCCTGTTGAGTCGATCCAGATGTACCTTTGATATAATTAGCATTATGAATTCCAGATCGGTAGTGGCGCCAACTTACTCTGCCATAGCCGATCCCTTCTGATCGAGCCGCATGTATTTTAAGAGCTGTTGTCATGGTCAGCCGGTTATTGCAGGGCCGGATAGGGCAAGAGGCAAACTCACATTCTCCGTATAGGAGACAACCGATGGAGCCGCCATGATGAGGGATAAGGGAGGAGGAGGAGGGAAGATAGGAGAGGAGAGGAGAGAAGAGGAGGAGTGGAGAGTTGGTGGTTGCCCGAGTTGAGTGCTGCTGCACAAAGAAGCAACAAAGTGTGGTTGAGTTATGTGGAGAAGAGGGCAAGAAGTGACGGGTGCTGGGGGGGCGTTTATAAGGAAGGGCGCTGATAAGAGTCGTGGATGGGTTGGGGGGGAGGGCTGGGCTGGGGGGCGGTGGCCGTAGTGGGGAGTTCGTGGGTGGTGGTGGTGGCAGTGGTGGCACTACGCTGGACGGAGTAGCTAGGCTTGCTAGGGACTGCACTGTACGCTGTACTCGTAGTAGTATGTACCCTGGGGGGGGGGGCTCAAGGCTCATTCAGCCGATCTACTGTGCTGCTGTGTCCAGTTACCAGTACCTCCTGTATCTGCGGCGTACCACGTCCTAGCGAAGTACCACCACCAAAGGTGGCTGCCCCCGATTACGATTCGAGAAGCCCGGCACTGGGTCTGGCTCGCGTGGGAGGCCTCCAGGGGCTGCACTATCGCCCACTATCACCCACTATCACACATACTATCATACCATCATCCACCACCATCCACCACCATCCACCATTCACCATTCGCCATTCGCCATTCGCCATTCGCCCTTCCACCTAATCCTCCTTTTCTTTTCCCCTTTCTCCTTTCCTCCTTTATCCCTCATCCCTCATCCCACTACAATTACAATTACCCATTATCCATCATCCATTGTTCTTCTATTATTAATTATCAAGGCACATGTCTAGAGCCCACAAAATCTTTCCGCTATGCACTGCACTGCCTTGCCTTGTCCGGCTCTGCGCCGTTTCACCCAGCCATGGTTGCGGCTTGCTCTTTTCTGCTCTCGACAGGGGCCTCCACCTCAACTGATACCACGATACCCGTATTGCCGACTCGAACTTGATAACGGAGAATGGACATTGGACACAGCTTTGCACTGCAGAACAGCGGCGTAGGGATCATGGCTCAGGACATCCGCTATACCGAGGGCCGGCTCCCAATGCGGCAATATCTTCTACTGTATCTCTACCCGCTATCCCTTGGCTATCGCACCTACCGGTAGGCGCGGTTTGAGAGAGCTGTCAAAAGATATATCTCAAACAGGCTCCATTATTGCATTCAGGCCGGAGGAATGAATGCCCTCTGCTAGCTGCCCAGCTATGCGTCCTTTTCGAAGGGCCCGGCTTTACACCTGGCCCGGATGCATTCATCAGGACAAGCCATCGTCCATCACGGTGTCGTACCGCGTATAGTGTACCGCGTACAGCGACGGCGTGCTCGTACAATTCAACACCAGGCCGGACCCAACCAAGGGTCCTGCACCAGCTCAGGAGTGATCGTCGCCACCCATCGCTCCATCCACCGCAGGAAGGGAATTCCAGGAATAGGGATAGGGGCCCGATGGAGTCTGGAATCGGGAATCTCCAGTCAATCACAGACAGGTACAGACAGGTACTGTTCGACTCCCCCACACCCCGACAACGTTTTCTATCAATCCCATTATGATTCTGTGGCATCTGTTGCATGTGTTGCATCTGCTGCATCTTCCTGCACCCTGCTTATTATTACATTTGTCGTCGGAGAGCAGCAGCATTTGCATTCGCATTAGCATTGGCAGAGATTTGAGGCATTATTCGTAGCCTGTCGGAGGCCAGAAATAGGCACCGGCCCTGTTCGGCCTGGCACGAGTTGCGAGCAGCAGCCGGGCGAAAACTTTTCGTCAGTTGAAATTTCAACGCCCTTCGCCTGCCGGCCTAGCAACCCGACATAACCCTTGAATCAGGCCCAACGCTTTGCTCTACTTTGCCTTTCTCGACGGACTTACGAAGTACGAAGCATGAGATAGGATCGAATCTGCTTCCCTCGCTATCAGCTGTCACCCAGCTCAGACCGCTCCCCAATCCGCCCCACTCCCTTATCTGCATTCTGCATTCTGCACGTCTAGTCTCGACTACTCTCAACAAGTGTAGAGTACTGTACGAGTACTGTACGTAGTGCTACACCACTCCAATACACACTCACTCCTGTGGTCCCTCCAACTGTGCAACAACGATTGTCCGGGAAACGGTGAAAACCCCCCCTGTTCCTCCCTTCCCACCACCGATATCCAAGGATTCCAGGGGCGTTTTTAAGCCCATCGCCGAGACTTCTGCCCCAGCCACGCTGCGATAAGCAATCGGCCCCGGCGATTGGCCAGCCACGCCGTTTGCAGGGGCTATGAGGTAAACGTCCATTGTCAATGCCCCGATGCGTGGCGCACCGTCGGAGGCCCCTATTGGGTGCGCACCCGTGGGTTATCACGTGCTGGCTCGTGATACCTTCGATTCCGAGGCCGCCCTCCCCAAGTTCCCAGTAGTGTCGTCGGTTCTCGTTCTTGCCACCACCGATGACGGAAATAGTTCAAGAATGTACAGTACAGTACCTTGCAATTCCGGAGGCCCGATGTAGCAACAGATCACTGCCCTTTGTGGCCTATGACCGAGTTGATGCTTCTACTCCGTATTCGTGAGAGGCTTCTGGGGATGTACGGAGTATCTATCTACGATGTTACCTCGTGATGCGCAATATCGCGAGGTATACACCGAGCTATCTTTTAGAGCACATCGCACCCTGAGGTCATTCGTATACTCCGTACAGAGAGATCATCGTGAGATTGCCGGGCTGAATCGTTAAATTTCCAAGATTATGCCCCTTGAGTCGTGTAAAGCACCTTAGTGCTTGTACATGTACGTACAGTACGTGACTATACGTCATATGAAAACCGTTCTGTGCTTCGTGTCCGCAAGCGCGGTTCCCCGGTGTTAGTATGGAAACAACCGCCCTACACGAAAAGAAACCAGATTGAAGTTGAGATTGCAGGTTGTACGGGGAATCGCGACTTTTCGAAAGGAAGCCACCCCAAATAACTAACATGGGCGATGCCAGGGACAATTTTAATCAAATCGCCCAAAACTTGCTATCGTATCAAAATTGCTTTGCGGTGCGCTACGCTACGACAGCAAAATACAAACGATCTCGAGATAGAACTCGAAGTCTTTCCAATAAAGTGCCTGAATAAGAGCTGACAAGGGTGAGCGCAGGAATAAACTTCGATCAAGCAATATAGCTGGTTATTATAGCTATAACCAACTCCTCGGGATTTTTATAGTGCTGAAATCAATTTATATTCCCCTGCTTCCCGTAGAGAGAGCACGGCAAAGAAATGGACGAGTTGAGTGTCCGCTCCCTTCGCCGTTCTGGGAGGGATAGATCTCGAGGTGCCACAACACAGCAACATAGACACGGATGACACAACAATGACACAAACTGGGGGTCAAGGGTCGGCTTGTTCGCCAGCTCGCCGTTGGAGAAGGTTACCACTTGTGTCCACATCCGGTAGAGCTTCGTGATTGCGTATTGTACCTAGGTAGAATGTGCAAGTGATGTCTTGGTAGCTATTGAAACGCATGACGGCATGTTTAAATTCAACAATTACTTTCTAATTGGCAATCACTCCTAAAACCCTATTACCCCCTTACAGCCCCTGCAATTACAACCCCCTTTTAGGTTTTCTACCAAATAGGACTTAACCACAGACGTTGTTATGGGTTTATATCTCGAGTCGCCCCCGCTAGAACACGTACCGCTATAGCATGTCGTGGTGCTAACAAGGCAAAGCGCGAACTGTGCTATTTCAAGGCTGGTACATAAGAACTATATTTGTAGCAGCAATTTAAGGCTAAGTGCGATGATAGATAGCTAGATCGACTAACAACTAGTGGTTGTTAGAACTATTACTCTTCAACACGCTTGTTGGTATACATATAGCGGCTCTCCTAGAGGCACAGCCGCAACTCTTTATCGCAAAAGCACAAGATTTAATACTGAGGCACATTCCCCATGATACGCAAACTCCATTCCCCTCAACTATTAAAGAGCCTTCCCCGTATCCCCTATTTCCGCGCCCTTGTATTCGCCCTTTACACCCCGCTCCTCATCATACACGCTCCCCGTACTTGACATATCTCCATAGCCCACTCTGATATCCTCGATAGTATCACCAACTTCCATCCACACATCGCTCGTTGCTGACACAGGGAAGAATTTACACAGCAGCCAGTAAGACCCTCCGGCGACAATAAATCCGCAGAAGAAATTCAACCTATAGATATAAGTGGCGCCCATAGGGACAGGCTTGCCGATTTCTCCAACGAATCCAACGATGTTGATGAGGATACCAGCGATGTATGCGGTATAGCCGCGCCAGTGGAAACCAAAACTGTAGTAGTATGGGGAATTTTGTCTGGCGGAGTAGAGTTCCTTGATCTCGAGGTAGCCGCGACGGACGGCGTAGTAGTCGCAGATGATAACGCCGGCGATGGAAGAGAGGAAAACGGAGTAGGCGGAGAGATAGGTGGTGAAGTTGTTGGAGCTGGAGAGCAAATTCCACGGGCACATCACGAGGCCTACTAATGCGCAGATGTAACCTCCCCGGCGGATGTTCAGATAGCGGGGGAGGAGGGCGGTCATATCTGTGCCGGCAGAGACGCTGTTGGCAGCGATGTTCGTACCCAGTTGGGCGAGTGCGAAAGCCATGCCGATGAAGAAGACGCCAGCGCGGTTTTTGGAGCTTCCTTCGTCGAGGAACGCTTGGAGCAGGTCTAGGGGATTCCAAATCGGATCACCGTGGAAGATGACGGTCGACGACGACGAGACAATTATCCCGATGAAAGATGTCACTGCAAAACTAATGGGGATCGCGAACAGCTGGGACCAAAATGCATCCTTGGGCTTGCGGGCAAAGCGGGAAAAATCGGGGTCATTCTATCGGTATATCAGATCGATTCCCTGGTGTAAAAGAATTGGCAATTATACATACCACGATGAGAGTGGCAAAGTTGGCAATGGATGACATGATCCCGGAAACCATTCCCCATCCCAACGCAGAACCGTGAGCAGTATTCGGTTGGTGAACGATTGGACCAAGCCCATGAGCTCGGACGACGGCCCAGATGAAGAACGCAACTCCTGCCGTAGGCACAACATACGCTTTTAACCGTGAACAGATGTCGAATTTTATGGACAGGGAACCAAATAGCTGGGAGTGAACAGAACCAGAAGATGAAGAACGCGACGAAGTCCGCAGTATTTGTGCCCGAATTTGGGATACCATTGTGGATATTCTGGAAAGACGGCCAGATGGCAGAGATCATGAGCCGTACGCAATTTCCCCCGATCCAAGATTGGACTCCATACCAGATACATGCCATAGCTGCTCTGTTGAAAACTGGCCATAGAGCGCCCCAGATCCCGAAGCTGGCACGGCTGACCACCGGGAATGGGATGTGGTACACTGCCCCGATTCTTCCAGTTGCGACGATGAAGCAGCCGGCGATACTATAACCCAGCCATACACAGATCCATGACTGCCACCATGATAGGCCCGCTACTATCATACTGGAGGAAATCATCCAGGTATTCTGGCATATGGTTAACGAGTAACATCAAAATGCGCCCCTAATAACTTTACTATATTGAACGAATCGGCAATCCAAAAGCCTACAAAATTCCAAGGCCCCCATTGTCGGCGTTGCGGTTCAACTAATATAATTGTTAAGATTATTCCTGAACATGACGTTCGTGAGATTCTTACCGGGCTTCAAATCATGGTTGTGTAACATCAACTGCGCGTTCGTCAACCCCGACTCACTCTCCACCGCCAACTTGTCCATAAAATGGGCCACCCTCATCGACTTGACCTTGTCCATGAGTGGAAAAATTGCCGATTCGTCTGAAAGGTGGCATATAATTCGAAGGGCCCGATTTCGATTTCGAAAATCGAGCGCTTCTGCGTTCAAGGATAGCTAGAGGCTATCCCTGCTCTGACGTCGGCGCCTTTCCACGTGCTGGGACGGGCGCCTGCAAGTACTCTCGTCGTACCACGGTTTCCTACTCGTCGTCTCTAGAATCCCGTGCAAACGGTCTACAAGAGACTTCAAATGAGATTTGGGCTGAGTATGAGCTTATAGAACAACGCTCAAAATTCTGCGCTGGAGGCGGAACATATATATATAGATAGATAGAGAAGGGGGTCTGTAATCAGGTAAAGATCTTCGATGATAACAGCGGGGGAGATGCAGCCAAACGAGCCATTGGAGAAACAAAATAGCCTGGAGAGTAGTTGAAGGCGCTGTAAGCCGTCCAACCTGGTAGTCATCGGGGGTTCATTGTTAGTGGCTTATCCTTCTGCAGCCATCACTGATGGGCAACAGATAAAGGTATCACAGCCTGTGCCGCAACCAGACAATATCTTTGTTTGACTATACAAATTATTTGGCTGAGTAGCCAGGATGAGCAGAACATTATCCCAGCGAGCACATATGGCTGCCACTAGGCGCATGAAGTATCATATCGTAGTGCACGAGCAGGGCAAGCCTGGAGTGAAGTGAAAGCAGTAATGCAACCGAACAGCTACTCGTAGTTGCGGTTGTGGATGAGGTGGTAATCGCGCTCGCGATAAGATGAGATCACGAAACAGGCAGGCATCTGTGGCTTGCACTCTCGCATCTACTTCGTAAATTCATTTCCAATATACCTGAGGCACCTACCTAAGGTACCTAAGGTACCTAGGTACGAAGCACTGGTACGTACTTTGTCACACGTATAAGACGGGTCATTCCAACGATAGGTATGTTCCAAGCAACATCGGCGCAGTGGGTCATGAAGAATAACCCCTATCCGAAATCCGGACAGGTGAATGGCAAGGTAGGTACCTAGGTACCTTAGGTAGGTGAAGGTCTCGTACATATCGCGTGAGAATATATGTGACTATATCAGGTCGCGCCAGACTCTTCGATCACGACTAATAAGCTAGTTCCATACTCTACGTCTTCGAAGGGTCTAAATCATGTATCTGTAAATTGTGTTGCTGTTCAGGCCAACGCTTTATCCGGATCCAGTTCGCTCATGTCCCTATCAAAAAGTCCCCTGCTTTGCTCTTATCGGGCCATGTGCAGGGTAACGCAGGGAGATAAAGTCCATAGATAACAGTATGGGCGAACATTCGCGGGATAGAGAGAATCCCGAACTATTTCTCCCGGGGCCTCGAGACATTGGCTTGCAAGCCAAAAATCAATGTTTACAGGGTGCTCAACCTTGCCGGCCCCCCACGCTATACAGTTGGGCTGGCCATGGGGATTCCGGCCGCTGGCAGATAACCAGACTCAACCCCAGTCACTGATACGCAACATCGGCGATACCTACAGTACAATACTAATCTTGCTGAATACCAATGTCAGATAATTCACGAATAGGATGCTTCTTCTGGGTTTATTCTTCGTGCCCGCCGTCATGTAAGTCTGGATATTCAACGCCAACCGCGAGAAACTTCGGGTGGCTCGAATGACTGATACTCAGAATAGGTAAGTTTTGGCATTCGAAGATGAGTAAAATATGTTGGGCTACGGCGATTGGCTTGGTTGGTATGTGGAAGAGCTCGCTTGAACCACTGGTTTGCATAGAACATCTCAAGGCCGGCGTCTGAGTCATGAGGCAACCGTTTGCTGTCAAACTCTCTTTCTTTCCAATCGAAATTGGGATGTCTAGATTTCGATGCATTCAAAGAAAGCGGGGGTTCCTTGTCTGCTCCTCTCAAAAAGTGGGCCATAAATATTTCTACTTGTCTGAGCCTACACAACTCTCAAAAGCAGTATATCCAAGGAACTCGTAGCTATTGCTTGAAGGCAACTGAGAGCGGTAGGTAATTTCCCACCCTCTTAGGGTGATACTTTTCAACCCGATCGTGTGTATATGTAAAACAAAAATAGGCCAACAATTACAAGAGTCCAACTACGAATTTCCCAGGCGTTGTAGATACATGTTATATGTCTCCATAAGAGATAAATGCTTACCGTCATTACAAAATTGGCATTGGAGCTGCTAGCGATAGAACAATAAGAATTAACCTGGAGAGCACTACGGTCTTGGTAAACTGACTGGCCGGAGAGAGTATACACTTGGAAGTATCACTTGATACTTGATGGGCTTGAGTTTTGCCCATGTGTTCCAGTTCAGATAGAGCAAGCTAGGGCTCAACCAAAACGAGAAAGGGACTGAAAATACTTGAAACAATAGCAAATGCAAGGGAACAAATCTAAATACTACGCAATCAGAGCTTCGAGCGCATGCAGAGTAGCCATGTGGGCTAGACCCTCAACTCGGTCTTTGGGAAGGAGTTGGGGGACAAGGCTAATATTGGTTTGCTGCTGCAGCGTGGCGACCATGGATCTCGCCAGTGCTACGGAGTACCTATTTTAGGTACTTACGAGTATCATCTGCCCCTTGAACGTGATCTACACCAAGCGAAATTAGCTAACCTAAAACGGACTGCCCAACACCACATTTTCAATCCACGCCTCGAGATGCCCTCTCCAATATGGCTAAATACACGAAGTACTCAGACTAGCCAAAAAATGATATAAGAGCAGCTGACCTCCATTTCCTTCTTGGGATTGATAGTCCGGAGGGCTACCTTCCGCTACTATTCAGGCGTGGGCTGTTCTCACCGGACGTGGCCCGGAATGTACCCAGTTGGTCCATTTCTCAGTTGAGGCCGATTTCCTTACCTATGTTTGACTCTGGGACCATCAAAGCCTGAAATCGAGTTGGGTGTTTATATATTCGTGTTCCTTCTAATATTCGTGTTCCAATCTTGATTCGTTATGCTGATAATAAACCTGGGAGGAAATAATTAAGGTCGGGCCGCCTTGGATGATGTTCGCCTATTGGGGAGTGACATCTTGTGGGTTTATCTTCTTGGTTCTTTAGTATAAATATAATTGCGTAGGTAGTTATCCATTTAGCTTTATTTTGGTAAACTTTATTGTTCGTTCATATCATACTTGTCACCATGAAGCTTCAGAATGCCTTCTCCCTGGCCGCTGTGGTCGGGGTTGCCACATCTCACACCATCTTCACGCAATTGACTGCTGGAGGTGTTACCAATGGTATGCCGCTTTCCCCCACTGTAATGTGATTTTGAGGTTTATACTGTACATTCTAGGCCTTGGTGTTGGAATACGAATGCCTTCTTATGATGGGGTGAGGAATTTATCAGCCGTGGAATCAACGATTTTCTCATTAATACTACTGCCACCCTCTAGCCTATTACGAACGTTAATTCAAACGACATTGCAGTAAGTGTCCACAATCGAATTTCAAGCCTTGATAATGACTACCCTCACGTTTAAACCCTGCCACGCTATTGTTTACTGATGGGTTTATCTGGACGAGTGTTGACCCGTGAGTAGTGCAACGGAGGGCCGAACCCAACAACACCTTCACGCAGTGTTATAGATGTACAAGCTGGTACAACAGTTAAAGCTCGCTGGAGACACACCCAGCAGAGTGGCCCCGATGATATTATTGACGCTAGCCATAAAGTAAGGATTGGCGGCTGTTATTGTTAACAATAAAACACATTGCTGATATTGCCAATTAGGGGCCAGTTATGGCATACTTAAAGAAAGTAACAAACGCTGTTACAGATCCAGGCTATGGTACACATTACCTGGATCTCTCCGTCAAGTATTGGTTAACACCCTTTTAGGGAGCGGTTGGTTTAAAATATCAGAGGCCGGTTTCACGAACCCAGCAGGTAAGATACTTAATTTCCAATGCCAATCATCCAACATATGACAAATAATACTTTCAGCGGGAACCTGGGCAGTCAATGATCTTGTAGGTTATGAAATCCATCGTCTCTGATTACTGCTCAACAATAAATACAGATTGCTGCGCTCGGCGAGCAATCGATCCCTATCCCAACCTGTATCGCGCCTGGCCAATATCTGTTGCGTGCCGAGATCATCGCGCTCCACGGAGGTAAGTTGGCAACTTAGATCTCGCTCTCTTCCGCCAGATAACTAAACGCCTCTAGCACGGACGTCTGGCGGAGCTCAATTCTACGTATGTCAATACCGCTATTCACCATTATAAGCTTTTATATTTACATTCTCCTATTTAGATGGAATGCGCACAAATTAATATCAGTGGTGGAACTGGCACCAAGACACCCGCTACTGTCAGCTTACCTGGCGCCTATAAGGTAAGTTCAAACTATCGTCATCTGATTCCATTTTTCTCTCCACTTGCTGTGTACTTCCCGTCGAAGATAGCGTGGAGCACGCGCGGTGATCTCAGCTAACATTATATGTCCCCGCTAGGCCAATGATCCGGGAGTTATGCTCGACATCTACCAGAACCTCAAGTCTTATGCCATCCCAGGTATGCAATTTTCACCATGCTACAAAACTTGAGTTGATAGCTAATGTTTAATAAAATGATGTAGGTCCACCAGTTTTCTATTGTTAAGCGGAAGATGCGCGATGACTCGATGGAGCGTTGAAAGCAAGGCCCACTCCATGGGTGATGAAAGAGTAAAGGGGTGGAATGCTGAGGATAGCGAAGCAGGTGCGTGAACGACAATTGATCAGAGAAATTCAGGTTTGGAAATTCACACTTTGTTTCTACTACTATTATATAGCTTGCTATTATATTTGATACTATATATCCTACGCCTGACAAGCATTATATCAGAATCACAGCGCTATTACACGTGCTATCAAAGTGTTCGCATCGTATATTACCAAATGCAAACCCATGATGCTATCAACCTTTAGCATCTATCGATAGAGGCAAGAAAATGCTATTACCATTGGTCTGCAACCAGAGATGCATTGGTATTTACACAGTTGGGCATTAGGTTAGAACTTGTAGAATGGACTAAATTGTGACAAATAGGGATCGAACCCTACTGGGAATATTAGAACCTTGTTGTTATGGGGAGGAGTGGACAAGAGTAGCTTCTGACTATTACTGTACAGCAAATAATGCCCCTTGATAATTCTTTGGACTGAAAGCTCCTGACTCTTGTTCTCACACATATGATATTATTCCAAACATCTGGGGCACACATAATTTCACATCTTGGGATGTTATATTTTGAGGGAGCGGATCTATTATATTTTGCAGTTATTTAGGACAGAGTCGAAACGACAGCTACTTAAATGACTCCTTGAACCTCCCACTTCCTCTTTAATTCTTTGTAATTTTCCACGCATTCAACTTAAATCCCACATAGGGACGAAGTGGCGTCTCTCTTTCTTTGAACACTTATGGACGCCCCACTATTGACAGTTCGATCCTTTCTTCTGCACCTTCACATGTTAATTGCTTACGAATATTTAACAAGTGGCAACTGCTGGGCCTGGGACGGTGTAGCTCGTGAACTGCATTCTAAATTAGCATCATTCTGTCACATTTCTCTACCCCTTGCTGTATACTCTGAATAGTGAAAACAAACTTACTTGATTGTAAATGTTGGCCGTGTATCCTGGGTCGGTTGCCTTGAACGCACCAGGGATAGCAACCTTAGGACCCAAGTCTGTTGATCCCCCACCAGTGATGGCGACTTGTGCGCAGCCGACGTAGAATTGTGGTGTTCCGCCGGGATATGGGTTGTGGATGGCGAGGGATTGGATACGGACGAGGTATTCGCCGTTGGGGACGCACTTGGGGAGGGAAACGGTATATGTTTCTTTAAAGAAGAAGTGTTGTCAGTAGATGCTTAGGTAGCTGTCGCGGAAATATATAGCACTCACGCGACATATCCCAGGTTCCGCCCGGGAATTTTGGACCAATATCAAGGATCTTGAACCACACGGCACCTGAACCGTCGAATGCTGCTGCAGTTGAAGGGGCCTTAGCCATGTACACGGAGATGGGGCCTTGGTGGTAGACTGCTGTATCGAGGGTGAAGGTTATGGATGAGCCTGCAGCGACGGAAACGGTTTCGGTGGCGGATCCACTCTCCCCTCCAGCATTACAACGGAGGTCGTTGCTGCTGAGATCTTCACAAGTGTTATAAACACGAAGCTATATTGACACAGAATTTGAAATGCTCACCTGTGACGGGGGAGTTATAGTTGCTGTTCTTTCGAACATATGTGAAAGCCGGATTTTTGACACCATTTGCGGTCAGCTGTTGGAAGATATCTAGAGAGAGTTAATTTGTGATACAATACAAAATATATTGGGAAGGCAAATAAAGGGCTATAATCACAGTGGCCCGATACCTGACTGGCGAATGCCAGGAAGCCGGCGGTGCAAATAGCCAAGCCCTTCATGTTGAAGATATTGATAACGGATGGTAATATATACAGGAAGATGGAGGATGAAAACCAAAAGTCAGGTACTTTCAAGAGTGATGGAGATTAGCCTGCCAGAGTGCCTTCTGGCTTTCTTATATATTTTTCAACGACGTCTTGGTCACGGATGACCTTTCACACACATAATCAAGGCCCTACGCTATAGGTATTATAAGACCCATACATGAAGCTCTCCGTTCTAGCATATATTACCTCTGCTCCAGTGGATACATACCGGCTACTGCCCAGAGACTGTCAACTGGAGTGCGCCCCGGGTGATAGTAGTATATGTCAGGCAGTCATCATTGTTTACCTGGTATACAACAAGCATCCAAAGTGTTTCTCATATACAGCCTTAGGTTGGTTAAGTAGATCCAGGTTGATCATGGCCTATTTGCACGGGAATATCAGGCTTGGATGCATGGTCAACATTAGAAGGCCATCACTTGGCGGTGGTTTTCGGACCTTGGCCAAAGACGATATGATGAAAAGCGGTTTAGATGGCATCATTGTCTCCCAAGCACTTGCCAAATGAGGAGATGGCTGTCCGTGGCTGTTCGGCAATGCCCAACACCCCACGTTTTCCAGCGTCCGACTATTGTGGAAGTTCGGACCGGTGATTCGCATCTACGTATCGAGATTGCACGTTTCAATACATAGTATATATTTCGAACCCTGACTACATAGTCCAGGACCGTTAGGCTGCCGGGCCTGGCGGCAATGCCGCTTTCAGGCTGTGTAGAGAAGCTGGGGTGTGGGTGAGATCAAGGGCCGACGGCGTAGCGAGTAAAGGGGGTTGAGATGCCAGGTCATCGCAGATTAGGGGGCCTAAGCGAGGATCTACGATGGACGTCGCCGGTTAAATTTGCACTCCGTCTGGCCACCGCAGCGTCGCTCAACCAGGATTCTGGCCCCTGGTGTTCACAAACCAGATGACCACTCATATCTGGTAGACTCTCTATATGTGATATCCAGCGCCGGAAGCTGCCTGAAAGCATGCAGCGGAAATTTTATTGCCCAATTTACGTTTCCAGACTGGCGGGCTCGAAATAGGCCCTTCGAGCCATGGCTGGGCACGATCACACATCAGACTGTGTCATGTCCTTGCGTACAGCGATAGATAAACGAAGTTATCTTATCTCTTTTCCCCCGCAGGGCCGCAGGTCTCCTCCTGCGTAGCCGAAGAGTGGATTAAGCTTAAAAGACATGCGAATTTGCACCTTTTTGATCGCGCCCGCTTTGGTGCCCCGCGTTCCACTTCTCCATGGGCGGCTATCCCGTCCTAGGAACAACTCTACGTAGCTTTGCCAAGTGGCGAATCTTTGAACGCAAAGTATATTTAGCGGCTTTGTCGGCCCGCGACTATTTAAGTAGACTTCCATGGTGGTCGATGGGCATACTGGGACCTCAGCCCTCCATGTAAGGCGAAGAAGACCAGGGCAATGTCTCCTTGAATATTCAATAGCATCATAATAGTATGCATGATATCCTTTAATTCCTGCTCTTATTTGGACTGAATGGAAATAGTAGGAGCATTGCCTCCTGGCGTGGCTTCTTATTAGCACATGTTATTGCCCTTGAATGGCCAATCATATGGATTTGCTCCTGCCAAGTGGTCCAGAAACGGTCATTCGAGCCTCGAAGCTTTGGTGGACAAATTGGGCTTCGGAACCTCTGCCGAGCCGGTCATGTTGCTCCGTCGCCGTCACGTCGGAGCGACAAGCCTATCGAGCTAGAACATATTCAATTATCGTCAGTTATTTTGTATAAAAGCTTCTGTGGGACCGAGGGTTTGCTTCTCATTGTCATCTTGTTCTTCCTCAAATATTCCGTTCTATTGCCTCCAAGTAAATATGGCCTTTAAAACATTGCTTCTCGCTGCAACTGCACTGGCCCCATCGGTCTTGGCTCAGCAAGCGGCATATGCACAATGTAAGTCTGGATATTCTTGAGCACAAAGTGTTAGCTGACAAGTAATCCTTAGGCGGGGGGGTTAATTTTGCAGGTGCAACCACGTGTATTTCCGGATATACTTGCACATACACCAATGACTGGTACTCTCAATGCCTGCCTGGCTCTGGAGGCGGCGGCAGCCCCAGTCCAACAGCTACTGTCCCCTCTGGCGGTAGCTCTACGATAACAACAGCACCGGGTGGCACAACGGTCGCCGCTGCTGGAAATCCCTTCTCGGGTGTTGCGCTTTATGCAAACCCTTATTACGCTTCTGAGATCTCGACTCTAGCGATGCCTTCCCTTACGGGCGCTATGGCTACCAAAGCTGCTGCAGTGGCAAAAGTCCCAACTTTTGTTTGGCTGTATGTCCTACATTCTAATCCACCTTAAGATCTACGCTGACCATCTCGGCGAAAGTGATACCGCTGCCAAAGTCCCGCAGGTGGGGGAATTCCTTTCAAACATCAGGGCCTTGAATAAAGCAGGCGCCAGTCCCCCAGTGGCTGGAACATTCGTTGTCTACGATCTACCAGATCGTGACTGTGCAGCCCTTGCATCTAATGGAGAGTACTCCATTGCCAATAATGGGGTTGCCAATTACAAGGCATATATTGATTCCATTAGATCTCAACTCGTCACTTATTCAGACGTCAAGGTCATTCTCGTTATTGGTTCGTCCAGGATTATCCCGATCCTTCTATTATATTGCTAACTACGTATCCAGAACCGGATTCGTTGGCTAACTTAGTAACAAACTTGAATGTTGCCAAATGCTCCAACGCCGCAGCAGTATACAAAGAGTGTACGCAATACGCAATCTCAAAACTTAACTTGCCTAACGTGTCGATGTATCTGGATGGTGGACATGCTGGCTGGCTAGGCTGGGCTGCTAATATTGAGCCAGCGGCCCAGCTCTTTGCAGGCGTTTATAAGGCCGCAGGTAGCCCTTCCTCAGTCAGAGGCCTAGCTACCAATGTCGCCAACTACAACGCTTGGAGCATTTCCACCTGCCCTTCGTATACCCAAGGGAATGCGATTTGTGATGAGAAACGATTTGTCAATGCTTTTGCACCGTTCCTCACTAGTGCTGGCTTCCCGGCTCACTTCATTACGGACGTTTGTAAGTGTTGTTTGAACCATCCCAAATGCCTTCGCTGATTATAGATCTAGCCCGCAACGGCGTTCAGCCAACCTCCCAACAGGAATGGGGTCACTGGTGTAATGTCAAGGGCACAGGATTCGGTGTTCGACCAACTACAAACACCGGGGATGCCCTCGCCGATGCTTTTGTTTGGATCAAGCCAGGTGGAGAATGTGATGTGAGTGCTGATATACATCGCAATACGATATATACTGACCGTCTTTGATTAAGGGTACCTCCAACAGCGCGGCTGTTCGATACGATGCCCACTGTGGTCTGAGCGATGCACTCCAGCCTGCCCCCGAAGCCGGCCACTGGTTTCAAGCTTATTTCGAGCAGCTGCTGACAAATGCTAATCCGGCATTCTAAAGTCCATATGCTGCAACTGGCGCATTAACTGGGGATGTAGCAATCCGGATTTCTTGCTCAATCGAGATGTGGCGATGAAAGCCATTTATGGTGCATAGCCTTTCTATGAACATTGATTGTATATAGTTCTGCCTTTCTCCGTGTATAATTACCGACTCCTAATAAGGAATTATTTTCAAATGGGTTCTTATTCACGATGCAGCCGCATGGTCGAATATCGAATTCAAAGAGTGCAGTTTGAGCACATGGCCTTGGCATTTACCAGAAGCTCGCAACGCTGCATATCCGCAAATTGTTTCGACCCGGTGCAGTGGTCAAGTTCGGATCTCAAACCGAAGATAAATCCTCCCGACTTGATTCATTTATATCCATCTAGGGGTCAACATCAGCCGGCGACTCGTAAACTCCCTTGCCAACCAGTCCTACCTAAACGTAACATTTGAAACTAGCATTGTAGATTCCCTTCAACAAGGGGATAAGTACCTCCAAATTGCGATGTCATTAGCCGTTGTGAGATGATCATTTCCACTTTTGGACTTAAGGGTCAAGATAATAGGCCTTTCCAAGATCAATCCCCCCAATGAAGGCAATAGTTTTTACGAAGCATGAGGAGCTGCAAGGGTCACCATGTAGACCACAGCAGCTTCCAAACTGCCCTAGCTGGTAAGCTGATGAGTATATAACCCTGAGCTCGCCCCCTAAACCTACTCATGATTTCAAGCGCAAGCCCTCAGGCTGGAATCCCAATCTTGGATACCATATCATTCAACAAGGCGAGAAACGGAAACCTAGAGCAAGGGCTCATCCATCTTCCAAATCTCTAAATCCGATACATTAGGACGAGCAAGAATCGATGTGCAACTCGGGTCAAATAATATGAGAGGATCAGAATGCATACCGCTAATTATCACAGCTTCTGTTCAACACCACATCAGAATAGGCCACACGAGCGTCCCTCTCAGCAGTACTGCAATTAAGCACAAGGGTCGGGCCATAGCCCTTACTCAAGAGAGCCTCGGGGTGCTTGCGCCGTCGCGGCATGTGTACTACCGTGTCGTCCCCCGAATGTGGCATTGTAATGCAGAGGTGCACAGACGAACCTAGTCCGTTAAAGTCTAGTTTCATATGGGGGGTGGCATTTTAATTTATCTCATCGGAGAGCCATCCCGTTTCCGTTCCCCGGATCTATAGATCCCTGTATTATGTACCCCACAATATCATATACCCGTCTCTAGTGTTCCGGTCTTATATCCCTGAGCCCTTTATATAAGACAATCTATTCCGGCCCAATCTTATCAGCGCTATCGGGGAAATATTGGACGTGTTGTTTATATGCGTCATCTGTTTGGCGTAGCGATCTATTACTCTCCCTCGCCTGAAAGTTCATGCTTGACAACTCTCTTTCTCCCGTTTTCCTGGCTAAGATCTCCCACCAGACAATATAAACGAAACAATCCTCATCAAGCTTATGCCAAAAAGCTTGTTAATGCTTGTTTTTCCGAAATACTTACGATTCAACTTAATACGGACCTGTTAGAAAGCTTAAACGTTTGTAATTCCTAGTAGACTTCATGTACAATCTGCGGGGCCCATCACTTTCGGGTGAGATCCCCCATTTCCGTGGAATTTGACACGGTAGATGATGATAAAATTGATCAGCACCCAACAAGCCGATGGATAAAGCCATCCTTGAAACTCCGTATTGTATATATTTCATTGCTTGCCCCTCTCTGGTATATGATAGCGTTGCCATTGTCAAGTTACTTGAACGTCTTCCAATCGATTGTTTCAGCTTGTGTCAAGATGAAGGGATTCACAACTTTGAGCGTTTTGCTCGCCAGTGGCGCAGCTGCACTTCCAGGAAGCAGTGTTGGTAAGGTTTACTAAATCCTTAATTTCTTCCGATCGAACAAGGGTTAGGTCTGTTGGGAAGTGTGTTACATATTATTATAGAAACTCCGCTGGTGCCAATTGCTAACAATGATATCCAGCTAGAACATCCACCGGCCCTCTGACAGCTCGAGCGGTCGATGCAAATGGGACCGTGAAATACGGTTCGTTCCTACCACCCGTCCCGGATCAACATAATACTAACATCACCTCCACCAGCGGGTATTAACATTGCTGGCTTCGACTTTGGTTGTACAACAGATGGCTCTCAAACCTTGAGAAACGTCAACCCCCCACTTCAAGCTCTCGGCGGCCCAGATGGTGCCGGCCAAATGAATCACTTCCTAAAAGACGACCATATGAACATGTTCCGTCTTCCAGTTGGTTGGCAATATATCACAGGTTCCAATTTAGGAGGGCAATTGAATTCTGGCAATGCAGACAAGTATGACCAGTTGGTACAAGCCTGTCTCAGAACTGGTGCTACATGTGTCATCGATATCCATAATTATGCGCGATGGGACGGCAAGATCATTGGTCAGGGTGGCCCAACGAATGCGCAGTTTGTAAATTTATGGACACAGCTGGCGACCAAATATAAGAGCCAGGCAAATATCGCCTTTGGGGTAATGAATGAGCCCCATGAGGTGGATATTGACAAGTGGGCGGATACTGTCCAGCAAGTTGTGACGGCAATTCGGGGAACTGGGGCAACTAGTCAAATGAGTGGGCGCCCCTATGCTAAAATATTAATCAAGCTTTGCTTGGCGAGATATATCAAAGGAGGAAGAACTACAAATTGCTAACAAGGCCTAATAGTCCTCCTCCCTGGGAACGATTACACTTCGGCAGGGAAGTTCATTTCTAACGGTTCCGCTGCCGCCCTAGCCAAGGTAACAAACCCAGACGGTAGCTTCACGAATTTGATATTCGATGTGCATAAGTATCTCGACAGCGACAACAGCGGGACGCACACCGAATGTGTGACGGATAACATCGCGGATGCCTTCCAGCCTTTGGCAGACTGGCTACGAACTAATAACCGCCAAGCCATAAACAGCGAAACAGGCGGTGGGAATACAGCATCTTGTGCAAAGTACCTTTGCCAGCAGATTGCATTCCTGAAGTATGGCTTCCCCTATCAGTTGACTACGTATGTGAGACTGATGCCTGAGTAGTGCGAACTCTGATGTGTATATTGGTTACATCGGCTGGGCGGCCGGAGCTTTCGGTTCAACATATGAGCTTAATGAAACGCCAACGGGAGGCGGGAATAACTGGCAAGACACTTCGCTGGTAAAAGCGTGTCTGGCACGAGCTAGTGGCTAGATGCTAGTTACCTTACTCGCCGTATACATGCTATCGTAGAACAAGGGGGATTCTCAGGAAAGCTGCGGATATTTCCATTGAATGAGCAAATAGCCAAGGAGATGTATAATATATAGTCCCCGCTTGAGAACTTTATACATAGTCTACTCTCCTAGGTCTAGCAATTGCTTGGTCAAAATACCTTAACCCAAAAGTCTCACCTTAAAGTACACCTATATCTTGTCCAGAGATAGGAAAGCTACTCATAAGGAAGAAGCGGTAAGTGATAAAGGGTTCGTCGATATCTGGGACGAAAACTTGTAATCTTACCTAATAGGCGGCAGTGGCTTAAGGCTAATAATGCACCATTTATGACTCATCCTGGATTATCATGTAGGTCATATGCGATCACCAGATGTGATTGAAGCCCGTAATCCACCCCAGACAACCTGGTATGAAAAGGAAATTAAGTCAAATTAAGGTATTTGAAATAAAAAATGATTTCCTATTCCGATTTTTCGGCATATCCCTAGCTTCTTGATGACTTCAGCGCACGAATTCATTAACCCGAGCCTAACAAGTTAATCTGAAAAAGGGTGCTATATTGTATAGTAGGCTCAATGAAACGCTATCTTAAGATGTAACACCGAACACCGAACATCGTTTATTCTGGAACACGGCCTGCATAATAGTTACATCACATGTAATAAACTTCCGCGCCCAGAAACTGGGAATAATTTGGCCCCCCTCAGATTAAAATCCGGGGAAATCCCAGGGGCCGGATAGGTATGGAATACATGACGGCGGATACAAGGTCTATTACTAGATAATAGACGACATCTTCTTGCTGTGAGAGTCCACGGTGGATATATTTCTCTTATAATTATTTCGATATATTTTGAAATTGTGCAAATACCAAAATGAAATCAATCACAACTTTGCTGGCTCCGCTCGCGGCATTCCTTGATGTTGCTGCTGCTCACTGCAAGTCTAAACCCATCGCGAACTCAAACGAAACTTGCTGACAAATTCACAGATCGGTTTCCCAATCTTATTGTCAATGGAAAGACGACTGGAGACTACCAATACGTGAGGTAGGGCTTACCTTCAAAGTATCAGTGACAAGTTCTGATTATAAATTCCAGGCAAAACACCAATTTCAACTCCCCTGTGAGATCGGTCACTTCAAACGATATTAGATGTAATACAGGAGGATGAGCAGCCCAAAATACTAGTGTGGCAGTAGTTCAAACAGGCCAAAAGGTCGAGAAAAAGCCCACTTATGATATTGTCGCAGACACTAATCCGCCGCACAGATCGGCTTCGCTGCTGATCAAAGCATCTACCACCCAGGTAGGGTTTCCTGGCATACCCCTATCAAAAAGCAAGAACAATGCTAAGCGTGGGATAAGGGCCTTTGCAAGTATACATTTCAAAATCAACCACAGCAGATGTAACAACGTACGACGGAAGCGGCGATTGAGGGAAACTTGCCAGCGTCACAGGCACATTTGGTAATAGCCAGCCGAAATGGACGGCAGACAACGTGGCGCAATATACATTGACACTCCCGTCAAGCCTGGGTCAGTCCATTGACATGTACAAAATGGGCCATTTACTTACAAGTTGTAGCGCCCGGACAATACCTCCTGAGGGTAGAACATATAGCCCTGCACGTTGCTCAAAGTAGTGGTGGTGCTCAATTCTACATCTCTTGCGCTCAGATCCAAGTTACTGGCTCAGGGACAGCGACACCGTCGCCAACAATCAAGTTGCCAGGAGGCTATTCGGTAGATATACCCCCCAAAGTGTATGTAAAAGGTTGAATACTCACACTTGGACAGGCTACTGACCCAGGCATCCTTATTAATATCAACTATCCTATTCCCACCGCAGTAAGTTGAGGAACAAAATTTTAAGGAGTTGAGTCCTAACATAAAACAAGTATACTGCGCCGGGTCCTGAAGTTTGGGCTGGATAAAGCTTATCGAAGTTCAGAGTTCGGGAGGCAAATGTCCTCACAGATAAGGTGCTAGTTCTAAGAGCGTTAGATAAAATAAGGATCTGTTTGAAACAATAACCAAGGTCCTCATTTGGATATCACAACTTAGGATATGGATATAAAACAATATCATAAAGCCTAGATGAGAGATAGTACCGACTACCTGACGTGAGATATGTGCACGCGGACGATTTCATGCGAAGCATTTGTTGCGTGTCTGCTGGAGAGCTGTTTTGAACGCTGGTTACCGGTGATGGGGGCGTGGAGCACTCGGAAATGCATCTAGAAGAGTTTCTGTCGAGATTTGGAGGACTGTTGCGAATTCGACAGACAAATACAAGGCACATTCCGAGTAACTCTGATCAACGCCTTTTCCCGTTCTTTGTTTTGTTTTGCCATCATAACCTTCCCCTATAACTCCGATAAACTTGTTATCTTATTACTTGTTGCTTGTAGCACTTCGATCCCTGCGGGTAGTTTTTTGAACCTTCTGCGGATTTCTTTCGGTAGGCACATCCTCCAGTTCTCGCTTCATGCCTTTCTTGGCCTCATTCCTCGGAACAGGCAACGGGGCGTTGTCTTCAGCCCCGGAATGCTCACCAGCTTCGCGGTCATCCTTTGGTGCATGCTTGGCTGACGAGGGCTCACTCGCCTCGCCTTCTATCTTGGACGATGTACTAATCTTTACGTCCTTCTTCGGAACTGGCTTGATGAAGAAATTGGCAATATTGGATTTGTTTTCACTGCTTGTGAGAGGAACGATAAATGTAGGTGAGTTATTGCCAACCTTTCCAACGTCTTTGCTGACAGGGTAGATATCTAACTCCCCACCAAATGGCTTCAAGAGATTTTGAAGCTCCTTGGACCAGGTACGATTTGGATCAAGCCAGGTTCGCAAGTCTTGGGAACCATTCTCCAGAATTACAGGCATCCGATCATGGAGGAACTTGAGTTGTTTGTTGGGATCTGTAGTTATGATCGTATAGGTATAGAGCCTCTCCTCAGCCCCTGAAGTAAGTCAGCAACGGCCAGGTAGGTTGCACTGGTTACACTACCTTCGTACTGAACACAGTCCCAAAGTCCAGCAAAGCACATCAACTGACCATCCTTCCGTTTCACATAATGAGGCAGCTTTTCCTTGCCTTTTTTCAACCATTCATAAAACCCCTGTGCCACAACAACACAACGCTTCTTCTGTTTCATCGTCGTCCACATACCGCCGCTCTTACTCAGCGAGTCATCGCGACAGTTTATTGTCTTCATCACGGAGCCATAATTAGGGTTCCGTTTGGTCCAAGAAGGTATCAGACCCCACGTCATTTGTTGCAGTTTATACCTGATTTCTTGTTGTCCACCTTCCCCTAGATGGTCTTTGTTGGAAGGTTGCTCCGTCTCCCCGTCTTGATGTTGGTCTCTATTAGGTCTCTCTGCGCGGTACACAATGCCATGGTATCCCGGTGCGAAGTTGTAGCTCTGGCGGGGAGCATTTGCACCGTCATCATCCGGAGCTTCGTACACTGGCATCTCATCATTCTCCAAGTATTCGCGGACCTGGGAAGGCCGCTGGAAACAGTTAGCTATGTCATCTATGGGAACAAGGCAATTAAGGCTGCCCCCATACCAAAGCCAAGCTGTATCGTCCACACATGATTAGCTATAGGTCTAAGATCTTTTACACCCGTATATCTCGATGTATTCCGAAGTTGCCTTGTAGCATGACTCTGGGTGATTAGAGAAGCTATTATTGCTGCCTAGGAAGCATTTTGCTCTTAGTGTCTCGAAAAAGGATGAAACCTAGATCTAAGCGCTGGAACCCCGCTTGGCTTAGATCAGGATAGAACACATAAATTAGGCAGCTCTTCAGCTGCAGATGTGAAGTCTTGCTCTGGCTGGCCACGACGTCAGGTGATAACGTGACTGGTCAGGTGACTGATAACGTTAGCGTATTTTCGTTTATCTTAGCGTCAAAATTATCTGCATGCAACGAAATTTATTTTCCCTGTGAGACGGAGGGGAAAGCTGAACAACAGCAAAATAAACAACAATGGATCCTACCGAACTGCACAACAAGAAGCGGAAAAGGAAGCATGCAGATGCAAAGCGTGGCAAAGAGGATGCAGCTATCTCTATAAGCGGTGTTGAGGAGGTTCACGAGGCGAAGGATTTGAAGAGCGAAAAACCTCAAAAGAAGACTAAGAAGGCCCGCGATCCAGTCGAAGAAGATTTCGAAGAAGAAATTTCCCGAGATTTCGACAATCGACTTGTCGCAAATGAGGCAGAAGATGAAGAGGGCCAAGAGGCTGAGGAGGACGGAGCGAACGACGGAGATGGCCAAGCCATCGATGGAAATGTAGACCTGGGTGGTGCTGGGAACCTCACATTACCCAATGCCGGTACCCAGGCACAGAAGTTTTCGGAATTGAATCTATCAGCGAAAACCATGAAGGCAATTGTAGAGGACATGGAATTCGAGACAATGACGGAGATTCAGCAGCGAGGCATCCCACCTCTACTGGCCGGACGTGATGTCCTTGGAGCTGCAAAGACAGGTTCTGGCAAGACATTGGCTTTCTTGATCCCCGCAGTAGAGATGCTTAGCGCATTAAGATTCAAGCCACGGAATGGAACTGGTGTGATTGTCGTCTCGCCGACGAGGGAGCTGGCGCTTCAAATATTTGGTGTTGCACGAGAGCTTATGAAGCACCACTCGCAGACGTATGGAATTGTCATCGGAGGAGCCAATCGAAGGGCCGAGGCAGAGAAGCTTGCGAAGGGTGTCAATCTCATTATAGCCACTCCTGGTCGACTGCTCGATCATTTGCAAAATACCCAAGGATTCGTCTTCAAAAATCTCAAGGCTCTAGTCATTGACGAGGCCGACCGAATTTTAGAGATTGGGTTTGAAGACGAAATGAGACAGATTGTCAAGATCTTGCCGAAGGACGAGCGGCAAACAATGTTATTTTCGGCCACGCAAACAACCAAGGTCGAAGACCTGGCACGGATATCCCTCCGGCCTGGACCACTCTACATCAATGTCGATCACCAAAAGGAACACAGCACTGTTGAGGGCCTCGAGCAAGGCTACGTGATATGCGACTCAGACAAGCGGTTCCTTCTCCTCTTCTCGTTCCTCAAACGCAATCTCAAGAAGAAGATCATCGTTTTCCTCTCCAGTTGTGCTTGTGTAAAATACCACGCCGAGCTCCTCAACTATATCGACCTACCAGTCCTTGACCTCCACGGCAAGCAAAAACAGCAAAAACGCACAAATACATTCTTCGAATTCTGTAATGCTAAGCAAGGTACTCTCATCTGCACGGATGTTGCAGCAAGAGGGTTAGATGTAACCCCCCACTTCATCCCATACTCCTAGAACAGCCCACTGACATTATTTCAGATCCCAGACGTCGACTGGATCCTACAAGTAGACCCCCCAGATGATCCTCGCGACTACATCCACCGCGTAGGTCGCACAGCACGAGGCGCTAACGGCAAAGGCCGCTCCCTCCTATTCCTCCAGCCGAGCGAAGTCGGTTTCCTAACCCACCTCAAAGAAGCCCGAGTCCCCGTCGTTGAATTTGATTTCCCCGCCAAGAAAATCGTAAACGTTCAGTCACAACTCGAAAAACTCATTTCCCAGAATTATTATTTGAACAAGAGCGCCAAGGAAGGCTACAGGAGTTATCTACAGGCCTATGCCAGCCACAGTCTGCGAACGATTTTCGATGTTCATAAACTGGATTTGGTGAAGGTGGCCAAGGGATTCGGGTTTACGGCGCCGCCGAGGGTGGATTTGACGTTGGGTGCTAGCATGAGCAGGGATAAGAAGACGCAGGGACGGAGAGCGTATGGGAGCCAGCCAACACAAGGGAGGAGCTTTAAGAAGAGGGGGCAGTGAGAGATGAAAGCCTTGTGATACCTTTGCATGTGTAACTGGCGTTTTGTAGTCGGGTTCCGTTGTAGTTTAGGAAACGGCGTAGATGGCCAAATGAATCAAGTTTTCAGCGATTGGATAAGCTCTGGCTTGCTTATAAGCTCATATTGAATGTTTGGAGAATTTATTATTGACTAGAAGCGGGTAAATACCCATTGTTCTGATCTCTACTTTGTACAACGCAGTAAGACTTCCAATCGGAGAGATTTCTGCAAGGAAGTACCATTTTTGGCCCACGCCCTACTAACTACCGAGGTAGCTTAACCACTCCAAAACTGAGAATAAAATAACATCGCTGAGCCTGTCAAAAGCTTGACGGCAGCGAGCAACTCCCATCGCAGTTGGTGACTCTCGGTACTTGTACCTGCCTAGGCCGATGATTTAATTCGCGGTCGAAGGGTAGCTTCACATTGTCTTCCTTCCCCGTCCCCTTCCCCTTCCTCTGCCCCTACCCCTTCGAACAGACCCTCTATTATTAGATAATTCACCCATACCCCTACTTGCAAGAGACGGCCGGCCACGGGCTCTCTTGACTGGAGCTGGGATAGCTGGAATGCTCGCATCACTATCATCCGAGGAGTCATGGGAGATGGAAACGTCAGGCACCTCGGGCTTAACAGAGACATCACTGAATGTAACCTCTGATCCCGAATCTGGGCTCGCTAGTCTCACAACCGTGGGGCCTTTTCTAATTGGCTCTGCTGGTGTTGACACAATGTTCCTGGGGCGCATGGTGCTGGAAGCTTGTTGGTGTGATTGGTTTTTGGTGCTGCCTCCGTCAACAGAGCTTCCTGGGGTAGGGCTTCTCAATATGCGTTCCCGAACCATTGGAGTAGGCCTTGGGCTTGGGATGTCGGGTTTATTTTTTATGTCGCTGCGTTGTTTGGCAGCTACGATCTTGGGAGCCCTACTGCCTCGCAAAGCTAATTTCTCTTTCAACGAGAGAGGAGGGGCAGAAGAGGGTTTCGATGGTTCAGGGAATGATAGGCGTTGCGGTGGCGCTTTTTTAGGGGGCCGGCCTCGTCTCTTTCGTGCGGGTAAGTCGTCATCATTTCCATCCCCATCTGCCACATTAATACTTGGATGGGCCTTAGAGGCACGCTTGATGGCCTCCCCTCCGCCAGATTCACTATCATTGCCATCGTTATTAGGTTCAACACCGTTCTCTTTCTCAAGGGGTTCCCCAAAGAGGCTGTCAACATCAGCACCCCCATTAACCTCATCTTCAGATGCGGACAATATTTCTTTTGCTGGAGAAGAACGATGCTCTCTGGAAAGACGACTACGGCGATTTCGTGAGAGGAGTTCTTGTGGAAATTCATCGCCAGAGTCTTTGGCATTTTTTCGAGCCAGCCACGCCGATTGTCGGCCGGCCTTGCTTTTAGGTGATTGCACAGCTGGCGATCCTGCCAGACTTGCCGGGAGCGAACGGAGGCTTCGTCTTGTTGGTGGAGATACATGGTTATCCTTGGTGACTTGCTTGCTTGTATGACTCTTTTCCTTGATAGTACTATCCAATCCACCGTTCGATTTGCGAGGCTTCCGCCATCTCGAGGCTAAAACGGAATGCCCCTCGTCCTCTTCGATTGGGACAGCATCTTCACCTAAGTCGGTATAGACCTTCGGCTGAGTAAGACTGCGGCGAGGCTTTTGGTGTTGTGAAACATCCAGAGAGATCTTATCCGTTCCGGCTTGTTTCTTTGCCTTGGCGAGCTCCCTTTGACGTTTAGACGTAAAGAATTCCAAGTCATCCTTGTCCTCACTTCCAGTGCGTTTGCGTTTCTTGAGAGTTCCTGGGCTTTCCGGGGGTGGAGCTAGAAGATCTGACAAAGCCATATTTTCGCTCTGTGAGGGATCTGGTTGTGAAGACGCAACCGAGCCGTTGATATCCGGAAGAGTGTAAAGAATCCTATCGGTGGTATTTCTACTTTGCTGATAGTAGCCGGCGCCCATCATACGGTTTTGACCAATGCGTGACGGATCTGGGTACAACGGAGGGGGTTCTACCATTGGAGCCATTGGTGCAGACATTGGAACGTCCGCATCTAGAAGCCTCGATGGATATGTTGCCCCCTGATGATGATGAGCATTGTATTCATCCAGATTGGAATTTCCGTCCATCCATTTATGTGGTTGATTTGCATCCTCGCCATTGATGAGAGGTGGACCGTCACCGTTGGCCGTTGGTCCTACGGGAGGATATGGGCTGCGATAATGGAGATCAGCCTGGGGAATTGAAGTTGAGTTCGATTCCGCCATATCAAGAAGTGCGGGATCAATATCATCCATATTGCCCGCACCGCCATTTTCCATCTCCGCTGGAGCACCCACAAGCGGGTGCTGTTGTGAAGGCCCATCCTCAAGGTAACTTGTATTTACAGCATCAGTACGAGCCTTTTCAGCTTCCGCCTTCTCTTTTAATTTCTTCATTCTTGACGTTTCCTGAGGATGAGAGTCGCCATCTCCACGAAGCCAAACAAGGTTTGTCTTTGAGAAGTCGACAAGGCTCTCGACGCTTCGGAAGTCTGCCACCAGTCTTGTGTCATGTCCGAGTAGTGTGCCTTTTGGCGCGTAAGGCTTTTGATCGGGATCTTTCCTACACTTCCCGCATGAACATATCTTTAAGCACTTCGGACACTGCCAATCTTTATCTTCCATAACAGTTTGCGGCATCAAGTCAAAAGCTCGCCACAGTACTCCATAACAGTATGCGCGGTTGCAAGTGGTACAGAAGGCGAGCTTCCAGTTCCAGTCATGGTGGAAACATATGTGGCATGTGTGGGTCTTGTTCTTAACTGCTGTCACCCTGTTTCTTCCCATCTTGGAGAATTTCCCTCGTTTCTTATTTTTTGCGCGCCCCTTGTCGTCGGCTTCAGGTTCAACATCGGACATTCCAGGGGAGATATCGCGGACAGTAGGGTTGTTAATGTCATTCCAAGGCCTGAGCTTCAACTGCTGTTGGCAAACTTCAGCGATAGGTTTCTTTCCATAACGTTTTCTCGCAATATCAAGAGGCTGTGGAGACCTTTGGATATCAAAAAAGCCGTCAGATTGAACTACGAGGTTGCGCCATTCTTCATAATTCTGCACCAAAGTTGACCAGTCCCATTGCTCAACCCATTTCAGATTTGAAATGCAAGCACAAGAGCGACCCATGGCATAGCAGTCCATACAGATATCGTAGGTATCCTCCTCTCCACCTGAGCCATACTCGATGCATGATTTGCAGGTGAGAAATCGATTGAAGATATTGCATCTGCAATATGAGCAAGTGACATTAGAATCATAGGGAAGCAGCTCCACATCGGTTTCTTCTGGAAGCTTAGGGGAGAACATCTCGCTAACTAACACCTCGGTGTACAACAGAAACAGCCGTTTGAAATCGTCGAGCAGTTGCTTTATGCGGCCATATTTGCACATTTTAGGCTCGATAGTATCTCTCTGAAGTAGGCCATAATACTTCACAAGGGTATAGTAAATAATTGCCTTGTTTTTATATTGCTCGTCTCGACACACCATTCGCGCACGGGGGAGGGCTTCATGGATTGCCAATTCAAGGGTGTCCACAGTTGTACGGTTCCAAGCGGCTTTCATGGTTCGTGTTCCGCGGTTCCAGACTTGATGAGGGGCCAAAGGGGGAATAAGGATCAAGTCGCCAACCTTCTGCTCAACAACCCAAACGTTGAATGGAGCTTTCTTCCACGCATTAACTTGGGCAAAATGCTTTTCAACCTCGATGTCATGTCCAAGCATCGATAAGAAATATTCTGAAACCAGTTCGCGTTCTTTTGTCTCCGTCATGAACCATACCGAGGTCCCTTCCTTCTCACCATTACTCTCTCTTGAAGCCTCAACCATGATGTTCTGACCAAGACTAGCGCACATTTCTCGATGAGCTGGGGTGTAAGTTCCTTCGTGGCCAATGTAGCACATCATATTAAGGGCCCGCATATCCGGTGGAAGGCTACTCATCAAGTCTCCGGCTGCAGCAACGCCTTTCCCATAGCCCATCTGGCCCCATTCATTCGGTTCCAGTATTGCGCCATCTCCACCAGTCCTTGGCTCTATGCATTCGTTGAGATAATATACCGACTCGGGCATCATTTGTTTTAGGTGGCCGGCCCAGGCATCGGGACAATCGATATCCTTTAGGTACAACCGCTGTCGTTTGGGGTCCCGATAGTTGGAGGAGGAGAATTGGTTCGTAAGCTGGTGCATCGACCTCAAGTAGTGGCCCATGGTCATTGGGATATCAACGGTATTAGGTATATCTCTAACTTTCTCGGCTACAAATCCAGTCAGTCCAAGTTTAGTCTACAACATATAAACCACCTCACTCACGCTTAGTCCCCCATTTCCCCTCAAGCCAATCGATATTAAATAGCCATGGAGGCAAGCTGTCTCCCCACCCTTCGATGACCAATGGCTTCCCGCTCTGAATGACAACCGCGAGAACCAAGGCCTCAAAGTCGTGGATGGAATGCTCCCTCAACTTCTCGACTGGAAGCCTAGTTACATAGTCGAAGTTGGGCGTGCTTTCGACCAGGGCGGCGAGATCAAAATGGGGGGCAATCGGCACGAATTGCGCCTGCGGATGCGGTTGGGAGCGCATTATCGCAGTGGTGAATGACTAGGCGATTCGGAGAGGTGCGGCTCGTTCCCTCACTCGCAGCCCGAATGCATGATGCCAAAGGCGCGAAGCATCAGGGCGTGACTGTTAGAGGCGGATGAGGAGGCGCACATATATAAGAGGTATGCGAAGTGTGCGCGAAAGGCGAAGCTCAAATCCCCGCCAGGAACGAGGCGAAATCGAGGTTCTGTATAGGCACTTCTGATCTTTAGAGTACTATTTTTCAGGCTGCGTGAACGAACCTATTCCCTTTCCGCGATTGAAGTTCTGTAGAGAGGGCCAGGGCCATAGGAAGGGACACGATCCCGTAATGATGGCTTTGCCGCGCGAAAGAAGGTGCAGTTGTCAGTAATATGGAATATCAAGGCACGATAGGGCCAAGAAGGTTGAAGCCGTGATATGAAAGTGATCCCGCGCCGCGTTGGTCGGCGCCAGTGAACCCTGCCTAAGGTATCCAGGTACAGTACGAGCACCGTGCTGGTCGAAGTAATGAATGAATTTCCTACCCGAGGAACCTCACCTCGACATCTTCACCTGCACATCAACAGCTAACTATTAATAACGCCGGGCTACCAAGCACCATGGGGGTTTTGGATTAGTTGGGAGAGATCGTCGGAAAGGCGGTGATATCTTTTCCTAAGTTTGGAGTCTCGCCTGTATATTAAGTGAGTGTTTCTTCCCTTTCGCGGTCTTTTTCTTCCCAGTGGCCGTGATTGGATGGCAACGCCAGCGATAAACAACAAGATATCGTGGTGTCAACTCGCCCAGCCCTATCCAGTGCTGGCGTTTTGTTTTTAAAAGTCACAACTGATAAAAGGGAATGGAGGGCTAATTCTTAGCTTCGTGGAATTATTTGGATAGCGCCAATGTCTGCCCGGGCTCTCTTCAAGGTGCCGAGCAGCTGCCAAAGTACTCGGCTTCGGCTTCGAAGCGTGGGCAGATTTTCCCAATTCTCTTTGAGAAGATGGTCTTGTTCTAGCAGAATCTCCATCGGGCCAGCCCCTAGGCTGCAGCAACCTCAACCCCAACTTGGTGTCTCTAATGCTCGTCAGAGATATCTACAACACTTCACTGTCCCCAGCAACCGCGTGACAGGCGGTGCGGAGGATGTAGCAGGATCAAAGCCAAGCCTGGGAGCTGGCCAGGAGTCCATCACATCACTTCCTCAATACGAGCCACCTACTACCGGTATTCTGTCAAAACTTCCCTCCTCGTGGGTCCCATACGCTGAACTCACGAGACTTGACAAACCAACTGGAATCTATTACCTCTACTTTCCCTGCCTGTTCTCGACGCTCCTGGCAGCTCCGCTTGCCGTTCCCATTGCCTCTCCTCTGTCAGTTGTTGGGACGTCCCTGCTATTCTTTAGCGGTGCCCTTCTCTTGCGCAGCGCAGGCTGCGCCATCAATGATCTATGGGATCGGAATCTTGATCCCCACGTGGCACGAACACGACTACGTCCCATCGCTCGGCGGGCAATCACTCCCTTCAACGCTGTGGCCTTCACGGGCGCCCAGCTCCTTGTTGGCCTCGGCATCCTCCTCCAATTCCCATATCAATGCCTCTTTTACGGCATTGCCAGCCTTCCACTCGTGGTTATGTATCCTCTTGCCAAGAGAGTTACATATTACCCTCAGTTCGTGTTAGGCCTTACATTCTCCTGGGGAGCTATTATGGGATTCCCGGCTCTTGGTGTGGACCTTCTGCATAACAACGCTGCTTTAACGGCTGCTGCATGTCTTTATACTTCGAATATTGCGTGGACCGTGTTATATGACATGATATACGCCCATATGGATATCAAAGATGATGCCAAAGCCGGAATCAAGAGCATCGCGTTGAGGCATGATGCACAAACCAAGCAGATCCTAAGTGGCCTTGCTGTGACCCAGGTTGGACTCTTGGCAGCTGCTGGGGCTGCGGTAGGAGCCAGCCCGGTCTTTTTCATTGGTAGCTGTGGCGGTGCGGCTGTTACGCTTTCTATCATGATCAAAAAGGTCAACCTGAAAAGTGTCAAGGATTGCTGGTGGTGGTTTGTCAATGGCTGTTTGCTGACTGGAGGTGTTATATCTACCGGCTTGGGCGCGGAATACGTTGTTCAATACTCGCGAAGGACCGAGGATATGGTATCTGAGGAGGAATCTGTACAACTACTGTAACTGTTCAAACTAATCTATGGATATGGAATGGTTTTATATCAATCCTCTTGACCTGAAAAAGCAGACCTAGCTTCTAGCGGTTGGTTAATTCGCTTGTTCTTTCCTCGAGTTTATACCAGCCTATGTACCTAGGCAGGTTCTTTAAATCACAACCAGCATTGCAGCGGAGAGTTGTATGGCGGTGTGTTTAAAGTGAAGCCAATGCGGAACCCTTCCAGGTCTAAAGCCCAGCCACCTTCTTTGCACACCCTCCAAAATCCACAGTTTGTTATTGCTGCTTATTTATTTCGGCTGTTAGAATTATAAGTCAACGAATAAGCCCAAGTAGTAACAATAAGTAATGTCGGGGCAGTTGACTTGTATTTACTAAAGAGTTAAGGCTACCTAGAAGTCTTCCGGTCCTTTATAGACAAATTAGATAACGAGCATCCTATTCCGGCGATAAGATAGTATAAAGAAGATATGAGCACGCTATATCACATTATATCACGTTATACGAGTACCTCTATTCAACACTCCCCTTGGCTCGAGTATATTACGTGACATTACGTGATACATTCCCCTTACTCGAGGTAGGCTATTCGACCCTAGCTACTAGCGGCCTTCATAATCCTACTATCCTAAAACAATCTTATAAATGTTAACTTTGGAAATGATTTAATAAGAATATTTGCAATGTTTGTTTTGTCTCGAAGCTTATTTTGGGGTAATTTAGCTGTTTTCTATACATTCTCGCATAAAATGATACCAAATATTAATATTTTTGTCCTTGTATATAATTCCGAATTTGTAGTTAATTTGATTGATAATGCGTTATCAATATTGAGTATAACTCCGTTTTGGTACGGTCGGTTTACTACTATATTTATTTCGTTAAGAAATCCAAGTAGCAAAATAACCTCCTTCGTTACATCAGAAGCTGCAATATTTTCCACTTCTATTAAAAAACTAGAAAACGTTTTTTGTCGTTTTAATAACTATAATATTAGGCTCTTTCCAAATTTAAATATCTAGCTATTAGTAGCCGATGATTTTCCTGTATCTGTACAACCTCCCCAACCACTATCGACCCAGCCTTAATTTCTATGCTCGCTCCTTTTCGATAGAATAGTCCTGTATCTTCGAATCTGGATAAGTATGCATATATGGAATCTACTACATCTATATGTTGCGTTGATTAGGATTCTTTGAGTAACGAAACCGTTATCTCGCGGATCCAGCTATTCCTCTACTACCCACCGCTTAGCGAGGACCAAACTAGCAAAGTCTGGCGCGTGCACGTCAACCGTGTGCGAGCCAGTGGACTCATCAAATTGACAGCAAAGATGAGGCAATCATGGACTTTGCAAAAGAGGAGTGGGTAGCGGGGCGTTGTTGGAATAGAAGGCAAACCTGGAACTTCTTCTAGACAGCAATATCACTCACTTCATACGACGCAAAGAAATGGCACTAGCAGTCGATTGGAGATGGAGAGGTTGATAAAGATGGGGAGATTGAGAAACCTAGGTTGACAACGAGGAATTAAAGATTGTGGTAGCGACGACTGGAAAGTTCTTTGATCACATCAACTCCACACTGCTCGATGGATCGCACTAGATGCCGCGAACGGCGGAGGGTAATCGTAATGATAGCTGGGAAGATGCGCTGAAGAAGGGTAGATGAGTGTTACGTGATGTGAAGGCAAGTTCTTGTCTCTTGCAACGGGTTGAAAGACCTAGCTCGCATCACATCTAGATACAAGCCTTGTAGCAGGCAGCTCAGTAATAACACGGATCGCGTGACATACCATAGAAACACTAACCGTCTTTCCTAGATTATTCGTGCCAGTGCAGCTGGTGCAATTGACTTTTTCTCGCTACAGTCATACCAATGTCGCTAAGCTTCGCGTCGCCCAAGATCTCGAAGACGGCAATATCAGCGCGCAACTCTTTCGAAATCCAATTTCGCAATTCCAAAGCTACGAGTGAATCTATTCCAAAAGACTGCATGCGGTCTCCGACCGTTCGCCCCTCGACGTCTATGCCGAGGAGTCTAGAGACCTTGACCTTCAATGCCTCGGCAACAATCGACCTAGCTTCTTGGAGTGAAGCGGACTGTTGGAAGAGCGTCACAATATCCTGGCTTGATGAGACCATTGCATTTGATCCCCCTTGTGTGAAATCGACTTGATGTATCGCCCGGAATAGGCTTCTTTGCAAAGCTAGCGGCACCTCAACACCCTTGTTGAGTAATGCACTTGGAAAGACTAGCCCTCAGACGATTTGACTTGAGGCATCCGTGGCATAGTGTCTGTTTGGATCGCAGAAGTAATCAAAAGTTGCAAAAGTCGCTCTTGAGAAATTAGCTCCAGCATGTTGAGACGTACGAGTCTGTCGTAAATGTCTTTGTTTTCTGCTACGAAACCCCCTCCAAGGATTATGCCCAGATCAAGTGCTGTGGCCTTCTCCCCCCTAGCAACACGATACCTCGCGAGAGCGTCTTGAAAAGTATTTCCAGCAGCATAATTGCTTTGTCCAGGGTTACCAACGATGCCAGTCACTGAAGAAAGCATTACGAAGAAATCCATCTGATTGGGTAAGGTTTTGTGAAGGTTCCATGACCCTTGAACCTTGGGCCGAATCGTTGCGTTCCATTTAGTATACTGCATGGTACTAAATGGTCGATCCTAAGATAGAATTAGGTCTAAATCGCGATCTAAGCCTTCAAAATGAGAAGGTAATACTTACATTAAGCACCATGGCAGCTTGGAAGCAACCCTTGATAGGTGGCATTGTCTTCATCGCCGTCTGAAGAGCACAATCAAGCGAAGTAAGCTCGGAGATATCGCAAGAAGCGTGTCGAACGTAAACCCCGAGGGCTTTGAGTTTGGAAATCATCCGACGAGCTTCGGTGTTCTGATCTAGAGTGGATCGCGAGAGTAAGAGTAAATTTTGAGCTCCTCGGTGAGCCATCCAGCGAGTAATCTGACGCCCGATGCCCCCGAAAGCTCCGGCAACAATATATGTGGCGTCGGCTCGGAAGCGGTACTCACCATTTGCACTTTCTCTAATAGGTATAACAGCCTCATCAGATATCTCAAGCACTATCTTTCCTGAGCCCTTGCCACTTTGCAATAGGCGGAAAGCATCCTCAGCTTGACTGATGGGGTATTTTGATAGTGGATAAGGTGGACGAATAACCTTGTCCTTGAGCATCTGGAAGACTTCTTGCAGCTGTTCCGTTCCTTTCTTCGCAGCTTCACCGACGATATATGCGCCAAGATCAACACCCGCAAATGAAGCGTTTTTGATAAGAGGATAAATAGGGAGGTGGCCACGAGTATCAATATCTTTCCGCCCAATTTCGACAAATCTCCCAAAGGGCGCAATACTTTCCCACGAGGCAACCAATAGCTTTCCAGAAAGGGAGTTTAGAATAACATCAACACCTCTACCCTTAGTCATGCGTTTGATACCGTCCGCAAAAGAAGAGTCGTGACTGTAAAAGATGTGATCTTCTGGTATGTTATATTGCTCAATGACAGGTTTCTTTTTAGCTTGAGAGCCGACGGTGACGAACACGTCAGCGCCAATGTTCTGCGCAAGTTGGACCGCAGCTTGACCTGTACCGCCAGCAGCTGCATGTATAAGGATAGTTTCACCTTTCTGCAGGCGCGCTGTCCGGATCAAGCTAACATACGCGGTACAGAAGGCTGTGGGTATCGACGCGGCCTCTACAAAGCTTATAGTATCTGGCAGTCGAACAGCTTCTTTCACTCTGACGAATGTCTGGTAACTATCCGGCGTGCCTACTACAACTCGATCACCGACTTTGAAATTCTGAACATTGGCCCCGATTCGATGGACATAGCCGGCTGCTTCGCTGCCAAGCCGATCCGTGTTAATCCGGCCAAGGAGTGTTAGACACTCCTTGAAGTTCACGCCAATCGCCTGGATACGCACTTCAATGTCATCTGGTTCAAGATTCGTGTAGGCGGCGTCATCTTCGATCCATTCTATAGTATCCAGGAGTCCAGGAGTCCAGGGGTTTTGATATCAAGCTTTAAGGGTGGTCCAGAGCTAAATTGTCGCATTCGCACGGGCTTTGTCGTCCGTGCGAAAATATATTCGTCTACGGGGTTTCCGTTGGTCAAGCGGCTAATACAGAGGCGACCTTTCACTTCCATCCATTCTAAATCCATTGTCTCTGTTGGGCTGTCTTTATGGATCTCATGTATGAATTTGGCAATTCGCCCAACAGCTTTCTCTAAGTCTTCGCATGTCGACCATTCCAGAGCAAGAGTGGCCACGGAAATAGACAGGTCCACGTTACGACAAACTCGGGCTAGCCCATCAGTCATTGCCCAGTATGGCGCACCATCGTGTGCTAATCCCGTGTTGTTCACCCAGATAACGCTCCTGGAAGAAGTGAGAATCTTCTGCAAAGCCTGAAAGACTGGCTCCTGCATCTCATAGAGCAGACATTCGTCCAAGCCACATAGAAGAACCACATCACGTTCGCTGAGATCTGAAGATAGATAGAGACCTTCTAGTGACATGAGGTCTGTCGCAACTCCAGCGTATTCAAAATCACGTTGGAGGCATTGGCCAACTTGCCTTTGCATAGAAGACTTCATATCGACAACAAATGTCAGCATTCGATATTTATTTCTGAGCCCATTCTCAAGCACTGGCGCATCTGGGGTCGTCTTCGAGGTTACTATAATGCTCCATCCGTGGCAATAGTCTGACTCCCAGTCACGGAAGATATGATCGCTTCCAGAAAATCCATGCTGTTTGAGGATGCTGTGCCATTGCTCCTCCGCAATGACAGCACCATCACGACGATACTCCTCGGAGCTGAGCCACCAACCAGGGAGCAAACCAAATACGAAACCGGTATGAATCTTCAAAGGAGTGGTCATCTCCATCATTATAAGTTGCCCGTTGGGTTTGAGCAATTTTCGAGTGTTAGCGAGCGTCTCGCCGAGATTTTTGGTAGCGTGCAAGACATTGGCGGCTATAATGATGTCGTAGCCTTCCTCGTCGAATCCTTGATCTAATGGATCTTCTCCAATGTTGAGTACCGAATACTTCATTCTTGGGTATCTAGCGTACTTCTCGGTAGCGTGAGAGATAAAGTAAGGACTGATATCCGTATAGTAAAATTCGGAGTATCTTGGCGCTACCTCCGGCCTTGCAATAGTACCCAAAACCTCATCAGTTGTGGCACCTGTGCCAGCACCAATCTCCAAATACTTTAGCTCTGGATCTCTGTGAGCTTTTGCATCAAGGTACGCACTCAACATATCGAACGCTTTGCCCGTCTGGTTCACTTCGTGATAGTATTCGCCGACAAACGCTTCGTCTTCGAAAATAAAGTCAAGAGCATCGACCTCTCCTATGAGAATATTGAAAAGCTGTTCGCCTGTTCTAGCGCTAAGATTGCCGCGCTTGCTATCTGCGAGGAATCTCTGGCACAAGTTCTCTAGTCTCGCCGAATTGAGCAGGTCGAGGCTTGCGCCAGGTCCGGCCGAGTTCAAATACTCGTCTAGCCTGGAATTTAACCAGCAGGCATACTGGGTTTGAGACTCGACCGGGCACAGTTGAAGTCTGGATAGTTTGTCAAAAGTGCAGGCAGCGAAGCTCAGCATCATGAGGCTAAGATTTTGGAACCATTCATCAGGCTCAGCATTACTGCTTCGATGTTCTCGACAATATTCTGATATTTCCATTGTGGACATTGTGGAAAAGTCGGGTCTCATTCTAGCCTTTGGCACACTGGCTGTGGACTGGTTTCTTCCTGTGAGACATACTGGTTTCCGGCCAATTCAGTGACCTCCAAGGCTTCGACCTCAAGCCGAATGCTCATATCGGTTTTAGAGAAGACGGTAGATGTTCCTACAGCTGTTCGTTTATTCAACGAGCTAGATGAACTGTTGGCCACTTCTGACCCAAGATTTGAATGTCCAACTCCCACTGTAGATATCCACAGCCGTTTCAAATGTGATGGCACACGAGTTGGTGTTGGCTGGCTCCAACCTTTACCGAGGCCCACGTAAGTGAGCTGGAAGACGCCGTCTAGAGTAGAAGGGTGTACTGTAAATGGCTGCGGGATTTCCGAGGAAATGCTCTTACAGGGAAGTATTTGTGCATGGCCTTGGCCATCTAACGAGTAATGGATGTTCGAGAGTGGCTGAAACATTGGGCCATATAGAAGCCCAGTATTTTTGGAAATCCTCCGGTAAAGCTCCGCTGGCTCAACAAAGCTCTGGCATGAACGGACCGCCTCGTTGTACTTGCCCCGAGCAGCCTGCTTTTTATGTTCCTCTTCCGTTTGAATATCCACATCTTGGCCTACTTTGCTAGTGTCCGCGGTAATTGTTCCCAGACAAGTTTCCTGCCACGAGTCGTCGGCTCTCTTGACAAGTATACGAAACTTGTACTCAGGCTCCCCTGCTTGCGTGGAGGTAGGAATTAGGTTGGTCTGGATCTCTGTGCCTTCTGCAGAGTCACTCAGCACGATTGGGTTTGGGAAAGAAGTGTTGCGTATCTCGTATCCAATGATCTTCTGATCTACGAGCTGCTTAATCGCCTCAATGGCCATGACAAGCATTCCAGCGGCTGGATAGAGCATCTCGCCATGAACTTTATGTTGTTCAATCCAAGACATTTCTTCTCGCTTGACGACGAGTCGCCAGCGAGCATCTAAGGGATTCCAGTCTATGACCGGAGCCCCAAGTAGATCATTGTTTGCATGCTTTCTTGACTTGAACGTTTTCGATCTGGCCGGCTCCTCCCAATAGCTGACGGTATGGTTGAATGGGTAAGGTGGCAGAGTCGTGATGGTTTGTAGCGGGATATACAGCTCAGACCCACTCATTCGGGCTATTGCGTCGAGGTCCGCCTCGAAGTTACGACAATAAAATTGCCCAACGGTCTCCAGTATGGTGTGCGTAGGAGATTTGTTACGTGTCAAGAAGGAAGCATAGAACATGCTATCGGCCCTGTTTGTGGAGATGAATATCTCTCGGAGGGGTCCCTTAAGCGCTGCATGCGGTCCAATCTCAATCTAGCCATCCGTCACAATCTGAGCTTCGTGACTCAAGTCAAGTTTGTGGATAATACTTTCCTGATTCGGACATATACAGCAAGCCGACATAGCTTCGACAAAGCGTACCGGAGAAAGCATATTCTGCACCCAGTAGGAAGCAGCGCAGACGGTCTCTTGCGTAACAAGGCGCGAGCTGACGGAGGATACCATTCGAATTTCACGAATCATGTTCCCAGGTCTTAGATCTTTTAGACGATCAGAATATGCTTCTGCAATTGCCCTCATCTGTGGTGAATGGTATCCTAGGTCAACCTTGAGCTTTCTCGCAAAGATGCTGCGAGCTTTGAGATCTTCCATGATAATATTGAGACTACCCGCTGGGCCGGAAAGAGTGATGTTCTTAGGGCTGTTAATGCAGCTGACGGTTATAGCCTCCGCATCGAATGTAAGCGGCACTTTGCTTCTCTGACTGGATAGGTAACAGCTCTTGCCGGATTTGACTAGCAGATACTCCCACGGAGAGCATGCCATAGATTTTCTCGCAGCTTTTCGCTAGGTCAGAAGCTAGAACGCCTCTGAAGTAAGCTACTTTGATAGCCGATTCGTGACAAAGAAAACCAGCACAATAAGCGGCAGCAATTTCTCCGGAGGAATGTCCAAGGACTACTGAGACGTTGAGACTAAGATGGCGGGTTAAGTCAACTAGAGCGATTTGGAGGGCAGTCGAAACTGCCTGGCTGAACTCGGTGTCATTGATGCGGCTAAGCTCTGCATCTTTGGTGATCTCGTCTGATAGGGTTTATCAGCGGCGTGTAGTGCGGTTCAAGGGTTTCTGACTTACCAATGAGAATCCAATCGCATCCCAAGATGTCAAGGTATTTCTGTGAGTGCCCAATGCTGCTTCTGAAGACCGGCCATTCAAGTAGCTCCTGGCCCATTCCTGCCCATTGGGCTCCCTGGCCAGTGAATACAAGCCCTAGTCTGGGCCGAGTGGCTGCCAGAGGGCATCTTATAGCTTTCGAGAGACCATTTTCCAGCAACAAGAAAGGTGAAGCTGAATCCGAGTCCAGCACGGCGTACGACTTCCAGTTGAACAGCGTACGTCTCGCGTTCAGGGTGTGAAAGACGTCGTGCAGAAATTGAGGGTCTGATTTCTGCGAATGGGACTCCACGAACTGAGACAGGGCAGCCGCTTGCCTCTTAATTCCATCTTCATCAGCCGCCGAGACGACTAATAGCTTCGGCCAAAAGCTGGATGACAGTACATTATGAGACACACAGTTTCCGGGAGCAACAGACGTGCTGTGTAGCTCGTGGTCTGAGGCATGCGTGAGGTAGTCAGCCTGCAAGTGGCACTTTCCAGGAATTTCTGGTGAATCGTGGATTTTGTCCAAGGGATGGCATTGCCAGAATTTGGAGCACGGTTTGCGAGTGGTGTTCAGATTTGGAATGGAGGTCTGTGCCACCTCCGCCTCCCGCCGCGTGAAGTGGGATTTTCGGCCCTGGAGAAAATCTTCGGCCGATTCGATCACCACATGTGCTATTGGAAATCAGCATAACTCTGGAACTAGACTGAATGCCACTACCATTACTGCCTCCGAAGCCAAATGAATTGACCGAGGCTCTTCGCACCTCTCCTTTCGGCCATGGAACACACCGCGTCGGAAACTGACCTCAATTAGCCAGATATTAGCCTTGTGGCACCTTGGGGGCGGAAGTTACCTTCAAATTGAGAAACTCGGCGTCTATATGTGGATTGAGTTCGTTAAAATTCGCGTTGGGGGGGATTACTCCGCGTTCGAGTGCCAGGACCGTCTTGACGATACTTGCAAGACCGCTGGTACCTCCCAAGTGTCCAATGTTTGACTTTACGGCTCCCCTAACGTACTATCAGTGCACGAAAAGCCTCAAAGCTAGAAGGCGAATGAAGCCTTACACGTAAATGGGGTCCTGCTTCGAGCGATGCTCGAGGAAAGTTTCGCCAATTGTCCTTGCCTCGATAGGATCGCCAACTGCAGTCCCTGTGCCGTGGGCCTCAAAGAATCGAGTGTGTTCCAAACTAAGGCCTGCTTTGCGGTAAGTGTCTCTGATAAGGGATGCCTGCATCTCCTTGCTTGGCTGCGTGATGCCCCCGGCGGTATACCCGTCTTGATTTGTTCCAACAGAACGTATAACAGCCCGAATAGGGTCACCGTCAGCGATAGCAGTAGCGACACGCTTTAGTATTAGAGTAGAAAAGCCTTCCCCGCGACCATAGCCATCACCCTTGGCATCAAAACTCTTACATCTGCCGCTCGGTGAGAGGAAATTCATATTGCTTAGCGCTATATTGAACTCAGGATTGAGTATTATATTAGCTGCGCCAGCAATCGCCATGTTGGCCTTCCCCGAGTTGAGCTGCTCACGCGAGAGCTGTAGCGATAAGCCCACTTGAGCAAGCAGTGTCAATATATACACTTTCGCCCCGGAGATCGAAGTACCAACTCAGACGGTTTGCCAATACAGATCCAGCAGTCCCAATAGCGGCGTATTTCGGAATCTGCTGTGCGTCTTTCAGCATCAAATGGGAGAAGTCGCTGGTAAAACGCCCAATATGGACAGAGGTATCCGAGCCAGCCACCTTTTCGAGTGGTAGACCGGCGTTCTCAAAGGCGTGGTAAGTTGTCTCTAGGAGACCGCGTTGCTGAGGATCCATAGCTCCTACTTCCTGTGGCGTCATTGAGAAGAAGCCTGCATCAAAATCTCCAATGTTGCCATTCATGAAGTGTGCCTCACGCGAATTCATCTACAGATCTATTAGATTCATCGTCAGTGGATGACGACAAGTAACGAACAATATTCTGACGTTTGGAATCAGGATGCCAGAAAGCGTCGATATTGAAGCGGTCTTTGGGAAAGGTCGTTGCCGTGCATTGACTATCTTCCAAAAGTTTCCAGAAAGTATCAGAAGTTTCTGCTCCTTGCGGAAACTTAAAAGCCATACCAATGATGGCAATAGGCTCAAATAAGGAATCCTGAGAACACTCTGGGCTACTTTCGATTTCGACAGGCAATCCATTTTCTTGATCTCGTAAGTGTTCGTTCTCCGCATTATAAAAACCGCCAGAATGTACTGCCCTGAAATCCGTTGCAAGGGAAGGATCAAGAATCGAACCCATATTGGAAAGATTTGAGAGCAGTGCTAATGGCGGCTATGTTACTGGTAAACTCTCACGTGCCAAAAAGATTAGAAACAAAAGCTTTGAAAGAGTTTAAATAAGAGAGGAGAGAAAATTGCGGCCTGCCAACTCTAAGCATATTCCAAACCTATGTTTAAGCACTACTATTTACAGTATATATCTTCTAGAAAGTTTAGTTTGCAAGGCACACTCGCGGCGTAACTCATTTGCCAGTTGGTATGGACGGGGATGGAACGCTCCGGAAGTATTGTATTTCCGAGAAAAGAAATTTGTATGTGATCTGAAACTTCAAGAAGTCGTACTCCGTAGAGGGGAAAGAATATTATTTTAGTATATTTATTGCTATTTTTAGTTTTGACAAGCAAGTAGAAGGAAATAATGCCGAGGATTTCGTATAATTTCAAGTACTATGATGTGGAAATGTATAATAGCCGGTTGGAATTGATTCAATATAGTAATATCCCCGAGTCTTTTTAGACTCAGTGCCTGAGGTTTATTCGAAGTCGAATGAATCTATGGTGGGCTGACTGCGTCAAGGACATGGCCGGCTGAAAAAATGGCAGATCTGATGAACTGCCGGCATTAGCGCCGTCTCTTTGCCCGATACTGTACAACCTCCTGATTGTGTTGGCACTGTTGGCCTCTAGTCGACAAGATTCCCCGACCATACCTATGCTGATCAGATCCTACGCCGCACAGCATCCATATGCATATGGCCAGATCAACTGAGGAGAGGCAGGCATTATGAATTGTTTTTAAACTTCCATGTATCTCGTATACTACTTGGCCACAATTCAACTAGCTCGATATCGAAGATATGAATGCGAACCTTGTTGCAGTTCGCCCGACTGTGCCTACCAACAGATCTGCTCGGTCCGGGCTCTTACGGTTCGAAATACATTTCATCATCTTTTGAACGCCTCTCCCATCTTATATGCAAAGCCAAGTATTGTAAAACCTTAAGACTTTAATTATATCATAACCTTCAAGTATTCACCCTAGACATACCACTATTACATATTTGAAAGCCTGTTCAGGATATCCGGGAGGCTAGCTATGATGTCTCCTGATAAGCAAGACCATTCGTACGAGAGCCAAGAAGTCCGACATATACAAAGTGAAGATTTGGGAAAGCCAGAAAACCTTGAGGATATCACAACTGGACCATCTCCGCCATCAGAATGGATTCAAGGCTGGCGACTCGCAGCCATTGCGCTAGGGTAAGTACATTCTTGTTCCATGGGCGCCCGCACGAAGTTGAAACCATCAAGGACTTGCATCGCTGTTGGTATGACTCAGGCAGACTCTACTATTGCAAGCACAGCAATTCTTGTCATCACTGATGATCTTGGTGGATTCGACACCAGCCCGTGGGTTTTCACTGGATATTTAATCACATATGGCGGTATGGGCAGTACCTATTTCTGTGGTTTGAATCAAGGCTCACACGGCTTCTCCTTTAGGCTTCCCAATCATTTTAGCGCGCGTGTCGGATATAGTGGGAAGAAAAGCAGTCTTTTTGACTTGTTTACTCATGTTTACAATCTTTTCGGGAGCTTGTGGAGCTTCTCAGACGCTGCTTGAAATGTATGTGTTGCTGTCTATTCTTGACCACTACTCTGATACTCTTTAGGATTATGTTCCGATGGGTTCAAGGACTTGGTGCATCTGGTGTGTTGTCAATTGGTACTCTGTACGGTTTCGAGCTGAGGCCGCCTGGAAAATGGCCGGCATACTCAGCCCTAATTTCTCTTGCTGTGTCAATTTCCCTATCCATCGCACTTGTCATTGGAGCCGCCTTAACTCAGATCGGGCAATGGAGATGGATTTTTCTCATTAAGTAAGTTTGAAACCGACCACAAAAGTCCAAGCTAACGTTGCAGCGTTCAGTGCTCCGATTGGGGCCACTGGATTTCTACTGCTTATGTTAGGAATGCCTTCAAAACTTCCGCGCGAGCCTGCATCCCACGCTGCTAACGTAAAACGATGGTATCACAACTTGCAAAAGCTCGATTTCCCAGGAGTATTCGCGCTTGTTGGTGCCTCGGTGCTATTGACGGCTGCTTTGGAACAAGCCGCGGCGGGAAGATCTTTTGCTGCTCATACCATTATTCCTCTGCTAGTTTTGGCGCCTATTTTCCTCCTCGTGTTCCTTTTCTGGCAATGGTTCTCCACTACAAGACCGGGACAGTCCATTGCAGACCCAATTCTTTCCTGGAATTTGCTATCCGACAGAGTCTTTCTCGGGGTACTCATGTAGGTAAAGCCTTCAAGCCGGCACTTTCAAACATTGCTCACCATTATAATAGCAATGCTTTCTTTTCTGGAGCCATCATTACAGTATCTATTGTTCAGATTCCCCAACGCTTTATAATTGTCAATGGCCTTTCGCCGATCGATGCAGGTGTACGACTGATTCCATTCACGGCGGTGATGGCTTTTACGGCGGTGATAATGTCTATCGTCCTGAGCAAGTCAAATATTCCAGTCCTGTACTGGCTTCTATTTGGCGGCCTGCTTCAAGTCGCGGGGATAGCAGGGTTTTCTCAGTTGTCAGTTAATCATGACATCGAACCATCACAATACGGCTTTCAGATATTGGCTGGTGCTGGCGTCGGCATGTTCAATGTTGTACTATTGCTGCTCACTCCTTATGTTGTGGAGAACCAACACCTAGGTATGAAGGGTACCTTTAACGATGCAACCGAAGCTGATAGGAGAATAGCTGTCGCTAATGGTGCCATCAACCAGTTCAGACTCCTTGGAGGATCCTTTGGGCTCTCGATCGTAGTTTGTGCTTCAAATTCAAGCCTTAGGCATCACCTCCTCTCTATCTTGGAGCCTTCTCAAGTTTCGGTGCTTTTGAGTCGTACTGAAACCATTCTAGCGCTACCAGATGCTACACAAATTATTGTTAGAAAGATGTTTGGACAGAGTTACAATCTTCAGATGCTGATCGTAATTGGTTTTGCGGCTGCTAACATCCCAGTATCCCTAATGTAATGGCAGAAAAAAGCTATTGTATTTGCAAAATGAGGTTTGTCTCTTTGGTATGACATTTAGCGTCACTCAGTACGATTATAAGCTAGTTAGAAGACTCAGAGCTCTAGGGCAATGTGGGATAAGTGGCTCAAAGAATATCAAATATTTCAACAGCAGACATGAGAACACGAATACCACACTCCACAACTGGTAGAATCAAAATTTGGTTACTTCTACTTCGCTATTTGAGTATAGTGAAAAGATAGATTCCTAGAAGACTTGTCCTCGTTTAAGCCATCATAATTAAATAATCTGCAGCCTTCCAACGCAGGCTGTAACTTGAAGCTGCCACCGAGATTATCTAAGATTATTCTGTGCTACTTTGAAGCTCTGCCTGGTAGATGGCTCGTCGAACCATGTTTACTGTCCCGGCTAGTTCAGAACGAAGACCAATCCCAGGAATTTCATGATTCCCTTCATGAATTAGAACGGACCGTTTCGTTGGATCACACGAAGAAAGTAGACCCTCGCACTCCTGCTTCCTGCTGTCTTCCTTTCCGTATATGATGGCAGTAGGTATCGTGATGCTGTACTTGCCATCGAGGGTACCATCCAAGAGCCTGACTTGACCTCTTTTCTCGTATGCCACAGGATCGTAAACTGAAACCGGCGAAAACAAAATAGCACACTTAAATGGAGGAGGTGCCACAGGATCTCCGTGATATCTGCGCACTAGTAGCATAATAGCCAAACCTGCTCCTTGTGAAAACCCCAATACACCATCAAAGGGCCCTTCCAAAGCTATGTAGGCTTCCAGTTGGTCTAGTGCTATTGCAATGCTAGAAGCAGCCCCTGCGCCAACGTTGTAGTATGCGTAGTGCTCAGCTGACTGATCAGAAAGTGACTCGAGTCCTACTATGCATAAGAAACGGAGCTTGGAGTCCTCGGGGTGTAGGGCATCTGTCACACACCTGGAACTAATGACCAAGGTACGACACCCTGGAGGAAGCGGTATGTATGTTGATCTGCAAGCTCGTAACGGAGTGCAGCTACCAAATGATCAACGACAGCTGGCGCTGTAGTGAAAGCTTTTTATTACCTGTTTGCATTTTCAGGATCTGATGTTTGTTAAAATCATGCTTGTTTGGCAGACATGCTTCTCTCGTGGACCTTAGTGGTCTCGGTATCGAAACTTACCTGGCTACTGGTACCAATGCCATGTAGACAAAGAAACCGCATGGTGAAAACTGAGTACTGTTGGCTTGCTGGAACAACGTTCTTGAACGGTGGATTCAGTAACGAAATGGGGCTTGATGGGCCATTTTCGACTAACAAGCGAGGAGCGAGGCAGTGATGGCAGCCTTGTCGTAGTTCTATTGGAGCAGGTTAGGGGCTTGAAGGTCCAAGTCAGGGATGATACCAACGCCATACCCAAGGTCAAGACTTAGAGACACAAGCTGTGACTCGTTCCAGATACGAAACAGCTTCATAACAACGCCTATTGACGATCGATCAGGCTTCCCCGATTCCGGATAATTAAAGTCGCAATCTCAAAACCGCTTTACCCAATGAGGTGCTGCTGGGTGTCACTCCCCGTAGCCAACAGGACCCCGGCCGATTAATATATTGCATTATAACCTTCCTCGAGAGAGGAGGGAGCGCCGATCGCATCAGGCAGCGTTTTGAAGAGAACTACGTTTCTAAATTTGCAAGCCCAACAACCATAGCATCACAGCCTCGCATATGCATGTCATTGTACGAAGGTACTCGGACCCTTCGGCTTGACAGAATTGTGGGGACCAGCGGGATAAGTGGCGCCTGCAGATCATCGTCCAAATGAAGACATAGCCCCAAGTCTGTGCGACCCAGCAAGTTGGTTGGGCTGATGTTGTGCATACAGAGGAATGCCGCCTCGCTCATGTTAAACCTGAGCCTTAGTCAGAACTTCCACCACGACTAGGGCAAGCTTTTTCGATGTGTCGGTCCGGCAATCTCTTGGATCGATATCCGAAGACGCCCAACGACAGCCACTATGTCGTCGGCCCTTGCTCCCGCAGGCACTTTCGTATGGTTGCATATTGTCCCTTGGTCATCTCCTTGAGCGACTCGTGCAGCTGAACATTTGCACGCTGAGAATTTTGCGAAGGCCCTGGAGTCCTTACTGGCTGAGATAGACACGTTTGAAACTACAGTCAACAAGAACATTTGAGAAATTGACAGTGCAATTTCTATCCATGCAGCTGAGATAAAGATTCTACGACATCTCCTTCCTAAGCTCAAAAGATATGAACCTCTAGACCTGACTCAAGTGGACCCATTCTATTGCAGCGTTACGGTGTGAGCGCATTCTACAACTTCGCAGTTGAGTTCTGATCGTTTTTGGTGAAAGTTTCCGGTGCACTCCCGGGTGTTATATCATGGTGCCAAGTGAAGCTTAGAACGCGGCCTTTGCTACAGTTGAACTTGAACATGCGGGATTTAAGAGAAGTGAACGGCCACATGCTCTGCGAGAGCTCCCTTTCCCTGTCTGGTGGCAAACAAAACAAGTCCCCTCCCCAGGAATGTAAGATATAATTAGTTAGTGAACTCCCTTTCACATTTACTCGAATTTGATCTTCCCCATGAACGTTGACCGAATAGCAGATGATTTTGTCTTTGTTCCAATAGTCTCCCTCGTAATACTTTAAAGGGAAGCTAAGGGCGACGTCCGCCTTCCTCTTGTCAAGACCTGCGGCATAGACGTCATAGAGAAGCATGTTTATATCCTTGACTGAATTTGCCAGACCTATGTAGTCTGTCGGATCATCCTCTCCAAGGATCGTTCCAAGAAGTAACCGTCCAAGAACATCGGTAATATCGAAAAGTGGCAACGAATTGACCAGTACAACTATGGCAGTCTGAGACAGTGGATCCAACAGCATCAATCCGTTGTAGCCTGTGAAAGTGGCTATCTGGTGGAAGATAGCGCGGCCAGCATGAGTTTTTCCGAATTGTCGGCTGTTCTTTTGCTGCAGAAGTATGGAGTTGTAACTCGCAGCAGACAAATTTCCCGGGAGTTGGGTTCGGTAGGTCCCCAAACAGTAGCCTTGTTTCTCAAGTGAAGCGATCCCAACGCCGATGTGAGGATATAGTAGTCGACAAGCGTATTTGAATGGCGATCCAGGAGTGGAATCGACCTTGTTGTTGGTCTGGTGGTTGTACGCATGCAAAAGAGACCGGTACATGATCAGAAGCTCTCTGATAGAACTTCGTGCTCCTACAGCGCCGCCGAAACCAGTTTCGTCTGACCAACCACGCTGAAGTGACCACGGAAATTCGTGAGCCACTCCATAATTGCCAACCCAATGTTTGAAGACGACATTGTCGACTTTTGGAGCGTTCGTAGTACTGCGACTCATACCAAGTGGTTGATAAATGTATTGTTCAACGCAGACACTGAATGGTTTGCCCGTCACTCGCTCGATAGCAGCTGTGACAAGGCCGTAGCCCCAGGTGGAATAAATCATAGTTTTCTGAAACTCGCCCACGGCTGGTATGTGGCACGCCAACCGTGGGATCTGTTCTCGGTCGGGAAAGATGTCTTCGTTCATAGTCCCCCAGAATGTATTTTGTGCTGAGAGGCCGGATCGATTAGCCAAAAAGTCCGTTACTGTTGCTTCCTGTCCGACTATATCTTTCTGTCCCCAAACTCTGGAAGATACTCGCGGATGGGAGTGTCCCAATCGAGCAGGCCTTGCGCGACAAGATTGGAGACGACACCGGCCGTCATTAATTTCGTGATCGATGCGACATTATAGAGGGTGTCATCGTTTGGAGGTGCTAGTTCTGAAGCTCTGCGGCGTCCAAAATGAGTTGTAAACAATGGAACACCATGGTGAAGAAGGCCGAGAGACAGTCCAGGCGAGCCACTGAGCTCAAAAAGCTCCTGAATAAGCGGTTGTAACCGACTAAGACGGGTCTCCATGGATGATGAAGTGGTGCTAATCTGCTTCGTCTATGATCGTGACCAGACCAAATAAACTTCTGTCGGTTTCTTGAATCACACAATCAAGGAGGACTCTGCCTTAAGGGAGGGCTGCCTTGAAGCAGAACTGCCGAGGCCCAAGTCTGTCATGAGAGAACCACAGTGTCATAGAAGGGGTGGGCGGAGTGCGACGCCGACGGCCACAGTCGATTTCTTGCAGGCAGTATCTCGGTGGCTTAGACGGGAGGGGGCAGCTATTGGGGTGATGAATACCTTAGTTGTACTACGTATAGTACTCGAGTACATAGTATCGGTGGCATAATGGATGGATGAGATGGAGCCGGGTTTGCTGCCTCTTTGGGGGGGCCGAGTATGCCTAGCGCTGGCGTGCGGCAGTCCAAGCTAGGCCCGGCAATTTGCTGAGTGGCGTCTGGGGGACCTTGTTCGGAACTTATGATCCGTGCAGAAGAATTATAACTTATAAGCAGGGCTGAGTGGCATCCTGTTTGATACGTTGCGACGTGGCTTATATGGATTGATATACGCACATGCGCCTACCCACCTTAGGTACCTGTAGGTAGGTAGGTAAATAGATGTTGGTAACCGGACCAGCCTATGTGGATAGAGGTCTACCTGCATTGCCTACCGTAGGTGCCTTAGCAAACACAAGGACTGAAATGATATACGAGTAACGGCGCTACATCAATATTATCCTCCTCTCTCCCAAAGCTGCACTGAAAAGCTTCCGTCAAGATACATCTCCCCAGCTTTCTAATACGAGCAGGTACTTGAAAGTTGAGGTGTTCGCTGTCGCATAGATCTTCTGTGATCACTATGTCCATCTACACTATTGCCGGACTCACCCCGGGCAGCTGGGTGGTATTTGCCATTACGCTTGTTTTCATAACAGTAAGTACTTTTGCCAACACCTTCGATGCTACAGAGGCTAGAACCAACATGAGAAGGTTACCGGACAACTCTTCTACAATGCGTTCCTCCACCCTTTATCTAATGTCCCTGGACCGTTTCTGGCCAGAATATCGGGATTGCCCTCTTGGTACTATGCTATGCGCGGTGATCGACATATCTGGTTGTGGCAGCTTTTCCAAATCTACGGTAAGATGGCAGACGACATGTCCGGCTTGAGGTTGACAGCTCCAGGACCCAAGATCCGCATAACCCCTAACACTGTCCTCTTCCGCGATCCTGCAGCATATCGTGATATCTACAACCAAAAGGCGAATGTGCAAAAAGCCCCCTTTTACAAAGCGTGGCAAAAAGACAAGGATGATGTCAACACTTTCACAACAAGAGATAAGAAGGTGCACGCTAGGCGCCGTAAAATGTTGAATCAATCGTTTACGGAGCCGTCTCTTCGGGCCTCGCAGCCGTTCATAATCAAGCATGTCGATCGCTGTGATGAGTTATTGGTTGCCGAAAATGACGATGGCCAGTGGTCTAAGCCAGTGAACTTTGCAGATCTTTCAGATACGCTTGTCTTCGACATCATGGGAGATCTCTGCTTTGGAACCTCATTTGATATTAAGGAACCAGGCGAGAACCCGTTCAAATCTATTCCGCATGCGGTCGTACAATATATGCAGTTCTTCTATCCGGTAACATCCCCCGACTGCCTAATTAGTCTTGTGCTGATGCCGAAAACTTAGCTGACACGCTCTCCTATGCTCGATCTGATTCTTTGGCTCAAGCCACGCGGTCTCGACACTCTTTTCAAAACGATTACTCCTCCCCATATCAAGAACTATATCCGCTTTGTGCAAAGTTGTGTTACCAAACGCCTCGCGCTGTATCAAGAGCAGAAAGAGAAGGCCATGAGCGACCAGCGACAGGATATGTTCTGGTTTCTGTGTGATGCAAAAGATGAGGCCGGCCGTCCTGCATACAGCGATAGCGAACTTTATGCAGAAGCAAACATGCTCATTGTTGGTGGCACAGACACTACATCTGTAACTTTGGCGGCCCTGATGTTCTACATCACTCGCGATGCAACCAGGCTCCATAAGCTTGTTCATGAAATTCGTTCCAAATTCTTGTCACCAGAAGACATTGTTTACGGACCGGAGCTGACATCGTGTGTATACCTTAGAGCTTGTATTGACGAGTCTATGCGTCTAAGTCCAAGTGGCCCTAGCGAGCTACCAAGACAGGTCCTCAAAGGTGGTGCGATGATCAATGGGGACTTTTATCCAGAAGGCACGATTGTGGGCGCCTCTGGCTGGGCAACAGGGCACAATGACGAGTTCTACGGCGATTCTGAAGTTTTTAGACCAGAGCGGTGGACTCCCGATGAAAGCACAGGCGTAACCCAGGAATATGTCAATATCCTTCGTGCCAACTTTCATCCGTTTGCCCAAGGGCCTGGATCCTGTCCTGGAAAAAATATACCTATTCTAGAGCTGTCAATAACAGTAGCTCGAACTCTGCACATATTGGAAGTTAGAAAGCCACCAACTGGTGAAAACAGCCTTGGGCAGGGCATTCCAACTGCGGGATGGGGAAAACGCAACCAGAACATCTTCCAACTACAGGACTCTTATATCTCTGTGCGCAACGGCCCAATAGTGCAATTTAGGAGGAGGGTCACTTGAGATTCTTTTACTGCGGGCAATATTGATACACGTATATAGATAGGGCTTTGCTTTACTTTTCAAGTGATGAGCTACGCAATAAAAAAAATGATGTTGGCCAAACATATGAATATAAATTATAAATCCAAAATAAACGCCGCACTTTAGCTAGAGTTAGCTTGTGCCTTGCCTACCTTCTTGGACTTATGCGCGCGTACTTAATACTTGCCAGTAACAGGGAGCCTTTCTAACAAAACTAAGTATCTAGTAGAGTAATATAAAATAAAATAAGTTATTAATTAATAAAAAGTAAAGAAATATAATATATAAAATTAAACAAAGCTTAAAAGGTAAAAGTAATTTAAATTTATTGTTTTCCATAAAAGCTTCTCTATATATATTAAGTCAAGCTCTAGCTCCATTATATAAAGTTTATGTCGGTCCACCCACTGCCCAGGGCACGGTACTACGTGTATTACGCAGTACGTGCTGGTAGGCTGTGGTGTGGTTAATCGATGTATTAGGAGAGTAGGATTAGGGAGGAGGGGTGGATCCCCAAGAGGATATACCCCCCCACACCTAATCGGGACTAGCTTGCTAACTAGGCACGCGCGCTCACGTGATTATTCTCCCAACAGTTTAGTTGTAATAATAATAAATCTTGTAACTTAACTTATAGGCTTTAACTGATTACAAGTAGTATGGTGGCAGCTTCAACCACTTCATATTCCTCTGTTTTGCCTCTAAATTGTATTAGTTGGATACTTAGATAAGTAGATAAGTTAGACCATCTGAGCTTATAAGCTCCTGGCTCTCGCTCTACCTTTTACAGACGCGCATGCAGAGAGGTCACAATAGACAGCTGAGCCAGGGAGAAGCTGGCCGGCCAGAGAACACGAATACACTGAAGTCGCCACACTTATATTAATTACTGGATCTTGTGACTATAAGTCGTCCCGAATAACACCACTTAGGTGCGCCCTGAATATTCACTTATCAGAACACTGAACTATATCCAGTCCTCTTTCTGCCACCTGACCAGCTGACGATACGCGACGATGCGACTGTCTCTAAATTACCTACTCACTTGACCTACGATCTTTTGGTTGTTTAATCCACGTTTCCTCCTAGTATTACTAACAGTCCTTCCAGCTCCTCGATAGTAGACTAGTTTATATATTATAAAAGAAAGTAAAAGTAAAGTAGCTAAGTTATATAATTATTAAATAATTCTAAAATATATAAACCAAGACAAAATTGACTCGATAGATTCTAGATCTTCTAGTTACAAGTAATATTCTTATTATATATACTAATAGAATAGAATAACAGTAGTTATTGCTACTATTTTATAGCAATTGTGTAGTAGTAAAAGAGAGATGGATTTTAGTTAAGGGCACTTGTTATTAGGAAGTCGATACTCGAGTGCCGGTACTCGAGTAAATAATTACCTGGGGTTAGCAATAAAAAGAAAGCCAATCCTTATTTTGTCATTCTGGCCTGGAATGCAAGCTTGGCACGATTTATCTGTTTTCAGCCATCGCCGATCAATTGGTCGTTTTGCAACTGCGAGGTTTTATGACGAACTTTTCCAAGCTCCTACCTGGTACCTACCTTACGTACTGGTGATATGCTTTGCTAGTGACATAAGAGCCCCGGTAAAACTTCCGGCAGTCACCGGCAATTCGACAATGCATGAAATGATGCGCCCGCAGGAACTCCAGCCTGGAAGAACAGCAGCTGCCGTGAACTGCTTTTCCTCCGCAGTGTAATTGAATTTTTTAATTAGCAACAGATAGCTTGGTAGGAGCACCTTTAAATCGAATTGCACTCCAAGTCACAAAGGGGAAGTTCGGTGTGAATCCCAAGCAACCGTTGAGCCGCCTGCGTCATCCTCTCGTGATACCACTAACACTGTACGGTTCCGGGCATCTACGAAGTATCTGGGCGGAGGAGCTTGGACCTGGCCCACTTCATGGGAAGATTTTCAGAGTTGTGGAACTTAAACTCGGAATGCGGCGGTAGTGGCAGCATAGGGAGACACTGGAGAAGATCGGAAGGGGAATGTGTTTCCGAAGGGAGAGTATAGGTATATACATGTCCGATTATACCTCGTACAGCCCCAGGATCTCGTTGCCGCCGGGCAAAAACAAATCGGGTTTCAACAGTGGTGCGTTGCCCGGCCATCGTAGGGCCTCGTCATACGAGTGCAAATACAACAACCTATGGCCAGAACGGAGCGCATACTTACTCGACGATAAGAAACAAAGAGCAACGCTTGAAACCAAAACACCCCAAACCCAAATACAGATAATTTTCAATTAGCCCCCAGAAAGCGGAGGATAATCGCGAATCATTGGCCTTGGATCAGCCCATCATCTGAGTTAGGCGCCTAGCTCAATTCCAGATAAGCGCATTCTGGTTGATGAGATCATTGCTGGAGCTCCGTGCAATCCGTCCAGAACTCCCCGCAATACAAATAAAAGCCCACCGCTACCTCCGCCGCCCCTTCCACCACCATACACCATACAACACACAACTTGCACCACACCATACAACATACAGCTTCAGAGCAAGCACTCTACTCTGGTCCCAGCCCATCCGCAGTAACTCCAGCTATTCCGTCTTTGCTACTCTCCACCGCCACCCCTACCTCCCCCATCAAGATCACGCAACTCGTTGAACATCATGGTTTCTGTAGTTCAGATCATCCTTCGGGCCTCGCAGTTCCTATGGACTCTGCTCATCATGGCATTGGTGGGCAATGTCATTGCCGACGCCTTTTCCGGAAACCCAGCTAGTATCAACTATGCGCTGTTCGCTTCCGTATTCTCCTGGATTGCCCTACTCTACGGTCTCGGGGCAGCCTTCGTTGAGAGCATCGCTTTCCCCATTCTCCTCCTCGTCCTTGATGGGCTTGCGATGATCTTCACATTTACTTCCGGCATCGTCTTGGCTGCTAGGCTACATGCTCGCAGCTGTAGCAACCATGTAAGTTTTCCCTATCTGCATTTCCGCTCTTGCCAACTCTAACATATCGAGCAGGGCTACCTAATCTCTAATGGATTGACGAACGGCTCTGGCGACATGTCGAAAAGATGCCGGGAACTCCAAGCCAGCACGGCATTTATGTGGTTTCTCTGGGCATCATACGTCGGCTCATTTATCATGGACCTGGTACAGTCTCGATCGTCCATGGGCGGCCGCGGGGGCATTCGCAGAGGTGCGCCAGCCATGTCCCAGATCTAAGGAACAACTGGTAAGCGGCCCTCTTGCGTCGTGCGATTTGGCTGCTTGTTTGGTTGTTATTACCTTGCCTTGATGCAACAACTAACCGCGTCCCAGGGGTTGCAGTCTGATGCGGATACCTCAACAAGTAGTGGAAGGTGAAGGTCCACGGTTATGCATCATGGCCGACTGTTAAAGTAAGGCATGCTGGAGGAGGTGAAATTGTGCGGATTGGAACCGCGGTAATGGCGTGGGGCAAACGTTTGCGTTGTACTATTTATGAACTTTGGGCTTGCAATCAGCGATTTGCACAGCTTTAAAAACTCTGGCAGTAATGTATATATATCGGGAGATGAAGTAATTGGGAAAGGGAACACGCACGGTTGTATGATCAGAAAAGCACCGTCTCGGTTGTAGGTTAGATATCAATGGAACCTGGGATATAAAATGGGTTTACATCTGGCCACCACGCTCCTGTAGTAATTGGATCTAAGTTTCTAAACATACTTTTAGATTATTCGTGTCTTTTAAAGTTCCCCGATTATTTTTGAGTAGAAAGTTGTGCCATATGTACAACTGGCCAGAGTAACAATATATACAGCACCTTCAGTGTTCGCTCCTCGAACGCCGATAATGCATAAAGGCATATTTGAGGACCCACGTATAAATCTAATACGTGTTCATTATTCCGTTCTAAAGCATGCCTATCATCAAAGGGAAGCAGCAGCTTCGACTGCACCGGCAGCTCTAAAAGCCGCCTTATTCGTTATCCTAACCTCGACAGGATATATCCACTCCATGTACTTCGCCCAGCCTATATATCAATCAGCAACCATCCGTCAATAGACGAGCTCTCGGGATGCGCAGGATATACATACTCCAATAAGCTAATTTTCTACCAAAGTACTTTCCGGCGAACGGGACAATGACCATCGTCAGCAGCAATTCCAGCTGCTGCAAGCTGGCCTCCCATTCTCTCTGCGCATCCGAGTCCCCCTCTTCTGAATCCAGATCGCTGCTGTCTATCGAGGAGGGCAGAGAATCGATCTCATCCTGCTCGTTCGAGGACTCCGGGGATGGATCTTGGATGATGTAAGAATCGAATGCGGACATTGTTGAGGATGTGGATGGGGGCGTTTTCAGGGAGCGGCGGGGGGGATGGAGCACGGGGAGCGCTACCGCCAACACAACCGATACATTGAAGATGTTGAGGATCTGGAGTTGGAATGAGCTGCTTGCTTGCAGTGGACTTTTATTATGTGGCCCGTAGATATCTTCCCTCGATTCAACAAGCTCCTGGCCTGGATTGAAGCCGAGCACCGGCTTCCCCGGCCACCGTAGCCGGGCATGGCACGTGATGTCCAGGGCTGAGTCACATTTTCAACTTCCACTTGCGAAGCGGGAGTTCAAGTTTCGACGGCTTTGTGTGGCGAGTTCAACACTATCAGCAGGCAAACAACCCGAACCCAACCTTCGATTCGAATCCGCATAACTCGCAATCATCCGAAATCTAGATACACCGGCTCTTGTATCATTCGGACGTACTCCTACAACTTCCCAAACCGCAATCATGGCGACCGAAGTAGGATATTACCCCACCCATTCTCCGGAGTAACAATTTATTAACAGCGTCACACAGGAGGTTCCCGTCGAGCGAAAAGCTCGCAAGTCAGTTGCATTCAGCGAAGGCACCACGATCGTAGATGAGAACGGCGCAGTCACAATGAAGGGAGACACCCACGATGATTCAAAAGGTACGGCTATGTCGCACTCATCTAGTATGCGCCCCTTATCCATCGCGCTTGGAAACGCTCGCTAAACCGATTCAAGGTCACGATGAGGATGCAGATGGGAAAGACGAGGACGATGTCGCGAATATGCTCAAGAGTATGAAGAAGAAGAAGAGCAAGAAACCCAAGGATGCGGATGCTGATGCTGGTGACGCCGAGGCTGGGGATGGCGGGTTGGACCTTTCCACGATGAAGAAGAAGAAGAAGAGCAAGAAGCCCAAGGAAGGAGACGAAGAGGATTTCGCAGCCAGAATTGCGGCCCTCGAGCTCGAAGGCAAGGAGGGCGAAGCCGATGAGGAGGCGCCGGTCGAGAAAGCCCCCGTCGATGAGGGTGATATGGAGAATGGCACTGGGATCTGGCAACACGATGAGTCGAAACAAATTGGATACGAACTCCTCCTCTCCCGGTTCTTTACCCTCCTCGCACAGAAGAACCCAGATCACGCCTCGAGCGGCTCAAGAAGTTACAAGATCCCACCCCCACAGTGTCTGCGTGAAGGAAACAAGAAAACCATCTTCGCCAATATTGCCGAGATCTGCAAGAGGATGAAGCGAACAGACGAGCACGTCACTTCGTATTTGTTTGCTGAGTTGGGCACAAGTGGTTCGGTGGATGGCAGTAGACGACTGGTTATTAAGGGTCGATTCCAGCAGAAACAGAGTAAGTTCAAACACGATTCCTATCAGTGAAGATGCAAGCTAATTAGTAAACTTTCAGTCGAAAACGTCCTCAGGCGATATATCATGGAATATGTTACTTGCAAGACCTGTCGGTCACCGGACACCGAGCTCAACAAGGGAGAGAACAGATTGTACTTCATTACCTGCAACTCATGCGGATCTCGACGAAGTGTCACTGCCATCAAGACCGGTTTCTCTGCCCAGGTCGGCAAGAGAAGAAGACAACAAGGTTAAAGGATGGCCAGGAAGCGGAACCTATAGTTATGCGACGTCGTAGTTGTCTCGCAGGCATATTGAGCATCGCTTTGGGAATTTTGGAGTCGTTTGCATCTGGTGGTTTTCGGGGGGAAAAGTACAAAGTACATAGTAGACCTGCGTGCAATTAAATGATTCCGAAGATAGAAAAGCACAGCCAAGGGCTATATGGCCGAATCACCTGTGTTTTTCTTGTGTTCTGTCTTAACCCATACGTGCCTCACAATCCTCGCTCCCTCGCTCTGTACGAGTTTCTATAATACGCATTTGCTCTCGCCAAATCACGCCCTCTTGGCCTTTGCCTGTACACCCCGCGCCAAGATGCTCCTTGACGTCCATAAGCGCCCGACTGGGGCACCGTCATCTGTGCAGTTTTCTCTCGCAGCCGATTCGCCGTTGTAAATAGACACAGCCCCCAGCTAAGGCTGTCAGTGTGTGCGCGCGCGGTACGAAGCATGAGGGGCATAAGTACCTTAAGTTGGAATGTGGGTGGGCGAGCTGTTTTCCTTATCCATCCTTTGTTCTATATCATACTTTTTATTTATTGCTATTCGTCTTATTGCAAAATTCAATCGGGTGCCCGTTTGAGACTTAAGGTTAGCTACCATTGAGAGAACGACCTGCACTGTGAGTGATCGAAGCATACCTACTTGAAAACTCCTTTCGGAAGTGTGGGGTTCGCGAGGCTGAATTACGAGCGATAACCAGGTTGGTTTCTATTTCCACGACGAAAACCAAGCAAAGAACAACTGGAATAGCTTTAAGATAGCCCAATATGTCGTATTACCCTCGTATGTACCGCCAACTTAGTCGAACCATTCGGTGCTAATTCTCAGCAGCTCCTCCGGGCAATGGGAATGGAGGTAAGAACATGATCCCCCTAAGCTCTCTGATGGAGCATAGGTAACTTATTCGATATCACAGCCCAGCAGCAGCAGCAGCAACACTATGCTCCTCCTACTTCGTCGCCTCCTCCTAATCAGACAACCCACCAATTCTACCCGCCCCCGCCACAGACATCGTCCCCGTCGCAAGGCGGAAACTATCCTCCTCCCCAGGCCACTCCTCCTCAACAACAGCAGTACGCGCCGCCTCCAAATTTCTCCCATCGTACATCCTACCAGCAACCAGCCCAAGCACCTGCTGCTGCCGCTCCTCAAGCGCAAACAGCGCTTCCTTCATATGAGGGGCCACCACAAGGGTTCGCACCGCCGCCCGAGAAAGTAGAGCATCAGCAGGAGAAAGCCACATTGGATACTAGCCAGCCATTGAATCTTGACCACGGCGCTCCATCATCAGCCCATTTTGTTGGAGCTAGCACAACACAAGACGATGTAGGAACATTCAACGGAGGAAGCTACCGCATTAGCCACAGAGACACAAATACCATCGTGACAATACAACTAGCTATGGGCTGTCCTCTGACTGTAAAGCCTGGTAGGTTTTGCGCAATATTATCATATGTTCTAGTTTGTCGGCTAATCTTGAGTAGGTGCAATGATTGCAATGACCCCAACCATCACATTGAAAGGGGCTATCAAGTTCTCCATGAAGAAATTAATCGCAGGTGGTGAGATGGGCCGCTCGACGTATACGGGTCCGGGAGAACTACTCCTCGCACCATCTACATTGGGTGATATTACAAATATTCGACTCGATGGTAGCGAGCAATGGTCAGTTGGGCGCGATGCTTTCCTTGCTTGCACTCAGGGCGTGATTCAAGATTACAAGAGACAAGGTATTGGAAAAGCTATGTTTTCTGGCGAGGGACTATTCGTATATAAAATGAGTGGGACAGGATTGTTGTGGATCAGTAGTTTCGGTGCTATCATTAGGAAAGACGTGAGTTTGGACATCTACGTTATAGTCATTGATAGAATATGCTGATAAACAGAACAGTTGGCAGATGGTGAACGATATGTCGTGGATAACGGCCATCTGGTTGCTTGGAACACGAAGTATATTCTCGAGCGGGTAGCCTCCGGAGGCATTATCTCCGGGCTCTCGTCAGGGGAAGGTCTTGTGTGTAAGTTTACTGGACCCGGGTCAATTTTCCTGCAGACGAGGAATCCTGTAAGTATCCTCCCAGTTGTTTTTGGCCTGAGCATCAGACTGATATTGCCAGGCTGCCTTTGCTCAATGGATGGGTGCGCACGCTGCAGTGTAGGGTGATGTTATTTCTGGTCTCGATTCTCAAGGTTCCGATATGGGTTTGGAGTTGGCGATTCTCCAGCGTAGTTACATAGTTTCCAATAAGTTATTCTGAATGACTCTTTCCTTCTGAGACTGTATCTCTCGGGTGTGCATACAGTCGCTCCTTCCCCTTTGTCTCGACAACAGATATAAGCGCAATTATAACCTTCCAACCCCCTCCTATCCTAAGTTCCAAGCGTCTGACTCAACATTCCTACTTGCTTCTTATTTCCTGCCGAGATCACCTTTCCTAAGTTCCCGTTGGACGAACGACTACCTTTGGGGAGTTTACCTTTGCAAGTAGCCGTTAGCAAGCCAAGCCGAGAACAGACTAGAGCATCAGCATCAACATTAAAGTATACAAGGGGTCCTAAGACCACTTGGAGTAAGGAATACATCCCATTACACCAAAAAGGTCTAAAACTGATGGGTCCGAAGATAGTACCCGGATTTCTCTAAACAGACCCCAAGCCTGTCTTGTCGCCTTGAGAGCTCAAACAAGGACCAGAGAGCAGTTGCGTAAACGCCATTCCTTGGTCTCCGTGTACATAGTCTTTTAGCAAACGTACGATTTTCCGCATCCTATGCTTTCGCGGGGCCAATCCACCTCGTGCAATCATTCCGTGGCAGCCATGCCTCCAACAGAGAACCGTCCTCCTCGAGTGGCCCTCCGGCCGCAATTGGCCACAAAGCTTCCCCGTGTCACCCTATGTTCTCCCAAACCTAAGCCACTCGATGGAACAAAGTCTACTGGCAACATTGCTCGAACTACCCCACAAAATGTTGGGAGCTGGGCTAAGCTCTCAGAGGTAGCTGCGGTCCATCCTCGCCCGGTCAAGACCAGAGTTCCAGTGTCACTTCTATCCACTCCTAAGTTTAAAAGAGATGAGCCGCCTGTTTGTAACGACACCGATGCTGATGATGAAGAAAGTGACGATCTGAACGAAATAACCAGATCAGCTTTGATTTTCCCTAACACTCCTCGCAAAGCGCAGACCCCAGGGAGCAACAAGTCAGTCAGGTGGGACCCAGCAATCATATCCTGCGGTCCGATCACGTCTGGACAAAGCACACCCTCAGTTCGTCTCAGGCCTGTTTCTCCGAGTCCAAAACGACAAAGTAGCAATCTTACTCGGGCCGTAAAGACCTTTTTGCACTTGAAGAAGGACGAGCATGAGGAGCTTTTGAAGCTTCTGCAATCGCTAAAGCTTGACGATGTCGAAGATCGGTACACTGGCAAGCCAAGTCGCAGGCAGACAAGAAGTGAACCTACACCAGGACCAAGATTCAACGATGCAAAGAAGTTGAATCCGGAAGCACCTGCTTTTCGAGATTTTTCGGGAATGAAAAGAAGAATATCTCACTCAAAAATACCACTTGGCCGGGACTTCCACTCACTTGATACCCCTCAAAGGCGCACGCAAGTACCTGTTGCTGAAATTACCACTCAGAAGGATCCCGCTTGGCTTGATATCTTCACGCCACCCGTTTCCGACAATTCGTCAAACGATGCTCTAAGCCGACAGGCTATACATCGAGATGTCAGGATTCACGATTCTTCGACTCCTCGACCTAATTTCCCGCAGCCAATATTCGTACCGATTCCTGTGGTTGAAACACCTTACGGGTTTCAGATATCTCACCAGCAACCGATATGGTTCAATACACTTGGATTCCAACCGCGTCCTCTTCTGACACCGCAGTCTCCCCCCATTTTTCACCGACTCCCAATTAGGGCCAGGCGCATCAAAGGGCCCTTGGTTGACGTATCGCCACAATTCATACCTCCAGAGGAAGGCTCTGGTCGTACTGCACATGCAAATACCATTGATGAAAGCTGGGGTCAATATCTTCTGGACAAGTTCACTGCCAAATACCCCAAGACTGGAAAGATGAAGGGCCCAACTTCAGCACCTGGAAAGATGAGACAAGCGGCGGCAATCCAACAGCAACTCGAATTTTTGCTTTACCAAGAGAAGGAAAAGAGTGTTTTTGAAGACAGGGCGGGAAATTTGCAACGTCGAAACGTTAAGAGATGCTCAGGAAGTGGAATGTCTTCCAAAAATAGTGACGCTCCAGCCACTCCACAGCACTTGAAAATTTCCGGAATCGAAATATGCTCAAGCATAAGACAAGTCTTAGAGGGGATCTCTCCGCCAGTTGTGGTCGGGTAGAGAGATGAGCATTGCCAGTATAGAATATATATCATAGGGAGTTAGCTTTGACTTTGAACTGGTCATATTCTAAAAGATCATTGGGCGAGTGATCAACGGGCAGCGCAATAGCTCTGAGACTCGGCATTGTTATTAGAGGAGTCGATAGACGCAGCATTAGTATTATTAGCGCTTTTAGATAATAAACCGCACTGTTTCCATCCCGTGTTCCCCGAATCGAAACCTATGTTTTGTTGTGCTGATGATGTACTAATGATGAGCGATTCTGTTCTGGGTTGCGGATTGACAATCGTCAAGCGGGCCGACCAGATTTCCCCAACCACACGCTTCAATTGACCACTCACCAAATCTTATACTCGCGCCCATATTCTCTCCAGCCACTCAAATACAGAAGATGATAACGCATTCACACGCTCTATCATAACATTGACTGCCTAGCTGTTCATTGCAATGGCTACTCCGACACCTGGAAAACAGCCTCAAGTTGTTGCAACCCCTCCGGTCTCAACTCCCTTCTCAACCTCAAATCACCACCCAGCCTTTTCTCCCCATGGCCCCCGGTCCGTCGTCCTCTCACCACAGCAGGTGAAGAAATCGCCCGCGAACTCGAATACAGTCTACGGATATCCCAGCGGCGGCGGACATCCTACGAATTCCTCGTTCGGCGTAGGGTATGACAGTCCATCTGCGGCGATGGCCCTGGGAGGCGCATCGGGGCTTGCGGACCTGGGGCTTGATGGGATTGCGGGGACGGGTATAGGAGGGCTTGGTAGTATTGGAGGGAGGGGCGACGAGGATGAAAGGAAGAGAAAGTTGCAGCAGGTTATGGAAATCTTACAGGTGCCTTTGACCCTTACCCAGGTGTAGTGATAGTCATGACATTCTAACCATTACACTACAGAATAATAAAGGGCGCCTGAGCGAAGCTGGAATCGAAAGACTGGCACGACGAATGGGGTTGGAGTGTTTGTGGGAAACTCATATGGGAAGCGGAGGCAGCATGAGAACATTGATTATAGCTGGTTCAGCACTTGCCCTCGATATTGATTTCTCGAATAACGTGGTTAAGAAGGTGGCGCTATCATTTCCTGAATCCACGGAGTTTGTCACAAAGCACACAGAGAAAGCGGGGGATATATTGCTGAGGGATCTACAATTGGGCCCGAATGAGAGTCCGTTGACGAAGATGCTGGATCGATTTGCTGCCAATCTAGAGCGGCTTGCTGCACTGGATAAGCTGAGTATTATTCCAGGGCTTAACTGTCATGAGGCTATTGCGGGGATCTATGAAAGTCTTGAGAGGTTGCACATATGGGAGGCGGAGAGATTGCGGGAACAGGCTGATATGGAGGGGAAGGATACTGCGTATATTGAGAGGACAGCGATGTGTACAAAAAGTGGGAAGCCAGCCATGCACACCAGAGACAGGCTCGGACTAAGCATCGATTACTGGCAGAGTAAACGGAGAGTCACGCCAACCAGTACCAAAACGACGGAGAGGACTTGGTCTCTTCTAGTGGAGTGTGCCCCGTTACCTGCCTTGGTATTTCCGCCGCTGCGGGTGTCGCAGAACTGGATATCTCCTAGCATCCAAAAAGCTGCTTCTGAAGTCGATGAGATTTTCTCACAGGGCCCTATACTGGATTGGCTGGAACCGGACAATATGCTCCTTCCATCTGTAAAACCAGACGCAATGGAAGACATCGACCAATCCTCGACTCAGAAGGTTCCGGAGGCCATGTTTGTAGCGAAATATGACCCTCCCCTTATAGTGCCCATGGGGCTGGCGATGCAGATTTACAGTTCGACAAATGCTAATTCTCACCTCGACGTGTATCAAACGACCACGTTCGACGGCCTTATGTTTCCCCACAGTCCAAACGAATCCATCGAACCTACCGAAGCACGAACAATTGAAACGGAGTCCACAGTCCCAGTCTTCGATAGTAAAGGCGTTAAATCTACGCAGACCCATCGAAATACGTTGCTGATTGAGAAAATTGACTATGGCCGCAAGTTAACCGACCTTCCCTTCTCTCATCCCAGGCAATTGGTTGAGATGCTACCAGCTCTTCGTCAATACGCGTTCCTCTCCACAGTCTTGGGAAAGACTTTCGGCGCTGACTCGAAACTTATAACCAAGGACCCCAACATTAATCCTACAATGAGCAAGAAAGCTGCGTTTGCGGATTTTATGTCTCAACCTCCGGTAAGGAAACATGAAGCATTCAAGATGGATGTTACTTTGACGACACAGCCCTTACTCCGTCTACGTGTGGTGTTTCCTTGTAGGAAAGAAACTGCCGATGTCACGTTTGATATTAAGCTCAATGGTGTTGTGGAGGTTGTATCACAGAATTTGCTTGATGAAGATGCTGAGAGTGGGCGAAAGGGGTTGATTGCTGCGGATTTGGGAAGGATGCTAGAGATTACAGAGGATTTGGGGATCTGGGCTGAGTATATTAGGAGGCGTTTGGGATAGGAAAGTATGATACCCTGGCATTACCATTGATTTAGTGGTCAAATAACAAGGTTCGCACATCATGCTTGATGATATGTAGGTTTCTATTTGCCGTATCTTGATCTCCATTTCCTAACGCCCCTGTTCCACGTCTACCAGTCAGTTGGTCCCGAGTTGGGTCCGCGACGTGGGATAGAGCTCCAATATTTCGGCTTGCTCTCTCGACACGAAAATAAAAGCACCATAGCTAGTCAGTTCCGGATCCGCCACGATAAAGCACCCGTATCTATCAACTCCTCCTGCATTCATCGCTCCGGAATGACGTCGCGAGTCGGTGGTTTATAAGGGAGAAATATTTTTATATGGATATGGTCCACCTTCTTTTAGAATTAGCAAGCTCAAAATAGAGGACCGGTGGTTTCATGTTTTGTTTGTGACCTCGCCACTTGTCGTTGGGTCTACTATACTAAGTATTCAGTTGACAGTAAATGGCGAAGTATCTCGTCCATATTTTCCGACTTAACCTTGGTTCGAGCTTCGAGGGTAGTTAAAGAAGTCTTGAGAAGTATACCAAACGTTTTGCCCATTTTTAAGCTATAGAGTCTGCCTTAGTTTGGCCGTATCGGTTCGAAAGTGAAGTACCCCAACTAGCAACCCGCATTCACTTTGGACTTCCCCCTGTCTTGAATTTTATTAGCGAGGCATCAACTCACCTTCAGCACTCAGCTAGAGTTTCCGCTACTATTTAGATTGCCCTTTATCCGTTTACTTACATGCACTTCAAATAACATACTCGAAGTTGTCCGGCCATCTTATGCACCGGCTATCGCCACTACATATCCGATGAATTGGACTGGTGGCCACCTTCAAAGGCATTTCACTAGAATTGATCCCTTGAAACATCGGCAGCAGCAGCATTTTGCCAGAGCCAAGGCGAAACTTCTCAGTGCAAAGAAGAGCGCACCAGTCAAAATTCCCTGCCTTGATCGAATTCATGGGCTCCACACAGGCATCCCTACAGAGTCCAGGTTTCCAGCTTCTAGCCTTCAAGAAAGAAGTTGCAGCAGGGAAAATGTTGTCGATTCGCAAAGCAATGGTCCTTTTCCGCCCATTACACACACGATTCTGCAGGGTGGTGCTAAACATTCCATCCGTCGTGAGCCTATACAACATCATCCATCTGTTCCAATGAAGCCCGAGCGGGTGCCGAGCGCTGACCTCTACAACGCTACCCCCCCTCCCATCCCCAAAAAGGTAAAACGAGAGCGGAAGCCATCGATACCAGAATCAGGCGAAGGGAGCGATACCGAACACGAAGAATCGTTATCAGACAAGAGGAGAAAGATACTTCTGAAAGGGGATTGGGTTAGTGTTGGGTTTCAAAGGCCGCCACAGCTTACCTTCACAAACCCCAAACATGCAGATGCGGTTGGTAAGAGGAGGAAAGTTACAGATGGTCACCAGGCCCAGTATACCAGGAATGCACGACGTCAAACAATATCCCCAAACCCCATAAGAAACTTACGTCAATTAAGCCAAAGCCCTAGTTTGAATGCAGGACAACTCCCCAGAAGACCCGACGTCAAGATATCCATTGGAGGGAAGGTATTCCCACCTGGTATTAGCTCAGGGTCAGCACCCAGCCGGAAACGCAGTATTTTATCCCTTCCGCCGCCGTCCAACTCCTCGGAGGTGATGCTGCTAGGCAACGAAGAAATACAACCCGGGACTGACGATTCTAGCAACTACTACGGTAACTTGCGGATTGAAGGCCTTACAGGCGACCGAAACACTCGAAATGAGGCATCCTGGTATGCTCAAACGCTCCTTTCCAACAACCGTGCCGGAAATATCAATCATGGATACCGTGGAAGCTCGAACAGAGAGCCAGATGAGGACGCCGAAGTCACCAACAATTTTCCAGATGGGCTCAGCCCCTCGTTCCAGATGAGGTGGCAATTTCTTGGCAATGAGGACGACTCACATACTTCTGACGGCCTGCAATCAAGTTCACTACCGAACTCTGATTCAAGAAATACTCCGAGGCATCCTCGGCCTATTTTCTCTTCATCATCTGCATCACTTCACCACCCATTGCCCAAGAGTTACAAGATTTCCTCTTTACTGGAAACTGACACCTCTGAAATGGCCAAAAGTACTACAGCGGAAGTAGGGCGAGTTAAATCCTCGGTCCCAGCCTCCCAGATCATGGATAATAAAGTCTGGGAAACCTGGATGACGTCTTTCCAAAACGACGATGGACTTGATGGAATAGATGAAACCCTTCCTGCGGAAAACAGAAGCGTTCTGATTAGTCCCAAAATTAGTGCGGCTCCAGAATACGGACCCCGAGATGGCTATATGGACTCAGGTGACGGAGACCCGTCAGAATCGGAGTCTCCCGAACCCTATCAACATAAAGAAATTTTAGAATGTGATTCCTCGTTGTGGCCAGCATTGGGTCAGAGCAGCTGCAAACAGCTCCAGCTTGAACCAAGGAGGCAGCTACAGGAAAGGGAACCCCAAATGAATCTTTTAGCTTCATCACCTTTGGGCGGCCGAGACTGGATAGAGCTGAGGGTGGTACCCGAGAATACACACGAGCATTGGACAGCCTCCGGTCCCAAAGCAGCTAATTTTCCTACTTCTCCAGCACCAAAACTAAGCTTTGGGGCCCCTATGGTTTGCATGTCGACAGAAAAGAAAGGGCCTGACGAGATATGGAAACAATTTGTGTTTGGGAGCGATAGTGAAGAAGTTGATATTTTCCATGACCAGGGTCCGAAGAATACATCGCACGGGGAAGCACCAGATACGATATCTCTCCGCACAGACTCTCCTATTATAGTAGGCCTGGGGATTAGTGTGGCTACATCTGGATATTCTCTCCATTCCTTGGGATCAGACTCTGATTTTACAACCGGATATGCAACTAAAACCACGGCCCGTCGGCACCTCAGCGCTAGACCAGACACCGACACTCCTCCCTGATATTTTCTCTAGGGGACTAGTCTAATATGGATATGTATCAAGAGGAGCTAGAGTTTTGCACATTGGGCGGATATCAGTAGGTGTTAGTGAGTCCGGTGAGGGCCACATAAGGAAAAGGGAAGCTGAAACAATATCTTGACAATGGAGCGGATATGAATCAGTGGAAGACGATTAAAAGTTGGTTTTGTAACTGCGATACTTCATAATGCGCATCAACGGGATTTGCTCGCTAGATATGAAATATGGGAGCGCGAGCCAGTTGTATCGTCTTATGTAGGCCAAATTAGTAGACTCGAACTGAATCCATCTATGTATTGCAATAGACCACCCATTGGCCGTTAAGGTGCTTCGCTTATGAATGATATCGAGACGAAAGTATGGAAACACCCCCTATGACTCAAAGAACCAAGCAATGGTTTAATCTAGAACAGGACGTTCTGCCACTTTACAGCCCCTAGACGGAGCCTAATTCCGTCTTAGATATGGATAGCTCTACTATTCACAAGGGTCAGAGTGTCTTAGATATGCTTGCCGAAAAGGGTGTACTAGTTGAGTATCTGCCCCCTGATTCGCCATACTTCAATCCGATTGAAGGGAGCTCCGATGACCTTAAGAACTATATTAGGACGCATTATAATAAGACGATAAACCTATACAATGACTTTGGTGAGTTGCAACAACTGTACGAAAAGTTATTATTTTGGAACCTAAGGGGCCAGAGAGCGCTCAAAACCACTTTTGGAATTCGGGCATTGCAGGACATAAATAGCACTTATTCTAGAGCTACAAAGATCTCTAAATTTGCCATAAAATCTATTATACATTACCTTTAGTACCTAGGTACCTACCGCCGTACGTAGACTCCAGTAGAAGCCGGGAAGCATCACGTGGCTAATGCGGCCGCCATGACGCAAAGCTAACTTCCGAGGTTCCCCAGGGTTCCGGAGTTTCTCGACCAGGTTGAGTTAAAAGATATTCAACCACGAAACGCTTCGGCAGTCGAGTTATTGTCTATCAATGTCTGCAGCAACAATGGCCTTTCGGGCCTTGAGACCTTCAATGGTCTTCACGCGACAATTGACATTTTCTTCGCGGCGCATGGTTGGACCAGGAAATGCAAAAGAGCACGACACGGCACCGGGTCACCGTAAGATACAGACGGAAAAGACCCTCAATCCGCATATTACCAATACGAATTCAACCATTTCTAATAAGATGCCACGCGTTGGAGCTCAAACGCCACCACCTGAGCTGATTTCGTCGGTGGACTCCCAGCCTACCCCCATAGACTCGGTACCGGAGAATACGGAGCGCATGACGGGTGGCACACAGAAAGGATGGCCTGAAGAAGATTACAGTGATGAAATGGGTGTTGGGGAGCTGCAAGGAGCAAAATTCAAGATTGAGCCCTTGCGTAGAACGGGCGAGGACCCTCCCACAATGAGAGCCAGGTTATTATGTTCGCATATGCTGAACCGTTATTACAAGTCGACTAGCTGACATACGGAATTTGCAGACCAGAGTCGGAAGAGAGGAACTCTAGAGAGTGATCTCTTGCTCTCTACTTTTGCGGAAGCGCATTTACGAGATATGACGCCAGTACAACTGGCACAATACGACCTATTCTTAGACGAAAACGATTGGGATATATATTATTGGGCTACCCAGGAGCCGACGCCGACGTCGCCGGAGACTGCTGAGGGCGCTGTTGATCAACCCCAAAGTGCGAAACGAGAGACGGAGGAACTGAAACCCACTCAGCCAACAAGTGGAGAGTGGGCGCAAACTGTTGGGACCTTCAAGCCAGCGTATCGCCCTGTGCCGGTAAGATGGAAGGATAGCGAGGTCTTAAGCATGCTGAGGCGCCATGTCATCTCGAGGTCTTCCGGCGGTATCCAAGAAGGGGAATCTGGTATTAGTGGCGACGGGTTGAGCCAGAGTGTCAAGGGCACAGGTGGTGGCGGTACGTATTTGCCCCCGATAACCCAAGGGCTTGCTGACGATTTTCAAAGGAATGGCATTTATGCCTCCTCTTCCTAAAAACGAGCGGTTATGAATAGTTTCATGGTCGTAAGTATATGTACAACAGGGCCAGAAAAATAATGCCACAAGGTTGTAATAACATGATTATTGGCTCAAATAAAATAGAGTTTGGCTACGGTCGTGAAGCATTCCAGTAGTGACCGAGTAGTGCTCCGACTTTGTGCGCCTAATTAATATATAAGTTTGAACCCGCACCATCCATCTGCCTTCCGGTCGATCTTATGGGCTAAGTCTATCCCTATAGCCAGGGGAAATGGCTGCATAGAGTTCATCGCTGCAGCGAATGGCAAGAAGTCTAAGCCATGTCCACGATGTCCGGAAACGCTAAGGATTCCCTTGATAGCGTGCGGCAGACCGAACTCTATTTCCAACTAAACCTGCCACGTTTTTCTCATAAGCCGATAAGGATCATCGTGCACTACGCGCACCAAAAGTTTGGGAGCAGCTGTTTCTCCTCTTGCGGTTGTCCAGTCCCGGAGAGCTCGATGGGCTTCCTTGCTGCTCCTCTCCGCAACCAGACTTTCAGGCTACTTCCAGCTCTACCTTCCGATCTTTTCCACTTCCCGACCTTCTCTGAGGCTTCGGATTGGGCGCTGGAGCTTTTGTGTCTCACATGAGATGGACATGATGTCGAGGAATGTGACCGCGGTGCCCGCCCTCTAGAAGAATGAAGGGATCTTCGGCACACCACCCCACAAACGGATATGTCCGCCGAATATGTCGTGGCTGGAGTGCGTATCCGAAATAACCTCCTCGAGGAATTCATTTCTTTGTTACCTCCAGTACAATATCCTGATCTGCAGGTCACGTGCCAGGCTTCCAAAACGGGCGCCTCCACATTCTTCAGTGCCTGTCATGCTAGTAATCTGAGGGTATTGTAGATGGCTGGGAAGTGTTTCTCGGTCCATCTGATCTCTTACATAAATAACCCCTCTTGGACTGTTTTGCATGTTTGCTTTCTTGTTTATTCACATAGCAACATCCGTACCTGCATACATCTCGCTGCACAGGCCAAGGGGAATCACACTCATTCCTACCATACATCACATCTGACATCTGAGTCAATCTCCTGCAGAATGTCTTTCTCTACCGCTTCTTCTTCCCCAAATGACAAGAGTGTTGATTTGCCCAGACACGGCTACGAGGACCTAGACAGCGAATTCTTTGACCAATTTCTCACATTCAGCCCGGGCAATTGCGCAGGCCAGGACTTTACTGGTTCATCAAACCAGCAAATTACGGAAGGCTTCAGTAGCAACAGCGACATAATTGATACACCTGCTAGCATCGACAACAATGCTGCAATCTACTCGAACGATCACCAGTCTCAGTTGCGCAACCCATGGGCAGCGGAGCCTCCCGCAGCCTCGTCCCAATATAACCGGGCACCAACGAATGGCTTCTACAGCGAGACCTCTGGAAGAGCCGCAGTATCTGACAGCGAGCTACTCACGCTTGAGGGGATCAGCTTATATTCCCCTCAAATCCCGGCATTCTCACAGTCGTCTTTGCCTACGACTCCATTGCCATCTATCGCAGCCGGAAGCCGACGGAAGGCCCGTCTAGTAGAATCAATCTCGAAAACCTTTAAGAAGGCCACGGGAAACCTCCAAAGCTCTTACCGGACTCCTATAAGGAAAACCAGCTCCTTGCCTAAGATGGCACGCCATTCAAACCACAGCCAAAACAATTTCGACCACTGGGAAGACAAGCTCCCAGCGGATGCACCGAAATTCAAATTCGAGTTTGAGGAAAACCCCACAAGCCTCTCCTTCGAGATCTCGGCTGCAACAGCTTCAATGGCAGAGGAACAACCAGATCACTTGACTGATAATGATCTCCCTCGAAACATTACTACACCGACTACCCATGATACCCCCCAGGCTACTCCCGAATTGTGCGGGGGACATTCTCGAAAAACAAGCTCTAATTACTTCCCAATCACGCCTCAACTCCACAACAGCGCATCTTTCTGGCCATCGACGCCAGCACAACCAGACCTCAACACATTTGAGGGCTCAGCCGTGTATCCTCCGTCTGATGTGAAGATGCCAATATGGTGGAATGATGCTTCGGCAGCTCCAATGGCTCAGCCATTACCAGTTGGCTTCCACACCAACCCTCAGCTAGCAACAAGGAACCTTGTTCACCAGCTCCAGAACGACTTAGAATACGGCAACAACGAGCGTTCACTAAACTCCATGAACATGACATCAGGACTGATGATTCAAATACCTCAAGCTCCAACCCAGCAACCTCTTATGATGGAAAACGTTCCGCGGGTGGCGCAGCATGGCTCTCAGGACGCCGACACACCTCCGCAACCGCACCACGTCCTCCGCCGGCAAACCGCTCAAATATTTTCAAGGCAACCGCAGCAATCAGCTCCAAGCCAAATGCACCCGACGCGTTCGAACGACTCTGAGCCATCCTCTCCTGGCTCAAGTTCGTCCGCTGCCCGACAGCGCAAGTCGCCTAAGACGAGCAGGAAATCGTGGTCCAGAGCGCAGCATAGACCTAAATCCGGAGGTGCCGTTGACTTCGTGAATTACACGCCCGACGATAGCAGGAAAATTCTCACGGGCGTTGCGCCCAGTGGATCTTCGAAGACTAAGGCCAGGAGGGATAAGGAGGCGATGGATAAAAGGCGGAGGTTGTCGCAGGCTGCCCTTCGAGCTGTCAAGGCTGCGGGCGGTGATGTAAATAGCCTTGTTGAGGAGGGGCTTTTTGTATGATGGTTTGGTGGTATGAGTAGAGTTTTGTTTTATGGGGTTTGAATAGGATCCTGCTGTGTCTTGTATTGCGGATGGCAGCGAAAAACGCTGGCCTGTACGAAGTACCCGCCTTACGTATGTATACCACTTGCTGTACTGCTGTACTCACTTGCGAAAGCGTCTTGTTGCACTACAGCTCTAATAAACCTAATAATAATCACTTAATAACATACCTGAATCTTGCGCTCAACTGTGAAACCTTCCTAAGAAAATCAGAGGCAAATTGCCTATTTAATTCGCTGTAGTTGTTGCCCGCGACAAACTCCATATCATGATCGCTCCATTTTCTATTTCTGGAGTGCTGCCCTACGATGCCCTGGACGAAGCCCACGTTTCTCCCCTGTCGTCACCATCGCACGGGGGACAAGCTTGCCAATCACCCGGGTGACAAGACACGATCGAACATTCTACGCCTGGCTTGGTGCAAGGTAGGTATCGGGACGGAGTACTCTGAAGTGTCCATCTCCCCTTTCATCCAAAATTGAAACCTCGAACAAATCGTGTTGTGGTCATGTTCGCCTTGTCTCCTGGGGCTGTGCTCTGATACGATTCTATCGAATTGCAACCTCCACTAGGCGTCTATAATTTGAGACAGAGGCGTTCCGGCACCGGGGTCATTGGCGAGCTCTGGGTTTACGGGCGCTATGATGCTCAAACTTGGACAGCGAGGAGGGATTGCACTCAGCCGCAGGCCAAGAGGAGAGTCCCTGAAATGGGGGGATGGGGGGGACTTCACCAGAACTTGGACTCGGAGGATCGTTCTCTTCTGCATCGCCAGCTCAGAAGAACGCGCGAACTTACCTTCACGACCATACCCGGAGGCCCTAATTTTTGCGACGGCACCCTCGATACCCCGGAGCGCGGTTCTACGAGAGTTCTCATGAGACTAGGCTACCACGGGGCCGTCCCCTACGTGCAACGACGGCGGTGACAGTCACAGGAGGCTTTGCGAGCTGGAAAGTCGCCCTGGAGCGCTTAGAGTTCTCATAGACACGGTGCCCATGATCAACAACAGCCTTGTTGCTGTTCGGAGATCTAACTCCGACCTGTGTTTCGCTCGCTGGTGGCGGCCGGTACGAGACCAGACGTACTGGTCTATAAGTGAGAGTATTACTGCGGGTAAGTGTTTTTTCCTGGACTTACTTCCCCTCTATGATTTAGAAGCTTTTCATAAGACTGATACTTTTCCTTCCTACAGAATCGATCGAGAACTTCGTCGTTATCCAGGCGTACATGCGAAATATAGTGGTATATCAGGACCTCGGCGATCACGTATAAGGGATGGCCAATTATGGCGGAGGGACCGACTCCCCGTGGGATAGCTCAAGTTACAGCTACAACCGGCCCCCGTTAAACCACAAAATTTCATCGGTATCTGCGGTCAGCTCGATGTCAAGTGATCCCAGCGATCGGCCAGCCTTGAACCACAAGTTCTCTTCGGTATCTGCACTGAGCTCCATATCGAATGGTCGTGGCGATCGTGATTCAATCGTCTCTCTTCCTTCCCCCATACTAGGCTCTTCGCCCTTTTCAGATGAACAGGCCGATGTGAGCCATATACGGTTATCATCCATCGAGGGCTCTGGGGTGAACCCATCATTTGATAGCTCTGGTTTTCGAAGGGCATCAGCCTCGTTACCGGATTCCCTTCGAATCAGCTCTCCAGCCGGAGCATATCCATCTTCAGTACTGCCAGATGTGCTCCGCGTTGGTTCTCCATCTGGCTCTATCTCCCCCCAATCCCCCTCGACGAGAAGCTACTTGCCATTCTCACGAAGCTCAAGTGGATCCTACGAGCCGGTATCCGCGGGAGAAACTCAGAGGAGGCCGTCCATATTGGGGAGAAAATCTTCTCGTAAATATTCGACAAGGAGGAAGAGTTCGTTACTGTCTGGGAGACATGACTCGATACCAGAGACCGAAGAGATGGATATGGGCTTATTGCAGAATGCGATGCCCATGTCGTTTATTCCGCATAAGACTGGATACGCCGCGGTACCGGAAGAGGTGTCCGATGATGTTGGCGGCCCGCCCATTGACCTCACTTCCTTCACTGGACCTTTCAACCCGCAGAGTGACAGCGAATGGCGAGAAGTTCATCGTCAGGAAAGAGATGGTGTCTTGACAGGAGGGCTAGGACAAGGCTTGAAACCCTATGCCACCCTCACGAGTGCCGATCTCCTAGCGAACGCTCCTTCAACGCCAAGCACACCGTCAGTCTCCCGTAGCACAACGCTCTCACGTAGCATGACGCTCTCGCGCAGCTTAACACTCTCGCGCAGCTTATCCCTTCGACCCTCGAAAAATCTATCCGAACCCCCCAACTTGCGGGACCTGGCTCAGTTAGAGGCCAATAAAAGCGGGCAGATTATAGAAGTTATTGTAGAGGAATCGAAGGACGATGACGAGCCTGTGGTGCCTATGGACTTAAGTTCTGTTGCAGGCGCAACCTCGAGTACTATCAGTTTTGATAACGTGGATAAGTTGAAGGGAATTCGTAGAGATACTATACCAGTTAAGCCCGAAGTATTCTATCCACAAGCGAACTGGCGGCCATTCTCTATGCGCTGGCCATATCTCACGGCGCTCATCATAGTCTCGGTCACCCTAGCTGCTGCCCAGGAATATGTCCTTCAGAAATCGCTCGCCAAACCGCTCTACCAATTTCATGCAGCTACAGATCTCAAGACCTGGGATTATTTCTGTTTCAAATACTTGCCGACTTTAATTGCTGTCACATACGGCATCATGTGGCAAGTTACAGACTTTGAGGTCAAGCGGTTGGAGCCATATTACCAGCTATCAAAGGAAGGAGGTGCACTCGCCGCGGAATCCATCAACGTCGACTATATTACCTTCTTCAGCTTCCTCCGCCCACTCAGGGCCCTGCAATTTAAACATTATGCGGTAGCCATCTCATCACTAGCAACACTAATGGCTGTATCTCTCGTACCCACCCTCATATCTGCATCTGTCAAACTTAAGCCGGAACGCAGTTTGCGAGAAAAGAATCCTGCCGGTCTGAAGTGGATTCACATTGACCCTGTCTGGTCGAGGCTTCTGAGCTCCTTTTTGCTGCTTATTGCTATCCTTGGATGCGCCCTTATCTGGCATCTTCAAAAACGGCGATCTGGCTTGGTTGCAGATGTTAAGGGTATTGCAGGTATTGCTGCCATGGCCAACAGAAGCCATATTCTGATGGACTTCAAAGACATGGATACCGCGAGCCCAGATGAGATCCACAAAAGACTGAAGACTCATCGCTATACCCTTCGAAACTCTTCGCTGGCCCCAGACCAGACACACCTCCTTACGCAGGAGGAGAAGGACAGATATGATCAACAAAAGCGGCATGGGAATCCGCATCCGCTTATGCTACGTCTGATCGCTGGGATTCCGTTCATCATCGGAATGGGGTCTTTTATGTTTTTGATTCCGCTAGTCCTGTTTCAGTCCAACTTAAATGTCCTTACTGAAAAGGCACCCTGGTTTCTGACCGTAGTGGCCGTCGGCATTAAATTAGCTTGGGGGACCCTCGAGACCGACGTCCGGATGATCGAGCCTTTCTATATACTCTCTAACCGCCACGCGTCGCCCAAGGTCCTAACGCTGGACTACACAGCTATGGCATTCGGTTGGGTGCCCGTCCGGGCCTTCGTGAATGGCCATCTACTCGTCGCACTGGTAGGTCTAGGCTCAGTCCTTGCTGAGATCCTTACCATCTGCGCCTCTAGTTTCGGCAACGTATCAGGTATAGACTTTGCTAAAAATCCACCATCAGACAATGCTGCCGGGCATAGAGCAGGCATAAATGCTGGCGAAGAGACATTCCTTTCGTTTTGGATATCCTTCAGCCTCGCAATGGGAATCCTAACTTTCCTCTGCTTCGTCGCAGCTTTTGTCTACTGGCGGCGTCGCCACGCGTTTCTCCCTCGTCAGCCCAACACCATATCTTCAGTCTTGGCATTCATTCATCAGTCCAAGATGCTTTACGATTTCGTAGGCACGGAGAAGATGAATAACGATGATATGGTTAAACGGTTGGTGGGGATTGGGAAGACGTATGGCTTGGGATGGTTTACTGGGCGGGATGGGGAAATGCATTGTGGTGTTGATGAGGAGGAGCTGGCTAGTAATTATAAGCATGGGCAGGATGGGAAAAAGACTAATCAGCCGTGGAATTCTAACTGGGCGGATTTTTGATTTATGTATTTACTTTCAGTTGGGATATGGTTTATTCAGGAAATATATTCGGCGATACGGGGGAAATGTTGGGAACTGGGGGGCAAAGGAAATGGAAAGCCAACGAACGGTGCGAGTTTGTTTGTAGATGAGCATGGCGCTTGGTGTGTATCTGAGCTACTTGTGATTGGTATTTAGATGAGGTTATATGCCTACCTTGCTAGTGTATAGTGGTCAAGATATGTACAATTGCTTCTACCAAATTTTGAAGCAAAATCGAACATCATCTAGGTCAACTTCAACCCACCCCCTTTCCCTCCCCTGTAATTCTCGTAGGTAACGACCCTCCGCTGCGTGTTAACTTAGAGAAGCAATTATCCGATGACATCGGAGGAGGTACTTTAGATCACTTCCCTTGACACTCCACAAAGGAAAATGTGAAAGAATCTATGCATACGCTTATATCCAATGTCTTTCCTTTACCTAATCCCTTAGTGGTGTTTATATAAAAAGTTGTCATCCAAAGAACCTTTATGTGTCAAAGAACTGTATCCCACAAATAGCGGCCGATCACAAAGAAGCTTTATCACAAGGTCTATCTCATAATAGAACCCCTTGCGAAGCCTTTGAGTTCAGTACTAAGTGCCCGTTGGATCTTGGTCTATCCCTACAGCACTATCAACGCCTTGATAAAGTTACTAAACTCAATCAAGTGGTCAGCCATGTGGTATCATTGTCTATGCATCGCACCTCTCAATAGTCGGCATCGCCGACAAGTCAAGTTGCTCAATGGAACCCTGGCTTCTTTGAAGGTTCTCAAAGACCTGTGCCTTCTTTTGAATAAAGGATTGGTACAGTAAGATAAAGAAAAGTCATTCTACAAAGAACTACCCCCCTGGGTACCCTACTACACTTCCCCGCCTAGTGCTCCTCCTACAGAAACGATACCACCCGAGGATCCTGACCTCGTATGGAATGGGATTGTGCACATGCAGGGCATGTGGCATTGAGGCATTGTGGATAAAGCTGCAACGGCTAGTCCAAACCTTATTACGCCAAAAGGGGGATGGGCTGATCTAGAGACGGACAAAGAAGTATGGGACGGGGCGTCCACGCGCTAGATTTCCCGTGGGGGTGTGGAATGCAAAAACAAGCTCTCTCGATATACCTTAAAGATGACGCTATGTCACGCAATTGTGGGGCACCATTTAGCGGTGCTTCCCATCGTTCTATTTGAATTGATACATTGCATGGTGCGATATTCCAAGTTTTATACAGCGAAAGCTTTAACATTCCTCGCGCGCTTCCCAACACCTCCTTACTCCAGGACCCCACCCTTTCCCTCCGCGGCCTCTCCTTCACTTTCACTACTAAGCACTAAATACCGGCGTCTCGCTTCAAGGAACATCATGAACTCAGCGTATGTTTCGGGTATAACTTTTACATCGCGTTTAACTTCGAACGTATAATCTGCACGGTCAAGATCGTTAGCTTCCGAGGAAGGCGTTGAGTCTAGCGAGGGCAGGTGGAATAGGGATAGATTAGATAAGAGATATGGGATAGACCAGGATAGAATACACAAACGTGACGAGTAAGAACAAAAGACAAAAGATGACAAGGGACAAAAAGTGAACACCATGCTGCTTCTCTTCGGCGCCTACAGTTTAATACCATTTGATATTGGGGTCTTGTCCCCTCTCTAGATAGGCTAAACCAAAGAGGCCCTTCCTTCACTTGAGAGGAGGGGTGTAAATCGACAGCAGTCTTCAACTTGACAAATATGTGTAATCTGATATGGTCAATCCTCACAAGATAGCCCTTCCTAAGGGGTCCTTTGTAGGCTACTTCAAGGACGGCGTCTGGGTATTTTGCAAGTTCGTGCGTAAATTGCCCATCTGGGTCGCGCGATACGAACAATAGCCAGCAAAACATATTGTGTTTCTTGTCTCCGCATGCCAATTCACAACAATTGCAAGGCGGCTGGTTGGGGCATTAGCAGCACCAACTAGGTGTTATTGACACTCCCAGCACAATGTCCTGAGGCTCTAATGTCCGCGCTAGGAGAGGCACGGCGGAAGCAGCTGTCTTGACGGCTGAGAAGCTCTCGTGTTGGGGGGTGGATAATAGGGGGCATACTGTATTGATGACAGGCAAAAGAAGGAATTTGGGTGTGCCAAATCGAGGAAATTTCAAATACGTACTAAAAAGTCCTGTAGGTTTCGTCTCCCCATCATGCTCCATGCTTTTCACCTTACTCTCAACCCTGATCTGCACTCTTGTAGACCCCTCAGGACTCATTTTTTTCTGGCTGAATCCCGAGGATGGGGACAGGAGCGGCGAATCTGAATAGGCTACAGTGGCGGTGAGGTACAGCACTGAGCCTACCGGGACGGGGTTCTCGAAGGTGGAGGGGTCGAGGGCGATGAATTTGGGGCGAGAGTGCGACATTGCGGAGGCGCACGTGAAAGCGAGCTCAAACGTAGATTTTAGGAGGAACCCGCCGAAGATCATGAAGTTGTGGCGGTTGCGGCTGGTGAGTGGGTGTTAGTATGTGTGGTAGGATTTATTAGGAAACCGTAGCCGGGGGTGAACGATATTGATTGTAGTTTAGGAAATGGCATGAGAGTGCTTGTAGAACGAATGGAATGCTAGTATGAGAAAAGAGTAAACTTACTATTGAGGTTGCATTATCTGCACGGATTGGATCTGTGTGCTAGCCATAGAAAGTGAATTGCTGGGTTTCCGGGCACTGGTACTTGGGTCGTGCCAGGTGAGTTGTTGAAGCCAAAGGGCATGGATCAAGTCTGATTCCTCGTCGTTGGGAGTTTGCTTTCTCAGCGCAAGCTTGCCAGCTGCCTTCTTCAGATCGTAGTTTTTCTGGCCTTGCGTAAAGATCCGCTTTTCTTCGGGGGTGTTGGTTTTGAGGGGACTGATTGCTACAGATTTTTTAGTAGCTGGGTCTAGAGATACCTTGAGTAGTTTATTAGTTATTTGGCTTGGCGAGGAGTAGATAATGGGGATTTACTTACCATGGTGAAGGCGCAAGTCATTAAGACATCGTCTTCTTTGACTGTTTGGCCTTCTTCAGGTGCTTTTGCAACTTGCAACGATACTTCCATGCTACTTCTCCCCGTTGCAAACGTTACTTGGCCACTGAGTTCAAGATCACATATTGTGTTCAATGGACGTTTGAGTGTAATCCGATCCACTGCTGCAGTAACGGTCATGACCGAGTCACCCGTATGCTTGTAAGCAATCACCCCGGCGAGAGCATCAAGGTCCATAAACAGAGTTCCCAGCCTAATATGACCCGAGGAGTTGATATATGAGTCTAGCAACCACGGATCTCTAGCCAAGGGTAATATCTGGAGCTGTGTCAGTGAAGACCAAGATGGCTATGATCATGTGACTTACAAGTTTGTGGTAGCTATCAGACATGGATTTGGGAGCCAAATCTCTTGGACCTTTCTCTGTTGAAATAGGCGGGGTATCACTCTTTTCGCCCTGTTGTTGTTGCCGTTTAAGTGCTTCAATAAAAGGTAGTTTTATTCGCATTGAGGTAAGCTCCTTGTAAACACCATCTGTACGGCACCGTGAAGCCGCCGAGAATGCCCTTGCGTGACAGTGCTGAGCTGGTCGGAGAACGGCCTTGACGCCCATAGCCAGGCGCGGCAAAGCGCCAATTGATTTTGACATGATGTGGTACAGATATAAAGTACAGTATCGTCGCCGTACGGCTTCAGGGTCCGGAGACAGGACTGGGCGGTTCAATTTCGGCTTCCGGATAGCTGCAGTTGTTTCAACTTCTTGCTTGCCAGGCTCAGACTTTCTCTGGAGGTTCTCTATAAGGAGAGGATATATTGATTGGAATCGTAGTAATAGAGGTTCGCGTCCAACAGAGAGATTCTCGGACGAAGCTTCTTTACGGCATGTTTCTTGCGGTACGGAGAAGACTCGGCTAACCCGGCCGACGAGTACCGTTTTGCTACCGGATTCTATAGCCTGCCGACCATTGAAGCAGAGAAGTAGAACAACGTGAGTTAAGAGATGAATGGCTTCTACGGCAATTCATTTTGGTAAAAACAATTCTTCCCGTCTATCCTTTTCAGCTATAGTGGCAAAACGGAAATGATATGATCACGTGATATTACTGCAGGTCACGTACAAAGTCCCGTGACCAGATTGTGTGGGATCTAAAAATAGGCGGGTGGCAATGTTACGCATTCAACTCGATAGATCGACATGGACAATAATAACCAGGTGCAAGAAATAAGAAATGAGATGGGCTCCAGCCCCCAGCTCACCAAAGTTTGTCCATCTGTGCACTTTTGTTCTGCTCTGGTTCAATTGGATTTGCAAAACATTTTGCATCTGATTTGACCAGCAGCTCGTTACATCTCGGCGGGTGATGGGTCCTGAGACAAGGTTTGCTTCAGCAGCGTCGATCCAAGTTTGAGTACGTACGAAGTAGTAGGACGGGCCGGGGACAGTGACGTCTTCCATCTGCAATCTGGGCCCTGGGTCAACGCATGAAAGGTCACAGTGTTAGTGTCACATAGGGACTCTTAAGGAAAGGAGGATAAAACGGGAAGAAAGGGTCCAGCCGGAAACGGCGACTTTTCCCATCCTATGGAGTGGGGTTTGGTACTGGATATTAATTATGGAAAGGAAAGGGAAGGTGAACAGGCGGAGAGATCAGAACACTCGAGGCTGTGCACGCAAAGAGATGCAAAAAGACCTCAAACAACACGACTACAGTACTACCAATAAGTACGAATATCTACTGCTATCTACTACTATCTGCTAATAAAACACGAGTGCTTCGCAAATTGTACTCGCTTCGTGCGAGTCCTCCGGCGCAAACAGAGGGTCCTGGCGCGCCGAGTCCGCAAGGGGATTCTTGGTACAGTACCGAGTACTGGGCACCAGGTACTAGGTACTTGGTAGCAGGCACTTACTCGTACTTGGGAGTATGTACTCTGTACCTGAGACACGACGCGCAATAATATGGAACAGCGCGGGACCGTTAACCAGCTCGGCACATGATGATTATTGATTGATGGTTGGATATTTATTGGACTTGCTACAAAATACCCCGTCCTTGTAGTTGTCGAAATCTTAAAAACACGACGACTGCGTAATCGCCGCGTGCTTGGTAGCCGCTGGCCAGCGCCGTGGTCGAGTAGTGAGTGGCTCCGGCGGCTTGTCAGCGGAATACGAGACGTTTGGTTATTATTACTCTTCTCCAACACGGCTGTCTCACTCCGAGTACGAGGCAATAAATAATACTCCTTCGTAGTGACTGGGCAATTGCTGGGAGGAAGTACTCGTTAGCTGGGCCAGTTCGACCGTTTTGTGGCCAGCACCCGTGGCCACTCATTGCGACGCAGCTGAAGCTGAAGGAATCCCCGACACGCTGTTTGCGGCAGGGCACGTGAGCGTGGTGCTGGAGGGGGGAGGGGAGGGTCACGGGTGCGCTTTTCAATCGCATGCTTGGTATGGTTCCCCGTACTGTATTCTTGGCCGAATTAAAGTTAAAAGTTAAATCGTACTGTAGGAGTAGGAGTAAAATAAATTGCGATCTGGCGAAGTACTGTACACCGTACACCACTTCCCCTGCATTGGTATTGGTATTTATGCCTGTACCTCCCGCTACCGGCCGACGTACACGTACACCTCCCAAAATTGGCCTACAGTCCGAGTACGAAGTAACCAAGGTCAGGGTCAGATACGTACCTCTCTACCTCTACCTCTACCTCTACCTCTACCTCTACCTCTACCTCTACCTCTACCTCTACCTCTACCTCTACCTCTACCTCTACCGCGTAATGTAATGTAATAATAATGTAATGCTGCGGTCCTACTAGCCCTGCTTGGGTGCTGCTTGGGTGCCGCTTGGGTGCTCCTAGGTGCTCCTAGGTGCTGGGTGCTGGGTGCTGGGTGTGTGCTACGGAGGAGTACCCGCTACTACTCCTCCCTCACTCCTCGTACCTACAGTACCTCCGTACCTACTCATCAGCCTACACAGCCTCCTTCAGCATCCCCCCGGTGGTCAGACGCTTGCTTCCACCACCCACTGCATCCCCCCTTCGCCCTCCGCAGTCAAACTCCTGTCAACTACCTGTCTGTCATCCGCCTCCCCCTTCGCAGCGAAGCCCTTCCCTTCACCAACCGCCAAACACATAAACATCGACACCCTCACCCTCATCCTCGCCCTCGCCATTTCACGCTTTCGCCCTCGAGCATCGCAGTCACTCGTTCTGTGAGCTGGATCCCTCACCCCTTTGCGAATATCGCATTCCTGTCGCTCCAGCCTCCCCCCCAAACCCCAACGTGCTCGTCATTACACGCGGCTTCACCAGCGATCGATCGGCCATCCCGTCATTCCATCGCCCCCAGCCCAACCTCTCGACCCTACATGTTCACCATCCGCGGCTCAGCGAGCTCTTTCTTACCACTCAACCTCGTCGCGACCAAATAATATATCCGTGGGAGCCTCTGATTCTCGAGTCCTGCCGGCGGCACACCAACACCAACGCCCCCTGGTATCCGTATCCAGGAACCTCACCCTTTGTTGATCGGGAGGACGGGGACACAACGCAACTCAGCTCGACCCGACTGCCATCCTAATCCTCGCGCCCCCCCGACGGCGTCTTCTATCGTCACATACACATCACCGCCATCATGCGGTCCTCAATATTAATTTCGCCCTTTCTCTTCCTGACCTCTTTTCTCTCCCTCCTTTCAACCGCTTCCTCCCTCAAATTAATCGAGTCCAAGTCCCTAAACGCCTGCCAGGGCAACTCGAGCTTCACCGCCAGCTTATTCAACGTCATCTTCACCCCCGATAACAGAACAATTACCTTCGATATCGTCGGCGTCTCGTCGATCCAGGGCAATGTGGCGTTCGGTATCGAGGTGAGAGTCTACGGGTTCTCAGCCATCAAGCAGACCATCGATCCCTGTACGATGAAAGGCATGACCGGATTGTGCCCCATGTCGACCGGACAACTGGATATCAATTCCAACCTCCAGCTGGACCAGGACGTGATCGATCGGATTCCAGGAATCGCCTATGGCGTCCCCGATCTCGATGCCACCGTCAGGGTCCTGATCAACTCCACCGCTAATCCCGGCACCACGCTGGCTTGCGTGGAAGCCAGCTTGTCCAACGGGCAAACCGTCGATCAGAAGGGCGTGGGCTGGGCGACGGCAGTGATTGCGGGCTTGGCTCTGGTGGCCTCGGCGGTCACCTCCGGGTTGGGTCACTCGAACACCGCCGCACATGTGGCCGCGAATGCGCTGTCCCTCTTTGGCTACTTCCAGGCCCAGGCGATCGTAGGTTTGTGTGCCATCAAGCTTCCGCCCATCGTCCAATCCTGGACTCAAAATTTCGACTGGACCATGGGTATCATCAACGTGAAGTTCATGCAGAAGATTGCCACCTGGTATCAGAAATCCACCGGGGGGACGCCCGCCACACTGCTCAATAGCCTCACGACTACATCCGTACAGGTTCAGAAACGCTCCGTGGCAGAGATTGGAAAGCGCTCCGTGGAGAAGACCATCCAGCTGCTGACACGCGCTCATCAGCAGCTCGTGTCTCGCGCGGAGGCCGACCCCACCGCTGCAGGCTCGTATGTTGTTTCCGGCATCAAGCGGGTCGCATTTAGAGCGAAGATTGAATCCACAAACATATTTCTAATGGGTCTTGCTTTCTTTTGTATCTTCATCGTCTTCACCATCATATTTGTGGCCATGTTCAAGGGATTCTGCGAACTTGCGGTTCGGATGAAGTGGATGAAGAGCGACAAATTCTTAGACTTCCGCAATGGCTGGTTCACCGTGCTGAAGGGCATCATGTTCCGAATGGTCCTTATTGGCTATCCCCAGATGACTATTCTGTGCTTGTGGGAATTCACCCAGGTCGATTCTCCGGCCGAGGTGGTCCTCGCCATCTTCTTCTTCTTCGGCATGACTGGCACCCTTGCCTGGGCAGCAATGAAGGTCGTCCGTATCGCAAAACGCTCGGTTGATATGCACAAGAACCCCGCCTACATCTTGTATTCGGACCCTGCCGCATTGAACAAGTGGGGGTTCCTCTACGTCCAATTCAGAGCAACAGCCTACTACTTCATCCTCCCGTTCTTGGTCTATATTCTGATCAAGGGAATGTTTATTGCCTTTGGGCAGAAGAATGGCACGGTCCAGGCCATCGCCCTGCTCCTGATCGAAGCCGGTGCCTTGATCGGAGCCAGCGTCATTCGGCCTTGGATGGACAAGAGCACGAATACCTTTAATATTGCCATCTGCGCAGTTAACTTGGTGAATGCCATCTTCCTCCTGTTCTTCAGCAACGTCTTCAACCAACCAGGCTTGGTGACCGGAGTCATGGGTGTCGCTTTCTTCATTATCAACGCGATCTTCTCTCTCGTTCTCCTTATCCTTGTGTTAATCGCCACCATCTACGCTTTCGTCCGGAAGAACCCCGATACCCGGTACCAGCCAATGAGCGATGACCGTGCTTCATTCATCAAATCTCAAACTGCGCTGAACACTGAGCTTGATGCTCTGGGTGCCACAGCGCGCGGGGATGTGAAGGGTGGATACAAGCATAATCTAGATTTAGATGATGACAATGAGTCGTGGTCGTCAGACTCTATGCGACATCCAGCAAATATGCCCCTTCCCCCATCCACGGCGAATTCTGGTGCCCATTATCGGGAGCCTCCTCACTCCCCAGTTGATCCATCTGTGCCTCTCTTCCCGGCGGGTAGCCGTGGCGGCCCTCACAGTTTCCAGGATCCTGCAAACAGGTCGAACAATGTATCGCCGGCCCCGTACCGGGATAGCAACAACTCAACATCGAATCTGTCGGTGGGCTACAGGTCACAGAATAATGCCAGCCCAGCGGGGGGATATAGACCACAAAATACTGCCAGGTAAGACCATCAACCCCCTCTTTTTTTTTTATTGTATCGAACTAAAGCTGACCTAAATGAAGTCCTTGGCAACGTGGAGCAGGATATGAACATTAATGAAAAGGGCTTAATATGGCGTTATGCTCTGGTCGAAAACTATTGCATCGACAATACTAACAGGGGATTGGTGTTATCTGCTTTTGTTTATTCTGTTATATTACCTGCATTACCCTGAAGGCAGCAGCGAGGCAGGCAGCTGGCTGTTGGCACGGATGGATAAAACTTCTCGTTTGTTTCTTTGTTTCTGGCATAGGACGACCGGCTGCTGGATTTCACTCCTGTATAAAGAATGGAAGGGATGGAACGAGGGAAATCACATATTCGCTGTACCATCGCACTAGAAATGCACCGCTTTAGACTTATGCTAAGGGGCCCAAACCCTGTGTGACTAACTACCTGGCTCATGCTGTTAAGTCGTAGGCCTATTGTTTCCTTGGTCTAGTGGGAGTATACAGAATAGAAAGAAAACCGACTCAAATACATATATCTGCCTTGAAAAGCCCGGTTTCCGCCTTGGAGACCATTAATCAACTACGTATGACCAGGGATCAAATCCTACTCTAAACCTCTAACCCCATCACTGTCAGCGTACCTAGCTAGCCAGCCTACCTTGTGTAGTGTCCTCTAATCTAAATCGCATTCCTAATTCTCTTTTTAAAACAGCCCCCTATCTAGAATTTGAGCTATGTTGCTATATATAGGTACCTATATCTCTCGGCTCCTTTCTACACACCTCGTACTTCCGCTCCAACCCGCCTGGCACCTATCACCCTACCTAGCATTAAGCGTCCCATCTGCTCAACAATAAATGTCTATACTGCCTACGAATACTAGTAAATACTAGATGCTCACCGCCTAGTTACCCTCCTCAGCCGGTCATCAGGCCGGGGCTGGACATGGAGGAGTAGTTGGAATGTATTAGGTGTTCTGTGGATCGCATGTTTGTTAGACGCTGAAGAGGAAGCACTGGTGCTGATGTACATGAATGACGACCTAGGTACACGGGAAGTTCGGCACTTAAAGGGGGAGGTATGTTTAGAGTTGTTAGGTGAGAAAACCTGTAGAGACTAATAGAAGAAAGATATGAAGGAAAGTTTGCGAGCTCGATGTAATTGGGATGATAGAAAATAAAATAATATCCTGGTCTTGCCTGCTCGTTGCTAGTGAACTAGTACCAGGGTCTCTATTTGGGGTGTATGTTAGGGGAAGAAAGGCACGAGATAGCCAAAGCGTACCTATAGGTAGCTCTGGATCTTCTACAGTTTGGAAGAATGTCCAAAAATTGGCGTTAAATTTCAACGAGAGGTCGGCTCTCTTTTTAATTAAATGTAGGAGCTCAGCAATATGAGATACTAATGCAACGCGTAACCTCATCATACACGTACCCGATTCCGTTTTACCCCTTGTCACTTCTTTGCTTTCCCCTTGCTAGGCGCGGCCTTCGCCTTCGCCCTCCCCCTTTTCGGCTTAACATCCTCCTCGGAGTCATCTTCTAGATCCATATCGTCATCATCCTTCGCAGCTTTCTTCTTTGCGGGTTTCTTCGCAGCTGCTGCCTTCTTGGCCGGCTTTGGTTTCTTGATGAATTTGTCCTTCTTCAATAGATCCTCGATGTCCTCGTCTTCGTCTTTGGGTTCGGGATCAGCTGCAGCTTCAGGTTCGTCGTCTTCATCAAGAGCCTCTTCAAGATCAGGCTTTTCGGACTTGAGCTTCGCTGAGGGAGCAACGACGTTACTAGCTTTCATGAACGGCATGGGGTGGGATCGTTGGTTATATCTTGTAGTTATTAGCATGACTCTACAAAGGGGGGTTCCTTTACTCACAATCTTGTGAAAGTAGCCTTGGCTTGGGTGTCAATCTTTACACTATCCTGGTCCTGCGGCCCTAGGCCAAGCTCCATGATATAATCGAAGTCATCCTTTGTCAAGAAATAGCTGTCCATGAGATCAATCACATCATCAACAGACGATTTCCCCTCAAGCTCAAGTCGCCTGATTAACCGGGTCCAAAGAACAGGCAGGTACTGCTGACGGATTTCATGACGATCGCCGGACGTCCTTAGGCGCATGTGTGACTGTATCTCCTTTACATATCTAACAAGTTTGCCATGCTTGCTGTTATTACCAAGCCATTGTGTGAATTGAGTGTGACCAGTCATGAGGCCAGATATAAAGCTAGCGGGTCTAACAGTGCTGAATACTGCATGGGTTGGCATTAAGCTCCATTGTTGTTGGGAGCCATGGATCATGCGGTCGACCAAATCCCCATCACTGATGCTCTCGGCAGCCTGGTCAGCGAGCTGGAGTGCCTTGAGTTTGTATTCTCGCCCGGTGAGGTTGTTGGCAAGTATCGGCTTGGTATTCAGATAGTTCTCTTGGACCATCAAGAAACTCTTTTCATGGTCATTGAAATAAAGCTCAATCTTATCGTTGAGGGTGGCCTTACTCGCCGGAGCAAACATTCCACCCCCTAGGAGCTTGTGGCAGATGTCCCACGGCTTCAAGACCACGGATTTCTCCCAAGCTTTGGACATAGACTTCCCTTGATCAAAGTCCATGGACGCCTGATCAAGTTTCGCTGTGGAAATCATATTGATAATTTGCCGAATGTCCTTATTGCTACCCTCAATCAGAGCATCAATAACGTTCATTGGAAGCTTCAGACCCTCTCTGTGGCAGATCGTGGCAATCCGCGATCGAACTTGATCTACCGTTGGTCGCTTAAACATAATGTCATATGTCACAAAGTCGAATGGCTTCATCTTCTGCAACTTTCGTTCGTTGCAGATCAGAATGATAGGGATATCGGTCGTTTTGCAGACCTTAGCTAGCGCCCCAACGCCTCCTCGATCTCCAGCAGACATGCCGTCAACTTCGTCCATAATCAGGACGATTTTCTTCTTTTCGACATCTACCGCTTTCCCATGACCTGCAAAGTATCCACGCAAAGAAGTATTGTTCAGCACTTCGCCTAGACCGTTTTCGACCAGCTTCTTGCTTCGGGTATCACTAGCATTACTTTCCAAGATATCATATCCGGCAAGTTTGGCAGCTAGATGCGCGGCGGTAGTTTTCCCAATACCTGGGGGCCCGTGGATGATGATTGCTCGATACCCGCCAAGACCTTCCGGGCCTTTCTTCTGAAAGTTGTACTTGTGCGCCACGGGCCAACCTCTAAGCCAGGACATAATCCTCTCAACTTGAATTTTGTTGCCACATATTTGGTTTATCTGGGAGGGTGCATATTTGGTGGTCCATAGCTGTGAATTTGGAGGGGCAGCGGGGGGAGGCGGAGGTCTAGCAGTGGATCCTTTTGAAGCAGCAAGCTTCTCAGCGGCTTTCCTAGCCTTTTCAGCCTCATCAGCCTTTCGTCGCTCTTCCATTTCCATTTCTTCAGCATCTTTCTTAATCTTATCCATATCTGCCTTTTTCTTTTCCAAATTCTTCTCCGCCGCCTTGCCATCCCCCCCATTTGCAGGCATTGATGAGATCAATACGAATAATCCATCTTCATTGATTGTCTTGAGACCAAGATCCTTAATCTTCCTTAATTTGGATGGGCCCGCATCTGACCCAAGAACAATGTAACTTGTCTTGCTGCTTGGTTGGCCGGTGACCTTACCCCCATATCGCTTTACAAGCTCTTGGCCCTCCTCTCTGCTGAGGGTTTCCAACAGACCGGTGAACACGAAAATCAACCCAGCTAAGCAATTTTCATGCCCGACAGGTATTTCCTTTGAGCCTGCTGCAGGAGGCGGCCCAGCATTTCCACCACCTTGGCCAGCCTTTCGCCAATCGAACTTCGCATCGGGATCTTTTGGTGGAGGAGTGGGCGGCCGTACGGTTGGGATGCTGTCAAGAATCGCCTGTATTGACGAGCTCTCTGCTGTATCTGACTTCTTTGGCTGGGCACGAGGTTTCTTTGCAGGTGGTTGTTTCGCGGACTTGCCCTTGACAGATTTTATGTTGTATGCATCCTCCTCATCCTCGGATTCCAGGTCCACGGACTTTCTCTTCTTACCACCAGCTGTCCTAGAGCGCTTATCAACGACCATAGCATCATCACTACCATCCACCATTACGAAGGAATCGTTTACATCCTGCATTTCAATGTCGCCATTCTTTTTAGATGCCGGTGTTTTCCCCTTCGCCACAGTTTTTTTGGGTTTCACTATAAGATCATCATGGCTATCGCTCTCGACGTATGCGTCCTTCTGATTGTGGCCCTTTTTGACGTCTGCCGCAAATATATCGTCACCAGCATCCACATCATCATCTAAGAAAGCGAAGTCATCGTCATCTACATTATCATTGTAAGATTTTGTCTCCTTCTTCCGAGCAGACGATCGGCCATTGGTTTCGGCTTTTGGGGTGGCTATAGGTTTTGTCGGTGATAGCTTGGTCGGTTTGGATTTGGACTTGCTGCTGGATGCGAAATAATCGGCTGCGGTGGTTTCTTGCCCCTTTGGCGACTCTTTCTGTCTAAATATCCTAGTTAGCTCCTAGGCCAAACACATATCAGGGAGGCATACGCAGGTTTCCTCGCGGCGGGTTTCTTGGGTGTAGATGTCTTGGGCCTGTCACAGTTTAGTTTATGCTCCACGATACGGTTCGAATTGCCTACGCTGGCTCATCATCATCACTATCATCAATAATTTTGCGGCTTTCTGCGAAATGATTAATATACTAAACTGTATCTCGAAAAGGGTCTATAAACTGACTGCTGCGTTTCTTCTTGGAATCTTGTTCCTTCTTGGTCTCCTTCCCTCGAATGGGCGTAGAGGTCTTGCCCCCAAAAAAGTTCCTGATATCTGCAGACATATTGGGCTTGTGGAACTGAAAAATCTAAATCGATTACAAAACCCAGAGGATATCGGCGTCGATTAAAAGAAGGTGAGCATGTCGAGTTGCCAGCTTGATAAGGTTCCCGAAAGGCGATGAGGTTAACGCGACTTTCACAAACCGCGATCACTTTACGCGACGGGATAAGGATTACGGCGGAGCAGGACTATTTGCCGACAAAACCCCTGTCAATGCCACAGAGATCACTAGAAATTGCAAGCTATTAGAACTTTAGGACATAATATTTTAGCTTAGCCAACAAAGATAGTTATAGATATAAATCCCTCGTGGGTTTGATATTACTTAGTTTATTTCAAGTCCTTATGCACTTCAAGAACTTTCAAGGACCTGGTTTGGCGGGTCATTTGTGAGTCTAAGTCCACGCATCAAGGATTCTGGAGGCTCGGTTCCTTGCGGGTCGCCGTAGCCATGAACTTTTGAGCATCTCAAGCACATCTGTGCAGTATAGACCTCATCTCGAGCGCCAGCCAAACCCACCTGCGCAATGAATTCCCGAAGCGTTTCGAGCTTCGCCGCTCATTTCGAGAGACTCTCAATATCATCCCGACCATTACGACCAGTTAACACCCGCCTGGCGCCGTGGGCTCTAGGTCGCTCAGACAATGCCACCCTCTCCTGCCGATCGTTCTCCAGTACAGCCATGAAGGGGGGGAATTGGCTTCTACCAACGGCGCCGGAGAAGAAGCGATCACGGAAAGGCCGTCCTCGTGTACCAACTGGAGGGTCTGCAAGAGGCACAACAATTGTATGGGGCGACTACGGACTCAGGATGAGCGACCATCATCGCCGGGTCAGCGCATTACAATTGAAGAACGGAGAGGAGGCTATCAAAGTGCGCCTAAAGGGAATGCGGTATCGATTGTATAAGAGGGTTTGTGCGAGTATTGGTGTTTATAGCAGTGGTAATGAGGTAGGCAGCGACACCATCGAGGTTCTAGTGATGGGAAGCTAACTTCTTACCAGGTTCGTATGGGTAAAGGAAAAGGTTCTTTCGATCATTGGGCGTCCAGGATTGCTGTCAGCAAGGTCATCTTCGAGTTGAAAGGAGATGTCCATGAACAGGTGGCCAGAGATGCTTTTCGGTTGGCTGGGAACAAGATGCCAGGTTAGTCTTCAACCATATACCAACACTCACTACGCATGCTAATTGTGTACTCTTTCCAGGCATGTATGAATTTGTCAAGAAGGGAGACCCACCTGTCGTTGGTATCACAAAATTGGATGGGGTTACGCTGGAAGAGTTGAAGCGTCCTAGACGGAAGGTTCCTTTGGGCTCGGTGCCCGTAGGCTCAACAGCGGAAACTTTGCCAAAAACAACTTCGGCATCTGTGTCACCGGATGCTTAGACTATATTTGGATTATAGATGGGCTATCTATAAACTATCGAGAAGCGGGACTACTGTAAAATAGGAGCACACAGAGGAAGGCTCTACCACTTGAATAGAGATCATGGAAAGACAAGGGAAACTCGCTAGCGGCAATGCATTAATCTAGAGGCATTATATGGCAGAAGACTTGCCGAAGTGCTCCCAATCCAGGCCTTGATTTAGGGCCCTATTGCAACAACTCCCATGCCTCCATTTTCCCAACGCCAACCTCAGAATCTCTTCCTATCCCAGGCCATTCCCATCAAGCAAATCCGCACCCTTCTAGTTCTAATCAGAACCCGAATCACTCGGTGGTTGTTGTGTCTCTTTAAGGGCCTGTATCGCAGTCATTAGTCTTGTTCTTGTCTAGTAGCACTTGACACTCAGTTCCTACCTCATCGAGTCTCATCTTCAATATCGATAACATGTTCTCTTTAATGACCAGCGTCCCATCATCAAGGTCCTCTACCACGAAAGCATGGTCCTCGCTGTCTATCTTCATAATGATAGATTTGATGGAAGGGTCACATTCCACAAGAACACCTGACAATGTCAGCCCTTGAGATCCGCAAAATCTGGGTTCCAGGCAGAGCAAATACCCCTGATTGCTCGTGGCATGTTGAATTGAATTCCGAACAGAGCTGCCCTGGCTAGGTTCTTGGAGCCGAAGTTTTTAAGGTAGGATGGGAATGGCAGCAAAAGCAGGTCTCGTGATAGGGCGTTCTTCTCTGTCCCTCTGCCTCGCACCTCAAACCTCACACTGGACAGCCATCGGCGCTATGAAAAGTCCCGCCCGGATAAGAGTACGATTAGCGGGATGTCGGAGTCGGAGGTGCTCCCCCTCCGAGGCCACATTCGGCAGGACCGGCGCTGGAATCAGATACCATATCGACGTGCTTCTTCTGTGATAAAGCGCAATTCTCCCAGCTTATCATGACATAGTCTCTTTCGCCATGAGTTGCTGTCTCACGTGTTGACCTCGCTTTCCATCCTCAAGGAGTATACACCCATGCGGCCACGGCGTGGTCCTGCTCCGCGATCGTGGATGGGATCATTCATCAGCTTGGAGGGGCAGTGGGTGTCGACACGCCCTGCTGATAAGCCGTTGTAGGACATACCAGTCCATTAAGTTATTTGATACTTCGATATACTGGCTTAAACCGGCTTAATCGCTGACTTCATTGCACATATCTGATTCCGCTTCTTCATGCCTGTTGCCAACATGGCATTCCGACGATGGAGGTCTAGACACGCCTGCCAATGTACAAAATCACGACTACGCTTCTCCTCAACACTTCTCTTCCTTTCTATGGTCCTACCCGAATCCTCCCTCGCACAACTCACCGATCAACCCTCACCATCAGGGTCCGTCCCCATAACATTGACTATATCCCCAAGTGCTTCGTCCACCTCTCTAACCAGATCCTCCAACAACACCAGTACTGGTGCTATCCCCACAACACCCATAACCCCGGATGATTCAGGAATCCCTCCTTCTATCCCTCCAGGCGACCCCTCAATCACCGATGAAGGCGCCCATGTCTTCAACTATTACTTTCTCATAGCACTTGTCGCCGCCGTTTTCTTCGGCGTCTTTCTCCTCTACGCCGGGCGTAGGAAAAAGCGAAAAGCGGCCCTTCTACAGTCCCACAGTCGCCAGGCGTTGGCACAGGATGTGGCAGGCTTCCGCACACGGCTAGGCAGAGCACGAAATCACAATGGGTCTGGGTTCAGGTTGAGAGGGGGTGGCAATGGGCATATGGAAGAGGGGAGCTTAGAAGGACTTGACGAGAGAGGTATGGCGCCGCCCCCTTATGTGCCTACTTCGAAGCGGTCGAGCTTGAGGGGCGGGGGTGATACCGGAGGAGAGGGAAGTGGTGCAAGTCGCGAGATACGAGAAGGGGAGGGCGTCGAGCTGAGGACGTTGAGTCCAGAGAGAGATCAAAACAGGATGAGTGATCCGCCTGGATACGACGAACATGCGGGATCGCGGGTGGAGAACAGTGCGCATATTCCCAGGCCTAGCACGGCTGTTTTAGCTTCGGACAGGTATGGATCAACGGGGAGGTTACTCAACAGCGATGGTCGTTCTTTTGATGTATAAGTTTGTCGGTAACGATATATGAGAACACTTTGGTGGTGGGGAATACTCCCAGTGTATATATATTTACGAACGCATGTTACTCGTCTTACAAAGTCACGCAGTTAATGCCAAACCATTGAGTTATTCTCAAGACAGGGACTTTTTATATATTCTCTATCTTAGTCTTGCTACATTTATTTAAAATCTTCTCACCATGGCAGCAGGCTTGTTTCCCAAGATGTCGTCTATCTCCTTGATAATATCCGGCGTCAACTTCTCCACAACAGCCAAAGCCTTGACGCTCTCATAGACCTGCTCCGGTCGACTAGCCCCCGTAATCGCCGAGCTAACATTCTTATTCCTCAACACCCAAGCCATAGCCAGATTAGCTTGCGAAATCTCGAGCTTGTCGGCAACAGGCTTTAGCTTGCGAACAGTCTCAATGTCCCTCTTCCAAGTCTCATCGCCAACCCTTTTATTCATCATCTTGACAAACGCATCATCACTAGATCCCAATCTGGAATCCTTCGGGATCCCATCATTATATTTCCCAGTCAGGATGCCAATCTTCAACGGGCTAAAGGTGGTAAGGCCTAATCCCACATCCTCGTAAAGATGCTGGAATTCCTTCTCGACCTTTTCTCTGACAACCATGTTATACGCAGGCTGCTCCATGAGCGGGCCGATGAGGCCAAGTCTATCGGCGACTCGCCAGGCTTGTGCAATCTCATCTGCATCCCACTCCGATGTGCCCCAATAGAAAGCCTTTCCAGTGTTGATAATGTGGTTGAACGCTCGCACTGTTTCTTCCATGGGCGTGTTCCTGTCGGGTCGATGTGCGTATATCAAATCAACGTAATCCAATTCTAAACGCTCTAGTGATGCATTCACCCCCTCAATAATGTGCTTTCGGGATAATCCAGTGTTGTTGATTGCGGTCTCGCCATTTGCTCGTCCCCAGTAAATCTACATTTGCTAGTCAGTCCATGAATCACAAATTACCGCACAACCGTACCAAGTTGGAGCCAGCTTACTTTTGTCGAAACAACCAAATCACACCGCTTCCAACCAAACTTCTTGATTGCCTGGCCCATAACTCGCTCAGACTCTCCGCCAGAATACCCCTCCGCGCAATCGAAGAAATTTACCCCAACATCATAAGCGGCCTTCATGCAGGCGAATGTATTCTCTAGAAGTCCTCGTCAGCCAGACATTCCTCACTAATAATTGCGAATAAGTACCATTCTCAACATGGCCGCCGTACGTGAGCCATCCTCCGAGCGAAATGGCAGACACTTGGAGCCCGGAGCGGCCTAGGAAGCGATACTCCATCTTTGGGAGGTCTGCAGGTACTGCCATATTTTGTAAATTTGGAGAGTTCTGGAGGCAATTGGCCTGATTCTTGAAAGATTCGGGTTTAAACCACAATGGGAAATTGAGGATGGAGAAGTGGGCGAAAAAATGAGGGTTGGGAACTTTTATACGTAGGTGCTTTGTAATTGCACCGCGGGGTTTGCGGCGGGGTGTATTGTTGTTATTTACTCTGTCGTAAGTGGGGGTCTGTCTACCTCCGTATGCCGTAGAGATGTTTCATCTCGAGCGGCCCCACAAGAGCTTGTTCCGACGTCTGTACAACAACTACATTTACTTCTAATTGATACTGGAAATGTACAGTACGTATCTAAAAAGCAGTCGATTCTCTTCCCTTTTCGCGATCGTCTAAATATCCCAATTTCGAGGAACAGCAACGAGAGAGGAAAACCGATTATAACGAAGAATCGCAAACTGCATGGCCTTGTGTTGAAGCTCAGCGTCCCAGGAAGGGATTCTGCTTCCATTTGTGGAGATCGACACGGTATAGAAGCCGTCGATCCGTATCCCAAAACGATAGCTTATATGTGGAAATTTGGCGGCCTGTTGGCGCTCAAGGTAGGTCTCTTGTAACTCCGTATATGTCATCTTTGAATTTCTTTGTCATGATGAGGACGGATCGTAGGGTTTGAGCTCTGCAGAAACGCCTTTATTGAAAATTAATTGCTGCTAGTAGTAGCCAAGGCTGTTTATCGGCGTGTGTGGCAGTATTTTATATTTTTCTCCACAGCGGTATATTTCCCAACAAGTGGCAAGTAATCGTATTGTTAGGGCACATCTCCAGGCAGACGAGCTACAGCTATAATGCACATATATCTTCCGAGTCCATAGGCAAGTGCTGAATAGCTTCCGCAATAATTGAATGGGCTCAACGGTAAAAGCATTTCGATGCGCCATTAACTAGACAATGGGTCGTGTTGCTGGGTTTCTTGTCGCTTATCTTTCAAGAGCTACTGGCATGAACGTTATATATCGCGTATCGACTCTTGGGGCAAAAGGCTGAGAAGTATTCTTGACCGACTATAGCTTCCAGCGGCTACAAATGAACCCGCGGGAGCGTTTCGGCAATATATATCCTGTCACAGTTGTGTTAGCTTGTCCCTGAGCAGCTCGAACAATGCAGAATTGGGCTCACCTTGTTGTGAATGGGCCAGACAGCACTCAAACATACCGAGAAAGAATGGGCCAGATATCGCAGGCTGCGGGGTGACATACGGTAGTGATACCTCCTCTGCTTAGGATACGAAGGATGATATTGGACAAGTTGTCTGCAGATTCGGTTGAAACCCTCTCTAGTCTTGGCTTTGCCCCTGACGAAATACCACCCGTTGATGTGACAATCTAAGGGGTAAAGAAGGAAGTAAATAAACGTTCGATGTGCAACGAAATGACTCCCTTGGTCCACGTCGTCCCTCCCGAGCTCGAAAAACGAGTGCCATCTCCGCGTATTATACCGACTTCGATTTTCCTCTGTGATGTGGAAGCAAAATTTTCAGGTTACCGCGTACTATCTTTATTAAAACCCATCTCTGGGAGCGATCAAAAGGATCAGTATTAGTAGTTCTTTGTGGATATACGCAGAAGGTAGTTCTTCACCTCGCTCGCGTGCAATAACTAAGGTACTTAGAGAATATCTACACAATAATATTTCTAGTCCCATACATAGTCGTCTGTTTATGCCTGGAGCTATGCAATTACAACCCATCGCCCACATATACTATACATAGGTCGCAGGTCGATACACAATCTCTACTCAGTGGCTATCCTTATTGTGCTAAACCAAGTCGTGAAGCTTTCTCAATGCTGCTCCCTGAACAAGTTACCTAACCATACTTAATCAGTGATCCAAACGGAAATCTTCAGTTTACCGCTCTAGCAACCACGGAGGAACATGTTAGATATGGAGGGTTGTCGCCGAGACGGCGTCAATACCACAGCTAGAAGATTCCGGTCGCTTACTTGACCACAAAGACCGCCCCCGCTTCCTTCTTGTTTACAATTCTTCCTTCCCACAATAATTTCCTCCACTGTTGATCGTTCCATCCACACCACATTCCAATCTTCAGATATTATCTCGTCAGTCCATCGCGAGATCATTTCTGAGCATAACAACTTCATACGTGTCTCTATTCAAGTAAGTCTCCTCGATTATACCCATCGACCCTGAATCCAAGGTTCTTGGACGCGCTTCGCACGTTGGGCGCTCCCCATCGCTCCACTGCTACCTCTATTCTACCTCATTGACCATGACTATACACGTCCATATGGTCTAGTCACCTTGGCTCTGCAACCATGGATTCAACATCCAAGCGGCTCTCGATCTGACCAAGACGTGATTATATCTGACAAGTGTTCTTCTAGAAACGGTTAAGCTACCTCTGAATAAGGAAAATGTCCTGGGACGCAGGCAATGCGGTTGGCGGTTGGGACGATGGTGGCGCTTCGAATGAGTTCAAGGATACTGTCACCAATGACTTTGATGGCCCTACTGCAGTCGATGGCTACAATGGTGGCAATGGAGGTCTAGGAGGTGGGAATGAGGGTGAAGGTGACAATGGCGCCCGCGGCTTTAGTGGTGCCTGCTTCAACTGTGGAGAAGAAGGGTAAGTCGTCTCCATAACTCCCTGGTACTACGCTAAGTCATCCAAAGTCACAGCAAGGCCCAATGCCCAAACCCAGCTGTAGCTCGTGAGTTCACTGGAACCTGTCGCCTTTGCGAGCAGCCTGGCCATCGTGTGAGTTACTACCTTTGATTATGACAACTTTCAACGATATATTAATGGAATATTCAGGCTGCGGATTGCCCTTCCAAGCCCCCTCAAGTTTGCATCAACTGTAAGGAAGAAGGCAAGTTTATACTTACTCCTCTAAACATTGCCATATTGACAGATCATTGGTTCTAGGCCACTCTGCGCTCGAATGCAAGAGTCCACGAAAGGTTGAATATCCTGGGGTGGAGGATATCCCTGCTGAGGAGGCATGGCTTCAAATGAAACTGGCTGCTGATGAGCGTGATTTGGACGATATCAAGGAAGCCGCGTTCAAGTACTTGAAGGCTGCTCCTGATGCCACATATCCACAACTCGAGAAAGCCTTTCGTCTCCAGAAGGTGAACATCTACCTTATTGCTATCGAGAAGGAGCTCTCGATCACCTACACCAACATGGATCTTCAGGGAAACTTGGATAAGAAGTACACTGTCACTTGGCGCTTGTCCAACAAGCCTATGCGCCCAAAGGAGAGAGACTCTTGGCCAGCCACCCCAGAGGAGAACCTGGAGCGGCTTGCCGATGCGGGCACCCCGGTTGATCGTGGCATACCCAAATGCAACAACTGTGACCAGCTCGGTCACAACTCTAAGGCCTGTCCTGAGGAGAAAGTGGAGAACGCCGACCGCGCTGTGATTAAGTGCTACAACTGTGACGAGATTGGACACCGCGTCCGCGATTGTCCCACTCCCCGTGTTGATAAATTTGCGTGCCGCAATTGCAAGCAGGCCGGACACACAAGCAAGGAGTGCCCCGAGCCTCGTTCCGCTGAAGGTGTCGAGTGCAATAAGTGCAATGAAGGTATGTTGCAACATATCCCACACCTGCTAAGTCAATGAAGGTCGCGTAGCAGGTGACGATCCTCATCACTAACCTATAATGAAAAATAGTTGGTCATTTCAGCCGCGACTGTCCACAGGGAGGGGGTGGTGGTGGCGGCGGTGCTTGCCATAACTGCGGAGAGGAAGGACATCGCTCACGAGAGGTATGTTTTACTTCCGCTTGAATAGAATTTCCCATGTCTGCAGAGGATGAACGGCTAATTTCGAGCGTATATAGTGCACTAACCCAAAGAAGCTGGTGTGCCGCAACTGTGACGAGGAAGGGTAAGTAAAAGGCCTCTATTCATCTTTTAGCCCTCGACCTGGTGTAGCAAAATGCTAACAGTTTGTATAGACACTTGAGCAAGGAATGCACCAAGCCGAAGGACTGGTCCCGCGTTCAGTGTTCTAACTGCAAGAAGATGGGCCATACGAAAGTTAGATGCAAGGAGCCCGTCGCTGACGAAGACGGATTGGGCGGAGGAGATACCGGTGGGCATACTGGTGGATTTTCTGGTAACAACACTGGTGGATTCGCTAGCAACGATGCTGGCGGATTTGCTGGTAACGACGCTGGTGGATTTGCTAGTAATAACACTGGCGTCGTTGATTTCTCTGGTGCTGGTTGGGAGGACCCTTCCAATACCGTTGAGTCCGAGTGGTAAATCGACATCATCTGGATGTTCCTCGCAGGCATCCTTCATAGGTGATGTTTGCAAGCATACGTCTCGGGTATTGTTTGCAGGCATTCCTCTCAGGTATGTATGCTTCAGAGGCATCCCATGGGTCTCCCTTTTGCTCGAGGTGTATTTCGTGAAAGGTTTCTCTACTAAGCAGTTTCTCTATTTCAAAAACGGGGGGTTTGCTGTTTTCGCTGTACCAATCCTGGCACCTGAGTCGTCAAAGGCGTAGTTAGATGTCTTCTAGCAATGCAACTCATGGTAACCAATGAGATACGGAGTGCTAGTGCTTATTTGACGCTCGACGTTGAAGACATGTTAAAATATTGGGCCCACCACTGGGTAAGCTCCCTCACAAATTGTTCGGTCCCAGACTTGTAGTGGCACGTCCCAGGTTAGGACTGTATCATTGGTATAATGTTATTCCTTGTTTCGACGATAAGAAAAGTGGTTGGCAGTATTGAGATAATAAAGGTACTAGCCAAGCAGCTCTCCCACCTTGTGGTTATAAGAGCAATGAGGTTTTCTGAAGCACATACCATGCTCGTAGCAACCGTCAGAAACGAGATATGAATTAATGGCCTGATCCGGATAATAGAACGTTGGGGCCGGCTTCAGGGAAGACTTGATTCCTCCACACACTCCACCGTTATTGCAGCTGCAACTGGGTAGTCCCAGGTAGCATGGATAATCGCTGAATGACGTTGGTTTGTATGGGAATCTGGAGTTAGATTACACGATGTCAGGGTATGGCGATCCCGTCCAGCCTCCAGGCGACAATGTTTACATCTCTGTCGTGCTCAGGGGTTCAGGGGGCCAGCTGGCGGTGGCCTCAGTGGCAGGTGACGGGTTACCGCTTTAGGAACTCCGGGCCCTGCTCTGGTCGGTTACATGGGATTTGGTCGCTCGACTCACCCCCGACTTCAACCTCCACTTGGGCCTCCTTCTCCGCATTGCATTATATTTATTCGCCGATGTTTCGAATGCGGAGGGATTGGGCAGGGTGCTGGATATACGGATATGGTTGATGTCGAGTGTGGAGGAGGACTGCATTAATAACAGAACTTGAACATACGAAGTACTCGAGTACCTCTCCCTTACCTACCTCCGGATACAAGCCGGGTCTAGGCGGCAAACCCCGATTTTTGCCCCCAAGGTTCTGAGGTTCAGAGGTTCTGCCGTCTGCCGGTCCAAATGCCGCTCGGCCCGTGGACGGGGCTGACACGTGATGCATAAAACCGGGGCTCGCTTCCGACGCCAGTTTGGATGACTTCAGTGGCGTTACGTAAGGCACTCGAGTAGAGTATACGGAGTAGGGATCGGATTTTTCACGTTATATAATTATATAATATTGTAAGATTTACGTTATTATTATAGGAGGTGCTGCGTTATATAATTGCATAAAATTAAGCACAACTCTTGCATAGCTATGCATAAAAAGACCTTAAAATCAGGGCAAAAACTAGGTAAAAACTATACCTCCAAGGCCTAGGAGATTTTAGCATTACCTAATAAAAACTAAGCCTAATATAGTGTACGTTAGTCCTAATGCGGTTAGTTTTATCACGTGGTACAATTACATTATAATAGCCCAAATCGCACGTTATTATGGTATAATCACTAAATGGGCAAATTATATATAAAGGCCGATCCCTAATACGGAGTACTGCGTGCGGGATCATTACTAACAATGCGAAGCAGGTCAGCGCTTTGCCCGTGTTTACGTACGCAGCGCATTGTACTGTGTACGGTGTAACGTTTCTCCGTAAGATGCATTCAAAATCCAAGATCCAAGATCCAGGATCCAATAAGACTATTATTATTCCCATACTTGTATGTACTGTACATGTACCTCCTGCATCCTAGTATACACTCGTCCCTTGGTCAGCCTTGCCACGGTTGCCCCCTTCCGGAAAACCGAGTCTGGTCTTGCTGACCACCTCGTACGGCGCAGCTTTAGACCAAGTTTAGTCCCTCTTTGGGCACTCCTAAGCCCCTAGTCCAGCGCCCTGAGCCCTGAGTCCCTGAGTCGTCCGCGTCCCGGCGTCCCCCAAGCTGAAGCCTTGAAGGCGGCCTGTAGATCCACAAAATCCCAACGCCGCCAAACGGCCCCCCGGGATTTGGACACGGCGCCCATGGGCCTGGTAAAATTTTCACCCACATTGTTAGTCCAGCCAGTATGGTGCAGTACGAGGGGGGCAGGCGAGGCGAGGCCCGGCGACCCCATGGGCAGGGAATCGGGGTGCAGCTTCTCGTTCCATCCCATGTGGTAACGTGGGTACGAAGGGCTCACAATTATGATAATAATGGAGTCGAAGACTGACAATGGAGGGGAAAGAGTCGCGGAGACCCCAGAATGTACGTAGCATCACCGGGGCCTTATCCTAATACGGGCATCCATCCCATCGATTGCCTCCCTTGGTACATGTGCAGTGTACCGATGTCCTGATAGTTGGTTGAGCTCCCCCAGACGCTCTCCGGATGAACCGTTTCTTGGGATCGTCTCCCGCTATACTCATCCCGGAAGACAGCTCGGGCAGGTCCTGTACATAAATGCTGGACGGCCCGGTTCAATGTTGATCTTTCTCATGCCAGATCCTCCTCCCTCTATTATTGTTCTTGTTCTATTTTGTCTCTTCCAGCGGGACGGCACGAGGTATTAATATCCTGATTGATTTATCTACTACTTTGCCTTTTCATTCCCATCGACCGCCATAGAAGGAACTCCCAGTATGTTTGGCGGTTCCAGGTACTTTGGCCTGCGTGGCCGGCAGTTGAACCTCGCGGTCGGTATACTCGCGGGTGTGGATTTCTTGTAAGTGGCACCTTTTATTTGTATTTGTTGACTGGTCGAGTGGATGGGGTTTGGAAAAAATTGTTCATTATTCCCGTGGCTCAAATACCTTGGGCTTCCTTGGACCACATTGTTCGGGCACAAGGTCGTACAATGTCTTGTGCAAGGGAAAGTGGCGAAGAAGGTTTCGAGGGAATCTCGAAAAACTGCATGGCTACAATGGACCGCCAATATGATCCAGATATTACCGCGCATGTTTGGAACATTTGGTGGCTTTATCAAAACCCACCTAGACTGGCCATGGATGGGGCGTGGTGCCAGTTTATATTTCATTTAATTCGCAAATTGTTGTTTCTTGCGGCCATGACTGACAAATATATAGCCTCTTTGGTTATGACCAAGGTGTTATGGGGGGTCTCCTGACCCTCGGAAGCTGGGTCAAACAGTTCCCAGAAATCGATGCGGTAAACAACCAAAACAGCCCTGACTACAACCATATCTCCGTCATCCAAGGCATTACTGTGTCGAGTTATAACATCGGTTGTTTCATCGGAGCTGTTATTACCATCTTTATCGGAGACATACTGGGAAGAAGGAAGATGATTTTCGTCGGCTCAGCAATCATGGTCGTTGGCGCTACGCTGCAAGCATCTGCCTACCACCTGCCTCATCTGATCGTTGGGAGAATCATTACCGGCTTTGGAAACGGCATGAATACCTCTACTGTGCCAACCTGGGCTTCAGAGACCTCAAAGTCTCATAAGCGTGGAAAGATGGTCATGATTGAGGGCGCTATGATTACTGGCGGTATCTGCCTCAGTTACTGGGTGGACTTTGCATTCTCTTTCCTAGAACCCAGCCCCGTCTCGTGGCGATTCCCTCTTGCCCTGCAGATTCTCTTTGCTCTTATTCTCCTTCTATTCATTCTAGAATTGCCTGAATCCCCCAGAGTAAGTCTTCATTGAGCCAGGTACCGAGGGAATTTGGCAGCTAATCTTTTCATAGTGGCTCATCCTCAAGGGCGACGAAGCCGAAGCTCTTTCCGTCATCTCAGCCTTGGAGGACAAGCCTGAGGACGACCTGGTCGTTCGAACCGAGTTCACGGAAATCAAGGATTCGGTACTTGAGGCGAAGGCTTATGGGTGGGCCGACCTATTCAGCATGGGCCCAGACAGGAACTTCCACCGGGTCGTCCTTGGATACGTCAACCAGGTTTTCCAACAGATCAGTGGGATCAATCTCATCACGTACTACGCCCCCACCATTTACAAGCAGTATATGGGATTGGAAGGTCTTACCCCCAGCATCTTGGCCGCTTGCAACGGAACGGAGTATTTCATCGCATCTTGGTTCGCAGTCTACACCATCGAGAAGTTTGGACGACGCACACTCATGCTTGTCGGCGCTGCAGGCATGTCAGGATCCATGGCCATCTTGGCTGGCATGAACTACATGTCGCAAAGTGATTTGGGTGGCTCAGCTCCTGGTATCGTGTCGGCCCTCTTCCTCTTCGTCTTCAACACCTTCTTTGCTGTCGGCTGGCTTGGCATGACTTGTAAGTTCCCCACCGCCTTTCGGCAATATATTCGAGTATATCTAACTTCACCCAGGGCTCTACCCCGCCGAAATCGTCCCTCTTAAGATTCGTGCACCAGCCAACGGTCTCTCGACCTCGGCGAATTGGATCTTTAATTTCATGGTCGTTATGATAACGCCAGTAGCGTTCAGCTCTATCGGTTACAAAACATATGTTATATTTGCCGTGATTAACGCTTTTATCTTCCCGGTCGTCTATTTCTTCTATCCCGAGACCGCATACCGCTCCCTGGAGGAGATTGATGATATCTTCCGGAAGACGAAGAAGGGCTGGAGGGCTTGGTTAGATGTTGTATCCGTGGCCAGAAACGAGCCCCTCAGATACGGCAAGAACGGCGAGTTGTTGATCGATTATACCAACACGGACGATCATGTGAGGAAGATTGAGAGCAGGGCTGGTACGAATGAGAAGGGACAAGACGCGGGGGTTGAGCACGTCAATCAAAATGGCGTTGGCAGCGTTTCAAGCAGTGATCCCGAGAAGGCTTCAGGTGACAATGTGTAAGGAATGAATATGGGCGAAAGAATGGGGGGCGTTGGTAGACGCAAAACGCTGGAGTATATACCTTTCTACCAGAATCTTGGATTGGCTTCATAATAGAAGCGAAAATATAATTGCTTAAGAGTTAACTGCTTCTTCCCGCTATCATAGTGTCGCATTATGTTCTTCGTGTGTTTAACACATCTAGCTTCATTTTATGTAGTACTAAATTGTGTGGGAGTCGATGCCGTGCAGTGGCGTTTCGCACGCGAGACATCATGCTGGCATTCGCTTTTAGTGTGGCCCTTATCCCAGTTTAAGTAACCCCTTAAGTTTATACGTAACCGCTCTTATACCACTTTGCATACCCTTATGAGGTAAAGGGGTTTTTAAAACGGGGTAAGAGCGGTTACGTATAAACTTAAGGGGTTACTTAAACTGGGATAAGGGCCACACTAAAAGCGAATGCCAGCATGATGTCTCGCGTGCGAAACGCCACTGCACGGCATCGACTCCCACACAATTTAGTACTACATAAAATGAAGCTAGATGTGTTAAACACACGAAGAGCATAATGCGACATGGGAATTATAACTATAATACTCTAATGCGTAGGCTATCTAGGTAGATTGTGTAGGAAACAGTATGGGAAGGTGATAGATATCGGAGTCATATCTAGATAATGGCCGACAAAAGGGTTCTAATACTGCGCCAGGAAAGGAGCGCAGACGTTGCCAGGCTCTGCGTACTTCAACCCCATCTCAGTCAGTAAAGAGGGACGAAATCCAAAAACTCTATAATTATATTTCTATTCTAAAGCTTCTCAAACCTTGGTTTCGTCTTCTTCAAGCCACTCAACATCGCCCTCTCAACGTCACTCGTCTGAATAGCAGCACTATTCCACAAACCAGTATACTTCAAGCTCTCTGCAACCGCGTGGTCCCTCGAATGATTCAGCAACTCCTTTGTCCCTTGCACAGCAATGGGGCTCTTCTCCGCCAACAGCTTAGCCATCTCCATCGCCCTGCCCAGGGCAGCATTCTTATTCTCCAAAACGTGGCTGACGAAACCGACACGCAGGGCTTCTTCGGCGCCGAATATACGGGCGGTGAGACAGACGTCTTTTACCCAAGACGTGGAGCCCACAATTTTGGGGAGTCGCGAGAGAGTGCCAATGTCAGCTGCGAGACCGATGTCGACCTCTTTAACGGCGAAACTTATGTTAGAGGTGCAGAGTCGGATGTCAGCGCAGGTTGCGATATCGATCGCGAGACCGAGGGCGACGCCGTGCAGGACGCAAATAACAGCTATAGGTTTCAATTCTGTCAGTCAATGCCCCCCCCAATTATAAATCCAGCAGAATGGTAGGCGTGAGGAAGGGTATGAGAAAAGGCAGGTCCTACGCTTTGCACACTTCTCAATGCTCCCAATACAATCCTGAAATTCCTGCACATGCCGCCTAATCGCGACTGCTTTCCTCGCCGCATCATCAACTCCAGCTTGTTGTGCTAATACCCCTTCTTGGCTCGCGGCTTGCACGTCCAGTCCTGCAGTGAAGCCGCGGTCCCCTACGCCAGAGAGGATCACTGCGCGGATGTCGGGGGAGATGGAGAGGGTATCGAATATGGTTTTTAGCTCAAGCCACATCTCTTCGAAGAAGGCATTTATCTTTTTGGGCCGGTTGATTTGTACATGTGCTACGAAGGGCGCTGGTGTATCCACCAGGAAGTACTTGTAGCTGGAGGTCGCCATGGTGGGGTAATTGAGTAGAATTGCGAACGGATTTGGGCGAGAGATGTATGGTGAGTGTAGGGGCTTCAAGGAGGGCGGTCTTTGAAGAAAGGAGAATGGTTAATTCTAATAGAGAGAGCCGCAATAGGGCAATTGTTTGGAGGTGCAGGTGTTTCTGAAGACATGTTGATGTTGGCTATGGGGATTAAGCTTGACCTTGGGAGCTTCGGCTTCACGAGCGAGCCGAGGTTCACACCACAAAGGCCCGTGCCCCAGATGGATTCCAGCCAAAACGCTGCAATCTTTCACCAAAATAATAATAATAATAATAATAATAATAATAATAATAATAATAATACGGGTAATAGGCAATGGGAAGCTCACATTGCTATTCTCGAACCGTTCCCTATTCTATGCTTTTGCATATATCTTTGCCTTCCGACATTATTAGAATTTTATAGCGTTCTCTATATTATTTCTCTCGCGTGCGATAGCACGAAGGACCTTGTCCATCAACGCGCACCTCGGCGCCTCCCGAGAGCAGTACCTTTTTGGCTTCAGCTCAGTGTTAAAGATCCTAGGAAATTGATACTGAAATTCTACTGGAATATTCGATTTTCTTATCTCGATTTATCCAGTGAAAGGGGGAGTCGACGTGCTAGAAACGATGTTGAACGGCACCTAGAATTCCCCGGCACTGCCCTTATTCCGCTCTACGTCGTATTACTTCTCCGATTCATGGAGGTATTTCCCATCTTGATTCGCAATACGGAGGAATGACTTGTCGCCGGCATGGCGTCTAGCAGCAGCAGCAGCAGCAGGGCATATGTTGGAGACGTGTTGGTATCGCGGGTATTCAAGCTCCAATCACAAAATCCATTACACGTCATCCAAACAAATGCCGTCAGTTGCCACATACATGCTTCGATGTATTCTATGTGCGTGTTCACCAACTATCCCCCTCCCGCATTTCGGAAATTGACGCATGCAGCTTCCCTTCGATCTGTTCTCGCCAATTCGACTCGGCCACTGGCAGCGCGGGCGGGATTTGAATACTTCGTATCAGCGGTTGAGATACAACAAGCCAAGGGGACCCGGAGCATGAACCTAATGCTGTATCACTTGGTATTTCTCCGAGGAAGCACTGCAGAAAGGGAAGGGAAGGGGAAGGGGACGCTTTGTAAGTTATTGGCAATCACTTACCATCCTACGTGTCTAGTTGCGCAGGGAAGGCAGTTCGTATCTGGAATTCGTTTTTTGGGTTTCGAGAATGAATTGCCGCTCAAACAACACATCACACCGGTCACGAGCCTTCCACTCCTCGCGGGATACTCGAAATAAAATTAAAGAATGCTCCTGTTAGTGATCTACCGGGATGGGCCCAGGGATAGTCTCTAGGGCGATCGCCCACGATCCGTTGTGGACTCTGGGCTCTGGAGTGTGGAGGACAACGAGCCAGATGCCTGCGGTAATTTGCTCTATGGATTCGCCGGTCTGTCAGTGATAAGCTGGTTGGGCATTCATCTGCAGCGCTGTGCTCCACGGACCTCCGAAACCTTGCCGCATTGTTACTTCGCACGTCTACTTCATACTTCTTACTTGAGGAGGATGTTTGCGTTGTAGCCTATCTGAAAGGGGCTTGCACTGTTGCAGTCAAGCCTGCATCAAGCAGATCTGCAGTGACGATGCTTCTTGTGGAGATATACTTGGTAATTATTGATAGTAGGGAGCAGGTTGTCAGTCCCACGTGGGGTACCTTGGCTGTTGCTCCAATGCACCATACTATGAGTGATTATATGTATTTTTTTGTAATCCCCTACTCTATTCAGGCACGACAGTACTTGTATCTACCGAAGGTACCTCTCTATATCGAGACCCTTTTCGTACCTCGACTCTGTAAATACTTCGTAGGTTCCACCAGATGATATCGCGGTTCTGGAGCTGCCGATCTGTACGCTACGCATTTTGTACGTACTGTACTTGTACCTAGGTAGTCTAGTACCTTCGCTCGCAGTGCTTCAGAGAGTACCATACTCGTATTGTACTTCGTACTACTCGAGGACGAAATGAAACTCGCAAGCATCAGATCAACAACACCAACCAAACGCCGCCGCCTCCATGATCAGCCCACTTCCACCGGTCCACGGTAACAGCCGGTCGGCTGGAGCTGCGAAGCCATCTCCCGCGGAATAAAGAAAGTCACGCAGTGACGATTTGCGGCTGTTTCTGGAGTTTTTGCGCAGCCGATTCGTCGACGTCGCATGCGGAGACCGCCTCGAGACTCATGGCTCTGTGCAGCATCGGCCAGAGCAGTGAGGGATCTGCGAGAACTAGATCCTCCTCGAGGCCTGATGCTGGAGGTTCGATGCAGCGCTGCTGCTGACGTGCAGGCCCAACGTCTTTTTCTCCAAATCTACGCGCCTATGGATCTATTATCTCGCCCCTCACCGCCCCCGACGCATTAATTGCTATTTGCGACAATACGTGCTAAATCACCCGATCGGGCCATTATTAAGTCGGATTAGGGGGCCCTCGTCCTCCCCTACGCTCCTTGCCGCATCCATACAACGAAGGGGGCCATGCTACTTCGTCCTGTACAGCACCAGCACCAGCACCAGTACCAAGTAAGTACTCGTACCCTTCGACGCTCCGCAACGTACTCGTACGAAGACGCAGCATCAACTCGCTGCCTCCCCCGGCTCCCCTCTCGTGGCCATTACCTCGCAGCCTGGGCTTGTTCCGTCGAAAACCATGAATACCCAGCAACTCTCTGGTCCTGGCGACTGCTACTCTCGAATCGACCGAGGGGTCGCATAATACTCCCGGCAGCCTGCACAATCTGACAACCATGCCGTGTTACTGCGTCCGTTGCTTTTTATCGCGGCTATATGGTGTCTTGTCATGAGATGGGCTTTTGCTATACAACGAAGACTAGGTAGGACAAGGTCGATAAATGTAAGTCCGGTCCAGTACGGTGGATCTATTTCCAATTCACCCCTCCGGCACGGCTCCTCTGAATATGTTTCCATTGGGGCGCCTCTTATACTGCCATATATCATCATCTTCCACGAGACCATCTACATAATCACTAATTGTTGTCTGGCAGATCGCCCAAAATGTTCCAAATCGACGAGCACAACCTCCCGGTTGTGCAAACTCGCCAGGCGCTCTTGTTACTCGATTTACAAAATGACTTCGTCTCGACCGACGGTCTATTAGCTGTCGACGAACCGCGAGACTTTTTGGACAACATTCTCGAGCTCCTCCCACATTTTCGAGCCTCCAAAAACAATGTCATATGGGTTCGTAGCCAGGTGGGGGCCTCACGGCCGGTCAACCAGCTCTCGCGGGACAGCGAGAGTGTGATAACAGACGACCAGCTATTACCAGGTCACCGTCGCGCGGGACAGAGAGTCCGCCCTATGCCCTCCCAAAAACTTCTCGAACGGCATAGTAGAATTGCCATGGCGAATGGCCTAGAACCTAGCATCAATAATGAGTCGATAGAGGTGGATGATGGAGAGGAGGAAGAGGAGGAAGGCGGCATAGAGGAAACATTTCTGACATTCTCACCCCACACAAAACCCCGTGTGGCGCTCTCTTACTCCCCAGGGGGGAATTTTGCTGGGCAAGCGGTTAAGGCTATGGATATGACACAGGATTTAATTTTCCAAAAGTCGTACTACTCAGCTTTCAAAGAAGGAACCCTTCTCCAGGTCATGCGAGGAAAGCTGGTCACGGAGATTTTCCTTTGTGGTTCCTTGACCAACATCAGTGTCTTTGCAACCGCAATGGATGCTGCTCGTCATGGGTTTGCCATCACCATTCTGGAGGACTGCCTTGGGTACAGGAGCAAAGCTAGACATGACGAGGCATTGAGGCAATTGACTTTGTCTACCGGCTGCGATATAATAAGTAGTAAAGAACTTATTCATGATTTGAGTCTCAAGGCAGACCTGCAATCTAAGCTTCCTAGAAATGACCAGCCTTGGGTCCGAAAAGGAGATGATCTAGAAAATAGGATGGCGAGGCTGAAATTACGACGAGCTGGACAATCTTCCTCGAAAAGACCCGCAGGCGCAAGTGAAAATACACGGGCAATAACCGCCGATGTTGCGGCGAGTTCAGGAGGCAGTCAAAGTTCGATATCATTGGAGGCTGATGAGGAGTGGACACCTCCTGTCAAATCAGCCGTGGCCGAAGGGAAGAAGAGAGAAAGGGTCCCGACGAAAATAAAGACTCGGCAGCGACATTTAAAACCAGGGCTTAACGGAATAGATGGAGCGGCAACGCATGGCAGGCGATCAATTTCTCCAACTTCTGCAACCTTGACGGGAGCTGCCCAAGCGCTTGAGAGTATCCTACCACACTTAGAAGCGGACAACGTGCCAGAGCCCAGTGCCGAATTGACAGATCCATCTGGAGCGCCGGCCAAAACCTCTGAGCAAGTTCCTTCAACGGAGATAAGGACGAACGGTGGATTGATAGAGGTAACGGGGGACCATGATCCAAAGGTTGAGCCCCCGACTTCTAGTCACAAAGAAAGCGGTTCGCCGAAGGGCTTGGAACGACCTTCAACAAAGCTTTGTGAGGGCGACACTACCATTATTACCGGACTTATCGATGATAAACTTGCAGATGGAATCTTTGAGAAAGTCCGCGATGAAGTTAGATGGCAAAAGATGTCTCACCAGGGTGGCAATGTTCCACGATTAGTGGCTGTCCAAGGCCAGGTTGAGGAGGATGGCAGCACACCCATATATCGTCATCCAGCAGACGAATCACCCCCATTATTACCTTTCTCCCCAACTGTTTCTTTGATCCGAGCAAAGGCTGAGCAAAAACTGGGGCATTCCGTCAACCATGTTTTGATACAGTGTTACCGGGGCGGGACAGACTATATCTCAGAGCACAGCGACAAGACTTTGGATATTGCTCCAAATACATTCATTGCCAATGTTAGCCTTGGTGCTCAGAGGACCATGATTTTCCGAACCAAAAGACTACCGAGATCCAACAGCTTTTTTGAGAGCGCTACAGTGCCAGAGCCTCGCCAGAGCTGCAGAGCGCCACTGCCACATAATTCAATGGTGAAGATGGGTCTGGTCACCAACATGCGGTGGCTGCATGCAATCCGACAAGATAAACGCATGTTAAGCGAGAAGTCACCGGAAGAACTGGCTTTCGACGGTGGTCGTATTTCTCTGACCTTCAGATTGATCGGCACATTCCTGGATAAAGATGAAATCAAGATTTGGGGTCAAGGTGCAGTTGCCAAAACAAAAGCAGAAGCTAGGACAGTCCTCAATGGAGTGACACCAGAATCTGAGAAGATGTTGAAGGCATTTGGCACCGAGAACCAATCTTCGGAGTTTGACTGGCAGCAGACGTATGGCGGCGGGTTTGACGTTCTCCACATTTCTAACAGCCGAAAACTCTTCTTATCCGGTGACGGTGTTGCAGACCTGAGAGTAAAAATTCTGCTGGCGGAGTACGGTATCGAGTGGGTGGAAGGAAAACTCTCCCCATCTTTCAACTGGAAGGATGGTAACTCCAGCGAGAATCCGCCGCCTATTCCAGAGGACCTGCCTGTCAAATTCGTGGATAACGACCTGAGTAAGTCGACTATCGTTGGTGACCTCGCTATTTTGCTGTATCTTGACACGGTCTATGCACAAAATCCGGGTGCTAAACCGAGATCTCAAGCCGATCTGGCGCAGCAGTTTACGCGTTTCCATCAGTGTTCCACTCTGCTAGAGAAATGGCGTGCAGTGCCATTCAGCATTAAACCCTTCAACCGAGAGATGGAACTTTGGGAGGCACATGCAACAGAAACACCATTCATTGCTGGCTCCGCTCTATCTGTGGTTGATTTTGCCTTGTGGCCCATTCTACATGAGATACATGGAGAATGGCCCGATCTTGGTGGCCATGGGAAACTATTTACTTATTATAGAAACTTGAGCAAGCTGGAGAGTATAAAGAATGTAGCTTATCCTGGGGATGGGCCTACTGAGACGACGGCTTAATATTAAGCAAATGGGGGGACGTTGCTATAGAGTAAGCCCTACGGGCATAGGGCTTCTCTGTATCTAAGGCCTTATTATGTTAAGGATCTGATTTTGGGAAGGCAGTTGAATGTAAATAGTTTAATGGAATGAGCCCGCATAGAACAGCATGATCAACGTTTATCGGGAAATATAAATATAACACGCCACGGAATCTGGGCACTGGACTTAATACTAAATGTTATTTAACAGTTATTTTCCCTACAATGCATATAATCAACCCTCAGTGCACTTGCTTGTATGACATCAAGATCTCTCTACCATAGCATCATCATTTCACTTGAACGTAAAGTTTCCCTGGTCACAGATTCCCTTCCATCCCCCTTTCTCCACCGTACTCCCCTTCGCTTCTCTCTCAGCCCACGCCCCCTCAACACTAACAGCAAACCCAAACCCATTCCCCTCCCCCTTTTCAACACGCAACCATCCGCCCCATCCCGTACTAACCACCAACTTCTCAACCTTTTCAGCCACTCTAGGAGCCATTCCGGTTCCCCCTAACTGCTCCCCAAGTATAAACAAACCCTTCCACTCCCTCCCGTTACTCTCATGTTTTGCATACAGCATGTAACTCTCTACACTCTCCAACGTAGCCTGAAAATTGGCCTTGGTAGGTCGGAAGACATGGATATGTTTTAATTCTCCCAAGGGCAGGGATGGTAGAAGGTGGCTAGGTGAGAAGCGGTGGGTTAGATCAAGGACGGCTAAGGTGCTTTTCGGGGAATATGGAGTTGGAGATAATAGGGAGACTATAAGCGCATATATTAGAGGGAGGGAACGACCGGATATGGCAAGAGTTTTGTTTCCACGGGCGTGGATAAGGGTGTCGAGGGGCGGGATGTTGGTTTTTGAGTCCTGATGATCGAAGGGGTGGGATTTCCGGAGGGAGGAAAGGAGCTGTTGAAAGGAGGCTGATCAGCTGATTTGCCGAGTTCATTAAGGTTGGCATGAGGCTATCGATAAGAGATGAATGAAGCATTAGGGATGAAACGAGAGAGCGACATACATCCTCTAAGCTCTCTTCTTCACTCGCGATTTCCCGTAGCAATCGCGCGCCCAGGAGTTCGGTTGACGATATCATCGTGGTGGGGTTCGCCATCATTAATGGTCGTCCTTCTCAGCTCCAACACTTCTCTCCTCCCAAGTTCCCCAGAACCAATCCGAATTTCTTCCACCAAACTCCTCACTCACTCAATTCAACCTCTCAAACCATGGCACCGCCTGTCGAGCTCTTCCACGCAAACCCCTCCTTGCCTTACCAAGCTCAGGTTAGTCTCAAGGGCAATAAGCGCAAGGATTTCGACGGCGATCTGAAGAAATGCGAGTTACTCGAGATGCTGCAGTATGATTGCGAGGTTGACCAGCCGGATAAGAGGAATAGTCCGGTCAGGTGTTGGCCGCTAGAGAGGTTTTTTCGCCGGTGAGTTACTCTGGTTGTGTGTGTTTGCTTGCTGTGCTTGAGGTTTGGCTTGAGTTAGGTGTAGTGGGCCGAGCGATTGGAAGTAGGATGAGACGAAGGTTGCTGATCTAAGGTTCATTTCGTATAGGTGCCGAGATCGCGAGGGGACATTTATGGTAGAAACGACTTCTTGGGAAGGGGAGAAGGAGAAGAAGTCTGCGAGGTTAAAGGGGAGGAGCACGGAGTGAGAAATGTATTAATATTTTATGACTTGCGCGTCACGAGGATGCTGGTACGAAACATTACTACCATTTAAAGCGGATGATTTTTTTAAGAGACCTAGAACAATCGTTTACAGTATTTTTGCGGCCTTGTAGGTTATCGGTTCGAATACATCGTGCTGTCTACTTCAGCTAGTCTGCCACGTTAAAAATAGTGTTGGGTCCCCCCGTATTTAAAATTTGAGATTTGGTCAAATGATTATACAGCGTGCCTTTGCTACGTGATGAAGCCTCCTATATGTGTGGTCTTCTACCAAATGTACATGTTCTTCCCCGTATCCCAGAAGGGTCAACTGTCCCCTGTAGACAGATAAAGTGATCCTGCCCCAACGCCTCGCTGAAAAATGCTGTAAGTATCCATGCTAGTAGTTCATTCCCATCCCCGTCGATATCCGTATTGCCTCCCACCCATAATCTTATGATATCTCTGCGGGGGGCTTCCTTTTCGCCAACGCTCCTTTTCGATAATACACCCTATCCGAATTGACGATCATGCTCCGATCATCGTTTTCATTTGGCTTCTCAAGCCCCGATTTTCTCTTGCCAGCCATGAAGTCTTCCATTGTCTTCTCCCATAACTCATGCCTCTCCTTACTTTTCGGATCTTTACTTGCGGCCTTCTTGACGTTCTTCTCCTTCCCAGCCTTACTCACATTAACGAAACGACGAAGTGCTTCTTCACCCTGTCTCGCTGATTTAGAAGCTTCCTCCCGAATCTTCCTCGGGTCTGTCTCGCGACTAGACTCTTTCTCCGTCCATCTGTAGGTATGCTTGCTGGGAAATGAGGGAAATCTCTTCGGAATATATATCTTTGCCTTCTTCTCCGGTGCTCCGCTGAGCTCGTTTGCAAACAAAGCATCTATGGAAACTGTACTGCCCGCTTCTGGAGGGTCTGCCTCAAGTTGGATGTGTAGTTTAGATGAATCGACGGGATTTTTGAGATGTGGTTCTAGGGATAAAAGTGGTAGGTCGAATCGGGAAAGGGCGTATTCAAAATCGAACGGCATAGGATGTATTCTTCTTGAATTGATCATGTGTGTTGCCACCTTGGAGAGGAGGTGTGCCGCGTCTGATGGAGTTTAGAGTAGGCCAGAAAAGTGAGGACTATATACTAACACTCTTCAACTTCTCCACAAAATGCTTCCAGGGCTTCTGGAGTAGCCCCGTCAAAGCCAACATGCTGCAATGCAATTGCGACAGATCGTGAGAGGAGCTGCTTTGGATCGTCGTCGAAGAACAGTGTCCTATCCACGTGTATATTAAGTGGCTCCTCTGGTGGCGGCGTTCGGGGAAGAGTGGCTTCTACGCATCTCTTCTTGCTTAAGGGCTCATCCATAGTAGTATCGTCGTCGCTCGGTGACGGCGTAGAACGTTTTCGTGAGACTGGAGAGAGAGGAATCATGGTCGCAACTTCGTTCCCTTTTTGGTTGCAGGTATTAAATAGAGAAAAAATCACCTCCACTTCCGCAGCTCTCTCATTATCGAAGCTGGATCCCACGGTGACGAGTGTTGAGGGTGTCTTGCGTAATGTTGGTTGGTATAAACGTCCGTAGCCTTGGACGTGATTCACGGCTTGAGCCTCGAGGAGGTCGCAATCGCGGCGACAGCGTGATCACGTGCTCGGCTTCGGTCCGCTTAACCTCAATTCCATCGTTCGATTCAACCTCCTGCTCTCATTACGACAGAACCACAATTGAGAACTTCCCTGCAGAGTTCACGAACCAAGCACAATGGCAATCAAACCAATTACTGGAGTAAGTCTATTCGCGTATTCCTCGGACCCGTGAGATGGATATGGTCCACGTTGTGGATGCTCCGGAATTTTGTGGACTGACGAGTGAACCCTAGATGCTCCGACGGGGCCTCGTCCTTGACCTCAGCGTCGCTTTCGGTACGTGATGCGAAGTTTGAGTTCGCTCAATTCCTCTGATGGCTGTGGAGGGGGAGCTTTGTTGGCGCTATTCATGATACCAATGGGTTGGACGGGAGGGCAAACAGCTGATGATCTACACAGGTCTTGGAACATCATTCGGATACCTCTTCTGGTTCGCCATATTTTCCTCGACCGGCCTTCTGGATTTGATAGCTAAAATTATTACCAGGTACGGCTACCACGTCCCTGCGGTCCGCAAACGGGACAATTTATACGCAAGACTCGAAGAACAACGAGCAGCGGCGGCAGCAGCCCAGCAGTAGGCGGATGTGGAGGGATTTAGACGGACGGACGATCGGATTTGCCATTGGTATGGTTGTTAGAGATGGGGCGACGAAGAACAGTGCGGGACGCAAGGGAATCAAGCTGTACACTACCAACACCTCCCAGCTCCTAGCAATGCATAAATTTCCTTGAATCATTCCGCATCTACCTATTTGGAACGGTAAAGCTAAGTCAAGTACTTTGCGTGCTGATCACACCTATGACCGGAATTTGGCTTTTGTGATGCATCTTAAGTTTTGTTTGGCAACATAATTATTGCGGAGCTGTCAACATCTATCAAGCTATGCCCATCCTACCTCTAGCTGAGGGATCACGGCCGCCCCAAGATATGCACAGCCTGCTCAAGTTATGGTCAGCTCTAGCAGTTCTGCTATTTCAAGATCAGAACTTTACTACAAACCAGTTTTCTCAACCTTGCTTTGATACACTTTAGCAGATCATAAAGCCTTTTCTTTATATGAGCTCAAGAGGTGGACTTCATCATGCTATTCAAGATGTTTAGACAACTACACGGATACATTATGGTTCAGTGCTTCGGTCTGTCCCTTCAATCGGCTCTCTCGAAGTATTATGTCCCTATCAAAAATCGGCAAACGAACTATGAATGCCTTGTTTTCAATTGTTCAGTTGTTGCGGTCACCTTACTTGCGACCTATATTGAGCTATCTTTGCCGTCGCTTAGGCTACATAGCTTCTTCTCTTCGTTCTTTAGGCGTGCCAACAAACAATACAAGGAACCATATACAAAGCTTCCTGTTCGTTGCTAAATATCAGCTTACTGCATGACTAGTTCCTGATTTCGCACAATTTCTAATCTTAAACTTACCACATCGTGGGCAACCTTTCTTGCTGCAAATTTGTAATTAGCGGGCCAAGGGAGAGAGTAATAACAGTACTTGTATCTGGTGCAACCTGAGACGGCGCTTTACAGGTAGAAGCTGGCTCTCCTACATCCAAATACATCTCTTTTGCGAACTCTAAGACTGGTTTCTCCACGTGTGTATCTTCTTCAGTCCTTGGCATGATCATTCAGGCTCGAGCCAACTACTACTCGTACCTATGGCGCATTCTTGGGCGACTTTGGTGCAAAACTCTTCTCGCCAGTATTATAAGGTCCGACCTAGATATAAATCTGATGTCGTGTAATATCTCACTAGAATTGAGGTATTCAAGTTGTATGAGTATCACTAGGATTGAGGTAACCTCCACCAGACTTCGCGCGTGTTCGGTATGGAGTAAAGGCGTCGCGCCCAATACTATAACGCGCCATACTTTGTGCGAATCACTGAGCGGCGAAATAAGCTACAATTCACACAAAGGAGATGCACACTCCTCCGTAGTCAAGCTGTCAAAATACTCCTCGCTCGTCTCTCCCATTCTACTGCCTTGGTGATCCACTGCACCAAATCCTAACATCATCAGCCATCATTTCCCCTCATTCAACAACATTTTTCTAATGTCAATCGACCGTCGCCTCTGCATCTGCCACTCTCCTGCTGGCTTGTATCTCCTTTTCATGACTGAATCGTTGTGGTAATACCTGGCATTGTGACTTGGGATGTCCAAACTCCTAGCGAGCAATCGCTGATTGATATGTGTCGCCGGATCGAGAAGGAGCTAGGCCTAATCGGCGGCCTCAACGAAGGTGACCGAGTAATCCAACTTTCGGATGGAATAGTAGTCAAATATGGACATGGCGTCACTCCTACTGAAGCCGCTACACAAGCGTTTGCATATCGACATGTCGACCGCAGTCTTGTTCGTGTTCCTCGGGTCTACCGATTCTTTCAGGATCGATGCGATGTATCCTGGCCAAAGGGCTACCTATTCATGGAATATGTGCCTAGCAGGAACTTAAAAGACCTTTACCTTAGCATCCACAAGGAAATTATCCCACGCGTTGCAAGTATTATTTACACCTTGGTCAAATTCCCAGTGGTCAGGTGCCAGGCCCAGTGGGCGGTGGTGAGCTCCGAGGATACCGATGGGACAACCTGCAGTTGTATCTCAGATACGAATAGCTGGCTCAACAAACGCTTAACTGTCCGAAACGAGTCTACAGATTTGACGCCTTATCTCCTTGTTCTATGCCACGTGGATCTGTGTCGTAGGAACATGATTCTAGATCTGGAGGATGACAGCATGCCAATCGGCCTCGTTGACTGGGGCCATGCTGAACTGTTTCCACTCTTCTTTGAAATTACCACGATTTCTTGCTTAAATCCTTACGAGGTTCAGTATCAGGATTTTCTTCTCCAAGCCGCAGAAATGCTGTTGCATTTGACAGAGGACGAGAAGCGTCTGATGAAACTGATGCAAATTGTTCGTGCTGCCAGTTTGCGGCATCTTTTGTCAGGGTGCTGAGCCGTCATCTGATGATACCGGCTGACTTTTTGGCAACGAAAGAGACGATGACGACACCGGCATGCCCGCTGGTATTGCTTGTTGGGGTCCGCCGCCGCCTCTGTCTGGCCGTTGAGCACACGGTTGCCGTAAATGGGGCTGAGCGTTCTCCCCAAGTCTATAATGGGAAGATATATTAGGCTTTGAAAGTATTTAACTTTACCCGGGATCGTCAGCCATCAAAGCCGGGAGTGGAAAGATTCGCTTCTTTTTTATACTTCTGGGGATTCTTCTCCAGAATGGACCTGTCATATTAATTGTAATGATGCAGATATGCAGGAACCTAAGGTACAGTTCGCAGTAGCGGATCGAAGAATCTCTAGTCAAGTTAGAGAAGACCAAGAAGAAGTTGAATTTTGGGATTCGGGGGTATGTGAACGAAGCGTAAGGTGGACAAAGAGCGCTGGAAGTTGGGTCCCACGACAGTATGTTATTTCCTCTACATCAGCTAGATGATCCGTGTCCTGTTCAGTCATCAACAAGTTCGTTTAATTATGGAATATCAAGAAGTACTCCTGTCCAAGGTACGATCTCGTCATAGAACTCCGAAAACCACCACGCGAGGTGCTGTGAGAATCTGTCAGCAAGCGATACTTATCTCAAGTATAAAGAAGTTTCACCGTTTCAACATTGAAGATATGGATATCAGAATCCGATATCGCTTCGTCAGAGTTCATTAGAAAGCCAATATCAGTTACTATCCTATTCTTCCCAGATATTGACATTCTAAAGTAGACGCTACAGATACCTAGCAAGTCGCTGTCATGAATACAAGAGTGTTGTGAAACACCAGGGTTATGCCATTGCCCAAGGACTGCAGTTGTACCGCTAACATATTGTATCAACATGCCTGTGTAGCGATTGGCGACGCGGCATAGGTCGACTCTGCGGAGGTGATTTAGGGTTGCGACTGACAAGAAGAGATGGTTAGGGGCAGCAATCTGTGAGTAAGAAGGCGAGGCGTGATATTGAAGCGGCTGTGGAGAAGGCCCTTCAGGAGAACCATCACCAGTGATGCCTAAATTCTTGGTGGACTTTGGCCATCTCGAGTTTTCATAATAGATCCCCGAGACGCACCCCTTATTCTTCAGGAGAATCCACTTCCATTCACCCTGCAAAATCTCGACTTGGTGAATATAACGTCCGAAAGAGTATGTTCTTCCGAATGTTGTTTGAATCTAGTAGACAAGGTTAGCCAAGACCGTGTTGGAGGGCCATCCAGCTAACATCTAGCGCCGGTTGATTGTAAGCCAGACTATAATCATCATCAATATGTAGCCAGATGTAAGCTACACGCTCATTTTCCTGCATTGGAAAGTATTGAGGGCAGCCGACGCGGAATCCTAACAGCCGTGTCGTTTGTCTGAAATGGGCTTCTAGTCCAACCATGCTACTGGAACTGGTGTATATAGTAAGGCCACTAATATATTCGTCCCCATGGAAGAGATCTAAATATCTGAAGAACCGTCGCCTAAGAGTCTTTGCGAACCGACTAGGGTTGCGAGGGTTTCCACGGCAGACAAGTAAAGCTGATTCTGGATCGACGAATGATGAAGGAAAGTTGTATTGATCCCACATAATTTGACAAGTTAAATACGGCTCTGAGCTCAATATGTTGCTCGCACAATGTAAATCCTTTATAGATTAGTAGAGATATTTATATCATAAATGTAACAACTTACATTATAGTTAAAGCGAAGAACGCGAACGCTTCCTCGTATTGACCCATGCCAGGTACAGCCTGTGCTTGGAAATTTGCCGATCCAATCCGTTTCCCACTCAGAACCGATGAGCTTCACTGCACAGATACCACCAAGGCTCGTCACGAATTTCACCTCTTGAATAATTCCAATAGCTTGGCAATTTTCCTCCGAATACTCGCTACAAACTAGATCTTGGATATACTCTCTCTCGAAAATGGTGATCGTCTTCGCAGCTAGATAATAACCCCGTTCGAGTACTATCTCACGGCTGCTGGGGGAATGCAGATTCGTAACTAAACGGGATGCTTCACCTGCTATTATGACGAAAGCGCTATATGGTGTTAACTCACCCAAATACTCGCAGATACAGGATGTGATTTCTAAAGGTAGCTCTAACGAAGCAGGCAGCTGAAGCGCAGCTATAAAAGACGTGAAATGCGCAGCGAGCGTCTTGACGGTGCCGACTCGGTCGAGGTGGTATTCATGTCCTGCGACGTCTTCGCAGATATTCTCCCAAATTAAAGGATGTGGCATGAGACTTCGTACGAGCTTGTAGACCATTGATATAGAGCATTCTGGCACTTTCCACAGAAGAATTGAGTAGCACCAGCTGTGGACACAGAAGGCTAAACATGAAGGGTTTTGTTTAATTCGATCTTTCCATATTTGGAGTGGATTGCGACAAATAGTGATTATCTCATCCCGGGGGCGGCCGATCATGGGAACGGCAATGGAAAGACCGAAATCTCGATGGATGGCAAGTTCAGTGATTTCGATACCAGTCTCTTTTTTAGAATTTAAACACAAAACTAGCGTAAATCAGGACAAGATAGGTAATTGGGGAGGTAGGAGGCGCTTGCTGGCACGAAAATGAGACTGCCATGCATCAGGACCACGAGCAACACGTCTCGGAAATTGACCCCGACATAATGCGCAATTTTCGGTGGCTACAAACTCCTTGCGCCTAGGGTCCTCGGCCATAGCAGCGATGGTTATGAATAATTGGCTTCACAAGAAGGTTCAGAGTAGTCTGGTCTCGAGCCAGTGACGTTGAGATGCCCATGAGACAAACAAGCCACTCAGTAGAATCTATTGGGCCCAGGCGCCTAGTCCGAGTAACTGACTAAGCTACGGAGTATACTCCGTGCGAAGTACTGCAGACTCAGCTCTGAACGCTATGAACTCGCTACACCATCACAACAACCACAGCATGGAACCAACAAGCCCACTACTTCGTAACTCACGGGTTTGTACTGTCGACTTTTAAAATTCTCAACTGTTGAGGTCATAGCCGTGGCTAGCTACCATACTTTAGAGAAAATCAACACACTAGAGCTCTCATCACATTCTGTTGCTAGCAGCTGATCACTTGCTACCTACCTATTTTCAGCTTGAAAGTATTCATGCGGTATTGGGAACGTGCCTAGTCAGTTCTTCTCTGCTGCTCACCATTTTGCCTATAGCGTTCCCTCGTCCCTGTCACATTTGTTATAGTGATGTATTATAATATAACATGCTATATCTAGAGGCTCCGATTCTTCGAGGTTCGTACCTATCAAAATATTTATAGTATGGTGGCATCATCCCTCTCAATTAACATGGTCAACCATTTCACCCTTCTCCTGAATCTCTCTTGCCCTCGACTCCAGATCCTCCGCATAATTCGCCCTATACGCCTCCTTGTCGTGGAAGGGAACCACATACGGCGCATTCGTAAACAGATAGTTCATCTCCTCGAGCGGCAGTCCCTTGGTCTCAGGCAGGAAGGCCCAGAAAAATAGCGCGTTGGTAAAGTTACAGATGATGAATAGGAAGTAATACTTGTAGCCGATATTGGTCATTGCTATATCAGTGACTTGTCCGATTAGAGTGTTGAAGGCGAAAGAAACCATGGTGGCGAGGGAGACACCCTTCGAACGTGTGCGGGTGTCGAATATTTCGGCCGGAATAACCCAAGATAATGGACCACAGGTTGCCGAAAATGAGAAATTATATAACCAGGTCCTAGCAATACGTTAGACGAGCGAGGAACGAAGGCATTTTCTAGTAGGACTTACATGATGGTAAATCCCCAGGATGCTGCTTGGTTGTTGGTTGACCCAGGGGGGAATTGTGCTGTGGATACGTGTTAGCTACTTAATTTCTGCCGCTGATAAGATATCTTACCAATTAAAATACATGCAATGAGGAAGCAAACCTGTAGAGAACATTCATTAGCATATAATATGAGTGCCAAGACAATTCACCCTTACCATGTTGCACAGGTTGCCGATAATGAGCGGCCATCGTCTCCCAAACCTGTCAACAAACAGGACACAGAAAGCTTCGCCAACGAGCCCAATCACATTATTGATAGCCTGGTATTTGAGAGTGTCGGCGCTGCTGATGCCAATCTGACCATAAATCCTGACGCTATAATATTGGATTGCCGAAACACCAGTCATCTGAATGGAAGCTTGCAGAGCGCAAGCAATAAATAGGCGTCTAAAAGAGGATTTGTTTGTGAAAAGTTCGAGGTAGGATTTGGCTTCGTTTTCATGCTCATGGGTAATGCTCTCTTGAATCTGGTCAAATTCAGCTCTCACCCAAGGATCGGCGACGTTGCCGTTGGAATGGAGTCGAGCCAAGGTCTTTAGGCCTTCATCGGGTCGCCCATGGTCAATCAGCCACTGTCCTTGAATTAGCGAAGGTTTGAATACGCCAGAAAGGAGCAAATACACGAGGACTCTCTGGGAAAAGGAATATCAACCCTCCTAACACAAGAGCGGGAACTATCTGGATTGCCAGAGGAATCCGCCATTGAGCGGTCGAGGTCTTAATTGAGATGAAGGTGCCATATGACACCCAGCCTGCAACAAAAGAACCTATGCCAAGCATAAATTGCTGGAGGGAAGTAATTGTACCACGGATGGAAGGATGGGAGATCTCGGCCTGATATAGGGGGATGATCATGACCAGGAAACCGACACCAAGACCTGCCAGCCAGCGGCCAGCCCAGAGGAACTCCATATTCTGTGCGCCAGTCTGGAGGCCTCCGCCTAGAAGGTATATGATACATCCAATGACGATAGTCCATCTGCGCCCAAATCGGTCACCGCACTACAACGCATTGGTAATGAGTAAGTGACGTATTGGATTTAGGTTTGTACTAACTGGACCTGCTAGGCCCGCTCCGCAGAACGCTCCTCCGGTGAAAAATGATACAACGATGCCCCTATTATAATTATTCGTCAACTGCGAGGAGTCATCGGGGCCCGTGGTCCTTACGTCTGAACAGGGGTTGGGGTGTCAAAATAGGAAATGAAGGTTTCAGATGCGATACTGTATATGATGAATTAACGATAAGCCCTTTATACGTTTCAAAAGTCGGTACCCACACTCCTGCAATAACACCGAGATCATATCCAAAGAGGATAGATCCCATGGAGGCGAAGACGCCGACCAGGAACTAGACTTTAAGTTAGCATACAAGTCAGGTTGGACATCAAAATGCTTACCTGGTATATCTTCGGAGGGAGCGCCATTGTATCCAGTCGGGGAGGAGATGTTGCAGTCTTCAGAAATGAGATGTCCAAGTAATCTTGATGCAGCTTCAATCTACCACAGACGGGGAGTCTTTATAACAGGAAAATGATGGGCAATAGAGGAGAAATCTGCATATGCGGGGATCTGGGGTAATCTCATATCGTAAATCCTCCGTAGGTGAATAGCTTCATGGCTGTCACATGTTGAGCTCGTCGCCCACGGGGTCCCAGATGCCAGGAGTAGCTCGGGAGAATTCCCCATTGGCACGCATATCAACAGAAACGGAGAAAACCTCATCGGCCACGCTATCTTGTTGTGATACACGACCAAAGGGTGCAAGGGGACTACTCACGGCCTGTATCTACCACGGTATCCGTCATGGGCGAGAAGTAAGCTTTTGGTTCTGCTCCGAGCTGTAAGTACCGATGGCCTGGGAGGCATTGTCTGAAATGTGGACAAGGTTATTTCGACTTGGCGGGGTTGGTAACTTGAAGTGGACGGCGTAATTATCCTCCAGTCAGCGGGCAATGCTCGACCTCCGCAATGTTATATGCGCTCCAATCAGGCCATGCGCTACGATAACACCGTAGATTTGAGCTGTGACCTCGACGCCCCGAGAACCACTATATCTCGTTCGATGACAGGACCGCATAATAAAGGGATTCTTGGATGGGGGTGGTCCACGGTACTAAAGTCCACTCTTCGTAATGATGAAGAATATAAAAACATCTGCTCCGTTGTTGTCTTCGGTCCACGAGCTAGGAACGCAAGACAACTTTCCAACATAAATTCTAGAGGGACCTGACAATTTGACATATACCTAGACACACACGCGCTCTAAAAGTCATTAGAAAAGTATACTTTCCCAAATACGTGTACCTAACGGAGCTGAGTGGAATGACTACTTTCACCAGAATACCAGAGGGGGAAACCCCATCAATCAACGTTGACGTGTCAAGACGACTCTCAAAAATCGGTATGTGCCAATTATTCCAAGATATGAGATCAGGAAGCTTACTCGCATGTTGAACAGATCCAAATATATATGGCGGGTTTATGGAGTAAGTGCGGAAATATCCATTCACGACCAAAATGATACGGCATATTCAGTTCAGTCCAGAGCATACCACAGCTGACAGCTATCACCTAGACATATGGGCCGCTGCATCTACGGCGGCATCTACGATCCAGGAAACCCCCTCTCAGACACCAACGGCTACCGCACCGACGTCCTAACCGCGCTACGAGAACTCGATATTCCGGTTATCCGCTACCCAGGCGGGAATTTCGTCGCCACATATCATTGGCAAGATGGCGTTGGGCCTAAGGAAAACAGGCCCGCGAGACCCGAGCTCGCATGGCTGGGAACCGAGACGAATCAGTTTGGTAAATTGCTCTCCTTGGGATTCCTCTGGGTTAATGTTGCAAGTACTGACTGAGACTTCCCAGGCACCGATGAATTCATGCACTGGTTGAGCGTCCTCGGTGAAGGGCAGGAGAAGAAGATAGAGCCGTACTTTTGCTTGAATTTTGGCACTGGGACTTTGGATGAGGCATTGGCGTGGGTGGAATACTGCAATGGGACGCGGAATACTTATTATGCCAATCTGCGGCGAAAGAACGGCCGAGAAGAGCCATATAATATTAAATACTGGGCACTGGGCAACGAAGTAAGTTTTCCCTCTCACCACCAGTAACTCACTTATCTAAACAACAACACAGACGTGGGGACCGTGGCAAGTCGGCCAAATGACCGCCACAGATTACGCCAAAACAGCCTCCCAATGGGGAAAGGCCCTCAAACTCTTGGACCCAAACCTAATCCTGATTCTCTGCGGCGAAACAGGGACAACCTCCTGGGACTATGAGGTTCTCAAATCCTGCATCAAATACGTCGATATGCACAGCATCCACATATACACAACTTCATCCTCGCACGTGCCAAACGCCGTGGCTCCTCTGTCTGCAGAGCGCTCTATCGAGACCGCTGCGGCGCTTATTGATATTGCGCGCATAGAGAATAATATCCCGGCTACCGCCCCGCGGACTACCATCTGCTTTGATGAATGGAATGTCTGGGATCCTGTACGGGCGCTGGGAGAAGATGGGGCGGAGGAGTTGTATACGCTTTCTGATGCGCTGGCTGTGGGTGTGTGGCTTAATGTGTTTGTGAGGCAGAGTAAGTGGGTTGGCATGGCGAATATTGCGCAGAGTGTCAATGTCATTAGTCCGTTGATGACTACGAAGGATGGGATAGTGAAGCAGGCTACGTGGTGGCCTTTGTTACTGTTTAGTAGGTATATGCGGGGATGGACCGTTGGGACACATGTGCGAGGTGGTGCTTATGATGGGGTTACGGAGCCGGCTTGGTTGCAGGGCGTGCTGGAGCAGGGCGCTAGTTGGCTGGATGTTAGTGCTTGTGTAAATGAGGAGGGCGTGGTGACTCTTGCTGTGGTTAATATTAGCGAGACTGAGGATTTCGAGGTTGATTTGCTCGGGACTAGTAAGGATGTGGAGGTCTTCACTGTTACGGGGGATAATGTGAAGGCTGTGAATGTTGAAGGGAAGGAGGAGGTCGGCGTTAAGGAGTCTAAGTGGGATGGGGACGGGAGATATAAGTTTGTCAAGCATTCTATTACGATGCTTAGATGGCAGACTGGAGAGAAGATAGTCGAGGTTGGAAAAGAGGAGAGTATAAGGTTTGATGCAAGGAAGATGGTATGGAGTTAGGTTATGCTCCAATATCAAGACGATTAAATATTTACTCATGAGTAGTCGACAGATATCTTGTGAAGACAACGTTACACTAGCCGTGAGCACAAGGCGAACCAACAAATTTACTGAACGTGAATATTATATAAAAGAAAAAGCCAAGATAGGCGCTGCGACGTTTAAAATTAGTATTGTGGGGGGCCGACAGTCACGCGAAATTGGATGAAAAGGATCATTTGGTACATTTGATATCAGATCTATTTACCCCGTCCCATGTGCGAGGTAGAGGAGCTCCTCCAATGTTGATCGTTTAAGTAATTGGAAAATGAAAGTATTTGTAGGCGATTCCCTATGTCCGTATGCTTCATGTCGCTACCGTAAAGCCCTGTCATGACTCGTCATAAAACCACACACCCTCATCCGACGAATTCATACACAATAAAAATTATAGACAGATGGGTGTCCATGCCCGTTTCTCAGAGGGTTACAGTACCTTCCATATAATGGAGTGAGCTGGATAGTTTCCAACTTGGGCTCTTCACTCCGAATCTTTTACGAATCTTCTCGTCCAATCTGACCTGTGACTTGTATATGTCCCTGTCCCTGCCCCCGCCCCCATACTCGGGAATCTGTAGGTCTTCCCTTCAATTTTAATTGGGCCGTACGCTCGACTGTCCCATATGCACCTGGAATTGCGTTTAATCATGTCGTACTCTGCACGATTCCACATAGACTAGCGTGGGTGAGAGGTGTCGCGGCTCGGCAACTCCCCGCGCACATTTGCAGCGGCGTCCTACTGTTCTCGAGTGGCCGAGTCTCTGGGTAGTAGATCCCGTCGACGAATCTCCGTATCATTTAACCTTTAATTCACCGGCGAAAGTTTATCACAGCCAACTGTGTCATGTTAGTAATTTGAACATTTAAGGAAGGAAAGTCGCGAGACATACCGAGGTTCCGACACCGTAGGCAAGCTTCTGACCATGCGCGTCCCAGGAGAGCGAGTATTGATTTTCATCCGCAGCTGAGTCCTGTGACATTGGTGTGCGCCAGCCTAGCTGATCACTACGAGCCCAAGTTGCTCGTGGGAGTGCAGGGTCGTCAACCTTCCAGACGAATATACGATCAGTCGTGCCTCCGGCAATGAAAACACCATCGGGCGAAAATGCTAGGGAGACCACAGATGAGCCCATCGTCATTGAGCATCTAGATTTGATATCTGTTGACCGAGCATTCCATATACTGATAGCTCCATCCTCACCAGCAGATGCTAGCAAGCGCTCACTGTCGTCTCCGAGGGAAACGGGGAAGGGCAGGGGTTGCCAGATCAATGAAGTGATCACACCCTGATGGGCGTTGAATGAGTGGCATTGGCCCATGTGATCCCATATCTATCAAGTCGTCAGTATAACTATTAGGGAGGGGCATCATTCAGAATCATACATCGATCGTGCCGGTGTCACCAGCAGTGGCCAGCAGCTGGGAGCGCCAGTCAAAACTGACTTTGGAGAGCAAGTGGCCCTCACGGGTCTCGTATTTTCTCGTAGGGGATATGCCACCATCGACGCAGTGGAAACCCTGGAGGAGATCACCGCCGCAAAGGATAAACTCGTCGTTGGCCGTCCAAGCCACATCCAGCAGTTGTTCGTGCAGAGAATGACGGGGCAACACATGTTCGTAAGAGAGCTCGGTCGAGGGATACATAATGGTGACCACTGTACCGCGCCCTCCATCCTCCGGAGACAACGAGAGACAGGCGGTATTTGACGGGTTCCAACGGAGGCATATCACGGGCGATTCGAAGCTGTTAAAGGAGGCCGACGGGGTGCCGGCGACGGTCCAGTAGTCAATCTTCGCGGTGCCATCATCGAGAGGCTCGCTGGACACGGCGAGCGACGCTCCATCGGACGACCATGCCAGGCCCGTGACGGTGGTGGTGGGGGGCGCGCTGGCGGGCAGCAGGTTCACGTGAGGCTGGAAGACGGGCTTTCGTTGCGCCTCTGCGTCTGCGTCTGCGTCTGCGCCTGTCTCCGTCTCCGGGTCCACGTCGGCCGCGGTAGCCGGGATGGTCCACATGCGGGCTAGCGCATCGGTACCCGCAGCCGCCAAGATGGTTGGATCTCGCGGGTTCCACTCGCACTGCAGCAGCACCGCGGTGCGCGCGGATTGGTCGTCGGCCAGCTCGAGGAAAGTCGTTTCGGTGGACAGCTCTGCGACCTTGTCGACTTGGATGCCCTGCTCCGGCCCAACGGTGGCCACGATGGGCGACGGCGCCTGCTCGGGAGATGGATATGCGTTCTCGTCGCCGTTCTGGTTCTGGTTCTGGTTCTGGTTCGGGTGCGGGTGCTGCTCGTCGTCGAGGTCCATCGGCGTCGGCTCGAACCCGTTGTCGTAGCCGTTGCTGAGCCGGGCGCGTTTGGCTGCTGGGCCATTGTCCATCGGGGGGTGTTCGTGGTCCATCTGGCGTTTCTGGGCGTTCTGGAAATCCTCGTCGTCACCCGGCGCCGACGCTGTTGACATTGGCGTCAAGGGACCAAAAAACCCCGTCACCGCCTCAACCTGCTCGGAATCCAGCTGCGGCGGATGTCAGTCTGCTGCGCGGGACCCCAAGATTACCAGGCGCCATGTTAACAGCATTGCCAAAAACCTACCTGCGCATCTTCTCTATCGATCACGCTGTAGAGCAGGCCTCTGTTCAGGAGCGTCACGAGTGCATGGTCCGGGAGATGCGGCGCACAGGAGAGCTGCGGCGGGTGCTGGGTGTTCCACTCCTTCTGGAGTCGAACGGCGGTCTCTTGATAACCTGAAACATAGGAAAAACACTCTACTCAGTCTTTTTTCATTCCCTCAAGGGACGGGGAGGCGGAAGCTGCTATGGGGTTGCACACGCACCTGAATCTATTAGGTATCTGCGAAGCAACGAGTGCCGTTAGCGAAAGGCAGTTCGTTTTTTGCCCCCGTTCTCGGTTTTCCTGTACCTGAAAACCGAGCGGGTGGATCACGAGGAAACACGTACCTCCAGATCATGTAGTTGACCCGGTCGGAGTCGAGCGACTCCTTGGCCATGGCTGCGGTTGCTGGAGCCAGACGGGGTGTCGATGGGAGGGTGAAGCGATCGAAGGGGGGGGGGTCTGGGTGGTTGGGCGGTGTCTCGAGGCGGAGTGTTGTTGTATGTGTAGAGTGCTGGAACTGGAGCACGATGGAGAGTTCGAGATGTGGAATGTGGAATGTGGAATGAAGGACACGACCAGGGGGGCGCCAGCCAGGCTCCGGACAGGCGAGAGGGAGAGAGCGTGCGCCCAGCACCTAGTTCCGTCGTAGTCAGCACCTAGTAGTGTCAGTCGCTACCTAGGTACAGTAGGTACCTAGTCAGTACTGTACGAGTAGCAGGCTGAGCAGGCTAGCAGACTCCAGTAGGTAGTACCGGCCCGAACAAGTGCGAACACCTCGGAGGGATAGGAGGGAGTAGCACTACTAATAAGGTAAGGTAGGTAACTCTGCGGAGTAGTAGTGACCACACACACTGCAGATGGCGGGATGGGAGATGGGAGATGGGATGGGATGGGATGGGATGGGGCGGATGATGTGGGGACTGGGCTGGGACTGGGCTGCACTGCACTGTACCGGTGTCGTCTGTACCTAGGTACCTAGGCTACTACTGTACCTCCGCAGGTGGTCTGTAGCCCTCTGCTCTTCTGCACTGCGTAGGAGACTTACGGAGTAGGTAGGGCGCCAGGGAGGATCCAGGGATTGGGGACGGGATGATGGATGATGGATGATGACCGAGGGACTGAGGTTCTGAAGTCGGATGGTCTGATGGACTGAAGCCCCAAGCCTGAAGGGCTACAAGGCTTGACTCCGTACAGTACTAGCGAAGACTTCGTACCTTCGACGATATGTAATAGTATTGCGTCCATCAGCAATACCAGTTCCTCACTTGATCCATCAGCAGCCCTGGGCGCCGTCCCGTCGTCTCTGCTGGCTTTGCTTGGGGGCTGGCCTCGCCTTGTCGCTCGCTGACTCGACCTCTGGACCCAACACCACTGTACGAGTACCTCTCTCCGCCGTCCTCTCTCCTCGCCGGTAGATGCGCTGTGCTGCGATGTGATGCGACCCGTGCTCCGTACCACCCTCGAGCTGCTCCCCTCGATGCGCTCCTGCTTCGTCCCTCGTCTCCGGATGTGCTATTCTTACGAAGTATGGAGGTGTTTTAGCCCAGCAGCAAGGGGATCGACGCCAGTAGTCGCCAATGGGTAAGGTAGGTTGCGTTGAGACCGGGGCCCGCAGGGCGCTACAGCAGCCTCCGATCGGTGATGTATCATGTCCCCAATTCCAATCATCATCCCTAGGCCGCGAAGGCTGAAAGGCCCGGAAGGCTTCTAAATCTAGCGGCCGTGGTTAGGGAGTTGGTGCTGGTGGTTGCTAATGCTGATGCTGGTGTGGTGCAGATGTTGCTAGGAGCTGTGGTGCAGGTTCTCTGGTCCTCTCTCCTCTTCGTGCTCCCGTATGTCTGCAATGATAATGATCATAGTAATAATAATAATAATAATCATGGCGGCAGATTCGCCATGTCCCGTAATCCTATCCAGCTAATAATACTAATAATACTAATAATAAGGCACAATACTCCGTAGAACCGCGGCGTTGCAGGTGGGTGGAGTACATCGCAGGAGGTCTGATTATTGTGTGACCAATGCGCCACCAAGCCTTGCCATGCCATGCGCGCAAGACGACCGGTACACGTACGTACAAAGTAGCACTGTACTCTACTTGGTAATAATAATAAGACGAGTGGTTCGTACAAATGTGCTGCTATAGTGGTGCCTAGGTACCTACGAGGTAACGCCGTACTGTCTATATCCTCGTATGTCTGTCTGCCGGAGAAAGGCGACAGCGATGAACATGGAATCCTACGCATTATTAACACACTTACACGTAGTTGGTCCGGTTCGGTTCAGTTCGTAGTAGCAGATCAAACTCGGTTTGTCCAAGTTCGTTCAAGTTCGTTCAAGTTCGTTCCATACTCCCTACTCCCTGCACTCTACTCCGTAAACGGGGATCCCGCAAAACATACCAAAGGTATCATTAGGTACAGATTCAAACAGCCGAGTCCCGCCGCCAGTCAATTTCCACGTGACATATGGTTTGGGGTCCAACGTGATCCCTGCACACTCCCTTCTGGAAGGATGTGTCAGCCCAACTTTGTCTCGACTCCAGGAGAATATGGAAATATGAGGATCGCATGAAAACAAACACAGCGAACGCCCCCCTGCTTCACCCTCATCATCGCCCTCTCCCTGATCTCAAAGTAGCCCTTGGAGGACGTTAAAAGGACAGGCACAATCACAACACCATGCCTCCCAGGCTGAATATACCGCCGATCACCCGCATACTCCTCCTGCTGCTCCTCTTTCAATCCTTCCTCAGCGGCGCCATCCGGTACTCGCAATGGAACGGGAAGAATGATATCGTCGTGCCATACCTGGTGATGGTCCCGCAGCTGTCGCTGATATATCCTTGGACCTTTGTCACGACCACTCTAGTCGAGAACAACCTCTTTACACTGGGCCTTTCTGCGGCAACTATTTTCTATGGTGGTAGATATCTGGAAAGGGCGTGGACGTCCAAGGACTTTGCGAAGTTCCTGCTGGTTACGACTTTGATCCCAAATGTCCTGTGCTTTGGTTTCCTGGTGGTGATGTTTGCAGTAACGACAGATATGAGCTGGACGTAAGTTAACTAGAGCTGCGTGTGGCCGTTCTTCCGCTAATGTAGCTCCCAGGTTGACCACCATCAACGGCACAATCCCACTACAGATCTCCTTCCTCGTTGCATTCTCTCAACTCCTGCCCGCGCATACCGTCACCCTCTTCAAAGGGATCATCTCCCTCCGAGTCCCCAGATTCCCACTCCTCCACGTCATCGCAGTGACCGTCCTAGCAGTCATGCCGCTCCTGAGTGCCGCATCATTCTTCCTTGTCGTTACCGGCTTCCTAACAAGTTGGACATACCTACGATTCTACAAAGCTGCATTCCCAGATTTGGAAACCTCGCAGCCATCGTCATTACGCGGAGACGCTAGCGAGACCTTCGCGTTTTCGGAATTCTTCCCCGACCTAGCGAAGCCCTATGTCGCCGCCTTCGCAGATCAAGTCTACAATATCTTCGTCGCTCTACACATCTGCACCCCATTTTCAGCCGCGAACGCATCTGGTTCTCGCGGCGACGTGGTGATGCAAAGGCTAACACCGGGTAGTGCAAGGGCAGAGGCTGAGCGCAGGAGGGCGTTGGCCCTGAAGGCGCTGGATCAAAGGTTGCATGCTGCATCAGCGGCTGGAAAGCCGAAGACGACAGCTCCCCCACCACCGGCTGTGGCCGGACCTAGCGTGCAGATACAACCGCAGCCGAATGTGCAAGCTCCCGGGAGTATGCTCGGAGAGACGAGCTATGTACCAGAGAGGGAAGAGGAGAAGGATGCTCATTGAGGAGCGATTAATATCATGTGTAGTAATGTGTTGTCTGAGTAGGTTTACGAACCGTTTATATAGTGGCGTCGGCGCGGGATCTGGGGATATGGGCTTCGCGGTGAAGTTGTTGATTGCCATGCTTGTATATCGAATATTATGATACCCGCCATTTGTGGTTCTAGCCTTGTATTAAAATCCCCAATCCAAAAGAGAGAGAATTATTGCTGTTATTAAATTTTGTTGCCTAAACGATGTCCAGAATCAACTTCGGCTGTTATTGGAGAATATAAAACAATACCACAAACGCGATATGTTCCAATCCATTTCTTCATTACGAAGTAAAGGTCCGAGATGGCCACGACCACAACCACGACCACATCCAGGGTTCTGGGGGGCAACGGCTACCGAACCCGGCGGTGAGCGCGGATCAAAGCCCCCTTATATAACTATGGCGTTCTAGCCTTATATTTCCCCGCGATCCCTACAGACCCAAAAAATAAAATAACGCCCCCCTCCCTTGCCTTGCTTTGCCAAATCCCATCCAAAACCTCCCTAATCTCCGATCATATCTCATCGTCAACCGCCATCCATTCCAAGTACGAAGGTACCAACATCGAAATACGCGGCGGACGAAGCGAGAGCACCATGTATTCCGTATGTGGCTTGACGATTGCATGATCGGAGGACATGAGCTGAGACCGCCGCGGGAAGGTATATTTGGTCCCAGCTGATTTGTCGAGCTGTAGGCATCAGAAACTTGAGGCTTAAGCCTCACGATCCGGTGCGGGCGGGTTTATTTGCCCCACTAGATCAGCTACGTAACTCTGAAGTCTTCGTGCACCAGCATGAGTGGGATGGGGAATTGTCATTCTTTGTACTTCACAGTGGAATTTAAGTACCTAAGTACTTTGCGAGTCTGTTTGTCCTCTAGTCGATGGCATATTGACGCGGTGATCCCTCCATGAGTTGCGCAAGGGTAGCGCATCGGAGCCTGGTTCTCAGACACGGCATATGGGAGCACGACCTCCTTCTGTACTTCGTACCTTATTGGCATGTATAGCCGTGAAGGGCTCGTGGAGAGGTGATGGCGGATAGCTACATACATCGTCCTTACTTCGTACTCCCCTCGATAAAAGGAACACAGCATAATGTACCAATGTACCTGGCAGCAACACACAAATCCTCTCGTACGCACTTTACGCACGTACAGGGAGGTACAGTACACCACAAAGTAAAGTAGCCGCAGCACACATTGCCACAGCATTCAACCACACCTTTGGTCTGCATATGTATGTGGCACGCCGCTACCTTACCTTTCGACATGCGCATGCACTACATACAGAGTACATACATATATGTACATTATTCGCAGTGGTAAGCTGGCTAGCGAAGCCTACCGCAGCACCTCAGCACATCAGCACAGCAGGCTCATCTGCCTTGCATTTCTGACAGAAAGTGAGCGATGCTCAGGCAAATCCTCTGAAGGCTCGCTCGCCCTTGCAGTTTCTCCTCTCGCCTGCGGAGGAGTGCTTCGTGCGAGTACGTCGCTCCATGCCACGTACTACTACGCACGTTTGCCGGCGTCATTGCATTGATCAGTGGCCACCCAGAAGGCCGCACATTCTGAGCCGGCGTTTCGTTTGGCTGGTGCAGAGATACTCCACTCCGTATGCGTGGGAGAGAGAGAATGCCTGCTCCGCAGTTATCTTTATCCTCATAGCGGAGACGAAGGGAAAGGGTGTGGGATTTGTGTGGGATAGAGCCCTCCTTAAGGAAGGATTTTGTGTACATGTACGAGGTACGAGGTACCAAGGTACAGTACATATACTCCATATGCGGCACATACTGTAGCACCTAAACCAGTCCCCTCCAGTGTCGAGGGAGCTCCCGACTGACGACCGATTGACGAGCGATCGATCTAGTTTGCGGGCCCGGAATAATATGCGTCCCAGGATTTTGCGCACCACGTGCCTCGCCGGCTGCAGTCCCGAGCACCGCTACACCATTGCACCAAACTCGAAAACTCTCCTCCGGGGAACCATCTCACGGCTCCTCCTCCTCCACTACGCACATGTGCCTCGTTGGTTGCCCCCAGCGGTTCCTTGGTGTCATTTTAAAGTTTCGCAAGAATATGATATCGTGTAGTGCCCCATCGGGCAGACCCTGACTGAGCCTGAGAGGATCACGTGCACTCCTCCCGCACAGGTCAAGCAGCCACCTTATCCGGGTTACGTACCTTCTGGGGGACTCCGTGCGGAGGAGAGGCTGCGGACAACCTGGGCTGAAATTGCGGATAAATAAAAACGCAAGTTTCAGTTTCACGAGCTGTTCTGGGCTGCCGGCTTAAAACCAAACGGTCCCAATTATTAATGTTTTCCTGGGCGACTCTGCGTAAGCCACAATCTACCAATCTGCCACACCCCACCGAGAAGCGCCCAGGCAACCCCAGGCATGTTAGAGCACAACAGGGCACCGTGTGGTGGGCGGTTGACACCCTATTTTGCACCACCGACGAAGTAGGTACGTACCTACCTACCTACCTTGGGTACATACTACGTACTAATCCCTCCGTATTCCGTAAGGGTGCGCTCGGGGGATGAACTTCGAAGGCGGGCAGCCACGCGAGGAACCGTGCCGGCTATCACTCGGCATAATTGCATTTTGCTCGTGGGGAAGGGGGATGGGCGATGGGGGATGTGGAATACTGTAGGGTAGGGGATAGGGGATAGGGGATGTGACGGATTGCAGTAGTCCGTGACCGCTTGACCACCGGGAATTGGAAAGTGGCGGATAGCACTTGGGGACGGTGGAGCCCCGGCGTTTATTGTTGGAAAAGTGGTGGTGGTGGTGGTGGTGATAGTGATACCGTGATAGTGGTGATATGTACTACTGCGCAGTGGTGGTGGGAGTGGGTGGTGGGAGATGGCGCTCGTTGTGGCGCCGTGATTCAGCTCCCAGAATACATGCTATGGTGCAGATCCAACTAATCGCTCGGAATCAGCAGCCTCAGCTCGGCATCGCGGGCCTTGACGTTGCAGAAGATGTTGCTCTTGCTGCTGCTGTTGCCGTTGCACTCGAAATAGGGTTGATCCGTTCTCAATAAAACGGATATGCCACGCCACATACCTCACCTGGTACTTGGTGCTGCGGGTTGTCGCTCATTCCTCACTAATAATAATATACCCCACCCGGCTCACTAATAATATTTGGGAAGCTCTCAAACACTATCAGTAGAGGATCGTCCCGCTGGTGAGTCGAAACGTGAAACTAGAAAGTCGTACGTCGTAGAGACCAGAATATACCTGAAGGTCGCCAATTAATAGGTGCTCCGTAAGGACGGAGTAGCGTGTCCAGGAGCAATTACTTGGTCGAAGCGCCTTTGGCTTGACCTGCTAACAACATCCGCTCCTAGTGGAAAACGCCGTAGCATTATCATTTATTACGATCATACTCGGCGCAAATAACGCCCTGACGCATGCCGTGGACAGTGGACGCCATGGGGCTTGGCGGCGGTGTCCCGAGCCACACGTTATGACAACTTGACAAGCGGCACAAGCCCGCCAGATCCACATCCGCACCCACAGCACACACCTCTTTGGAGCAGCATCCCCATCCGGAAACATAAAAAGAGGCGCTGCGCCGGGGGGCCCCTGGGGCTGCCGGGCCCTGGAGGCCTGGAGTGCTTGATTAATCGCCTACAGCCGTTCGCCTTCGCCTGTGTAGGGAATTTGGCCCGGGCCCGGGGGGTCGAGGGGGGCCGGGGCGGTTTGAGGTGCATGAAACCGAGGAACCTTCGAACCTTCCCAACCACCCCATCCCCAATCCCCATCCCCATCCCCATCCGCATCCGCATCATCCCCATTATCATGCTCCCCGTTTCCCCCCATGCCTGACGGAGTATACTTTGTGCTCGTGGGTGCAGGAAGTTGTGCCCTGTGCCCTGTGCCTGTTGAGCTGTTGGCTGTTGATTCTGCTGTGCTGCTGTGCTGCTGTCTGCTGTCTGCCGAGTCCACGGCGATCCATTCTGGCCAGGTGGGAACGACAACAACAACCGCAACAATAGCGCCCGCTGCCAGGCTGCGTTCTAGACTGGAGTCTGGAGGTCCTTTGGGATGGATGATGATGTTGAGTGAAGTACTTCTTATGTACCTTACCTTGGGGGACTACTGTGTATCCAGGCACACAGACATGTACCTTCGTAGTCCGTTGTAGTCAGCATGAGCCTGAGCCTTGAGGCGTGAGGCGTGAGCAAAAGGAAAATAATAGCCCACCAAGGCTCAGGCTCCGGCTCAGGGTACGGGTGATCAGCCATCCACCGCCACGACCTTTTCCCGAATGCTACCTGTACCCGCGGGCTGCCTGGCGTGGTACAGCCCCCCACAAATCCAGGTTCCCAGGGGGCGGCGAGCGAGGGCAGGTGGTTGCAGTCACTCGGTTGAACGGTTCTCTTGGATGGCGGTTATGAACACGAACGAACCGTTCATGACCACGACCACGACCATGGCCATACGTAGCCATAACCTTGATCGGGTTCTGGTGCGAACGGCGAACGGCGAAACGGGATGGATTGGATTAGAGGGACTGGCGACGGCGCCGACGATGCTCCCACGCAGCGCGATGAACGAGGCCCCTCCGCCCTCTCCGCGCCCTCTCCGCTGCCCAACCCGACCCCGACGCGAGTGCTGGAGGCTGGACGATCCAATATCACAGGATTCCCAGGGGACTCAGGCATTTCTGCACCGGAATAAAAACTCGTAATCAGCTATCCTGGTTGAGACACCCGTGGCAGCCAGTACTGCCCCAACAGGCCTAGCGCGGCGGCGTCGCTCGCTTGGCAGCCCGCGCGGCCTAGCCCGATGAGGCCCCACGGCTTCTCGAAGACGCGACCCCGGCGCGCCGCGCTCTAGCTCGTAGGACGACCAGGATCAGCCAGGATGGGCAGGATGGGCCAGGATTAGCTCTGTGCCACGAAGGCGGACGGGCTCAAGACATTGCTAGCGCTGGGTTAGGGTTGATGCTGCCCTCAGAGACCCGCTGCCGCTCATTTCTCTCCCCGTCATCAAGTCGGTCGTCTTCTTCTCCTCGTTTCTTTCCGATCCGTCGCCCGGAATAGCTTCAGCTTCAGTCGCGCTTCCCCTCCGCCCTCCGCCCTCGCACCCTCCTGAACCGTCGCTGTGCTGTACGGCGTCGTATCGCGAGAGATTCACCGCCCGGAGACTGGTTGACGAGTGCGCCCCGGGATTGGTCGGCTCGCAGCTGCGATCTATATCTTCACACTTCACTTCTCGTCCGCACTCGTGCCCTTGTCGCTGGAGAGCCGCACAGCGAGCCACGCTGCTCGCCCGCCCTCTGCCATCACGCATCTTCCCCGTGGAAGGCTGGATTGAATATATCGCCCGCCCCCGTATACAATTCTATTCTCGCGATTCAATCGAGCGCACGTCCCATTTCCCCCGTCAATTAAGTTGGGGCGCCTGATCGTCCTTCGATAATCAAACCAACAGAGTTTTTCTCTCTCTCTCGCATGTCAACACCGGCGATGGCGACCCATCATCCATCGCCTCCAGCAGGCATGCAATTGCACCATGGCCCGCCAGTCGGGCCTCCGCCTCCAGGTATGCCACCGCAACCAGCGCAGTGGCCTGCGGCTCAACAGCTCGCGGCGATGAATGAGGCCGTGTGGCTTCAAATTGGTAGGACGATCTCGGCCCAGCCAGCACTGAATATAACTAACCGGATTACCAGGGAGTCTTGCAGAGCTCGTGGGCAATCTCGATGAGGCAATGGTGGCTTATGAACATGCGCTCCGTGCAAATTCCAGATCCATACCGGCGATGAACGCGATCAGTTGCATTCTTCGGACCCAGGAACAGTTTCATAAGGCTGTTGAATATCTTCAGAGCATTCTCAAGCTAGATGGGAATAATGGAGACGTCTGGGGAAGTCTCGGTAAGTCTTCGGCCATGCGCTCAGGGCGCCCTCGCCTCTAACAGAGTATATAGGCCACTGCTACCTAATGATGGATGATTTGCAGCAAGCATATACAGCATACCAGCAAGCTTTGTACCACCTACGGGATCCAAAGGTTCGTCCATCATTATTATCAGATTAGTCGAAGTCTAACAATTTCCTCAGGAACCAAGGCTTTGGTATGGCATCGGGATCCTGTATGACCGTTATGGCTCCCTTGAGCATGCCGAGGAAGCGTTCTCGCAAGTCATGCGGATGCAGCCTGATTTCGAAAAGGCCAGTGAGATATACTTCCGTCTCGGCATAATCTATAAGCAGCAGCAGAAGTACCAGCAAAGTCACGAGGTAAAGTGAACCGGAAATTAGCATTGTTGCATGGGTCGCTGATCGTTCGTAGTGTTTCCGATATATTCTTTCAGTGCCACCATCACCATTGACGGAAGATGATATCTGGTTCCAAATTGGGCATGTTTATGAACAACAGAAAGACGTAAGTCCGTCCTAACCATTTTACACCCCCAACTTTGCCAACCTAAAATTTCAGTACGAAAACTCGAAAGCGGCCTACACGCGGGTTCTTGATAGAGACCCGAATCATGCAAAGGTCCTCCAGCAGCTTGGCTGGTTGCATCACCACCAAAGCAACAGCTTCTCAATCCAAGAGCGCGCTGTTGAGTATCTTCAGAAATCCGTGAGCTCCGGTAAGACTTGCCAACAATACTTTCTTGCATTGTACACACTAACACGTGGCAGACCAAAACGACGCACAAACCTGGTATTTACTTGGTCGGTGCTACATGGCACAACAGAAGTACCCAAAAGCGTATGAGGCCTATCAACAAGCCGTCTATCGCGACGGGCGGAACCCAACATTCTGGTGCTCGATTGGCGTTTTGTACTTCCAGATCAACCAGTACCGAGATGCACTTGATGCATACTCCCGCGCGATACGCCTGAACCCGTACATCTCCGAGGTCTGGTACGACCTAGGGACTTTGGTAGGTTTGCTCCAGCTGAGACTTCGGCTGCTTTTTCTTGGAGACGTCACTAACTATTGGCTTAGTATGAGTCCTGTAACAATCAAATCAGCGATGCATTAGATGCATATCAGCGGGCTTCAGAACTCGACCCGTCCAACGTCAACATCAAGGCTCGCATCCAGCTGCTACGGAACGGACAGACTAATGGACTTCCCGTGCAGACGAGCGCACCACTTCCTCAAGATGTCCATCCTCAAGCATATCAAGCTACCGGTGCCGTGGGACCTCCAGGGCCTCAGTGGGGTAACGCGGGCCCTCAGCCTCAAACCGCACCACCTGCGCTTGTCAGCGGTTGGGGTAGTCGACTAGCTGAGCTCAATCCTCCGCCTCAGCCTGGAAATCCATATGACATACGAGAGGCTCCTCGCGGTCCTGGTCCCGTGCCGCCGATCCCACGCGGACCAAGCCCAAGGCAAGAGCAACAAATGCGACCTTATCCAGGCCCAGGCCCCGCGCCTGATCGGGGGCCTCCTGGAGGGCCTCCGCCGCCGCCCCCGCGGGCCCGATCACCACCTCGTGAGCACCATCCTGCTATGGGGCCATATCCTGGGCAAGGCCTCCCACAGCCTCAACCCCAGCCAGCACCGCCATCCCAACCCCAGCGAGTCCTGAATCCGAACTATGCTGGACCTCCCGGTTCAAGCTCCTCCAATGTGCTTCCTCCAGCACCAAGCAATGTGAACGGCTCTGGCCCTGGGGGGTCTTTGCCACCATTCGGACGGGGCAACAGCCCTAGGACAGAGATCCGTCCGATCATGGATAATAATCGGCTGGCATCGCCGAAATCTGGCTTTCCACATCAGCAACCATATCCTCATCACCCAGATATTTCTAACCCTGGTGGCATCGAAGGCGGTGCTCCGCCTCCAGCATCTGCTCTTGCCGCCCAAGAAGCGGCAGCAGAACGCAACGGGGATCGACCTAACTCAGTTGGCCCAAAGCGAATGCGGGAATGGGAAGATGAGCAACCATCAATGAAGAAGCCGGCATCTGATGAGAACCGAGCCCGGATGGATGATATGCATCATCGTAGGCTCTCAACGCCTCCTCGAGAACCTTTCCGCCGCAGCTCTTCAGAAGTTCGTCTTTTCGAAGAACAGCGGCGCATGGATGACCAGCGTCGTGTCGAAGATCAGAGACGAGTGGAGGATCAACGTCGTGAAGAGCAGCGTCGGGCCAACGATAATTACCACCCATCTGAAGCAGCACACCACCCTCCAACTCACGCAGTGCCTAATCACCTACCCCCCATCCAAGGACCTGCTAGCGTGCACACACCTGTGCACGAGCTACCGCCGCCTCCCCCTGCCCCACCCGCACCCAAAGAGTACGCGGTTGATGAACGTGAGCGCGAAAGAGAACGCATGGATCATGGGCCACCTGCTCCTCCACCTCCCCCTCCTGTTCTGGTTGGGGAGCCGGAGCGGGCAGCACGGAAGATGGAAGTTGATGAAGACTACGACGATGATGGGGAAGAGGATAAGAAGGGAGTGGTTGCGGCGGCATCAGGATCTGGCCCAGGTTCTACTTCAGGAGAGGCAAAAGTCACGTCCCCAAGTGGTGTTAACGGCCATGGCGCAAATGGAGTTGTAAACGGAGGGTCTAAGGCGGAGCCCTCGACATGAATTGAGAATTGTTTTGTTTATTGCATTGGTGTTGGTGTTGGTACTAGGTGTAAATGATTATTCAAATTGATGACACTATACAGAACATGGTGGTTCGGATTAACTTGCTTAATCTGGCCATAGATCTGCCCTAGTGCAACAACCTCCGATAGCAAATGTAATGATTAAATCCAATCTAGCAGATCCGGGAAATCAAATTAGTCTCCAATTACTCTCGTGATATAAATTACAATATCAGCACATGTCGTGTTCCATCGATGTTTCAATGCAACTTCTTTTATTAAATTTGGAGTGTAAAGAGAGGGAGTTAGTGGGTATTATTTCTAGTATCCGGAAAACACGGGAAATCTAGAGAAAATGATAGATTGAAATACACCAAGTACTTTAGGTAAGGTGGTATGAGGAAGTTGGGTATGACAAAGCCTCAGGCAGAGATTGATTTATTTAAAAAAAAGAATGGCTTAGGTCACGTGTGGGGCAGACGCAAACTCGCTAATCTTTAGCGCGAAATTTCCCACACTGACCTTTCGCGAATATTTGGCAGGTAGCGAGACGAACTTCCCATCAACAAAATTTCTCGACAACCACCAACTGACCTCTAGATCAACCTTCTAAGGTCCGGGAAAGATGTCTCACAGAAAGTTTGAGGCGCCCCGCCACGGCTCTCTGGCATTCTTGCCTCGCAAGAGGGCTTCCCGTCATCGCGGAAAGGTCAAGTCGTAAGCATGAATCTTGAATTTCCTCAATTCCCTTCAGCAGCTTTGCTAACTTTTCCAAAAGCTTCCCCAAGGATGACCCAAAGAAGCCTGTCCACCTCACAGCCACCCTTGGTTACAAGGCTGGTATGACCACGATTGTCCGTGACCTTGACCGACCGGGCGCGAAATCACACAAGAAGGAGGTTGTGGAGGCAGTTACTGTCATTGAGACACCACCAGTACGAACAATGCAGCCCGCTTGGCATTTGTGTCAATGGCTAACATCTATTATAGGTGATCGTTGTTGGTCTAGTTGGTTACATCGAGACTCCCCGTGGTCTTCGATCCCTCACCACCGTCTGGGCTGAGCACTTGAGCGACGAGGTCAAGCGCCGGTTCTACAAGAACTGGTACAAGAGCAAGAAGAAGGCTTTCACCAAGTACGCCAAGAAGTACACTGAGGACAAGGGCTCATCCATCACCCGTGACCTTGAGCGCATCAAGAAGTACTGCACCGTTGTCCGTGTTCTAGCCCACTCCCAGATCCGCAAGACCCCTCTCAAGCAAAAGAAGGCACACTTGATGGAGATTCAGGTAAATGGCGGCAGCGTCCCAGAGAAGGTTGAGTTCGCCCAAGGTCTCTTTGAGAAGCCTGTTGAGGTCAGCACGATCTTCGAGCAGGATGAGATGATCGATGTTATTGCCGTTACCAAGGGTCACGGTTTCTCTGGTGTCACAAGCAGATGGGGAACCAAGAAGCTTCCTAGAAAGACGCACAAGGGTCTCCGAAAGGTCGCTTGTATTGGTGCCTGGCATCCTTCCCACGTCCAATGGACTGTTGCCCGTGCCGGTCAAGACGGATACCATCACCGTACCTCTGTCAACCACAAGGTTTACCGTGTTGGCAAGGGCTCTGATGAGGGTAACGCAACCACCGAGTTTGATCACTCCAAGAAGCAAATCACTCCGTAAGTACCCGAAAACCCTCCTTCATCCTGGCAAGAAACTAACGCGTAACAGTATGGGTGGTTTCGTCCGTTACGGAGAGGTCAGGAATGATTTCCTCATCCTCAAGGGTTCCGTTCCAGGTGTCAAAAAGCGTGTCATGACACTCCGAAAGTCCATGTTCATCCACACGTCAAGAAAGGCATTGGAGAAGGTCGAGCTGAAATGGATCGACACATCTTCCAACTTTGGCCACGGTGCATACCAAACTCCTCAAGAGAAGCATCAATTCCTCGGTACGCTCAAGAAGGATATTGCTCCAGCTTCGTAGGCTTAGGTTTTGCATTGCATTTTCAATTTTCCGGCTTTGCAATTCGGTGTAGTGGGGGTTTAACATCGGGTTTTCTGCGCTTTCGGTCGTGATCCGGCTTGAGAGTTGGGCATGAAATAGCTACCTAGCTAGTAGTTCTGTGAAATGAAGATAATGCCCAAAAAGTAAAACCTCGTGCAGACCATATGATGATAATATCAAAATATTATACGTAATATGTTTGACGGTGGGGTTTCCTTAAACGCTGAGGATTAAGCAGCCCTGAACAACCCCCGTATGAGTGTAATAAGCTGTAAATATAACTAAAGCCACACGCAGTACAATTTGGAAAAAATTGTAATATCCAGATGGTTAGTTTTTGCTACACTGGCATGAATCATTTGCGCCCCGATCTGGGTGGGTAGCAGACGCAGCAAGCTTTTCCTCCTACCGAACCACCAAATTTCGTCATCACAGTTGCAAACGCACGTCCCCTCATACCCACCCCACCATCACCTAGGGCACCCACCTACGTAGTACCTCCAGCTCAATCAACCCAAACAACACCAACAAATACCCCATCTATGATTCTATGGGCGTTATCATCTCCACCCTCGCGGCCCTAACGAAAAGCATCAGAAAGCCTCGCCGCGACAAGAAGACTTCGGACGAAGCAGAGCAACAGCAACGGCAATCATTACCTCACCAGCAGCAACAGGATCCAGGTGTGCGCGACGCGCAGCCTGCTGTGGGATCTACGGGCGCGGCTCCTACTTTAACAGGTGGAGTAGCAGAGGCTCAGAGAGCCGTTGGGATAGCGTCTGCTATTCCAGTAGCAGAGGGCGGCATTGGGACAGGCAGCACTGCGTGAGCTTGAGCTTTCCTCAATTTTGTCTATCAGCAGGGAGATATTCTTTTCCCTCATCTTCCCTTTTTTCCACTGCTCTACCTGCTGGAAGAAGAGCTGGAGGTTTACTCTCTGCGGTGCTACAAAAGAAGTCGAGTAATATTGGGACTGAGAGGTTCTTCCACAGTACCTACCCGCCAGCGGCATCGAATATTCCTCCTACGACGACGGCGGGAAAATCCATAACTCGCAGTAAAGGAGACAATACGGGCAAGATGGCTTCAGATGAAGATTACGCGGCGTTCTTGGATAAGGCAAATCAAGATCCCAATGAAGGCGTGACGAAGCAGAGCAGAAGTAGCGGGAAGATTGAATTAAAGGCTGTGGATGAGGGTGTCAAAGTTCCCTCTTGTTTGAGCAAGGCTACGGAGGATGTTTTTTATGTTAGCGATGCAGATGAACCGTTCGTGCCGGTTGCGTTGAAGTATGGTGGGAAGGCGTTGCCCGATGAAGGTTTGTCTACTTCTTGTTCCTTTGCCTTCCTTGTCCGTATGCTTTTTCAAAATAGAAATTGAGACTAATATGTTGTGTTAGTTACCTTTGCGAAGTTAGTCAGTCATCCGAGTCCTAAGGAGGCAGATGTCGAAATACTGGATGTTGGCAATTGGGATAAGCAAGGGCAGTATAAGGAGGTTGTGGAGGCCACGAGGGAGGCAAGTAAAGGAAGTGATGTGAGAGTATATCGGATTAGTCGGGGCGGCTCAAGGATTGAATATTGGATTGTCGGACTTGAAGCTGGGATTCTTGTGGGTGCTAAGGCTTTGGCAATTGAGAGTTGATGCAATACTTACCACTATCGTGGTTCACGGCTCATGTTAGCAAATGGTGTCGTACACCACAAGGGCCCTAGAGGTCAATAGTGCGGAGCTTCTAGAATATATGTGCGGAAGGTAGCACTATAATATATATCGAAGTATAATACCTATACACATACCCTAGGCCGGCGACGTTCAAGAAATACTCGCGTCCGGTGTACAACTGTACTCCGATACCGAAATATGAGACTCCCGAACCTATCTGAAAGTCACACGAGACATCCATAGCATCCAACCATCTGCAGTATTGTAACACGTAAATGCAAAATACTACCAACCTAGGTAGTTATCTGGGGCATGTAAGATATGATAAATACCAATGCTCTCTGCCTAATTAGAACTTTCAATTGATATTACACTGTAGATTTTTGTAAAGGAAGAGAAAATTCAAGTGGCCAAGTTTTGCAACCCACGAGGTGGCTATTTATGTCACAAGAATAATTGATATGCAGACACATTAATGACAGACACATCCTGAGTATTCGCTCCAACGTGTTATCCCCTCGAGACCACCAACTATATTTTGATCCTTCCCCATAATGGAAATGTCGTCTCCTCCTATGGGCTCGAGATCTCCTCCTCCTAGAATGGCACAATTTCCTCCTCCTGGTATCCCAAAACATCCCCCTCCTGGACAAGCGCCGAAGAGTTGCCTCCTCCCAACTATCTAGCACAACCCCAAATCCCTAGTACATCCCCATGCCTCCTAATTATATCCCCCCTGACAAACTTTAAATCAAGATTTCATCATTCTCTATCAAACGGGGGTAAGTGTAGTTGAGCTGTCCGGTAGGCATTCCCGCGACATGTGTCTGTTTAATTTATACCTTGGAGCATGCCTTGAGATTCTATGAATTGGCGTGATATTCTATTTCTTGGTCACCTGATGTTGTAGACAGATCACATCGTCATGAAGTCTGGAGAAGTTATTCCAGTGGAAGAAAGCAACCCACTCCGCCTTGCAAAGCAGCTTCAGATACCCGACCCTCATGTATGCGAGGCTCGGCCGATGCAGAGTGAGGGAGCTAGTATTAGTATGGATTATATCCCTAGGGAAAATTTAAGAAAAGTATGGCCGACTATGATCTCTGAGCAGAAGCGAGATATTGCGGTTCAGCTCCGGGATATTCCCCACAGGATGCGATCTCGTCCTTCCGATACAAACTCTATCTGTGCTTGTGGCGGCGGTATAGTGCGAGACCCCAGAAGTAAGATCCCTCTCTACAACTATTCAGAATTCCCCGACTTTTTAGAGCATCTTTGAATGTGTCTACTGTGATTTTACCCTCCACATTTATTTCCTCCTTTTTATCCGTTTCCCGCAACTCCTTTTTTAGAGCCAGCTGTTTCTAGCTCTTAGCAATTCCAGGCTATGGTAGTTACACTGGTGGGCCGTTTCTAGATGAGCAAGTCTTTTATGCATTTGTCTTGGATTTCCCACCCTCTACTCCCAAGGTAACAGGGGGGGGGGGGTTAACTGCACGTCTGTGTTGTGATCATAGGATCGTTTTTACTGATGGCGACTTGTCACAACACAACATTATTGTCCGAGACAATAAGATAGTTGGATTGATTGATTGGGAGTACGCTGGATGGTTTCCTGAGTTTTGGGAGTATATCAAATTCTTTGAGCGTCCTAGTCCACATCGCGACTGGTTTGACTACGCAGATGTCATATTTTCGCAAAGCTATGTAGAGGAGCCTGTAGATTATCAAGCTATCTCTCATTGGCATAGCTGTTAATTCAATTAGTTAAAGAAAACGAGACATACACATGATATCATGAAATCATTATAAAATAGTTGGCGAATCATTGAAATGTGAGTAGATGGGTGCGCATATGGTCTGCGACAATCGAATTTATTCTACCTGTATGTATCCGCTTAAAACCTTGGGGGAATCCCTATCTACCTAGGTAGGATAAAGTACAGGAGTTTGCATTGGGCCCTGGGCCCAAGGAACTCAATGGTGTAAACACCTAAAACAAGCTTACTAGAGCATGAACGGAATTGGAAGCTTGCGGAGTCTCTCGAAACCCCCCGAAAAACTTGGCAAAAATCGAACAAATAATGGGTAGGGCAACACAGATACAATGTAAAACGCTTCGGGAGAAACCTGGAGGTCAATGGAGAAAACAACGAGGCTCGACAAGTGGGAGTGACGTGGAAAGTGGTATAGTTTAAACTTCGTACAGAGCTAAGAATGTAAGAAAAAGCGTTTAAGCCGAGTGATTTTACGAAAAAGAAGTTTAAGAAATTGTAGAATGCATTGGGGCGCGACATCTAACAAAGCGTTAATAATGCCTTACGGAATTCTGCGGCTAAATATCAATTAATAAAGGAGGGTCGAAACCCAATGAGCTAGGTGGAATGTGTAACAGCGCTTGCAACTTGACACATAAACGCGGCCAAGGCAACAAACAGATAGGTACCAATATGCTTTCAGTCGGTTCACGCTCGGCGTTGCATACCCAATAATTAGTCCAACAATTCATCAAGAAAGGCAGAATAACAATATGAACCTTGCTAACAAGCCTCATAATAACTTTCCAGACCCGAGGATAATGTGATAATGCAAGGCGTCCGACCCGGCACGGCGCCTAACACCTGACCATACTATTTCATTTGGTTACCCGTTGCCCTAGAGCAAGGCCATCCTTACGCGCGCGTATAGAAAGGTATGGTTTCAAAGTAACCAATAGTTTTAGGCGTTGGACATCTCAATTGGAAGGCGAATAGTGGTTGTATTCGGAGAGGCTCTCTATTAGCCTCGTAGGTGGAAGGAAGGAAGGAAGAGGAAAGACATGTAGCACGGCGCAGATGTGTGGGGTAATATGTGGGGTAATATATCAATTCCTTGACCGTGGTTCCCCTTTTATTTCAATGAGCGGGCGAGCCGAAGTATTCTGCGCCACAAACCTCATGATGCAAAGGATAAAGCTGGACAGGAAGAGCGAGTTTAAATTAGTTCCAGTAGGTCTATACCAATATTTGGGAGCTGTACCCGCAGGACACTAATCACGATGGTCAGGTTTTTGTCTACTCCTTCTCGAGCCGATACGCACGTATCGTTCAAGTTCACTTCGATGGTGAGAATCTAATTGTTCGCATGACAAAATGGCTGCATTTTCCGCATAACAAGGACGTGACTAAAAAGATACGGCTCTATCTCAGGTGGATGATGAATAAACCTATAGGATCGACTCGGTTCACGCCTCTCCCGGAGGAGAACCCTGGACAGGCTGGAGGACAAGACAGCGAGAATACTATTGCCGTACAATGTTAACACACCACACTTGACGTCAATCCTTGAGTTGGTAGCCGGTGAAGGTTTATGAATTCAATGTAGTGTTTTTATGATGGGTTTTGAGCGGGTTCGGGGTTTTGGCGTTATAGATTCCTACTGTGACTTTGAAAGTACGCGGTCTTGCAATTAAGTCAGGGTTCTCTGGAGCAGTGTTGCTTTGCTGTATAATTGATAGGGCTCTAATGTAACCTGCACTCATTGGGATATGCTGAAGAGTACAAGAGCTGTAGGCATGAGCATGTTATTAGCACTAAACGGATGGCGTCAGGTTGGTAGATTGTGCTCATAAGGATAAATATATACCTCTGTTCCGAAATCAACTACGTACAATTTTGTGTCATAATAACTGTTCTGTGGTTAGGATTTCTTGGGGCGCGCCGCGAGCAAAGCCCCAAGCCTGGGCTGCTGTTCCCACCCGCACACTCATTAAGCGCTTCTGCTCATTGCCAACTTGGCAGGCCATCCCATCGCATAGCAGAAATGAGGTCTTCCAGCCTATTCTGATATAATAGGCGCCCGTTTCCAATCGTTTCGGGCCAGGATACGGCTTGTAACTCGATCTTTCGCCAATACATAGATGTTTAGACGTCACGTTGACATGGAGTTAACCGCTAACATGACTTTTTGAAACATGTTGGTGTTGTAACATTGTAGCTGTATCTATTTTGGGCCTTAATTTGGCTAAATCAAATATCCTAAGGCTTGTTTGCTTACCATCTCACTATGATTGTGCTCGGTTTCTGATCAATCCTGTTCATATACTCCTCTGATGCTGCCTGCCCCACGTTGACACTAAGCGGTGCATTTTCTTTACCTCCCTTTCCGACGTTGATTTTCTTGTGTCCATTCGTCCTACTATTATATCTTGTTATAATCGTTGTTATGCCGACTTCTCATGGACAGGACCTCAACAGATCCCTTCCCAGTAGTATAGCACAATGGGAGAGCCTGGCAGAGTCGGGAGGAGTATGAAGCTCTAATATTTATAGCATTTCCGAAGTCAAGTCTGCCTCGAAAATAACACACATTCAGTTCCTTACACTAAGAACTATTTGTCGTGACTCGTTGGATATTGAACAAGGCAAAAAACACTTTCGAGCTCGACTTTGTGGGGAGGAGTGCTACAGCCTAGCAAAGTCGTACCTTGGGCGGGATGATCAATGGGAAGCATACTTGAATGAGATCCGCGACTTTCGCCCTCCGACAAAGTCCATTGGTCTTTATTCCATTGTAAGATATTACTAGCACGCTGTAATTACCTCTGAGACTAAAAAACAACGTTTCCCTCCTGAAGCATTCAACTTTGTCGACCCAAAATTCATATCGTCCCCTATCGCTCACCGAACCCGCTCACGAAGGGATAACTTAAATCTCTCGGATCACTTGAATCTCTCAGACTTGAATCTCTCGCCAACACTAGCGGCCCCAACGACACCCCTCCGGGCTGGACGCTCTAGAAAGGACGCTGAACTGCTAAACCAAGCGCTTCAGCGGGGCGAAGGGGATGCCTCGCCGTGGAGTGACGACCCTTCTAGCCTTAGTCCGGAAGCAGCATCATTTATGGCAACCCCTCAATCACCCGCGCTCGCTGGATTTAGTCCAATTGCAGAGGATGAACAGATTGTGAACACCGCCATACTCCTACTTCTAAACACTCTTACGGCCTACCACCCTGATTTGGGAATTGGTAGCTGTATGGAATGGACCATGAAGCGAAAGGTCTTTAGATGTGGTCCGTCGGAGGCACGCACAGATGGGTTTCTTCGCGATGCGCGGCATACCACAAGGGCGATTCTCGAGGTCAAGCCATTCGTGAGAGGTACGAATTCCAGAGCGATTCGAATGCGGGAAGCTGCCCAGCTAGCAGCCTGGAATTTCTCAGAGGCACCTCAGAAAGGAACGACTGTCCAAGACAGTAATGGAATCTTTAGGTACAGATCTAAAAGCATACCCTACTGTGTCCAACTGCTGATGATACTAGGCGACTGTTGATTTCACAGGACTCCACCGAAATCTATTTGACAATATCGGAGTTCGACCAGCAGTATCTTGACTACATCACAGGTCTTCAACAGCCACCGGACCAACAGCGTTCTTTTACGTATCTAGTCACCATGGGCCCATGGTTCATCAACAAGGAGTCGCATACGAGAGATCTTGGTAGCCTTCTACTAGCATTTACTCTTCATCAAAGTAAACTATTGGAGCCATCGGAAGGTGCTGACCCATTCACATCCGCCAGCCCAGGCACAGAAGGTCAAGAGCGATTCCAAACGCTACCCATCAGACAACCTCCTAGAGGTTCAGGAAGAGCGCCCATCCAAGACGACTACCAGCAAGGAGAGAGTAGCCGTCCGTCAACCAGGCCACATGCGGTTTCCACAGCCCAGGATCAAAGGGCCGACAAGAAAGACAAGAATGACAAAAATGACAAGAAAGACAAAAGGGAAAAGAATGACAAAAATGACAAGAATGACAAGATTAGCAAGAAAGGAAAGAAAGGAAAGTAGCTTTCGGCTTCAGGTGTTCTTCTAGATAGAAAGGGGGACACTCGATCGGCGACCACCCAGGGGGTGTCAGAATTCGTAGAACAAGAGAATTTACTACCTTCTACGGAGATAGTAACTTTATAACACAATATAAAATAAAGCTTCTAAACTTTTATTCATAATTGGCTTTTATACTCCTGAACTTGTTCTGTAATTAGTGTTATAATGCGGCCGAAACCAAGGGCATTGGAATTTGAATGTTTCACGAATCTTGGCAGACTGTCTGGTGGAAAGCTACCGTACCTACTACATGTACATACCTACCTACTAATAAACGGGTAAGTACCGGTACCTCAGGGGCGGATAAACGGCGGCGGAAAGGGTCTCAGATTGTGCAAGGACTTGTGAATGGGCCCGAGATTAGCTAAGACTAGTTAATATTAGCTACGATTTAGGTCGATGAGCCCGGGGGCCGCGCAATGCAGGCAGGGCACGCTCTGGAAATGAGAATAATAATAATGGACTTTTGCAGTGTGGATGTCGTCACTGGGGGGGGGGGGATTGGCAGTGGGTGCTGCTAGGTACTGCTAGTTACATACTTCGTACTCTGTACTGTTATTAGTTACTGCTAGCCCGTGCTAGTTGCTCCGTATGCCACCGTGGATTGCACTGCCGCCCTCGACGATCCACAATCTGCCCGGATCGCAAGCCCGAACGGAACGGCAAAGTAGCAGTACAAAGGAGGGACGTAGGCATATTCGAATACGGTGGCTGTGATGCGCCAGGCTCTGAGCCGGCGTTGCCACGAAGAATGGGAGGCAAGTCGGGCGCTTCCGCCACGGAACCTCTCCCCTCGAGCCCGGGATTGGATATATCCCGCTGCGCAGAGACGCGATACATGTACATGTACATGTGCGAGTACCGTCCAGTACAGCACCGATGGATATTTTTAGTACGGGGCATCAAAGCAGGTTGTTTGTGGGACCGGTGGCACGAGCAACAGTAACTGGCACCTGGCATCTGGGCACTCGCGAATCGTTTGCCTTCGAGGACTTGGGAGCGGCCATGCCGTGGGTGGATCGTCCATGATCCCGCGGATGACGAAAAGGGATCTACAATCCAGCAGCGAGGCAGCAGCCCCGTTGGGAATTGACTACTGTACTGCGTGCTGAGAGAAGGCTTGGTTCAACTTCAGTGGGTTCATGCTTCGTACTTGGCTTGGGCTTGGTGGACACCGGAAGAAACGAGAACTAAGAGAACCACAGAATCACAGAACCACAGGATAGGTGTTTATTACTGACTCAATACTCAAATACTCCATACTCTATACTTCGTACGTAAGGTAGGCAGGTGCTGTGCCTTTCGGACGTAGAGAACGGGTTCAGGGATCCCTGATGAGCGTTGCAGAAAAATTAATTAATAAGTTAATTCGGTTATCACCGCCACCGTCACCGTCACCGTCACCGTCACCATCCTCACCAGCAGAACATCCAGGCTGGAGCCTGAGCATACTGGACTCCGCGCTGTCGGCTTCAGCTTTGAAGATGTGCTTGGATTGGGTGTGCTACAGTGCTACAGTGCAGCATCTAGGTAAGGTAGCCATCAATCCAAGATCTCGCATCTGGATTCTGCATCTGCATCTGCGCCAAGCGCTGCCCAGCAATCTAGAACTCCCAATTTCACTTTTCAACCAAGCCCGTGGCCCTGCGTAAGGTAGAAGAGGTGTTTGATGCTGGGAGCGCTGTTTACACCAGTCCATAATAGCCAGATACTTTTGTAGAAAATGGAAAATAGCAAATAGTCCATACTGTAGTACATAGCAATACCTCTCCTCCGTACCGCCGGAGATACCAGATGCCCCCTAAAATAAATAACTCGCGGTGGAGCAGTGCAGGGCTCATCGAGCTGTTAAATACCGACCAGTTTCGCCTTCGCGACCCGGTGTACTGCAACCCCTGTGGCCGGTAGAAAGTACAAGGGAAACTTGTCTCCTGTGTCTCGACTCCACGGAGTGATTGCCCTACGAGACTGCACTGCGCCTGGTCGTGGTACTCATGAGTAAAGTATCAACTACTACTAAGCACTCGCCTTGTGCTTCCCTGTCCGTCGACTGGGTGTCTGCAACTATCCTCCATCCTCCTTCCTCCTACCCTCCCACCCTCCAACCCTCGAAACCAACAACCACACCGACCGACTGCACCGTTCTCCAGCGTCACCCGTCACTCGTTTGCCAAATCTCATCGCCCAGATCTCGTCGCCACTGTGCCCTCTCCAGCGTCTTCTGTGACCTCCTGTCCTCACCTTCATGACAAAGCAAGAGACTTCGTCCTTTGAATAGCCTCCTTTCTACTTCTCCTAGCTCCTTTATCATCCTCCGATCGCTTGCCGACACGAAGCCCTCTATTCACATTGCAGCACCGATCTACCGATTGATTGATTGATTCATTCGTTCAGACCCTCAGGCTTCCATACTTCGTCAAGGGATTTCGGCCCTGTTTCTGTCCCTACCTCCTCGCCGAAACACTTCCGCATACCTCCCAGCCACGACGCGACTTCCACTCCGGCGTACACTCCCAATCGCGACGCAGATGATAGTAGTCCTTTCACCATTATAACCTTCTGCGCGTGCTTCCCTTTCGATATCAAAAATGGCTTCCGATAGCGCCTGGAAACCTCGGAGACCTCCACATATCACCGTGAATTCTGGCAGCGCAGGAGATATTCGTGACGCCATGTTTCCCGACGGTTCGCCGCCCAGCGCCCCTGGGACGCCTGGGACACCTGGGGCATCGAGGCAGTTACTACCCGCACAAAGGCCAACGGCCAGCGCACCGCGAGGGATATATACCGCTCCCGGCGTGGGAGAATCGTCAGAAATGTTACTGCCCCCATCAAGAGCACGACCTGCAAGACCCTACCAAGATGTGCCAAACAGCCCGGTCCATTCAGTCTCAGGGATGTCTTCAAGGAGAACAAGCTGGAGCTCAGAGGCAGGGGACAGCCGCATCGGGCCCTTTGCCTCGCCATTTGACGACTCGAGAGCCCCCTCAAGGGCCGGCAGCGACGATGAGAATGTCAACACCCAGACAGTGTCAGAAAAATATAACATCATGCCTTCAGAGGGGCTCCTACTCTTTCCAGAAGATGTCGAGAAGGACGACTACCTACACAACCCCGATCCGAATGACACGGACCGAGAAAAGTGCGACATTTTCTCAAAGCGAGGGGCAATGAACATAGGAGGTTTGGCCTTCGTCTCTCTGGGAATACTAGTATTGTTTGTTGGGTATCCTATAATGTATGTTCTCTTTGCCCCTGGAATTTTTATATCACTAACGTTTTATAGATCATTCACACGTCAAATGACCAGGCCGCACGTAAGCGAATGTGCAAAGGATAATAATTGTTTTACAGACCAGGCACCTGCGATCCGGAATTTGAGACTCGGATTGATTGATCCAGATACACCCCAATCTGCCATGACCAAAACGTCACACGATGGGAAGAAACTGAAGCTGGCGTTTTCGGATGAATTCAATAAGCCTGGGCGGACATTCTATGATGGCGATGATCCCTATTTCCAAGCCGTGGATATTTGGTATGGTGTGACGCAGGATCTAGAATGGTATGACCCAGATGCGGTATCGACTGCCAACGGGACGCTCAACTTGAAGTTTGACGCTTTTCAAAGCCACAACCTTAATTTCCGCTCTGGCATGGTACAGTCCTGGAACAAGTTATGCTTCAAGGGAGGGCGAATGGAGGCAAGTATTTCTTTGCCAGGTCGCGGGGATATCGAAGGTTTCTGGCCTGGTTTCTGGGCCATGGGAAATCTTGGGAGACCAGGATACCCGGCTACCACCGACGGTCTATGGCCTTACAGCTATTGGGACAAGTGTGATGCCGGTATCACGGCCAACCAGAGTTCTTCAGACGGGATTAGTTTGTTGCCGGGGATGAAACTGCCGGCCTGCACCTGCAAGGGCGAGGACCATCCCTCTCCAGGACGCTCTCGATCGTCGCCTGAAATTGATGCCCTCGAGGCCAGCGTAGGGTTCATCGGTCCGGGGAAGTTTGATGGGGCTACTGGAACTGTCTCTCAGTCTTTCCAAGCGGCGCCCTTCGATATCTTCTATCAACCAGACTACGATTATCTTGAGATATATGATAAGCAGGTCACTGGTATGAACGCTTACCGTGGTGGTCCTTACCAACAAGCCGTTTCAGCAGTGACTTGGCTGAACAACGGCTGGTATGATAACAATGCCTACCAAACTTTTGGCTTCGAATATGCCCCAGGGGATGATGGAGATATGAGCTGGTTTGTGGGAGACTCAAAAACTTTCAGACTGGATCCCCGTTCCACACGACCCAACGGCAACATAGGCCAGCGTGTAATCCCAGAGGAGCCAATGAGCATAATCATGAACTTCGGGATGTCCACCAGTTTCGCCCAAGTTTTCTTGCCCAACCTAGTAAAATTGATGCCGGCCACAATGAGAATCGATTATCTTCGGATTTACCAGGATCCAGATCGCTCGTCAATCACTTGCGACCCGCCCAATTACCCAACGACTGAGTATATCAAGGAACATAAAAGCGTGTACAACAATCCAAACTTGACACAATGGTGAGTACCCTCGCACTGGAGAATGTTTTTGAGTCGCTTCTAACATCATAATAGGAAAGATACTGGCTACAAATGGCCGAAGAACACCCTAGTCAATGACTGTACTTAACGGCCCGACCCTAGACCAACCCTTTACCCAACCTGTACAAATTGACCCCCTTGCACTCTCAAAACTCGATATTGAGAAGTGATACGAAGATCATGCGTCAAAAGAATATAGAAGGCGTTAATTAGCATTTCGACACGTCGTGGTCTTTAATTTCCATGCATAGCGGAGTCGGCGTTTTGTCTGTTGCATCCAACAGGATCATATTTTCTTGCATCATCCATTCCCTTCCGCGCTGCACTTTTCCCCTTATTGGCTGGGCTGGCACGAGGAGAGGCGTTGTGGTTTTTCTATATCCCATTTGAACGAGGCGCTCTTGGTGGAGCCCGCCGCATACATCCTTGTAGAATACCCTCGCAAGGGATTTGTGTTTTTTTCCTTGCGCTGTTTGCGGTTCTGTTTTTGTTAATTTAGATGCGGGCTTGCGATGCTCTTGATGAGTTGATTGCTGCGCGCCATGTGATAGATTACAGTGGTACGGGTTACTTTTGACTTAGAACTCTTGCGGGATTCGGGATGGGCCGTATGCAAGTAGGGAATATGCAGTAGTTGAATGGGAAAATCATGGGCGCTTTAGATGGGGTAGATGAATATCTACGTAATTAGCAAGCCCTAGGTATCGTCATGCAAATATCGAATCAAATATTTGAAAGATGAATACTGGACTACCGTGAAGGAGTGAACCCTCATGATTGGTTTAGACCCTTTACGAGATCCTTCCAGTATGCGTCAAACTTGAACCTCAACTCTTATACTCTATGTAGACTCTCCAGCATTTTCTTTTTTCAACCACTCCAGGACAGAGTACCGCTTTATCCACCCCATATCCACTCTCCTTACGGACCATACAGCCCGCGAAACTACCCTCAAAACACATCCATACGCCTTTAACGAAATCATCGAGGTCTTGTAAGACGCGGTGGTAGGTGGCATGTTCGATGGGCTGGCCAACGTTATTGGAATAGAGGTGGGTTGCTGCCTGCTTTTGTCCAATAGAGCGAAGGATCTTGATTAGTAGAGTGATAGGTATAGTAAGACTTACCCCCTTTTTAAGGCCTTTCAAGTACATTTCCCACCGTTACTAGGAAGGTATGCTATAGAGGTCAAGTTTAAGAATGAGCTATATCGGGGGTAATCCCAGGAATTTAGAACACGTTTTCAATGAGAGGCAGTGGGTAAGATGGGACATAGTAGAGTGGACGTTTTCTTTTCCTATTGTTGCGGGGTTTCCAAGCCCGAGCAACTTATAATACTGTATCCCGCTATCACACAGCGTACAGCGAGCAGGGTTTTAATACTTCGTTATTACAAACAAAATAAGCCTGATGACAACCCCCCCCACCTCAACCCGATCCCCATCTATAGAACAAAGCACACATCTCATACCTAGGATAACTCAGATCTGCTCGAGCGTGAGCATATAATAATACATTAAATACACAAGGACCATCGGCAACTCAATTTTCAAGATTTCTTAGTCTTAGGCACTCGTGAAGCACGATTTATAGCCTTCGCTTCTTTCGTCGTCCGCTTCCCGATATCCCAGCCCCAACCTCTTAGAACTCGGACCACCTTCGGTGTTATTGCCGCGGCGAGAGGCACGCGGATGAAGATGAAGGACTTGTGGATGGCGTAGGCGAGTGCTAATTGTGTAGCCAAACCTAGGACGAGTGTTAGTCTCTTATTCTTACTGGGGTATACTAGGTATGGAAATGCGACCGAAACATACTGGCATGTTTTTTATTCTTCTCTTCGGCCTCTTCAACTCCCCATCCAGCCATTTCAACGGTGTCGTTGATTTGTTCGCTGCCGGTAATTTCATGCTCTGCCTTTTTCATTGATGTTCGCCAGTCATGCCATTTTTGTTTGACCGATTCCGGAATTGCTTTTTCGACGTTTGAAACGACGATGTGTTCCCATTCTCCTAGAAGGTATTTGTTAGTACATTTTTGCGGAAATTCTTCAAATCTCGGTGCAAGTTGATGTAGTGTCCAGTTTCCGGCAGAGATTGCATCAGCGGCCCATGCTATACCCATCACTTGAAGAGAATCATTCCCGGTTTTTAGATGCCTTCGCTCTGGTGTATACGCCTTTCCTCGAGCCTTTTATAGGAGTTGGCCTGCCGGTAACTCGGCTCCGCCCACAGACAGGACTTGATTACACATTTTTTCTTGGCCATTCGTCAAAATGTAAAAGTCCCTGGACCACTCCGCGCCCAGTCTGTTGTAACACCAATTCTTCACCAGCTTCAGGCCTTTCTGCTTTCAAATGCCATGGAAAGTGCTGTTTTCAGCCTGGCCCAAGGTTGCCCACTCCTTCCAAGAGGTATCCAGTACACCAACTCAGGCACCCACGATACATTTCCCTATTTTGCCCCGAGACTGGACACTACATCCTCACCCATACGGAAACTATAAAATTCCACTTACCAATTTTATCCGTCCCTAACCATCTAACCAACAAATAGCAAAACGGAAAATCCAGCGCACTTAACGTCAAATATACCCCCAAAGCCGACCACCCATATTCTCTCGACAGCTTTTTCAAACGCTCACTGAGCGATTGTGGCTCTGCATTCGCAGCTCCAGACGATGAGGAGCTTTTCCGAGAAGTGGGCTTATTCCTTGGTATGCGAGCCTTGTGGAAGGATCGTATAGAGGAGCGTATCCGCTGCAGGATGGTTTCGTTGCGAAGGGAAGTAGTTCGGACGTGTGAGGAGAATGTGAAGGCGGTTGAGCGGCCGGTCTTGGGAATTGGAGCTGAACGGGGGGCGGTTGTAGTTATTGTTCTTTGAGAAACACGAGGTGGTGGAGAAAAGCGGGATGTCCGGAGCGCAGGTCGCAAAGCCCCTCGAGCGCCGGAAGGGAGTATTATTGTATTTCGAAGCATCCTCGCTATGGCTATAAGGTGGTTCGGTTGTTCATTAAAAGAGGGATGTCGCGATAGTCGTTGCTGGCGTACAAACGCAATTCCCCCGGCTTCTCTTAGCCTAGCAGTCCCCTTCTTGTAGTAAGCTTCCAGAAGAGTTTCCGACCGGGCTTGATTCAAATCTAGTCTTCTGATGACAGGTCCACCTTCGGACCGTTTCGCGATTCCTCTCAAAGCCGAATAAGTACCCGTATGTAATGGCAGATATATAAAACGAATGGGTAGGCCGGATTAGACAGTTTGCGGGCGAGAGTGAGTGCGGTGCGGTGCTTTTTCGTCTTGGGCGACGTAGGCTGACAGCTGAGCTGATATCAAATCCTGACGGAACTCAATTTATTTTCGGAGGTGACAGGGGGAAGCTCGCTGCTGCACGGTGATGCAACGTCTTTGTGGGTTTGGAGAGTGGCGCTGCTTTTGGGACGAAATCGCACGAGCTAAAAGCGGCGCGGTATATTCCTCGTAATGCTAGTTACTGTACAGCACCTTATAAAGGTACTTCGGAAATAGAGAAATATAGAACGATCTATTTAGAAGTAGCCAGGAGCGTTATAATTATTAGAGAGACAGATACAGTAGTATTAAGGGTACCATTTAAGAGGGATAAGAACGTTGATGTGACGATTCTAAGGGTAACTCCGTACAGTGTCTCCCCGGATATACGATAGCAGACGGTGTTGCGCATAGTCACACGAAGAGGGTCATCCATTGCGACATTAGTGTTGGTAATCTGCTCCTCGACAAGAGTTTGGACATCAAACTATGCGACCTTCAAGGGAGACTTTTACATCCTGATGGTACAATTTTTCTTAACGGGGATTCGAGTGAGGGTGTTAAGTCATCGGTGCCACGATCAAATCTAAATGATGCGAACCGGAAGACAGATATTTTCGCTTTAGGGCCAGCCATCTATTTCATAATGAAAGGCCACCCGCCCTTTCCGGAGCTACATCCTTGGAAGGACCGGTCGGACATTGCGAGCCTGTTCGAGAACGGACAGTTTTCTACTCTTGATAAGGGTTAAATGATGATGTTGTAAGGAAATGCTGGGCTGGGAAATATGAGTTAGCCAATGAGGTTATTCATGACTTAAGGAGCTAGATATAATCGATGAATAATTGCAAAAAGTAATATAATTCTATCTCCGGCTTTGCATTCTTAGCCACGATGGGGTAGATGAATTACTAGGTGGATAAGCTAGATGTGACACGCTAGAATGACTTGACCGCATTTTCGGAGGTCTGACAGTTGACATTGTGGAGGGGTGTGTCGATTAGGGATACGGAAATATCTTTATAAAGCGGTTGACTGGAAGTGGAGTTGCGTGCTTGCTGAGGATGAGAGAAGACATGGTCTTATTGGAGAGTAGAGGAGAGATAATAGGCTTTATATAATAGTAGAGAAGGCACAAAAATGATACAAGAGTAGAGAAGGCAAGGAAACATACTGTCAGAATATTTGAGCGCCTGAGCTTTAGTGCCTTTACCACGAATGAAATGGATGATGCTAAATATGATCAAACTCGGTAGATATAAAAAATTGGGCTATGGTAACCACGAGTGTCTGTGATATACTGCCATCTAGGCAGATCCCTCTACCTAATTAAGAGCTGCCCGAGACTGCTCTCTTATACTTCGAGCCTTCCACACACATATAGCCTCAACCACGACCTACCAGGGGCTAAGAAATAATCGAACCTGATTATAGTATACGTAGACCTTATATTTAGCTGTCATGTCTATCCAAATCCAACCCCCACCAACGCCGAACCATGAATAACACCCAGCTATGCAAAACAATCCCCCCCTCATAACTCATACTCGTATCCCACAGCATCACAGCCCGCGGAAACCCAATTCTGATCATACACATCTCCTAAGTTACCGCTGCTCTCGCGGCACGCTGCCACTCCCCTTGACCTTCGGCATCTTCTCATACGCATTCGGGCTCGGAGCCCTAGCTTTCTTCTTCCCCTTTTTATGACCATGCCCATCATGATCATGTCCAGGCCCACAGCCACCTCTTCCTCCCCCCGCCCGATCGTGGCTTCGACTCACCCTCGCAGCCCCATCGTCCCCGCTATCGCTGTCATCACTGCTGCTGTCCGACGAGCTCTCATCGCTAGATTCGTCGATACCGCGTTGTGGGTGGTATATACAGCATACTATCCGTACAAGAAAACACGCATGATTAGCCACCATCATATAACCGCCCAAATAGTGATAGCTAGAGATGAAGAGGGAACTGAAAAACTTGAGAAACCGGCGGAATACAACTAACCTTTACTCTTCTTCCTCCCTAGCCCTTCATTATCAACCACATCCTCCGCCCACTGAATCCTAGTCCTCCTCCCCGTTCTGGCCCCAGTCCCATGAGCCCCTTCTATCGTATTCCCATCTATGCTCGCTCCTCTGAGATGGAGCACTGGCTGGCCGGTCACCGTAATGCCACCTGGAGCTGGGGTCACTTGCGTTGCGCTTCCGGTAGGGTTACTCGAGGAGGTGGCGGTTTGACTTGCGCCCCCGAAGGCGATGTCGGAACTTGCTGGCATTTTTGGCGGCTAGTCTTCTCGTTATAGGAATCCGAATTGCGGTAGACCAACAAGACTTTCCAGATGTTTGCGCCTTTCTATGTACTTCGAATAGGGCGGGGGAGGGTCGTCGTCCTTTTCAACTCTAGCAGCAGGTTTGGTAATCCGGTACTCTGCGCTGATTGCCTTGGATCCTAATTCGGGAGCGAGATAAATTATGATGGTCGTTAAATCGTATCAAGCGTGGGGAATGAGATTTTGAATGTCGAGGGGTCCTTTGTTGATTTGTCGAGAGAGGGCGTTGTGGGCGGATGTTTTCCCATGGTTTGTCGCCCCACGTTCGCGTCACCGCATGCGATACGGATTTGGCGGGGACAGTGGTCCCGTCCCATGTTCTTCTGAACAATTCATCGGCAGACGAACCATTCGATTTGACGTCCACCGATTATGGTTCTAATTGATTCATATCTCATTATAGTCTTTGGATATTTACAGTATGATCAACACAAGCATCACAAGAACCCCTATGCTAACTCTGACATTTACTCCGTTCCTAGCACCTAGGTTCGGACTCTCCTTTTGCACTTCTGCCGTAGAACTCGGAGATATAGAAGAGCAACTAGCAGTCCCGCATTGATATCCACTCGGACAACAGTTTCCCCCATCACCTGCTGCGCAGCTGGACCACCCGGTAGCACAAGCACCCGTGGGATTATGGACTGTAGCAGCTGGTCCAACGGGGACAACCACTGTTTTGCCGCTACTTACGATAGTTGTAGAGCTGGTTGCGGGACATGATATTTTCTCGCAGTTCCTTCCTACCCTGCAGCAACCCCCTTGGTAGTATGCTGAACAGGCGTAGAATCCTGTGGGGCACAGAGTGTCGGTTGGCGTGGCTGCCAGTGATGAAGTAGATGTGATCGAAGTACCACTCGTAGGCCGGACTGGAGCGACGCCTGTATCGGTGCTTGCTGTGCTTAATGCGGTTGATGTGCCTGGCGTGTTTGGAAGACTTGGGCTAGAAGAGGCAGTAGTTGTCGCAGATGTCGGAGGCGGGATAGCGCTCGATGTCGTGCTGGTGGGAATTTCAGCGGACGACGAAGCTGTAGTGGTTGGCGGCTGAGGCACCACGACCGTTGAATTGAAGACACCTGAAGAGTAAGTCAGCAGCGAAGGTAACATTTAACCACCAACACAGTACTTACAGCCTACGCCCTCGCACTCATAATTCGGTATACAACATCCGCCACCAAGGTTAGCAGGGCATGGGGAATTAGGCGCATTGCAATGCGTGATTGTTCCTCCACAGGAGTTGCCCTTCGGACAACATCCAACACTCCCCAGACCTGTATCCTGGATAACAAAGCAATTCTCGTTTGTCGAACAGCAGCTATTGGGATGCCCAATCGAGGAACAATCTGCAGTTCCGGTAGGGCATGACGAGGCTCTCTTCTCCAGAACGGCAAGTATGCCAACTCCTCCTATTTCTCTCGGAACCCAGCGGTCGTCATTATCTGCTCTGCCCCCAATATGTAGCGCAAATGGCGGCCTGAAAGACACAGCTGTTGACCCATTCGCCAACAACCTCAGTTCCTCCACACCTCTCGCCCGCAACGGCTCCTTCAATGCATCTCGACTCGGCGATTGCCCAAGATCCTCCTCGAATTGCCAGTAATCCATATAGAATTTCTCCCCCTCATCAGGGCTCATCTTCATTACACCCACCGGAGTTCGACCCAGGCGCAGATGCTCTTCCACCTGTCGACGGCGGTGTACCGACTCCCTTGGCAAGCTCTCCGCTCCTATGGTTCGTCTCCATTGTGTAGGAAGATGTTCCTCTCGACCTAGATCCGCAGAGGCGGTGTGCGGTGCTATAAGAATGAGTATGGATGCCGGGAGGAAGAGGATCGAGTTGAGTCGCATTGTAGCTTGGCTGATGGATGTGCTTCGAGAATTTAAGGTATACCACGCGCCACAAGTATGCCCGTTCTCGAACCGTAAAAAGGGCACTTGGGCGGTAATTGATTAGAGAGGGATCATGAGTATTTCATGAGAAAAGAAAGCGGTAGTGGATGAGGTGAGGTTTGAATTTGGTCATGATGCTGGGATAAACTCGTGGCTGGGTTGGGCCATTATATTGCGTGGCTGGGAAACACGAACACCTCTGTGGCCTAGCAAACTGTGTTTACTTGAAGTCATATCACAGCAGCTATCGAATAGCGATCGAAGGCAACAACAAACAAATTGGTATTCGTGGTACGACTAACACGCCGTGATGCGTTACAGGGAGAGGGCGGTAAATAGCTGGACGTCACTGTTGTCTCAACCCCCACGCCCCCACGCACAACATCGAGCAACAGACACAACTTTATTCTTCAAAGGCAACCAGTGCCTCAGTATATCTTCAGTTAATAAGGCATGAGTTCTTTCCGCGCTTTACCTAAATTTAGAGAAAACATGTGGCGTAGCAGCTAGCAGTCTAGGCAGCCTCGAACTCCTTAGAGAGATATATTTTACCAAGTCTTTTTATCCTTGATTATCCTCGGAGGCATATCAGCTTTATCGTATGCTCATATATCCAGGTATATGATCTTCATCCGTTGGACTTCAATTGGCGGGTTTGGAGGACTAGCCCTTCAACCCTGCTTCCTCGTACGATCAGCACGACCATGCTGGCATGCTCAGAGATTCCAATTGAGCAGGTTCTTGAGAGTGACCTAGCAGGCTCCGCTACTAGGGAGGTAAGTTGCGAAGATGACCCTGATATTTAAAGTATAGCGTTTGGAGGCATCATTAAGCGGTGCTGGTATTCTGAGATGGCTTTCGCTCAAGAGATATATAGCTGATTTTCAACATATAACTTAGATTAAACCCCTCCCCCCTAAAACCTACTAAGCGAACGTGTCACCTGATAAACCCCTGAGACAGGATAGCGCCAGAGTCGCCTCCAAGTCAGAGCCCGGCACGACAACGGCAACTCCACTATCCAAATAAGCATCAAGACCTCCACCAACTAGGAAGCACAGATGAACAGCCGCAACCATGCCACGTACAGACGAAGCAGAAGCATTCTACCACGCGGTATATAACGCAGTCCAAGAGATTCCGTACGGAAAAGTGACAACCTACGGCCATATCGCAAGTTTGATTGGCACCCGTAATGACCCTCCCGCTTTAGATCCCCGCAATCCCCACGAGTACTAGATATGCATGGTATATATACTAACATAACTTTGAAAAGCACAACGACCACGCCAGGTAGGCGGCTGTCTTAAGCACCTACCCGTCGACACCTCGATGAAATTCCACAGTGGTAATGTTCCGTGGCAAAGAGTTATTAGTTCCAAGGGCATTATACCACCCAGGTAAGTGCGCAGTTTTAATAGGGAAGAAATGGGGTTTGGATATGTAGGGCTTACCAGTGCGTTTAAGAGGTCATCCTTCCGGGGCTGCACGCCAGGCTGAGGCTCTCGAGGCGGAAGGCGTCACGGTTAGTGCTGGCAGCTTGGGGGAATTAATGATTGATATGGTGGAGTATGGATGGTTTCCGCGGCAGCTTCCTAGTGAGGAGGCCGAGGGTTTGGACCCGCCTGTCTTCTTGGATGATGAGGAATGATGGCCTGGCGTGCGAAGTACAGAGTTCCGGCAGGAGAGTAATCACGCTGAGCAAATCACGAAGCCGCCAAATGCATTACGGGAAGGGAGTGTGTATAAACTGAGAACTATGGTCCACTGCATCATGAGAGTATGACATCTCTCCAATCCATGTTCCCTTATACCACAACCCGCCCACAAAGTCCTCAATAGAAATCCATGATCAATATTAACAATTTTCATCGCCAACCCGAACAGCTTCGCCACTCCCATTAACCCTTGCGCTGCTAACGATCGGGCAATAGTATGGTCCCTCCCTTCCTCCCAGGCTGCAGTTCGAGTGCGATTTGTCCAGATCTCACCAAGAGAAATTGTCGAGACGATATTTGCCCATCTCTGTTGACGCCAATATCAGATCTTTTCACGGGGTATTTGATGGCCGCAGCTAAGCAAAATATGACCCACCATACTTGGGATGGTGCGAGAACATCTCACGACCTAACATAATGCTTTCAATCATCCGCGTTTCTCGTCGCTGATCCAGGCAAAACCGTATATATGATCTTCCGTGGATGCGGCAAATCTATTTATGCAGCAAGAATCAATCAACGAAGGGACACTATCCCTATGGTGCTTGTAGACAAGGTTGATGCCAAAGCATCGACGCTGCATTATGATTATTCGGTAAAGGTTCGCTCATTTCGTCTCATCGCCACCCTCGGAAACTCGTGCCTGAGGTCCGTTTGGGATTTGGTTGTTCGGTGGTCCATTAGGGTGTTGGCCATGCTGCTGGAAGTTCTTGTTATTGTAATTTCCATTTGGGTGATTATTGCGATGCTGCGGTCCAAATTGGTGCATCTGTTGAGGGCTTGTTGCGTAGCCAGGACCATTGTATGCATTACGACCCGACACTAGAGCATTGTTAGCAGAGTTCCAATATGCAATAATTGCTTAAAGCCTACTTTGTAGCGGCGGCTGTTGAGGGTAGATGGGTGCTGCATTTCCGTACTGCGGACCGGGACTCATACCAGGGTTCATATTGAACATAGGAGGCTGTTGGTGGCCCTGCTGCGAGCCTTGGCTCATCATCATCGGGGCGCTCCTTCCAGGGCTGGGATAACCGTTGACACCAGGCATTGCAGGCGGGTGGCCATTTCCTTGCGCCATGAAGTGGCCCTGCCCGCCCTGAGGGTACATCATCTGGGGCCCAGGAGCCATGCCTTGAGAGGTCATAAAACCACCCGCAGGATTCTGCATCATAATCGCTGGTGCCATATGAGGCTGTTGGGGGCCGAATTGATGGCTCTGAGAGAGTGAGCGGAAGGGCTGCATTGGTGGCGCTCCTGGATATGGCATCATCTGGCCATTGTATGCTAGTTGTGCAGGCTGGTTCATGGGGGATGGGAAGGCCATGGAAACGTTATGGAGACGAGGCGAGGCAAAGGATTGTGCAGACTGAGATGGCATCATGCGATGGTCTTCGGGTCCGCCGAAAGGGGGAGTTGGGCCATGGCCATGCTGGTTCCCAGGAAGGTTCATGGGTGGCTGTCGGGGCGATTGCCGTGGGCCCATGTTGTGAACGCCTTGTTGGAGATGGAAGGGCAGCTGGTGCTGATGTGGGACTTGAGGAGCGGCATGAGAAGGGTTCGGTGGCGACATGGTCTGCGTTGGGAAGGGTGTCATCTCAAACAATTTGGTATATGTCAAGTGCATCGTCGAGTCCGATTTTTCGTCGTCGGCTACTTGTCTCCAGAGTGGAGGGGTATCATAAGCAGGCTTCAAGCCACCAGTATACTTCCAATTCTTCTCGGGACCGGGCTTGATGGTCATGATGTGCTCCAATGCGTTGAGCTTGCTCTTGAGAGATGGCCGCTCGGCGCTGGCAATCGGTTTGCGTTTGAGCAGCGACCGTGGGACTGGGGTGTGCTCAACCGTGGTTGCAGCAGAGCGAGGGCTGGATCCCGTGCTGGTGTGACTATTCGGGTTGAATGTGGCAGCGTGCGGGCTTGGACGAAACTCGCTGCTGTTGGGGTTGAGTCTTCCTCCTTGCGCACTTGCAACACCGCTGGATCGTCGAGAGAAATTGGGATCCATGGCGTTAGATGGGCCAGTTGGAGGGAGCCGCGTCTCGTGGGTTGGGGCGAGATTCAATGGAACCTGAGCTTGTTTCTGCTGCTCCATGTTCCTCAAACGGGCCCCCAGATTTCCTGGCGTGCGATTCTGCTGAACCGGCACCTGTTGTTGCTGGCCTTGGGAGGATCGATCCCGGAAGGATTGCGAGGTATGTTGACCTTGATGGGCAGCTCCTGGGCCGCGGCTGGGGTTCTGTCGACTGGGAACGTTTGCTGGCGATGCTCCATGGGTTGCAGGAACTGGGCGCTGGGCCGGCCTGGCATCAGAGGCTGGGGTGATGGGTTTGGCAGCCTCCGAAGGGTTGGTCTTGGATTCCTCAGCGTTGCGCTTCGCCTTCTCCTGGATCTCCTTCTGCTTGGCGGGATCCTTTGCAATGATCGAGACGAGATCAGAGGGGACTGGTGTGTTGAGCTTAAAGCTATCAGCAAACTTCTTCAAGTCATTCAGCTTGATCTCTTTGTCGTTCTTGAGCTTGTTCGCGCGGGACAGCTCAACATTCCTTCGCTGCTGATTAGCAAAGCTTTTGAATGCTGTGGTCACATCACGCTCAACCGTGGCGGTTGCATTTGGTGCGGCTTCCGACTTGATCTGCGGAGACGCATTGCGGCTAGTGGAAGTTGACTTGGGCACCGCGGGCTTTGGCTCAGGGGTAGCGGCAGCGCTCGATCCAGTTGTGGTCGGAGGAGTAGCCAGCTCTGACTTGGACGCCTTTTGGGCTGGGGATGCCTTCTTCTCTGCAGCCGGCTTCTCAGGACGGGCAAGCTGCGAGGTTATGATGGCAGGGTCAACTGGTGCGCCAGTGACGGTAGCTTGTCCGGTAGGGGCGCGTCTTGCAGGTGGAGTGTACTTGTTGGTTGAGGCGGAAAGGGGGGGGAAGTCCTGTCTGCGAACACCACTGTATCTATACGAAAAATCAGCAGCGGATTCAAAAGCTCGCATGAGGCATACTTACTTGTCCTCTTCATCAGGTCCATTGTCATCGCTTGCAAGGTTGTCTGTGACGCGCTCTTCCGCAACATGAGAATTGGAAGCTGCGCTGCGCTCAATCTCTCTAGCCTTCCTCTCGGCTTCTGCGAGTCGCTGCTTGTATTGGGGGTGGTTCTTGTCGATCGTCGTCGTGTAGATATTCTCGTCATAATCTGTGGTGACACCCCATCGGCGCTCGTGCTCCGCAAACTGGTCCCATGGGGCAGCTCCGGAGGATTTCAGCTGCATCGACTCCAACGACCCATCCGTTTCCTCGGGGCTGTCAGGGACCCATCTCTGAAGAGGACGCTCTCCCTGGGTTCTGCCACTGGAGATCGCGCCGTCTGTTCTAAAGGAACTGGCATTGCCTAACATACATAGTTAGCATCATAGGCTACTGCATGCGCCGAGTAGGCTTACCATTCTGTGCCCGTCCCTCACTCTTACCTACACTCCCTCCCCGAGCTAGCGACACGTCCTTCCTCTGAAATGCCATATTAGATTGTTGGTACTTTGTAGAGCCGTTCGACATGTCGTTAAGCTTCTTCTGCACCATATTCGAGTCGACGCTCGCTGGATGTTACTCAAGCCTCGTCGACGAAGGGGGGTAAAAGTGATTCCAATATCTTGGAAAGCTAGAGAGAGAGAGAGAGAGATGATTAGCGCTAGCCATAGATCTGTCTCTTATACACATCTAGATGTGTATAAGAGACAGGCCTAGAGCCCACGCCTCACCTTTGGGCTCGGTGACCAAGATACCCAGTGTTGAGAGTAGCAGGGATGGATGGCCCAGTGTAGAGGAGAAGTTGCCCGAGGAGGAGAAAAGAGATAGCCACTTACCACTTGATTGGCAGATTGGCGCGTGGTGGTCACTTGTAGCAAACCGTTCCCGCCAAATTCTGTCGCCGTGTAAATCCGTCAAGGGCCAGACGCACCCGTACCCCTAACCCACGGAGGGAGGGTGAGCGCACTGAGGAACTGATCTACTAGAATTGATGGCCGTCAGCATGTGCGCATTGATGTTAGTGGCTGCCAGAGGGGCGTCGATGTAGAGGTTAGAGGTGGGAGGTAAAAGGTGAGGGTGAAGTTTGTGGGGGGGAGGGGAGAGCTCCCAGGTTCAACCCTTGATGTCAAAAGAGGCTGGGCGATGCGATGCGGGAAGAGCTTACCTGGCCGATATTAGGAGACTCTGGGAACGGGGCATGCACTCTGCTCTTCCAGGAGTCCGGTATATGAGGGCAATGGGAGGCGTTCTGGGGGTGTCGCGGAGGGTCGCGGAGAGATCGAGGGCTGTTAGGGGTTGGGCGTGGAAAGGGACAGAAGCAGACCAAATTCGAAGAGCACGACAACACTGGCAAGCGATGGTGCGCGAGCTCAATGGCGAATTAGAATAGCGCTGGGGAAGAAGGAAAGACACGGTCCAGACTAGACTCCAGGGCAGACACACACGCTGGCCATCAAAGATCGACTCGGGGCAGACGTAGATGGGGGGGGGGGGAGGTGGTGATTGCGTCGATGAAAGGAAAAGGTGAAGGGGAAGGGGAGGGTGAGGTTTGGTGGTGATGGAGAGTATGAGTACGAAGTATTGGGATTGGGATCGGTAGACGGAGAGTAAAGGTAGAGTAGAATACCGTAGTCGAGCAGCGTAGACCACAATATTTCGGAACGGCAGACGACTAGGCGATTTTGGACCTGGCGTGTGTTTTCTGTGTTTCCGGGCTTCTGGGGGGGGGAAGGGGGAAGGGAAGGGCACGGCCACTGGGCTGCGCTGGGCTACAGGACAGTAACAGTAGCAGTAACAGTAACAGTAACCGTGACGCTAGAGGTAAGTGCCGCAAGGTATGATTTACGCTACAGCAGGTCAAACTTTATTGTTGTTATTATTGTTATTATTGTCGTTATCGTTATTGTTCTAATTATTATTATTATTTACTAGAGTACTGTACAGCTCGATTATTGTAGTACTACTACTAATACTATCAACCCCCTAATATTTCCACACACTACGCACTGCACTGCACTGCTTCGTACAAGTACTCGTACGTACTGTACTGTACCTACAGGGCGGATACATATATAGGCTACGGCTCAGGTACAATAAAAGTACTTCGTACGGACTTCGTACTGTAGACAAACGGCCAATGTGTCTATCGGAGAATGCTCACAACGGCACGAGCACCGCAGTACCTGATACGTACCTACATACGTACCTACGTACCTCGTACTCACTGCTCTCCTCCGGATTCTCCCTGCCTCCCTCGCTCCTCTCTCTGGACACTCGGTGTGCGTCTCAACAGATGCTGCTTGCACAACCCCAGTTCAAGTCGCCCTACTCCAGCACCCGACTACTCTGCTGTACCTGTAGTTCTTATCTGCTTGTGTCAACAGACTGCATGGCACCTTGCACACACACAAGTAGGGCGGAGCGATCGCCGTGTCCCGGATGGGGGCTAAGCCAGGTGGGCTGATAAAGCAGAGCAGTAATAAGCAAGTCACTTCTTTGTTGCCATTATTTGCTTGTCGTTCCGAAGCCCTCAGCTTTCCTACCCCCCCAGAAAGAGCATCCTCTTGATGGAGCTGGTGCCCAACAAACACAAATCTAAAACCAAAAACCCAGCCCCGAATCCATGCTCCCCAGATTCTGTAGATCATAGCACATCTCCAAGAGGGGCCGCCGACAGATTATTTGCTGCGGAACATACAGCAAGGTGACAGCGGTTGAGTGTGTGGAGAGCCAATCGACTGCACCTTAGATATATTAATGCTCTGTCCAATAAGGTCATTCATTGGCAACGACAAGCCTGGGGAGATGGATATAGCCGGCCCCATCAGAGCCGTCTTGACTCTTGCTCCCATGTGAGAAGAACAAGTGCGAAATGGTCTGGGGGGCCTGGGAGGGTTGTGAATAAGGTCAATTAAATGATTATTAGACTCCAATAGGGTATAATCCAGGTTGCTTATAAGCTTCATAGTTATAAAGTAATTAGTTGGATGTTTTATTAAAATACACCCCAAGGCCGGTAACAAGCCTAAGGAGAGCATCATGGTGCAGCAGCTTGTAGGAAATACTAGAAGTTACGTAAGTTACGGAAGTTAGTAGGGCTTTTGGTGCCCTCTCGATCCCTAATATTCTGGGCTCGGTCAAAGAAGTGGCTGATATTCAATGGATGCAGAGGGAAGTTATCGAGAGCTGAGTACAATAATATTCGAGTAAAGGAATACAACTAATACACTGCAAGGAATAAATTCAGCAGCATATTACAAAAAAAACATACTACCATTCCGTAGAATGTGAGCTATTACTTTGAATAATCCTTTGTAAAGAACTCACTCTGTAGTAAGTATACTCCGTACTTCGTACCCAGATTTGTAATACTGTGCACCAGCCAACAGTTAACAACATGTTCTATCCGAATCACTCAAAGAAAAGCTGCATTAACTACTCAGGTAACCAAAACAACGTCTACTTGCTTTGTGTAACGGAGTGAATCAAAGAATAAACCGGGATGCTACCTCTTCGTACTGTAAGCAGCCAGATATAGACACCTATACATGTACGAAGTACATACTACTACTCCGTACAATGTATCCCTTCTAGAACAATACCCGATGCGGGCAGTATCACGTATTATTATTATTATTATTATTAACCCGCAACCAGCTGGAACCTGAACGGGAACATGCAACACTTGCAACCCCTAAGGTGTCAATAATCCGCACACGTACGTCCGGACTTCATACTGCTACTCTCTCGCGACACTCCCGCTCCTCACACTTACCCCTTTCCTTCGCATCCCCTTTCCTCTCGTCTCCAAACATATCACCTCGGTCACAGCGCCGTCCCCTACATCGTTGCAGTTGTTTCATCGGTGAACGGCGAACGGTGAACGGTGAACAGTGAACCTGATCCGCACGGAGCAAAAAGCTGTCGCTAAAGCTTAGAGTTGGACGCTAATCAGCCTAGCCGCGCATGGGGACGAAGGGGACTTGGGAACTCGAGCCAGAGCCAGAGCCAGAGCCGGAGGGAAACCTGAACGTGTGATCGCGACCGATACGAGCAGCTCAACTCAGGCTCCTGCGACTCTACGATGGAAAGCGATTAATCCTTTGACCTCTAGAGTTTCCCTATCTTCCACAACGCCGAACCCAGCCCAGCCCAGCCCAGCGCCGTGCACTTCCGCCTCCACTCCCACATCTCACAGAACTAGATCGTTTGAAATTTAGAGCTCGCAGGCAACGACATGATTACTTGTTAGTTCCGGGGAAAACGTCTCGAGAGGAATCAACCACGATGCAAGCTCCCTCCACGTCCCAACGACCGATACAACGGCGGTCGCCCGCCGCAGACCCAGGCCCTCCTCCTAACGTACCGGCGCGAGTGCTGTCTCCTAGGCCTAGATCTCAGCCGCGGATGTCTTCCTCATCGGCAAAGAGCACTTCAAGTGGTGGCGGGAGAAGACCGAATGCGAATGTGAGTGTCCCTCAGCTTGCTCCCCCCAACTGCTATTTTGCCTTCACGTATGTGCACGAGACTAACCTGCTGGCCAGCCTTCCCAGACAACCCAGAATGCTCCTCCGCTGTCCCAAATAGAAAAGAGTGTGACGCATCTCCTTGTTGCGACGAAGCAACTCCTCGAAACCCTAACACAATGGTCCCGACACCTGGCAACCGATGCGCAAGTATCCGATGTGTATGTACGGCTGGGGTATGAGTTCAATATTGCATGCAGAGCGTTCACAGCCATCAACGTTGATACTTCTGATCTGGGAAATGTGCCGGAGCTTTTGCGCCACATCCTCGAGTCCACTCTTAGCCAGGAAGCCAGCGTCGAGAGCCTGGAGAAATACCTACCTCGGATCAGGGACATCATCATAAATTTACTTCATGGGTTGAAGAGAAAGCAACAGAAATTACGCCAGAAACAATCGAGGGATGGCACGGTTCAGAACAATGAGGGCCCAGTGCCCCGGAATAATAGTATTACTAGTGTGGCAAGCGGGAATACCGGTCTCACCACATTGTTGGACCAGGGCATCCAGAACAATTTCCAGGGCGATGGCATGGCAAACATCAGAGACAGTGCGACCGCAAATGAGGTAAATGTGCCGCCTCGGATGTCGTCACAACCTATAAATCGTAGAGGGCTTCCGACAAGAGACCAGTCACGCGGTTCGATGGCTTCCGACCAGTCTACATTATCGAGCACGACGATGCAGAATATGCCGGTTATGCCACCTTACCCAGGTGATGAGGTATCTATGCCCTCAGGTCCCCAACCCACAGAATTCGCTGTGGACTCTTTTCCACCCCCGCCTCCACCTAAATCTACACAAAACGCACTTGAAGCTCTCCAAAGAGGTGGTGATCTTGAGAGAAGGGCTTCCAGGCGGTACTCAGCCTATCAGATTTCCAGGCACCTTGGCGCGTCTCCTAATGGCTTGCCTATGCTGCCTCCCGCCCAGAATTCTCCAATCCCTAATAGAGGTAGGAATGACGCCCGAGAATCTATGAAAGCAGTTCAAACCCGAGGAGAGCAACGGCATGCACGAAATCCCTCGGCGCGTTTAGCCACAGACCGTTCTCCAGCTCGTGTTCCGAGTCGCATATCAGAAGAAAGCTCAAATGCTCCTCCTCCTGCCATAGTACCGCCCAGCGAGCCTGCGCTAGATGACAGCCCTATTGCAAAAACTCCAGACGACAAACTCAGACAGTCTGTCGTGGATTTCGGTGATTCCGCACCCAGCGCAACATTGCAGGGGCCGCCAGCCGACGCATTCCCTATACTCCCAGAGCCTACTCCTGACTCTCCAACCTCCTCATCATCTACAGTGACCGAAACGCCAAAACGCCAACAAGCGGCAGCAGCAGCAGCAAGACAAACGCCGCCGTATCAGAGTCAGGATAGACAGTTCACCCCAGAACAATCACCCACGCCTGGAAAGGAACTAACGCTCTTCTTACAATACAAAACGAAAGTCAAAAAGTTTGTCTTGCCAGATGGATACAACGATCTGTCAAATGCTAGGTTGCAGCTAGCTTTTATTGAAAAGTTTGCATGGAACACGCATAATAATGGGGTCGACCTGCCAGAAATATACATTCAGGACCCAGTCTCGGGTGTACGCCATGAGCTTGAGGATTTGAACGACATCAAGGATCGCTCGGTGTTGGTTCTGAACGTCGAGGTTCTAGATGAGGTCAAGCGCCATATTGATGAAGGACTTGGTGGTATTAAGAAAATTGTCGAGGGTGTCCGAACGGCTGTCGATGATCAACAAGCCTCTATACAGCGAGTCTCGGATCGCCAACAAGATGCCGCTAAAGAGATCGCCCGATTAGGATCCGCACCAGCCATGTCCTCGCGGGTATCCTACGCTGACAACAAGCCACGTATGAATGGTGGTCTCATTAGTCCATCAAAGGTCAACAGCCAGGCTCAGCTAAGCGAGATCCAGAGCCTGCGTCGGGATCTTGCAGTTCTGCGGCAAACTTACTCTGGCTTCCAATCTGACATACAGAGTTCGATGTCTGCCATTCGGACGAAGGCGAGCTCTGTTAAAAGCGTTGCTGTCACAGCTGCTATACCCGACATCAAAGGGGAGTCTGGTCGCGCATATGTTAATGCCGGAAAGAAGAATCTTAACGAAGACTCCGATAAACTTGTTCCCCTTGTTGATGACCTCCAAGACATCGTCGAAGACCTCCGCAAGGATGTTGTTCTCCGCGGCGTCCGCCCTCTACCACGCCAACTCGAGACCGTGGCCAAAGATATCTCTCAAGCTACAATGGAATTAAAGAAGATGCAAGACTTCCTGAAGCGTGAACGCCCCATCTGGACTAAGATTTGGGAGAAGGAGCTTGAAACGGTTTGCACTGATCGTGAGGAAATGACGATGCAGGAAGACCTAGCTGCGGATCTTCAAGATGATCTGGAGAAAGCTACCCAGACATTCGCATTAGTTGAGCAAGCTACGAAAGAGCAGATGAAGGATACCCCCGCCAGCCAGGCTGGTCTCCGCGGTATCTCTAGAGGATTGAACCACGTCGTCACCGCCGACCCTGCTGCCGCAAAAGAGGGTGTATTAGGCGAAGTTCGTGCTTTGCAACCCAACCACGAGAACCGCCTCGAGGCAATTGAGCGCGCCGAGAAGCTCCGCCAGAAAGAACTCGAAGGCCGGCGAGGTGGCGAATTCCAAAAAGAACTTGGTAATTTTGTCGAGGAGGGACGATTAAAGAAAGCAGGTGGCTTTGAGGAGGTTGAACGGGCAAGGAAAGCCAAGGATGATAGAATAAGGAAAGAGGTGTGGGAGAGGCAGAATGGCATGACGCAGGCTGATGCCTTTGTTGCTGAGTCTGCCGCCGAGCCTACGGCCGAAGCACCCGCCGAGGATGCCGCCGAAGAGATGAACGCCAGGGGTAATGGGGCGGTTCCTGATATTTAGGACTTGGAGGATTGTGGATTAGGGTCTGTAATTTTTCAATTAATCCGACATTTCACTTCCATAATGTGGTCTCCTTGCCATCCTTTGTCACCAAATGAGCGAATTCTGTTTTATCGATAGCGAGCATAGCGTTCAGTACCGGGGTGTTCATGCCGGTTCTGCTTATACAGATGTACTTTTGTTTGCGGATGAAGACGGTACAATGCGTCTTGGAGTCTGATTTTGATACAACGCGAGCGAACGAGGGAGCTGGAAGCTCGTGGTTGTATCCGTTCAGCCTGAATTGTGAGGTGGCTTGATAAACCTTATATTGAGAGCTTTCTGAGCACTCTCTGTGTTCATAGTGATAATTGAATTAGAAATCTTTGATGATAGGACATGATGCGGTAACAGTGAAATGTTGACTTGGTGTTCGATCCGAGGCTGAACAAGGCTAACCCAAAGCCTCGTCTGTACCGCACAGACCTAACGTCATTTCGGACGACCTCCGGACTATGGAAACTAACAATCTAGGTTGCTATAGTACACCATCAACGTCTTCGATTTCCCCTTCGATGGCTCGATAAGTCAGAGGCACAAATTTACCACGGTGCCTCAATCAGTAGCCCTCCAAAACATGGCCGACACCGCCGAGGAACCCTTAATGGGCCACTCGCCGGAAGATGCACCGGACGACGACGTGGACCTCAGCGATGTATCCCTGCTGTTAGAGAAGAACCTCCGGCACCCAGGTATATTCGTATGGCTTCTCACATTCTGCGCGGGGATAAGTGGATTGCTGTTTGGCTGTAAGTTAGCCTATTCCAGCTGGAATAACGTATCCTGACGACTTCATTCCAGATGATACGGGCGTTATATCTGCCACCCTAGTCTCTATCAATAGCTCCCTCGGCCACCCATTGACTACCCTCGATAAATCATTGATCACCTCCGCCACAGCCCTCTTCGCGCTACTTGTCTCGCCCGTTTCAGGCATTCTCGCAGATACTATAGGGAGAAAACGCGTCATGCTTCTCGCGGATTCAGCGTTCGTTCTCGGAGCCGTGGTCCAAGCCGTAGCTACTTCGGTTCCTGGGATGATAGCTGGCCGTTCGATAGTTGGCCTTGCGGTTGGAGCGGGGAGTTTTGTTGCGCCGCTCTATATTGCCGAGTTGGCCCCCGCCCCTTTCCGAGGCCGCTTAGTTACTCTGAATGTCCTATTCATCACTGTAGGGCAGGTTGTTGCTTATATCGTCGGTTGGGCTTTTGTGGAGTGGGGTAATGAGGCAACGGGCTGGAGGTGGATTGTCGGGCTTGGTGCTATGCCTGCTGCATTGCAGTGTCTGCTTATGCTTATTATGCCCGAGACACCCAGGTGGCTTGTGATGGTTGGCCAGCCTGACGAGGCGAGGAGGGTGTTGAATAAAGTTTTCGGAGCGGGTATCGAGATTCAGGGGATGGTTGATGTGGTGTTGAAAGGCATTAAGAAGGAGGTTAAGGAAGAGGGGGAGGCGAAGCGTGGAAGGTTAAGAGCGCAATCGAAGAAAGAGAAGCAGTCTTGGTTTACTGATTCGAAAGATATTTGGGCAGAGTTGCTTCGAACTGGTGGGAATAGGAGAGCGCTGACTATTGCATGCCTATTACAGGGGCTCCAGCAGCTCTGTGGTTTTGTATGCAACTGTCCCCATCATTCACTACGAATCTAACGATGATTAGAACTCCTTGATGTATTTCTCCGCCACCATCTTCACTATTCTTGGGTTCTCCAGCCCGACTTTAACATCCCTCTCGGTAGCAGCAACAAACTTCGCCCTGACCTGCGTCGCGCTAGTGCTCATTGACCGGGTCGGCCGACGACGAATCTTACTCTGGTCCGTCCCCATAATGGCTGTCGGCCTGTTATTCTGTGCTATTGGCTTCTATTTCATATCCTTGCCCTCTGATCTCAACTCCGAGAACCCTTCCTCTTCTACCTCAGCATGGGAAAGGGTTCCGCTATCTAAACGCACCGCACCACTCTTCGTCCTCGCTAGCGTGATGATCTATGTTGGTGCCTATGCACTTGGTCTTGGAAACGTACCTTGGATGCAGAGTGAGCTCTTCCCGCTGAATGTACGCTCTCTGGGATCGGGCCTAAGCACAAGCACAAACTGGGGAGCAAACTTCATTGTAGGATTGACATTCTTGCCTATGATGGAGTTTTTTACTCCATCATGGACATTTGTTATTTATGCAGGCATCTGCTTGACTGGATGGTTGTGCATTTGGCGGATCTACCCTGAAACAAAGGGGTTGAGTTTGGAAGATGTTAGTGCATTACTAGCAAATGGTTGGGGAGTGCGAGAGAGTTTGTCAAGGACGGAATGAAGTGTCTACCAAACATGTTGATGTTACAACCAGCCGACTAGACGTCGGCGATGAGTTCTTTAATTGCGTTGTTTTGGCAACAAACGATATGATTATCCCATAACATACACCACTGAGCCACAAGCGATGAATCACCGCCAGGTTTCAAAGGATATTATCATCTTGTCTCTACCTACATAAATCAGCCAGACTATCCTGATTTACCAACCAAGCAACTTCAGAGACTACGTTTCATATACGAGGACTACAGCCGCCCACTACTGGAGTGTCGTCAACTATACCAGTGAGTACACCTTCCTTTTACCGCGTTTATCCCTTGCTTAGCACCATACCTCTTCGCCCAATCCACCAGCCCAACTCTTAGCAACATGTTATATACTCCTAGTTTTAAATCGGCACTCGTCCCTGTCCTGCTGGAATTCATTCGGACGACGACATGTGCAGTCGCACCCTTTAATATAATTCTCTCATCTAACATGCCTCAAAGTAGATCAAGCAATAAACAGAAATGACTATGCCCTCTCCAGAAATGGGGGAGTTTAAGCGGAAGTTCAATAAGCTAGCAACAAAGCAGTTAGGAATATTTGCGGAGAAGACCAGGAAGAAGGTCGCTCAGGAGCTAAGCCATCTGGAACCTCCGAGCTACCGTGCTCATCTGTTTGATGAGGCCTTGAAGTATTGGATGGACAGCTATGCAATTGAGAAAAGGAGGATGATGAGGCGGGGTTGTGGACCGTCACAGGACTTGGATTGGATCAATTTTTTGGCCCTGGCTTCAGTTCCTGCAAAGTCGACTGAGATGGTCCCGGATGTGTATGCGAATGTATCAAGGGAGGAGTCAGAAGGAGAGAATAAGGATCCATTAGGTTTTACCTTCTTCATGGTTAGCATCCTGGCCGGGCTAGGCGTGCTCTTCCTAATTTCCATTTCCTCTCATGGATGGCTGTGGGAGATCTGAGCAAAAGTGCATGGAGATAAAGGGTGATTGGGAAGAGTATGACTTGCCAAAATAGCTGACTACCTGATTTACCACTGTTTACGACAATTTGAATCCCTGAACTTCCTAAATGCTAGTTTCTCATCTTCAGTACATAACCCTATACAGGTCTCCTTTTTCTCACCCTCCTTGAGACATTTATTACACCTGCCCGACACACATCTGCAAAATTCAGCATCTACCAAAACCCTCCATTCTCTGGTGCCACCTACCTCTTAAACAACCATAACTAAAGTTCGTCGTCTTATCATGGAATCCAAGTATCCGTGCATCACACCCAGTAGCCTTTCTCCGAACGTTTATTTCTCGTTGGCCTATATATAGGTAACTACGTCTGGATCTTTAAGCTAATTCTCCAATTAGGCAGTAAGTGCAGCATTCCAAACCACACACCAAGTTTGTGTTTGGATGTTATTTACTCCTGATCTTAGCACTTATCAAAAGCCACCTCGATGGCTTCGACCCTTGATGTCGATCAACAACGCAAGCAAAGATGGCACAAGGATCTCGATCAAAGGGCCCTCAATGGCACCCCTCCACTGGTCTAGCGCATAGTGTTTTTAATGGATTTGTTAGCTAAATAAAAGGTATTTATTAAGTTTTTATAAAAACATAGCAGCCTTGCGGGAAGTCGGTCTATTTTGGTTGGTATATCTGATATAGGGGAGTTGGCAGAGAGCAATGGTATATTGCCAGAGGGGTTGCAAGCAGGTAGAGAGGCATATAGAAATTAAGGATCAAGGCACACATATTTAGAAGAGAGTTTGGTATTAGAACATTATTAATTATATCTTGACTTTATAATTAGCTCCATCCGATGCACCCATATAGACAAGCCAGAAAAACGCTGGTATCAAGCTCCCCATCCAACAAAAACGTTGAGGGTTCGAATATTCCCACCAAACTCCATGTAACTTTCTATAAGTTAGTACGACAAAGGAAACAAGAAATCTTTGCACACGAGGTCAAATCAAACAGCATCTTCGCCCCGCTTCTCCACCCCCGCAGCTGTGTCATCTTCATCATGAATCGGCAACTCTTCCGGTTTTGTCGGCGCAAACGCACTCTTCCTCCTCAACTTCTCGCCATAGAAGTAGAAGCATACCGGGATTGGAATCAAAACCGTGGCAACACAGCCAAGCAAAGTACCGGCCCAGTTTACATGCAACGCCTTGAACATATACTGACTGAACATCGGGAATCCCGCGCCTGCTAGCGAACGCAGAAAAGTGTTCCCGGCAATGGCTGAGGCGGCGAACATGAGATATGCGTCGACAATGTAGTTTAAGGATTGCAGGAAGATGGCCAGAAGACCGAAGCCGGTGAGGATGCCTGAGAGGGTAGGGACGATCCAGTGGATATCGGCGCGATAGCCTGACCAACCGAACCAGAAGAGCCCACCGGCGAAGGAAATACCGCCGATTATCACGGGTGGGAGACGCCATTCTGGGATCGGGACGCCGTTGTTGGCGGCAAGTTTGCGATTGTAAGATGGTTGCGTGAGGGCGATGTAGATGCCTGCAAGGAGTTGGCCGGTGACCATGCCGAAGTAGGGGAGTCCGCCAATACCGGGTGTCATGCGGTGGATTTGTTGGAAGACGATAGGATAGGCTGTTAAGAAGAGGTAGAGTAGGCCGTAGATGAACGACATGTAGATCGATAGGAGGAGGATGATGGGTTCGGTGAAGAGAATACGCATTGGTCGGCTGAAGTTCTTGGTGATTAGTTCGCGGAAATCTATTTCGATTTCTTCCTGCTTGGCGTGGATGCCCCAGTTTCTGGTTCTTCGGCGCAATTCTGATGCTTTGGAAATTAGGATGACGGGTGGATATGTTTCTTCCAGGAAGAAAAAGTCCAGGAAGAAGGCGAAGAAGCCCATGATCGCGACCAGCCATTCTGTCCAGCGCCAGCCAAGGTGAGATTCGACAATAAATCCTCCAATGAAAGGGGCCAATAGAGGTCCGGTGAAGACGGTCATGGAGAATACCGTAATAGCCAGACCACGAGACTTGTTATCGAACATATCCGAGAAAACAGCCGCTACAATTGCTAAGGGAGCGGCACCAAACATTCCTTCGCAAGTTAGCTTAGTTTCCAATACTGCTTCAAAGGGTAATACATACCTCCCCAAAATCTACAGAGCAAGATGGTCTGAAGATCTTTCCCAGCCGCGACGGCGACTTGAAATATAGAAAATCCAAACATAGAGATAACCAGGGGCAGTCTTCTGCCTTGCAATTCACTAAGCGGAGCCCAAAATACCGGCCCAAACGCGAAGCCCAGCACGTAAAGCGAGAGACCTAACAAGCCAACCTCGGTAGAGACGTGATATTGTGCAGCTATTGTGGTGGTAGCAGTCGAGAAAATGCTAGATGTAAAGGAGGATACCAAAGTTGTATATCCTAGTATGACGGCCGTAAAAATTCTAAAATTCCATATTAGTACTCGAATTGTTTCGGTCGGAAATTCAGGCTCAATTGAACATACTTCTTCTTCATTGGCCAATTCTGTGCATGTAATGGATCGTCCGGCCCCTCAAACTCAACCACATATTCATCTCTAGACGGCAGAGGCGGGGGATATGGCTTTCCTAAACCCATCTCCGGGAGCGGTCTCCTGGTGTCCCTGGTCTTTGTACTCATACTTCGCTGCCTCCCAACGGTAGCAGTATGCTGGCTTCTCGCTGTATGTATCCTGCTCAGCACTGTGGGGTGCCGCTCCAGATCTCCTTGCGTAGATGTCCGACTCATGATTCGTTCTTGCCGTCGCGCTGAGCTTATAGATGAGGATGTTGAGGTTGACGATGCGGTTATGATCCGCTCGATTTCATGGCTAGGTCGACGGTGAGGAGACACGTTGGCAAAGCGCTCTGGAGAAGCATCGAGCTCGTTGCGTTCCATTTCTAGGTCGGCAATATTCATCTTGGTGGTGGTGGGTTGCCACCTAATGGCAACCTACTAACCGATTAGTTACGAGTAGGTCGAGAAGAGTTGCCGAGATATTAAAGGAGCGGTGATGGAGGTCGTATTGAAGGGAGAGCTTGGAATTGGAGTGAAGAGTTGGTTTTAATGGGAATGGCGAAACGAAAATGGGAAGTAGGAAGGAAGAATCTAAGGCTTTATTGGGTTTATTCAGATTCGAAACTTTTCGAGGCGTAGGGAACGGAATGGCCGTGCTGGGGCTGGGATTAATAAGAAAGCCCACTACATCATCGCCGTCCGGGTGCCGAGGCACACAGAGTCGCAGATACGAAGTCCCGACTCCTGAGTAAGCAAGCAAGCAGCCTGCAGAATGCCTGTCGCGGCTACACGGCAGCCAGGGGGCAGGGGGCGGGGGGCGGTGCTCGGAGCACGGAGCACGGGTTTTCTTTTTAGTGGGAGATCCGAAGAATGGACTTCTTGCAAGCAGGATAGTGATAATATTTGTACGTATACCTGGTACTGTATGTATGATATTGGTAATAACAGCAACAACAACAACAACAACAACAACACCAGGGGGGGAGGGGGGGTGTTGGTAATGGGAATGGGAATGGTAGGGTTCTACAGTGGTTATAGCCGCAACTTGCCGACTACCGCTTTAGGCTGAGACTAAATCATTGAACATTCTACGGAGTAGCTGATGGACAGATCGGTACAGGACATGTACTGTACTGTACGAGTACCGTACAGTACCTACTGTATATGTACATGTAGTAGGCAGGCGGAGCAGCTACGGAACTGCCGCACTCACCTCAACAGCAACTATCGCATTGTACTACTGTACTAAGAAGTAGTCTTTGGTCTAGTGCAAGATAAGGTTAAGGCCGAAGGACCGACAACGTTCTTAAGAAGCTTAAGGGCGAGAGCGAGGCGCCGACTGGCCGATACACAACGGGTACTCACGGGCCAAGCAGAGAAAAGGGAGAAAAGAGAGAAGAGTTTGCAAAGTCCGAAGGAGGTGCATAGGTACTTTCAGACTGTCAGACTGCTGTTGGTACGAAGTCCTCGAGTCGCACGCCATGGATGCCACGCAGCTAGCCGCCCTTTTATCTCCGACTAACCACTAAAACCGAGTGGTACTTAAAGGTACTAGGTAGGTGGTGAGGCACTTCGCACTCAGAGTTTGTCCGTCCCGGCTTCCAGGAGATCGCTCGGATCGAGCCGAGGCGCAAGCTGAGGATGCCGGAGCTACCTATATTTAGGAAATCCAACTGGCCAATATGTTAATCAATCTCGGAGCTGGTGTGCGGCACTTTTTCTGCAAATCGTATTTTTATGCCAAGTAGCCCCACTAAGTGGATAGAGGCCGCGCATCGTCAGCACTCGATATTTATTTCATGTGGTTCGAATCTCGGTCGTGAGGAGTATCGTTGCATTGAAAGTTATAACAGACATTTCGATGATTCACACGGGAGACCCGCCGAATGTGACAATGGGTATTTTATTATACTGGTATGCCCGTGGCTGCAAGTCAGTGTATGTTTTCTTTTGGGAGTATATCCCTCCCGGTATGTACAAAAACCCAAAAGTGCAGAACATCTATGAAATAGAACACCAAACACTACCAATTTACACAGCCTCCTTAATAAACCCCTAGTGGAGATAAAGAAGACACAAATACCTCGCCCAATTCATGCCCCCCAAAAAGATGTTAGGGCTCGCAATTAATTGTTTTTACCTCTCCTATCGTGGGAGCGAATCGACGTGGTACAACTATAGTTAGTAGCTTAGGAAACATGTATCTAACCAAATCGGAGATAGTGCACATGTAGGAATCGTGGGTTTCAATTGAATTCGTAAAGTAGGAACAAACAAGCCTTAGAGGGTCCTAGATAAATCCCTCGGAAGTTATAGTAGTGCGAGCTCGCGGAGAACTATAAGGAACACCTGATCAAGGATCTTTAGATCTCGCAACTATTAATTCAACCACTTGCTTATTCCTGGACAGGGGAGGAGGGATTTTGAGACGCGGATAATACAGCACACGAGGGAACAGCGTTGGAAGGATTCTTATAATAGAAAACACAAATCGTTTCATATGATGATATATAGGTATCTTACAAAATATATAAGAGCTGATGGTAGGGAAGGCACGACAATCTCCATCGCCCTTGTAACTTTCAAGCCAGCACAAGCCCAAAGCACCACAGTTCGGTACTCTATATGCTACCTAATAAGCAACGAAAACAAAGAGCAGGAATATTCCAGATAAGACAAATCAACAATAGACAAGAAGTAGTATATGCGCTTAGCAAGCGGAATGAAAGAGAGGTATCTGACAATGTCAACCTCTCTAGTGATGCCCAATGCCCGGGGCTGCGCGGCATGGAAACCAAAAATCCGGGATGATGCAGGCTAGAACCTCGATTGTTTCTTGCATTTTGCCCAATTACTAGGGATGAGGCAGGCTAGAATGTCGGCTGCAGATTTTACTGTGTCGTCGTTTGCTGCAACGCCAGGCCACTTATAAGCGGCATCTTGACCATCTTTCTTGACCTTCCCGGACTTGCAGTCAACGTAGACAAAAACGATTACGCCGTCTGCCCTGCCATTGCTGCCCTTGTAAGGTACTTTGTTGCAGTACTTCTTGTCGTCCTTGTAATCCCTAGCCTCACAGATTGGCTTTCCTGTGGTAGTCATATATCCCCCCTGTGGAGTAAACAATTTGGTCCTTGACATTGTTCCACAGACCCTATTGTCGTCACGTTAATTTGAAGCTCTAGTTTGGTAAAGAGAGGGCTAAAAATATAGCTAACTTACTTCATAACATAAGGTATAAAGGTCCAATATCCGCACGTCTTCTCATCAAGAGTTTTGGATTTTGTGTTGGTCAGCGTATAGCCGATGGATTTGCTCCAGGTGTAACTGGCTCCAAAGTCGAACCCGGCTTTGAACGACGACGCTGGCGGCGCCGCATCTCTCTTAACAAGGCCGTCCTCAACAAGGCCCTGTCCTCTCTCAAGAATAACTTCCTCTTCTACTTCATTCCCATCTGCGTCTCTTCTCCCAAGACTTACACTTGCGGAAACCGTAAACGAGTTGGTAATGGTTACTGAATCCCCCTCGGCAACCGAGCATGTCGTGCCATTTTGGCACGCTCCCCCTCGAAACGGCTGTTCTGGCCCATACTCAGCGCTGATTGTATCTTCACAGAAACCTAGGCAACTATGCTCGGGGGCGTGGAAATCTGCGATTGGCTTGCTGCAATGCCCATCTTTGTTTACTTTGAATTTCGGGTTCCCGCAATGATACGGCTTGAGAGGATTTAGCACAGCAATATGTGGGAATGAAAATAGACACCTACCTTCCCTTTCTCCATGGTTCCTGGATAACAATCCTCCCGTGGCATAAGCTCCGCGGGGAGTGCACAAGCAACGGCACTAAGGCCAACAATAGCCAATGTGGCTGAGAACTTCATCGTGAAATGATTCTATCGAGAGAATAATAGTCTAAAGCAATGGTTCACTAAGGATATTGGAGAATTGTGATTGTGTTGGTAGGATGCTAATAGATAGAGGGTCCTTTATACATATTTGGAAAGTCAGATAGTAGTATACGGATTTACGAAAGTTTAGATTTGCTTCTCTAGAAAGTACGAAGAGGATTGAAGCCCATGGTGCTCAGCAGTCACCTGCAATCCTGGAGGATTCAGCGACCACCGCCACTATGGACAACAGGATTAGAAATGGAAGCGAATAAATTGATGGCATTGATAATTCTGTTTGTTGGAGGCTGATCCATGGCGGTTTTGGCGAAGCACAAAATCATTCTCTCCAGACCAAGGCTCTCATCAACTACCACAGCCCATAACTCTATGGTACTACAGGGTTTGCGTCGGGGAGGATACCGTAACAGAGTATACTTGCTTCCCTTTGCAAGCATACTATTGATGAAACACACAATGCTACCCCTACAGCTCCTTGACAAACCCCTAGGACTTTGAGCTCCTACGGAGGTGATTTTTATGTAGAGTAATACCAGGTAAAACAACGTGGCGATAGACTAGCATCTAAGCAATCCAGCATTAGCGGTTATATCGACATGCATGATGCTACTAATCCTCCCGGAGGAACTAAGTTTCAGCGAGATTATTACATACGTACATTTACAATAGCGATGCTGCCATGGCCGATGATACAGGGTCATATAAACCATCGTATTACAAATTTACAAGGTATTCCCGTGCTGAGGTTGTTGCTGAGTTCTCGCTGCCGTAGGAGTTAACCCAAAAGACCATCAATTCTATATACCTCCGTAGGGGAAGGACTGAGTAACTGCCAGTATTAAGCTTGCAATAGTATTGGAAATCAGTAATATTTTTTTCAGGCTCCCACAGCTACTTCGGGGGGGAAAATAAATCGACGCGAATTCCAAATCGATATCAAAATAGTAGTTATAATTATTAACTTATTTAGATATATTTCTATGTTCTAGCTTTATTATAATAGAGAAAGTCTCTAAAATACGGTTTATTAACCTTTTTAGAGCGATTTTAGATTTTAGGTAATTCGTAGTTTTCCCAGAAGTAGCTGTGGGAGCCTGAAAAAAATATTACTGATTTCCGATACCATTGTATCTATGGCCCAACCCCACACCCCGCGCTGCATTGCGCCACTACTGTAATCTTTCGAGGGCAAGGGACTAAAGGAGCCAGTTCTTTGTAAGGGAGATGCTAACGGCAAACCATAAATCCTTCTGATAATTCCTTCGCCAAGGGCTCGGGGGAGTTTACGTTAGGGTTTCAGGTTTCAGGATTAATACCCACGCATAGACATATGTAGCGTCGTAGTGTAAGCTCGGTGGCGCCGTTCTGCGTCTTTGCGTCTTGGGTAGTCTTGTATTGACCGGCACATATTAGCTAGCGGAGGATGCCGTGGTTATTGGCGGTCGAATTTGAGTTGTGGGTGGAAACGAAAGGTGTGGTTTCAAGATTAATATAAATATCATGGTAACATCATGACTAAACGTTACGTGAATACTCTTCTTCCGAACCGCCAGGGCATATGTAATCGGGACCTAGGACCGACCTAGACGAACCGGTTGGCGGAGGGTTTAATTATACGACTGGAGATGGCTCGTCGAGCGATACTGGGGTTATTCGTAGGGTTGATGCGGTTGAAGATTTTCTCCGACACGAACTCCCCGTCGTACGAGTACTCTACAAGTATTCGATAGCACTCTACTTCGAGCGGTGCTTAGTAGCTAGTTGAACTTGGACCGTCGACTCTGTATACACCAACATCAATATCAACAGCAAGCCGCCTCGGACAACGGCTCATAGAGTAAAGCAGCCGCGTGGGAAGACGGCCAGTGCGTCAGTTACATTGCTTCCAGCCGATCTGTACATGCATGTATTTGGTTGTCCAAGATGCAGGCAGTGCTCCCACGCGATAGGAGGTGAGGAGCAGTACTCGAGTACGTACAAAGGCAAGGTAGGTATCTAGGTAGTGCTCGTAAGGTACTTACAGTACGTGCAGCACTGGAAGCGGGCCTTGTTGCTCGGTGGACGTCGTGCGACCTTCCTTACTCTGGGGGAGTGCAATGGCTGCAGCCTGCTTACTGTAACCTTAATACGACGCACTACGCCGTCATCCTCCCGAGCAGACAGGAGCAGCAAGCTATGAAGGTACAGTACATGTACGTACCAGGGCGGCGGAGCAGCTATTCCAGCTCTTTCAGCCGTATAGAGTATGTGGCACACACTTTAGATACCTACAAAGTAGGTAGGTAGGTAGGTAGGTAGGTACTTACTGTACTAGGAACTGTCACCTGTGTGGCTTGAATTGATTGAATCCTCCGTGTGGGGTAAATGGAGGGAGCAAGGTAGCCAGCTCTATTTTTAACTATATTTTTAACTACCTAGGTACCTAGGTATACATCAGATGAAATGGCAGAAATGGATGCTGAGCCACCTCCTGAATGATTAATAACTTCTTTGGTATTTCGGTCGTGGAACCGTTTTATCCGTACGGCCGTTGGTAGCCATTTCCCCCTCGACATCCGCTTCAATATCATATCCGGCGCAAGCACCGTCGTGGCGGAAGTGACTGGGTCGTACTGTACCGTACCTATACTATGTATGTCTCAGTAACCACTAGTCGCGGACCAAGGTAGTCGGGGAAAGGCAGTCAGACGCGAAAAACAATTCATTTGTCCAAGAATACAGTTACTGTGTACTTTCGCCCCAGTACTAATTGTATAGCAACACAGGCGCCTGGGTTTTGGGTTTTTTCCGGGTAGCACAGATTCAGCTCCACATCTGCACCTGAGTCCAATGCGCCTACTGCTTCGGAATGCTTACCTCTTCACACAACATCATCTTCTCGCTCGTACAACCAGAGGGCTTGCGATTATGACCACGTCTCCCAAATTCGATACAATAGATCCCATCGTGTCTTGTAGAAGGGGAGACTCTTCGCGACTACAAACCAGGGAAGTACTATCCGTAAGTTTTGGGCAGGTATTAATAAACCGTTACAAGACGATTGCAAAGCTTGGGTATGGCTCAGCATCTACGGTCTGGCTCTGTCGAGACATTACCATAAAAAGGGGTATGTGGCGTTAAAAGTATATATCAACAACTCCAAAGTCCACCGCGAACTTGATATTTACAAACATATTAATGACTTACTATTAGCGGATACGGTCGTGCACATGTGCGGAAGCTGCTGGATTCTTTCGAGCTTGAGGGTCTTAATAGGAAACATATCTGTCTTGTCTATGAAACACTAGGTATTAGTTTTGATGAGCTAAAATTAATGACTCTAGATGGTAACTTTTCGGTGGATCTTATAAGGGAGACAATTCGCTCTATTCTGGCAGGGCTTGAATTTCTACATAACGTACATGTTATTCATACTGGTAAGCCAAAGTCAAAATATCCGTATAATAGTTTAATTGTTAATACAAAGGCCGATCTTCAGCCAAACAATATGTTAGTCGGTATTCTCGACTCATCTACCTTTACCAAGTTTGAGCAACTCGAAGCCGAAGACCCAAGTGCACGGAAGGAGGTGGATGGCTATAAGATATATATGTCGCGGGCAATGCCACTATCGAGCCGGAAACCTGTCCTAAGTGACTTGAGTGAGGCTAGACTTGGGGATTTTGAGCAGACCGACTTTATTATGCCGGATCTTTATAGGGCACCTGAGGTGGCTCTGGGCATGCAATGGAGCCACCCAGTTGACATCTGGGGCCTTGGAATGGTTGTAGGTTATCGCGTAGTTCTCTTGATTTGTTTAGATAGCTTATCTTGGAAAATAGATATGGGATTTGTTTGAGGGAACCGGCTCTTTGAAACGAAAAAAGAAGACGGCCATCACTCTGAGCGAATGCAGCTTGCAAAGATGATCGCTATTATGGGCCCCCACCCTTGGACTTCTTGCAGAGATCAAAGAAGAGCAAAAAATATTGGAGCGAGGATGGTCGGTTGAACTTAAAATGCGTTATTTCCAACTAGCGGCTAACACATAATTAGGGACCTGGAAGAACTTAGTGCCAATCCCGGATGTTAGCCTAGAGAGTTCTGAGGGACGTCTGCAGGGCGAAGATAAGGAATTGCTTTTGATTTTTATGCGAAAGATGCTGCAATGGAAGCCCGAGGACATAGCAGATTGCAAGGGGGTCTTGTTTGATGAATAGCTTCTTGCGGATCTGATTGCGTCTGGTCAGATAGTTCGGAGCTAATGATGTAGATGGCCTGCTCACTGATCCTTCTTCATGGTATTGAGGACAAATTCTGATTATTACTCAAAGACTCTCGCTAGCTGGGATGATACTAATAAAGTAAACGAAGAAGAATCTCCCTAGTCGGAGCTCGCCGGATAGGTTTAGAGTAAGTAAAAATTTCACGTCAGGAAAGATAACGAAATAGGCCACTCTATATCTATGTATCTATGCCATGGATGGCTCTATTCTAAATTGGATATATAGGTACCATACATAGGTACCATGCAAAAAGAATCGTCTATCTAAAATTTACATAAAACACAAGGGCTCACAATTTGCTCTTGAACTTGGCCGTCTCGTCGTTCTTGACCAGCACATCGTTATCCGGGTACGGGTCAATAGTCAACCCGTTCAGGGGATTAAGCTCGCTTGCTCGGTGGAACAAATCCTCATACACCTTCCCATCCTTGCGTCCCAGCGAGGAATCCAATTGCCAGTCGGGGAAACTCCACGCGTCTACAAGTCTCAAGGCATGTGGTCTGACCTCCTCGAGCAGCTTCATGACCGCCTTGGTCCTTGCGAGCTGGATCTGGCGCACGGTGACAGCGGCAGATGAATAGAACTCAGATGCCTCCTTCTCGAGCGTATTTAGGGCGTGGAGGCGGAAGAGCTTGTGCAGGACATCAAGGGTCTCGGGGTCGACTTCCGAGCGAAGGCTCTCGCTCTGAAGAGCGTCGTGGAAGTTCTTGACTACGAGATATTGGGAGTGAGCTGTGCTGAGACGCCAGAAGTCGACGAGCAGTGAGTTCCAGGAGTTCTTCTCAACGTCGCGGTGCTTGAGTGCCTCGAAGGTGAGGAAAGACGTTCGCCAGGCAAAAGCAGCTACCAAATCGGTATCTGAGCCAAGAACATCGTGGGCGGCTCCCATATCTTGCTTTTGGAGAAATGTGTTGAAGATTCTAGTCGTATCGTTGTCTGGAGCATTCCCTTTGAGAACGGAACGTGCAGATTTTAAGAGCTTGAAAACGAATTAGCTGGCGTTCCATAGTTTAGGTTGGTAGTACTTACATATCGAGCGACCTGTTGAGTAAGCATATAATTGTCTCCCTCCCACGTCGTAGTGGGTAGGTAATCAGCATACCAAGCGCCAATCCCTCCGAAGCTGCTGTAACCATGGCCACCGCACGCTCTGCGGCATACCTCCAATCCCTCGGCTGCAGTAGTACTACCAAGCGCCTTGAGACCACAAGATGTAGCATGCAAGTCGGCAAGCAAATCACTACCCGAGTGTGTCTGTTCAGGACCAGCCCCTCTCTTTGAATCCGCAGGATTCGCCGCAGCCATGATCATCTTCTGGTTATCTTGATACAGAGCCATCATCGCCTTTCCAGTAAAATGCAAAGCAAACGTTGCGGCTAGTAAAGGAAGTAGTCGATACTGCACCATGGTGTAATTTAGGACCTGGTCTTCCCCCTTAGATCCCGCGGGAGCATCGCGGTCCTGGAACTGGCGTCTTACAGCGGCATATCTTGTTGCGATAGTAACGCCACGTGCAAGAACGCCACCTGATTGGAGGACAATGGTTGACCGGACCCAAGTGAGAGTCCCATAAATCAGGGAGGGAGAGGATGGCTTCAGGTATTTTCCGGTTGCGGGATCCACGCTTGAAAAGCGCGCCAACATATTGACGTGGGGGATCTTGACCTTGTTCAATAGTAGAAAGCCATTGTCCATAGTGTTGTAGCCGAATTTCGGACCAATGTCGCCAACGTGGATTCCATCCAATGGCAGATGAGTCTTCATATCCCTGATTTGACAAACGAAAGGGTGTGGGCCGTAGGGTCTCCCGTTTATAATCAGTTGTGCCATCACGACAGCATGGTTGGCAGTCCGCCCCATACTACCAATCCACCATTTTGACGCGGTGAGATGTGGCGAGTGGAGGACAAAGGTCTTGTCTTCTGGGTTCCATGTAGCAGTCGTCTCCAAACCCCGCACATTAGAGCCGTGCCCTAGTTCGGTTTGGGCATAACATCCAATTGCTTTGTAGTTCTCGGCTGGTTCGAGGAAGAGCTTGTGTTGTTCAGGTGTGCCCTGGTCGCGGAGGGTGGTCTATGAATATATGGTCAGCTACTACCCAACAGTGCGCTCCTCTTGTCTCGTTACATACCAGATACATGGATGCATGCAAGCCGTATGGTCCAGGCTCGCTGACCAAGTCATTTGCAGCTACATATTCATCGTGGCTCCAGTTATGCTTGATCTGCAACTGCCTCAACCGCTTCGCCCTGGCAAGAGCAGTCTTGAACTTATCGACCCGGCCATCAAAGTAGTTTTGCGATTTATCGAAGACCTTGTCGGCTTGGAGGATTTTCAACAGCCGGTCTTGTCGCTCGAGGATCTCCTTTGTGTGGAGGAGATTGGAGAGCTTCTCGACCGAGATGTTGGACTTTGCACGCTCAGCACTGAGCAACTCCGATCCTTGGGGACCGGATGGCTTGAGGTCCTTGACCCATTGAGGAGCTGGTGTCATCTTTTCGAAATGATTAATCTTGATATTGGTTGTTCGGAGATCGATACTAAACCGTGCTCGTGGGGAAGGTATAGTATTTATGTATTCCCACAACTGTCGGCCCTCGGCCAACATTCTTTACGCATGAGATCATATTAACCCCGTGGGGTGCGCTAAAACAGAGCCGAGGCACAAAATGGCGTGAGCTTGGCTCGACAACCTCCGGACATCGCAGGTGTTGGCAAGAATGTCACATGGAACATCGCAAATATAATATTATTTCTTAAGCATATGAAATGAGGTTGATGCTGATGCTGATTCTGATGCTAGAATTATGATACACGAGTATGTTTCAGAAGTTGGAATTGGTGTGCGGGCCTGCTGTAAAGGGACAATGTCGCCACCCGCCTGTGTTTGGGCTTTGACAACAATCAAACATCAGGAACTCGAAGCACAGGGCAGACTAGAAGTGGTCGGCATTGATCTCAGAATAGCTTATAACTTAAACTTAGCTGCCCCATCGCTCGTCTCGAGACCAGAGTTGCAAAATTTGAAGTCAGGTTGAGCATCACCAGTCCTAGATCTCCCTACGGATTAGAAGCGCTTCTCATTCAGTGACCATTAGCAATCCAAGCACGATATAAAGTCCAATATGCATTCAATTCTCTGTTCAAGTTTCTTTTTATACCTACTCCATCTCTTCACAACTACCATACCATCGCCGCTGCAAATTGATCTCCGTCCCAACTAATCAACTCTCATCGCTCTTGCCACGACATGTCCCTCACACCTTCCCTTCTGTCAAGTATATTCAATCAATCATGGTGTCTAAACCCTCAATCCAAGGTTCCGCTTCTTGTGCTTGTAACAATCAGCATTTATCATTCTCACGCCTTGAAGTTCTTGGCTCTTACTCAACTTTCGAGATTGTAAAGTCTCATCTATTGGTCTAGTCAGTCTACCTTTGTGTTTGATGCCCTTCAAGAGTTATAAATTTATTAAGTGACGCCGTCTCTGTCCGGGCGGAATCAGAAACGCACCCTCATTGTCGTGTACGCCTTGTCTTTTGGAGCGGAAAATATGCCTGGCCCTGATCGCGTGCAAGTCCTCCTTTGGCTTGGCATAGCGACAGTGTTCCACTATATCTCGGGATGGCTAGGTGCAGGAGATGGTACATCGATATCGCAGAGTCATCCCGGATCTGTCACTTATATTGATTCTCCGAGAGTGGAAATCCACAAGGATACGCGGAACCGGAAGTCACTGGTGGATGTGCCTTTCCATGTGTGCAACAATCAGCTGCAGAACTGCATTGTAGCTAATCAGCCGGTACTTGCAATTACCTATCTCGTTCAAAATCAACAGGCTAACGAAGTCCAAGAGCACCTGGTGTCCCATGGGAATGCTCTGCTTCTCATCCCCATACACGGTATCCAGTATTCTCTGTTGCAACTCAACTTCAACCCCCAAATGTCAAGCGTCGGAATCCAATCCCCTAGTCTGCTTGGCCAGCAGCATCCGATGCTCTATCAACACCGGCCTCGGGTGCTGCGTGAATGGGACAAGATGTTCTATCGACGGTTGTATTGCAATGCCAGCGCCTAGCTATACCAGCCCACTTGGGGATTATGATTTCAAGTTTTCTGCACCCGCTTCCTCAATTCCTGAAGACGGTTCACATGCCAGCCTAGACTCACCGGCTACGCCAATCCGAACAGTGATTGAAGTACGCGTTGCAGCTACAACAGTGATGAAGGATGGAGCGGAGGTTGATAATGAAATAACCACAAAGATTTACAACCTTTATACGTCGTGGTTTCTATATATCTGCCTATGCATGCTGGGCTTTGTTTTCTGTATCATGCTCCTACTCTAACTATAGGGCCGGTAGCGTCGAGTCTTGAAGCGAGCTGTCTTACAGCGTCCCCTTATATCCTCATGATTGCTAGACTATAGAAGAAGCGCGGCGAATTAAACTGCTGTGCAGGCTGTTGCCGTTGGTTGAGCAACATACCTAGCGTACCCATTGTTTATTAGCGTACTATTCCAAGCGCATTAAAAACAAATAGATAGCTCATCTAATTCAAACGAGAGACAAGACTGGTTTGGAAATTTTAACTATGTGAGCAACCTGAAATAAACCCCCTAACGAAAAGCCATAATATCAAAACCAAATCCATCCTCGTCGAGTCATAAAAGAGAGCTATCGTTTCCATTAAATCATCAGCCATTTCCATCCATCATTGCCCATAACCATACATCTCAAGTCGTGAATCGTCGATAAAAACATGGAGCCGCCGAATGAGAGACCAGAAATCGCAAGTGCGGAACAATCCAAGTCCATCGGCCGTCTCGTAAAGGAAAGCCTAATCCGAAAACGTAAATCCAAACCCATCTCTCACTTCGTAAACCACACAGAATCATCCCTCCTAGCTTATCAATTTAATCCGTCCTTCGCCCATGCGAGAATACTCTTCCCGCCTTCCACATTCCCTTCCCCCTGAGGCCCATCCCAAAACATAGCACCGCCGAAATTCTTCACACCCAACCGCCTAGCGTGATTCAATACCGCCACAATCCCCTTCGCACTCTTGATGCCCCCGTTATAAGCCCCGGGACCTGCTGCACCCCACGCTGGGGCGCCGATATACAAGCGCGGCTTCACAGACAGGCTACTCTTCTGGAGGGCGGCATCCCATTGCTTGACCGAGGCAGCGAAGCCGGAAGACCCGATCTCGCAGGGTGGGTTGTTGTAGAATTGCACCCAGACCCAGTCGAGGAGCAGCAGGAGGGGGAGGGGGTTAGATGCGTCGGGAAAGGGACATTGAGGCGCGGAGGAGAGGTAGTATGTCTTTTGTGGCGTTTTACTGGTGGCGAAATGGGTGCGGAGCCGGGATGCCACCACGGGGTAGGATTGGTGGTTGTTGTTTTCGTTGTCTGTCAAGATCCCGAGTTAGTATTTTAAGGGTCCAGGGATGGAAAAGGGGTAAATGGGAGGGAGGTAAACCCACCAAAATCGAATCCATCAATAACCACCTCTCCAAAAGGTCTTAACTGAATATCTATACTGCCCGGAGGCCCAAACAATTGCCACAGCACATCCGCAAACGCCATAGCCTCCGCATCGCTAGCAAAAATAACACCACTCGTCGCTCCCCCAATACTCAGCAAAACCTTCTTCCCATACCTAGACTGGCATGCTGATATATACTGCGCGAGCTGCGGGCAGGATAACAATCCCGGTGCTTGGGACGCCATTGCTGCGGTCTGGCCTCCACAGGCAGCGCCGAAGTTAACAGCGGGGTATTTTCCTCGGTCGAGTTGCGAGATTATGAAGGCGAGGATGACGATGTCGACGTTGGGGTCTGCGCATTGTGCTTCGAGTGACACGCTGCCTGTTGCGGGCGTTTGACCGTAGTATACTGCTACGTTCTTTGTTGATTGCGGGTCGAAGACGTACTTTTGAGGACTGCTGTTTGTTTTGCCGTTGTTCGTTGGTGCTATGGTTGCGGTAGATGCTGCAAATGCTCTGGCTCCTGTCGAGAAAGTGACCACCTGGGAGATCGTTCCTAGAGAGCTCTTTGCCCTAGTATAACGCCCTGGGGAGCCGTCCAAACTGCCGTGAAGAGGTGCTGCGGTGCTGGAAGCAGCCACAATTTCTTGATTCATGGGGGGATCCTGAGGACTCACTGCGGTGCTGGGAGCAGCCACATCTGGGAGCATACTACCTTTTGCTGTCATTCCCGCCATTCTTGTAACCGTCATTGTCGTAGTCCTCGTTACGGTAAATGTAAGGGTCGTTATCTGTTCTGCTAAAACAACAGGCCCAACCGACCCTGGGGACCCGGTAGGCCCAGCAGGCCCAGGATCAAAGCCTGTACCTTCTGGTACCTCAAGTGAACCGGCCGGAAGGGTAAATCCGCTGTCTTTGAAAATAGAATTAATTGCAGCTACGATCTGCATCTCAATTGCACGCAAATGGAAAAGAAAGGCCTCAAGCTGATCCTTCGTAACATGTATCTCTATAACCTGTCTCTTCTCGTTAGCGATAGCGCTCGTGGGGCATACATACTGTGAGATATATTCCAATCCTGGCAACGGCACCGCCACAGCAGAGACGTCCTTTTTCACAAGTTCCAGCTTCGGAGAATGTAAACACGCACTATATGCGAGTTGTGAATTGCAGATAAGAGGTATGAGGGAGAGGATGGAGAGCAGGAGATTGTAATGGTAGTTCATTGTTGGGATATGTGGGTGTTAAGGTTTGTATTTTTCAACAGAGAATACATGGAGATGAACATTGACAACTCACTGGGGAAGCTATGCATACAGAATATAACGCTACAAAACGCTATCAATGTAAATAGAGGGGCCCTAGGCAACGCATTCCACAGCTGAAGTATTCACCTAGCGGCGAGCGTAACGAGGAATACTGTTGCAAGGATGATCGAACTCTCCAAGGCTACCTGGGTAGGCAACTGAACTAAAAGATTTGAGGAAAAAGCACATCTTGATTAAGATCCTTCATAAGTAGTTCATAAGATGGCAAATGGAGATATCCTGCACTAGCAGCACCTTCCATTTTGAAACCTTGGTACTGACTTTGTCTATCAAAAACAGGAGTGGATGACAAGTGAAGCTAACACCAGGAATTTTGATTACTATCACTCGTGTTACCAAATTTCAGCCAGCATTCTTCATATCAAGCTGGCGCATCAACATGAAGTATAAATAGTCTTGGCACAGACCGATATCAAACACTTCGACATCAACCCAGCACTTGTGGCCACACTCTTGTCATCAATCCGATAACCCCTTGGGTTTGAGCATTAACAGTCTTTCGATTATTAGTCTATATATGCGCTATCCCTTCCCTAACTTCGCATATATCCTTCAATACAAGCTCCCCCACCATAACGAGACGGGCAATTGCAACTCAAAACAAACAGAGCTCATTCCGCCCTCAGGTGTGTTGTCTGCAAATTACAACGTCAGGATATCAGCAAATCTCCTCCCTTCTCGAAATAGCGCCAAATTGGCTGGTGTGCGTTTTGAATGTTCGTATGTAACAAAGAAAAATTAGACCGTAAACGTGAAGGACGCCTCCAATGGTATTGTGATATATGACTACAAGGGAATCCTTAAAATGCGATGGTTGAATATTGAGTAAGAGTTGATCGAGGGCGGCTTTTGAGCAAGGATATCGAAGGCATGTTAGAAATTTTGAGCGATGCCGGCACTTTGTTGAGGGAAATGGGCAGGATTTTCGATACGAGTATTCCTCCGGGCTTGCACATCGCGGATGACAGGTTGACCTGCCATTTCTGCTCGTCCTGGGGGGCTGCCATAGGGCCCATCACCGTTGTTGTAAGGATTGCCAGTATCATATTGGTTGCTGTAGTATTGCCCACCGCCAGGTCCACCAACCTCGCCTGAGCCATCTGATCTGTTCGCGGCACTGTATGATGATGATGCATTCGATGGTCCACGGTTAATATCAGCACCTCTGTTGGCAGTAGTGGCAGGCCCCATCGCGCCCAGGGCCTCAGTTTCGCCAGATATAGGACGCTCGCCCATTAATGGGTTGTCCGATCTCGTGTCGGACGTGCCGCCATGGGGGGAAGCACTGTCCGAATAGGCCATGCCGATACCACCAGCTGATTGCCCCCCAGATAAAGTTGTCGATGCTTTCCGTCCTGACGAAACGGCGGTGGTGCCCCATCCACGGTATCCCGAAGAACCTTCCTCGCGCATCTCAAATGGACCTTCAGCAGTACCACCAACCGCGGGGAGTGTAGGATCATTATTGGGGTTATAACCATATTCTTCAACCTCCTTTCTTCTTAATTCTTCGGCATCCTTTCGTTGCTTCCGTTTCCGCCAGAAAAAGATTGCCGCGGCCACTATCAGGGCTACTGCCACAATCGGTACCACGACCGCAACCGCTACCAACCCACCGCCATGAAGACCGCTGCTTCCCGAGGACTTTCCCCCAGGTTGAAGAGTTGCTGAAGCTGACGATGAAGTAGCCGATGCGCCCGTGTTGTCTGCTTGAGTTGTGCCGGGAGGGGCAGTCGATGTGTGAACGATCGTTGATGTGACGCCGCCTGTGGTGCGGATCGATGTGATGACCGATGTTTGTGGCGGTGGGGTGTTGGTTGAACTAGGAGGTGGTGTTTCGCTTGTAGTGTGATCTGGTGTGGTGGAAGTCGTGGGGGGTTGTGTGGTGGGTTCTGTCGAAGGCGTGAGAGAAGTGGGAGGGGTGGTTGAAGCTGTTGGCGTCGTTGAGGGGGCTGGAGGGGAACTGGTGTTAGCAACAGAGCTTGAATCTCTCTTAGTTGATGAAATAGAAGAAATAGTCGACGACGGGGCCAAAGGGCTCGTCGTCGGGGACTGCGCCTTGGAAGAGGCAGGAGTCGTTGGGTCATCGGCACTCGTACTTGTAGAATTCGACATCGTGAACTGCCGGAATGAGAGTCTTCCTGGCCGTCTAGGTACCGCCATGTCAGCAAAAAGGAACCTCGTAAAGGATGGTGGGCGCAATGCTGAATAACATCTTGAACGATGCGCAAGGGGACGATGAAAACATACCTTCAACTCCAGGGTCTGTTTATGCAACGACGGATCGCCCAGCAGCAGGAATGGGCAAGAAAGGCGCGAACGTTTCGAGTTGGGACAAGATCGTGAGAGGATGTCCTGGCTGACTCGTTGCAGCTTCGCGCTGAGCCTGCGTTTGCTGGGAGCCGAAGTTTGAATGGCTGCGAGGAGCCGTCGATTTGGGGTCGGAAGCAGCGCCCGAAAAGGTTGGCGGAGTAATTGGGACGAAGAATAGAGTGGCTCGAGAGCACGGCAACCGAATGCGTCCTCTGCCAGTAAAATGCAGAAGGGGTCGAAACCGACTGAGGGGAGAAGAAGAAGATGAAGAAGAAGGGGGTGTTTGAAAGAGGAGTTGAGGACGAGAGGGTGTCGAGTGGTGGGCGGCGGCTGTGATGGTGGAGGGTGGTGCGGGAGTGGTGTGGCAGTGGCCGTGACCGTGGCCGTGGCAGCAGTACGAGCACCAAGCGGGCGTAGGTCCTGTGCGAAGAACTTTGCACAAAGCACAGCGAGACCCGTGAACTGCTACGCACGGAGCGGAGCAGAGCGGATTGGCGACGTCGGAATGAGACTCAATCGGCGTATCAGTTCAAGGCCCAGAGACGCAGAGACTCAGAGAGTGGCAGAGGAGAGCGACTCCAGGGCCCCGAGGGGGGCGCTTCGGGGGAGCACTGGGCTGTGCTGTGCAGTGGGTGCAGTGGGTAGCCTGCCCGTAGCCTGTCTGTAGCCTGTAGCAGTGTAGCCGGTAGCCTGTCGCCTGGGCGTGCGAAATGAATGAGGTGCTGAGGTTGCTGAGCTGCCGAGACACCCACGGCCGCCGATGCCACAGCGGGTGAAAGAGGCGGCGAGGGCGGAATAGCGTTGACGCGAGGGAGATTGGAATTGGAATGGGAATGGGAATTGGGCTGGAGGCGCCGGGGTCGTGGATTGGATAATGCGGGGATCGGAATGGGAAAGGCAATATCAGATATCACTATGTACCACCTAGGTACAGTAGTATCATAGGTAGGTAGGTAGGTATCGATCAATCACATCTCCCAGGAGCAGTTGGCAATGGATTGTGGGAGTACTCGAGTGGTGAGGATTGAGGATGAGGATGAGGATAAGGTTAAGGTTAAGAGGGATGAGATGGGGCGAATAGATAATAAAGAGCCTTGGTTAGCATAGCAAGGAGTAGCCGGCGCGCTGGTCGAAGTATGTATGGATATGGAGCCCAGGGCAAATCGATGAGATCACTTCACAATAACGGTCCATTCCAGCATTTTCAAGGTTACGAGCGAGAGAGCGCCTGAGTGTGTGAATACTTGGTAGTACTGTACCTGCCAACGGCCAACTGCCAACTGCCAGCCGCCAATTTATTGCCAGGTCACTACTGCTAGGAACAGGCGGATAGTGGATGGTGGGTTGTCCGGCAGTTCATCGGGGTCTCGCTGGGGCTGGCACCGTCGTCGTACTAGATGGGCAATCATGCTCATTCCATTGATATCATTGGGGATCACGGCTTCACAACTGGGTCAGAGCTACGCAGAGCTACCAAACTGGTTGCGTGGCATTAACAGAGATGATGCTTGCAGACCAGAGACGCGCCCTCGTGATCTGGGACCAGAATAGTAGCACAAATAGCCTTTTGTGGCTGTGCATCCGTATGGCTTTGTCTCGTATTACCTAACATGCTCTCAGACTAGCGGGGACGCCTCCACATATCTTCAACTGTCAACAGCAGCACAGCTTCGTTCGTTCCCGTTACCGTTCGTGCGATGACGATTTAATGTACCCCTTCGGACCTGCAATGACCCGATTCGGTGGCGATACGTATTTTCTCCTTCGTATTGCAAAGGGGAGAATACTTGGTATCGCCGGAATCTTTCAATTCAATTCGCTGTCCGAGTCGAGTCTGCAATCTGTAACGTTACTCGTACACACACGGCTTGCTCCACGCAAGATATTGTTCTGAATATGAAATTTCGCAACTGTTTCCATTCCATCGCTGGGACAAAAGTATGTTATGTACCTACCTATGCACCCCCATTCCTTGTGATCCGAGGTACAATACTCAAGTAGTGGCATCACACTGTACTACCTATGTGAACCAACTTAACTTGCCCTAATTCCAACGTAGAACACCCCCCTCCCTTCTCAACGGCATCTGCACGCAACATAGCGCATAGGTACATACCTATTTATTGCATATTCGCCTTTTTAACCCAAACACCCCTCCTCGGCCTTATCCGCGCTGCTGCAACGCACAGTGCACCAAACCACGCGTTTTGCCCCCAAAACTCAAACCCTCGGACACGTTTTCCACACCCACGCACTTCTAGGCCCTAGCTAATTCCTCGCACCAACAGAAAAATAGAACTGCTAACTTATAATACGTCGTATCTAATTAAAATGTCCCAGACTAAAACAAACCCTCAGATCTTTCGTCTTTTCGGGAAACTGACTACCTAGCTCAATCCCATTGTTAGTCTTCAACAAAGCGGGCATAAAACCCGCCCACCCCCAGTAGTAGGTAGGGCTAGAATGGGCGATCGTAATCGTGGCACTGAAGTTCTACTAACACCACCTAAAGGGAAATACTATACCATAATACTGCATAGACAAATTTGAATCAAGAAATGAGATACATCTACGTAGTAATAAAAGAAAGGCCTCCTTGCTTTAACCCACCGCGCACCGAGGGACACAAAACCATATTAATTAGACAGGGAAAGACACTTATTCGAATGTCGCACAAAAGCACCTGTAGATCGCCACTTCATTGAACTGGGATCGACGGTAGGTTTTATTTTAGAGAGACATAAATGAGGAACCCTAGATATCCAAATGCACGCAAAGCCACACCCCGTTACACTAGAATGAAGTAGAGGGAGGGATGAGGACATTGGGGAGGCAATATGGCGAGTCCCGTGTTTAGCTTAAAAATCGTTATCGGGTAAGGTAGTAAGTACTTCGAGCAGTACTTCATAAGTTCATACAGCTCACCGCTTGGAAGTAAAAATAAAACCAGTTTCTCAAAGAGATAATATGGTGATACGTATACCAAGCCTTAATAATCTCATACGACTTTCATCTCACAGGAATCTGAATATATATTTCTCCACCAAGCAACCTTCTACAATACCGCTCTAGGAAATCGAAGTACGTAGCAACACTTAAACTCCATATCCCAAGAATTACTCCATTGCCTGCAAATGTTATTCTATTTGTACAAAATCCCAACGAAGCCCTACCCCGAGGCAATTTCCCATGCTCATATTTGTGCAGCGGCAACAAGACATCTATGTGCAAATTTCATTCTCATGCCCACCCAAAGCAACTATGTATATACCGGGGGGTTTTGCTCCATCGATTACAGGGAAAAAAAGACATTAACCAGAGCAGTAAACTCTGGGGCAGGGGAAATGGTTGTTGTGTGTTTGCATATACACAACCAATTCCTTTTTTTCTACATGAGATTCCAATGAGGTGTTGGATGTCATAACAATTGTGCTGGGGCGAAATCAATACGCGCGCTCAAATGCCGAGAAAAAAATATCCAAGACTGGAACTCCCCCGCCCAGGAAAAAGGTCATTAGTGCTTGTCATAATATGATCTAATTATCAGCTCGCATGCCCCACTGTGGCTTCAGCGTCGTACTCATGTCGTCTTTAGTGAAGACGACACCCTTGGGGATGCGACTGACGCGGTATGCTCCATCGCGGATGGCCTGGTTTTGTACTTGTGATATTCCACTTCGGTTGCTCCGGATGCTGCCCGAATCACTCATGGTATCGGGATCCCTAAACTTCTTCGGTGGTGCAAAATCCAGTGCCGTGAATGTTCCGGACTTTCTAAGCAGATGTCTGGTTCTCGAGTCAGCATAAATCATCAACAATATTACTAGGCAGGACTTACGGGCTGGGCATGGGTGCGAGCTCCTCGAATGCACTAGCAACTGGCGTGAAAGCAGGCACAACCGGCGAATATGGGCGTCTCTCACCGAAGGGACTCTGTGATCGACCTTGAGTACGCTCCCGCATGGAGGTTGGGGGTGCAAAATCAATCGAGCCCATTAGAGCGAAGGAATCATCTCTAAGTTTCGAGGGGGTGGGGATAGTGTTAAGAGCTGCTGGAGGAGGCATAGGTTTTTTCGCCCTTGGTGGGCCCATACGTCCAGACGCGGAGGAGTAGGCGCGGGGGCCTGGCGGGGGCCGACCTTGGAAGCTCACTGCACCCATAGAGCCATGCATGGCGCGGGGTGGTCCTTGGAATCTTGGTCCAGGTGGTGCTCGTGGAGGTGGTGTCATAGCCCGCCGGGTAACTGGCTCTGCGTATGGCATAGCAAATCCATTTGTATCTGGGTGATAATAGGCTGCTTCGCCTAGATAACCCTCATCATAATCTTCGTAGTACTGGCCCTCTGGTGTCGGTTTCGATTCATCAAAGTACTCCTTGTAGAAGGATCTAATTCGGTTGGCCCTAACTTCGGGGTCATCTGTCTCCGTCACATGGTCGGGAGGCAATGGACGGAAGCCCATTGACAGACGCTTTGAATCGAAGCCAGGAGCACCCAGGCCCGCTTGAGCAAATTCCTCAGGAGGGACATCCATAGAATATCGTTGCCCGCGCATCATCTCGGCGTTGTCGCGCCCGGGAGAAGGGGGTGTGACTTTGAATCCATCGCCGTATTCACTTCCCTCGTCAGGGTATTGGTTTGCGGGTACCGATTCCTTACGAGTCGGGCGAGGGTTGGTCGGGAGAGAGTTTGGTACCGGCTTGCGCTCAGCCACCACAGGATGATTGTCTTCTTCTCTGGCAAATGCATCTGATAGAGGAGCATCCTGTTCGGTAATGAAAGCCCCGAGATAATTGTTGCTCCGTCTCAAAGAGGCGTGTCCATTGCTGACGAAGGAATCCCGGCTGTCTTCCGCGGAAGATAAAGGTAGAGCAAGACCCGGTCCGGGACGAGGACTTGACGGAAGCCCGTTGTTCCTTGTCGTTTCTGGGGAGCTGGGTTGGGGTAGGTGAGCCTGCTCTGGTTCTGAAGGGTAAGGAGGCACAGGTGGAGTCGGTTCGAAGGCATTGGGCTTGGAATGGCTTTGTGGGAGAGAGTTTTGCCGTGGAGGGGGGATGAATGCCGTGGCAGGGATGCTTTTTGGCATTGATGCAGCATTCGCAAGTAGCTCTGCGGTTGACACCTCGTGCAATTTTGACGGTGCGCTGCTGGAGCTGGTATAAATCGACGAGCCTTGCTTCTGCGAGCGAATCGACGAACCGTCTCCGGAGTACTGCTGAGTGACCGGGCGATATGGATCCTCGTTCTGGTGAATCGTCCTGGAAAGGGAATGAAGGGATTCGCGAGAATCCTGCAACTCGGGAGGCAGGAGATAAGGACTGTTCAGGCTCATATCCATCGAAAGCTGGTGTGGGCGGCGGGCCTCCTTTTCCGCGAAATCCATCTCCGACATGGGGGCCTTCTTCTTTGGTCGCCCGGGCTGCGGCACATCTCCCAATCCAAAGTCCATCGACGCATGCTGGTCGTTGGTATCTTCTTCTCTCTGTCTGCGAACGTGCCTACGGTGAAGGATAATGAACACAATCAAGGCACCGACTACTGGGATACTAAATGATGGGGGTCAGAACCCAGCGCTCCACAAGACGTATAGGGGATTACTTACATGACTCCCAGAGCGATTGGCAGCGTGAACGTCGAGGGGCCGACCGGCTTCTGGCATGGATTTGCACCGCAAGTGTCGGCCGAAGCTGAGGCTGAGTCTGTCGACGATGAATCGCGCGGCTCCAGCACGTGGCTCGGCACCGCAATATCCATGACGGGGCCCATCACTCCAATCCGTCCCATCGGTATACGCGGGCCCAACCTCGGGGGGCTTTCTGCTCGCCGGTTGTCCATCTTGACAGAGGCAGAGAGAGATGCCTTCGGCCAGGTGTGGTTGTTGTTGGGGCGGTGGAGCAGGTCAAGGTCAAGCGACCGCTAAAAGGGGGTGGTCAACCGTCTTGGTCGTGATCGCGAGGGGTGCGGGTGAAGGGAGAGGAGGCCGTCTGCGATCGAGGCAAGTAAGGGCGGTGGTCACGGACAATGCGGAGGTCGTTTCATGAATTGTAGTTATTGAATCGAAACGGGAACAATCGTGAAAGGGCGAAGCAGTGTAAAGGTGAATGTAATCGACGGACAAGACAAGCGCACACAGGGTCTCGAAAGAGCGACTTGGGTCAGAACAACAAATAAGGAGTGAATCAAACGGAGGACCAAAGGAGTGGCAGGCCCGGCTGGCAGGCTGGTGTTGCCTTGTCGTCAAGTGAGGACCTTTGTACAGCGCAAAGCAAGGCAAAGCAAACGGGCGGAGGGAGAGAAGAGGAAGAAGAGGAGGAGGAGGATGGGCGACGGCGAGGCGAGGCGACGGCGACATGGGACGAACGACGATACTCCATCAGGGACGCCGTACCTCGCGGGATCCTGTGGAGGAGTGTCACTCGTAGTCGTAGTCTGGAGTGGTTAGGCGCAGTGCCCCTGGGGAGGGATCAGGGGGCCCCAAGCGAGCGAATGAGATGGCCCGCGCAGATTGGATGTGGAGCTGGTACCTGACCGCGGGGGTGCCTCTGGCTCTCCGTAGCAGGCACTCGGTATTATTGGCACACTTACCCATCGGCAGTAGCCCGATCGGGGGCGCTAACCGAGGGAATAATCAGGGACTAATGAGAGTCCAGCCCCGCGGCCAATTTCTGCTTTCAGGGGGGGGTGGATTCATGGACTCATGGCTGACTGGCTGACTGGCGGCGCAAGCTCACAACAAGAAACAGCAGAAACAGCAGGCACGGGTGGGTGACAGGTGACAGGAAGCACAACAAGACATACAGTACGTACTTCGTACTCGTAGCTGCTCACGAACAGAGTGCGCTAATCCAAACATGGTTACTCGGGTACATTACCAACAAGATTTTCAAAGCTTGTCCTTGCTCCGTACATACACAGGTACGCAGGTACGCAGGCAGTTCGTTCTCTACTACGGTTGCTTACCAAGTTTCTTCTCCGTCAGCTCAAGCTCAGTGCCACGCCATCCCATCGATGTCGAACGTTCCATGCAGCTGCCGCCGTTGCTGCAAGCCTCAAGTCCACCTGCGATTAGATCCCCCGTACTTTGCGAGTGCTACATGTACAGTAGCACTTTGTATTGGAACAGAGTTGAATACCCTAACTTGCTTCTGGATTTACAATACTTGTGCACAATGCTTCTTACAAGTACAGTACAGTATGTTCCTAGGTACATGTGCATCCCCGGAGATCACCTTCGTTTTGCCAGTATTTTTATCCAGGATTTGCGCCCTGCGAGTTCCATCATCCTGGCATCCAATCATCCAATCTCCCACGTTGTTCCTTAATAATAACAAGCAAGCTACTCGAGTAGTGCCAATTTCCTCTCCGTCGCAGCCTTAGGCATGGGACAGCCCGCAGCTCGAGTCGTCATGTACCTGCCTTACGTAGTATGTTTGCTGCTCTGCGTACGAACTACAGTACTGTAGACCTCCGTCATTTGATCAATTATCCAGCTTATCCGACCGCTGGGCAGGCATTGCTGTGGCCCATTGATTCCTGCCCTTGCACTGCTCAGTGATGTTGTTGCGGCTCTCACGCCACCGTCTGCGGTCGCGCATTCTGTTATTCCTGGCCCTCTCCTTTCTATCTTGGATACTCCTCCCTTATGACAATGGCCTCGTCCTCCTCGTCCGATGGCATTTCGGGCATGTCTCCCATGCCCTGGCCGCGAGCGACGCGTGGATGCGCAAGCCTCCTGCTTTTCCTCTCGGCACAGCAGATGTTGGTCTGATCGTCAAGACCGGATTTTCAACCCAAGAGCGGCTCGTCGCGAGATTGGAAACTTTGGGGAAGGCGCGGGATCGAAGCAATGTGGTTCTTGTGGGGGACTATGCGACGGGACAACGGACTCATTTCAAGCACAATGGGGCGGAAATGCCGGTTTATAATGCCCTGGCCTACATGGTCGACAGCGGATCCTTAGCATCACGGCCAAATGCTCTGCGGTTGCAGCACTATAGAAATCTGACAAATGCCATTTCGGGTGGGGAGACAGATCTAGCACGGGTGCTTGCGGAGACTCATGGATGGGAACTTGACACAATGAAGGCAAGTCTTACGTCCATTCCCTGAAGATTCAATAATAGAACCTTCTTCTCCCCCTCGTTTCCTTCTTCGCCTGTTTCGTTCTCTATCGTATCTTGCCGTTTATTACCCTCTCTCCTCTTTAGCGGTGGCTCGTATTAGAGAGGCCCTAGTAAAGGCTTTCGTCTGCCTAATAAATGTATATTCTCCTGACCGTAAATACAGTATATATCTTCACTCGAAATTGGATATAAAGTGATGCCGGATAAAAAATGGTATGTCCTATCGGACGACGATAGCTATCCTTTGGATGCTTCACTCGAAGTAATTCTGGGCAACCTGAACCCGCTACGTCCCTATTACATCGGAAATGCTATTGGCAATTACCAGGCCCGCTTTGCACATGGAGGTTCTGCAGTAGTGTTCTCACAGGCAGCCTTGTACAGAATCTTCGTCCGGAATACAGGTGTAGTCTCGAGAGCTCATCTGGAATCGCTTGACTCTAATCGGGGGGACAAACTTATTGCTACTACCGCAATGAAATCCGGAATATACCTAGAGGAACGATATAGTCGCTATTTCAATGGAGAACCTCCCAGGTTGACACGTATACGGCCAGATCGGTTCTGTGCCCCAGTTACCTCGTTTCACAACCTATCCCCTTCACAAATGCATGATGTGGGGAAGGTCTTCAAGAGTGCCGCCAAGGCAATATCTTGGGTCGATATCTGGAAGATCTACACGGCTCCAAATTTTGAAAACTTTCTTGAAACCCCCACTCGCTCTGATTGGGATCATGTTGGAGTGTTGGATGACGGTACCATGAATACCACAAGTACCCCGGACGTTGCGACGAAAGAGGCATGTCTCAATATATGCCTCCGCCATGATTCCACTTGTTTAGCATGGACTTGGGAAGCTGGAAGTAAGGCTTGCTATACCAAGCCTTGGTTAATCGTCGGGAGCAGTTCCAAGGGGAAATTCTCGGGGATCAACGCCAAACGGGCAATGGCGCTTTCGCGGAAGTGTCGTTGATATTATGCCCCTACGCTCAATACGCCGTTCTTGAGATACACCCGCCCTTCAATTCATGGCAATTTTATCCCTGGGCGGATCATCCGCTATCAAAATCGAGGTAGGATCGGTTGCGGAGTTCCTGGGAATGAAACTCCCATGCGGCTTGGTTTATGGGAAACCGAATTCCATAGCCTAATTTTGGTTCATTTCCTTGCGGGCTGCTTTTGTGCAGCTTTTATTCCTCGCCTTCCGAGAAAACTCCTTTCGACTTGCGGCATATGGCGAATGGAACCATCCGCCGGCTCGATATTTTAGTTACCCCTAAAGAACCATGACTTTGGATAGGGCTCTCTCGGCACTCCTAGCTATCGAAACCCAGTTTAACGACACCCATCTAACTAATTCCGCCACTGCTTCTAGGGGGCGCCTCCGACGGCGGTCTACAAAGTACAGTAACTGACCCCCTGCACCATGCGCCCGCTGGACCTGTTTCGTTTAGCACCATTGGTTCTCCGTGTGACGAAGACTTCAGCCAGATATAGACACCTTCAGCATCCAACCTCTCTCGCCTTCGTCCTTCAGTTCCCGATCTTGAGAACCCTTCCCCCTTTGTATATAAGCCATTACGGTTCTACCGTTGCTGCTACGATTAAACAGGACAAAATCTGGAAACCCCTCAGCATATTTAACATCTTACCATAACATCCAAGCTGCACGACAGTGGGTTTCTAGAGAGGCTGCTACAATGTATTTCGATCATCTCGCCGAGGAGCGACAGGACAGGAGCTTTACCCTATGGTTACAAACTTTGCTACGGCGTTCACCGGAGTACCTAGCAGCATCTCGCGAAAACAAACCGTGAAGGAAAGACACTTGCTGCATGCGTATGGAAGAATGGTGCCTTCAATATATGCTACAGGGTTAAATATGAAGATGGCCACAATGTTATTGTTCGGTTCGCAGCTCTTGGGAGAACCATCTTTCGCAGGGAAATGGTCGACAACGAAGCTGTCGTTCTTCAATACTTGCATTAGCATACCCTGGTGCTAGTCCCACTTGTTCTGGGGTCGGGAACATGCTGGGAAGGGCCTTATATTGTTATGGATTTCGTTGAGGGAGACCTGTTGACCAACGTTCTAAAAGATCCTCTGGAGGATGGAAGGCCCATTTTGAACCCACATATAAGTGATCGGGCATTAAAATTAGCCTATCGCGAGATGGCCTGCCTTGTGCTTGAGCTATCCAAGCCAGAGTTCCCACGCCTTGGAGCGTTGATATAGGAGGATGGAAAATCATCGTTGGTAACCGGCCACTCACTTTCAATATAGACGAGCTAGCTACATCAGCAAATCTCGCTCCAAAGGACTTCCCGACATCTACCTTTGGATCAGCCGCCGATTATTTTGAGTCACTCGCCGTACAGCATCTTTCTCACTTCCGAAATCAGCGAACGATGCAATTACTGACAAAGTCGACTGCCAGAAAATATTCGTGGCTCGGTGCTTATTCCGTAGAATAGCACAGGATATTTCGGTAGAGCATCGTCATGGCCCTTTCCGACTTTTTGGTGATGACTTTCGCCCGTCGAATATCCTTGTCGATGTGGAGAGATTTTGTGTCACTGCGGTCATCGATTGGGAATTTACATACGTAGCTCCGGCAGAGTTCACCTACGTTGCGCCTTCTTGTTGCAGAGCCCCGAGGACTGGGACTCTGATCTTCGCAAATTCCTGGCCCGTTATACACCTCGGCTCCGCCTCTTTCTAAACGTTCTGCAGGCACTTGAGGACGAGAAGATAAAAGAAGGTACTCTCTTAGATTCCCAGAGGCTGGCCACGCGGATGGAACAGTCCATGGAGAGCGGGTTGTTTTGGGTGTGTCTGGTGGCAAGATACAGCTCCATGTTTGATGAGATATACTGGACTTTTATTGACGAGATTTACTATGGTCCGCTAGGGTCAATTGAAGACCGGGTTCGACTTTTGAATCCAGAGGAACGAGACGAACATGAATTTATCTTTCAGGTCAAGATGGAGCAAGCTAAAGGAGTAGCGCTCGAAGAGCATTATAGTACACATAACTTAGGAGATCTCTGAATTTAATCGTGCTATAGCTTGTCGCTCAGCCATCAGCACTTTTTTTTTGTCGGTCCAGCAGATAGAGTCTCCCCACATATACGACTAGCAATGAAACTGTCTAATTGCGTAGATTCTTAGCCAGTGGTTATATGCAAGGCCCTCCAGCTTATCAAGCTCCTCATATGCGTGATTTGCCGTGTTCTCTCGATTGAAGCCTTATTGTGTAAGGTAGGGACTTCCAAAAGTGGCCATAACGAGCCCTCTAACTTCTAGGGCTACAGCGCCGTGCATTGTCAGCCTTGGGCATCAATCAATACACAACAAACTTATAACTGCCTTACCTTCCCAGTTTCCTTCGAGCAAATCTATTCCTCCTTGACTTTCTCTTTTGACGAACGGGCACTAAAGCAAGCTAATACTTTTGCGACGATGGCCACACTTGTCATCCCAGCATGTAGGATGTCTTCGCCCCATCCCTACCACCTCCCCCAACCGGGATCGTCTCTCCGGATCCACGTCCAGGGCAATAAGACGGTCATTGAACAGGTTTTTTCTGACAGCACCAAGCTACCGTCCGAGAGCCAACCCCTATTGTCGGACAGGACTAGCTTCGACGAGACAGGGCTTAGCTTTGCTAAGATGGTATTCCCGCTACTATACGGTCGTGATGTAGACCCAGGCATCCCAGATGATTTTGTCCCTCGATTCCAGCTTGTCACCTATAGCGGAAAGGCAGGCGAATGCCTCCCGCGAGAGCATTGGTAGGTCAAACAGCTTCCTAAGTCCAGCTCCTTTTACCACGCTAATAATTAGTGGTTGATCAGCATCGATGGCTACGGCATTACATTTGATCATCTCGTAGGTCCGAACAATACAAATCCAGAGGTGCTCATGATAAACGTTTTCAATCCTTCCGATCCTGACTCGGTTCAATTTCAACAACTGGACCTTACCCAGTACAATACCACCTCCGAAACGTATGTTGTGCTAGTTCCGCGATGCTGTCAAAAAAGGCAAGGGTCCCGTGACCGCAAGAGAGTCAATGACCAGGTGAATAGGGTTGAGAACAAACGAGCCCAAAAGTATGAGATCTTAGGCTAGGTTGACCATTGTAACTAGCTATTAGTAGTGTGGGGCGGTTTGGGAGGGGACGGGTATGAAAGGGCCTGGGGAAAACTGTGCAATCTAACAATGCTAATAAACGGGCAACTTCTTGTATAATACATACCTATGTACCTAGGTACCTACTGTAGGTAGTTAAAGAGGAAGGTGGTCAACGGGGGAAACCGTGAAAAGCGGGGGGCTTTATACCTCGCAAAGGCGGGGGGCGCTAAACTCGTGGTGGGGGAAAACCGCAGACCTGATTGATAAAATAGCCAAAATAAAATTAAAAATTATATATTCCGGAAGCAAAGAGTTCGGCCAGGTCGATTGCCTACATCTCTTGCCGATTTTTGGTGTTTTGGTATTTTGCCGTATTTGTCCCTATCGATCCTCTCCAGAAGACAATTTGACCTGAACCACTTAGCCAAGTGGCAGCCTTCTGTCTTCCTTAAAAACCAAAACGCGTATTTTGATTTATGTACCTACCTACAGGTAGGAGAGGTAGAAAGGAGAGGATGCAGGCACGTGACTAACCTTATATATAATCTACACAATTTAAACACTTCAACGCTTAGTGGGTAATATTTTCCTACCGTACATCTAACAAAGAGGCATTGCGGATTCTCCCACTTTTCTTATAGTAGAACTTACTCTACCTAGGTACCTTATTAGATATGTGAGTAGTGCTTGCTGGTCACAGCAACTGGCATCTCCGGGCATATATTGTTCCATTCCGACGGTCGTCCAAATGCAGCCCCGCCACAACCTCTTCCGCCGGGGACCCAAAACCGTTGAGCCAAAGCGCGAATCAATAACGCCAGAGTGCGCCACGAAGGATCAAATATTATTCGAGACCAGCGGCATGCCGGCGCCCCTAGTTGTAGAAAGTCTTCGGTGCTATATCGCATCCTTGCTTGAATCTTAAACGCCAGGTCACCCGTGCGTGGATATATATATATATATCCAAAGACGTGGGAACAGCTCCCCAGCTATAGACAATCCATTGAACGAACAATCTCGAGCTAACTTCTGCTGATTCCCTATGGTAGAAGTCGACCCCATCGACCCGCGTTAGCCAGACTTAAATCTCAGCGCCCCGCATACACAACATCAACTGCAATGGCGGCCAATATACAAGCAGAGATGTCCGAAATTCCTGAAGCAAAGACACCTGACGGGAACAATCGAACAGGAGCGGGATTAGACGTCATGGCTCAGGCTCCAGTGACTCTTAAACCCGACACATACGTCGAAGTTCTGCCAGCCCAGACATGCAAATCCGGTCTTAACTCCAACATCGAAATTCTTCCGAATGAGATTCTCTCCAGTATATTTCGGTGTCTCGATACTCCAAAGCCTTCCGATTCGGCCCTTCATGATGAGCCGACCTTTGACTTGACACATACTAGGTCCGCAACCCTAAAAGCCATCTCGTGCGTCTCAAAGCGATGGAGACTAGAAACCTTTCCAATACTTTTCAAGTACGCTCGATGTATTTTGCCTAAACTTGCGACAAGTACATCGTTGAGCACTCCAACGGAGCCGTTCCTTGATTTCGTTAGAAGATACTCCTTAAGGAAAGTCATATCAAGCTTTACGCTTGTGATCCATGGCGAATCGATTACCTGCGACTCGAAAGCAACGTACCGCCTGGATGGAGTTGAAGCCTTCTGGTACTCTCTTTTCAAGATCATTGATCCGGTTGAAGTCCTCCTTGCTGCTCCCGTGCCAGTCCTTGGTGCACTCACCGCCTGCAGTGTATCCATGGAGGATGCGTACAGGCTTGATTGCCCGTGTCATTACCTTCGTTTGAAGCGATCTTCCACGCTTGTTAGCAATTCTCCTGTGCTAGAAGGCATCTCGGCACATGAGTATCCAACCAACAACCAGACCCGTGAAATCGTTGAGCCAGTTACAGCCAACTTCTCGATTGATAATATTCCGGATCTTGCGAAGCGTCAAGGGGAAACAAGGAGTAATTCGGGAGATTCAACTCCCGCGGAGACTATCTCCGAACCCAAAGTCGATGTTCTAACGGAAGCTATACCATCTTCATCTGAACATAGAGTGGCTTCAGCTGAACTCCAAGAGTCATCGCCTAATGGTCAAGCGTATTCATCCACAGATGCTCAAGCATCTTTATCTGAAAATATACCTCGTGGACCTTCAGAGTTGGCCCACCCTGGGTCATCTGCCTTATTCGATGTTCGACCGTGGACAACTTTATTGCTTAATGAAGGCTCTTTTATTCAAGCCTATAATTCTCACGAGTTCTGGCTAATACAGGTTCCTTCTGTAAGCCCTGTCACCTTTTGATCACAATCTCAATCCTCTAACAAACCTTCAGATCCTACCGGACCTAGTTGGATCAGTTGAAGATGGTCGCAAACCCCTGATTAGCCCTGGTATCCGAGATATGGAATATATTAGCTTGTTTCCGATGTCGAGACACTTCTCTCACTTTGCTATGAATCTTCCAAGGCTGGATCGGCTTTACGTTCAGATAGTACCACGAAACGATATACTTGATAGGCCAGAGAAGATGACCATGATAGAGGCGGAAAATCTGTGGATGGAGAGAAATAGCTGCTATGCTACCGTTGTGCGGGAACTCTTCAATGCTCCGCCACTAGGAAACTACAAATATCTTCAAATATTTGAATCTGGCGATGCAGCTGATAGAGATGCATGGCTTATGGCTGGCAAGTTATTCCCCGGTGTTTTCTACAGCTTCTCAATCTACATAAATTATGAAGGAGATTTCAATTCTGTGGCATGTTTCAATGCTAACTTTTAAATAGTTGAATATGTCAAACGATCTGGGAATGGCTGGCGGATCGCCGGAGATGGTGTATTCGTACGAGATTCTAAGGACCTAGCTCCTGAACGTCCTGATGATGGCGAGGGGGAGAACTTGGAATTGTCAGTCCACTGAGAATAAGACCAATCAGGAACTTGTTAACAGGAGCAATCAGTCAAGGTGCCCTAATTCGATGGGCTTGGAATGGCACAACGACGCTTCCTATCTCGGCATATCCCTTGTATGAGCTGCCTCTTGGACCTATGGAATGATTGTGTATAGCTTTGTACCAATTTGGGGCGCAATATATTCAAGTCATATGTAACTAAGGGAGGTCAAATGTTGGGCTTTATAGTTGTTATTATATGGACTATGAGGAGTCTTTTCTTCTTCGCTTTTATGAACCTTTAAGCGTGTTCGTCGCCGTTGCTGAGCGATATTTTTTCTAGCGAAAACTGCACTATGGTGCATTATGTAGCATAACGCTTTTGGTGACAGGGTGATATGTAGCCAGCTGTGCAGTGGCTTTGTTTGAGGAATACCTTCCTCGCTACTCTGGATATTGTCATCCACTTTTCAATGGCCCTTCAGTTAACAGCAAATTTGAACAGGATAAGATATAGGAATATCCTTAGAAATCCATAAGTTTCTAACGGGCAATAAAAGCTAAGTGCACTTACACTGGGATGTCGCAATGGTCTATTGCCCTTTCTATGAAAGGTGCGACATGTCTAAGTAAGGGTGACGTTATTACGCAGCCTTAAGTTTATATTGTAGATCTCCAAGATATCACCTGCGCGCCTTGTTGTCGCTTGTTCGAGCACAACAAAGCGAGTCAAGCGAGGACTAAAAAAATTGAGCTACCAAAGAAAGATATAGCAAAAGAAATACCCAATTATCAGTTCCAAATGGGATACCGAGAAACTCCCTTTGTTATCTCTAGCGGAGCATCCAGGGTCATCCTAAGTTGTCTGTTGATCAGCGGTCATCCTCGAGGAGGGGTGGTTTGGCCACTGCACCAACAGGCCTAGTCGCCTGTCTCCAATTGTTATGCAGTTTCTGCTTATTTTGACATATATAGTGTTGGCTTGGAGTACCTAGGTAGATTTGGGGACACATGGGGTGGGAGTATCACAGAGGAAGTCAGGGGGAGACGAGGGGTTAAACGAGGCTGCAGGGGGTAGAGCTTGGACGCGACCGCAATCGTGCTCCATGGATGCGTGCTTAATACGAACACTTCAACAACCTGCCAAACATGACGAAAACATAAATCTACTTTACTTGTCCGATGCAACTGGACCCATTCTACCGCCAGGCCCGTAATAACTAGCCAATATGTCGAAGAAGCCTCCAAAGGGCGAGTATATCGAGACAGTAAGCCCCTTTGAACCCCCTCTACTCTATTGGCGTAGCTAACACTATATCCCTATCTAGGAAACGGGCAACAAGGTCTCTCGTCGCGGACAGCTAGTCGGCACAACGAACATCATCCTCGGGGGAAAGAGCGTCATCCAAGCCGAAGTAGTCATCCGGGGCGATCTCACGCGGGAGAAGCAGCAGGGTCAGGGGAATCAGGTCGCGATTGCTATCGGGCGGTATTGCATCTTTAGTCGGGCCTGTGAGTTGAGGCCGCCGGGGAAATTATATAGAGGGTATGTATACACTCTAGGTGGTTCACGATGGCATCATAGCACCGATAAGTTGATCAGGAAAACTGGAAACAATGCTAATTCCCCTACTCAGGACCTTCTCCCACTACCCCCTCAAAATCGCCGACCACGTCTTCGTAGGCCCGTCCTCCATCATCGAAGCTGCCCTCATCGGTAACCACGTAAACATCGGCGCCAATTGCGTGATAGGCAAGTTTGCGATCATCAAAGACTATGTGCGCGTTTTGGATGGCACGGTTGTGCCGCCGAATATGGTGATTCCGAGTTTTAGCATTGTTGCGGGCAGGCCGGCGCAGGTTGTGGGGGAAATTGCGGAGGGCGAGGTGGATGGATTTGATTTGAGGGAGGCTTATAGGGCGGTTAGGAATTAGGATAAATGGTGAGAAGGATGGTTGTGGGGTGTGGATGGGAAAGAACGCAGGAACCCAGCGAGATTGATCGACTCAGGAGGTCAACGATATATGATACCCGTTTTTGTGCTAGCTACTTTGTTTCATGGAATAAACCACCCAATTACAACACTACGACAGAAGTGAAAGACATGCCTATGGGAAGCCTAGGTGCAATCGCATTTTAAACTCAACCACTGCTAATCTCATCCTCGCTCTCAGACTTGAGCACCAACCCATCAGCCTAAGCACCCCACAATCACGATGTCCACAATCGTAGACGCAGCTTGCAAAGCACTCAAGCGATCACGGCTGGTAAGACATGCACTCGATCTTGTTCCCATCCGGGTCCAACACAAACGCCGCGTAATAGCCCTTGACAATTTCTGATCTATCGGCTGGCGGGCTATTGCAAGTACCACCTGCTTTTCTATGCTAAATTAGAGATGGCTTCAATATATCACTCAGAAGGTTCTGCATGAATAGACGAAGGAAGGACGTGAAATTCAAGAGAGGAAGTAGAGGGGAGAGATGGAATTACTTACAAAGCAGCCTCGTAAAACGCTCTCACATCATCTGGGTCGTTTCCGTTAAACGCAATATGGATTTTTTCCCTATCGCCCTTGCTATCCCCAGCCTCTTTCACATCCTCCACCACTTTCGAGGTTTTTGAGCAACCGTGGATCCAGAAGTCCGGCCCTTTATTCTTGACCCCAAAACCGATACACTGATCAAGTTCCCTCCAGATACCATATCCCAGAGATTTGAGAGTTTCGAGGTAGAATGACTTTGATGTTTCGAGAGAGGAGACAGGGAGGGAAACATGTGCCAGTGACATATTGGGAAGTTGTATGGAGGAGAATATAGGAGACGTTGGGGCGAGATGCTTATGGTATGAGATAGGGGTACTGTTCTGTATCTATGGATAGGAGAAACTGTCGAGCAGGAGGAAACATTGCGAGTAGGAAAATGTGCTCTATTTAACAAAACATTCACACGCCATGGAAATGAGAGTTTTCCCCGAGCGGGGTATTGACAACTTGGTCTTTACTAATGAAACAGCATCTTCGCAAGCCACTTCGCTCAGAAACCGTAAGACGCGCGGGATGACTCACGAACTTTGCGCGTCTTCACGTGAGGGGAAGCAGCTATCGTTTTCTGAGCCTTGAGTTGGCCGATGGCTTGCATGAAGCATAGCGCTATCACTGTGAAATCCTCGTATCTGTGAATAATTGTGATACTGATGTATCCATTGGATGTGAGTAAATTCCGTGAGAATGAGATTGATTGTAAGCAATGGCAATTTGACGAGGTTGAGAGACACATGCCAGGGTATGCATAAAGTAAATTGGGGGGGGGGCTTGCATTCACCGACTCGGGGACTTGTTGCGAACCTGCGGGTTGACACTTTTAACTTTATTGTAGCAAATGTATAATTTCAAAGAGAAAAGAAACTATTTGTACATAAACTTACCGAAAATACTCTAGCAATTCAGAAGAACTCACTTCTTTGCGCTGGGCCGCAGCGATTCGTTGATACATCGCGGTTTGCTACATATCTCAGTCTCCAATCCGCAAACACCACTCGCTGTCACTCCATTCCCAATTGGACTCCCAACGAAATGGGATTTCTCTTTTATCTGTGGCACGGCGACACAATATTTTATGAAATCCTTACGTACCCTCGGAAGCTGGAAGCTAAACGCCACCCAGCTGACAGAAGATCACCGCTCCTTGGGTCTCGACCGAGATGCTCATTTCCTCGCTGTTGAGTATCTGCACGCCGTCATACCGTAATATCCAAGCTAAAAAATATAGACACTGTCTTGTATCGCAATCAATAGATAACTCGGAATCATTCCTGAGATACACTTCGTATCCCGCGCGGGTTTTCCAGCAGCATTTCAAAATTCAATCATCGGATGTTGTTTGTCTTACTCCGGAACGGGGAGATAATTGGGCATCCATCCACTCAGGGGAATGTCCCGTTCCGGGCAACCGGGTCTAGCATTCTCCCTTGCGTTCTGGAATGCTTATATCTTGACCGACAGAAAACGAAATACCCCGGAAACTTGAGGCTCGACCTCTGTTTTCGGGAGGCTTTTCATTTTCCGCTAGTCGGATCAATACATCGCTTTTTATCAATTCTGCCTTCGCGTCGCCTTGTCTGTTCTTTGTCTCGATTTATGCATCCTTGCTTCTTCCGCTGGCCTCACCCCAATCCGAGGTAGTACATATAAATCAATTAAATCTAAAATAAACCTATTCCTAATTAATCTCAACCCTATTGACCACATCTATCTGTATTGTGATTCTAGTCCTTATAGTAGAGTCCATAATAGTGATTCCCACATTGAAATGTTGACATGACTTTGGACCTGAGAACTGCTGCTATCCTGAGCATGCTAATGAATAAGCTGGATTAGCTTAGGGGGATCCTCCCTCTTCTAGCCCCCTTACTATATAGTAAAGGGATGACCCGTTTCCAAAACCCTTCGCAGCAAAACAGTACGCCTCAAATACTAGCTTATGGCCGGTAAGACTATTTGCTAATGTAATTTAGCAGGCCGAGCCCCTTTTTTCGGATTTTCAAATTCTCCCTCCTTAATCCATCCTCTGAGATACGGAAGCCTCCGGGGCAACGTCTGCAACACAGCTTGATTGACTGTCAGCTTCCTCTAGCAGAGATGTGGTATCCTGATTTGAAATCCCCGAGAGATTGTGGCTTTCTAACTCCTGTAAAGGTCCAGATCCCTCTGACCCAGTTTCCCGTGAGGACACAATATCCAGATCGGGCAGCAACGTATCGATAACTGAGCAGATTTTTTTTAAGTGAGTCGGCATCCATATATCGTAGACATTTTTAGTGAATCTGTAAGAGGTCCACTTGTCCTTGCCGGCTTCGCTTGTGAAATCGAACGTCTTGATCGGATAGCGGTAGAAGGTGGTTTTGTTTCCGTCGATTACAGGGTAGTGGCCGTAGATTCTTACTGTTCGGTGGTCGTGTGAGATAGAGAAGGCGAGGATATTTCGGTCAAGTTCTTTTTCGCGCTTTGCAAGTTTAAAGAGCCCAATAACACCCCTTACAGCCAAAGTCATGCTGTGAGCATTCTGCCGGTCTGCAATATTAAGTCCTACGGCACCGCACTTAACCTCGCAGGTTAGGAACGGGAAGTATATCTGCCACGTAGCCATGAAATGGGACGTAAAAGCATTTGGAACCTCACCGACAAAAGGCTTAAGCTTTTCTAGCTGATCGTCCGTGAATGCAGATCGTCCGAACCCCACAGAATAATCGGGCTGTGGGCTAGGACCGCAGAAAGGCTCGGCGCTATTCCAGCCTTCACTAACACTTTCAATTAAACAATCGAGAGTAGTAGCGCCGTATAACGCTAGAGTTTGGGCAGAAGGGACAATTAGCTGTGAGATATCTCGAACAACCATAGCCTCGTTTCTATTGCAAATGTTTTGGCAAGTTGTATCGAATAGATCGTCGCGAAATAACGAGTTCTGAGGATATGTCTGCTCTGAATAGAGCAAGGTTTGACAAAGGCTACTACTTGCCTTTTTAATATCCTTATCGATTTTGTTTATAAAGCTGCCCTTAGTAGCAAGAATAGTCTCATAGCTAGCATGCTTATATGGGGTACCTCTGGTTTCCCTCGGCTTCTCATCGCTAGCTGTTGCAGAACTGGGTGTGGCAGTGCTAGCTTCAGATTGTTTACCTCCGGGAGACGACTTCTTCCTTGCAAGCAGGTAATCCAACCCCATCACCCAGGGTATTCCGTTGTATTTTTTGAAATGTTTTGTAGTCTGATCGTCTTGGTTGAAATATTCCTTAGGCCAGTATCCCTCTTCGCTCCAATACTCAATCGGATTGGTTTTGTTATTGTTGACGCCGCCCGTTAGCCCCTGGCCAGATGTGTCCTTAACAGCAGGGGACGTCCGTCGTTGCTTTCGAAGGGGCTGGAATAGAGCAGGGTTGGATGGACCTTCAGGTTCTTGGGATTGCTTTCGTTTTCGTTTTCGCTCCCCAGCTTGTGGAGACTTGACTCGAGTTAGCTTTGTAGCATATTAAAAGGAGAGAGCCACCATGCCTTTTTGCCGGGAGTATTGCTGGTTGGTGATGGGATTTTGGATTTGGTGTTCGTGTTCCTGGATATAGTTTGTTCCTGGCGGGGTTGTAGGCGTGCGCTTCTACGAGGAGGTTGTGTTCGCTCTTTCTTGATAGCTTGTGGCCCCGTTCCTATCAACGATCAGTCAGAATACGAAAAGGAATGAATGGCTTGCTCACGTTCGACTTTTTGCACTAGGTCTTGCCACCCAACTTCTCGGGTGTTTCGTTTTTCTGGATGAGGGGCCATATTGATTAGAAAGAAGATGAGTAGGACCTGTGTTTATGTTGCCGTTAGGTTGATGGACGGAGGTAGATGGAGGAGTCAGAGGGTGCAGGCAGGACAAAGCTGGTGGGCGATAAAGCGCTTGAGTTTTGGAATGCAGGCGGCAACCACTACTATCTTTGTCATTTCGTGAACGCAGCATCTCGCGGCATTGTCATTTTCCTAGAGGAATATTTGTTTCCGCGGCAGAGCTATCGTAGTAGTAGGGTAAAATCAAGCTGCTAGGGAATAGAACTGAACAGGTATTACTGGGAGGTTCTATTAAGTGCGAACAGCAGAAAAGCAATAGTACGACGCAGGCCTCCAAAAGCGAGTGCACGATAGTTCGTTTACACGACCAGAGTATAGACGGACAGTAATAGAGGGTAAATATGGAAATACTTCAAGAGATCAGGATTGGTGGAGGGGGGATATGGGATATGTTCACCCGTTCTAGGGTGGGAGCCCAAAACGGCTCCCACACCTTGAGCTAGGAAGCAGCAGACAACGGTAGTGTAAATGTATCAAGGCATTCCCTATGATTCCTCCTGGTATAGCTATAATAACACGAAGGGAGTAGACGTGTGCTATTACCATGAATATCGGCGGCTCAGTTTGGTTATGCGTCACTTGTTTGTTTTTATATATCCAGACTCGTCTGGAACATAAGTCTGTCGATGCCGTAACATCGTATATAAGCTTTTCCAACGCGCCTGTTCTTTGTTATAGATGTAAATGTCAAGAAGAAAACGGTTGTAAAGGAACATCAGCACTTTGCATAGAGAGTCTTGGCGGGGTGCGCCCGAGGATCTGCCGGGGGGCTACTTGCTGTCATCCCATCTCTCAGGTGTCGAAACACTCTGCATGAACCAAGGGATTGTTAAGGAAAGGGATGGTGGTGACTTACTCCGTAGGGCTTTGTAAGAGACTAACGTATAAGAGTTACGATGGCTTATTCCGAGATTGAGACAACGAGATGTACGAACTACGTACCCTTATCCCTTAGCACGTCGTACTAAGTGCGTGCTGTTACATAGTGTCTTGCCCATGGATAAATATTGCGACTGCATGTGGTACCAAGTATCTATTCTTTTGCGATGGCACTCAACAGATGAATGTGGCGATTGGCTACCGTGACGATAGGATGATATAATTCCCTTCTAGAATACTCCGTAATACTGCAGGTCTTGAAATATAAGGTTAAGGTTCCGGGGGACGACCGCCCATTCCTGGATTATCAAGGGGGAAACTACATAGATACCGATCGTGGTTTGCGGGGAAGGCCTTCTTACATGTACTACTTGTCCCGCTACTCGCAGTGCCTGTCTCAATCTCAGACATACAGACACGCCAGCATTGTTCCCCTGCCAATGCTGCGTAATGCACAGTAAGCCCGCTTCTGCAGCTCCAGCAGCGAAAAAAAAAAAACAAACCTGCGCATCCATGCATTCCCTACCTCTGATCGTCAGTAAAATAATAAGGTACCTTAACTCATATACTAAGCCTTTTTCCCCGCCCCCCTCAAGTCCCTCCGTACTCCAAATCTCTTCGCCAAATACCTCGGGCCCCAACGTCGAGCGCGGGCGAACTGGACATGTGTCTGTAATAATGTCCGACGGCAATGACCTGGACCTGGACCTGAAGAGGACGAGTCTGGTAGTTGAGGTGCGCTCGGCGACGACGATGGCGACGCAGGAGGAGCTCGCGCGGCAGGGCGAGGCGCTGGAGGCATCGGAGAAGAATGATGGTGTATGGCGTTCCATGAAACGGCACAGGATGGCATTGGTATATAGTATGCGACCAATTCTTTGCAGCCGCATTCATTAGCAGGACGCTTATACAATTCCTAGTGCTGGCCGCCTATTCGTGTGCTGCGGTTTACGTGAGCAGAGGCCGAATTGCTGGAGAGTTGATAATCCGCTAACTCGTTCAGGGCTACGATTCAATCGCGAATACAGCTACGCTAGCTATGCCGTCGTTCCAAATATACTTTGGCCATTTTGATGAGCATATAAATGGATATTATTTGGATTCGATATGGACCTCATTATGGTCATCTATGACGGGTGTTGGGCAGATCATAGGCTCCACAGTGGCCGGCCCGCTATCTCAGAGGATTGGGAGGCGATATACGGCAATGGCATCTGGATCCATAACAGTATGAGTGGAATCTGCTTCATCCTGTTGGGCTCTTGGCTAATGGATTGCTTGCTAGATCATTGGAGTGGCCTTGCAGTATGTGGCTGTGAGTAAAGGCCTATTGCTGGCGGGGAAAATGATCAACGGCGCTGCAGTTGGCGGTTTATTGAGTGTCGGCACAACCTATGCTTCTGAGGTATGTGTGCCCACACAATTATATAGAGAATCCCCTAGTTTCTGATTTGGTATTAAGATTGCTCCACCCCGTCTCCGAGGCATTCTCCTGGGAGGCCTCGCTTTCTTCGGCGTCGCAATGCAATGCGTTGGGCTCGGTGTAGTTCGTTGTTTCGTTCCCAATATGGGGCCGATAGCCTTCAGGACAGCTTTGGCTCTTCAGTGGCTCGTTGGTGGCATCCCCATTATTGCTTTTTTCTTCGTGCCAGAGTAAGTCGCACAACCATGGTGAGCAATCTATAAGCTTACATGTGCCAGGTCTCCTAATTTCCTCCTCCTAAAAGGACGGGTCGACGCAGCGAGGACCGCCGTCGCTCACATCTACGGCAAGACAAACTCCGTCGATGCCCGAGTAGCCCATCTCATGGCTAGCATCCAGGAGGAGCTTCAAAGGGACCACCGCTCTTCATATATCGATTGCTTCAAGGGTACGGATAGGAAACGAACACTGACAGTGTGCCTTTTAATGTTCGGGAATGGCCTCATTGGCTCGGCGTTCTTGACGCAGAATATATATTTCCTAGGACTTGCAGGACTGCCTGCAATCCATGCCTTCGATATCAATATTGGAGGCTTTGCTCTTGCTCTGATGATCATCCCCGCCTCGTGGTATTTTGGAGATAAAATCGGTCGACGGCCGTTGTATCTTGTAGGCGCCGCGGGAAATGCGGTTGGTATGGGCGTCGTGGGTGGCCTTGGGTACGCACCTGCAAGCAACAAGGCCTCTATTTGGGTCCTCGCCGTTCTTCTGTGAGTTTTCCCCAATGAACGGACTCTCCTGAAACCAAAGCTAACAAAGCCACCTCGAAGGAACCTTCTAATTACTTGGCAAATCTTCACAAGCTTCATGGTTTCTTGGTCCATGTCCCCAGAACTCTCGTCCTACAAACTCCGCCAACAGACACAATCCATCGGTATAGCAGTTCAAGCTTTCACCTCCTGGTTCTTTGCCTTCGTTACCCCTTACCTGTATAACGTCGGGCCCGACTCTGGGAACCTTGGCGCTAAGACGGGATTCATATTTATGGGATCTAGTGTAGTGTTGTTTGGCCTGGCGTACTTCTGGGTACCCGAGACGCAAGGCTTGACGACGGAGGAGCTTGATTATCTGTACGAGGCTCGGACGAGTCCGAGGATGTTCAAGACCAGTATAACTGTTATGAATCGTGTTATAATGCCGGATTTAGGGAACAATGATAAACTGGACGCGAAAATCGAGAGTTAGGTTCATGGGTATGGTTTGGATAGGTATAGAAGCTGGATTGGCACAGGAGTTTATGCTGGCTTGGTGTTCTTGGAGGTACTACGGAGATTATGGACGGGATAACAGGACCAGGTTCTAAGGAGGAGCATATAATATGTAGGAAAATAATCGGGTTGGAAATGCTTAAAACAATTATAATGACGCGATGGGCGAATGCAACAAGGGCGTCAAGTGCGTGACATCAGAAAGACTTTGGCATCAATCGACGAGGCCGTTTATATAGCCAAGCCTGCAAGATAATGCATAGGAACACAGTAATCCAATCCCGCGAAATATATGCGCATAATGACGAAGCGCCCAGCTCGAGCGTTTGACATGCGCCATACGGAGTACCTAGATGTGCTGATGATAATTCCCCGAGCGATGGCAAGCACGTTGTTCCCGGCGCACAGGAGAAACAACGGGAAAGATTGTTTGATGGACACGCACTGCTGCCCCAGACGCTGCGAGGCATTGAAATGCGATCTACGAAGTACTCCCTTTACCAAACTTGGTGGTTGAGGTAGGCAGCAAAACATACTCCATCACGAGCATACTTGCTTCAGGATGACGATCAGGGGCGGTTCAGGGGGGCCTGGCAATTGCGCACGCGACGGACCCAACGAACTCGACTCGACTCAGGGAATGCGATCCCTCGAGAGCCGAGAAGGAGCAATACGGAGGAATAGTAAGCTTTGTTTTGGGCTATCAGACGGGTCGATCCAGGAGCGGTTTATCATGGGGCCAAACACAGCCTTATCCATAGCATACGAAGTAACCTCGGATGCTGTCAAACATTGCTGTTTAGGGACCAAGGGTGTTGGCATCGCGTTTCAGGTCCCAGGGGCGCTGCAGATGATGCGTTGCCTCTTTGCCCCTGAGTTTAGTTTCGCTTGAGCCCCTTCTCCAGTGTGACACGATTATTCCATGTAATGTACAAACATGTACGAAGGAGAGCACCGAGCACGCAAGTGAGTCAGGTCTGGATTGCCTCCAGAGTCCAGAGCAGGTACTTGGTCGCTTGGTGGCATGCTGCACCCGGCACCAAGTACTCTGTACCTCCGTACTGTGGGATCAATAGCCTTAAGGCGATGTAGAGGGAAGGATGAGGCGAAGCGGGAGAACCACTCCAGGGGCGACCGTGACTGCGTTTCGTGATGTTCTATTTCCTGCTCTCTCTCTCTCTCTCTCTCTCTCTCTCTCTCTCATAAGTTCGGAGGCTGAGCGACTGGACCATGGAACTTCGAGCCATGTTATTGTTATTGTTATTATTTCCCTTTGTCCGAACCGTATCAATCTTGTGGCGTAGGATTGTGTGAGGCAGGCTCAGGCTGCTGAGCCTTTTGAGCACTCTACGGCAAGAATGCACCGACTTTAGGATCAAGCTTTTGCGTGAAGGTTCTCGGCATGGTTGGCTTGGCCAGCCTTGGCAAGTTTGCGAGGTCGGACTCTCGAATAGAGAATCGAGAAGCCATGGTTAGAAATGTACGGGGATGCTGTTGATACTGTATCAAACGCAGCAGTTGTTGAGCTCGGGTCTTGGGGAGTAGGAGGTGCATGTGAGAAGCATCCATCCCGGGTCAGTCTAGTCCGTCTGGTTCTTCGGGGCACCGGCGTCAACATTGCTTGTGATAATTGCGAAATGCATCTGGCATGATGATCTCTGGCCGTCCGGTGCTGGCGGTCCCAATCCAAGAGCCCGAACCAATATTTGGACGCAACGAGGAGCGAGATATGCACCCTAAACGCGCACCCAGTGTCTCTCGCCTGCAAAGAAGCAAATGAGAGCCCGCGCCGGGCCAGCAGAGGTCTCGCAGAGGCCCATTGGAGCGCCGCCACAGGACGCGCCTCAAGCGCGACGAGCGGTGGAGGAGGGACCATTCGCTCGAATCGTCCCACGACATCGCTGCGCCTGCTGGTGCAGTAGTATGTACGAAGTACAGAGCCGTAATCGCCGGGTAAATAGGGAACCTGAATAGCGGGGTGATGGCATCTGCATCTGCATCTCATCTGATGGGCTCGCCGCAATATCATCGGCGGTGGCGGCGTCCGTTTGGTGGTGTGCCGCCTTGCATACAAGCGCCTGGAGCCCTGGAGAGTGCAGCTCGAGGGGGCCATGCAGCTGGGGGTGCAGAGTGCAGAGCAGCGCAGCGTAGCGTAGCCTGTGGTTTGCTGGCTTTAGGCTTCAGAGCCCGTCAGCAGTAGTGATGATTAGGACTCCGTAGGGGCTCCTCTGCACACCACCATCTGCCCCCGCACCCGGTGGCACAATGCGGAACAGCCTTTAGAGCTGGCTGGGGGCGAGGTACGAGGGACTATGTAGAGTTGAGGCATATGCTGCTAGTTTGACATATACACAATCGATACTCAACGCAAAGTCCGAGGTTTGTGAGTGCGTAGGAGGCGTCGGGGAGGTACCATTGTACAGAGTAGTCTCCAAGGTAGTCCGTTGATCATCCATACCAACCCACGGCCCTCAAAGGCAAACGGCGATGAATCAAGTAGAATGACAGGAATGGCTGGGGGGCCATACTTCTTACGCGCACCGTTAGCGCATTCTGCACCATGGCCAGAATACTCTCCGAGAGGCGGTCCCGATGCCCAGCACCGTGCTTCGTCACTCGCAGCTGAACGGCCACGGCTGCTGCTGCTACTGCTGCTACTGCTACTGGGCCGCGGGGATAAGAGATGAATTGGCTTGGGGGGATTGATTGGCGGCGCATGTTCAAAGGGGCCAAGCCCACGAAAGCCACAGGCGCCGGGAGGACGAGCGAAGAGGAAAAGGGAGGAAACCGGAGGCTTGCAAAGGAAGGAAGCACGTCCAGTTCAGGTTGTTGCCAGTGCCGTTCGAGCCCGTAGCGTCCGTTCCATGGCGGCGTGGCCATACCGTAGTTTATGCGCCATGAATAGCATCATTATCATTCTTACTCGTGAGGATACGTACCGTATATACCTAGGTAGGTACCTACGTCGTAGTCCAAGGTCTGGAGCCAAGGGAAGGGCACTTGCAGTAAGTGCCATACGAAGCACCCTCTGTCCTTTCGGCTTCGTCAGCTTCCTCGTTTTCAGACTCCACACCGGTATTGCATCCAAGTTGCGGAGTCGGAGGAGGCGTACAGAGCTGCGGTGCGAAGACTCGAACAACAAGACAAGACAAGACAAGGCAATTGTGAATAATCATCTTGGCCCCGAAGGCATGGTTAATATTAAACCGTGAAATAATGTCGCAGAACTAGTAGTCTAGAACTACGTACAATAATAATACTCAGAGTCTCTCACTCGTACAGTACACGTACGTATGGCGTATGGCGTACCTTGGTTGATAATCCGTGAAGCTGCTCGCCCCAAGTAGACGGCTGGTGGCCAATCAACCGCCCCCCAACACCCCTGCCCCTCTGGTCTGTCCCTGGCTGCCCCCTGCATGCCCGCCCCCTCGCCTGATCCAGCCTGGCGTCTGCTCCCCGCTGCCCTCCCCGACGCGTCTCCATTGCCCTCCCTCGACCTCCGCCAACCAGATGCGCCCACCGCCGCCCTCCCGACTCCGGTTCCAGCCCTCTCATCAAACTCTTTTCCCTTTTCGCTTTTCGCCTCTCGCTCTCTCACTCTGTCTCTCTCACTACTTCGTACACTACTCTCTCCTACACTCTCTCTTGCACTCTCTCTTAACCCTCTCTCTCTCGCTCCTCCATCACCACACCGCCTTCCTTCTGTTTTTCTTCTCTCGTCCGTTATCCTCCTCCTCCATCCTCATCCCCCCCGAGTGATATCTTCGAACGAGAGGTGTGCGTCTGTCTGCGATTGCGACTGCGACTTCGACCCGAGAGCCACCCTGCGCTTGAAACCCCAGAGATTGCGATTTAATAATTTGGTTGAAAAGCCTGCCTTCCGACCTCCCCACCCCCCACCAAGAGTTCTGCGCGCCAGCCGTCGTCATTCAGCATTCATCATTTACCAAAAGCTAAGGGCTCCTAAGCGTCAATACTTTCCTGCTTCCTGCAGTGAGTGGGATCCGCTGTCCTTTGTCCACCTGCCTCCGGTTCTCTCGCCCGCCGGGAAGCGACCACGGCCACAAAGCAAACCCACAGAACACCCATCGGCCGCGGCTGTGTGTACTCTTTCGCCAACCAACACCAACATCGTCCTCTCCGCATCTTGCCTTTCATCTTCCGCCGCTCTTTGTTGATTGCAGAGCATCGTGTGCTTGTACTCCAGACTTCGCATCCACTATCCTATTCTTATAGCGACCTCCCGCTCGTCTACTTGAAGCTCGTTCCATAGACCGCGCCCTACTGTAATTTACAACGATCACATACTCAACAACGCGTTTCGTTTCCAAAGGGTCTTCCGCTTTTTGTCGACACTCCTGGGTCAGCGCGAGCAAGAGCTATCCGTTATCCCATTTTCGAACATCTCCACTGCTGCCCGCTTCGAAGGCTTGCCTCTGCTCAGCAATCGAGCACTTTTACAACTAATTCTTCTTCCTGCTCCTCATCGTACAACTCGATCGATTCATATTGATCATCTAATTTCTCTAATATATTTCCAAATTCGACCGCCTTCACTCCCTCGACGTCGAATTTCCAAAAGCCGACCATTCCCACCGTCCCTTCAATTCACCCCGACCATCATTACCCGCCCCTCCACCTCGACAACACTTTGAGTTATGGACGCAGGCGGTCTTGCTCAGATGTCCTACAATAACTTCCCTTCCAGCAATGGACTGGGCATGCCCGGATCTGGCTTTGCTTCCAGACGGGCAAACGGAGCCAATCTCAAGCATCTCTCCTTCCAAACCACAAAATCGCCCGGTCCTCAGGATAATGGGGCTCCGACCCCTCGAACCTCCCGGTCTCATTTGCTGGCCGGGTTAAGGACGGCTCCAAAATCTGCCACTTCCAGCACGTTCCCCTCCACGGCCCCTCCAACGCAGCTGCAACACAACACTGGACTTAGTGCAAGCGTCTATGCAGACAAGGAAACGTATGGCGGCCCGAAGACTTCGAACTTCCAGCACCAGCAGAATGGCTACAATCAGATGAACGCCCCTCGTCAGATGTACTCGGTCCCGGAGCAAATTCTTGCACCGCCCGAGATCCATATCGACGAACAGAGCCAAGAGCAAATGGACCCCAACCTCTACGCTCAACTGGTTGCTACCAACATGTACCTTGCCGAACAGCAACAGCGTCTCCAGCAGCAACTCATGAACGTGCAAGCAGCTGCTCAGCAGTTCCAAGGCATGAACTTGGGCCTAGGCTCTCAGCAACAGTTCGCCACTCCTCCGGTCACTCCACAGAAGTTGGGACTTTATCAGCACCAGCAGCAGATGAAGAACAACATGCAGCCGATCATCACGCCAGTTATGGGCGCCCAACCTGGTATCTACTCATATTTCAACCCGATGACCGGGCAACAGAGCTACTTCATGGATCAGACGGGTCAGCAGAGCCAGTACATGGATCAACAAGCTGTCCAGCCTCCAACCAACTACTCACCACCGCAGCAGCCTGGTACGCCGACCTTCCAAGTCTCTCCCCCTCCACAGTCCGATGCACCCACATTTGCGCGAAGCATTAGTCCACCAAAGAAGTCACAGTCTCCCCCACAGGACCATGCTCCGTTACCGCCTCCCTCTGCTGGCGCTTTCCGTCGCGGACATCGCAAGTCGAACTCGATGGCCATAGGAATTGATAATGCGGTTCCAGTCGATGGGCCACGGTCAGCTATTTTGCCAAAGACTCAAGGTTTCCCGTCAACGCCTCTTGCTGCCGGCTTTGGTCCAGGCCAAGCGCGAGCGGGCGAACACCCGATCCGCCAACCCCGTGGCCCTCCTCCTTTGGATGAGTTGATTACCAAGCCCACCACCAAGTTCGAGGGTAGCAAGAACTTTGCTACTCGCACACGCCGAAACGCCGTCCATAACCTTGTCCGTGCGGGAATGGAACGCCGCCGAGCGCCTGGGAGCGGCTCTGGTAGCATGTCTCCTGTGTCTGAGGCTGGCGAGATCACATTCTCCGTCTCGTCGGACAACGATTCTGATAGCGGTCGCAGCGGAAGCGGAAGTCTTTCCGGCCGACCCAGTCTTGGTGGTTCGCGCGGTTCGACTCATGGCGCTATCGGTTCCGATCGCCCATCATCCCGTCACAAGGAGCGCTCTCTGGAGCGGAAATCTGTGGCGTCGGTGGACAGCAGCTTCACCACTGCTAGTGTCAGCAGTGATGAGGGCCAATCAGTTGGGGGTAGCTTTGCAGCTGTATTCAAAAATGGCGGCAAGAAGCCAGAGCCTAGTGACAATCAGCGGAAGGCACCAATGCTTGTTCTCACGTCCGTTGAAAAGCGAAAATGCCCTGTCGCCTAAGAGCTTCGACCAAAATTCGTCAACACAGGGGTGGATCCCTTGAGGTTGACATCCGATCATTCATTGTTTCTATTTCCGTTTGACATTGCATTCGACTGTGCATATTGCCTTGCTTTTAGCCTTTACGATCAACGACGACGAAATTACCGAGTCCGTAATATCGATATTTGAGATACAAATACAACGGTTTCTTCATTTCTTGCCTGGTGTATTTCATGGACGGAGGAAGGAGAAAGGGGTGGAAATAACCTTGAATTGTATTCACTGTTATGCATTTGGAGTTACGCACGAGGGCTTGGGGTACACGTTCTCTTTGGCGCCTTGTTGTTTCGTTTCTTAACTTTATGGAGGCCTGCTAGGTTTCCAGGCGGTGGGTGGATTGACGATCGAAATTGTTCAGATATATGATTATAACCAGCCTGGAAGCGAGGTATGAGGAGACGAATCCGGACCGGTTTTACATTAGGTATAGGGAACTCTAGCCCCTGGGCTAAGGCTAGAAGATAAATAAAGAAACAAAGTTTGGTAAATTAAGCTAACTTGTTGTCCTATGTGATCCTCATGTAAGACTTCCGTATGATAAGTTGTATGTATTCCTTAGGCATAAGCATCCTTCATAAGTCCAATTTTCCATTTGGGTCATGTACGTGCAGTGGAATACCGGAATATATTGATCATCTATCAATTGGCCAGTAATGAGGCTTTTTTTTTATATATCGCACTGATAAGTAATATGGGTGTTCGCTTTAGGGGTTACTTAGTCCCTAGGGATACTTTAGGGGATGGTGTTTGAGGCAGGATACAATCCCACCGAGTCTAGAACCCATTAAAGAGACTAAAAACGTAAAGGAGTGTATTTGGTCTAGTACTAGTTCTAGCCTTTTGTTTTATCAACACTTGTGCAAAATCTAGAGAATACAACGACTTCGCGGGCCTAGTGACTCACTCGCTTTTGTTGGTCATGTAGCGGCCAACAAGATGATTGATTGTCTTAAAGCCGGATCAACCTGGGTAGAAGAATAAAATCTAGACCGCATATATTATTAAAATAGAATAGAAGTGGAATGTGCGTGGCGGAGCAATGGGGCGGTTTTTTTTCGACGATGGGTTTGTGTCCCCACCGCTTGTGCTGGTAGCCTACAAGCCAAAATAAACCCAAGATACCCCCTGAGCAGAAAAGATCAGGGCCGACTTCCGAGTAGATTGTGAAATACTTGCGGTGAACAGCAGCGGGCCCTGAGCTTACTGACCCTGGAATCTAGAACAAGAGAAAATCGAATCCATTGGAGATAGGATGGGGGTTGGGCTTTTACAGCTTTGGAGGGTTCCTGGTTCCGACAGGGACGATTGTCCACTCATTGCTGTTTTATGCTGTGGCGATTGAGAGGTTGAGATTTCACGTGCTGTGCGCCCATCGCTATTCGCTATTCGCTATTCGCTACCCTCAGGTATCGCAATCGTGTCTGGCAATCATGGTTACGAGTACAGTACGAAATACTTTGTACCACGTTGCACGACTTGTTATCGCTGTCTCTATCTCTACCTTTGCTGCTTGCTGCTCCACTCACCCCACTCGCAAAAATTCATCACGAACACGGGGTTTGAGCTTTGCCATCCCATCCCACCATCGATCCAGCGATGTTCCAGAGCATTATTGGGGAACCAAACCACCGCCCTCAGGTCCCTGCTGCTGGTGCTGATTAATATTCGACATTGACTGATACGACTATTGTTGGGCCAGAATTCGATCCGCAACGACGCGTCAATCGCCAAGTTCTATCATTGGAGTGCCGAGACGCCCGATGTGGAGCGGTGGAGCGGTCGAGCAGAGGAGACCTACGATACGATCTCCGAATCGAGCAATATTGACGATGGATAATGACGAGACCGAGAGTTATTAGAGTTGCGGCGTCACCGTCACCGGGCGCCAGCGCTAGCAACAGAGTCCCAGAGCGCTTTGCGTCTCAATTAGTTCCTTGCTGACGGATGGCATCATGGCGAGCAACTCTCGGCTCTCGAGAAGGCTGTCCAGGCCAGCCTAGCTACGGCTGTGGATATACTGTATATGAAAGCACAAGCAATCACTTGCTTGGGTGATTAATTTCTACCTGTTATTATTGTATTATTAGAGTCATCCGGCTGCCGGGCAGCACTTTCCTCATCTCTCTTGGCGCTTTATACACTTTTACTTGGTTCCGGCTTGGATAATAAACTTTCCCAGGGTATCTGCCCCACCTCTTTTTGGCCTCCATCTGGCTATTCTTCGCCGGACTTCTGTGTTCGATATATTCTTTCAATCGCCATCCGCCATATTATTTTCCAAGGGGCAAGAGGCAAGCTATCACGGACTTGTTCGGCCATCCGCGTTCAAGTTCACGTCTTCTCGCAGTCTTTTCGGCCTTACGGATCTTTTTCCTTACGTAGTGGCGACGAAGACTTTTCCTTTTCCATTTCCTATTCATCCCAGTCGTCAGCATAAGCTACCGCTGCAACCCCGCCTACGTGCGGCGGGGACCTCCTTCGTCACCTCCAACCACGAAATAACGCCTCTCAAAAGTATTTTGGATATCTGGATATACATAAGGGTGGACGGTTGCAAATCAATTGCTTTGAGGGGGCCAATTGGAGCTTAGCGACACCGTCAAGCTATCATGTCCAACGAAGACCGCACCACAAATGATGGAGGGCGACACCATCACCGAGAATATAGCGAACATTCGGGGGCACCATTCCCAGCCGTCACGCCGATTCCTAGCCCGGTGAATGAGGAAGAAGTTGAACCGTACCTCCAGCAAGGATATAGCGAGAGTCCCCCGCAGCATCACAGCGGAGACTCGACTCCAGATCCAAGCAGACCGACGAGCTCAGGTGGGACTCCACTCCCAAAACACCGAGGGAGGGTACGGTTCAACAGCAAGAGCGAAGTCAACGATGGCACAAATAGGAAGGCAAGATCCCCGTTGCGAGACGAGCCCGAATCACCTCGTAAAATCACAAGTCCGAAGTTCCCTAGGATGAGCCCAGCGCACTCGAGAAACAGTAGTCTCGCGAGCAATACAGGACGTGCTCCTCAAAAAGAGAGGGAGAATTCATCCGCGGACTCCAGCCCAGACCATATCTCGAGACCAAGGCCAAGCGTGCTGAGACAGTCGAGCTATAATGCCGAACCAGAGCCTGTGGAAGACGAGAATGAAAAGGTATTTTCGGCGTTAGCAGCCCAGGAGCGTGCACAGAGGATTGCCTCTCTGGTGGGGAGCCATTCTGCTCCGGCATCGAGAAGGAACAGCCTAGAATCGGACGAGGAAGACTCACGCCCAGTGAGGCGGCCAAGCAGGCCAAGCAGATCAGGCGGTTATCCAGTCAAGTTTGATGATATTCCATTGATGGACATGGACCACGTCTCGACTTACGAGGGCAGGGCCATCGAAGGAAGTGACCAGGAGGAATTTGCACGTCAGGAAAAAGTACGCAAGCCATCCAACAGCTCAGAGGCCCATAAGTTGGTCCGAGGGCATACGAGAAAATCATCGGTAAATACAGCCGCTACAACTGGTGTGTCGTCAGGGCAAGTCACTCCAATGAATCACCGAGGATATGAGAACTATATACCGAGGCCACAGCAATATCGAGGCGGGGTTCTTGGGTCACTTTTAAAGCTTTACAACCCATCTCAGGGTAGTCGATCCCGGAGGGGTAGCGTTGAGACGGATCCAGGCACGGTCACTTCTGTGGGATCGTCAGGGAGGACAACGCCGAAGGGCAGGCCAGTTAAGTGGTACAATCACAAAAATCAATCGCAAGACACATTATCTGGTCTTGTGGGATCTTCCATGGCTTTGGGGGCTCAAGGAGGTGTCCCGGTCACCAAGCCAAAACTGCCAAGCCCAGGGAAAAGGTCTTACAGTAAAAAAGCCGAATCGGCGAAGAACAGACTTAGTTGGAAGCCCAGGCTCGAGGATGAGATCAGGATTACCGTGCATATTGCAGAGACTATCAGCCGGCAAAAGTACCTCATGAAGTTATGTCGAGCGCTCATGAGCTATGGTGCTCCCACTCACCGACTGGAGGAATATATGAAGATGAGTGCCCGAGTGCTCGAGATTGATGGCCAATTCCTCTATATTCCTGGCTGTATGATTATCTCCTTTGATGATGCATCAACCCATACGACCGAAGTCAAACTAGTCAGGACCGCTCAGGCTGTAGATCTTGGAAAGCTGAAGGATACACATGAGATTTACAAGGAAGTTGTTCACGATGTTATTGGGGTAGAAGAAGCCATGCAGAGACTTGAGACGATCATGAAAGCTAGGCAGAAGAACAATGCCTGGCTCCTGGTCCTAGTATATGGCTGTGCCAGTGCTTGTGTTGGACCCTTTGGTAAGTTAATATTATCTGCTCGAACCCCCATGCAATCCAGCGGAGGACTAACGTACCGGTAGCTTTCCAAGCCCGATTCATCGACATGCCAATATCATTTATTCTGGGCTGTTTCCTTGGATTCCTTCAGCTTATTGTAGCACCGGCATCCCAGCTATACAGTAACGTGTTTGAGATCTCAGCTGCAGTAATTACTTCTTTCCTTGCGCGAGCATTTGGGTCTATAAAGGGAGGCGACATTTTCTGCTTCTCTGCTCTTGCACAATCCTCGATTGCACTCATTCTACCGGGATACATGGTACTCTGCGCATCTCTCGAGCTTCAATCAAAATCAATGGTCGCCGGGTCTGTCCGGATGGTCTATGCAATCATATATGCTTTGTTCCTTGGTTTCGGTATCACCATTGGGACAGCATTCTATGGACTTATGGATAAGAACGCCACATCAAGCACGACATGCCATAATCCACCAAATCAGTATCTCAAATGGTATATTCCCCATCCATAAAACGTTCAAAACAGTTATACTAATGTTTGATCCTGTAGGGTCTTCGTGCCCCCTTTCACCCTTGCATTATGTATAATTAATCAAGCAAAATGGAAGCAGATGCCCGTCATGCTCATCATCTCATTCGCGGGCTACGTCGTCAATTTTTTCAGCGCAAGAGCGTTTCCCTCCTCAGCGCAAGTCTCCAATGCTCTCGGTGCGTTAGCAGTCGGCGTTCTGGGAAACCTCTATTCGCGCATACGCCATGGGCTCGCCGCAGCAGCTTTGCTACCCGCTATTTTTGTTCTGGTTCCTTCGGGGCTTGCGGCTTCGGGTTCCTTGTTGGAGGGAATTAGCCGTGCGGATCAGATCACGAATACTTCGACATATGCGAATGGTAGTTCAAAGGCCTATCCGACGGCACCTGTGAGTCATTTCTAACTTTCTCGCCAGACATTTGTTCGAAATGAAGGACCCAAGAGAGAATATATCGCTAACATTATTTTCATCCTAGTCCGCAGACCTCAACAGCATTGTTTTCAATGTTGGGTATAGCATGATCCAAATCGCCGTCGGCATTACTGTGGGTTTGTTCCTTAGTGCTTTGATTGTTTACCCACTGGGAAAAAGGAGGAGCGGATTATTTAGTTTTTAATGGCTCGACTTTAGTCATCTAGAGGGCGTATAATTGTTAGCGGGGTTGTTGTTGTCTTGGGAATAGCAAGCGGGTCGTGTACAGCGGATGCATAATGATTGAATTTTAGCATTGCATTGGGCCGGGGCGTTTTGGATATTGGCATACACTTTAGGGGAATTTGCCATCCTTGTGGCATGACATTAATAGAGGACGATGCGAAGAGTCAGGAGAGAGATGAGAGTTACTTTGGGTCTGTGTTTGTACTTAGCAGAAAAGATGACGGTACGGGGACAAGGAGTCGTTTGTATGAATTCTGTACCTGGCAACAGGACGATGATACAGCTATCTGGCCTATCTACACAAATTAATAGAACGGTGTCAGATATGTACAGTGCCATTGGACATGATTTTCCAAACATATTATATTTTGCTGTGTTGCGTGTGTGTTCATGTAGACGGATAGTGACTCAATATTTACTCTAATGTATAATGTGCTGTGTTCGTTCCACCAGTGCCCCTTGTTTCCGCCCCTAGCTAACTTATTAATGGTGTTCTCATTTGTATGCTCTCCTGTTCTTGATTGCTTTGGAATTATCATAGGCAGACGCCAAAACGCCATCGCCTAATACAAACGAGAACAGGTAAAAATATTAGCAAAAAAAGAGAGCAGGAAAAAAAGGGTTTTAGCAAAAAGAAATCGATAAAAAAATTAGCTGGTCGCTGGGGATTGAGCCCAACGCGGGGGTCGAACCCGCAGCCTTGAGATTAAACTATTTTCCGGGTTCTTGGGAAACCCTTCTATGTATAAGAGTCTCACGCTCTACCGATTGAGCTAGCCGGGCGAGTTTTGCTTGAATTTTGAGACAAAACTGCCTATTTCGATCTATAAGGGAAGAAAGATGTGTGGGTCGGGTGTGGATTTTCCTTCGTTTGGGCGGGCCGGGCAGAGTTTGCAACTTGAAAAATCTCCAGACTGGATATACATAACTTATATTAAAGAAATTTGTAGGGAATTGGAAAAATTAAGAATTGGTCTTGGAGCACATGTAATGTACTGTAATTAAAAGTATTATACCTACATAGATACTCAATGTCGGAGGTCAAAAAATTAGAATGCATCACGTGCAATGGACGCGTCTGGCTGATTTTGTCGCGCGTCATATCCCCACTTGTACAGCCTCATCAACACTTGGACCTAATCCCATACACCAAACCCTCAAACCATGGCTAGCACCTCGAAAACACCCACGATAATCGACCTCAAAACCTCCTTTCTCCGCAGCCAAATACTTGGCCTCTCCGCCCCTCTAAAACCCTCCCAAGACTTCCTCTCCTCCAACATCTCAGACGAAGAAAACGCCTTGCGTCAAAAGAGTATCGATGAAGCTCTGCTCAAACTCAATACCCTATTGAAAAATCATAACAAAACTGCTTATAGCCCGCAGGCATTGCGACATGTTGCCGAACAGGTCGATCGGCTGTATTGGAATGCCGGTGAGCGGGGTGTGAATGGAGGGGTTTTGGTAGAGGGAGAGGAGTGGGCGGAGAGAGGTGTCGATTTTCGTGAGTTGGGTTCACTCCTGCTGCAGTTCACGAAGCATCCTTCCGGGATTATGTGCGGAAACAGGGACTGAGAGATCGGGTTTGTCGACTAACTACCGAATTCACGCGCAGGAAATGAACGAATTATTGAGAAATTACCGGATTTCTGGAGTGAAGAAGCAGAAGAGAGGGCTCCTGAGAAAGCAGAGAGGTACAAGGAACTACAGCGGAGACTGGTGGAGGCGAACGAGAAGCGCAAGCTTGTTAGGGAGAGAGTAACACATTACAAGGCTCTGAAAGAGCTATTGGTGCCATTTGAGGAGCCGACTGAAAATATACAGGGGAATTTAGTGGTTAAGGATGGGGAAATTGAGAGGGAATTAGAGAGGATGAAGTTGTTGCTCCTAAGGGTTCAAAGGGGATGTAGTGGGCTGGAGCAGAAGCAGGATTTAGATGGAGATGGTGAAGAGATGGACGTTGATGTGGACTTGGAAGGGAAGAGGCGGCTGTTGCGTATACTAGGTGGGGAGTAAGTGTGCAGGCACATTTGAAGTCATTTGATGCCTAACGCCGGCATGAGCTACACGTAAGCCCAATATGCGTCCAGAAATACGGTCCCTGGCGAGATGCTACCAATAGCGCTCTTGCCATTGCCCTCTATAGGAGGTCAATGAAGAGCACATATTCCGCACCAGCAGGGAGAGGGAAGAAGTTATCTTCACTGTTGTGGCGCACGAAGTCTGATGCAAATATGAGAAATTGGAATAGGTATGTTTATAGATGTCCTTTTGTAATATGTTACTGGTGCATCTAGAAAAGTATTCTGACCTATTACCGTCTTAGCTCAAGTCCAAGCCGAAGCCCAGAAATAGCCTAGAGCTATATACTTGAGTTTGACCAAGTGCTGGTAAACTTTTATTTGTGGTAGTGCAACTTGAAACCAGAGTTTTCCGCTCCAAATACTAGCATGTCCTATTATCTTTTGTTGTTTATGCACAAAGTTATGAATTGACTTTCCGGCAGCTAATTGGATAGTGTCCTACATTCTCGGTGGCTATCTCTAAACCGCTTGCGGTAGTTACAACTTACATTTAAGTAAGGCATCATAATACTATTTACACGCAGAAGGAGGAGGAGCAGAGCGAAGAACTCCACGAATTCCAAGCTCAAATGCGGAGAAGAAACAATAGAATATGATCAGAAGACGAAGACGATACCACAAGAGATTTGGACTCTAGCTCGATGTATTATATAAGGTACTGAGAGTATTGTTGAAATGCAACCTCCCAGTTTAAGTCACGAAACTACCTGTGTAGACTTGAGTTGCTATAGCACCTATAAATATCTCCATAACTACTTCAATTCGGTCGGTTAGGCCTGTTAATTCTACATATATTAAAAGAATAAACGTCTTAAATGGCTACATAAATATATTCGATTATCTCGGCTTTCGTTTAAGGCTGGACACCAATTTCTGGTGCAGTTTTACATCGTTTCACACTGTGCCACCATTTTACCCTAACAGTTTTTAACAATAGCAATACACTGCCTGAGATTCTACAGCTAGTCAAATGACTGCTGAGTCTAGAGTTCCTTAACCATTAAACGGCTTGCAATGGTAGGGCTGGTTTATCGACAATATTATGTGCTTCTAGATTTGAAAATCGTGGAACAATAGATGTCTCAGAGAAATTGAGATATTGGGCGAGAAATAGGAGAAATAATTAGACCAGTTCATGGCGGGGCGTCGGGTGAATGTCGGTGAATCACCCATCCAGCTTACTAAGCGGGGAGTCGCGGCGGATTGTGAGTATTTATGAAGTCACGTGAATGTATTTCACCACACTGGACCTCGGAAAAACATCAACCCGCGCCGAAATATCGGCATTAACAACCTCCGACCATGGCTTCCAACATGACCAGCGCTGCTCCAGATACTGCTTCTGCTACAGCTTCAGCTTCAGCTTCCTCGTCCTCCAGTCCTCTCGAAGTGCCAGCCATCATTCTGACTCCTCCGACTCCCCCTCCGACTCCGCGTCCAGCTCGTGGTCGCGCTCGATCCCGTGCTATCAGCTCAGCAAACCCCCTTCTCGAGCCTGTAACGCCGGAGGAGGAAAGTGTCGCCTACCTTGCTCGAGTGATCAATAGTGAGCGGGAAAGGGAAGCTGCTTTATTTCTTCTCAATCCCGGCAGCCCAGAAGTTCAGCGTGGTGTCTCTCCGGAGCGTGAAGCTTTCGAACGCGCGCAGCAACGGAGCGGTGTATTCCAACCAGGAGGATACCGGGGCACGTCCTTGACCTCTCATCGTCGCTTTCGATCTGACACCGAGGGAAATCCACACCATAACCAGACAGATCTGCTTCGGTTTCCGGCTCCAACTGACCCCCAATCAACCGCACAATATACGCGTGCATCAGCCCTACGATACCTAGCTGGACAACCTGGAATTGGACGTTCATCCCCCCAAAATCTAGTCCTTACAGGTACAGATACCGATACCACACCTTCTACACCCACCGAACCTCAGTATCCTTCCCCGACTCACCCCAATCCTCGAGCTCTCCTAGTCGACGTTCCGGATTTCCCAACAGACGTCTTCGAGGACCAGCACAGCCCGCCTAGGGTCGCTGCAACTATCAACCGGCCCAGAAGAATGAACTCCCAAAATTATATCGATACGCCTCAGGGCGGATCAAACCCTCGCCAAGCACCCCCTTCCCCATCTCAAGGAATGGCCCATACCAATGGCATGAACGGTGGCATGAGCGCTGGCAATGGCCTCGTTGGCTACCCCACTCCTGCTGGCCATCAGTCAGATCTGAATTACGTGATGTCTATGGTGGAGGAACTGTCTGGCATTCTCCGAATCAATCAACAGCTCACTGCGAGCGTGGTTGACAAGATGGGGAAAGTCCGTGAAAAGGCCAAGAATACCAACCTTAGCAATGATGAACTCATCCAAGCTGTCGCTGATGAGATGAATGGTAAGTAGTCCCCTTCTCTTCTCCTCGCAACCGAATCTGACCTATATCACAGAGGATTCTGAGAATCTCGAGAAAGATAACTCCGAGCTTCGAAAGGCATTGGAGAAGTCTGAGAATAACAAGAAGGAGAATTGGAAGCTTGCAGTCCACGGTGCAGAGATCCTTGCCGATATCGCAGAGAAGATGCATCGATTCAAAGAGCAGCACGAAGCTGACACCCTGGCGTGGCACAAGAATTACCGGAAGCAGCTAGCTGATGAACGCGAGGAGAATCTCAATCTTCGCAATCAGATCAATGACATGAAAGCTGCTGCCTGCCGAGCAAACGAAAGCCTCCGCCAGATGCGACGCTACGTTACTGACAACGATAAGTGGCATGAGATGAAAGTTGAGAACCATCATCTTCGGACGGAGAAGAGATTCTGGAAGAGACTGGCTTTGCCATTGATCCCAGATGATGATTCTGAGTGGAGTGACGATGATGATCTCATCGACCCGGAGGAGAAGCAGCGCGAGATTGCCAAGAAGGAGAAAGAGCGGAAGGATAAGGAGGATGGTGGAAGTGGTGAGGACGGTGATCAGGTCTCTTAGAGAGATACCCTCGAGAACTGTATTATGGAATTGCTTTGCATTGTAGGAGTTAGATACCCAAAGGCGTTTATACGGTCCGCTATGCCTTCATTTTACATCGCGGCGATGGGTCTGCATCATAACAGCAGCAGCTGAAGACTGCAAATAAACTGAGCTTTTACATTGCCTCTGGCCTAGTACACTTATGCGGGTGAGGTAGTGCATAAGGCACTGTCATGTCTTGGCTTCAGTGGAGAGGCGAATGCCTTGTAGCTCAACTATAAAACGAATATTCCTAGATTTGCTATTTGCAATTTGGCTATTTAGAGTCTGAGCCTAGCCCATATCAGAGCGTTTCCTGATTACGCAACAAGCTTTCGAGCAATTGACAAGATTCAGTACTCAAATATTCTACTGCCCGCTCTGCTTCATCATTCTAACCAACATCTTAAACCCCTCCTGCCTCTCCCTCTCCCACCCCTCATAATGCCCCTTTATGATCCCCACGGGAACTCCCTCACTCCCCTCACACAGGCCCTTCCATGCCTCCTCCGTAAACTCCCCAATTGGAATTCCTACTCTTCCGCCACCCTTAATATCCGGCTGATGCTTCTCATCATGCAACTCCGTCTGCACTGCTGGTGGCAGGATTTCTACAACCTTCACATTGGACCCAGAAAGCTGTTCACGGAGGGAGAGGATGAGGTGATGCATTGCGGCTTTGGTAGCGCAGTAATTGGGATAGCGTGGGAAGGGAACCAGTGCTAGGCCGGAGGTTACGAATATCAGAGCCGTTAGAGTGGGCGCGAGGGACTGTAGGTGGGGGAGGAGGTGCGTGAAAAGGTGTATATGCGAGAGGTAATTAGTTGTTACCTCGAGATCAAGCATATTTAAATCCACAGTCTCCGGTTTGGTGAAATCAAAGCCTCTCTGGATTCCTGAGTTGAGGATCACGCTGTCTAACTTTGTGTGTGCTGCTGTGACTCTTGATATTGGAAAATTAGTAAAATAGGTTCTAAGATGAAGGAGGAGAGTATCGGATGCATACGATTTCACAAAGTCGGGAATGCCTTGAAGATTTGTGATATCGAATTGAAAGATAGTGACCTTGTTGTTGCCGTATTTTTGGACTAGATCATTCAAGTTCTCCTTTCTTCTCCCGACCGCTATCACATGAGAGCCAATGGCTATGCATTTTTCAGCCAAAGCTAGGCCAATTCCACTCGTAGCCCCTATAACAAGTACCGTTTTGTACGGGAACGACATTTTTGGATCTCTGTTGTGAGGGCTTTGTGGACTTTTGTTCTTGTTGTGTTCTTGAGGGGTCGTACTTGCAACTTGTCGTGGAACCTGTGGTTGTATCTTATAGTTGATAACTCTGTAAGATGGGCGAATAATCCGCCGATGAAACCCCTCATGCTGATATCATTGGATATATGAATTAAAAGCCTCCCAAAATTGGAGGTGTTTTCGCAATATCCGTTGCAAACGGCGGACGATCGGATTTAAATGGTCTCTGGCCGCGGACCTTGAACCCCTATTATTATAGCTGCTAGTAATGACTGATTCGTGGACCCTGATGCACCCAGTCACTCCGTACCATTTCATTTATAGTGGTAGGATGTGCCTTCAGTGTGCAAGAAAATGGATATCAAGCATAACGATTGGGAAGTGTTAGGTCATCGAGTCTATGAAAGACAACTATCTACTCTTGTTATATTTCGTTAGCCCCCAAAGCAATTAAGCTCGGTATATCGTATGTACTCCAATACAAACCCCATTAAGCATCTTACTTGAACGGTATACTATTCTAGTAGCCTCAACTGAGAAATGGATATCACAAAGTGGACGACCGATGATAATATAATTCATGCATTGCAAGAGTTGTCTCCGTATCTACATACTCCGTCTTTCGTTTCTCGCATTGTACCGTATTCCTTCTCTCATGGCTCATCCACTGATTTCCGCGGTCTCAGAACCCAAATGTCTTGGCAGATAGAAGGTGCACCGGCTCGTGATGTGGTCGGAGAAACGAATCTAACATAATAAAGACTTTTTTAGACAGACGACATCAACTTGATCCTGGCCAACTCCATTTAGGTATGAACGCCATGAGGATGGTATGAAATCGGATAGAAACACCATGAAAAGGAAAACTTCCCGTCCAGAGAGCCGACCGAAGCACAGATGGCTAGAGACTTGTGACGGGTAAAGCTGCAATGAAACGATTCACAAATCGTACATGTCCCAGCCATCCAACTGCTTCACAGTGCTGGGGCCGTGAGAGCGGGCTCCGAGATCAATACTTTGTGCTTCGCCTTTGGGATATTCAATCCTCAACTCCTCGTCGAGTCACAACTCATCATCATCAAGCTCAGCGGGTTTCAGCAAGCCGCCAACCTTAGACAAGCGTTCGCGCTCCGCCGCCTTAGCATCTCTCTCTTGTTGCTCCTTTTCGTCTGCATACAGCTCAGCATTATCTCCCGCAAATTCCTTCAATTGGATAAGGAAATCGCGGAGGTTAAGCTTGAATCGATCGTAGGCATTGTTGAGAGTAAACAGGCCCTCCACAAACGCCTTGATTTGAGTTCTGAATAGGGTTAGTCTATATATTATCAATGATGGATACCAAGCGACTTACGGTTGCAGGTTAGGGAAAGCATTCTGCAACAAGTTTGCCACGAAGCCACCCAAGAATTCCTTGTTACTGGTACCGGCAGCCGCCTGATCTGGAGGGTATATCGGTCCCTGGATTTTAGCCGCCGTTCCATCGGCAGGAGAAACGAGGTAGAACATGCGCGATAATAACATGGACTGCGATTTGAAACCAGCTTTGTGATCCGTGTCAGTAAGAACGAAGAAGATGTCTTGCAGAATGGGTATATAGAATTGCTGGAAGAAGGCGTTTGATGTCGCGGGATCAGCCTCCGCAATATTAGTGATCAATTCTAGACACATGTTGAGACCAGCATATTCGACCTCGCGATTGTCATGCTTGCTGGCCCACATGCAAGAGTCGATGACAAACTTGAACTGTCTGTTATCGAGTTTGAGAAGAGCTTTGAGTATGTTAGCTTGAACTAAGGCCACTGTTACAGGCTTAACATACCGGGGAAGCAATGCATGTTAACAGCGCGAAGCAGCGTGAAGAATTCAACGCGGTGCTCAGGGAATTCAGAGAAGTCCTTGTTGATCATCTCTAATGTGCACTCAAACACATTTTCCATGATCGTAGGTACTTGATCTTCCATGAGAGACTAGGAGGCAAGTTAGCAATGTTCGGTGTGGGATGCCATGATTTTCTGACAACATATCTCCAGCTGGAGTGGGGGATGCACCACGGAGTATTTTGAGCGATGTGGGGTCCAACGTACAGAGAGTTTGGATATGATTGCAGATATCACCTTCAGAACCTCCGCATCTCGTGCATTGGGTACATTTCGATTATAATCGACAAGTATCGCATCTAGCAGAGCTGGAACAATGTTTGTTCGAACCATCTCAAGATCATCAGCTTTCTCGACATATGTTTCGATGAGCTTCAGGATCTCCTTCTTGATTGTTCTTAAACCGCGAACCTTGGGCATCTTGGTTGCAATTTCACCTATATTGTATTAGCTCGCTTTGATAGTCTCACGGGGTATACATACCTTCACGAGCAACAGCCTCCGAGATCATTTGACTAGTGGCGCGATACATCGATAGCATATCCAGGTAGATCCGACCGATCTGGGGATAGAAGTAAGATCCGATCGATGAGCAAGCCGACACGTTCGTCTTCATGACATTTCCGACAACTTTTATCGTATCTGAGTCTTGCAGGACTTGGGGATTTGCTGTGGCTTGTTGAATTATGGCATCCCAAGCGGCGTTGGGATAAGACATTAACTCCGCGATGAGTCTCTCCTGAGCATTCTTTTGAGGCTGGGCTGCAATCATGTAGCCACAGGCTTCATAGAAGGTATGAACTTGCTGTGGCGAAAGGTCACATGTGATCTTGCGCATGTTTCTGACAATTTCCTCGATGAATGGCTCAACCTCCCCGGGTTGAAGAGCGACGAAATGCCTCTTGCATTGCCTGGCAATCTTAATGAATGTGTCGCAAGCCATGTCCTGAACGCCCTCGTGGGATTCGTGCATGAACTCGAAAAGTTTGTTGACAACTGTCTTCAAGAACTTCCAGTGCGCTTTCAAGAACCGAGGGTATTGGCCGACGATGTACATGATGTTACTGGCCACCACAGCCTTATTGTCTTTTCCTTTCTTCATCTCTGTCAACCCAAGCAGATCTTTGATAACGGTAACAAGGAAGCGCTTTTCAGTTTCTTCATTCATCGCTAGCGATATAGAACCGATGGCCCAGCACAAGGTGTTGCAGTTTGCCCATGACCATTCGGAGCCATCGACTTGGCGAACAAGCTTTTCGGTCATGATATTCTCTGTATCCACGACATCCAGATGTGTCAAGTAAACAAGGCACTCTCGAGTGGTTTTGTATAGCTGGATAGTATCAGTCTCCTTCACAAACTCCCTGACAATTTCTCCTTCGTCGTTCTCCACAATCAATACTTCCTCCGGCCGGACCATTTTCTCGATCATGACGACCCTGAGGTTCGAAAGTACCTCGTTGTACTTGTGTTTCCGGAGAGGATAATTGGCAAGCAAGCTCGGATTTGGCGCTCCCTGGTTCGAGAGCCCACCAACACCCATGTTCAGGAGTGGATTAACGTCGGTAATGGGAAGTGATTGCATCTCCTCGTAGAGTTCCTGAACAAGCTTGGTCCAGTATTCTAAGCAGATCTTAAAGATCTCACGATCCTCGATTTGGGAGATTCGAATGAGATAGAAGTGGGCATGTGTAAGGAAATCTCGGTTTGGGAGGTTCTCGATGAGCTGTTGAAGCAGTTAGCTAAGAAATCATAAAAATAATGGTTCACAAGGACTTACGGTTAGGTGAACACTGAAGAAATTAGTGAGGAAAAGAGCAAGGTTTTGGATGAACTCTTGATCCCTCGAGTTACTCGAAGTGTATGTAGATTTGAGATCGAGGGAAAGAGGGATGATCTTGGATATTGATGTTAAAACCTCGGTGAACATCTGCACGAGCTTCTCATCATATGCATTCTGTTGACCGGTTTGCAAGCCCCCAATCTCGGTTAAGCACTTGAGTGTTATGTTCCGGAATTCGGGCATCTCCAAAAATCGTGTTCGAAGCGTATCGATAATCGGGGTCTCGAAGATATAACCAAGTGGGATCCAGTTGAAGAAGCAGAGGAGAGTTTCCAATGTAGCTCTGATCAAACTGACTTGGGTGGCACTGTTCAAAACCTCGTTGCAAAGTTGGAAAATCGAAGAGAATTCCGCACACATTGTGGTCTTAAGGTTCTTTGTTTTCGTAGAGGTCATTTGGTCGGCCGAGTAATCGAAAACCTCCTCAGACAATAGCCGTAGAATAGCCATGTTATTCTCGCATATCGAGAGACTCGTGTGGCAGGAGGAAATAATTTCGTTGATGAATGTGGGCCAGTTGTGAGGCCACTCTTGCTTAAGGATTGAGACGAGGACGAGATTGAGCTTGTTTAAAAGGGTTCGCTGGGATTTGAGCGATTCTTCGGAGGTCGAGCACTGTATGATGAAGTTGACGACAAAATTACGGATGCCTAGCACTTAATCAGTCCCGGTAACTCATATCGTAGAGAAATATATTCACCTTGGCGCTGCTCTTTTGGTAAGACCTTCCATCTTGTCATAATAACGTGGTCAAGGACTTGCAGACCGAGGTCTGGAATTTGTCAGCAACAGTATCAACTCCACGACAAGGAAGAGAACACACATTTCATCTCCGGATATGTAGAATCCTGCAAGATCTTGTCGACCAGTAGCCAGGCATCTGGATCTTCCTTGAACTATAAGAATTGTCAGCGGGCGCAGGCAAGACAGAATGGCCTTAGCGCAAGAGATCGTACCTGGTTGAGCTGAGCCTGGGCAGCTTGTCGCTATGGATACAACGCGTCAGAATATACATCTTACAAGTACACAGGAAATAGTTGGACTTGAGGCTTCTCACCCGCTGAGGTTCACCTCCGCCTTCGTAGAACGTGCGAGCTATCACGTCGAGCTCTTCTATGGTTGGAGCCATCGTCGCCGCCTGATGTCAAGCTATCTAACCTTCACCACAGCGATGGAGAGTTCCGCAATTCAACCCTTGCGTGTATACAGCTCTAGTGGTAGGAGTACAATTTCTTGAGAGGGGTGTTCGTGTTTAAAATGCTTTCACGGTCGGTCGTACGTGAGGTGGATGTTGGTATTTGGTGGGGCAGTAGTGAGGCTGGAAGAGGCTGCTGATTCAGGTTGGGTCGGGTCGGTCAGTCGGCACTAGCGGCAGTCACGTGTACCCTGAGGGTTCGCCAAATGCCAAGACCATTGATTACCACACAGCTGGGAACAACTTCAACAACGACATGGAGGGAGGCGCCAACTAACTACCTAAATTATCGCTCTTTATCACATTTATGAGTATTGCATCCTGTCTTGGAGCCAATCCTAGAGGTCTAGTGGCTGTGCCTTGGCCTGTGGCTATTTGGACTCTTATTTATTCAACGTTCGAATACTCGCGCTGCCAGAATATGTGAAATGTACAGGCGAACGGTACATACAATGATACCTGCATCTTCTGCTATGCTTGCGCTTCCGCAGCACGATATAGGTGTGTCTGATACTGCTCCCCGACGTTGCAGACTTCTTAGAGTTAAGACTATACCTTGGTCGATCTGGGTTAACACACCTCACTGAGGTCTTCAATGCAGCCTGGTCTCCATATATTCGAAAGGGAATAGCACGGTAAATATAAATATTTGTCTATATATTCAACCAAAAGTCTTCCCTCCCCAAACCAACCATCATTAACAGCCTCAATGAAGGGTCATTGTTCCTAGACAAGTGCCAGGACCGGGATATCCCGACCTCTCCTCCAAGACTAGTACGTAAGAGGACCCTGATTATAACTTTATCTCACAGAAAGATGTCCAAGCGGATATATTGACATTCGGATTCCCATCCCTCTACAGGAATGCAACAAGCAACCCCGACAGACTTGCGAATCCCACCACATATTTCGCCATCTGGGTGGCACTCATATCGTTGCCGCCATTCGTGGTGACCGGCTTGGCAGTGCTAGACGCCGTTGCATTTGCAGGCTTAGATGAGCCACCTGCTGTGGTGGAGGATTTGACAGAAGATGTGACGGAGGATTTGACGGAGGCGGTAGTCGACTGGCCTACGGAGGAAGAGTTGGCAGGCTTCGTGGCGGCCGCTGAAGCTACGCGGGTCGAGCTGCTAGAATGCGATACGGATGAGGATACTACGGACTGATAATCGATATAATTAGCATGGAAACTATGTTGCCATCGATCCTCAGGTAGACATTCTGTTAGGGCGATAATGGGGTGGACTTACAGAGTTCTGGGCCATGGCACCAGCCGCAACGCAGACCACGAGGACAGATGAGAGACGCATTTTGAAGAGACTCAAAGAGGACTTTGGCAAATAATTTCTTGGTGCTTGGTTTTTTACTCGAGGATTTCCACAACGAGTGACTGGTTGCAAGAATACATCTTGGGCTTCCGGCCTATATACCCACCACGTCCTACTTATTGCATTTTATCTCAGCTTCCAACCATTACGCCAGACTCACAGGATTAGCACGAGATGGGTCCAAAGCAGAATTGGCCACTTCTAGACCCGCCATTAATAATTGGTTGGGTATCCTCGAGCGTGTGGAATGCAGCATGGTTTTCTAGCCGCATTAGTATTGATCGTGTTAATATGCATATAGGATCTGGACTTTGGAGTATAATTTCTTCACATCGAGGACATCCCACTCCCCAAAGAAGGAACTCTAGTGTTAAATGGGGACAAGCTTTCCTTGGTGCTGCTTCTGCGGCTGAGCGAATGCTTGCACCTCACCAAATCCATGGGCATTATTGCGCCACAATTTATTCAGTGAACGCCGTGGCTGTACCCATGTTGTGGTCTAAACTACGGTGACTGGTCAAACGAACGGGCAGGAGAGACATTCAATGCGGATCAAAGGCAAAATCACATCTGGACGCAATCGCGCCAATCTATTTCATCATTTGGAGAACGTGGAACCTGGCTAGAGAGGGTCTATGCAGTTGTTATTTTTCTTTTTGGGTTTGGTAACATCTAAAACCGTGAAGTTGTTCTATCTATCGAGTTTCTATGCCTTTTGGTATCCTACATCCGACAATCCAGTTTCCAGAGCCTTAATGGCGTGATCAATATCACCCCGTTTGGCATCGGTCTAAATGTTCGTTAGCTAGTTACCTGAAAATGAAATCACGAATCGAGTAGTAACTTACCACACTAACACCCATATGGCCGAACCGGATGTATTTTGGTGCAATCTCCTTGTGTAGACCCCCAGCAAAAACGACACCCTTCTTGAACAAGCTTGGCAGCAGCTGCTGAGCAGTGACGTTCTCGGGAAGGTATATGGCGGTCATTCCGTTGGCTTGGTCGGCGGGGTTGGAAGCGAGCTGTTTCAAGCCGAGATCAGCCACGGCCTGCTTGATTTTTTGAGATGTTTCCCGGTGGATTGCGAAGCGCTCGGATAGTGGCTTGGAGAGTATTTGTGTCAGTGAGGTGTGGAGAGCGTGGACAAGCTGTGGTGAAGGAGTAGCAAAGTATGAGGGCTTCTTGGCCTCGTAGTTTTGCATGACTGTAAAAAAGTGTGAGCTTCATGCTGACCAGCAAATTGGGGAAAAGGTGATGACATACTCGGTAGCCAGTTCTTGAATGATGCGAAGTAAGAGGCAGGTGGGGTCTTTCTGTTCTGGAACGCCTTGATCGCTCGGCCACTGTACATGGCAATGGACAGTCCTGCGGGGACTCCGATGGCTTTCTGGCTGGCTGTGATGACACCGTCCAATTGCCATTTGTCAAACTCGATCTCCTCGCAACCAACACTGCATACGCCATCCACAATAAGCAATGTCTCGGGCGAGACTCTGCGGACTAATTCTGACAGCGACTTAAGTTCACTAAGGACACCAGTTGAAGTATCGACATGGGTAACCGTCAACAGCTTATATTTCTTCTCCTTCAACGCCTTTTCGATTTCGGGGAGTTGGGGTCTTGAGCCGATGGGGGCCTTCAGCTGTGTTGCATTCACTCCATAAGTCTGGAAGCAATCGGCGAACGAGTCTGCGAAATATCCGGTATGTAGGACCAAGACATCGTCACCAGCCTCTGCCAGATTCGCGGCCACAAAATCCCAGCCTAGAGTACCGGAGCCAGAGATAACGAAAGGTTGTGCAGCAGGATCGGTGGTTTGGAAAAGCTTTCTCAGCATCGAAAGCGTCTCGCTGAAGGTTGCAACGAAGGCAGGACCGACATGGCTCTCACTGTCGAGGCATCGAGGTTAGCATTGGGAATAACGGGCGCTTCAAAGACAGAAACAAGACCTGGAGGTCATTGAAGACTCGGAATGCTCACCTGTAATGGCTCATCGACTGCAGCACGGCATCGTCAAACTCGATTGGGCCCGGGATGAGCAACGCGGGGTGGCTGGGCTGGTTCGACATTTTTGGCTTCGAGGATTGAGAAGCTGAAGCTGAAGTTGAAGTTAAACTGCGACGATGTTCTGTGCTACGACTAAGAGCAACTGAGGGTTGCGGACTCAGATGTCTAGATATCACCGACAAGCGTTGGTGAGGAGCGTGGGCGTGGGGCGCCAGCTTGGGAATGGCGGGGTAACGCGAGAAATAATAGGAGCGACGGTGAGCCGAGTCGGGCAAAGATACGCACGCTGGATTCGCGATACTGATCAATGGCACAGGTGTCTTGTCCGGCTTCAGGACCGGACGCAACACGGAGGGTACATATAGGCGTGTCCAACTCATTCTCACTCATCCCATTCTTCCAGCAGTTCGGACGGGGTTCTGTGGCGAGCGTGCGTATTCGTGTGCTCGAACCCTAAAGAGAGTCCTAGAGTGCTAGAGTCCTAGAGCTTTGGGGATCTACGGGGGGGAAGCTCCGCCAGTGGTGGTAGGGAGGGTTACTTGGTAAGGGGAGAAGAAGAGCTGGTACTTCGTCCGTAGGTGCTGGCACTGGTAGTTGGTAGGTACCTTGCCTTACGACACGCTGGGCACGGCACCTCGCCAGCGCTGGAATAATAATACTTCGCCGCTGATTAGGCCCTCGGCCCCACAAAGCAGGCCCCCGTAAAAGCCCGTAAGCCCCTAAAGCCCCTCTGGAGTCGGAGTCTGGAGTCTGGACACGTCCCAACAGCGTCCAACAGCGCCGCACTCGCAGGCCTGGGCGTCGGCATGATGATGCCGACTCGGCTTTAACCCGGCGTTCGGCGCCAAGGTACGTCGTCCTTGAGTGCCTTACGTAGCTGCGAATGTAGCACCAAGGACTCCGTCGCCTACATAGGTAATTCCAACGCCCATGCACTCCAGTCAAGCATTGCCAACATCACCAAGGGAAATGCTGTCTTAATAAGTGCCATCAAGCCGCACCATTAATAGAGGTCTGCGATTCCGATTCCGATCCCGGGACCTACCCTTCCAGAGATGGATTAAGAAAGATGGTGGTTTGACCCCACGGCTTGCTTGTATGGGCTCCTTCTGGTAGCTGCTACCTACCCAGTAACCAGTAAGATGTAAGTCAATAGTTTACGGGTCAACCGAGGAGCTCAGCTAACGGCCGAACTCTGAGCAAAGGATATATGCTTATGCAGTCCCCACGAGGTCCATGACATCAACCCCATTGCCGCTGGAGCGTTCATTTCTTTGTACTGAAATGCCAGACTATCGGCTGAGCCTTTACGACGTTTGGCTGCCACTATGCCCCATTGTGATGAGCACTACCCAATACATGGTCTGGCCAAAATAGTAAGCAAGATACAACCAGGAGTGGCCGATGGTATCATAGAAACATATCACCATGATGATGCTGGTAGACGACCCATGATAGTTTCACGTCCGCGGTGCCACCATAACCAAGACACTACCCTACAGTCTGCGGCTCTCACAACAATATGTACAATTCCCTCCACTCGCCGCTCATACGGTCTGTCTTACGAGATGAACTAGACTCAACTATGAGATGGTCTTGGCAAAGTTGCCAAATCGATGGCTTCCCAACCGACAGAGGTTGTATGGAATCGCAAGAGGGGCTTCAGATACATCCGAGGTATTTTGGAGAAATATTGGCCATCCAATCTTAATGGGCGGGAAGCTACACGAAGAGGGCACGATGTCTGATCAAGAGCTGAAGATATATTGCCCGCCACAGTGCAAGTCTCGAGAACAGGGTAGCTGATGGTCCGCACGGCTGGCTTGCATGCTCCCAACCGTTGTGACGAGCTTACAAGATTGGCCAGTCCTGTCAAGTATTTGGGGTTGAAATGAAACATTGGATATTCTCAGTAAGTCAGAAACTGGCCCCTTGCTGTCGCAGGCTCAACTGCCAAAGTTTGGTTTCGGAATCCAAGTGCGATGCCCACCAGTAATCCGTCCAAGATCAGATTCCCCGCGCGCTGTGTTCCGGAGACCCAAGTATAGCTATACTTGTGGGTAGCAAGGCGCATGAACTTCTCCATTTTTTTTCAGGTAGAACTGAGGGAATGCACACCTCCTTCCATCTTCAATGATTGAAAAACGTCGACACGGCGACATCTTAATTCTTAGGTCTAATTTTCTAAAATTAGCTCCTCTACCAACCTTAACACGGTTTACTGGCCTAGGCCGCCGTCATCCTGAAATTGAGCGTCGTGGCTCTCACATGTCTTCTTTGTCTGTTAGCATTCCTGCTGCTTCCCTCCTCGACGGGAGGCTTGCTGCTCGCTTGTTAAGAACAATATCAAGCATCCGAACCACGTGGTTTAGCGAGCAGCCACATCCCCCTTTCGGCTATGATTGTTCAACTCCCTTAGTATTATACTTCCACTGCACTATGCTTTCAGATCCACATTCAATTATGGCGCAAATTCTGCCCTCTGGTTGGCAACAATATAACGTGGCCATTGTCTTAGGTCATTATCTCGCGCGCACCGCCCAAGGCGAGGTCGCTATAATATCAAGAGACCCATTGTCATCTACAAGCAACATCATAATACCCACACCTTCACCCAGTAATACCAATACAAGTTACAGTACTTTGTACACTTTCAACTTCGTTCTCTACCACGATTTTACATCCCTCTCTATCCTACCTCGTCCCTCTCCCAGGCAACGTACATCGCTCTTTGAGGATACCTTTCGGTCACACTTACATCAGCCTTCGAGCACTCGACCCGACCTTCCTCATACCGCCTTGGAACATCCTCTCCAACAGCTGCCCGGTCCTCAAAGGCACCCGCAACAACTTTCCATCCTACACCTTCCTTAACTTGGACGACATCCGGCTGGCTCCTTCACTCGTCCAAGCAGTCCTCTGGCTTTCTGTCATCAGATTGTCCGTATCGAACCTCCAAAGATGTCTCAATTCGACCCCTTTACGCAAAACATCACCATACTTATGCCTAATGGCAACGGCACAGGAACAGTCCCATTCAACATATCCATCCCAACGATCGATCATTCGTTCTACTACGCCGTCTCTGTCAGCATGTGCTATGGCTTCCAGATTGGTGCATGTATGATGATGCTCCTAATGGTACTGCTACTGACCAAACGCACCAAATACAAGTCACCGGTGTTCATTTTGAACGTTGTTGCTTTAGCCATGGCAGTGGCCTCCCGGGCACTCCTTGCAGTCTTCTTCCTTTCCTCCTGGTATGAATTCTATGCGTCTTCTACCAGCGACTGGAGCAGGGTCACAGACTCTGCCAAAGCGACCAGCGTTGCCAGCGCAATTGTACCGCTGTTGATTACCATCTTGGTCAACTCCTCCCTGGTCCTACAGACGAGAGCAGTCGTGATCGGAGTTCGCCCCCTCTACCGCCACGGAATCATTGCTATATCGGTACTTGTCCTGTTAGTGGCCGTGGGTTTCCGTTTCACGGAGATGGTCACCAACGTTCGGGCCATACTTTACCTAGAAACGTTCGACAGTTGGGTTTGGCTTATCAAGGGTTCTCTTGCCGCGGAAATGATTTCGATATGGTTCTTTTGCTCCATCTTCACTGCAAAACTCGTTGCCACAGTAGTTGCTCGGAAGAAATTGGGTTTGCCACCATGGAACCCTATGTATGTTCTTGCAGTGGCGGGCGGATGCACAATGTTCGTCCCTGGTATGTCCGACCCCTTGAACCTCACCAAGATCTTAGTTAATATTGAATAGGGATTTTTGCCATTGTTGAATGTATTAACCCACCCAACTTCCCAGAAGCCGGCTCTTTGGCAGTCATCACAGTTGTCATTCTCCTGCCACTTTCCAGCCTGTGGGCACAGTCGAACACCGTCAACCAATCAGTTCCCCTCAACATCCAGCAACAACTGTGGGCTTCGAATTCATCAAGAGGCGTAGTGTGTACCTGTGGTGGAAAGTCTACAAATATGTCAATGTTTCCGTCATCGGGCACTTCAGCAACGTACAGTTCCGTTGTCAGGACTGGCCATCATGAAACTCCCCGGCGTGATAGCACGGATGCGGATCTCGAGTCTATGGGCGTGAGGGTCCATCGAACATTCAGCGTCCGCAGTGCATAAGTGTTAAGGGGAAAGTATCGACGCAAAGTCAACTGCAAATTGGTCACGGCGTTTTGCGATACCTTTTATGATCTTGCCTTGGCGTGGAAAAGGAGTATGAAGGAACAAGCGATGGAAAATGCAATTCACCTGTTTTAGCGGTAGCCGAGGCGTAATTTTCTTCTTGCAAATGGCGGACATACCTACATCGTCCCTGCCTATAATTACACATTATGAGCAGCAAATATAGCACATGCTCTACCCATAACTTTGCGCTGTTATGAGTGCTGAAAATGTGGTGATCAATTGTCACTTAAGTACTTCGTGCCTTCCTAACTTGGTGGGGTGGTGACAATTTGGAAAGGAACAGTCCACATCCTCGGAACAGAACTGCTTTCAACGACACAAAACCAAATAGCCCACCTATAATTTAACTCGTTGGTTCTTATAGCAGTCTTTAAGAGGCACTTCTATCGTCAATCAGCATCTGCGCCTGCTCCACGCAGTATATATGCAAATCCATGACCTAGACCATCACTATTCTCTCGTCGGACACGCATCAATCGCACACTCTATTGCCTCTAGATAAAGTCCTGCAACTATGTCTCACAATGAAACAGAGTCTAACAACGCATCGTCTACTCCAGGGGTCCGTCCAAGCCAGATCCAATTAGAGAGCCTTTCATCACCACCCCACGTCCAGGATACCTCCCATGGATATCCCATTCCTCAGGACTCTTTTGCTCGAAGACCTCGCCGGATATTCTCTCTCATCAGCAGATTTGAAGGCTTGCACAACCTAAACTTCCAGCGCAAGGGAATCCCGCCCACTCAACAGGAGCCGTTGGATAGATGCAGCGGTTCTCCGAGATTCCGGGGTGGAATTTATGGAAGCCAGATAAAGAAGCTGGCCAGAATTTTCGGTCCCGCAAAGGAATCTTTGGAGATTCAGGGGAAGATAGTGTCTGGGAAATCATTGGTGCAGGAAAGAGAGGAGGTCTTCACTTCGCATGATGGTGCTGTAACGCAAGCTTCAGGGGAAAGGCTATAGTACGGTCAACTTCAAGACTCATTATTTTGGCCGAATATAAGAACTTAACATTATGCAGTATATCTGGCGTCTTATCTTCTAGCTCCAACAATGACAAAACCCCAAAAGTCATTGTGTCAGCGTCGAGAGAATTCGCAGTAGGGAGTACCAGGAGGCATACATCAACCAATGACAACGTTGAATATTACAATGGAGGTATGAAATCTCCGTCATGTTTTGTACATCCTCTTGTCCTTGTGGATTCATAACTAGCCTCTGATAGAAATCCCGTCCCCGAACGTCATCAGGGCAAAACCTATTTTTGGGGACATAGCAATTACATCAACTTCTCTTCCTCGTTCAAAATCTGGGTGCGACAAAGGTTACCCGCTTGGTTGTAAGAGATACTCAGCAGATCCTATTAGCAGATATATTTCGACTGTTCCTACTCACGGTGCCCTACCGAGGATACAGAATTTGACATGTAATGACGCTTGGATTCAACATTTCTTCACCCAAACGCCCAGACCAGGAGTCTCAACCAGAGCAACAGCTTCTGCAAACCTTGGTGATGCAACTCAAAGAAGTGGGAGAGTTGCGATACGTGCCAACGACACGCCCTTTCGACGAAGCTCGGGATCTCGAAACAGGATCCGAGCAGGCCCTGTTTGGGACCTTCGGGATCGGCCACTTGCTACAAGGGGTCGGCAAATTCAAAGGAGATTTGGGGATGTTGAGGAATCCCATCAAGTGAAAATCAGTGAGCGCCGACTTGAGAATATCCTCGAGTCCTCCGAAAGCCGAGTTGCGGAGCCATTACTAGAGTCGAAAAGGACAAAACTTGATCTAAATCATGGCAACGTAATGGCGGAAAATAATCAGGAAGGAGCCGTAGCCGCAGATAAGCCATCAAAAGTGGCAGAAACCAAGAAAATGTTGGAGAACCGACGGAGGGTCCAGCCTCGAAGTTTGCGGCTGCCAACAAATGATTCACTGATGAATCCTAGCAGGATATCCGCTGCCCCCAGCAAAACCATCATCGATGATCAACTACTGCCTGTTCCACTAGCACCACCAGATGCTCCACGATTAAGTCGCCAGGAAATATCATCTGTGCCTCCAAGGAAAATATTCTCGGAAATCTCCGCGCCTCACGGCCAGCAATCCATGAATAACTTTTATAACATACAAGGGGTGAGCGAAAGGCGACGGCAAGGAAATAATATCCTTGGGTTGTCTTCTGGGAGAACAAGCGAAGCATATCGTGACATTCCAGAGCGGCCATTGCGCAAGAAAGACAAGCAAGCTGATAGGAATGGAATGGAAGATCGATTATCAAGGGACACAGTAGGCAAGCATGGCAATTGGGCCCCCAAGTTATCATTGGATCAGATGGTTGAAATCGTAAACAGCACGCCTCAGCATAACGACAACTTCGGTAGCCCTACACCGAGAGCTGAGATGGGGGGAATGATTGTTAAAAAAGCACAATGTGGGCTGACACAACCGAAGCCAATGAGAATGGTGGAAAGGAGAAGAATAATGCTATTGTGTAGGGACAAGGCTTGGTGTCACGCAGATAAAGAAAACATGAAGGTTGGGCAGTTGAGAGAGCTATAAGATAGCTAATAATTCTCCAATTACTGTCGTTGGATTAATATTTTGCTCCCAAGGGTCTCCCTACAAGGCCTACGCCAGGAAAATTTATCACTGTGGACGGGCCATCAATAAGTAGCCAAGCCCATACCTCGAGCAATCTTCTTCGCCAGCGCCTTCTTTAGATACCACTCCCTTGCCAGACTCCTCGTCGTCTTCACAAATGTGGCCGGCGTAATCCTACCTCTCTCCACAGCTCTCCCAAGCACAAACAATGCATCTCCCAGTGCTCTCTCCTCACTCACCAGTTCATAAAGCTGGTTCCCGACCACAGTAGGAGCTACTAGAAGCTCGTCCACACTGGGAGCTGTCCGATGTTGGCTTGATTCTATCACTGCATCTGCGTCGTGGAGTGCGGTGTGTGAAATGGTCGCATTGCTCTGCAAGAGCTCGTTTAGAGATTCTAGAGCCTGAACCTCCGCCTGCATGTTTGACAGGGCTTGGAGCATGGCTTTGTGCTGGGATTCTAGGCCCGGGAGACTGGATGTTGTTTGTTGACGAGTGTGTTGCCGTTGGGAGTAGAGTGCTCGTCCGATGTTGTGGAGGAGCATGTCTTTTTCTGGGTTTGGTGGGATGGGTGGTGCGGGGAGGTTGGTGGATGCCTCGGATGGGGTGGAGAGTATTAAGGGTGCATCTATGAGATCTGGAGGGGGTGGAGGTTTTGGCCGCGGTTGCGGTTGCGGTTGAGGACCTTGGGGGAATTGTTGGAATTGCGCTGGTGGGCCGGGGTAAGGTGGCTGTTGCTGGGTATAGGAAGGCGGTGGTCGAGCCTGAGTTAAACCAGCTTGTGAAATTGGATTTGAGGTATAGTGAGTCTGTTGGGGTTGCTGGTATGATTGAGAGTACGGAGGTTGCCGTTGAGGAACTTCCGGCGGTGTAATAGGGCTGACAGGGCTATCTGAGGATTCAGTCCTGCCGGGCTGCCTTGGTGGTAGAGGTAAAGGAGGCACACTTTCGTATCTGAGACTACTACTTCGTTGTGGAGCATGTGAATAGCCCCTTGATGGCGGTAGTGGCTGGCCAGCATACCGTCCAGCATCGTATGTTTGTTGTGTAGGTAGTGGTGGTAGAGGGGGTCCACTTTCTCGACTTGGTGGGGATCTAGCCGTAGATGAGGGAGGAATAGCTGTAGGCTTCGGGGGAGGAGGTGGTGGTGGTGGTTGAGGTTGTTCATTTTGATTGAGAGCTCCAGACTGAGGACGGCCGATTCCTGGAGGAAGCGGGGGCACAGGCGGGGGGGCAGGCGCGGGCGATGGTTGAGGTCGAGGTGCATTTTGCTGTTGCCGCGCGACAACTGGAGGTTCTTTGGCAAATATATCTCGTAATATAGCCAAAAAATCCAGAATATTAGATTTCTATATTCAAACATGTCAGATATTTCCCAATTAAGCTGCAGGAGCGTTCGAAGCCATCAGTTGGCACTCACATCCCAAAACTCCGCCCACCCCACGAGGTATGGATGATAGACCTTGCCTTGCGGATCAACATGTTGGCCCGGCCTCACCATCATGCCCTCCGTTGGCGTAACATATACCATCGGCGCCTCGTGTGGATATCCATGTGGCACCCATAATGCTATCGGAAATCGGTAGGTTGTGCCTCGGAAATTGACTGGGAGCGTGCCAGAAAGAACGAGTAGGAGCGCAGAAGTCCCATCCTCGTAAGCTATTGTCCATCTCATTAGCTTGGGTATTGGTAAAAAGGTAGCCGCGAATGCATACTGTAAACATCAGTTCGTGAGGATAGCGAAGAGTAATGCGAGAGCGTCTGCGCTACATCGTTATACGTCCGGTTGACATCTGTGTATTCCTGGGAAACATTAGCAAGGAAAAGATATATAGCAATTGCACAGGACTTACGCTTGTTAAGACGCTGTACAGCCAGTTCAACACCTGCTGCCTGACAGCGGCCATACCTGCGTTGTTGGTCCTATCATTTTGGTACAGTACCATATGAAGCTATTCCAGGCGTCGAGCTGGGGACCTGGCTTGGCGAATGTCATGTGATTGCATGTTGGTGGCTCCGATGGACGCCACTTGCAGCTCGCCTATTGACCAATCACGCAAGAGTGGCACGGTTTCTCTTTGTCCAAACTCCAACTCCGCTGATGCGCGACTTCTACCGTGTTTCCGTATTATCAAGCAATGGATGGGCCAGAACTAACAAGACTTCGCCCGAGGGCTCCGGGACCCTGAGGCGGGATGATCCGAGCTTGTTATATAAAAATGGAGACCCCGCGGGCGAGTATCAGGCAACCCCTCCAGATTTTCACCTTTTCCAGGCCAAACAAACTCACACTCAGACGACAGTTGATGCACAGCGCTTTACGAGTACCCAACGGCTGAGGAGTATCGGACAACGATCTGTATACTCCTTGCGTCTGGAAGAACCTCGGTCTCTATCCTTTCCAAAAAAAAAACTAAGCCATGCTTCCTCCTGTCCCCGTCCTTAGCGACTACGGACTCTCACCAGAACATGGTTTCCTTCCGGCCCAATTGCCTCTCGAGAGGCTCCCTGACCCATACTACAACAAGTGGGAAGCTGTCGTGGCAAACCTCCAAGGCTTGATCCTCAGCAAGCGTTTGCGCGGAGTCATCGATCGGCTTCCTGCTCTCTCTACTGCCGGCTTGGAGCATGACTCGGAATGGCGAAGAGCTTACTCGCTGTTATGCTTCATGGCTCATAGCTATATCTGGGGCGGTGACAGCCCTTCAGATGTTCGTTGATACCCATAATATGCATATCCATCACCTAGCCACTTACTAATTGTTATAGCGCTTGCCTCCCTCCGTTACGATTCCTCTGCTGCACATTTCGGCTTACCTCGAGGTCCCACCTGTTGCCACATATGCTGCCGTCTGCTTGTGGAATTTCAAACCATTATTCGTAGACGAGCATGTCGATAACCTTGAGAATCTTGCAACCCTTACCACGTTCACAGGTTCGATTGATGAGTCCTGGTTTTACCTGGTGTCGGTCGCGATCGAAGCACGAGGCGCTCCCATCTTGCCACTCATGCTCACTGCTATCCAAGCGGCAAGGACTGGCGACAGTGCAACCGTAGCTGCTTGCCTTAGAAGATTTGCCGAAAGGCTCGATGATCTAGGAACGCTTTTACAGCGTATGCATGAAAGCTGCGATCCTCATGTCTTCTATCACCGCATTCGACCCTTTCTTGCTGGAAGCAAGAACATGGGGGAAGCTGGCCTGCCAAACGGAGTGATCTATGAAGACGGTACAGGAATTGATTACTACAGGAAATACAGTGGTGGGAGCAATGCGCAGAGCTCCATCATTCAATTCTTCGACATAGTTCTTGGTATCGAACATCGTGCTACTGGCGAAAAGAAGGACGACTCTTCAGAGAGCGAGCTCGAGGGTATTGCACCTCCACCCAAGCATAACTTCTTGCTTGAGATGCGGAAGTATATGCCTGGACCTCACCGAAGATTTTTAGAAGACGTCACTACAGTTGCGAATATTCGGGAATATGTTGAAGCTCATCGAAACAATATCGAGCTGACTTCCGCTTATGATGCATGCTTGGCAATGTTGCGAGTCTTCCGTGACAAGCACATCAGCATAGTGGCCCGCTATATCATCGTCAAAGCCCGTGAATCAAAATCGCTTTCCAAAAGCTCGGAGGCGACACGGCAAAGAACGAACATTGCTACTGCCTCCCAACAAGGCAAGAATAGTACTGGTAAGCAGGAAAATCTTAGAGGAACAGGTGGTACTTCTCTGCTTCCTTTCCTGAAACAGGCTCGGGATGAGACGGGCGAGCCCACGCTGAATCAATGGGCCAAGCATGTGGCTAGCCGAGACTTCAGGACCAAGGGCAAAGGAGATTTTTTCCTAGGCAAGCTAAACGGGCATGCAGACGGCGAAGTCGACCATGCTGGTCTTGCTGGTACCTGGGCGGTCGATGACAGCGCCGGCGGCATCTGCCACTACTGAATTATTACTAGCTGTTAGGTATTGACCGTATCATTAGTGCGCTTTACAATATTATTCGAATTTTTGCATCCTCCTCGTAACTACTTCATATATCTTCGTAAATAACTTCTGTCAAATGAGGGTATTCAGAGATGCCACCTAAATACCACTTGGAAGATGAACCTTTCCAGAAATCTTAAGGTTAGCTCGTGAGTAGAGATTTTCGCTCTTGAAGTCTAATCTCGAAACAATATTCTAAAAGCGCAAAAGGGGAATACCCGAAGCTTGTTGCCAATCACGTGCTTCTCCTTCGGAGTAATAAGGTAACGCGCGACTCGCGAGGTAACTTATGAGAACCATCTCAAAAGCCTCCTCGCGACGCGTTCGCGGAACCACCCACGCCGTAACCAATCAACTTTTAACAACACAAAATGGTAAATTCAGCTGCTGATGAGGAAGGCCTTGGCCCAGTAGAGCGTGGCCGCAAGAGATATTATCAAAAGGACTATGCAGGGGCTCTAACAGCTTTCACAGAAGTAGGTTGATTCTTCGCGCTCAGCATCAAGGGTGAAGTAGCGTAATTTGCAATATACGCTATCACCATTCCATGACGGGCCTTTTTTGGTAATTTGCATTATTTTGCCTAAGGATGCTGACCTGTTCATCAGGCGGTCAATACGAGCACTGGTCACCTCCTTCTAACGGCGTTGGATCACCGAGCAGCAGCATATGAGAAGCTACAACAGCTACAACCTGCTCTCCGGGATGCGAAGCGGATGATCGATCTGAAACCGGAGATTTCAAAGGCAAGCCCGCAATGAAGGGCTTTTTGATTGTCTAAGTCTAAGAATTTTCCCAGGGATATCTACGATGCGGTAAAATATTGCAAATGAAAGGAGAAAATAGCCTTGCATTAAAGATATATGAGCGAGGTTTGAACAAGGTCAAGATTGGGACTGATGATGAACGTACTGTAAGATACTCTTCATCGGTGTTCGACGTTCTTAAGCTAATGTCTTTAGCGTCTTCAATCTATATACAACAAACTGCGTCGAGCTCAAGATCCAGGCAAGAGCCTTGATCCTCTCGAGTTTCTGCCGGTCGAATTGGCGGCTATGGTCTGTCGCAATCTCTCGATGAGAGACAGAGTGTAACATTCCCCGAGTGTCTGCGACCCCCAAGATTAGATTTTGTGCTGATTTAAAATCCAAGAACATGCCTTGCCGTCTCAAAATCATGGAAACGTTTACTTGAATCGTCACATAATTTATGGACTTCTCTAGATACGACGTCCACGCGGAAACCGATGACCCAGACTGCGTTAAAATTGCATCTAAGGCGATCGAACTATACTCTTGATCGTGCTATGATCACCACGAGAGCAGGCTTTGATTCGCAAAAAATGATATTCCTCACCAAACATTGTAAACAGCTCCGATTCCTCGAAATCCACGGGAGTAGTGTCATTGGAAACTCGCTAGTTTCGTCACTACCTTACGCAAGCCATCTTGAATCGATATTTGTTTCGAATGACAAAATCACCATATCTGTAGTTCTAGATGTTCTCCGAGCTTGTCGAAGAACGCTTGTGAAAGCGGGATTTCTACAGATAGTAGGCCAGAGAACGGACTCTCTTGGAGAATGGCCAAAGCTCGATGCACTCGAGAAATTACATCTTGGGGTTGCCTCCGCTATGTTAACATTAAATATTGTGAGTTGTCGAAAGCATTCTATTCCCAAATTAAAGGTTCGCAAACATCAAACTTCAACCTCAGAGTTTCCTACCCTTGTAATCCATAATTAGATATATCTACAGCTGTTAGGTACCACCTAGATCTTGAGGGAAATGCCTCACTGTTTTGTCGTTTGGGCTTAGCATTCCATATTGTTGCATTCAACTAATGATTATAATAGCCCGAGCTTATCAAAGCCGCTCCAAATATTCAGGTTCTATGGCTGTCTAACTGGAATCTTACGCCATCTGCGGATATGAGTCCGTGGACAGAGCTGCAGGATTTGGATCTCCGTGATACGCACTTTGACCGACTACCAAGACTTCCGCCTACTCTCAGACGCCTCACGTTGAGGAACGCCCTAGATATCGGCCACGACAGCCTTGAAGCCCAAGGAGAAAATATGTTGCCTTTGTTGGAAATGTTCGAGTGCTCGCGAACATATGTCTGCGACGGATTTATCAAAGCCATCACCCGTGAATCCATCACGCGCGGAAACTTGAAAGAACTTCACATCGGGCGTCGCGCAGTGGAACCCCGCATCAACATTGAAGAAGAATATCCCTCATCAGAGAGTCTAGAGGTTCTATCACTAGCGTATCTCATGACCCCCGAAGACTATCTGATGGTTATTGTCGGTCGTTGCCCAAATCTACGTAGTGTCGACGTCTCTGGGACCAACATTACTGGAGTAGCTGTGAAGAGTTTTGTTAAACAGGGAATTGTAACCCTTAGGCTAAATGAATGCTATGGTGTAGGTAGTGACGCCGTCGACTGGGCACGCAGTCAAGGTGTTGAAGTCATGTTCAATGCATCCAGTGGCAGCTCAGGGCTCCGGGCAGCCTGGAATGCTATTTAAAATGCTACATAAGTTTAGCAGGATTTGTCTTGCTCACGAGGCGTTATGGAAGCACATGGGTTATCAAACGTAGTTTCTTTTACTGAAAGCCATGGCCATTCAGCAACGTCACAAACTGGCATGGTGGCAATCTACTTTCTAGCACCTCCCTCGCCGGCATTCACTCAACCCGGGTCTTGAGGAGCGAATCAATAGCCATAACGAATCGCATGGTTTTGTCCTCAAATCAACTCTTCCACTCAACTCTCCCATTTACTAGTTTCGCGAATCATTGCAGGCAAGCTATTCTCTTCATCTGTTTCATTCAAATACAGATAACACTATTTTGCTACATTTAGATCTAACCTATGGGTCTTTGTTTAGTTCTATAACTCTCTTTCTACCTATTCCTCAAAGCGCATAAAAGTATGATGGTATAGAAGTATTTGTTGGATTCGGCAATACATTCCCTCTCCCTCAATGCGAAGGTTGATTTTAGACACCAACCATGAATGTGTTGTCTATGGTATCCTTTGGCCAACTGGTGAGACCCCAATACGTACGCTACTACGGGCATCTGACGCTAACCCTTATGTCGAAGTCGGAAAGGAGGGCGCCACCACAGCTAAGAAGACTTGCCAGGGTGCTACAGGTATCAATATGTCCTCTTTCTCTGCTGATAGACCTTGGACTAATTTACAAAATACAGAATTATGTCGAGTAGTGTTGTTGAAGCGCGCCAGAAAGAGTTGATTAAAAAGAAGGCTCGCCAATAGACCTGAATAAAGCGCCCGGAATCCGCAAAAGAAAGAATCAGAACTATTCGAAACGCGGCTAGTAGCCAAACCCAATCTCTGCTCACAACGTCCTCCTATCCCGCCCGTCAGAATCGCAGTAGACAACAAGGCAGAGTCACGTCGAAGATGGAATAGGAAATGGAGGTCGCAGAGGCAAACATAGAAGCTGCAGAGAGGGAATTAAAGGAAGTGAAGGTAGAAATAGATGCTCTAGAGAAGCTTTTATAGTATCGAGAGGAAATCACCTCAATATTCGATAAAGTACACTAGTTACAACTATAAAACCCCCGGCAGTCACTACCCCTGGGGAAAAGAACACCACGCCTTTGATGTGCTCTGTGTATATGTGCCGCCACCGTGAAATAGGAGAAGACAGACAATGCGGATCCGACTTTCAAATTATGCTTCGTCACTTCGATAGGTAAAGCATTGCCGTCCCTCTCCTCGAGCCCTAGCTCTCTCAGCTCCTCCAAGTAGAGCGACCTATCTGCGAGTTTCATTTGTATCAACTCTCGATAGCACATATCCCGTTGCAGAAATTCCTCTACTCGTTCTAGACGAGGCGATCTATGGCGCCTCAAATCGAAATATCCAGAGTCAATATACGTCGGGTATCGAAGGGCACTAGCTACCAAGAATGACCCATCTTTCTCAACATCGTTCCAGATTTTGAGTAACGAAGTAGCCTCTATCATGCATTCATATAATCCATCTTCCCTAGCACAACACCAAAAACCAAGACCATGTGGCCGGGCACCATTCCCAGGACAACGGGATTAAGAACTCCTAGCTCCAAGCGTTCTAGCCCGCTCTTGCAGCTCCGTTAAGCTGTTGACGCAAGTCTACGGGATCCTGGGCAAATTCCAGCATTGTGTAGTCGGATTAGAGGCCACGAAATGCGCAACGCAAGAATCGAGTTGCGTACAGCAATGCGGCAAGCGTACGAGTACAATACACCCATCTCGACAGCTAGAAGAACACAAAGAGCTTCAACGCACTAAACCTTAATAAACTCCCAAACGATCCCGTCAGATTCAAAATTCCTACCCTTCGCCAGCGACTCCACGCCCCGCTCTAGGTTAGTCCCCACTTGCCAAAGCCTCTCCCAATGCGTCATAAGTAAGACATAGCCTCCCTCCGGCCTCATCCTGACGCAAAAGTTCTCCCACCCATCCTGGCGCTTGGCCGAGCAGCGCAGTCTCCCATTTCCATTGTGACCTAAAAAGCTACTCGAGCCGCAATCTCGGAAGCCGAGCCAGCCTTTGGTCTCCACGCACTCCCAGTGGATGTAGCCGCGGCCGCCCGGCGGGGCCAGCACGACCTGTCCGTCAAGCAGCGTAATCATATGCCCGGACTCAACGGAGCGGATAAGAAAGGTGGAGCCAGGCCAGGGGACCGAGGAGGAGCTGAGTTTGGCGCCGCCGAACGGCTCATCTAGGAGATCGGCGGCGACGGATTCGGGAGGTGTAGCCGCTGTGTAGGCGGTAGAGCTGTCGAGGTCCGGGATGGGATTCGGGTCGACTAGGTGGAGGGCCATAACAGCGGAGTGTTGGCTGAGATACCTACGTCGAGATAGTAGAGAGTGTGTTAGGTTTAGATGTTGTTGTTGTTGTTTAGTGGTGAGCCAGTGGTTGTTGTTCTTATATTACTAAGCTTCTCACGCTTGGCTACCTAAGGTACTTCGTATATAAGCAATCCTGCCTAGGTAGGTACTACCTTAGGTAACTACCTATAGGTACCTGGGTACCTATCTTACTATAGTTGAATATCTCACTAAGATTGAGGTATTCAAAGGGAGGTAATATTACAGGTGAGTGCCTTCGAGTTCAAAATTAGGAAACCCTTAGTGTTTCTCTCATACCATCCTGTTACTACTCCCCGTTTCCTACTGCATTCTCACCTACTTCTAAGTGCCAAAATTCTCGAACATTGCTTATAGTCGTTGCCTGTACAATTCTAACCCAAGATTTAACTATTTAAGGTAAGTTCTTAGTAGGTGATTAGAGGTTTATTTTTATAACGATATATCTATTATCGGCAAGATTCGCACATGGTTAGACAATTCGACATTTGACGTCTACAGAGTATCAAAAATGACCAGATGTAGTCCAGTTCATCCCTTGCAACGCCTCTTCCCCAGCAGTCCCACAACCATCCACTCATGCAATATAATCATCGGCTTTTCCAACTCACGTCTTCTTTTCACATGATACTAACTTGTTCCTGCTAATCGATTTAATATCACTCCTATTGCCCCACAATAACTGCGCACGATTACTCCGATCGGGTACACCATGGTCCTCACTCGACCCATTACCGCAGCAACGTTACACACCACATTTTCATCTCGAATATGAGATTAAAGCAGACGTTTAAAAGATAGGGCAGTATGCATTTCAAGTCCTCCTCACTCCTAGGAGGTCCATAAGTGAAAACAGCACATATCTCAAATAAAGAAAACAGAGGGTACACAAAAGATTCCCCACACTACACACTCCACTGCCACATAGCTCTCTGAAACAACTCAATTAAGCCGTGACCGCTACGTCATATCACACCCCACCCCACTACATCTAAAAACTGCCCCGCTCCCCTAAATCTAAAAATAAACATAAAAAATAAAATCATGAATCGCAGAGAAAACGGGCCTAGAGGTATTTTTTCTGATTATTATTCTATTTATTATTATTCTATTTATTTTAGGGGCTGTGTATATTGTGTAGTAGGTAGTATAGGGAGATCGGGATTGGTTGGCAAGTGGAATGTATATTTGGTTCTGCACTTTTCGCCACCGCGCGTAGGCGGGTAATGGAGAGTTGCCTTAACGCTGTGCATGGAGAGGTGGGTGGTAATAGGTTGGGTGGTGCCGGCTTACGGTTTCGCACCGGCAATTAACGATATTGTGTCAGATCAAATGCAAACATGGGATTTTGTATTTGGTGGAGGAGTTGTATAACGTCTACCTAAGTAGAGCTAAGCTATCTAGACTAACAATTGGAAGGGCCGAAGTAGGCACACCAGGTAACCCTCTAAGCGGGCCCGTCCGTAGAAGTAGTGTCGAGGATGTAATTGGGTATCCAGCCAACGAATGTGTATCAAGACTACCAGAGCTCCTTGAAAATGCGAAGCAAGAAATCTATTCCTGCTCACGGCTACTACGAGTAACCGACGCGCACGCACACACCCTGCAATATAGAGGTCGCATGTCAACATGTAAGCCTTCGGTGAAGCAGAAGAAGCGCAGGAACGGCGAATGACTCAGAAAAAACATAACAAAAAGCATTGGTTGGTACATGATGTGTTTTCCTTCCTGCAGGCTCAGCCTGTATACCACATAACCCTTTCCCTCTAAAATAACATCTGGCTGCCTGAGCTGGAGACTAGCTCCTATATAGTGTAGTATGATGAGTGGAAAGGAAACAATGAATCGCAGATTACATCTTTCCTCCAAAAAATAGGAAATGAGTCAGCGCCCGGCATGACAACGGTTGAAACAGGCTCCCAAGTAGAAACCCCTCCCAAGAACTCCAAGGTATCATTCCCGTCCCATGCAAAAGTTAGAGTTCCCTATCGCAAAAGCAAACGAAAGGGAAAGTAAGGGATAATAAATAACCAAAAGAAAAATGAGCGGCAGAAAGCGCTGAAGAGAACACCCTGCCCAATGACCATATTATCTAATACCGACGCCATGCTTTGGAACTCGTCTACGCAATGCAGAAATTTCAAAATAACAGTCTGTCAAGGCTCGTGTTCGTGTGTGTGTGTGTGTGTGGATGGCCTGGGCTCTGTGTGTATCCCTTCTTTGCGCCTTCAATAGCTTCCGTGAGAATCATGGCATCGCGTGCTTCGTAGATCGTTTCGTCTTCGGTATATGTCGTGGATCGTTTCATGGGAATGTGTGAGAGGGGTGGGGGAATTGGCGCGGGAAATCCAGCCAGGCTCTACGGCGCAGAGTGAGACATCAGACGGTCGTGCCCGACGAGGAGCATGGTGAGTTGAGATGGCGGCGTCGATGAGGAGGTTCTCCCCCGGAATGAGAATAGATAGTGTACCCAGTCGTTGAATTCAAAACGTACGAGAGGTCGCGACTGCCATGAATATGCAGCTATCGAAGACAATACGTTTCATCTCCGGTGGCGGCGGGATGAGTGTCTTTGCGATCCGTTACTCGCCGTTCCGTAACCCGAGTCATATCCATCTCTCGAAGATGAGGACTCCTCCTGCCGACAGTGTGAATGTGTTGCGCAGGCGTATCCGACAAGAACCGTCTTCTCCTGTATGGGGTGGCCTGAAGTTCCGTATGCCGCGCACATGTCGATGCTGTGCTCATAGTAGAGACAGCGGCAGACCGAGTATCGTTCCACGACAAGATAACACATGTTGAAGTTTGTTATGAGGGAGGTCGTTGAGGTTTGCGGTGTAGTTTGGGCAGCCAAGCGATCGTCAAGTGGATGAGTTTGATATGAATATGATTAGGAGAAGGCCTCAGATGAAGGGCAGCGAAGATATGAAATATATTAATGAACAGACTGGAGAAGGAGCCTGGGCAAAGAAAGTTAAAGAAAGTCAATGACTGAGGATACGATGATTCAAAAAACGAGTCATCTGAGCCCGGCGAGGTGACTGCCTTAATAGTTTCCGCAGCTCCAGACGAAAGGCTACCAAGACGACACAAGGCAGCAGTAGGCAATGGATCAGAAGAGACGGAGAGAGTGCAGTTAGAACATGCAGGTCAACATGCAGGAAAGAGATACCGGGGAGGGGTGAGTCGAAGCTAGGCCAATGCGTGATATCGTTGGTAACTATACGCAACAAAAGAGCTCCTGGACCATGGTCCTGCAGCAGCGAGAGTCGAAACCGGGAGTATAGCCCTACGGGCCAGACTAGCGGCGTACCCACAGAGGGGGGGGGGGGCTGGCTTGCACGCCGCGAGGGAAGGCTGAGGTGGGTGGTGGTGAGCGTGGTGAGAGTGGTACTGGACTGGACTGTAGTGTAGTGTACTGTAAGAGTGGCTATCAGCCTTGAAGCGCGGGTCCCTGGCTCTCCCTTACAGAGTAGCGCGATGGAACCTGGGCGACGACTCCTCCGGCTCTCCGTCATGCTAACGCCAGCAGGCCAGACCCTGCCCATCGACAGGACATGCGATCGATGACGGATGGCTTACTTCGTACAAAGTACAGTAGTTCTAGGTAGTGTAGTAGTGCCCTGTCCTGCCCTGTACGGTCCATGCACGGTAGGTAGGTTCGTCGCCAGAGATGCTAAAGATGGCGGTGCACGCCCACTGCATCGGGTGAGGGTACAGACAGGTCCAGCACAGGCACTGTAGGCTCCCATCTGCGGCCAGGGCTGCGGGCGTGGCAGATGGCAGATGGCAGATGGCAGATGGCAGCGACTAAGATGCTGAGGTGAGGTGAGCGAGCGTAGCGCAAACGCAAACGCAAACGCGGGAGCATCGACAGCATCTGGGACCACGGGCGATGGATGGCGCGATGCACCGGCGGGCCAGAAAGGCGGCCGTGAAGCCGGATCTGCGAGACAGCAGTTGAGCGATGAGATTATGGGAGATTATTGGAGACGGAGGATTCAACGGCCGGTCGTGCAAGATGGCCGCCTCAGTACGTACTCGAGTCTTTGTCTCAAGTATACCCAAGGTACAACAAGCGAGAAGTCACGATGTCTAAGGTAAGGTAAGGTAAGGTAGGTATTCTCTGTGTCCCAAACGGTCGAGGTCCCTCGAGTTTGTTCGTACGCGTCCACAACCCAAGCAGCGCAGACGCGGACGGGTGTATTATTAGAACAACCGGCCTTCGCAAGGCACGAGACTACAGGACTACGAGTACACTGTACAGACAGGACTTTGCACGGACGGCGTAGGGCCAACTCTCTCTCCGGCGCTCCGAGTCCTCAGTCCTCAGTCCTCGTCCTCCCCCAGCGGGCGCTGCTCGTCTCTCGGCAAACAGCAAAACAGCAGAGCAGGAATTGCCGCCAGCACGCGGTCCTGGACCTGGAACCAAAACCCGGGGAATCGGTGGGGGGGGGGCTCTGGGACCGCAGAAACGTGGAGCCTGGAACAGATGCTGGGGGCCTGGCCAGCCATGCGATCTGATGGGATAGAATGCGACGGATGTGAGTGATGGGAATGCGATGCCCGGTGCTGCGGACGGATGGTGTCTTGGGGCCCTTGGGGCCCTTGTGGGGAGGGATAAGAATAGGTGGACTACCAGATGGCGCAAAGCCGTTGAAACCCCAAGTACCGGACAAATGAGAGGCGCGTCTGCTTCCCAAGAATCGCCGTTTGGGGACCAACGAGAAGGGCGATCGATGTGAACCAAAGCTCGTCCGCGATGCCCGCTCAGACGCCCGGGGAGGCTGAGGCTGCTCGTTCGAGGGGCTATTATTATTATTGTTATTACTAATGTTGCGAGACTGCGAGAACTTGCTTCACATGGAACTACTACGTAAGGTAGTGCCTCTTGCGTATTCTCGCCAATCGCCGTGGCAAATAGCAGCCTCAGTCCCCGAAGGGATATATTGCAGCCTGCCCTGGTGGCTCTACCAAGGACCGGACCTTACCTTGCGACAATCAAGTATCGCGATGGGGGTTATGCACGCCCTACTCCGCAAGGAGATGACTCCTTTGGCTTGGTGCTTGGTGCTGCTCAGCTGGGCCAGGCGACGAAACGTGTTTTCGTTTGCCGTTCAGCCTCAGGTGGATAAGCGGTGGAATTGAGCGTTTGCGGTTGAGACGAGCAGGTGGTACGTTGAAGCTACCTACCGATACATCGGAACCCTCGGGGAAGCTAAGTTACCTACGTGAAGTTGAGATAGTTCGTGCTCTAGGGTCTATTCTATTCTGATGGCGCAAAAGGAGCAGGCTGTCGACAAACACAACAAACACAGCGAATACCCGCGAACATCCAATGATTCCCCCAAATATGCCTTGCGGCCAACAAACAGTGCAGGCAAGTACAGTAGCAGCGAGAAAGGTACCAATACAATGTAGCCTTGCTCTCCGACCACTGACAGCGCCCATCTCGTACGGCCGCCAATCAGCGCCCTGCCTCGGCTGCGCCTCGATTGCGGCTGCCTTCTTTTTCTGCTGACTGTGTCTCGACAGTACATGTACATCATGAACATCGTAAAAGTACCGAAGTACGACGTACAACGTACGACCAGTCCCCGGTCCCCTAGTCCCCAGTCCGAAGAGCCAAAAAAAGGAGTTCCGGTACTGTACTGTACTATACCTACCTATACGGAGCGTACCTAGTGCTCGAGGAACTACCAGCACAGTACCCTCCATACGAGTACCGAGCCAACCCCGAAGGAGGCCTTTTCGGCCACGCCGCCACACAATCAGCCAATGCTCGGGCGTTATCCTGCCTAATTCTTATCAATATATTAATATACTCCCCTCACCAAGAGCGTCATCAGGTAAACCTTGTTTGGGGCCAGCTTAGTCCTCGGTCGCGACCGACGGAGCATGGAGGGGTTCACGCCCCGCATCAGACATCCAGACATCAGGCATTCGTAAAAGACACCACAAAAGGGCTCCCAAATGATGCTTTTGGCGATTATCGGGCTTCCCATTTTTAACTTTTGAGCGCACCGCGATTGAGATAACCTTACATACATGCCACATACATATCATACCCTACATGCCTATGTATAGCCAAGCTCTTCAGCCTGAGCCACGTAAAGTACATGGACATCGAGCCGAGGCCCACGCGGGAATTCGTCTCCAGGTGCAGCGCATCTGGAATATCCAATGCTCAACCTTTTGAAAGGTCGGCCCCCGCATGCTATCTTTCCCATTCCATTTCCACCACCTTCTGCAGCTATCCAATTCTTGCACTTGGCCGTGTTTTGCATTTCTTCAGCTCTTCATTGGCTTGAGACCAGGGATGCCACTCTCTTGACTAAAGTCTCGAGATGCCATCCAACAAAGCGTCAAGCACTTTTCATCTGTTCATCCTTATTTATTACTCGACTCAAATCCGACTCCTTGTTTTCCACCCAACGAGTGCCTTACAAATTCGATATTTGCCTCCGTTGGTTTTCTCAAAGCCCGGTTGTTGAATTTCGTCCACGAAGCATCGTTTTAAAGTTCCGTCTCTTCCTTCACTAGTCGTCTGAAGTTTGACCCTGAACTCCCACCTACCGCGTCTGCCAACAAAATCCATCTTCTTCTTCATTAATTACCTCAAGTCTGGTTCTTAAACAGCCAATCCGAGTTCGCATCCACCATGAAATTCGTAATGTTGAACTCATTAGCGCCATTGCTCAATTCAGTAGGTACCATCTCGCCAACCCCGTGCTCATTCCCATTACCATGAGCATGCCCCATATCTCCTCCCGGAGCAACTGGTAGCCTCGGGAAATTAAAAAAGTCAAAAACATCCAAGTACTCCAGCTCGTTCGGCGCCGGTGTCCGGGCCGGCGTAACGCTCGGCATTCTCGTCACCAGACCGACATGTTTTGGTTGTCTAGAGATCAAGAAATCCAGGTCATACGCACAACGCCGCATATCTGCCAAAATCTTAACTGAGGATGGCGTGACGCGCTCTCCATTAGCCCCAGCAGAATGCTCGGAATCTCGATGCTCGTCTAGAACTCGTTGGAGGATGGCCGTGTATCGTTCGGCAACAGCCCAGTAGCGACCCATCTCCCCAAGGGTATCCACCAAGAACTGGATCTGTGGGCTGAGCTTGTGTTCTATTGTTGAGCCGTGGACTAATAAGAGTCGCGCGGCTACCCACAGCGTGAATGCGAAGGGAGGTCCGAGTTTCGGTAGCATGCCGTTCTGAACGACGAACTCGCCGAGGGCGGCAATATTCTCAACCGCCCCGTGGCACCGTTGGCTTGCGCTGTATGAGGGAGTGAAAATTGGGGAGCGGGTTGTTGGATACGCTGCAGATGAGTGTAGTCGAATTACCGTTGTATGATATGTTGCTATTGCCGTGGTCAATATGATTATAAAGCAGAGCAACTTAGATACTCACCATGAAGCATGACCCATCCACAGTTGATAGACTTGTTACCGCCCGGTTGGAACAACTTCGCCATATTACCATAGTCGCTAGGAAGATTGAATTTCCACGACGTGAGCATGTTGTCCAACTCCCGGTACTCCCCTTGCCATTGCTCCACATCCGACAGCGCACTGATATCAACAGGCTTCTTAAGAAATTTGTGGATCCTCGACAAAATGCCAAGGATTTCAATGTAATAGGAGAATGCTCCCAGATTTTCCGGCTTGTCGATTCCATATTCAGTTCGTTCGCTCGTGCGGAACCACCTTGTCTGAACAGGTTGGTTCTTGTTCCACAGATCGTCACGGCATGGCAGCGTGCGGTCAATTTCCTTCTCGTCCATAGCAAACTCGAATGCCGTGGCAATTGTAGCGTATCGATCAAGGAGATATACCATCCAGAAAAGCCTCCTTCGTGACTCCTCTTCGATAAAGTTATCCGGCTCTGGCAATACCATAGCGCGAAGAGTATATATGGACGGGAATACCGGCGACACTGAAAATGATGTCGTCTCAACCGCAAGGCCGAGTTGGACGACGGATCGGGTTATCAGAGCTAACAAATTCCATCCCGGCGGCCCGTTGCTACTACCCACAAGATCCAGAGCTAATATGACTAGAGCTTGTAGCGCCTTGACTGAAGAATTCTCCAACCCGTACAGCAAAACCTTCTGCTTCGAGATGTCATGGTAATGCCGCCGTCGTTCGTCCGTGAGTCTCTGATCGGTGGAAAATCTCAAGGTCGTTGCAACAATTGCATGTAACAATATTCTATCAGATTCATCTAGCGTAGAGGCACCAAACAGGGAGTCTAGTGTCGATCGTCGGTGTAGTATAGGGCACCATGTGTTGACGTATTTGAAGTAAAGATCCACGAGAGCATAGAGGAGGTCATAAGGAGGGAGGGAGTTGTCCGAGGTAAGTTCAGTTTGGGTCTGAGTGATATTAAGGCTTGGTGACTGGAGCGGTGGTTGTGTTGTGCTATAAAAGTCCCCAGCCTGACTAGTTTGTGCTGCCCGCGGCGGATGAGCTTGATTATGGGGGTGATTGGTTTGTTGCATCCCTTGCTGGAAAACATCACCATGCAATGAAGATATCGTGGCACTGGTGGGAGTCTGAGGCACCGGGTTGCCAAACTCCATTTGCTGGCCTCCTGGAAAGGGGGAGGGGTTCTGGAGGAATAACGCAGTCTCGGCATGAGGCACGTGGCCGCGAGGGCCATCATTCGACCGGAAACCAGGCATGCTCTGAGGCGTGTCGTGATCGCTGGGGAGGCTATTGCTGTTGTTCGTAAAGGACTCTAGAATCTGGGCGTGCGAGCGAAGAACGTCTTCCAGTTTATCTAATCTCTGCTCCAGCTCCCGGCCGTATCCAGCTCGGAGACCTGGCTTCTTTCGCTCCTTGTACTCGCAGTTTGCGCCATTGCGGGAGCACCAACCGCAAGCTGGCTGACTACGATCGCATTTTACCTAACAGAGTCAGAAGATAGCACTGTAGCGGGGAAAATTATAGAACATTTATGGGCGCAGTCAAATATGATGGTTCTCAAGCGCCGAGCAACTATACACAGCACAGTCTTCTCGAGATTTTCCGATGGCAGAGCTTTCTGCCTTCTACCTTCCGCCTTGCTTATTGGTTGTGGTTGTGGTTGTGGTTGGCTGTGGTTGGCATTGCTTCAGCCCAGCCAGGACCCGCTGAGCAGCCACTCACTCTTGACAGTTCAAAACAGCGATTACAAAACGAACGTAGTGAGCAGGGGTTTGCAGATGATGTTTGAAAACAAGCAGCAGTAAACATAAACACCGGGAAAATAATTTTACCGTACCTTTCTCTGTTTGCACAACTCGCATCTTCGACGAATAGTTAGCCATTTCCATTCTTCAGTTTCATTTGCAGAGGAGCCTCCGCACTTGGGCAGTAGGCTTCCGGACGCAGAGTTCCGGTTCAGAACATCACGATCGGCCCGTGCTAAAGGAGACATAGATGGTCCTTACGAGACAGACATCGGCCGCCGCGGTCTCTTGCGGGGCCTCTCGCCGTTTTCTCCGCCCTCGCTCTCATCCTCACTGTAGGCATTTTCCTCATCCGACTCGGGCTGATTCGTGGGTGGGCGCTGCGAGGACCGCGGCGAGAATCCGATATCCATTACGAAATGGAGCTGAGGGCGATAGCCACGGATAACTGCGATGGCCCCAGATACCTAGGTAGTTCTGGTTGTTCGGTGAAGTTCAGGACGAAAGTCGGCGTCTTTAGCAGCGAGAAGGTCGGGGGAGCTCTGTTATTGTAAGTGGAATTGTGGGGATGAAGGGGAGAGGGAAAAGGAGTGAGTGGGGGGGAGCACAGCGCCGGCCAATGCTTGCTGTTCTCCATGTTTGATCGCATGTGCCGTCGGTTCGGCGAGAAAGATAATAATAAGGGTAGAGGACCCTATAAGTTGTACTTCGTAGCGTACCTATTACCTAGGTAGGCCCTGTAGCGTAGGTCCTATAGCGTGGGCCGATGGGCCTGTAGGCCTGTAGCAGCTATACTCCGTGGTCATGTACAGCATACGCAGCCCTTTTCATGGTCTCCAACTCCGGACAGAAGACACACCATAGCTCATCATCTGATTCTGCACCTCCCAGCAACCCTTCTCCATAACCCGGTCTCTGCTCCTCTCCCCAGGCCGTTCAAGTTCAACCGTGTGCGACATGGGAGTCTTGGACGCCCTCGCCAATAGCAATGGCGGGCCGCGGTGCAAAACGGATCAAGAAGCTCTCGAGAAACCCATCCCGAGGTGGATGTGGATGTGGATGGATGCATGGAACATTGGAAGTGCGCCATGAATGGCGGATCAACCCTCTCGGAGCACTCGGCGACAGCCACCAGATGGCCTTCGTATGTACATGTCCTACGCTGGTCCAGTGTCCTCTTGAACCTCATCCAATGTCAAGCCACGAGTCTCCTGCTGTGTGCCGATGCAGAAAACTGCCGGCAGGCCCGTTGCCGTTTGCGCAATGCTCCCAGCCATCCCACCCCGTATTGCTTGTGCTGTGCTGTGTTGCGCTGCGTGGTATCATACCGTAACTTGTAGGGCCCTCCATGTCTCATCCATGATATCCTGCGAGTGCAGAAGAACCGGTCCCTTCAAAGCCTGCACCGCACCCTCCTTTGCGGCCAATTTTCCGGGAGTAATCCTGCCCACGATCTTCGACCACTCTCTCTTGGTGGACGGGGCGTCCAAGGCCCACGGAGAGCAATCACCACAATCCCAATGCAAAAGGCGGCGGCAACAGGAGCAGCGCGTGTTTGCTGTGCTGTACGGAGGAGGTGGCTCTCGGTGGTGGGATATCTTGCCCCGAACCTGACAGTTGACCCCCCCTCCGCCCCCCACCAAACGTCTTGTCGGAGACTCGCCGCCTTGTCCGGACCCGCCGTTCCCAGCTTGCCAGGCGGATGCACCACCTGCTCTCATAAGACCGCAACCAGGTGCTCAACAGCCTCATCCCCATCCTCATCCGCTTCTTCGAGTTTTTTGCACCCTTTCCCCCACCATCCTGCCAATTCACGCTGCCATGGCGTCGTCTACTGCTAGGAGTTTCCCCTCGATCAAAGCCATCAGGACGTTTGTCGTTGATGGCGTCGGGTCTGGAGGGGACTATCACAATGTCGAGGGTGGCCATTGGTAGGTGCCCTGCTGCGGATTAGCTCCAATTCTCCCAGTGCTGATTGAATGAATGCCAGGCTCATCGACACCCCGATATCAACGCCAATGTCGAGATGGGAGAAGTACCGGGCGTCAAGAACAAGCTGGGGCATCAACGTGTTAGGATCCTTTTGCGTGGAGATTGAGGGGTCGGATGGCACTGTTGGGTTTGCAACTGGATTTGGAGGTAGGCATCTCTGGCAGAACTACGTGCTCGCATGCTAATAGCTCCCCCAAGGCCCTCCAGCTTGCTGGCTCGTGCATCAACATTTCGAGCGGTTTTTGATCGGCGCAGATCCACGAGATACAAACCACTTATTCGAGCAGATGTACCGAGGTTCTATGTTCTATGGCCGCAAGGGGCTTCCAGTTGCCGTCATCTCCGTGATTGACCTGGCGCTCTGGGATCTACTCGGGAAGATCAGAAATGAGCCGGTATATAAGCTCATCGGTGGTGCCACGAGGGATAGATTGGATTTCTACTGCACGGGTCCGGAGCCAACGGCATCAAAGGCCATGGGTTTCTGGGGCGCAAAGGTTCCGCTCCCGTACTGCCCAGAGGAAGGTCACAAAGGTCTTAAGAAGAACGTCGAGTTTCTCCGGAAACATCGAGAGAGCGTTGGACCGGATTTCCCAATCATGGTAGATTGCTACATGAGCCTGAATGTCCAATACACGATAGAGCTTGCCACCGCCTGTCTAGATTTGAATATTAACTGGTGGGAGGAGTGCTTGTCTCCAGATGATACAGACGGATTTGCACTAATCAAGCGGGCACACCCTCAACTGAAGTTCACAACTGGAGAGCACGAATACTCGAGATATGGCTTCCGAAAACTCATCGAAGGCCGGAATCTCGACATCATCCAACCCGATGTCATGTGGCTCGGTGGTATGACCGAACTTCTCAAGGTTGCTGCGATGGCTGCCGCATACGATATCCCAGTTGTCCCACACGCCAGCGGGCCATACAGCTACCATTTCGTGGTATCTCAAACAAACTGCCCCTTCCAGGAATATCTTGCAAACTCTGCCGATGGGAAGAGCGTGTTACCCGTTTTCGGAGACCTGTTCTTGGATGAGCCAATCCCAACAAAGGGCTATCTTGATGTCTCGCAACTTGACAAGCCAGGTTTTGGATTGACGCTCAACCCGGCGGCGAGGTTGATTCCAGCCCAGTATCTTCTGACACCAAACCCGGAGCGGCCTCTTGGCCAGCCCCCTGTGGAGAAGAAGTCTACGGGGAACAGTGTTGTCAATGGCGTTGCCGAGGGTATCAAGAATCTAACAACTTCATAAGGGAGGTTGGGTTCCAAGCGACTATTAGTTTTGAGATACTGTTGACCATGGGTCTACTGTCGTTTTTAGAGCGGCCTTTTTGCAATCATGTTCAGGCATTCTCTCCGATGTAGCATTGCCTGTCGGGTACCATAGCTAGTGATGTGCTTTGCATGGCACACCGTCTATTCAAGTATATAATGCATGTAAATAAGTCTGCTGTCTCATTGAAATTTTGCCAGCATTCAAACCTTTCCTTGTGCTGCTATGTACGTCCCTGCCAGGTGTCATTTTCGCAGCTGTACTTACTCATGCGTATTGATACGAAGCCGAGGCGTACGGAGACATTGGCAATATATTGTCGGGGTCACTTGAACCGAAACCCGAATCGTGGGGCAAGCTAGGGACATGAACGTGTAAGGATGGGACTATGCCGTTGCTGTTACGTCCTTCCAAACAACCAAATAAACAACTCCACGCTCGCAACACCAGGATGCATATTCTCACCATGTTCATGCACCCTCCCTGATCCGAGCAGCATCGTTTCATTCATTATTGCAAAATCCCGACTGTGACGATCAAAGCTATCCCTTCACCTATTCGTGGATATTACACACTCCAGCCTCCGTGTCCGGCCATTATTTCACCAACTCCTCCTTCAAGCTCCGCACACAGCTATGTCCCACCACCTCCTCTCCTCAAAGAGCGCCGCCATCACTGGCGGAACTACGGGCATCGGGAGAGCAATCGCGCTGGAGTATGTGCGTCAGGGTTGCAATGTCGCCATCAACCACCTGAATCTCCCCTCAGACTCCCATCACAAGGAATCCATACTCGCCGAAGCTGCGGCTCTCAAAGAGAAGGATGACAAGGCCGGCAGGTTGATTGAGGTGGAGGGCGATATCAGTAAGCCCGAGACTGGAAAGAACCTCGTCGAGGAAGCGGTAAAAGCTTTCGGGCGACTAGACATTTTTGTTAGCAATGCCGGCGTTTGCCAGTTTGCGGAATTCTTGGAGTGAGTATATTTCCTGTCTTCATGGCCTTCCTTCTCAGAACGCAAACTAGATATTATTTCGTTTCGTATTTCGCTGGATCAGGGCAGAGGTGGCCACGGGTTATAGGAAGACTCCGGAGCCAAGCAACTAACGTGGGACACTTCACCCAGCCTCGACCACGACCTCTTCTCATCGACGGTGCGCATAAATCTCGATGGTGCGTTCTACGCCTGTCAAGCGGCCGCGCGTCAAATGGCATCCCAGGGCGATGGTGGAAGCATCATTGCGATCTCCTCCATCTCTGCCCTCGTTGGCGGTGGTCTTCAAACTCACTACACACCCACCAAAGCCGGCGTGCTATCGCTCACGCAGAGCATGGCCGTAGCTCTTGGGAAATACAAAATCAGATGCAACGCGTTGCTCCCAGGCACGATCAAGACGCAATTGAACGAGGAGGATCTGAATGACGATAAAAAGAGGGAGTATATGGAGACACGCATACCACTTGGTAGAACTGGCATACCCTCGGATATGGCCGGCCCAGCTGTATTTTTGGCCTGCGATGAGTTAAGTGGGTATGTCAATGGAGCACAATTGCTGGTTGATGGAGGTCTGTTCGTCAACTTGCAATGAGAGGGTCTAAGTGGGCTGAGATGCTGAGGTACTGAGGCTCGAGTGGGTTCCTCTTGGTAGAAAGTGCATAAAACGAGTCATTTCAATTAGTCGGCCGACGTCGGTCGAGCACATCTAAAATCAACGGATCTTACTTTGATGGTTGCAAAATGCGAAGTTAAGCACGATAAATACGGATCCGAGACGGACCCGTTGGGGAACTCGTCGCTGTTGTAGTCTGATACGAGTCCATTACGGCCTTGAGATGCAGAAGAGTAATGTATTGACAATGCGCAAAGTCATCTTTTAGCTCGGAATTCCCCAAACCATATTACTCCTCTATTTTTTCCTACCATTCCAAGTGTTTCGTACGTTGCATCCCTGCTTATTTGCTTTGATGGCCAGGATTAGGGGCTTACGGCCGGTAGAGTACCGTAACTCCGCTTCCATCTACAACCTCACCCACCACTCTTTTACTTAGAACAACTACCACCGACAAGAAACAATAGAATGGTAATAAGTATATAGCATCCCCATTGAATGTATTATTGAACCTTGTACCTTAAGAACTGTCTGAGGAACATTTGCCAGCCAGCACTTATCCCGCTACATTGATTGGGATCCTTCTCCTCATCAATTACTACTACAAAAGAACACAAAGGGACACATAGGAAATGGCATCCTTCGTCCATCATGGTGCTTGGGACCATCGATCCCGCCAAAATCCGGCCTTAAATTTCATCGAAAAATACCACTTGTTAATCGACAATCTCGAGCTCAGATCCACTCCATTCTCCTCCTTCTTCGCGCCCTTCGCCGCATACCACGATACCAAAGGCAACACACACGTCACAGGCTCGCACATTTGGGCCTGGCTCTCCCAACAATGCTCTCCATTCTCGCAAATCCGACACGATGTAGTGGAGGCCCGAGTCGTGCCCGACGAGGAAGGGAGAGACATCGTGTATTGGGAGTGCCTGACGCATTTCCAGCTAAAGGGGGATAACAATGAGATTGTGGTGCCCAGATTTTTTGTCTGGACTATTGGGCCGGCGCCCGTTGGCGAAGGCACCGATGGGAGGCAGATTCATAAGTGCAGGGTATTTTGGGATACGGGCGTTATTGGGAGGTATGTTACGGAGCGGAAGAGGGAGCAAATGAGGAGGGTTAAGAAGCTGGAGGTACGGAAAAAGCGGTAGTAAATGGCTTTGAGGTGCAAGTGGGTCTAGCCGACGAAGTGCTGCTGGTGAGCGGTTACATGTGATGCTGAGTGATCTGACGAGTATCTCGATGGCAACTTTCCCCTCTTTGCTCTTCAACATTGGGCGGCAAGGGAATTCCCTATCTCTATTTGGGTGCATGTTATTGGCGTCAGGAGCAATATCCGCATGGGTGGCACATATTCTTTATCTTCTTGGGCAGTTGGACTTGCTGTCGACAGTCCCAGCGTGGATACTATACCTCCACCACGGCATGAAGAAGCACGAGCAGATATCAAAATAAATTATGTTAGTAATGAACAAATGTGCTAATGTGCCCATGCTCGTTGCTACACATAGGTGCACTATCCTAGTACCACCCACACCCTTCTTCAAGGGTGATTCCATAGCGATAATGCAAGTCATGCCGATCGAAAGACCTAAAGGTTGCCTAGGTGCTTTATAAAGTTCAAGCCATTTGCGCATCGAGTGCTCACGCAGCCCGTATATTCCACCAGCTTGCCTCTTTATTTGACTTTTCTTCGCCTTTCTTTCTATATTGAGATATTTCCACCGCAGCAAAACGCCCCGCTTTACCCAAATTCTAAATATCCATATAGCTTGGCTTTAGTTTGTCGGATAGCTGAAAGAATCACAACAGAGTCTCGAATTGCTAGTAGAATCCGAACGTCGACGGCGAATGCGGTTTTGGTCTAATCCCGTTTCCTATATAATTCCTGAGGTACAATACTACTTCCCATTTCTTTCCGTATTACAAGGCTTTAGCGATATATACTCCTGAGTTGCAAATTGGTATACAAGGTTATTATCCAACTTGTTACACTAACAAAGCCATTTGAATTTTCTAGGCGATAAATTTAATTATTACCACCCCTTAAGCAACTCCCGTAGTAGCAAGACCTCATACCTTCGCTTCCTTCCACTCCCGGTAAATCATTAGCCGTGCCAAAAGCCTGCTGCTAACCCTAGAAACCAACTAAAAACACCCCAGTCCGGGCCTAACCCGTTTCCCGGCAAAAACCCAGCCAATCCCCTCCCACCCGCCGTCTACTTTGCACATGCACACGTCCCTCTATCTACCCATACGTGAAACACATCCGGCATTACTATATACAAAGTAAGCACTAGCCCCCAACATGCTATAATCAACGAATGATATATACAAGCCTTCGTGGGTACCTGTGCGCGATCCAGGCACCCGGGCCCTTTAGCTGCATTTTTAAGGGCCTTAGCTAGGTTACGGAAAGACATTTGTTGCATGTCGAGCTTTTTAGCTTACGGTTAGAGAATAGCTAGGGGGAACGTAACGACGAAGGTGAGCCGGAGAAATATAGTGCGGTGTCTATATGCGGAAGTGAAATTTTTTGCCTTGTCGAGGTAGGAAGATAGGGGGGCCTTGATCTATCAATTGTTGTGAATGCTTGGTTTAATTGGGCTAGTTACGCAGAAGTATCTATTGTAGGGCTAGTGCGGGAGCTCGATCGAGCATGATGCTATAAAAATAATGTGTAGATAAGTGCTGTTATAATATGCAAAGTAAACCAGTTTAGCCCAAGCAGCAATATTCTGCTCAGGTACATACCCAGCGAACATACCCTTCCCAGCAGAAACCATTGCGGTGTAATAAATATCTCCCATTAGCACAAAGTTCCTTCCCTAAATGCAAAAGCGAAATCCACCCCTCAAAACCTACCCGTATTAGCTCACATCATAATCCCCAGCACAGCTAACCTCCCCACATTCTCCGCCCAGCCAACCACCAAATGCATTCTCATAAACATAATCCTCTGCTCGTACCATCTCGCCTCCTCAGAGCTCATCTCGGTGATGTCTTTAATAGTGCGGTTGAAAAGTTGTTCCCAAGCACGATCACTCCAAAGGAGTTTTCCCGGGGCGATGCATCCTGTTTCGTCGAGGAGGGTACCAATGATTTTAGGATTGAGGCGGAGGTTCAAGGGGCTAGAACAGTTGCGGCATGGTGTTGTGAGGGCATTGGCATAGATTGGTACGCCACAGCTTCAAAACGATGTCAGTGACGTTGGAAATAGAAGGAGAAATGGGAATGATACCATTCGGCACACCTGAGCATGTTGCGGCATTGTAGGGAGACGAGAGACATTTCGATAACTGTGACGTTTATAAAGCCGGTGAAGACATGATGGCCATCTGAGCGTACCCTATTTCGGTATCTTAGGAAGTTGGGACAAGATTGGGAAACCGTTCTGGACTTACCACCTATCAAGCTCAGCAAGCGTGAAAAACATCCTGTTAACACCATACTCTGTAGCTTCAACATCCCACAGGTCCTCAGGAAACTCCATGCACAAACTTTCTTTCTTCGTCAACCCCACAGCATACTTTCTCAGCCACTCAGCATCCGAAAATTCAGGCCCAACATCTATCATTGTTCCCCAGGTGATACCTACGCTTCCCTTAGAATATCCCACCTTGTATCCGGGATTGGAAATCATCAGGATGGTCTTTCCAGGCTGCCAATCCCTTGCCGAATCAATCATCTCATTCCAAACCGTCAACCGTACTTCCCCAGTGTGATCAAAAAGTTGGATATCAGTCAACTCGCTTTCTCCTCCCTTCTTCTTTGTGATTTTCCTCCTGCCCCCAATGCTCTTGACGCACACGAGTATCTTTGCACCATCGACACCATCATACCCACCACCGAGGTAGCTAGCAAGCGTCATAAGCCCAGGGAGCGGCTGTGCTTTGCGGCATTCGGGTGGGACGTGGCAGATGCCGTCGGTGTTGCTGCTCGTGGGTATCATGACATGGTCCGAATTGACACGTCCTGGAAACAAATTTGCGTAAACGCGCACACCAATGATTGCTGACCCTTCCGCTTTTGATATATCCGAGATGAAGCATGTCCAGATGGAAAGAAGCTGGCCCAGCTTAAGAGGGTATTGCTGGCGGGCGAAATACAACTTGATCTACGAAAACAGCACCATTAGCATTGCGATATTATGGGACGGGGAAATGAGAGGCACCGAAATAGCTGCAGTATCATCTTTGATGACAAGATAATGCCAGCCGGTAGCTTGGGGTTGCTTTTGGCTATTGCCGAGGATGGTGCTGAAGTTAACGACTCTGCCCACAAATGTAACTGCTCTTGGGCCTGGGATGAGGTTATCAATAGTGGTTTCTTCGTATTCGCGTTCTGGATTCCATTTTCTGTTCAATGGGTCGAATGCATCGGCCAATTCCTCTTCGGTGAAGCCATCGGCTCGACTTGAAGGTGAGGGATTTGCACTTGCATTGCCTTCCGTGGGAGTCTCCCTCATGTAGAATGATTGCACTGACGGATACGATTGAGTCATGATGAATATATTATGTTATGGGGCGACTCGAAATGATTATGATGATGAGAAGTCCGCCCTTGGAGGGGTCATTTTGTGAAATTTGTGTCCATGTTACCGCGAGAGTTTGCGTTGGCGGGAAAATTACCAGTACACTTCGCAAAATAGAGCACATCACTTCGCACGATAATGAACGTTGCATTTGGGAAGGCAATTGACCTTCTTTTATCTTATTTATCTGTAATGACTGAATGTATGACAATTTGATTATAGAATCAATGGAATACGAAGGTTATTTGACTTGACCTCATACGAGTCGCTAAACCACTGTAAATACTAAGCTCCGAAGGTACTCGCATTGCAGTTAGAAGAGCTTATGCTCAAGGGTCATGTCGTTCTCAGGCTGGAGACCGACACATGCGCGGAAGATGTTGGTTAAGGCGCCTCGCTGCTTAGCAAGAGCATTGACGACCGGGGTTCCCGGGGGAGTTAATGGAGCCTTGAGCATGTAGCTGAGGATGCTGAGAACACTGTGGAAGTTTCCAAAGTCCTTAGTGGCGGCACCATCATTGGACTGATTCTTCCATTGGATGCGGGTCATCATCTCAGTGATCAGGACCAAGTCGATAATCAATGGAGAGGCAAGCAGGGAATCTTCGCAGACATTGAAGAGACTATAATTGTTAGCAGGGGGTTACCCGTAGAGAAGAATTAGACTTACGAGATAGTCTGGTGACCACCCATGAAGATCTCGGCATAGTATTCGTCCAAAGCACGCTTGTTGTCCCCAACAGCTGGCATGTACTTGATTACAACGGTGTGATCAGGATGCTCGCCTTCCTTGTAGAGAACGGAATTTGCCGCAACCATGTCATCGACAACGTTGGACTTGGAGATCTCCTTGGAGCGGAATTGCTTCTGGGAGCTAAGATTCTTGCCATCGTTGTTGCCAAGGTGATTGTAGCTTGCAATGGAGGTGAGTTTAATACCAGCACTGATCAAGAAGTCGACAAGAGCAGACTTCATCTTTGTCTGGCCAGACTTGAAATCATCGCCACCGATGAACGCATTGTGTCTCTCTGCAAGCTCAATAGAACCAGGAACAAAGGTGTTCTGAGGAGAGCCGTTGATAAACGGAGCGCCCTCGAGAATCGAGGCAACAGCAAAGACGGTCGACGGGGAAACTTCCTCGTGACCATTCTCAATAGCCTTCATGAGATTATCAGCGGTGTCATTAATACCAGGCACAAGTTCGGAAAAGCGCTCGGTATTGGCAGTCCATTGAACAATGACCTTGTCGAGGTTGTGTTTGGCCTTGAACTCGCTAATGATCTGTGAGCACTAAAACCGATTCTCATGAAGTTTGGAGGCTTACCGAATATCCTTACGGATATGCTCAACATGAGCCAAGGAAGCCTTGCTACCCTCAATAACATTGTCGGCACGATCTTCCTGGTTGGCAGCGATGTAATCAGGATAGTAGATGCTGGGAAGTGGGACCATCTGGGCCATTTCCTTGCTGACCTGGGCCTTCAATGTTGGCTCGAGAACGGCAGCTCGGTCCATAGCCTCGGCCAAGTTCATTCCGCTAATATCCCAGCCACCGATGGCAAGATCATTTGGGTGAACCATGGGCAAGACGTCGTGGAAGGGAATGTTCACATCCGCGGCGGTTTTAGCATTGGTGCCGAGCTTCATGGTAGATCCCATGACGACTGAGCCATAGTAGTTCGCATTCTGGCGGCCTTCCTTGGTGTCCCAGACCAGGCCACGGCGGTTTGCAATAATACCGGCAGTGACAGTGGTGCCATTGTTACCTCCCAAGCCAACAAGCATCATGCCAGTCTTGGGGACCTTGCGTTCGACCTTGAAGTCATAGAGAGTCTCCTTGGGAATCGCTTCGAATTTGCCATCTGAAGTCTCATTGACCAAGGTCGTACGGTAGGTGTACTTGGTTCGGATTTCGTTCTCCGTGTAGACAACATTGGGCGAGTTGACGGTGAAAAGATCCGCCTTGGATCCGGGGGTGGTGGTCGCAGTTCCGTTCGAGGAGCCCATTCCGACTTCCGCGTGGGGAGCCATCTTTATCAGAGGATATTGAGGTGGGTTGATAAAGAGTGTTTGGGGGCGAGTGTAGTGGGGTTTATTCAGTAGATAGAATTATCTTTAACTGATATATGGAGAGTCCGATGCCCCTGCGGGAGAAGAGCAACGGGCTCCTGCGAACGGATGGTGCACACTGCAAAGGTTAGCAGGAAGTTCCAACAAAACCGACCACATATAAATATGCGATCCGAGATAGAGGCCGTGACTGGGCAAGGAGCTGCAAGAACAGTTCTATGGTCCCAGGCACAACCAGAAAATTGGCGTGAGCAGGCCACTTACGAGTTGAGGAGATTGGAAAACGTCTTGACGACTGGATGATCACACTCAGGCGTGCGATCGATTTTGGGGTTTGGTTTGGCGGAGAAGTTTCCGGAGAGAGGTATACAAGTATGGGGTTATGAGTTATGAGTTATGAGATCACTGTTCTGGACTTGTATGGGGGTGGGGGAAGAAAGAAAAGGGAGAGAAGGGAAGGGAGACCAGCAAGACGAAGGTTTACTTTTATGTTCAAAGCACGGCGAGTTCGGCGGTGGGAGGGGCAGCGCTGCCCCACCATAAATATCGATTAGCTGGATACAGCGATACGGATCCGTACGGTACTGCACTCGCAGCGCGTACTCGACAGCGCAAGTCTCCCTCCAGCGACACCAGTAGTGGGAGCCCATTGGCGATACGGCAAACAAAGTCTACGCGCTACTTCATACTTGTGGGCTCCTGCATCAACCGTACTATCGTGAAGCTTCGTGGCTGTCTTCAATGGGCTCTCGTTTTCGCTGGATCTGCGTTTTCCATTTACCCATCCCGCGGGTGCGAGTATGCTCGACGCTGATACCGCGATGGATAGCGACAGTTCTCCGTAAGGGATTCCTATCCCTTCGTGGCTCAAGTCGCCTTCTGCGTCCCCTATTCCACTGGGGGCTTGTCCAGTACTGATGTTTCCATTCGTAGGTACAGTACGTACAGTACAGTAGTACTTTGCAGATTGATATCAACGGACTCTTGTGTTTATCCGGTGATCCTCAGTTGAGCATTTCACTGGTCGCCTCAAGTTGCGGTCAAGCCTCTGCACTCTCGCCCAAGCCCTTGGCTTCCACCAACAGCTGCGACTAATAAGTCGAAATCCCACCCCAGTGCAGATTCCTCGAGCAGTTTTCAGACGATAATAATAAGTTTCCGTCATAGAAATTGGCAAACATGGTCGGTACTCGAGTACCTAGGTCTTTCGGTTCATAAGGGCACATAACATGCATAAGCTTCAAGAATTCCCGAATGGACCGCGTTTGCTTGGAAAGAATTACACGTCCTCAGCATCCGGTCCCACAAATGTCCTGGTTCGGCCTGCGAACCACAAATCCGTCGATATGCAAAGCCAAATGCAGCATGTCCCATAGACCGGAAACGACCGGAAACGCCCGGAAAGGTATTGGTTCATTCAAGGCTTTGTATGATTTGGCGTGTCGGTATCAGCCAAGCAAGTTCCCAACGCCGAAGATCATAAGATGTCTGGCAGTATTAATAAATGTACGGAGGTACCTGTATCCGACGCCTCCCTCTGGAAATGCGGCACGAGACCGGAATCCACAGGATCCAGATTCCAGATATACGAAGTACCGGTGAGAAAGAAGGTAATTCAATGCCCTCACCGGTACAGAATCACGGGTGGCATGGGGCCAGTATGAGAATGAACGTCATCTCGGCAGGAGTTGGTCTGAAGCCAATCTGGAGGCTCGTCTGCCTCGTCCATCAACCGAGTCATACATAGCCTTATTTACTCCTTCTCCAGAGCTGGTGTTGGAAATATAGTATATCAAATTTTGGGTGAATCTGGATTCTGGACAGAGTATCGCGAGCGACCAACTGCTGCTGCACTGGGTTGGAGTTGGTTGGAGTTGGTTGGCGGGGGTTCCCGCTGATTCCCCGAGATAACTGACCCTATATCCACATATCTCCATATCCACATACGGGAATTCTGAGAGTCTATTACATGTGAAAGATGCGTCGTCTGTCTACATCCGAAACACGACCACAGTTGAAGCTCCCACGGCTCAGGAGTCGGGCCCCCTAAGGCCCAAAAGTGCCAAGTGGAGATGGTTTATGCTCAACCGAGGGAGGGAAACAAACCACTGTAAAGCATCAACAATTGGGGCTCGATGCAACCCCTCGCGATTGCGCATGTACTAGCACCTGTCATTATTATTGGCAGAAGATCCAATTGCATTTGGGGAATCGGTGGTGATGATCATCTCCCAGGGGGACAGCGGCCAAATTTCCCCTGAGCCCGGAGATTTTTCTTGGTTTTAACCGCGCTCGTACTATTCCGTACAGCTCTCCGTGCCCCAATAATAGCGCCACCGAGAGACCAGTGCCCAGCAGTGGTTACACGGTCGCCCAGTCACCAAACCGCCTCAGGAGTCGGGGCTCAGGATGGGATCTCAGAAGTCTGGGTCTCGAGTGCGCGGTTGGAGGTTGAAGCCGTCACACTGTCACAGCGGCGGTCACGGCCAGTGTGGCAGGTTGACAGAGCATCAGACTGTACGAAGTAGAGCAGTGAGCCGTCCTCGATCGTCGAGCCTTTTGCCCTCCTTCTGGAATCTGTATGGCTCGGAGCTCAATCGACCAGGCACCAAGAGTCCAGGACCTGGCCATATCGACGCCCGCAAACTGGAGATTTGCGCCATATGTATCGGCATTGGCGAGCGGTCAGGGGCTCCAATAGAGGGTCGCATTACTCCGTAAGAAGAATTTGATATTTGACATCTTGCCCCTATCCTCCCTTCCCTTCCCTGCGCTTCGACTGTTTATATCTGGATTATTGCGAAGATAGCTGGACTGGGCATCGGTTAGAACTTTCTTCTCTTATCGGACGTTTTGATCTCCATCGTCATCGAGGTACGGTCAGTGCTGGACTCGAAACCGAAACACCCTGCACGAAAGTAACTTAAAACGACCTCGACATCGCCGAGTCGTTTGATGTGGCGGCTGCCGGGGGTCCTATCAGTAACCCTGCGAACAGAACTCGGTCCATACGAACGAAGCACTACGTAGCGAGCGGAGGACACCCTCAAGGCTCAAGGCTCAAGCCCTCAAGCCTCAGGGTCCTCAGCCCCTGGAGAACGGACAACAAGTGGAGTTGTGGATTCTGTGGAGGAGAGACTCCTCAGATGGCTTCCTCGTTGAGACGCTTCCGCGACTGCTCTCAATCTCCATCTCGATACTACGTAGCGCCCTAGTTGCGAAGGCCATCTCTTTGCCCACAGTCTTTACCTTCGTAGTGATTCTATCTATCCGTCCTTTGCATTGTTCCCCTCGACCGCCAAGTTGATCTACCGTCTGGCCTTTTCTAAGCTTTCACTAAGTATCCAAGCTGCAGCTGCGATCAGACCTCTGGAACTCATCAGTCGAACACCACACCGATTCCCTCAGCCATTGTGGGTGTCTGGACACCTGGAAGATCTTCGAAAGTTGAAACGAGCCACCATATTCTGGCCGGCAACCTTGATACCGTTGTCGGACCTTAAAGCTTAAGGACATCTTCACACCGCCGATTGTTTTCTCGGCCCGGCGCATGTCTTCGAGAGTACACACAATTATAGGAATTTGCGATCGGATCGTCGAACAGCGTTGGACAGGATGGCGGACATGAATGGAGCCTCGAGCTTCCTGCCGACGATAAAATGTTCTATGTGTGCTCGAGATATCGAGATCTCTCAGATGGGCGATCATGTGTGTAGTAGCTCTGGCGAACGTATGTTGCTACAAATCCCAAGAATTTTGTCTCGTAACTAATCGTTTGTAGCGACGCCTCCACCAGATTCATATGGCAGCTTTGATAGAATGCCATATAAGCAGACTCCCGTAAATGATCAAGGATTTTTGAAGCCCGGTAGGGCGATGCGTCCGAAGGTTGACACCTCCGCTGCAAGTATGTGGTTACAGTCTGGACTTGGTGAGCGTGCTAATATTTTATAGATCGTCCATATTTCCCTCAAGGCCAATTAACACCCCAAAGTGCGACGTCATCAACTGGTTCTCCCCTCGATGGCCGCCGATCACCGTTTGGACGACCGTTACGGAATGCGACTGCTCCTTTACAAAGAGCGCCACCGTCTCCTGGACTACTCACGTCGAACTTGGACTGTGCCTTCCCTCCATTTCCCCCAAAAAGTCCACAACCACGATCTTATAAAGCTGCGGAAAATGGCGGCATGGGGAATATATATGCGGAGCCGGACCAGATATATGCGCCTGTCAGTCCGGAAACTGGTACTAATGCTGGTCTCCTCAAGAGAATGAATACTATTGCGCCTGGGCCCTTTGATATTAACAACCGAAGAAAACCGGATGACCCTACAGCTCGGCGAGGACACCAGAGAAAAGGGACCGGAGCTAGTTTGGCTGATATGACCATGTCTTCACGTTCCGAGGACTCAGGCAGGTCTATCGCGCGACCTGGCACTGCAGGATCTGGCCATTCTAGGACATCGACTAATAGTTCAAATGGATTCAAATTGGGTATTTCTGCTCCTAAGGTCCCTAGCAAAAACGGATATGGAGGATTTGGACCACCACTTGGGAGCGACGATGCCTTCAACCAACGCTCGCTTTTTGAGAATAGGTCACAGACATTCCCATTGCCGAACACAAGCCAGGATGCGCCGTTTAGGAGACCCTCAGAACCCGGATTTGGATCACAAATGAGAAAACCATCTGGTTCTGGCCCGGATCTGACAAGGCCTCTACCGCCACGCGGTGTAAGTCTGATTAAACCCCGAGGAGACACACAGCCTGGTGAAACCCCCCCTATGCCAGAAAACCTCGATCTTGCCGCCGAATTTGGAGTTGGAAATCCCTATCATACACCCACAGAATCTCAGTCTTCCGACGGTTCTGGATACACTCAAGCAAGCAAGGCAAGCTCTCGATCTAGCCCACCACGATCAACCGGCCCTGGCCGACTGCGACGACAACCCTCTGATACAACCCAGATGGATTTTTTGATGTCTGAACTTCAATCCTCTATGACCTTACAACCCGATGGGCCCGCCCCACGGCCATCCCCACCAAAGGATAACTCGATAATCGTACAGCAATCCGCCAGGCCCTTATACCCACAAAATCGGAATGATATTATGCTCTCTCCAGAATCTCCCATGGACCCAACCTTCCAAGGAGAACGTCCGTCCCCTAGTAGTTTGGACAATCTTGCTGGTACTAGGTTGGCGCTTCCGAATAAGCCTCGGGAGGACCGTCCTCGACGTGCCACTGCTTCCAAGGGCAACTGCAAGGCCTGTGGTGAACCGATCAAGGGCAAATCAGTTTCATCTGCGGATGGGCGCTTGACTGGACGGTATCATAAACAATGTTTCGTGTGTACGACTTGCAAGGAGCCGTTTCAAACCTCGACCTTCTACGTCATTGACGATGCGCCCTATTGCGAGCGGCATTACCACAAATTGAACGGGAGCATGTGCACCACATGTGATAGGGGGATTGAGGGACAATATCTTGAAACGGAGAGGCAGCAAAAGTTTCATCCCAGATGCTTAACCTGCGCAGACTGTAAGAGGAGCTTGAGACACGATTATTTCGAAATGGACGGTCGTGTATACTGTGAGCGAGACGCATTCAGGAGAGCCCAGAAAGGAAGATTCCTCGGCGCTGCTGCTAGCGGAAGCAGCAGAATGGAGCGTAGAACGACGCGATTGATGATGATGTGATTTATCCGGCTTGCGAAAATTCGATCTCGACTCCCCGACATTGAATACATTGAATGGCTCAATGAAAATCTACAATTCTACGATAAATTTCTCGACCAAACGACACATTTTATTTTCTGCACATTTACAAAGCGCCTGGCGTGGCACGTACTTATACCCTTCCCTAGCTTCAGCATTTGGGATTGCATGTCTTTTGGGAGCCTTTTATACGAAAGGCGTGGATATACCCTTTTTTATAGGCAGGTTATTATTGATGAACTCTAATAGATAATGTATAGATGTAAATATAACAAAGTATAATATTTAAGACCAAGTCTCCTCGATCGGGAAACCCTAGTGTGGTATCTTAGTTATAATACTCCATAAGGACCTTTATACAACATCCTGAAAATCCAGTGTGATCCGATATGGTTGTTCATCTTCTAGCCTCTGAACTCCTCACGGATAATATTACAAGGTGGATAGTCCAACTCCCTCGGTTCCGCTAAGGGATTTCGGTACCTTTCGCAATCCGACCCATACAACCCTAGGAAGCCGTAACACCAACACCCCCTTTTTGGCTTCCAACAGCACCTTCTTCCCCATGCTCCAGTGGCTCAGCCTCACCCGGTTCTGCACTGTGCACCGTTGGAGTCACTGAAGGCACCGAGGTAAAGCAATCCACATATCGGTCGTGCCAAGATCCATCATGTACGCGATGCAGCGCCACATGTCTGTATCTGCCCAAGTTTCTTTTTCTCCCCCTATGCCATGTTTTCTTGTACTCCAATCTCCAGATTCCCCAATCGTGCATTCTTTACGCCTTCCCATGAGGTAACGATACAACCAAAGAAGCTTGAGCAACATCGAGGATGCCGCGCTTTCGGCCCGGTATAGCGCTGGTGTTTGGCCTCTTGTTGGTATACTTTGTGTTCTGGCGCGGTCTCGCGACCCACGGAGTTACCCAACATACTGTTGACATTTTCGATGGAAGTGAGACACATTCAGGTGTAGGGAGTGTGGGCTTGGATGAAGATAACCTTGTGGGGAACGATATCTACGACGACAATCCTGCTCCGCCATCCCCTAAACCTCCAAGTTCTAAACCTCCAAATCCTAAAGCTCCAAGTCCGAAAGCTTCAAGTCCTAAACCCCCAAGCCCTACGGCTGCGAATCCCGAAGTTGCTACCGAGGAACCGGATGTTGAAGAACAGGAGCCAGACGCTGAGGATAGTAGCCCCAGCCTCCAGGAGCAGTTCTGGGAGGAGTATGAGAAGTTGGGCAGGTGAGTAGCATACAATTTCTCCTCAGAGGTCAATCCATGGCTGATAATGTGCAGGAACGAGACTGCCGGTGCCATATTTGGTAGCACAATAAACCACCTCGTTGACTCGGGAGGTCATGCTGGGTTTGCAGCCGCAGCATTGACTCCCGCGAAGTCCCCCATGCCTTATAGTCAGAATCCGTTGTACAGATACAGTCCCTATCCCGAATATAATACCAAGGCATGGAACACGAGCAATTTCGGGACATATCGGCCCTGCGAGGGGCCTACTGGGCCGGTTGGAGACGTACGGGTGTTCGATGGGCATCCAGCAATGTTTGAAGAACCATTGATGGGCTCATACGTTCCTTTAGATATCGACAGCAACCTTTGTTTTGAAAGGCAAACTCGGCTTGGTGCATATGGCTTTATCGAGGAAAATTTTCCCAGTGCGCCTAATATTACTAAACGGGCTCCTACCAACGACGCGTCGGCGACTACCAATTGGGGAGAGTTACAACGTGTATGTGCCCAGTTAAATGCAGACAGGTTTGCCGAAACTCAGGCCAACTCCTCCAACTCCCACAAGACGGAGGGCCGCTTGAATTCAACAGCCTCGGTCAATGGAACTAGGCTACACAGGAGGAATGATACAATTGTAGATGAGGCGGAAGCTCGAAAGCAAGGTTTGCATGGCCTGCCTAAGCATGATATCAAACCGAAACCACGGACAGCCGTCCTTATTCGGACCCATTCAGGACAACAATTCACGAAAAACGACCGGCAGAGTATTCGTTCTCTAATTACAGAGTTATCATTGCGCAGTGGAGGGGAATACCAGGTCTGGCTTATGATGGAGGTAACCGATCCCGATATCCCGATATGGACCGATAGCGACGCATATGACTTTGCACTCGATTCCTACGTACCAACCGAGTTTCACAACATGACGATAATGTGGAACGCGGCCATCACAAAGGATTGGTACCCTGAACTCCCTCAGACATCCAAAACTGAGGGAAAGGCCCATTGGCTTGTCGTCCAGAAGTTCTCTCAGGATCATCCTGAATATGAATTTGTCTGGAATTGGAACATGGATATGCGATATACAGGGCACCACTATAACTTACTTGAGAAGTTGGCAGACTTTGCCCGAGTTCAGCCCCGGAAAGGCCTGTGGGAACGCAATGAACGATTCTACATTCCCTCCGTTCATGGACCCTATCATACCAAATTCCGGAAAACCATAGAAGACGCGTATGGTTCCAAGATGATATGGGGACCACAGTCAAACACAGACATAACACCCATTGGTCCACCAAAGCCCGTATCTGATCCAACCAAGGATGACTATAAATGGGGAGTAGGAGAAGATGCAGATCTTATTTCTTTAGCGCCTATTTTCAATCCCACGAATACAACGTGGACTGGCCAATCTGAAGTCTGGGGAACATTTGGTGGCAAGCTCCAAAGCCGGGCTAGCATTGGAACACAGATCCGGATAAGCAAAATGCTGCTCAGTGTGATGCATGCGGAAAACCTAAAGGGGAATCACTTAGGAAGTCAAATAGGACCGGCGACCATGGCATTGCTTCATGGACTGAAGCCTGTTTTTGCTCCGATTCCAATGTTTTTTGATAGAGCATGGACCGGTGAGAGTCTGCAGAAATACTTCAATCCCGGCCCTGAGGGGCAGAGCGGAAGTTCTGAAAACAGTCCGTTTATCGCTGAGTTCGAGGGGAGATTTGATAGCACTACCTGGTATTCAAAATCAGCAACACCGAACAGGCTACATATAAACTGGTTGGGACGCAAGGACAGCGGGATTGGTGGTCCCGAGGTAAGTCCTCCACTGAAAAATTCAATAGCTGGGATGAAGTTGTAACTAATATTTATTCTAGTGGGAGAAGAAAAATGGAAGGATATGCTTGCCACCAATGCTTATCGGCGCTCTCACAGGTGTACAGAGGCATCTCGGCCCGTCCCCCGAGCCAGATTCAGCTTAATCCAAATACGAAGTTGGTAGAAGAAAGGTATATTTAAATGCATAGCACAACGGGTTTATAGTACTAGGTTCCGGCGTTTATTGGTGTTACTTATAGCCTAGGAGAGGCCCAATGGACACATATATGTATTATTTTACACCCATTTACTGGTGGGCAGCTAGGGACATCGTCATGGGACATGTAATATGTGTATATATAAAGTCTCGTGCCAACAGCTTCCTCATCGGGGCTTCTAATTGACTAATTGTTCAAGCCGCCACGACCCAGCATCGCCGGGGACGGCCCGAATAGCCGGGACTGAAATGCCACTATTATCATAGTCGACATTCTGCTATTCCTCAGTTCGTTGGAATCCATGCCGCAGTTACTGCCAAGTCAGTTCTTGGCGAGGTTGTCTCCAAGACCGGTATCTTTGCTCCAATGAACTCGGAGATTCACGATACTTTGATGAAGGAAGCTGAGGGACAAATATGGTAAGTTCGGTTCTCTCATTCTTGCTACGAAAGCTGGTATCACAACCGTAAGTAGGTTTCATTGCAACTTCCGTCTCTCAACACCTTATTTAATAATGATCCCACCACCTGAATGCGTGCCAAGTTATACCTGTCTCTCTAACCTGAGTGTTTTAAATCACATTGCCGGCTTCAACTTTGCGGTATCATAGCTAACATATACCGGTATAGATGATAGCCATAAAACTGAAGAGACGGAGGCCCCGGATGTGAGGGAATATAGAGAGAGATGGCTCAACAACCTGAACCCAGAAGATCTGGCGGCCTTTTATGTCAAGAAACCAGCGGAAAGTGCAGGGGAGTTTGGCCATTTACTATGAGAAGGAAATTGCACTGAGGGATAAACCGAGAAGGCCAAATGGCTTCGCAAATCAGGAGCTTTCACCAACGATCACGGTGCTATAACCACCCGCGTTGTCCAACCCCAGCGCAATGGAAACACTGTGGCTCCCCTTTCAATGATTTGTCTCCCAAATACGCCAGCGCAACGATAACGCCACTGTTAATGCTCCGGTTTTCCCTAGAGGACCGTCTTGGGCTCTACTAGAATGTCGTCAACACTCCACAAAAAATATATCATATATAATATAAGAAGATAAATAATATTAATCAAAGGAGAGAAAGCTACAAACCCGATATAATTGAAGATAAGTACTTATGGCTTGCTCGAGCTGCTCAGGTGAGTGGACCGAGGCGAAGGTGAGGCGATGGTTATTGTAGCCGGAGCAAGAACAGCCAACGTACTAGACTAGATTGCCCAGGAAAAGGGTTGTGTTCAATAACTAGAATACATCCTAGAAGATAGGCCTGAGGAAGTACCTACACAAATGGAACGTCCCAAGCTTCGAATCACCGACATGCCAAAACTGCGACGAAGCAGACGAAACAGTCTCCCACGTTCTCTTTTCTTGCCCCGGGTGGACCGAAATCTGAGAAAGCTTCAGGGACAAGATCAACGACAGTACAATAGATCTAAAGAAGATCCCAACAAAACTATAATATACCAAGGAGGCAGCCAACTTCCTACAACAAACGGGCCTCCTCTACTACTTCAAGATAGTCCGGATAAACCCCGAGGACTAAATATAGTAATAAAACATATGGGAGAGGATATACAAAGGACTAGGAGGTATCTCCCCTAAAAAGGAGACTTAACGGCGGGACGTACGAGTACGCTAATAACACAAACCTATAGATTTAAGCATATAGGTATAAATAATTCTATATAACGGAGGATAGAGTTCCCCAAGATATAGGAAGCTAAAATAGGGCCGCTCTGCACCCCGACATGAAGCCGAGCTTGCTGAGCCACCACCCCCTGCCTGTGCGCCGCGGGATGCAGTTTCCTAGGCTTAGCCCCACCCCTAAAGGTGAACCGTTCGCGACGGTTATATCAGAGCCACGGTCAGAAAATAGGCAGGAGATTAGTCCAAGGACTGCAATTCAACAGGTTTCGATTCTCTAGCTATATATATATATATATATGACAGGGCGCTAGAAGGCGTATATTTAGGTGCTGAAGGTATACGCCGACGATTTTTAGACGCGAAAAGAATTGGTATTTTCTAGTGCTTGGGAACCCCATCTTTCTGTATATAGACCACCGTTATGGGCCTTATAGGCTTGCAAGTATGAATAAAACAAACAAACAAACAAACTAGAATACATGTGGGAGGAATTCTGCATGTGCATGGGTTGTTTTGAAGCTCAATCAAGCAGTTTGCAGAGCCAAGCTCAAGCTTGGTATAACTCTCACCAACTAAATGCAATATTCGGACCAATAACCCCGGAGAATCTCATCTCTTCCTGCGTCAATGACGCTTTCGTACTGCGTGACACAGTGTTGTATATCTTGGCTAGAACAGTCGGGGGTCGGGTCGTTTTTGACAGTCGGGTTATGATGATACAGGGCAGGGAAGTGTTGAAGGTCAACACCCCTCGCCACGGCTAGCAATAGGTACAAGACTAAGAACGCCTCCCAGCCACCAGGAACAACGCATAACAACATCGCTTTTGGCGCCTTTTACTCCGTGTGGCATGTCATAACCCTTGTGTATATCACTTATACGAAGTACTTATCGAAAGCTTCAGAAAGAAAGCCGCCGACATTGATCTCGGCGAAACCTCCGGTTAGGATGCCTGAGACCCCGCAGTTCATTAGAGATTTGCTATACACCAAAGCGTCGAGCATTGCATGTGGCAGGTAGGTGCTCATTGCGGGGATAACTGGCAAGGACCAACCTCGACGCCTAAAAAAACCCTACTACAAAAACATGTATGCCCTTCAGGAAATTCTGGAGAGGCCACTCCTCTTCGACCTTTCCATTGCGTCCGTCATGTCTTACATATTCTCCTGGTTGGCGGTGGCTATTGCGGCTGTCACTGCTACTTCAGTTGCAAGTTCAGGCGACTCTTTAGCTACTTGTCCAGGCTACACAGCTTCTAATGTTAGGACGAATGCGCATAGTCTCACTGCTGATTTAAATCTTGCTGGTGCGGCTTGTAATGTATACGGTGATGATTTGAAGAACTTGACCTTAGAGGTGGTGTATGAGACCGGTCAGTTTATACTCATCGCCATACCTTTGGTCCAATTAAATCGTGTATAAGCTGCACAGCTAACGTAAAGTACAGATGATCGAATCCATGTCAAGATCCAAGATGCTGCCCGAAGTGTTTATCAAGTCCCTACCAGCGTTTTCCCACGTCCACCAGTGCTACCGGGAACAGTATCTGAGCACGCCAATATCCAATTCCACCACGAAACTTCTCCATTCTCATTCTCAATTATTCGTACCGAAACTGGAGAGGTCCTCTTCGACACGTCTGCTGCAAGTCTTGTTTTTGAATCCCAATACGTAAGACTCAGGACATCTCTTCCAGAAAACCCAAATCTTTATGGCCTAGGTGAACATTCAGACTCGCTCCGTCTGAAAACTACTGATTACATCCGAACGCTATGGAGCCGAGATTCATTCGCTATCCCACTTGGGGAAAATTTATACGGCAACCACCCGATATATTTCGATCATAGACTTTCAGGCACCCATGGAGTCTTCTTCCTCAATTCAAATGGCATGGATATTAAGATCAATAACACGAATGGCAAGGATCAGTATCTGGAGTACAACACCCTTGGTGGGGTTCTGGACTTTTACTTTATGGCTGGGCCAACGCCCGTGGACGTGTCAAAACAGTATGCCGAGGTTGCGGGATTGCCTGCCATGCATTCATACTGGACATTTGGTTTCCAGAATTGCAGATATGGATATCGAGATGCCTATGATGTTGCTGAAGCTGTCTACAACTACTCAAAAGCGGGAATTCCATTAGAGACTATGTGGATTGATATTGATTATATGGACGAGAGAAAGGTAAATGCGCGCCATATTTCAAATGGATTGTTCTAAAATTCATAGGTCTTCTCGCTGGATCCTGAGCGATTCCCCCTCAAACAGATGCAAGAACTCAATCACTATCTGCATTCTAAAAATCAGAAACAAGTCTTGATGGTGGACCCAGCTGTTGCATATCAAGATTATCCGGCATACCAGAATGGCGCCAAATATGACACTTTTTTGAAGAGGGACAACGGGTCTTACTGGCTGGGTGTGGTCTGGCCTGGCGTAACTGTGTTCCCTGATTGGTTTAATACCAAAGTTCAACAATACTGGAACGATGAGTTCTACACATTTTTCTCGCCACAGAGTGGTGTGGATATTGATGGGCTGTGGATTGATATGAATGAGCCGTCTAGCTTTGCTTGTGATTTCCCATGCGACGATGTGAGTTCACTGACTCCATTTTACATTTCTAAACTCGAAATTCGTTCTAATATTATTCGCAGCCTTTTGGTTCTGCCGTTGGGTTTCCCCCAAAGCCCCCGCCAGTTCGCTCTCCACCAAGACCTCTTCCGGGCTTCCCTTGCGATTTCCAACCAGAAGGAACCCCATGCTCAGCAACCAAAAAGCCGAGGTCAATTGTAGTACCTCCGCTTCAACGATCCCTCGAACTCGAGACTAGACTAGTTCCTGGGCAAGAAAATGGCCTGCCGGGCCGCGACCTACTTTTTCCAAAATATGCTATCCACAATGCTGCTGCTTATACCTATGCAGATAATGCCGCTGGGGGAGGCATTTCGAATCACACTGTCAATACAGATGTCATACACCAAAATGGCCTCGCCATGTACGATACTCATAACCTTTATGGCACTAGTAAGTTCCCCTCATGGGGATGTGGGATAGGAACTAATAACTCCAGTGATGTCGACTACTTCAAGAGGAGCAATGGAATATCGCCGCCCGACAGAACGGCCCTTCGTAATCACCCGGAGCACCTTTGCAGGGGCTGGCGCCAAAGTTGGACACTGGCTTGGAGACAATGAAAGCCTGTGGCTGCATTATCGTCTCTCAATCCGAACGCTATTAGGTTTCACATCCATATATCAAGTGCCCATGTCGGGCTCCGATGTTTGTGGGTTTGGGGGCAATACGACCGAGCAGCTGTGTGCGAGATGGGCCACCCTTGGAGCCTTTAGCCCCTTCTACCGCAATCATAATTCCGATAGCAGTATTAGTCAGGAATATTATCGATGGGCAAGCGTTACATCAGCGGCGAAGAAGATCATCGATATTCGTTATAGGCTTTTGGATTACATCTACACAGCACTATATCGGCAAACAGTCGACGGAACGCCTCTCGCAAACCCGATGTTCTATATCTACCCCCAGGACTCGAACACTTTCGCTTTGGAGTTGCAGTACTTTTATGGTCCTTCCCTGCTTGTTAGCCCTGTGACCGAAAAGGATTCCACAAGCGTTGATGTTTACCTGCCAAACGATATCTTCTACGATTTCCACACCCACGCCGCGGTCCAAGGTAAGGGTTCAAATATCAAAATCGAGAATGTAGATTACGAATCCATTCCTTTACACTACCGCGGTGGCGTTATCGTGCCTCAACGAGTTGCAGGAGCTTTGACAACAGCCGACCTCCGTAAAAAGGACTTCGAGATTATCGTACCCATTGGCAGTGATGGAACTGCGGAGGGAGATCTGTATATTGATGACGGAATCAGTCTTGTGCAGAAATCCACGACGTCTGTAAAGTTCACCTTTGACGGGAAGACTTTCCGGATGAGGGGGAGCTATGGGTACAATCCTGGGGTGAAGATTGCTAGGATTGTGATTTTGGGGTTGAGCGGAAGCCTAGCGGGCTGTTCTGTTGATGGAGAGGCAGTTACAAATTGGGCGCAGCATGGCACGAACGGTGATGTTGTGGTACCGGTTGGGAAGCCATTGACGAGGGATTTTGCAGTTACGATACATAAGTGACGGATGAATACAATACGAACTAGGTGGGGAGATGGATGATGTGAATATTCAAGAGGTGGCTTGATTTTTATTAATAGGGAAACTAGATGCTCAATTTCCAAGTCAAATATGCTGGGTTTCTAATCTATACGGTTCAAGTATTATATAACACTTAGGTCTTTTCAACAAGCTTTATGAAAAAAAGGAAATATTACTAGATTCGGCGTCGTTCGCCGATAGCCCTACCTGGCACGAGACGGAAGACTGCACATGTAAGACTTGGGGCTTTGCTCGTAGCCCCCCCCGGTTAAATTCTCCCCCAGCTAAAAACAACCTACATTCCATTTACCTATAACTACCCTACAACGCGTTATTAATTAGCTTAATATTGATGGAATCCTTAATTCTTTCTTCTCCTGTTACGCCTAGAGTAGTAAAAGCTAATTGGGATACTCCGACGCGCGCAAAAGTACGCGTCTTACACAATACCGGTCATAGCTACAAATCGATTAATAAACTTACTAGTATTCCAAAGTCAACAGTACGAAATACTATTAAAAGTAGATCTTCTCGGTCTCTTCGAAAAGGCAAAGCGACTAAACTTCAAAGTTTAACAAAACGAGATATTCGACGAATTCTTCGATATATATCTACTTCTTGGGATACACGACGCGTTTCTTGGTCTCGAATTAAAGTAGAGCTATTTCTAAACGTTTCTTCTTCTTGTATTCGACGTACACTTCGGAAGCTTGGATATCGTCGTTGTAAAGCCTATCCTCGACCTTTTATCTCGAAAAAACAAGCTAAAAGACGCTTTACTTTCGCGTTAAAATACCAGTAGTAGGGGACTCTGGATTGGAGACGCGTTCTCTGGAGTGACAAGGCAATATTTGAGACAGGAAAGAGAGGAAGGATCTAGGTTACTCGGAGGCCAGGAGAAAAGCACTGTCAGATTTATATAAAGTCGGTTTACAGGACTGGGAGAATAAGCGTCATGATATAGGGAGCTCATAGCTAGGATTGGAAGTCTCCTCTTGTGTTTTTGGAGAAGGAGGACAGGAGGAGGGGTATTTGCAGCTAGGTATACTTAACCCAAGCACTAGACACTGTTGTTTTCTCTCACTTTGACTCTCTTAACGAACAGGAGAAAGAGAAGTTAATATTTATAGAAGATGGAGCTAAAGTCTATATGGGGAAAGCTAGGTTACCAAAGATCAATAAAGGGATTAGAGGGTTTGATTAGCCTCCTTCTTCCCTAGATCTAAACCCAATTGAGAAAGTCTGGCGATAGATGAAAGACGAGATTACAAAACTACTAAATCCTCTAACTTCTATTAATAAGTTGAAAGTAGTATTACAAGAGCTATAGGATAAAGCTAATCCTATAGAGTAGAGATATTTAACAGAGAAGCTAACTTATAAATTTAAGGATATAATTAATATAAAAGGAATAGCGACTATTAATTAAAATATACTTATAATTATAATTCATTGTTCTAATATTAATTGTATATAAATTTATACTATAATAATTGTTTTGTTGTAGTAGTAGTTTGTAGTAAGTTTTTAGTTTTAGTAAAGTGAGCCCGGGGGGTGCCACGAGCAAAGCCCCAAACTCTTACTTGGAGACTTGGTAGCTAGTTCACATATATTGTATTGCTCTGATCGTAGAAGATACTACATGCTCCCTTCTATTAGCTATTACTAGCCGACGCGGCACTCCAAGCAAACGTTAAGTGTAGAAACTGTGGATAGGGCTGTCTAACCGAAGGTGAGGCCTTTTGTATTTCCGCTCCTGCTTCCTTTTCTCGCTTTCGCATCCGAAGTTTGATATTTTTGGTATATCCCCTCTCTCCCAACGACTTCGTTAAAAAAAACCAAGGAAATTTTATATCGATAATTAAAAAGAGCAAAAATCCAGGGAGCGCCGAAGCGCCCGCCCCTGGTTAAAACCAGACGCACTGAGTTTGAATTATTTTAGGCTGAGCCTTTTTCGAGATATCTCTAAGAAAAGACAGGAAACTCTCTCCAACATCGCACTCACAATTTGATCCGTACCACTTCACCAAGTGGCCAGCCCTTGTGCCGATTAACTGGTTTTGCCTTATTTGGCTTTATATAGGAGTTGTGGGAGTCGAGACGATGGGCGGTGAAAAGTGGTAGCGAACGAAGGCGGTAAGATGTTTGGCAATATGAAGGACGTATGCTTAGGATGCCGGAAGTGCAAGATTCTATGGCGGAATGTTCATACATGAAATGTAAAACTTGCAAACATATAGATTACTAGAGGGAGTACTGCTCTTGGAAAGGTATGTATACTGTACATGTACAAAACTCGGTATTATCTGTATAAATTATCATAGTTAATTTGGCAGTGAACGGCTAGCTACAATGGATAACCTGACAGTACACAAAGAAAATAAGGACAAATTACAAGTGTATTGGTTGATTGGTGGGTTGCTTGGTTGGGTATTCTCGAAGCCGAAGGCAGAGGACCTCTCGCAGCGTGATCGAAGTATTCGACGACTCTTGGATTTTGCAAGCAGATTTTCTTTAGCGTTTCTTGTTTCAAAGGTCGAAGCTCCGTGAGGTATCATGTACGTTACATATGTTAAGAGCGCCATGCTACAGAAAATCTGATCGGGATGCTTCGGTTCTTGCCAATAGGGTAATCATGAGAAAGTGGATTAGTGCCTCATTTCGCTAACAAAAGGGAAGCAAGAACATGTCACTGGGACATGGTCGCTCCAAACACCATGGAGAGGACCATATGGAAGTCGAAGTGCGTAAAAGGTGGTCTGACTGCGTTGGAGGAACGAGCGTTGGGTACGAATCTTACCACGAACACGAGCTTCCTGGATATAAAAAGAGTTGTTAGATACTCGGGGTGGGTATTTTATCCTTGTACAGTACAAACATAGTTGACAGCAAAATCCGAGTCCCTAACCATAGAAGACGCATCTGCCGCCCACCTCTTGTTTCTATCGAAGGATTTTAAAGGATCCCAACGTGACCCTTGTTCAGCTAGCCTTTATGTCATTATGCCGGTATTCATCCAGAGTCTAGACAACTTATAGGAGAAAGGAGATAGCTCGCTTTTTCCGGCGAAGCAGGAACGGCGTTTCGCATAGATCTGATAACGAAATTAGACGAATGCACGTTGTATTGAGCCCACAGGGAATAATATGTTTGGGAAAATATCGAATGGTACTGTGCTAGTTTCAAAGATAGTACCGCTGACCGACAACCATACTCCCGGGACACTCGAAGCGAAAATAGTAATGGGAACGGCACCACGGCCAACAAATCGTACCCAAATGCGACTTTGGACGGGAGAATACCCCTCAGCCACCCACGCGTATATTGCCAACAAACCAACTAATAAACAAGGCCTCTATTCCAGTCACTAAGTCACTCGGCTTAGCGTTAGATTTTGGTGAGAGGATTCAGGTCGCCGGCAGTCCCGTCGAGTAGGTATTCGGTAACGGGATAGTCGGCGAGGAGAAGGGGGCTGTTGGCGCCCGTCAACGCTAGCTTTCCAACAGTTGCCACGCCTAAAGTATGCCACGGTTATGAGTTTAACATGGGCGAATGAATGAACAGAGAGAGTTTTTGAACGTAGTCTACATGAAGAGAGAGAGAGAGAGTTCAGGCGCCTATCCCTTGTCTTGAACGTTCAACGGGATATATCAAACTCGTGACTGACCCTACTGCCGAGACAACGGAGATATATTATGAAATGCGATTTAGTCCACACTCCTGGTCACCGGCATCACTAATGCTCCGGCACATCTACTCAGGTGCCTGACTACTGTGTCTCCTTCTAGATGAGGCGGGTGACATTTCTCGTGGGGGAACAAACGGCCATCTACAGACAGACTCGGGAATGCCTCATCATCCCCTATCCCAATGTCTCGGCCCCTATCGGTCCCTTCAACGGCCGCTGAACGAAGAATGCATAATGGTCAGCATCACCACCCGTTTGTAACCGCGGACGCCCAGGTCGGAGAGAAACCACACGACTGGCACCGGCATGCAAATGAGACCGACGCCGTTATCCAAACCCAGCAATACCACACTGCAAGGGGGCAGAAGGAGTGCAACACCACAACGGTTACTGTAACCTCACCAACACCGGTCGAGGCCAGGATTGCAGTGGCCCCTGACGGCAGGAGTAGCAGTCTCCCCCACGCTGGGTAGTGAGGGATGGGAACTCGCGGAAGATGAATTATCATATTGTCTGTCAGGCTCAGCAGGAAATGTGAGATATGATGGAATTGGAGACCTCGCGGTTCTAGCTTACATTTCCAGGAGGCCGTGTGATCATTTGTTTCGATCGCACTTCCCGCATCCCCCCCTATTGCTTCATGGCAACAGTGATTCGAGGGGGGTCTTAATATGGGCCTTTGGATGCCATTCCGAGTGGGGGGATTTGAATCCAGGACAAAGAAATGTCTTCCAGCCGGCTGCTAGACTGTTCGACTGCGAGACTGCAAAATTGGCGGTTGAAGACGAAGCCAGAAAAGCGACACGTGGCGGTAGGAAAGTTGACGGCGCAGTTGGCACTCCACAGTAGACCCCACAAAGCTCTTCTGTGCTGCTACCCTGTGCTATTGCAATAGCCAGCAAGAACCAATACCAATGCCAATACCATGCACATCAGATTGTGATTGAAAAGGCGTCGCCCGCATAGCGGGGTCGATGGAATCCCAGGTGCTGCACTGTGCTGGCTGCACGTTGCAAAGAGAAAGCCACCACAGCACTGACTCGTCGAATGAATGCGAATCGCACCTCATACTACTACTCTGGACAGCGAGATCAGATATCCCCCAATAAACTTCGTTGGGTGCTAATGCGCGCCATCACCCATCGCACACAGAGTCGGATCCTACCGAATGCCGTGCTGCACTCCTGGGCTGGGATTTGGTTTTCCCAGCAAATGGACAGTGGATGCGCTGCATCGCCATCAGCACCTGGAGGACCCCGTGACCCCCCTTTATCCTGGAATTAAGAATAGTATG